TTTTTTTTTCGCCGTATGATAAGTCCTGGACCTCTTCTTTCTCCTCATTGGAATGGTTTTGATTAGTGGGGTTTCACTAGAGCTTCGACTAAGACCTGGACCAGCCTATCGCCTTTCACTACGCCTGTCGCTGTCCAAGTTTAAGAGAACTTGGGTTACAACTTTCCGTCGGTTCTGCTGGCCCGCTAACGTTAGCTCTAGTTTCAAACCATCGCCAGTCCTGGATGAGTATCTGTCGGTAAGGGAGAAACTGTAAGTAATTAATTAACTAATGGCCATGTCACAGCGCCTGAAGGGACGTTGTGCAAGAGAAATGCTTTGTGCGAGGTCAGACGACAGGGGGGCCCTAGAATTCAATGTGATCGCACGTTAGAGGGTCTCTTTGAAGACTGAAAATCTGGGGGGGATCCATAACTGGAGGCCAAAAATAGTCCCCTTAGTGTGGCCCCTAGACTCGGGTGTTGTGTTGTTGTTCCACTTTTTGGGCCAGTCCACACGAGAGTACTAGTACTAGTGGACCTGAAATGATTGTTGTTCAAGTGACATGTCAGTGGCAATCGTAAGGTTACAATAGACTAGTACATTCTTTTGCCGTTGAAAAGTAGTTTGCCTCCACGTCCAGTGTTGTACTGCATTTGATGGACTTCTTTTTTTTATTTTATTTTTTTTTAAATAAAAAACATGGTATTGTATGAACATTTCCCGAATAGGGTTGGAGGTGAATGACATGTCACATGCGGTTCCCCATTGGGCTGGCGGACAAACAAGCACACAAACAAGACAAACAGCATGCAACATCTCCTCTCCGCCGTCACATGATTTCGCGACATGACCGCGTCGCGGCATGATTAATATTAGCACTAATGGTCAAGATCGCAAGATCGCACATCACGCCACCCAAAAGTCGTTCCCGATATGACGGCCTCTGATGATAGCTCGGTCGACTATCTTCATGAGGGGTTCGATGGCTTTTCAGACGGATTCTCTGATATCGCGGAAAACAACACCGCGCCCGTCTCCCCGCGGCCAGCCAAACGTCGCCGCCTGGAAACTGTGACCGCGTACTCGTCTCGGAAAGGAATATCTCAGGGAAATAATGTTGTGGCCAGCCCCCAGTCTGGCTCCGATTCTTTTGTAGTTGATGATGAAGACAACTACGATGAGCTGCCGTCCCCCAGCGCAGAGTCATATCACTTTGCCGATCAACATGACGTCGAGGCCCCGTCCAAGTACAAAGTGTTTGTTCCCAAGCGGAGTAACATCCAAGACAATATCTTTGTTACCCAGTTGACCCAGCCGCCCTCACCTCCCGAAATGATTAGAGGTCCCCGGTGGAAGAAACCAGAACCCGAACCCGAACCCGTAGCAGTTATTCCTACAGCAGCCGAAACCGGCGCCGGAGGTAGAACAGCAGCGAAAGGAGTCGTGGCCACTGGGGAGGACTATAATGATGAAGAAATGAATGCTGCCATAGCGGCATCGCTGGAATCGTTTGAGAACGAGCAACCTTGGGTGCCCTCCTCAGGCACGAAAGACTCTGCGCCACAGCTCGCTACCCATTCCACCGAACCCAAAGAGGTCGCGACAGACACGTCCTTCTTCGAGGATATACCGGATGATGCATTCGACTCTGATATATGCTTGTCTTCACCCCCAAGAGCGCAGCCTCAATCTGCAGCCCGACAATTTACCCAGTCCTCAAATCGGCCTCTGGGCGTCCGTCAAACCACGTTGTTTCATATGACATCCCAAGGTCAAGTAGCCCAGCCACCCATTGGAGAGCAAGTTTTAGCTCCACCAGATAAGGTTGAGCTTCCGACGCAGCACAAATTGGACGAAGAGGCCTTAAACACCTGGGTCTACCCAACGAATCTTGGCAAAACGAGAGACTATCAATTCAACATCGCCCAAAAAGGGTTGTTCCACAACTTGCTTGTCGCACTGCCCACGGGTCTCGGAAAGACCTTTATCGCTGCGACGATCATGCTGAATTGGTTTCGGTGGACCAAGAGTGCCCAGATCATCTTCGTCGCCCCGACGAAACCTCTTGTGTCTCAGCAGATTTCCGCCTGTTTCGGAATCGCAGGGATTCCACGGTCCCAGACAACCATGCTCACTGGAGAAGCGGCACCCGGTATTCGAGCGGAGGAATGGCAGAAAAAGCGCGTGTTCTTTATGACTCCACAGACTTTGATCAATGACCTCAAGTCCGGCATCGCAGACCCGAAGCGCATCGTCCTGTTGGTAGTCGACGAAGCTCATCGCGCGACCGGTGGCTATGCGTATGTGGAAGTAGTGAAGTTTCTTCGACGATATAACCAGAGCTTCCGTGTCCTGGCTCTCACCGCGACCCCGGGCTCCACAGTGGAGTCGGTCCAAGCTGTTATCGATGGACTCGATATCTCCAGGGTTGAGATACGCACGGAGCAGTCGCTTGATATCAGAGAATACGTGCATGCGAGGAATACCGAAGTCCAGACTTTTAAGAACTCTGAGGAGATGGTTTTCTGTATGGACCTACTCTCCAAAACATTACAGCCTCTGGTTGACCAACTTCGCACTCTCAATGCCTACTGGGGAAGAGACCCAATGATGCTCACGGCCTACGGACTCACTAAGTCGCGGCAGCAGTGGATGGCTTCCGACGCTGGCCGCAACGCGCACTTTGGACTGAAAGGGAAGGTGAACGCAATATTCACCGTCCTCGCAAGTTTGGCCCACGCAATTGATCTTCTCAAGTACCACGGAATTACGCCCTTTTATCGCCACCTGGCGCACTTCCAGTCCAACACAGATGGCCAGAAAGGTGGTAAATATCAGCGACAAGTGGTTCAAGATGAGAGTTTCAAGAAGCTCATGAATCATATTCAGCCGTGGACCAAGAATCCCGAATTCATCGGCCATCCCAAACTGGAATACCTTAAACAGGTTGTCTTGAACCATTTTATGGATGCTGGCGACGGCGCTAATGGAGGAGAAAGTACTAGCGAATCGTCTACGAGGATTATGATCTTTGTACATTTTCGGGACAGCGCCGAAGAAGTGACGAGGGTATTGAAAAGATACGAGCCCATGATTCGACCTCATGTCTTCGTAGGACAATCCAGCGCGAAGGGCTCGGAGGGCATGGGCCAAAAGGCCCAGCTCAACATCGTGCAGAACTTCAAAAAGGGCGTCTACAATACAATTGTCGCCACCTCTATCGGTGAGGAAGGTCTTGACATTGGTGAAGTGGATCTCATTGTATGTTATGACTCCTCGGCGTCACCAATTCGAATGCTTCAACGGATGGGACGTACTGGTCGAAAGAGGGCCGGAAACATCGTCCTCCTTCTTATGGAGGGCAAAGAAGAAGAGTCGTACATCAAAGCCAAGGACAACTATGAGAAAATGCAGCAGATGATCGCTAGTGGTTCCCGCTTTACCTTCCATGATGATATGTCTCCCCGCATCCTGCCACCCGCAGTGCGACCCGTGGCTGATAAACGCCAAATTGAAATCCCGGATGAAAATGCGACTCAAGAACTACCGGAGCCAAAACGAAGGGGACGGGCTCCAAAGAAGCCACCAAAGAAGTTTCATATGCCAGACAATGTAGAAACCGGCTTCACCAAAGCGTCATCCCTGGCGGGGAAGAGCAAGTCAAAAGCTGAAAATAGTAGGAAGCCTCGGATGCCGACCCCGGAGCCGGTGGATATCCCGGCTCTTGAAGACGTTGTACTGACCTCGGCACAGCAAAGAGAGCTGGAACGACATTATCGCAATATTGGGGCCACTAGCCCACAGTTCATCCGCTACCCGCGCAATGACGCTTTTCCTCGTCTCCAGCTTGTTGCACGGCCTACCAAGGCCGTCCAGCATGGGTCTCTGACTCGTCGTATGATCGGGACCTTGCGAAAGATGAATAGTATCGGTGCAGACTGTGAGGACCGGTTCCGGAAGGTTCTGGCTCTAGAGTCAGCCAGGCCGCAAGGTGACTCGGTGATTCTCAACCGATCACCTTGTCGTGAGCGCCGTACCAAGTCGAAAGCCACACCTTGTTCCAAACATTCATCGGCTGCGGTTAAGAAGGCATTGCTTGTTGAGGACCCTGAACCGGTGACCCCGGAACAACTGTTGTCGTCCGTTGTGAACGACCAGGCACAGCAGCCGTTCTATTCTTCGCAAATGAGCCAGGACGGGGGCTCAGATGACGACTTTGAGCCCCCTGATCTCAGTACACTTCTCAGTCGAAGCGCCGAGCGCGTCAATCAACAGAAACGGGTCAATTGACAAGGAGAGTGACGAGTAGGCCAGATGATAGTCATGAGTGACGACGACCTTTGGACATACACATGTATCGCATATAATAGAGTTAATTGGAGTAGCAAGCATTATTGGATATTACCAAAAACAAGGCAAATGTGGACTAGCCTTGATTCTGGAACGGCACGGGGTGAGTCATTGGACACCCGAGTTCGCCATGAAATGCCGCCAAGGATGAGCTTAATGTAGCCTTACCCTTAGCGGTCTAGCCTTCCTGCTCCGACTCGGACAGAACTACCATTAGCGATTTTCTATACAGTGTACGGTAAGTGATGCCGAGTTGCGAAAAGTCACCTTATTGTCATCTTGTCTGATTCCCCCTCTCTTCACACTTTCTTGGTAATCATGTGGATTGCACCAGGCTATAAAATGCAGGAAAACCTGGCCCAGGAATGCTTTCTACAACAACCAAGTCTTGGTCCAGACTGATCTATCAAGCAAGATGAAAGCCGCACAGTACATCCCTCAGCTCATTGCAAGCCTCTCCCCGAGGCCAGCGATGGAGATACGTCTAACCAGTAAACACACGGTCTTCACGACGGGACAAACAATCGAGGGCGAGCTGACGCTCCCCCGAAGAAACACTACTCAGTATGCCCGTATCTCCGTGGCACTGATCGGTACGAGAATCATATCAGTTGAAGCTCAGGCTCACCAAACTGACAACCCACACAGGAAGAACAACGACAAGCATAATGAATAGCTTGCCCTTCCCCAACTCTGGCAGTACTATGGACGACACCTTTCTCCAAATGCATCACACCGAGACCCTGAAGGCATCACATGATCAACGGATCTTCCCCTTCTCCTTCGTCATCCCTGATGCTCTTCCATTTGACTCGTGCTATGAAAAGATTCCGTCTGGAAACGACCATGTCCAACTTCCACCGAGCGTGGACTACAGCTCGGATAGATGCTGTCCAGAGATGTGTAGCGTCGTCTACTACATTCACGCCGAGGTCGTTATCGGGAACGAACGGCTTCATGCCACACGACAGGTCCAGCTTCTTCCTCTATATCATGAACAGCCCCCTCGTTTCGGGGCGGATGGTGAGGATAACGAGACCCATATGTCCGATTCGACAGCCCTTCGACTGAGTCTATTGAGTGCAAAGATGGGTCGCGTCACGGTGCGTGCGCGAGAAGCAAAGCCGCTTTACCTGCCCCCGGATCAACCACATCACGGATCAACTATAGCTCCTATCCGCCTAGACCTGGCCCTCAGCCGCCTCCATCCTGATCCCGGTTTCCCAGCTGGTTGTCAAGTCAAAGTCACCCTGGAGGCCGTAACGTACTTTACTGCGTTGCCAATGGTCAAGCTGCCAACGTCACAAGGGCAGCTCTTCTCAGCGAGCGTGTGCTCGTGGAAGAACAAGTCCATTGGTCTAACATGGAGGGGGAATAAGGACGATTCCTACAGCTCTAGCATCGTTGTCCCAATCCCCGTACCGAGCGATACATCCGTTATCCCGACCTTCCACCACTGCTATGTGGCCCGAGAATACTTCGCAAAAGTAGAATTGACAGTAGGATATTCACGGGCATTGCGGATAAAAGTCCCAGTGCAGATCTACAACTCCCTCCCAAATTGATCATTGCCAATACCAAATATAACTCCATTACCAATATCAATATTCCTCTCCATCTGTAACCTGTAATACAATATACTAAATACTCTATAGCCGTCCCCTCCCCCCTTCCTCAGTATCTCAAAGATCTAAAAACCCCCCTCCCGAAACGCACTCCTTCCCCTCATCCACCCCCCAAACCTCACAAAAACAAACGGAATAACCGCCATCGGCACACTTAAAAATCCCAAAAGGCTACACCCCCACGCAATCCCCAACCGTCCAAACATCGGCCCCGCCGCCACCGGCAACGCTGCCCCAAACACACTCCGACAGCACGTCGCCGCCGCCATCGCACTCGCCGCGTACTCATGATACGCATCAACCATGTAATTCATCAGCGCAACGAAGATAAGAAAGTACGCCGTGCCGAAGGATATCCCGGCGAGCATAGGCACGATCCAATGGGTCGAGGGTGAGGCAGTCCAGGCGAGCCAGAAGAGGGCAAGGATGTAGAGCAGTCCGCCTAGACAGGCTAGCGGCAGACGTTGGTATTCTTCGACGGTGGACCAGGGTGCGTTGCGTGACTTGGCGCGTTGGAGGTAGGTATCGTAGGAGAGGGAGATGAGGAGGCCGAGGAGGGCACCGAGGGCAACTTTTTTCGGTGGGGGTTAGCTTTGGGGGGATGTATTTGTGGCAGAGAGGGGAGTATATATGTACTTGGGAGGAAGGCGAGGCCTGCGATTCCGTCGGTCATGTTGTATATCCCTTGGAAGATTAGGGGGTAGGCTTCGAAGTACATGACTTTTTGTTTTAGGGTTAGTTAACAGAGCTGGAGTTCTGGTGGAGAGCGGGTGCGTACAGAAGATGGCGCTTGCGTAGGAAAGGTAGAGGCAGGTGAAGGTGATTATCGGTTCGCAGAGCATCATGTACAATGGTCTTGTGAAGGCCTTGACCCGTGTGGACTTCGTTGGTTTCGTGTTCTTGTGCTCGCGGGTTAGTTGGCGTGTTTCTGGGAGGAATAGGACGGGGATCAGGGTTGTGCCGGCGAGGATAAGAGAGATCCAGAAGATCCATCTCCAGCCCAGCGTTCCGATGAAGCCGGCAATTGCGGGGGCGAACTGTGGACCGGCAGTTGTGATCTGAGTGAGGGCTTTCTGTTAGGGCGGGTTCGTGTCTGGGGGTTTGAGGACTCTGGTGCTTACGGCTGTGAGTAGTGCCATGGTTCGTCCGCGGGCAATGGGGGAGCGGTATACGTCTGCGAATAGACCGCCCGTCACGGCAATTGGGGAAGATGCGAAGATGCCGCATAGTGTTCGGAAGATGATCAAGGCCGGCCAGTTGGGAGCAACGGCGCAGGCAAGGGTGAAGATGGTGAAGAGGATGAAGGTTCCGATTATCACGATGCGTCGACCGTAGACTTCGCTCATGGGCCCGAAGGCCAGCGGCCCCATCACATATCCGACTAGAAAGACCGAAGTCGGTAGCACTTGTTGGATCTCATCGTGGACATCAAGGCTCGCGGTAATGAAGCGGATTCCGCCACTGGGGATGGTCGAGTCGAAGACGCTATTGAAGAGCGTGAGGAGTCCGACGAAGACCACAAAGTGCTTCTTTCGCTAAAGAAAGATTGATTAGAACCATCCTTCGTATCTAATACACTCAATAGTAACCTACAGTAGTCCAACCTGGCGGATCGGACAATGCCTCTGAGATGGGCTTCTCCTGTTCCTCTAGATCTAATACTGACCCATCGCTGGAGATCTCTTCACCTCCGTTTCCACTATCCTTGAGCAAAATGGCCATTGTCTTTCCACACGGCGATATTGTGGTGGGTATGTTGAGGGAAGACGTACACAACGTCTCCCATTTTCACGGTATTTACTATTTTCACTTCGTGCAGCTCGATAGGCCTTGGGGTATAAGTACTCCAGTGTAGTCACCGAGTTAGGTGGGAAGATGATAGTTCGGCTCCACCGTGATGGCAACTCATGGCGAGCTTCAGATTACGCCAAGCCCTGCCGCATTATCAGTGCTCGATATATTTCATCTCTATGACCTCAGTGCACTGTGCAGTGGGCAGTGTATGTTTTAAATATCCGGAGCGTGTCGTGTGTCTGCCTACTTTAACCTGACTTACGCAACAGTCTCCAACAACCTCTATCAACGCTTTACTTCGTATGAAGGCAAGGTAAGACGCTTAAGGAAAGTGACACAGCATCTGTAATAAAAGCACGGTAGCACAAAGGCAAAAAGAAAAAAGAGTCAAACATAGATCTGAGGGGGCCTATGGCAGGTGTCACACCATCGTAGCTCTTTTGTAACAATCCTCCGATTTGCCCGGGGAAAGATGCAGTCAGGTTGTCAAGATACGTTAAACTCCAGATCGCCAACATAAATCTCAATGCTTACTAGTGGTCCCTCAGGGTCTCTGACAAGCCTCCCAAAGTTAGGAGTCGTTGCGGTTCCCTGGTATTAACTTTTGCCTCACCTGTTTTTTTTCAGGTTGTGCCTGTTATATCATTCAGCAGCCATGATTCGGCACCCATTTCTTGTTGTCCAGGACATGATGAATCCACAGCTATGTTATGCTTCCAACTTCCCATAGCATCAGCACTGGCCGACTTATTGCTTCGTATTTTCTTCAACACACCAGGGCCTTGTCTCACTTCGACGCCTTGCTCCTTTATTGGTTCAATCACTGTACCTTCATTAAACCACAAACCCTGGTCGCCTAGTATGACATGATGGCCTTGTGCTAGCCTCTACAATGAATCGCAATTCCCGTCTTGAGAAATCCAAGGTGGCATTGATCCTACTGTACCAGGTCCTATGTATGCAAGGCGACTACATATGAAAAGCATAGCAAAACCTAGATCAAAAGCGTTGAGTCAGAATGCTGAGTTTCCGGGGTGTCCAAGGAAGTATATCTAAATAAAGCCGCATTTAGGACATATGACTTCACGACTTTTCTCCTACTAGTAAGTATGATTCCCAAATCCCAATGGTTTCCATGTATATGCGTAAGCTTACGAATTCCAAAGATCCACGGTGGGAATACAACGTAACACAGCGGGATTTCATATGATGTGAAGCTTTGGTGATACGCCTTGCCAACGCCCAGTTGGAAGTCTGGGATACCTACTGGACAATATAAGTATTTCCACATGTTCAGACAGATGACTTGTCAGTTCAAATCCTTTCTCGTTCCACCACTCCAGTCCTGTGCAAGTGACCTTTGCTCTCGCCATTGAACTTCAGCAAAAATGGCTATCCAACACATGAATCCAGAAGCCCGCGCTGTGATTGCTGAGCTCATTCGGCTCAGGGAAGGTTTCATCCAAAACCGTCTGATATTTGTTAAGAGTGACCGGATGATCCCTATACTTAAGGTCCTGGGGGCTACGGACGAGGACTTGGAAAATATGAAAACCGTGAGTGATAGTTTGTGTGATGATCCGACTCTCCCCTTCCGGAGAAGCAAGAACGGTCGGTTCTACTTCGACTTCGAGCAGTCCAAGCTCCGTCGCCTTGAGTTTCAGCCCTTTGCCCTGTCAGTGGAAGAGGATTTCGTACGTCATGATTCAGGAAAGATTCGTGAATTCGAAGAGGTCGATGGGAATCTACAAGGAAACACTGCCCTGCACGCTTTATTTATATTCAAGGCATTGATGTTCCACGGGATGTCCTTCAAGCAACGGCCCAAGCTTGACTACAGAACCGACAACTTCATTTGCACCCTATTCAACCTTCGAACAGTCACGAATAAGGACTTAGTCGGGGAGCCCGCTCTAGAAGGAGTCCACAGCGACGGGGTGGACTTCACCATGACCACCTATTTGGGCAGCGAGAATATGACGCGCGACAGCGCTGTGACATTCATTCATGACATTCGCGAGCAGAATGCCTTGCGCTGGAATGAGACCCATCCCGAATACAATCTCGGTAGCCATCAACATCGCGACTTCCTTGACACTTTGCTCTTTGTTGACCACGAGAGAAAGCACAGCCTATCGCCTGTGTATGCTGCTGATCCGGAGCGCTCTGCGACGAGAGACATGCTTATTTTCTTCACCCGCAAGCCGGTAGTGGAAGGGCATATTTCACATCCATATGATTCCCTTCAACCCCATCTATCGCTTCCCTTAGAGGTCCCATTAGTCTAACAACCCAACTTTTATTTGGTGTTGTATTGTGAACAGTACTTATGTTCGGGCTATTCCTCTTCTTATCACCTAAGATTAGAATCGTTTTACCCACCAGTGTATTCCTACACTACCAAGCTTGTTAGTCTCATTGAGTCTTGTGCCTTCCCTTCTCGTGGCTCCTGCATAGTGAGTTAATCTAGTGCGCCGTAAACAGAGCCCTAATTTGTAAGTGTCCTACATCACCCTAGTAGATGCTAGGCATAATTCCAGTATATATGTCAATTAACAGATAGCATAATAATTCCAACTGAATAGGGTGGACAATTTGCCCTTCCGTAAGCCCAAACGCCCCTGCAATGAGCGAGAGCATTCAAATAAACTTCTATAAAGTATAGCCCTGGAGCAAAGAAAACGTTGAATGGGTTTGAGGTACGTCTAAAGTAGCTATTAAACATTATTACGTGCCAGAACGGCGTATAATAAACCAAATCCTCACAATTCCTCCACATTGATCTGAAGTTTCCTATCTTTCCTAAACTAGTCATGAGCCATCAATATCATAAAAAGTCCGTACTGCCATATCCTATACAAAGGGCTTGTACCATCTTCCGTCACTTGGCACAGTTGAGTTCTATATCCTGAGACTTCTTCGAGGCTCCCTTCCGCATCTTATCAACAGCACGACACGACCAAACAAAATACCCGAAATGAATAATGCTATTCTACCATCAGCACAAGGACTGGGGACAGACAGAGCAAACCTACAGAGCAATAAAAGCCATAGCTGTACCGAAATGCTCGATATCGGCAACAGCCTTTCCATTACAGTTCGGCCTGCCATTGACGCCGCAACTATATCCGTCTCGGGTATAGTATGGGTTCATGAGCAAAAGGTATAAGGTCATAGAGATAACCAGCGCGGCCCACGCGAGGAGATCGAAGGTAACATAGATGGCTGGGTGGATGGGGACGGAAAGAGACAATTCAACGGAGGCTATTATCAGCGACCAGACAAAGGTATACTCGGTCTGGGGGTTTAACATCAGCAACTTCCCTGCTTAAGATATAGAGATATGGAGTCGTTAGATACTAACCGCTCCGGTGACGGGGCTGACCATCGAATTGCCCGCATCTTCCACTATTACCATGTCGCTGTCGAACATCGTTTGGGACCATCCGAACGCAATCAGCGCGGCGAGGGAGCTTATGGCCGCGACGGATCGTAGGAAAATCGAAGTACGCTGTGTGCACCACTTGTATGTGGCGGGAGATGCCATGGTTGCTATTTAACGGGCTATTCTTGTTGATTTGTCGAGTAAGTGTTGTCATCAGAAATAAGTTGACATTGCAGGATATGATTCTGAGACTCCTTGTGTTGTTCAAATAGATCTTTTGTGTTGTCGATCCTTTACGGATAGCATCAGCCAAGCCTAAGATACGAGGCAGAGCCACATGCCCACGGTGTAGATCACCACTCATATAGGGAAAATCCTAGGTGTGCACAGCCTACTGTGTTGCTTTTAGGGCCCCAGAATAGACCCAATTGTCTGAAATCTTTTTCGTTGGCTTTTTGTCCTGCCTACCATCGTGGGTCTCACATATACTTGATACCTATGAATCAAGGGCCTGAATATCAAACAATAATATATTTCTTAGTGGGTCAATAAACCGGAGGTCAGTCAATCTCTATCATATGCTTGAGCATGAGAGGCTACTACCCTAGTCAATGCCATAGTGGCATAAGACCTAGCATCATGTTAGCACCTGTTGTATACTTTGCGCACTATAATTCTCATCTAACAAAATATTTAGCAATAGAGCTGCGGGTGTGAAAAATAGGGCTTTCCGTTCGCCTAGCTGTGCTGGTATCTAAGCTTTACTGCGTGGTTATCAAGTGGTTGAATAACTAATGATACATACATCCCAATGGTATGCAGTTCACACTGTTATCCCGGTATATATTTCTTGAGGCTAAACACCATTTTTTTGTTAGATAATGTCAGAGCCTATGGGAGCCTAAGGCAGTAACCACGTGACCTGACCACAGCACCAAAGGAATCTCTGTATGATAGATTTAGACCTTAGGACAATCAATCCCATACACGTGAGCTATACCAGCTCCATTAGATAACACGTTGAAATCTTCTCATAGCTTCCCAACATTAGTCTTATATGTCTTTCTGGCATTTATTATTGATCCCTGTTTAAAGATAGTTATTTGTAGTTCTTGCAGCTATACAATATTACGATAATTCAATGGAGTCATAACAGTCAATCAAGACTGTCCAATAGGATTCACTACAATTACCCTTAAGGTTCCACTAAACAGTCTACGCCAACCCCGAATAAGAAGGAGAGGCAGGTGATGGCGAGGGAACCTAAAGGACAACGGTTATCTAAACCAACATCATACCTCGCTAACACATCCCTTTCTTCATCATGTCCTTGATAATTTAGACACCATGGGGTCTGGTCCTCCCAGCCGGAAGCGACGGCGGGAATTTACGGTGAGCTCTATGTCTATGGGATGACTACAATATCACCCCCGCTGATAGCTGCGCCGATAGGGCTGTTGGAGATGCCGTGCGCGCAAAGTGAAGTGCGACCAAAAATCACCGTGCTCGGCATGCCAACGCCTAGGCCTAGAGTGTGATAGCTCTAGTGCCCGACTCGTGTGGATCAACGGGAATGACTCCTACCGATCCACTGGTCGGCGGGATATGCACTGTGGTATGTCGCATCTTTTAGGCTTCTGTCAAGTGTGTCTCACCAGTGAACTAGAGCGTACATGGGCGAATCATAGCATCCTAAAATCAGATGTGGTTGATCTTCTGATCGAGAGATGTGACAGCGATATATCAGCTGAAAAGCAATGGCCTGGGACAGTCGATCACAATCCGTTTTCTGTCTTCTCAGTGCTGCCCTCCACATCGCTAATATCCTGTATAAATCAGGTTATGGCAAGTGGCGGTACGGACACTGCTCATGCAAATAGCGAGGATAGCTTCATTTTCCACCATTACGTCCACTACGTCGCATCAGTCATGATGCCATTTGAACATCCCTGCAACCCATGGAAGAAGTACTATCCCGCAGTCTCGTTACAATACATCTTACCCGAACAGAAATCCTTGTATCATGCTCTATTATCTCATGCTGCCTTTAACCTTGCTCACTTGGGGTTCGACAAAACCAGGATGTTGCGTCTAGCTACCAGGAACTACAACATATCTATTCAGCACTTGAACAACAGCATCCAGACTCTAGGAAGCGACTACAGCGGCACACTAGCTGCAATTCTAACACTCATGATGGCAGAAGTATGTGATATATTCCCTGCTGAGCCTAATGAAACTAATAACCCGCCGTTCAGGTCTACAGTGGGCAATCCAGTAATTGGAAACACCACCTACAGGGAGCCTGGGCTTTTCTCCTGGATTCTATGAATACGGAGCCGTGGAATGAGTCACAATTCGCCTGCTTTTCTACCCAAAGTCTACTTATTGTTCGAATTATCAGCGGCACATGCGCAAATGGCAGTAACACCTCTACCCTGATGCTCACTCCCGACTTACAATCGGCCTGTACTGTTCCTGAAATGATCACTCCATCAGAGCCAGCTGAAATCAATCTGATTCCTTCAACATCAAATTCCGAACTCGCTTTCGCGACCTCCATTCTGTCTACTCCGCAATTCGGATTCACAATTGGAGCCCAGAGGTCTCTCCTCGAATGCATTTCCGCCATCACCACCGTCAGCCAGCAGATGGCATCTGGTGCATTTGACACCACCCCATTTGTCATCGACAGCATTATCTCACGGATCATAGCCCGCCTAGAGCTCCACCGAGAACAAACCAACGAAGTCTCCCCACTCTATGAAATTACTCCAGCGTTCAAAGAGATCGACCGTCCCGGTAATCAAGTACAGGACCTAGCACGGTACCAGCTCAACGCATTCCTCTACGCGACGTACATCTATCTGTACCGAGCGCTATTGGATGTTCCGCCGAGGCGTGTCACTACTTACGTAACACTGACCTTCCAAAATATTGCAGCCTTCTATGCCCAGAGCAGCGGGAACCTGTCTCTATGGCCAGCTTTTATCGCGGCGGTAGAAGCGTATACAGAGCCAGATATGGTGTCGGCGCAGATGTGGCTGGAGCATTCGGGACAGTTTGGACTAGGGAATAGACTAGAGGTTAAGCGGATTATTGAGGAGGTGTGGCGAAGGAGGGAGGAGGCACATATAGGGAGGGCAATAGACAAAGGTCGTATAGCAGTTGATTGGAGGGAAGTAGCGGGTGATCTCGGGATTGATATTTTGCTAGTTTAACAGCGATATGAACGAATTTTATTTAGCTTCGCAGTATCTTTGTATGAAGGAATGGGCCGTATGACCATGACAATCTAATGATCAAAGTCTAGCAAGATGATCTGTAAACCGCTTCCCACCGTCTGCGGTCAGCAAGTTCTTCTCCACCTTACCAGTCGGCGTTCTTTTCATCTCGGTCACGATCTCAATCACTGTAGGTACACGCTGCCGACCCATATGCTGCCTCGACCATTGCCACAACGCCTCCTCATCTACTCCACTACCATCCCGCAACTTAACCGCCACCTTGAGATCGTCCTCCGTCCCCAGACCCAGACTGCTCGGGATCGCAAACGCAGCGACAATCTCAACATCAGGATGTTGAAGAAACTCCTCCTCAACTTCAGTGGCGTTGATATTCTCCCCCCGTCGTCGTATGATATCCTTCATCCGGCCGAGAAAATACACGTTCCCCTGTTCATCCACCTTGGCTATATCCCCCGTGTGCAGCCACATATTGGCATAGACCTTCATTGTACTAACGGAGTCATTATAATAACCCTGAAAAAACGCGTTGGGGTTATCGCACCGCAGCAATAACTGCCCCGGCGTATTAGGCGGCAGAGACTCATCTTCCGAGTTCGCGATGCGCAACTGATACCCAGGACGCAGGACACCACAGGAGCCCGGAACCAGGTGACCCTGCTGCACGATAGGGATGCTTGCCTCAACACTACCGTACAATGTATGTAAGGGATGTCCAAAGCGGCGCTCGTAGTCCTCCGCGAATGCGGGGATCGGGACGCCCCAGGCGAGACGGACTCGGTGATCGCGGTCCCCCGGGCTCGGTGGTTGCTTGTAGATTAGGGCGAGGGTGGCGCCCATGAAATCGTAGACTGTTGCTTGGGTTTCGCGGATCTCGTCCCAGAAGCTGGTTGCGGTGAATCGTGGGGAGAGCGCTGCTGTGGCTCCTAGGAGGAGTGCGGGTATGACCGTGAGTGCGGTTGCGTCGGCGTGGAAGAGGGGGAAGGGGCAGTAGAGGACGTCGTTGGGGCGGAGGTTGTAGCTTTCGATAAGGTTTGTGGCTTGGATTATGAAGTATTCGTGGGAGAGGATGCATGGTTTGGATTTGCCTGTCGTGCCGCTTGTGTAAAGGAATGCGGAGGTGGTGGCTGGTGTTGCTGTGAAAGCTTCATAGAGGGGGGGCTCCTGATTATAGAGCTTTGATAAGTCGTGGTCGTTGCTGCTTCCTCGGATCCATAGCTTGTGGTGTGTGGATGCGTCGGTTGCTTGTATCAGATGGACGAATTCGCGGTCTATGATCGCTACCGTTGCGTCTGCGACAGAGACGGCATGGTTTAATGTTGTCAACCGCCAGTCTGTGTTGATGGGCACCCATACGGCGCCGAGGCGGTTTGTGGCCATCCATGTATGCACCATCTCTACGCTGTTTCTCATCATAACCAGAACTCGATCACCGGCTTGTACACCAAGGCCTCGAAGCCCACCAGATAGAGCGGCCACACTCCGGTCAAAATCGAGGAATGTGATATCCTGGCCCTGACACCGCAGAAACACCCTATTGGGAGACTCTTCAATGGCCATCCTAAGCGCGGTATTGATATCTCGGACCTGATGATGAACACGCCTCCTACCAGTGAAGTTCTTAAACGCATCAGCAGCTTCTATCCTTGAAAAACAGTAACTAGCGGCGTTAATCTCCTCATGTAGCGCAACCTCCATGTTCGGGAATACCGCTCTCTCCAACGACATTTTAAGACTGGAAGAAGCCGCCCTCGGCAGAGTCGCCAGCTCCAATGCCAACTGCTCAGCTCGAGCCTTCGGATCCTGCGCTATCTCACTGACAAGGCCTATAGACAACGCCTCCTGTACCTCGACAGTCCGACCGAGAATCAGAAGTTCCTTGGCCTTGAGCAAGCCCACCTTATGGGACAGTCTCAGAGATATACCCCCGGTCACCGCATGGCCGAGCGTCACTTCAGGGAACCTGAACTTGGCACCGGGGCCTGCTATGACGAAGTCGGCGGCGAGGGCGATTTCTGCGCCTCCGCCTACTGCATAGCCTTGTACTGCGGCTACTACGATCGCGGACGAGGACGAGGTAAGTCGGGTGATGTTTTGGAGGTGGTTGAACGCGACGCGAAGTTCCTCTGAGGATCTGGTTTTTGGAGCTAGGGTTTCTTTAAGATCTTCCCCTGCACAGAATGATAGATTGCCAGCGCCTTCGAGAAGCATGATGTGTGTGTTTGCGTGGCTTCGTAGAGCGTTGGTTAATTCGATGAGAAGGGTTTGGTTTATTGCGTTGAGACGCTCAGGTCGGTTGAGGGTGATTTTAACGATATTTGGTGATGGATGCGAGACAATGATGGTTTTGAAGGACATCGTAACTTGAAAAGAATCCTGATTAATTAAAGCGATAGAATTGTCGTAGGATATCCCACTCTCCGTGGGTGTCTTTTATATTGGTTCGGACCTGGAATTCGCGGGGAGTGCCCAGACAAATATAGGGCAACTCATAGCGAGACGCATGTACGAGGTCTGATCGATCGTCAATCGTACCTAATTTCACGAAACATCAGCGGCTGGAACTACCATTCAATTTTACTGTTGGGTCTTACTCTTCCCTGTTGTTCAATTCATACAGTGAGCTGGGATTCTGCCGGTATAGGCCTAGCTGTGGCACACTGTCCACCCTGGGCAACCCTCTTCTAGGTCAGATAGCTATGATAAATAGACACGTAAAGCAAAAATATATTGGGTAATCGAATTTTGCTTGCCAGGGTTGAATCACTATCAAGTAAGCCGCGATTTAACTAGGGGTCCACAATTCGATGTAGATGCCATCTGGAGAGGCAGATACCAAGCGCCTGTCTGACCTATATGATACGATGGCAATATATACACTAAACCACATTGATCGTAGCTATAGAAACTTGATACACAACATCGATATACATAAATTCTAAGCAGAATTGAAATTAGCTGTCCAAGTACTTACTATCCTGCAATCTGAAGATATCCCCTTGAATTACAATGTGAAGTCGCAGAGGGGAAAAGGAGACTTGGATCAGGAATTGAACCTTGCAGGACTGCAATTGATTTCAGATGATTTCTCAGCAACTGTCAGCATATATGATGTCCTTCGTCCTGAAGATAGTAATTCATTCCCAACGGGATTTGAAGGCCTGGAACTTTGAATGACGAAGCCCTACACACCCTCTTTCAAAGACGGGGAGAAGACTCGAAAAGCACCAACTTTTCGCGAGGTTAAGCCCAGAGAAACTGCTCAGTGGCCCATTCACTGTCCCCAGGGAACAAGACAGCAATTCGAATATTATCCCCAACGTGAGGGTACCCCTTTGGGGGCCCCAGAAGCCTAACGCCTCGCCGGATTGGCAGCTCCCCCGATGATGCTAACGGCGCTTCAAATTTCAGGACGGGAGACGATAAAATATCGCTTATCAGCCCATGTCGCAGATGCAAACATGCGATTATCTGCGGAATGCTAGCTATGAGTCCTTCCTTGAAATAACTGTCGCTGGCAGATGTGACGTTGAGAGCATATCTCCATCCTCCCCCTATACTTGTCCACGGCTCTTTGCTAGACACGCTGGCTAGTCGTGGGCGTGGTAATTCCCCACGCATAGTACATTTAAGAGAAAAACCTTTGCGATGGATCTCATATCGATTCATTTTGATACCTTGCCGTAGGACGCGGCATATCTGTCTTGGAATTTCCTTGATATACGCCACAAGCTCAAGCCCAGTAATGAGTGAACTGTCCTCAAAGGATGCTCGGAACAGTGCCACGGTACCGGTAAACTCTTCACTATGCGTAACCACCGTAAGGTATTCGCTGTGGCCACCTTTGTACTTGTCAAGGCTGAGAAGCTCACTTTCATACATTTGTACCAAATCAGTATCTGAACTAGAGGGAGAATTCGGATCGGGCTTGAGAAGCGATTCGGATATATGGATTGATCGATCTTCGCTGCTTCTCCACATACTCATCCATTCGTAGTCGGTGAAGGACTTTAACAGGGCTGGTACCCCCTTGGTAGTGAGCCCTCCGCCAGATCCCAAGACTTGCGCGTTGGCTCCAAACTCGACATTTTCAAATACAATATCCAAATGCTTTTTTGTTTCAGCAACAAATTTGCCCTGCGGGGTAAGTGGATACACGCGGAGCTTTTTCCATCCTGGAAACAAGCTCTGGCTACTGGGCGCTGAAGAGACCCATGAGGGCTCGGAAGAAGATGTCAAAAGAGTCAATTGGCCTTCGAATATCTTCGATAGGAGCTCACGTTCCAGGAGGGTCCGGCGTGTTGGCCCAACAAATGAAGGTGGAATCGTGTCAGGGACTGTAGGCACAAGTGCAAGGTTCATAATCGAAGCATTGTTTGGCTCTTCCAGTTGAATATGGGTTGGACGTGTAAGGTTGTTGAGAGATCTGTCCGTTTCTTTTGCAAAGTTTGGATGGGACAGTTTCGGTCTATCATGGGGAACAAACAGTCTTCGAAGCTTTTGAAATGCAGCTGATATCCGTCTGGTTGCTTTAGCTTTGGGCTTAGTTGGTGGAACATTGCCTAGTTGCACAACTTCGGTAACCCGACTAGCCCGATTCCTACGTTTAACGGGCACTTTGAAGTTCCTCGCCATTAGTGGCGCTGTCTTAAGTGAGGTATCGGACAAGCCCACTCTCACATCCTTCCTTACTGTATGTGCCACGGCCATCACTTCCTCATTCACTTCTTCCAAGATACTATACTCGTTTGAAACGCATGATATAGGCGAGCTAGGCACCGAGGGTATTGGCACTGGTTCAAGAGAAGGCTTCGAGGGATTAGAAGATTCACAGTTTTTCTTTTTTTTACCGGATAGAGAGTCATCACTTTTTAGCTCAAAACGACTTCTTTCTACTCTCCGGTGAAAGTTCTCTTCTGCGGAGAGAATAGACTTGTCGTCTGTTATTTCCGCAACAAGAGGTCTGTCGACGACCCCAGACAGCCCATCGTCGATCGAGGCTTCAGTGTCAGGAGTTGTCTGCTCTTGATACGAGGACGATGCTGCTTTGATATATGGAGGATGAAGAACCCGGCCTTCAGAGGTATGAGGGCGAGATAAAGGCAGGGGTGGGAGGCTATCCAGATTGCGTTCAGACCAGCTTTCGTCTTCCATTCCATCTAAAGAGCCCTCCACAGAAGGAAGGGAGCCTATTATTGGAGAAGGATGGAGTTCTAAATCTGTACTTGGTTCCCTGAGAAACGAAACAGGAGAATCAAACTCGCCCTTTTGCTTTTCCTTTCGGGGTAAATGAGTGAGTGTAGGTGAGCCGTCGCCATCTGTGTCTGACTCGTCGTAATAATTGGTTTCAAATAATTCTAAAAGCTTCGTGGCCTTGCGTGAAGTGCTCTCTTTTGACTGAAACCAGTCAGCGGTTCCATGAGGGTTGAAGGATGCGAAGGCCTCCTTTGAGCTGGGCAGGCTCTCATAATCGGATATGGTCTTGTCGTCCATTCTCGAATCAGACTGTCACGCAGAATCTTCATGAGGAGCTAGTGCCAAATCACTTGTTTGAGCGAAGAAGTGGGCAAGAAGGATCTTATGGTGGGGTCGAAAATTAAGTGGTAGTTTTCACGGGGCTGATGAAAAGTGACGAAGTATCCAGTCAACCTAAGCCATCTTCTATATTCTGATAGGTAAAGCTGTCTGGGATCATTCTACTAACGAGTCCCTCAAGCTTGCATAAGCACAGCCTTCCATCTACCCTCCTCGGTAAGTGTGATTGGGCGTTGTTCGTAGAGATGCTCCATTAGTGTTGCCGATCAACATCTTCTTTTTCATTCCGTTAATATAGTACTTAGCGGCTGAAAGCATAGCTGCACAAGATCCTCTCAAGGAAGACGTCAAGGTTTGAATGAAAAAGCATAGTCCTCACGAAATCGTTGATGCTGGTCGTTAGTGATTTTTGGAATCGAATAGGACAAGCCCGAGCAAACACCAGACATTCAAAAGTAATGAGAGATATCAATATAGGGCTGCCGTACAACTCCTGCCTGGGGTTTTAAAGTTAAGATCAATTGCCACGGCGGTACGCCACTCGACCACGCACCTCCGTTTCAGCCAAGTTGGGATGGGTCTGGAGAACGGAAGTAAACAACAACACCATCCAGACCTCAGCTGAAGCTTACCAACCATGGCTGACGCTCAATTTGACAGTGCGCTGTAAGTATGCCTTGTCCATGAATCCACAAATCTAAAACCTGCATTCTATACCGCTCCCAACCAAGGATTCTCAGCCCAACCCCCATACCCCACCTCAAGCCGGGGAGCTGACCGTAATTGCAACCAGCGACCTTCTGCGGCGTTTGAACCCCCGCGACACAAAGCAAAACCTTCAAGCGATTACGTCTATCGTTCCAGACCTAACCGAAGATCTCCTATCTTCCGTGGATCAGCCCCTCGAGATCCGACGCTGCCCAAAGACCAACCGTGACTACCTACTCTGCGATTACAACCGTGACGGTGACAGCTACCGATCTCCTTGGAGTAACGAATTTGATCCTCCCCTGGACGATGGCACTGTTCCCAGTGAGAGGGTGAGAAAGCTCGAAGTGGCGGCTAATGAGGCTTTCGACGTCTACCGGGAGCTGTACTATGAGGGGGGTGTAGGCAGCGTCTACTTCTGGGATTTGGATGATGGATTTGCCGGTGTCATACTGTTGAAGAAGGGTGGGTGATCAATTCTGCGCCTGGATGAACCGAGCGGAACTATGAGGAGAGGCCTTGTGCTGATATGTCTCAGGGGTAACACCGGGTGCGAAGAGCTCAGGAGAATGGGACAGCATCCATGTATTTGAAGCTACTGATCGGGCTCGCATGTCCCACTACAAGCTTACCAGCACTGTTATCCTTCACCTGGCCAACGAGACTGAATCCCTAGGAGAGATGGACCTGAGCGGTAACATGACTCGACAGGTGGAGGTAGACTTGCCTGTCGAGTCCGATGCGAGCCACGTCGCTAATGTCGGTCGTCTCGTTGAGGACATGGAGTTGAAGATGAGAAATTTGCTGCGTATGTCTTCTGGTTTTTGACTTGCGATGCCTGCCATGGGACCCCCCACTAACTCCGTATACAGAGGAGGTCTACTTTGGCAAAGCCAAGGATGTCGTGGGCGAACTCCGGAGTAAGTTTCCCTTATCTAGAGGATCGCAATTATGTACTAAGTGTTGCAGGTCTGGCCTCCTTGTCGGAAGCAAGCAAAGACCGCGCTACCCAGCGAGAGATGATTATGTCCATGCACAGGTAGTCACTGGTGACTGCTCTAGCTGCCTAGCTACCGTGGTGGTCACAGTAGCGATACCTTGTGTATCTTCGACTTTTGCGTCTTCCAACATTGCACTTATAGCTTATTGTATGTAGATTCGAGATAAGGTTCCTGGAGATCTAGCACTCATTATTTGGATATTTCTCGCTCATTAAGAGTAGCCAGCTTGTAGTCAACGTATATACACGCGCCCGAAATTCTTTGGCCGAAGGTGATTTTATTTTCTACGCAAAAAACCCTTGATAATGGTCAAATCTTTCATTCAATGGCTCTGGGTATCATAAATTCCTTGACTCGAGGCGAGCTTTCAGCAAGACAGTTAAAAAGAAAGTTGAACGGTGAGAATCAGACATAACCTCCCCAGATAGACTGCTGCGCATAGAGTGAAGGTGGCAAAGGAAGCTAGCATATCGCAGCGTCCATTTTTTCTTATCATAGGAGTCATCCGTCACCTTGTAAAGAGAAAAAAGAGTCGAACTAAGTGGTCAATCAACCTCCATGCCTTCATGACTACTCTCCCCCTTCATCCCAGGATTGCTGATCTGCTCCACAAATCCTCTTGCAGCAGCCCATAGCTCCGCCTCCTTGTCCTTGCCTACAGTATCCTTTCGGCTGTTAAGCCAACTGACATCCAACGGGTTCGCCGCCCCCGCCGCTCCCCCACTCGCGCCAGGCAGATCGCCTGTCCGGGAAGTAGCGTCCGGCGCAAGTATAGAAGCCTCTTCTAAGGCATAGACCTGACGGCGTAGTCGCACGTCAATGGACGACAAGAGAGCAAAGTACTGAGAGGTAGCTTCTTTGAACCGGGCTTTGTGGGAATCGAGGGTGTTGTCACCTGGCGAGTCGCCCGATCTGGCGTTGGTGAGGGCTTGGATCGCGAGGCCAGCAGAGTGAATTAGTCTTGCCACGTCCTGTAGTTGTGAAGCATGAGTGAGCAATTGGGCCTTTTACGACGGTCTAGCCACTTGTCGTTCGAAGCACCGATTCTCCGCTCGGTTGTCGATGCACCTCTTACCTTGTCCACTTCATTCAATTGGCGTATCCTATCCGCCGGTGTAAAAATTGGATCTGGTTTCCCGGATCCTTTACTATCCGCCATTGTTGCGTTTGCGTATGATCTAGGGACAGAAATCCGGTCGCAAAGGTAATACCCCCCGTCTAGAACCTCAGACATGAAGATGCGAAGGCTCTCGTCACGTGTGGACTGGGGAACATTAAAAATCGGATTATATAAGCTGGTGGATGCCACCGCTAATCCTAATTACGCATAGCGCAATATCAGAACGTGACGCCGCAAAAGCTCCCGTTTACTTGCACCTTCCCCATCCCTCTGCTCACTATCTTCCCATCTTCGCCCCTCGGGTTAGGCATCCGTCGCCTTTCTGAACGAAATATCCTAGGGCTATGTCTGCACCAGGTGGGGCCCCGAGCCCTGTGCCGCGAAGTGGAAGCATGGGACCCGGTGGAATGTCAATGCCTCAGCAGTCGATGGGTGGTGCTACGACCCCAGTTGCGCCGACGCCGGGTCCCCCTCCACCTCCTCCAAGTGGAGCGATGTCGCAGCAGAATTTGAATCAGATAGTAAGTAGTTGCTATATCATTATACTTGAATGTTCAGTGATGTGTTACGTGGTATATGGCTCTCCACAGTCCGTAAATCATAGATGTGGAGCTTTCTATACCATTTGTGTTATAATCGTTTCATTTCAAGTTGCACATTCTTTTTCCGTTACCCTTGCGCCGAGTTGGGGTCATATATATGGCAATCTGTCTTGCCCCTGTACATAGGATTTAAATTAGTTCTGTGCTTAATTTTGCCCTTGTGGTTACTATTTGAAGGACAGCTTCCCACATACCTCTGCTGCCACTCCTATGCTGACATTCTTCGTCTTAGGTCATCGACTACCTGGCCAAGAAAGGCTATAGCCGTACTGAGGCCATGCTCCGCATGGAATCAGCTAATCAGGAAATCGATGGACGTCCTTTACCTCCCCTTGGAGAAGATGCACGTCCCAAGTATAGGCTTGGTTTCGGTCAGCTAGATATCTTATGCTAGACTTAGTACAAAGTAACTAACGTGATTACAGATCTGCTCAAGGTCTGGGTTGAAGACAACCTGGATTTATATAAGGTATGCTTACTGTTCATACGAAGTGAAGACTACTTCTGACCCTCGGCAGCCGGAGCTTAGACGCGTTCTTTGGCCGCTCTTTGTCTACTCTTTTCTCAACATGGTCACCTCTTTTTATCCTCAAGATGCGAAGCAGTTTTTTGACGTTAACAAGAACCTCTTCCTGCCCGAACACACTGAAGATGTGCGCGCCTTAGAGCCAATCGCTCTACCAGAGCATGTCCAGAACAGCTCGACGGCTAAACTGTACCGCGGAAACAAATACCGCATTGTTCTTAGCAATCCAGCATTCTCAAACCTGATGCAATTCCTCGAGAGCAAGCAAAAGGAAGGCGGCTCTGTCATGTCGGCCATTCTCAGCAGCTACTGCACTGTTATTACTAAGGAGCGTGCCGTCGATGACAGATTTAGCTTCGCTGCCATGCTGGGTCAAGCCGGCGCGGGCCAGACGTTTCCTACCGAAGACGAAGGTATACCTGGTCACCATCCTGGTTCTGCCTATACAGGAGATAATCCGGCTATGGCCGGAACCTTGCCTAGGCTCAGGCTTGGAAAGCTTCCGATGGAACAGAACCTCGAAACCGACGTCAGAGGCGAGCTTGCCGACGAAGATGTTAAGAACCCACCGGCCCCGGGTCAGAATACTCTCGTCCAGGAATTTGATCATATGATTAAAAAGGAGGATGAGGACGAAGCCCCAACTCGCGCTGACATTCCTTATCCGCCATCAACAGCTCGTGACGTGGCGATGGAGGTTCAGAAAGTCAAAGAGAACCGCGATAGATTTCGGATAGAAGGAAGAACCGGTGGTGTTGGACCAGCTGTCAGCGTTTGCATGTTTACGTTCCACAATACTTATGACGGGTGAGCTACCTGGGTCGGATCTTGGACTTCAATGGCTAATCGTTCTCAGGATTAATTGCCTCGACTTTTCGGATGACAATATGCTCGTTGCAGCTGGCATGCAAGAGTCTTATATTCGTGTCTGGAGCCTAGACGGAAAGAGGATTCCATCAACCTATGAGAGTATAGATGATGCACCGTCAAATTCTCGCCGCCTTATTGGACACTCCGGGCCGGTGTATGCTGTAGCATTCGCTCCGTCCACCACACGCACGGATAACGCCATAGCACCAACAAATGTTCGCTGGCTTCTTTCGTCTTCGGCAGACAAGACCATTAGGCTTTGGTCTTTGGATCTATGGCAGTGCATGGTCGTGTATAAGGGACATGACGAACCCGTCTGGGATCTTCAGTGGGGCCCCTATGGCCACTATTTTGCCTCCGGAGGCCATGATAAAACTGCTCGTCTCTGGGTTACGGACCATATCCGTCAGCAACGTATCTTCGTGGGACATGACCAAGATGTGGACTGCATCTGCTTCCACCCGAACTCTGCCTACATCTTTACTGGTAGCTCAGACCATACGGTACGCATGTGGGCTGTGACTACGGGTAATGCAGTTCGTATGTTCACCGGTCACACCGGTAACATTACAGCCCTTGCATGTAGCCGAGATGGGAAGCTTCTCGCGTCCGCAGATGATCATGGATCTATTCTTCTGTGGGATCTCGCACCCGGGAGACTGCTGAAGCGCATGCGTGGTCACGGAAAGGGCGGAATCTGGTCTCTAAGCTGGAGCGTGGAGTCCACTGTCCTGGTGTCCGGTGGCGCTGATGGAACAGTCCGCGTGTGGGATGTCACTGGCCCCGCCCACGAGTCCACGCAAGGACGTGTGGTTGGCGAGGGTGGTGCAGGAACTAAGGTCGATGGAGGTAGTGCTCCAACCGCCGGCACACAAGCTTCAAGCTCCGTTGCTCCCAAGAAGAAAGGTAAAGATGTGGTAGTCACACCGGACCAAATCAGCGCCTTCCCGACCAAGAAGAGCCCCGTCTACAAAGTGAAATTCACCAACATGAATCTGATCATTGCTGGAGGCGCTTATCTCCCTTAACTGTTATGCAAAGCGGCGCCCGATACCCGGTTTTTCTTTTCTTGTTTTATCCCCTTCTATTGTTAAAACTTATCCACGGTTTACGGCATTATTTCGGAACATATTTATGGTCACATGCATTTGGTGGCTGGAATCTTCTAGATGGCGTCCTGGCTTATTTCAGATGGGATGGTGTTGGTGGCCGTTGCAATTTATCAAAATCAACCTGTATCAAACGTCATATTTAGATCCTGCTCGGGATTCGCAGACTGAATATCTAGGGATGTTGCCCATAATCATATGGTATTTCTTCCATGTCAATCGACTGTGTACCAGTATAAAGTGGACAAGGTCGCAAAGAGTGCTCCAATTCTAATACCAAGCAACAGATGCTACCGCTCTAAGCTTATCAACATCAACATAAATATTCTAATGGTATTCGTAAAATCTTTGTACACTCGCACGCTGTATCGATATAATAATCAACACGATACAAACAGCCGAAACCCTGCCATCTATGCCAGCCATCTATGGTTTATGAAAAGAGCCCTGTCCCTTCCCAAACGGCGGTGGGAAGGGCGGAACAGCCCCAGCCCCCTGCTTCATGGCTGTCGAGGCCTGCATATCCGCCACCTTAGGCGGCAGGATCAAACCACTTCTATCATTCCTCTTGTAAAAGTCTACCAGAACCTGAGCCGTCTTGACCGGCTGATCCTCCTGTATGAAGTGGCCCGCTTCCGGGAAGACCTGAAGCTGGTATTTACCTTGAATTGTGCCCGTTAGTTCATGGTACATATTCCGGGAGTGGTTGAGCAGGGCATGATTCACAAAGGATGTGCGGGAAAGGGGAAAGGGGGAGGTGGGATGTATACCTTGCATTTGTCCAATCATCAATTCTTTATCCAGTCGATCTGTTCCAGCTAGGAGAAGTAGTTTGCCCCCGCGCGCTTCGAGGAACTTTTTACTTAGGCCGACGAACCAGTTCTCCCAGAAGGGTTTGGTTTCTGCTAGGTTGGTTCGCCAGACCCATGGTTTAGAGGGGTCGGTTGGCGCGGTTTCTTCGTACAGGAGGGAGGGTACGGAGACTCGGGCGGAGGTTCGGTTGCGGATTGTGCGGGAGCGAGTGCTGGTTTTGTTAGGATTTAGTCCGCATATGATACTTGTGGATAAGATATGTTGGACAAGGAGCATGAAGGTGATGAACGTACTGCCATTCGATGCCCGATGGAAGAGAGGGGAACCTAGAGGGCCGTGTAGAGAGGTACTTCTCCATACTTTGGAGAGCGTCCATTGCTGAACCTATGCTCGAACAGTTAGTCTGATCAACCAGACGAATCGAATCGGCCTACCTTCGACCACATCCAAGACCGCATAAGCCAGCACCTTCGGCCCTAGCTCGCCCTTCTTCGCTACGTCGGTGACGACCGCTCCGCCTAAGCTGTGTCCTACCAGGATGATGTCAGGTAGACTCTCCCAGTCCATCTTCGACTGTGTCTCGCGGACAACGAATACCAGGTCCCGATTCAACGTTTCCAGACTTAAATCTAGCTCAATGGTGTTGTCTCCGCTCCCCGAGACTGTTGTTGTTTGGCCGTGATCCCGCGCATCGAGAGAGAGGATCCCCGCTTTGGGGAGGATCTTCCGGATTTCCTCGGCGCAGGTCGCGAAGGAGAGACCCGATGATCCGGCGCCGTGGTGCATGACGAATAGCGGGCCCGAGTTCGTCGGCGGTGTCAGGTAGACATGGTGCGTTATGCGGGCGGAGTCCGTCTCCTGGACGAGGAAGAGTTCCTGGGTGAAGAAGTCGGACCAGTTCAGGGTTTCGGTGGAATTGGATCTGAGGTGTGTTAGCATTAGAAGCTATAACTACAGCAATTGCACTCCGCGACAGAGTAGCAATCCCAGCGTCGCGTGGACAAAAGTGACTGTGCCATAAGCAGCACAGGGTGAATATACTTACCCCCGCGATCTGGCGAATAGCTGCCGGCTGGGCGAGGGAACCACCGTCCCCGTCGACGAGGCGGACTCGGAATCATCTTCGTCGCGGGGGTGCATGGGGATCGGTGGGGCCTCGGGGGGTAGCTTGGCCAGCTTTGCTTTGGCAAAGGATTTCTGCAGTTCACTCATGGATGTGGGTTATGTATGGGATGTTCGCCGGGGGATCGGGTTCCTTTTTCCTGCGGTGGGATGGACGGGAGCTCATGTGGGGTGGTGGTGGATGATCGGCAGGATGGGGTACCGTATGATTTGAATTGGCTTGGTACGTGAATGCGTCTTTGATAGACTGGACAGTTTTATCTCTATTGCACAAGGGAGTGCCTGAGGCCAATGAACGAGCAGACAGCGGATATTAGTTTCTTGTTAGTACTCAAAGAGAGGACGATTGTTGAGGTCCGGGCAGAAACCGCGATGCCTCAGGCCAGCAGCCATCCCCGGTGACGTCACAGCCATGGCAAAGGGATTGCGGAGATGGTTATGGTGAGTTTCAATTGATTGTCAAGAAGCAGCAAAGTGATAGCCCAATTTTTAGGTCCCAGGGAAAGTGTAGATCATTCGTGAATCCCTCGATCTTCAGTGCCGAAGAATACGATTGTCGGGAGTATAATTTGAGGCTGTCAAGGGCATTGCGTGATCATCTGACTTGATCGCCCCTATCTCTAGTCTAGACCCTACATCATTCTAAAATAACCAGACGTCAGTACCACCGATTGGAAAAGAAGCCACTTAGGGTGTTTCCAGAAGGTCCCCTAGTTGGTTGGAGTCTGTGAGATGCTCCATCCGTGGTTAAGCCGACATGAGCAATCGATGACTTCACCAGCCATTCCAGAGCTGCATGTCCATCCTCTTCCTACATGGATGCGGATGCTTGATTATTAGACACCCGCATTCGGCCCTTGAAGCCAGACTTCTTGTCCTGCAATCCTGGTCGACATATTTCTGGAGGCGCATGTCCTCGAGATGACGTCACCCCAGCTCTGAAGAACTTCGGCATCCCGATTATTGTCCATTCGATTGATCGTCGTCTTCTTTCCAATCCCTCTTCATTGAAAGGGTCCACTCTATGAACCTCCATATATCCTTCCCCCATTGATAGACAACGCCTGTCAGCTCACACAACAATAGGACACAATGGTAGCATTGTGGAATAAGAAAAAGGACGGCCAGGAAAGGGAGGAATCCCAGACCCCGGATGAGGAAGGGGGTTCTGCCAGATATTCTCGTGAGCAACACTATCGAGAGCCAGATGAACGCACAAGACTGCTTCCCCGCGAAAATCCCGCATATCTGAGACCCGATGATCCTGCAGTAAGTAGCTCAAACTACACCTACAACATCGCCATGCTAACAAGCAACCCCAGGTCTCCCCGTATAACCTCTGGAGCGTGCGCGCTCTCCGAGGGCTCTCATCTCTCTTCCTCGTACTAAGCTTCATCTGGTGGACCTTCCTACTTGTCTCCATCTTCGTCAGCCCGCCCATGATGCACACCCGCGGGTCCGGTTTCTTCAGCTTCGCATACACCACACTAACCGTCGGCTACCTGGTCATCGCGCTCCTGTTCTTCTCCGTCCCCTCAAAGCCCATGACAATATGCGGCGCCATCCTCTCCGCCTTCCTCCTCGTGGACATGTGCATCATCCTCAGCGTAGGACGCATCCGCATCGAAGAAGGCTGGGTGGGCATCGCCTCCGTTGTCTGGGCGACCTTCATCTCCATCTACGCCATCGCACAGAACCGCTACGTAGCATGGGGCAAGAAAGAAGAAGAAGAGCGCCTAACCGGCCGCGAAGAGACACGCCGACCCCTCCGCGAATGGCTCGCCGTGCTCATCGCAACAATCATAATGGCCGTGCTAGCACTCGTCTCCATCCTCTTCACAGCAACGCTAATCCTTCGCATCCAAGACGCCTCCCTCCCCACTCCAGGCAAGAAATACTACGTCAACGGCAACAACTACCAGGTGCATCTCAACTGCATCGGTAATCCCGGCAGCAAAACCCCCTCCGGGGAAAAGATCCCCACCATCCTCCTAGAAGGCAGCGACGGCCCCGTCGAACACACCCTGCAGCCCTTCATCGATGACGCGTACCGCAACGGCTCTATCGAGCGCTACTGCTACTGGGACCGGCCGGGCTACGCCTTCTCCGACAACGCTCCGTCCCCTTACTCGGCCGGCATGGCGTCCGATGCCCTCTCCGAGGCGCTGGCGCTGGCCGGCGAAGAGGGGCCCTGGGTGCTGGTGTCGGCAGGCGTGGGCGCCATCTACAGCCGCATCTTCGCCAGTAGGCATCTCCTCGAGGTCGACGGGATCATGCTCATTGATGCCCTGCATGAAGATTACCTGGATAACCTCGGGTCGCCGGGGCGGGGCTTCCTCCTCTGGATTCGCGGCGTGCTGTCACCTCTTGGCCTGGACCGGCTTGCCGGCGCTATCTTTAAGGGCCGCTCGCGGGAAGACCGGGTCATCGGTCGGAGCGCGTATCAAACGGCCAAGGTCATTAGGGCGAAGTTGCAGGAGAATCTGGTGGCTAAGTCGATGACTGCGTCGGAGATTCAGACCGCGCGTCATGTCCAGATGCCTTCTACGCCATTGACGGTTATTAGTTCTGGGGTGGAGGTGCGGAAGAGTGAGAAGTGGAGGAAGACGCAGGAGGAGTTGTCGAAGGTGACCAAGAATCTGAAGCACTGGGATGTGGTACGGGGGGCACCGCATGAAGTGTGGCGGTCGGCTGAGGGTCGGGAGATCGTGGAAAAAAGGTTGAGGCAGATGGTCAAGGGGAAAAAGTAGGGTTGTTTTGATATTTGTTTCATTGTGGTTGTATTGTATTGTATGTACTTTGTTGGTTACCTTTTTTTTCTCGGGCTTCTTGTGTTTTGTGCACCCCTTTCTGTTTGTTATTCTCCTTATAAGTATGGTGATTTTTACGGTCTAGTCTGGTGTAATCCACGTATTGTAGTCTGCTTCAATGCGATGATACTCGACACGATCTCAGATGTTTGTAAATACTTGAGCAACGTAGATTCATTTCATCCGTACCATCTAATACACCTGCGCTATATTCACAATAGTTTTGTCCTCACATGCGGATACCTAAACCTGTCGAAATATATGCATGGGTTTGGCGGAGATCGGGGATGGGAGGCGCCATGGTCCTCTGGTAAAACACGTCGGAAAACACTGCAGCGTCAGAGACACGTTGCTCAATCGATGGCGTAGTCTAGGCCAGGGCGTCCGATGACATGACAGCTTCTGGTGTGGATGATTCGACCGGGGGGGGATGTGGCTACGCGGCTCGGACCGAGCAGTCACTCTAGACTAGCTCCCTTGAACCTCTTAGCAAGCTGTTCACTTTCTGATTTTGGAGACTCAGGCCTTGAGGGGAATAAACGTTTTCCGGTTTGGGGCACTGGGCGTGGAGAATCGGCCGAATTCAGCCAGGGGCGCTTAGGGGGGCGCTCACCACTTTCCTGAAGAATTGTGACCAACGTCGCCCACCCGGGGGTGTGTATCAACTGAACTCCGTCTGCAGGGTCATGCTTTGTCGCAACGCGGCCGAGCAGTGCTTCTTCCTCCTGTTGTTATGTCAGAGTCTGCGGGGGTTAAGAGACCAGTTCGAGGTGTATCCGCCTACCTTGCTGAATGTAGACAGAGAGTGAAGGAAGCATAGGAGATGGAAATCGGACACGGCTCGGATTGCCTTGTCAGGATCACCGTGGAAGACAAGCTTCTGAGCGACGTGGCGGAGCTCCTGGCTTTCACCGATAACTTCGCGATTCTCGATTGGGAATTTACCTTCAACAAAAAGCGGGGATGATTCCGTTGGGAAGCCGTGAGTTAAGGTGACGAAAAGATACTCAACAGGGAAAGCTGGCTTTGCGTTTTGCTGCGCGCTGACACCATACTCGTTAATCTTGCGGTAAAAGACTTCAGGTATATATCGTGACTTGTTCTCAGTGTCGTCCTCTTCCGACTGTACCAGCATGACCGAGGGCTCCGCAGAAGGCTCAACGATGTCTGCTCGAACCATCTCAACGGCTGCAACCGACGCTTGGTAAGCGCTCACCGTTATAGCGCCTTCTTCGTCTCCGCTGAGAACACAGGTGACGAAATTGGAACCAAACCGGCCAGATCGGCTCCACTTCGTCGCTTTCGGATATTGGGCTTGTAACCGCGACGCAAATATAACCTCTAGGGATGAAAGGTAGTACGAATCTATGTGTCGTTTGCAGATAACTGAACCGTCTCCTTGCCCAGCATCTAGCAAGTCAGTGAAGATGACTCCGACTTTCTCAAGGCCACACAGGCGTGCGACCTCGTCTACTTCCTTTTCATTCTGCCACTCATGAAGCGTAACCCCGTCAATCTCATCCACTTGCGGTGGCTCATAGATTGCTTGAACCACAGCTTTGACTCCCAGAGGAACCTCGGTGTACTCTTCGTAGGTACCGTAAAGGAAGCCCAATCGCTGAGCACCCGACTTACGCCAGAAGTCGAGCAACGAGTTGATGAGATCAGGTGAAGCAAACTCCACATGGTCTACCGTCCGAAATTCCTGGGGCTGCAAGCTAATGGCACTCGGTTGGCACTTGGTACAGATCCCCTCGGGCCACGGCGGATGTCCAGACGGGCAATCTCGTCGTACTCGGTAGTATGGTTCGCTCAGCGGAGGCATGAAAGAGCTCTTGAGCTCGGCCTTGTTGGTTGCGGCATTGATCTTTCGCAAATACGAGTGGAACGACAAATGCTTGATCTTCTTCTCTGCAAGATATTTTGGATCATAGGGCTCCAGCGGCATGCAATAATCGCACATGCCTTTGGGGCCATGCTTGCACATCTTCATATCACGGTTACGCTTAATTTTCCCATCTTTCTTGTCCAACGCATCATCCAGCGGTGACTGCTGGACCACATCCCAGGGGTTTTTGATTATAGCGGTCGGCGAGGTAGGTTGAGGGCGGATCGCAACAGTTTCGGTTTGCGGGACGGGGGCCCCGTTCAGGCGCCGAGAGGATTCATTCTTAGCATAGCCATTTGCAGCACCATCCTGTAAGCTTTGCTTTTCTTTGTAGCCAAGATACAACTTGTCTCCATGTCTAGTACCAAGTATTAGCAAGTCCACCGACGGTAGGGGTACCGCCCTTCACTCGCTAACTGACCCTAGACCAACACTCTCAAGAGCAATACCCTCGAGACCATCCAAGTATCTTTCATCACTACCAGTACCTATAGGCCTGTTGGATAGGCTGATCGAAGATGGCTCAGTGTCCGGAGGGAGGTGCTCTAAAATCTATAGATGGAGCAGTTAGCGTTCCGTCAGCTACCGTTGGGACACAATTTCGCTGTTAACATGGATTCCAAGTACGTGCCTTCTGCTTGAGCGATGGAAAGAGTTCTTGTGGGCTGACTGTCAGCCGGAACTGACCGTTTCGGCTTTCAAATCTCAGAACGATCGGCCGGGACGCCATGGGGAGCGGAGTTGGCGTTTAACAGTGGTCAAATGCGAGGTGGTAGTGGCGTTTGTATGTATTGCTCACTATGAGTAGGTAGAGAAATTGGTTAAGCTCATGAAACCATAACGATGGGAAAGCACAAGGTAGGTATAGTGAGGCGGGGGTGGGAGTGAGGACGAGATGTGAGATGAGAGTAAGAAAAGAGAGCACAGGTAGAGGAGAAGATGAGAAGGCGGAACAGCTCTTATCGTCATCGTCGTCGGTTACCACATTGTTACTGGAACCCCGCAGACCGCCCTTACCGACATTGCGTAAGATTCGTAATCCCAATACCCCTCCTCCAAAGTAGCTCATTACTTCAATGGGAATGAAGAATCTTACCTTGGGCCTAATCCGAACAGATCCATAAAAATACGTTTTCATGATCGTGGAGTCTTAAAAGTTTAAGAACCTTCTTTTTCTGGTCTCTCGTATTCTACCTTCTCCCAAGACACACTAAGCGATGATATATGGACTACTCGCTATTAACTCTAAATTATCATGAAGTATTGTATTTTCTATCATATTTGCTAGATTGGTAAATTTCTCCCAGATCCCAAGTACTCACGAGGTATCAACCCATCACAAAACGCCATAGGAGCAGACAACAAAGTGAACAAAACACACAAAAGATATTTGGGTTAGACAATCATTAGAGAATGACGCACTTCTTAGGAAGACCGCAAGGTCCCCCCCTCGCCTCCTTCTCTTCCCCTTGAGTACCCTGTCCATTCTGCCTACCATTCTGCGCAGTATTGGGAGCTTCATTCTTTGCAGTTTGTTCCTTCTGTTGTTGCTGTGGTTGCTGCGATGAGGCGACAGGCTGAGACTCAGTCTGGGCATCGCCACTACCATGTAGTCAAGCAAAGCTGACCTTGGAAACGTGCTGGTAGAAAGCCTTGCCCTGCTCTTGGGCGATCTCAAGCTCGAGAGCGGTGGGCTGGCGGGAGCCATCGGCACCCTATTACAGGGCATGTTAGCAAATCAGTTGACAACAAGGCATAAGCGCGGAACTTACGGCAAAGGTACCGGCACCCCAGGCGCTACCACCGTGGACCTCCTGCAAGTTGGACAACTGGCCGAACGCGGTCTTGTATCCAAGAGGAACGTAGATGAAGCCGTGGTGAGCGAGAGTGCTCATAGAAGCAATGGCAGTGGACTCCTGGCCACCACCCAGGGTACCGGTGGAGACGAACAGACCGGCGTACTTGCCCCAGTAGCCACCAGTAGCCCAGATGCTGCCAGTCTTGTCCCAGAAAGCCTTCCACTGTGCAGGGAAGTTACCGTAACGAGTAGGGATACCGAACAACACGGCGTCATAGTCCTTCAGGGTGTTGGGTTCGGCGATGGGGACATCCTTGTTCTGGCCAGGAGCGTGCATCTTAGCCAGGACTTCCTCGGACAGAGTCTCAGCGATCCTGTAGAAAGTTTATCAGGAAATTTGCATCTAGGACCCTCAGGGTTTTGTGTCAACTTACTGGTAGACATCGGCCTGGCCACCAGCAGCTTCGATACCCTTCTTCTCAGCAGCGGCCAGCTGGGCAATGTGGCCGTACATGGAGTACTGCCATGTGTTAGCTTGTTGCACGAAGAATGAAAGGAAAATTGGGAGCTACATACGTAAACAATAGCAATCTTGGGAGCCATTGCGACAGATATGTGATGGGGGGGAATTTTTAGAGGGTGGATCGTAACGCAGTTGACTGGAGGATGGATGATGGTAAGTGAAGTCCAGGCCTGAAACGGCGACAGCCCTTATATAAGGTTAGCACCCTGGGGAGACGGCCGTCCACGAGGGGACCGACCTGCCCCTCCATTCGAGGTGTTCGTCACCATCGAATTCAAGCTTGCAAAAGATCCGTAATCGATTACAGAATCATGGAGCTCCGAGATTAGTGGCAGTGATTGGCTGCTGAGGCACTTCTGTGGGGCGCCGGCGGTCCAGCCGGATTCCCACTAGTCCACCCATCAATAGCCGGCCAATGAATTGCTTAGCTAAGTCTTACTGATGATTAGCAAATGGCTTCATTTCCGATCCGAGAATGTTCGACACTGTGATATTGCCTTGCTGAATGATTTCTTATTCAGGCTGAAATGATCCATTCCCTCGTACGAAGAAGACTCAATCCGTAGCGGTCTAATTCCGCGTGGTGAATAATCCCATTGAAACGGCACTGTGAACTACTAATACGGAAATGCAATGGTGCTCTGTCATGATGTCATCCATTGGAGTACCAATCTTAAGTCGTATTTCTATTTACTACAGGGAGTCTCATAGGCTGTGTGCTCTAGGTGCTGTACAAACATTGATCCACGGATGGCAGTTTCTACTACCCATTCCTCCTACTTAAAGCCGCTTCTTTTACGTACACTTAGCACCATACTATAGCAGAATCACGCGTAGGAAATAAATTGTCAATGCCTCAACTTGGGTATCTCAATGTTCTAGTAATAAGCTTAAATCCAACATAAACCAAACCGATTCTCTATCATAACATTCCACCACTTACATCCCACGTCCTCGGCCTCGAAACCGGCCACGCATGAATCCACCCCCGCGTCCCCGCTCACTCCTCCATTCCCGTTCACGCTCCTTTTCTCTTTCCTGTTCCTCGCGGATCAAAAGCCTCTCCCGCTCTAGCTCCTCCTCCGACTTCTCCACCCTAATCGATGGCTTGGGAAGATTCTCAACCCACCGGGCATGAGCATCAGTGCAAGCCTTACCCTCCGGACAGAACCCAGCCAGGTAATACTGGCACAGACGGCGGCGCACATGACGTTTCGCACACACCGGGCCCAGCGGGCAAAATCCCCGATCGTAGTGTTCGCACGGTGGTAACCGGGCCTGCTCCCGCACGTGCTGGTATAGACAGTCGTCGCCATTCGGACAGTAGCCGGACCGCGAGAAGGATTGACACTCTGGCATCCGACGAAGGTTGTATTCATGGAGATATTCGCATTTGAGGCCTTTCTTGCACAGCCCCTTGAGAAAATGCTTGCAAACGAGTGACCCGTGCGTCGTGGACGGTGCCAGCCCCGAAGCGGTAGTGGTTGATGTTGTCACTCGAGATGGGGTAGGATGTCGATCGGGGCATGCTGGGCCCAAGGGGCAGTGGCCTTCGCTGTAGGCCTTGCAGACGGGTACATCGCTAGCGAGTCCGAAGCCAAAGCTGCTTCGTAAGAAGGGGGTGAAGGAGAAATCGTTGTAACTAGGGTCGCGCTCGCTGCCGGAGGCTAGGATTCGTGATGCAGCGTAGCTAACGTCTGCAGACATGACTATCTTGTCCGTTCCGAAAGGGAAGTAAGGGAAAGATATGCGGCAACTGTAATTGCGATGGCAACGACTGAGTAGGAGCTTCGAAGCTCGCGGCCGGAGATTTGAGCGGCAGTTGAGTTCAAATACGATTTGATGCTGGAATCCTTCCGAATCAGGGAGCAAGGGGTTCTGCAATATACCGCTAAGCGGTGAGATATTCCAAGTAAATGGGCTCGTGACGCTGTCAAAGCAGTGATGGTCAATTCGGGGTTGCAGGAGAGTTTTGTACAGCCAACCCATTGTTGAAAAGGCCTGATTTCAGAAACGGAAGGCGGTGGCAATTGCAGAGGTGATTTATAATCAGCCAATCAGAGAAGCTCAATCAGAAAAGGAGAGACTTCTTCCACGTGATCGGCCACAGTATACTTCAAGTTATCAATCAAATTTGTTATGAATCTATACGAGACCACGTGATCCTAGTGGCTTGGCCGGATCACCGGCTCCTAACCCCTGAAGGCTTTACCCATTAGTTGGGATAGAGAAGAAGCAGTCAAGATAGTTGATATAGTCGTCCATAGAATTGAGATCTATTGGAAAGGCATCCGGTCCTCAGTAGGCTACGTATGAGTAGCTGATACAGCCTCATCCTGCCCATCTTTCCCCTGAGATCACAACAAAATTAAGTAATATGCTGGCATAGAAAAGAATCGCGTAAATAAGTCGAAGTGACGAATTATTGAGGTCGGTTATGTGCTTTCCTGCTCAACCATGGATGACGATAGCATCTAGCCTTGTACTCCTTCAGCATTCCAGGTCAAGACTACGACTCACATCCCCTAGCATTTAGAGAAGCAGGTATAAAGAGATCCGACATATGCAAGACGGTTAAAGCCACTATCACTCTTGACGAAATATGCAGTTAGGTCTTGAGTCCGATACAAGGCGGCGATAGACGGGGTGGTCTTTCAAGCAGTTCAAACTTCGGGCGCCGTTTTGAGAAGATATTTTATACTATAGCCTTCTTGCCTGAGCCTTTGAATAGGATCAATCCCTCTCTTCTCAAGGAATTTCGACACTGATCAGCGAGCCAATTGAGAAACAGGCTTGTCAATGATTTAGTCGATTGATGTAGTTTTGTCACTGGGCTCACTTCCCAACAAGTGATGCAAGATCCACTTAGAGAAGCCACAGGTCGAACACTACATGAATGACACCGAACCCTCCCCAATGCCCACGAGTGCAAACATCGGTGAAGTGGAATTTCTATAAAAGATTGACGATATAGCCAGGCATAAAAGAGTACGAGGAAGCTTGGGCCATTGAAGACCGAGGCTAGAGTGAATATCTCCAATCACGAGGCTTCCTGGGGCCCTTGATTCACATATAAATTGACTTGCCGATTACATGAGCCATCATTCTTGGTGCCTGAGATCTGAGGTAATTAACTGTTAATCAATACCCCGGAAATATCAGTTATCGGTTTTATACATTAAAGCTCCTAGTGTGGCTCATCTACGATGCCATCCCGCGGGAATTGTACCCCTAATCTTTCTAAAATTATCCGGTTTAGGTTCAATAGTGGGAATACCCTGTACAGCCATAGAGATTTCCACCCAACGGAGACATCGGGGAAAACGGGAAAAAAAGAAAAGAAAAGAAACGCTGTAGATCCTTTCTGGGGAGGGGACGGCATGGCTGCAGAGGAAAGCACCGGTGCTACTGCCCCTGCATACGAGACATCCTAGGAAATCTCGACGTCACATGGTCTGTCTGTGGACAATGTCCTGTGTAACGAGTCGGAAATCTAATAAGAAACCATTGTTGCCGTTAGAGGAACTGGTTCAGCTTGAGAAATGTTGGGCAGGATGCTATAAACCTTTTAGGGCTCCGAAGATATGACCCTCTGGAGAGGCCAATCAATTTCATCAACCTCCTACATTGGAAGGTCAGGTGCATGGCTTGGCCGAGTGATCCAAGCATTGATTGTAATCCGTCATGCGGGGTGGAAAAAGCGACTAATAACTAGCCTGCAGTTCTTCCCCCACAGCGCTTGAACGAGTGAGAAAAAGCAATGAAGCAAACCTTATGGGGTAAGGGAGGAAAAAGCAAACCCGAAAGGGAAAGGGAAAAGGGAAAATGAAAAACCACTGCCCCCAAAATGAAACCCACTGATCGATCAACGGTGATCATTGTCTATGAACATCTTCGAGAGATACTTCCTACGAAAATCAACACATCTCCGGGGCGGGTTTCCCTCCTATACCAAGTCCACCCAACCCGCAGCTTTCGACCACCACGACCCACTCGGATCTTACAATGAGGCTGGGTGTCGCCACCGGACTCGTGAGCAGATCTTCACCGAGATGTCCTAGAACGGCCTTCTAGGCCATCACCAAGCCGCGCGCACTTTGCCTGCTTCGCTCATGAAGCTTCCGGGGCATCCAATAACCACCAGTCAACGGGACAGTCACCGAAAGGTGGGGTGAGCGTAATCCGGGAGTTTGGACCCTCTGGGAGCTGCCGCCGATCAAAAAGTCCCTTTCGATATTATCCTGACCTTCTGATCGGCCAGCGAATGAATATCCCAGGCCACTGACCTGCACCGTCGAAGGCCCAGATTGACACGGTCCTCTGGTAACCCTGCAACAGAAGGATAAATAGAATATTATGGTCCGGGGTTAGACTCTGAGGCTTGGAAAGTGGAGAGGGGGAGAATGAGAGAGAAGGAGAAGGAGGAAGCGTCATGAATTCAATATTCCATGCGCGTCCTGGTGCATTGTGCAGCAAATGTTATGCTACTCTTTCTGTCTATGTCGCCGAGAAACTGACTTTTGGTTGCCTTCTTTTTATTCAATCGTGCGCCCAAGTCTCGCATGAGAGGAGGGGGGTTTTCATTTTCACATTTTCTCTTTGCGAAATACGAGTAGATGAGGAACTAAAAAGAACCAAACCCACCACGCCAAAAGAAGAGAAACATCTCCTCCACACGTGACATTGTCCTTTCTAGGGAAGTTGCTTTTCGCACACTTTATTTTAAAGGGGACTTTTAATTGTTCACGATTGTTGGAGAACTTTTTTGATCAATTTTCTAATTTTCTGATTATTATATCCTATCATTCGAGGTTCTTTTTCTCTATTCTAGAAATCTACAACTCCTTCCTTAATCCCGCTTTGTGTATGCTACCATCATGCCATTCTCCGGCTCCTCTATCTTCCCCCACTGGCGTCGCAAAGCCGCCGAACGCTCAAGTAACGCTTCGTATGAGGTTCCATACTACATGAACGCAGCATATTATCCCAATTGGCGGATATACCGAAAGCAGCCTCCCTCATCGCTCAGATTGGGATTTGTCTCCCATATCTTCTACGCATTTGCATGGTAGTACAGCCATACATCGAAACCGAGGGAACCCCGGGTTATATACACTATGCAAAGTAAAGAAGTTAACCAAGACGTTTTGTTGTTTCTAGGGTCAAAGAAGACGGCACCGTTTATGTTGGGATTTCCCACCCGATTTCTCTCTCAAAAAGAGAGAAAGCAAAAAAAAAAATCCTCAAATCACAAGAATCCCATAGCTAACCGCAGACATTAACATATAGTTAAGCGATGAATGGGCCGACACGCAAATGCCCGTAGACGGCACCAAGGGCTGTATCCGGGCCTTCACGCAGCTGAAACCGCAGTACTCAAAGATGAAAGTCATTCTCTCCGTCGGCGGCGGCGGCAAGGGAAGCGAGAACTTCGCCGTCGTGGCGCGCAGTCAATCGCGCACCGAGACGTTTGTCCGCACGGCCAGGGCGCTCGTGGATCAATTCGGCCTCGATGGACTCGACAGTATGTAGACCGAATTTCACCTCCTTCGTTTTCTCTGTCTCTCTCTCTCTCTCTTGGTTGGCTTGCCCAAACGTATTACTAACTGGTCTATCGCCAGTCGACTGGGAACACCCCGCAGACCCACAGCAAGGAATGGACTATGTGCGGCTTCTGGCAAAGCTGCGCGAGGCGCTGCCTACGCCGCGTTTTGTTCTAGCAACCTGTCTCCCGGCGGGGCAGTGGGCTCTCCGGAATATCGATCTTGGGAAGGCCTCCGTGTATCTCGATTTGATGAATCTCATGACGTATGATTTTGCCGGTCCCTGGACGAATGAGAGCGGGCACCACGCGCAGTTATACAGCCCATCTCGGAATCCGGGCGCTGTTTCGTGTCAATCCAGTGTGCAGTATGTGCTTTCGCAGGGGGTTGATCCGAAGAAAATCCTCTTAGGGGTTCCTGCGTACGGCCGGTCGTTTTTGGGTACTGAGAAGCCCGGTCAGCGGTATGTCGGGGCTGGCGGCGAGGATGGTGTGTTCGATTATAGTGACTTGCCTCGTCCTGGGGCTAAGGAACATCACGATGATAAGCTTGGCGCGGCGTACTGCTCCGGTGGTGATGGCGGGTTTGTGACCTATGATACGCCGCGGACGGTGGAGCAGAAGGCCCAGTTTACGACTAAGACGAAGCTGGGGGGTTTGTTCTATTGGCATATTGGAGGGGATGCACGAGGTGCGCGGAGTTTGATCGAGACGGGATATAATACGCTACATGAGATGTAGCCTGTTACTTCAGACTTTAAAACATTGAACAAGAAAAGAAGCCGAGGGGGTTGGGGAAGATAATGGAATGGGTGCAATGAAAACATGGGTCGTGTGTTTATTATTATTTTATCACTGTGTCTGAATAGCAAGTACGAAAGGAATGAAATGAACTTATATTTGTCTGCAAACCCCTGTCGCTGATAAGATTAAGCTTTCGCATGGTGAGAAATTAATTCGCAGATCAATCCACCTTCATTTCTCTTCCACACCAATGTTATCTCTGGATTCAATTTTTCTGGCCAATCGCCACGAAGATCAATGCGGAAGACTCCATAATCGCAATTGTCTATCCAATAAGCTATATATAAAACCACGCCTTCTAAGTCATAAAACATGAAATCTATGAGTCTATAGGTCTATATTACATCGACTGTAATCCCAAAATCCCAACGAAGAATCAGATTAAGCAACTCCAATCTTTGCAAAGGCCTCATTAATCTCCTCAACGCTCTTACCCTCCGCAAGCAGCAGACCAAGAAGAATGCGCGATTTCGCCGGGTTCAAATACCCACTTGCGATCTGAGTGGTCTCGTCAGAGGAAGGCACCTCACCGTTTCCGGTACGTGTACTGGCAACGATAGGGATATTGTGCTTGGACGTTACGTCTGAGATGGCATCGCTGAATGAGCTAGAGACAGAGCCAGCACCAGAGCCAGCAACCTGTTGGATTGAGTTGTTAGGGGAGTCATTTCCAAGGCTTGGTTATGAGATTGTAGATGGAGTACTTACGACAATACCCTTGGCGCCATTCTCGATGGCAGAGTACAAAGTGTCGCTGTGCATATCCTCATAAGAGTACAAAATATCTACTCTAGGGATTGCGGTGATGTTCGAGACATGGACTTCGGTCTTGCCGGTGGGCTGAACAGGCGGGTAGAAGAAGTAGGGCTTGTTGGAGACGACCTCGCCCAGGTTACCCATTTCAACGGCCTTGAAGGTGTCCACGGTGTTGGCGTTTGTCTTGGAGGCGTAAAAGGCCGAGACAATTCGGTCGTTCATAACGATCATTGCGCCGCGGTCTCTGGCTTTGGCGCTGGTGGCCACGCTGACAGATTGGAGAAGGTTGATCGGGCCCTCGGCGGAGATGGCGGTTGAGGGACGCATGGCGCCAACGATCACAATGGGCTTGCGGCAGTTGACTGTGGCGTCGAGGAAGAAGGCGGATTCTTCTAGGGTATCGGTGCCGTGGGTGATCACTGCGCCGGCCATGGAAGGATCGTTGCAGACGACATCATTGATCTTCTTGGAAAGCGCGAGAAGAATGGACGAGGTGATGTCTGGGCTGCCGACGTTGGCGACTTGTACGCCGGCCACGTTGGCGACGTCCAGCATCTCCGGCACTGCATCAATGAGGGTTTGGATGCCCACTGCACCGGCCTTGTAGCCTGTTGTCGCCGTGTTGTCGTCGCTAGAGCCGGCGATGGTGCCGCCTGCTTATTGTTAGCTTCTTCTTTCTAGGCTTCAACGGGTGGGGATGGGGAAGAATACCTGTCGCAAAGATGGTGACATTGGGCAGAGTGGTGTTCATCTGAGTGAAGTTCAAGCCATTGGAGTTGGTAAACACATAGGTGACATTCGAATCTGCAGCTCGAGGATACAAGAGAGGAGAGGCATTGCTAACAGCGGCCAAGGCCGACACGGCAAGAACTTTCAGATTGACACCCATTCTGCTGTTTGATTGCTCGGAGCTCTGAATAAGAAATTGAAGCCGAGCTTGTTATGGACAACCGGACAGACATTCTGAAAGATATGCCATTTATATATGGCTTCAGTCCTCGCATCCATGGGCCGAGAATTTCGACCAAGAAATGACTATTGACGATAGATGTCTTATCGTGGAGAATCCCAAGCATCGTCCCATATCCGTCTTCACCAGATAAGTCGTGCAAAGGGAAGATCATGGCGAAGTTGTTTCCCATAGATGAGGCATTTCACGTAATGATAATCGCATATCGATGGAGTCAATCCAGGAACCAAGCGTTGGAGAAACTCCAATTCCTCTTGGCGCCTGACCTTGAAGCATTAGAGGACCTTGGGTAAGACCGTCTCCACCGGGATCCTTGATTTAGGGGGGAGAGATGGGGGATACGGCAATGTCCATATTGGCATTTGTTGGGGTTACTCCAGAAACATTTAGGTAATTGGATCCAGTGATCTTCGCCGGATCAATATCACCGTATGATAAGATCATATATCACTTCGGGCCATTATCGGCATCTCTCTCTGAACGCCTCGCCTCGTATTGAGCCGAAGGAATATTCAGGCTATAGACTGCGATAAGGTGCTGGTATCGTCAAGTTATTCGTATTAGTATTAGTATTAATATTAATATTAGCAAGTCGTCGTAAGGAACTATTGAGCATGGATTATCGGGTGGATCGCCAAGTGCTTGTCCTTATCTCGGCCGGCTGCCGATAGGAACTACACGGCTTCTGCAGCATTCCGCCGATTACCCTTATGCTCTCAGCATCGGCTTAGACCTTCTTCCTTCTCGGGCGACGGCTTGAGGCTGTGTAGCGAAGATCAACGTCATTTCCAGCTCTAGATTTATTCCGTTTTGTCCCTCGTATAGTCCCACTATCACAGAGAAATTGGGGTTGAAGGGGGATTCCATCTTCAGCTCCGGGCATGGTTCCCGAACCCTAAGAGATAATGCCTCAATTTGCATCCCATCGACATTTACACTTTATTCACTGTTTAGAGCAGTATACCCCTTGCTATTCTCAAAAGTCCATTGTCTCGCAAATAACCTACCATCAGGTCCCGAAGGGCAAACAAGAAAGAGCCGATAAGAGACGGCCCAAAGAACCACCCACGTTCTCTTTCCTGTGGGTACTGATGATGTCTTGGCAAGATCGATGAGACAAACAGACGAATCAAGAGGTATGAGAGAACTGATATGCCTTTTGGAACCTTAATAATATATGCACATGTTTCTATCCCGATAATATCCGATTCGTGTTAATCCCAAATTGCCCGAAACACTTGTAGCCATTAGTATCCATGTTGATGCCCTGCAGTGGTTTATTGCCAGGAAGGAAGCTGACAAATGCTCAACAAGAGGTTACTATGTATGTACCTAGTAAGTACTAAGTCCTATATACATCCAGTACATGTATGTACTACGGCAGCCAAGCTCAACCGTTGTGCCGACTATTGCCACGTTTGACAAGGAATAAGGTTACACTTTGAATTCTTGTCTTACCAACCAATAGGTATATCCATCGTAGGTAATATGAGGAAGTTTAATGGTTCGAGACTGTCAATTGACTTCAATACACGAAGCAGCCCGTTGGATTATCCGATGGCGTTGTGATCCACGGTCCTACCACTATTACTACAACGACGACGGGAACTCCGAATGATAAACCGTTCAATTACCAAAACCTAATTTAGTCTCGTGTAGTTCCCGGCGGTAATTCAACATGGGAACATATGTATATCACTATGTCTGTAAAAGGACTTGAACGTATTGGATGAGGCGGACCTCAATTTTATTTTTCTTTTTCTCCTTTTTTTTCCCTTTCTTTTATAGGATATTCGGTTAGTGCTATTATTACAGGAAATGACAAGCCACTGAGGTCTCCCAGCGTTGTCTGTTATACAGGGGCAGATGCTGTTCTAATGCTGACCTGGAAGTCATCTTGGAATATCACTTGGAATTGAGACCACCTCCCAGCATCAAGCAGTCAGATCATCACAGTTGCATTAAGTTGGTATCAAGAACAATTATAATCGTCATCGGTCCGGCAACAGGGCTCCAACGAGCAAGAAAGTAACAAAAACAGCACAATGGGAATCACCAATAACAAATATTGCAGGTCGAAATTTATACAGCGACACCCGTTCAGCTCGAGAGGCTTGAGACGCTTGAACCTATCACCTCAGTAATATTCAGGTCAACCCGGAGTTTGTTCGATGCCAAAGCCCGCGAGAAGTATGATAGAGGCTTGCCATCGTACACACTAGAGTTGGTCTCGGAGCCTGTGATGTCCACCGGAACAATCGTGCCGGGATATTTCGACATCAGATCGACCATCTTAAGTTGATCCACCTTGGCTCTCATGGAGAAAGTGTTCTCGCCAGGCTTCAACGTCAGGTCTTTTATATACGACTCTCCAATCGCAGTTCCGTTGACGGCGAGATCCAGCGTTACATTGCCCTAAAGAAATCAGCCAACGGGGCCACAACACTAAAATCTCGGGCGGTGAGGAGTTCGTGGCACATACCAAGCTGATCGTCATTACCGATGGATTAGGAATCACGACCTGGCCTTCGGTGTTTGTTCCATCGGATGCTTTCGTGGTAAGATGCATGCCGGACAACTTGAACCCCTCCAACTTGTTGAGCCCTGTCATGCGGTTAGTTAGTCTACTTGACTAGAGCATTGGAAAATTAGTCCATGTGCTTACCCTTCATTGTAGCGGTCTTATTAAACGTCTTATTGATCGTTGGCAAGCTTCCTTGCTTGATATCCGGCTTCCCGTAAACATTGAGATGGACGTATTCATCGTGCATAACCGCGATTGCGAAGTCGCCAAACGCAGACACATCAGTCAAGGGCAAGTGCTGCACCACATGCACTTCTACTCCGTCGTGAGACTTGACTTGTGGGATGGTTGCGGTTGCAAATGCCGCTGCGCCCAGCAGACCGACAGTCGCGTTGAATGAGTAGAAGGTTGGGTGGAAGATACTATCCGTTTTGATGATCTGCAACTGGTCGATATGGAATGAATCCGGTGTGGGGTCAGTGATCCCCAGGGATTTGATTTCCAGGACCGAGTTATTGATAGCTTTTTGAGTGAGGTTCGGATAACCGACATATACCCTATTTGAGCGCAGAACCGTCAGACAGACACCGTCACAGGGGACAAGCTCTACAAAGAGTGAACGTACACTGGGAGAACAACCACAAGCACCACGATAATGAGCCCAATGAGATGTGCCCACCACCATTTCTTGTAGTGGGCAGCCACGCGAGATTTGAAGCTGGGCTTCGTAGCAACGGGCGAGGCCACCGCATTTATTTCGGTGACTTCGGGCTTGTCGGACATCTTGCGTCACTAAATATCTGAGTTTGACACGGTTATATTTATTCCAAGACCTGTCACACAGGCAGCCCTGTCACCCGCAGAGTTAGGACGCTCCCACAAGAAAAGACCCGAAACAAGCTGAAAAGGGGACATACCAATGCTCTTCTCGAGGTTAGTATGGGCTGAGACTTGTGTCGCCCGCTTTAATTGACAAGGGCTGCAGCGAGCATTATATCATTAGCGGACAAAGAAAAAGAGAAAAATAGGAAAAAAGGGAGGAAAAAAGAAGAAGAAAAAGGCCAAGAAAAATTTTCAAAAAAAAAATTATTTTTAAGTCAAAAAGGAACAAAGGAGAAAAGAAAGAACCACAGTGGGATAATAACATACCTTCACACAACTCTCAAACTCCAAATTGAAAATGAAAGTCGGGAAGCACAGTGCACGAATGATCAACAAGCAAGAGACGTCTACCGACCGAGACTAAGAACGAGAGAATCGGAAATAGGGCATGAAGGGCAGGACCGTTAGATGGCTAATGCTCTCTCTATATGACTCCCGGAGGGGGCGGGTCTTCACATGTGTTATTCTAAAAGAATTCAGATAAAGCACCGCGGAACTTGGGAGTTTGGGACCAGTCGGCCCCAGGTCCCATGCGGTCCCATGCAGAAGCAACCAAGCTATTACTCAATGGGGGAAACCCTGTGGAGATCCAGGCGGCGAACACTGCTAGGGTACGGAGTAGTTAGCACACGGACTCGGATAGCGAAAACAATTAGGAAAAAAGAAGGGCAAAGGGTTGAAAATTGAGGCAGCGTCCCAGGTCCCCCTACTTTGAAACACACGTCCACGAACTTGATATACATTCCAACGTGTTTCCTCATGTTTAAATGTAGGTCAGCCGAGGCATGAAGTACATCCTCATGCAGCCGTCGAGATATGTGGTCGCGCATCGATTGGTCGCGATTGAGGGATTAAGGCCTAGGAGAAGAGGAGGATGGAATGCAACCCCGGCCCCTCGCCAATTTCCCCAAATTTCCCCATGCTTGGCAGGACAATGGATCTTCATTGGACTGGGGCCGACAACCGGAGTGAGACTAGCGGGGTGGCCAGAACCCAAAAGTAAGCCAAAGGAGCTCGATCGCCCATTATTTCGCCATGGTTCGGGGCTGGTGTGTAGCGTGTGTAGTACATCAAATGGCGAAAATTTCTTTCCAATCCATGTTATGCCTTGCTCTGTTTTGGGTGATTCCTCCGGGGGTGAAACCACCAATGATATCGGGCAGATATGGCCACCTGCATATGTTAATTCCCCTCCTCCCAGTGTAGCAACTGGTAAATGAATTGGATCAGAGTCGGAGGCAAATTCTCCCTGCGGGATTGATTGGAGGGGAGGTTTGTCAGCTGCCTCTTAGACCGACGCAACTAAACAACTAGTCAAAGCACGCAAAGACCAGGGAAAATAGAGTACCGCCCAATCCGAAGTCGCGTTTAATCTAAAGAGACTTCCTCCTATTCCTAAGGTAAGGTACCAAATACCTTTTCTCTCTCCCTTTTCTCTTTCTCTCTCTCTTAATTTTTGTTTCCCCACGTCAGCTCGAGCAAGAAAACGGGAGAAAAACAAGGGTTCAAGCCACCACGGGGCCTCCCCAAAAGGCATGACTAATCTTACGAACTACCTTAGGGTTCCAAGGGCAAGCAAAATACGAATCACCGGAAATTCTGGTTGGGATGCCAATCACTTGGCTGCGAAATGTCCTATATATTTCCATGTGTATAGGGCCACTTCAGAAGAACATCCCCATCCCGTTCCCCTCCCAGCCGAGAGTGAACGCGGCGCCAGGGTATAAATCCTCCACTAGCACACTTCCTTCGTGCCCCAAAGGCGTCGAGCGACATTCCTATTATATAGGCTTATCATGAGTATCATCAGGTGTGGATCTCTGCGAACACACCCCAATCGGCAGAAAGAAAAGCAAGGTGCGCAGGAAATGCGGCAACGATATTGCAACTGTAGAAGACAGGCCACAAACAAAGGCAACATGGGAAATTTTGAAGAAAAATAAGAAGGGAAAGGAAGAGAGAGAGCGAAAGTAGAGAATAGAATACATCACGCAGTGATTAGAAGTTAGGGGGTATCCAAGAAAGAAATTCGACGCCCACAAGGCCAAGAGGAGGAAGCAAAGGCTTCCGTCCAATTCCATGACTGGAGCAGCTGGCAAGACCCGCTCGAAAAACATATGACTGAAAAAGAAAAAAAGAAGAATGTTGAAAGAGTGGAAGACAAGACAAAGTCAAAGGCAACCGCGCTAGGCAGTACAACTGTGGTAATGATACAATCCGAGCAACATGTCGCTATGGAGCTTGAGAAGATGCATCGAAAAGGGTAAAGGATTCCAAAAGAAGGAAAGAAAGTAAATGGGAAAAGGAAAGAAGAGAAAAAATGAAAAAAAAAAAAAAAAAAAAAAAAAAAAAAAAGGCAAAGAAAACAGTAAGCGGAAGGACGAGAATACAATAGAACAATAGAACAATAGAAGAAAATGCTAATGTTAGAAACGACAATGTGGATATAATAAGTAGAATAGGACATAGCTTGCTATCCTGGTTTTTCACCAATGTACCATGCGTACGCAAGAAACTGCAAATCCTGTCTAAGCCTCGGCGGCCGTAGACTTTTTGCGATGGAAAAGACTGCGCGTCCGAGATTTACTACGTTGCTTCTTGTCAGAACCCGAGCCGTGGCGCCCACGCCCACGCGATGAGACACTGGGTCCATCATCGGAGAGATACTTGTCTTTGTGAATCCTGTCAAAGTCAGACGTAAGCCACGAGAGCGAGGAAATATCCACGGTGTAAGCATGCAACTTACCAGCTGTTTCCAACCATATTCACACCCTTTGCTTCGGCCTGGCGATAGAACTTGGCCGCTTTTTTTAAATCTTTTTTGCAACCGATGCCTTCTGAATAACAAAACCCTGCCTCAACAAGTGCATCCGTATCTCCCCATTGGCCGGCAACTTCAAAGCAACGCAGGGCCAGCGATTTATCCTGTTCAATTCCCCAGCCATTCAGGTGGCTTACGCCAAGCTCATAGATACTTAGTCCAAACTGGGCGCGATAGGCTTTCTGCATTTCCCTCACACGGTTGGGCATGGCCGGGTTGGAATCGTCCATTAATTCTAGGCCGACAGAGTCCACGGCTTTACGCAGCCATCGAACGCCCTCCTGCTGGTTCGGCCGCATACCCCAACCATGCCGACAAGCCAAGGCATATAGTAGCATACCAGTCGGGTGATTCTGCTTCGCCGCAATACGGAGATGGTATGTGGATTCTTGCAGTGACCCTTTCTCATGACATTCAATGCCTTTAGTCACATGCTCATCTGCTGTGATAAGAGTGGAGGACGCATTGGTTTTGGCTGTCTGAGGCCGAATGGTGGATCCAGAGCCTGCCGAGGAAGTAGTGTCTGCTTTCTCCTCACTAATAGGCGCTTCAGGAGCAGGTGTAGTTGAGGCCGGTTCATCTGTCGAGGCAGCTTCAGAAGGACGTCGAGCTTCGGGAGAGGGTGGCACCTGGAAGACAGATGGGGGTTTCTCTGGCGTAAGTAGTTGCCGCTCAGACGTTGGGGATTCATACATGGAGCGTGCCTTCATTGAAGATACCGAGTGTCGTGATGGCGAGGGGGACGGGGTACGTGAAAACCTTGGGGGCCCATTTGCGCTCGACCCATCCGGACTCTCGAAAAGCGGCTCCTGCCACTCAAAGTGAGGGGTCTGCAGGCCGGAGAAAATGACCGAGTCCCTAGAAACCTGGCGTCCGCGGGGAAGAGGGTATTTGGCATAAGTGTACGAGGACATGGCAGATGATGGTTCCTCGCTCATGCATTTGGCCACGTCAGCCACCGATGGTACCACAATGGGCTGTGGCTTCTGCCCCCGGGGCTTCGTCCCCTGTAAATGCTCTGACGCTCCTGTCGGCACGGGGGCAGACAGGCTGGTGCTCGACCGGCTTAGTGGCCGAGAGAAATTGTACGAAGGACGCGGAATGTAGCCGCCATTGTTCGAAGCTTCGGAGTTCAGAGAGGGCGAGCGTCGGTGGGACCGGTTCATAGAATTCATCGGTGACTGGGGTAACGACGTCGCGCTACAGGAAGATAACTTCCGCGGCTTCGAAAAGGTTGAGCCCGCAGTAGAACTACTATAGTCATCGTCCGAACTCTCTAGTTGTGGAGTTCTGGAACTGCTTGAAGGCCTCGATCGTGGCGAAACAGGCGGCGCCAGACCACGTGGGATATTGAGTCGCGAAGAGGCAGTATCCGTCAAAGAAGTGCCAGGTGATCCTGTAAAAGCCAAGCTCGTAGGCGAAGCGGCATAAAATCGGGGTGGCGTTTCTGTTACAGTCCCCTTGGCCGTATCCTCCTTTGGGGACCCCAACTGGGGTGTTTCGATATCGCTTTCTAAAATCGGCACAGGCGGTTCATATTCCAGGGTCGTGTTCTCATCATCGTGGGGAACATCTTCGTTAGCGAAGTGCGGCACACCGCTAAGACGAGGATGTTCAGATTGCGGACGGAACTTAGGCTCCTCCACCTCAGGATTAGCTTTCAGCGTGGGTTGCCTCGTAAGATCATTTCCTCGCCCACTTCGCGAAGAATCATTCGAGGATGAAGAGCGAAAGTAACCCGGTCTAGGCTGCGATAACGACCGTGCAACACTAGCGGGGGGGAGCCTGCTCAGGCGCCGGTCTCTGCGAGCTGACTCCTCCAGCTGTCTCGCCAACAATCGACCCTGAGCAGCGAATGCGTCTAGTGGGGAGAGCGTGGGAGGAATCTCGCCATCAAAGTGCTCAATGCGCGGCGAAGGCTGTCCGTTTCGCAAAGTATCGTGAGACGGCGAGCGGACTTCGCCAAAACGTGGCCGAGCGTCCATGATAGCACAGAGATGGTTTCAATTGGCTGAACGCGAGTATCCTTTCTCTTTGAAGGTTCACGGGACAGACGTAATCTAAGTTGTTTCCACTCAAATCATCTAGTTATTTGCTACCACTCTAAGCCTCGGATGGGTTGAGCTTTTTGACTTCTTTACAAGTCCAAGAGACCAGTGATAGTGACGTGACGTTCCAAGTAGTTTCGAGATATTCTGCAGCTGGTGAGTCTAATGCGCGGCGCGCGGGCGATCACTTCGAACCAATGGCAAAAGGAACAAATCCTCAACAGATGGCACGGTATAAGACCAAATCAAAGGAATGACAGTCCGTGGAAGGGAAGGGAGGCGAGAAGCGAATGAAAGGCCCCAATTAGCAAGCCAGGCTTGTGGGGGGGTAGGAGAAGCGAAGAATCACGGCGGCAAAGGAGCGACGGTCAGATCGTAGAGAATACTATAGGACGAACAGAGAGTGATAACCAATTAGATCGCAAAAACAATCACAAGCCAAGGGGAAGAACGATGAGCAAGCATCGTGGACTCCGACGGACAGTGTGAGAGAGGGGAGAGGGAGAGGGGAGAAAGAAGAGAGGACTGGATGGATAATGAGAATGGACTGACTGGGTGACTTCCAGATTATTGGTGCTGCTGGTCTGAATCAAGCGTAAAATGAGCCAAAGGGAGTTTTCCGTTGTTACGCCCTGACGATCACCAAACAAACGAGGGGCGTCTGCATTGACAGTCGCTCTGGGCAGTCCCCACGCGGAGTCCCATGTCTGCTAGCGGTAATCCGGTGGTATCGACCTCCACTCAGTATGAACAATACCGACGTATGACACTGCCTGGGTTTCATGCAGCCCAACAGCAGCCAATCCTACTGCCGTAAGGAACGGCCCGTTTCAGGAGGAGACGTGTACATACATACAGTATCAGGTACTATGATACTATACCAACATACCCATACATACCCAACGGTACCAAGTCAGGGGCTCCAGACGAACTGCTTCCAGAAACATATCAAAGTTCCTGGTTATTGAAAGGCTAACACTTGTAAATCTTCAATTATCTACAAAATGCGATGATCAGGTGCAAGCGATAGACCTATCAGGATCTTAGGACTACTCCAGAGATGAGTATATGATGTACATGTGAATTTTTTTTTTTAAAAAAAAAAAAGGAGAAAATCCCATTCACAGCTTCTAGAAAAAAATTGAATCGACAGGCTGGAGGCGAAGCGTTTAGTTTGGTTCACAATGTGTCGTTGGTGGAGCAGCCACTCTATTTATATTCATCTGTGCAAATTTTCCCGAAAGTATATCCATAGTATCCATGGATGAATGACTGAGACGGTAAGAGAGCAACAGGTCCATGTTTTAGGTTGGAGGTTAGTTATAAATAATTCATCAGCCTGGGGAATTGTCACTTCTTCCCAAATTCCCACAAACAATGCAATTTTTTTCGTTGTTGAATACCATTATCTCTATATTCTTGATTTCTGTTTTATGACGGAGTAGTGTGTATGTATTATTTTTAGCCCCCTCCTTTCTCCTCCCTTTCGACACAGATTAAGATAATCTGGGGGTTTAACTTAGAAGAGGGAAAGGGTATGGCACTATGCAGTAAGGAGTTGAATCCCACTGCAGTGGTTGCACATACCATCCCATCTGGGGATGAATGTACTGTGCCTTGTTTCTCAGGCTCCTGTATCATGGTCTGATCACCCCCTGACTGCCTCAGGAAGAATCCACCACATCAAAACAACGGAAGGGATAGATGAGTCACGCATCGCAAAGATTTATGGTTCATCACGGATGCAAGTATTATAGGTAGTCGGACTTACCATGGAAAGTACATAAGGGAAACCACTGCCCCTCTCCTCTTTTTCCCACCGGATAACTTACTCTATTTATCTGGTCGGCCGAAAATAAGTGCAACATTGCGTATACAAAGGACGGTTGCACGTACGATGGTCTTACACTCTAGATGCATGAACACCCGCAGATGCTGCTGTGATTGGCGTAGAGGGAGTGGACTGGGCGTATTAGTGTTCATATTATTAACAGCTATCCCACCAGGAACCACTTGAATCCATGAAATGCTCCGACGACTTATGCAGGCAACAAAATAGTAAAATATTTTCATATATATATGTATAATTAAAATATTTTTTTTAAAAAAATATAATAATAAATAAATAAAAATAAAAAAGTGAAAGTAAAAGTAAAAACACTGACTCAATTGACGGTTGCTGAGGAACATTTACGTCGTTCCTTACGTCTGGAATTATAAAACGACTGCCTCATCAAGATGTGATGGGCAGTTCTTGGCATATTAAGATGAGGGTGATATAGCTAAAATGTTGGCCCATGACACCACTCGTTTCCCCGCTCCAAAGCTGACTATTGTTTGGGGCTTAATTTAAATATTTCATCTACATTTCCTATTAATCATGACTTGCATGCATTCCTGTGAAGACTTGGACTCTTGGAGGGAAATCCTCCGAAAATCTCTTCAAGCTACGAACGGAATCCACCCGACCTCCGGGGCGCTCTTCATCAATATATTACTTAACCCATGATCCTAACCGTTGGCGTTATAGGTGAACTAAGCCTACTAACGTAAAGATCTATGGAGAACAAAGATGCATGTTCCTAGGGTAGCATCGAGGCTAACACAGCTTAGCAGCCCGATAAAGACAAGGCAAAAAGCCAAGCGGGCGCCCCAAATTCCTTCACAGGCTGATCCTGATCCCTAATTGACAGGATTGGCATTTTATATCGTGGCTAATATCCCGTCGATTTCTTTTTCTCGCTCAGATTCAGGCCCCCCAAACCATGAATCGCTAACAGAAACAATATTTAGCATCTAAAATCTGGGCAGGAAAAAAAAAAATCCCCACAAGGAGGGAGGAACGAAGACAAAAGGGACAGCAACCAGAACACTCCCCAAATGGAGATACTCTCCAAAATGCGCAAAACCCGCCCCTTCACCAGCATGCTGGGCGCAGACCCCTCTCTCGACAGTCAACACTGCTTCGAAACGTCCTGGCTCCTCCCTCCCCTCCCCTACGCTATTCTCCGCGGCCTCATATCGCTCTACATCTTCGTGACCATCTTCTTCATCTGGGGCTGGAACGGCACCCATGGCGATCGCGACGCCATCGGCCAATCCTTCAGCTACTTCACCTGGCTGACGTACTGGGGCCTGGGATTCTACCACGTATTCGCATGCATCCATACCACGTGCTACGCGCTCACAGGCCGCTCAGTGCTCTTCGACCGCTGGCCCCGCGGTCTGCGCGCCCTCCACAGCCTCTACTACACAACGATCACCACGTTTCCGTTCCTGGTCACCATTGTCTTCTGGGCGATCATCCATCCGTCTTGGTTTGACAGAACATTCAATGCGTGGTCGAATGTAAGTTTCCATATTTGCCTATTTCGCGACGATAGGCCCCATGCGCGAACGTCCACCGCAACTAACCCCTCAATAAATAGCTCTCCCAACACGGCCTCAATTCCCTCTACGCCATGCTGGAGATCATTCTCCCAGCGACTAATCCGCACCCGCTGATGACGTTCCCGTTCCTTGTCCTTTTGCTCCTCTTGTACGTCTCTCTCGCCTATCTGACGTATCATACTCAGGGATTCTATACGTATTCATTCTTGGATCCTGGGCAGCACGGTAAGAAGAGTGCAAAGGTTACTGCCTATTGTTTTATCATTTTTGCAGCTATTATAATCATCTTCGTTATTACTTGGGGCGTTATTTGGTTGAGGAGGAGGTTGACCGGGGGCAAGGTGAAGCGGTCCAAGTTTGATCGGGAGAGGCCCATTGAGTTGCAGGAGGGGCGGGTGTAAGATGGCGGGGGAGTTGGTGTCAATCCATAAAGTATAAGTCGGGGTAATGTGCTGTAATAGCTAATGTCTAGTCCATGGATAGATAATGAGATTTGCTAGGAAGAGGTTGTATGACCTGATGCGTGATATATAAAAATGTGGGAATTAGTCGTTGGTTTGACATGTTAAAATACGTACATGAAGAAGGATTGGAGAATGTATAGGCTTCCAATGCAAAGAGAGCAAAGAGAGTGTAGATCGTATCCAGCGAGATCAGCATGTCATCGCTATCATTTTATTAAACTTTTTCCCAGCTGGTCTCACTGCTGCTCCCACTGGGACTGTTGGGCGATGTTATAGGGCCACTCCTAAGGCCCAGCATCCACCCCACCAAGAAGTTCGGCGCCCATTCACCGACCATACTGTAGGACCAGGCGCCGCGCCCGGCATAGATGACGGGAACTTTCGACCTCTTTCTTCCAAAGATATCCTTGGATGCTGGCTCTAGCGCATCCAGCACTGCATAATGAAGAGTTCGTGCAGAGGATCCGCGCACCACGCTAGGCCCCGCAGATGCAACAGGCCGTTGTTCAATGCTAGAAAGATATTGAGAGCCGTAGAGAGATCGCTGTTGTGTAGACCACGCCAGCACCTCGGTTCCGGTGATATGACTCTGTGCGTTTCGGTACTGAGGACCAAGGTCGATGTTGCCGAGCTTCAACTCTACGACGTCAATGTTGTTATGCTGCAAGAGACATAGCTCCCGTCGAAGCGAAGTTGCGAATCCCGACAAAGCACGCGTTGCGGTGACCTCTGGGCTAGCAAAAGGAGCAGATAGTGACGAGGATATCGAGGGGTAGATGGTAACGATTGTGCTATTCGTGTTGCGGGCGGTAAGGAGAGGTAAAAATAGTTGAGTGGTCAAGATCGGTGACAAAAGTCGAGAGTTGATTGTATCAGCCCAAGAAGAGGCTGGGACTGTCGCTAAAGGACCGGTAACATAGTTGGGCGAAGGCACAAGAATAAGTCCACTCAGCTGGCAAGTGTGCGGGGGAACTCCAGGCATAGGCCACTGGGGCTGAGTGATCAAAGAATGGATTTCGTTCAATGACGGGTGAATTTCAGATGTCGAAGGGGGTGTCTTCAAAGTGTCAGTGTGCTTTTTTCCGATCCTGCGATTTGCAGCGACTTACAGCCGTCAAGTCAAGCCAAAGGGGTCTGATATCCATCCGATTCTCCGACTGAACCAGATGTTCCTCATCCGCCGATGAAACGGTAATATACACAATGTAGCCTCGACGCTCGAGATCCGCAGCGATTGCTTTTGTCATCGGTTCGTGAGAGGACCCGGCAACGACTATCGCGACATATTAGCTAAACCCATTGTGAACTCAGAGTTGCCATCGTTGTCCTTGCTCATACCGACTATTTCCTTCCGAGCACCATTTCCAGCTCTCCTAGCTTTCCTCCGTCTGCGGTTCAGTTTCTTGTTGCCAAAATACAGAAGAGAAGTAGTCCCAACGAATGCTAGGATTGCAGCGCTCCATGCTCGATTCCGAAGGACCCAATCATGTGCGCGATCAACGAGAGACCGGGGAGGACAAACTTTCGCTGGTGGTGGCGACGGTCGAACCGATGAAGGCAGCCATGCCTGGTGAGAAAGCGTATCCCGAATTACTTTGGCGGCATGGTCGACCTGCCTGTCGATCGAGTCTGCGACATCGAGGGAGTATCTCCTTACGTCATGCGGTATCGAAGCAAGCTATAGGCAGGGTGACTTGTTAGTGTGATAGGCATGCAGGGGTTAGTAGATGGACATACATAGTCAAAGAAAAACTGGTCGTCACTTGTCATTTTGAAAGTCGGCTGTGAGTAAGTGAGAGCCAAATTTTAGAAGATGGGAAAGAATCCTATGGTCGCTGATAAGTCTCATATCGGGCAGGTCACATGAACGGGTATCTATCGCCCCATCCATGCAGATCGGTGGCTGCAGATTCAATCTTTCATAATCCAACCACAAGTGTAGCACCTATCGGGCTAGGATATCTACAGAGTAGCGCTGGTACCGAAATACATAGAGAATCTCCTTTGTGCTTCATATACTCTATCATATTGTCTGGACACTAGGTGCTCCGGACAGCTTGTACGGGGTGCTGTCAAGCACATAGCTAGTATAGTCTTATAGTATAGTAGTCCTAGTACTCGCTGCCTTAGGGCTCCGGCCTTCTTCTTGACTATAATCGTATCAGTTCTCTTCATATAGCCACCCATACCTAAACTTATGTCACCCATGCTATTTGCCTCAGTTGTACAGAACCATGGCCACAGGCACAAATAGTGTCGATCACGTGATTCTGGTGCCTGAATCTTCTATTGATTATCAATTCACGAGGAGTGCCACCCATAGTCATTACACAGCCAGTTTCTTTCACTTTCCTTGAGCCTCCTGGGAGTTTTGCTTATGGGATGTGTGATAGCGGTATTATTACTGGATTGTAGCAGTGTGCAATCCTTTGGTTTGGTGAACTGTTACGTCCTGCACTAATATATGTATCAGGAGGCGGTACTACGCTCCCCAAAGCCCCATAGTGATTTCTTAAAACTTTCTGTGCCCCCCTTTTTCTGACAGAAATTTTCAACATGCGGGAAATCGACCCTCTCGTCTTTGAATATCAACATGACAAGCACCGGCCCAGGGAATCCGAGGCCTTGATGATGCTCAAAAAGATCGCATCGCTGGTCAAGCCCATCATGCGGCGGAGAGACTGGAAAGTAGGGACGCTCAGTGAATTTTATCCGCAGCAGCGAAATTTACTTGGGCTCAATATAAACGGAGGTCTGAAGATATGCTTGCGACTGCGGCAGCCTTCTGATGAGCGCCAGTTTCTCCCCCTTGAACACGTCGTCGATACGATGCTGCATGAGTAAGACCATTCAAATGTGTGGTGCGAACTAATTGCTAATATATTTGTAGACTTTGCCACATAGTACATGGCCCCCATAACCGAGAGTTTCATGCTCTGTGGAACCAGTTACGCGATGAGCATGAAGAGCTTGTTATGAAGGGCTATACCGGAGAGGGGTTCCTTTCCGATGGCAAGCGCCTGGGCGGCCGGAGAATGCCTATCCACGAAGCGCGGAGGCAGGCTAGAGCGGCCGCGGAGCAGAGACGGATGCTATCCGCTGGGTCGGGGCAACGACTAGGAGGTGCTACAGTACTACGGGGGGCGGACATGCGCAGAGTTATCGCTGATGCTGCGCAAAGGCGCGTAGAGGTAACGACGGGATGTGCTTCGGGAGCGGAGAACAGCAACGAACTCGCAGAAGAAGCATCCAGAAACGGCTTCCGGACAAAGGCCGAGGAAGATGACGCAAACGAACAGGCTATCATGCAGGCTTACATTGATTTAATCGAGCAAGAGGAGAGAGAGAGGTACGGCCCTTCTTACGTTCCTCCAAGCCAGGAAAATCCGGCTGGGCCTCGCTCAACTTTATCTCCTCCACCTGTTCCCGAAAGCACCAGACCTACCCTGCCATTCCAGCCTCAAGAACCGATAGACCTTACTTCTGATGACAGACTATATGAGGTGCCCTGGACATGTCCGACTTGCACTTTAGAGAACCCGGCTACCTTTTTGTGCTGTGACGCCTGTGCGGCGGAGCGGCCACGGCCATCTAATACACATTCTGTATCTGGACGAGCCAAGATCCCAAGCAGCTCAGCGTTCCAGAACAGGAACAAACGTCGGATAAGCCCTTCGGCTAGTCAGCCCACATTCAAAAACCGCACCAATGCCATTGAGGCTCTCACCGCGCTTGAGAGGAATACTCCTAAACGGCCACTCGGATGGATCTGTCAATTCTGCGAGACTTTTATGGAGACAGAATGGTGGACATGCTCAAACTGCGGGACGGTGAAGGCAACCTCATAAAGAAAACAAACAAAGTGAGCATGCTCGCCCTCTACTACCGTCCTGCCTGCAGTGTGCCTATCTCACGATTTCACGAAATATAATGATGTACGATGACTTTATTGGACACTGGAACCTCCGATTACTGTGATAATAGCATTATCTAATTCAATCCATCAAACTAAAAAACATCCACTTATAGTTATCCATTCATCAATTGCAGTACTCGCAGCACTTCCATGTACGGGACTAAGTTAACTTATATAGATAGACATGACTAAGCAATGACTAATTTAAATTATCGGCCCATCATTTCACCGATAAGCAATACCCACCTACCAAATTTTCCTTTTTTCTTTCCTCCCAAAAGCTTCCATTTTACAACAAACAATTGATGAATATTTTACAACCACGCAATGACAAGATTTCACCACCAAACAACGCACGTTAACTAATAAAACAGGTATGCTGAACTTTTCCATACCTAATCATGAATCATTCCACCCAATACCGATGCTTCTCAAGCTACAAGGAGAGGAAGCGAAAAAACAAACAGTCCAATTCCACAAACCAACAAGTTCCAATATGATGAAGAAATTTCTCAAGAACCGGTAATTTAGGAAGAGCCGGAAGAGGTATGACGGGATACCTAAAATGGGATCACCGTCGTCGATGCTTATAATGGTTCTTCTGAGTGGAATTTATCTTGTTGGTTTGTGGATGGTTTGGGGTTACCCTTGATCTGCTTGATTGGTTTTCATGCTGGTTGTACCAGGCTTCAGTAGCTGTATGCTGATATGTTATGGTATAGATCTCATCTCTTTTGGCTTTCATCTCTTAGGTTATGGTCAAGGGACTAGGTATCAGGGGTTGATGGATAAACTGTATGGGTGGTCGTACATGTGTAGTGCAATTAAGCTTGCTTTATAAATGCAGACAAGTCTATATTTATCATGATATACATAAACATGAAATTTAGGAACCGACCTGATAAAAGTATTCCACATTCAACTCCCAAGGATATAAAACTTTTTAGCAGCCACAACGCCAGTCATGCATGTTAGACAGATACGCGACGGGAATTAAGCGATACTGACAAATTGTCGCTTCTTGCCCGTTGCGGTTGTCTTCTGCTGTTCTTCCCACTGTTCCTCATCAACATAGTCCTTGGTGCTCTGTTCTTTCACTTGACTGCTGATGAACTGCAGAGCGGAGAGATTGAATCCCATTTCATCCTTCTGGCGTTCCAGAACCCGACGGAGGGTGGACCGAATGCTATCCAGCATTGGACGCATCGTCCTACTAGAGATGAGTTGGCGATGATGCGTTTTGAGCATGAAGAATAGGACGCGACATGTGAGAGAGATGTTCCACTCGCGGTTGGCCCAGATGTCCAGGAAGGTGAAGAGCGCAGGGACCTTAGAGAAGGGCAAGACAAGCAGTGCATCTTGAAGGGCTGCAGCAGGGATCTTCTGGACGACATTGAGCAGATATTGCTCAGCGGAAATGTTGCCCAGTGCCATGTACAATGGATTGCGAGTTGGGGGTGCAGCATTGGGCTGGGTCGCTTTCAGAGAGCGCCACTGGCGCATGACTTCCAGATCCTCCATTCCCAGATCCAGGGCTTCCATGATCCGTTCTCCCGCCATGAGTGTCTCGCTAGTCTGCTTACCAGCGTCAACGGCTTCGGCCTTTTCGTCACCTTCCTCATCTTCCTGATCCAATGCGTTATTTTCGTACATCTCTTCGAGTTCCTTCTCCCGCTCTTCTTCGAGGAAAAGTGGCTCATCGGTCTGTTCCCAGATGCGGATACTCTTGTCGTGACTGGCGCTGACGATGAACTCCCCAGTGTGACTGATAGCCAAAGCCCAGACCTCGCCATGATGACCCGTCAACTTCTGAATTTGTTCAAACTTATCACCATCCCAATACTTAATCACACGATCCTTGCTTGCACTGAAAAAGTTATGCCCGTTTCCTTCCTTATTGTTCGGCACGAAGGCAACGCCCATGATACTGTCATCGTGGGCCAAAAAGGCCTTGTGACAATCACCGAAGTCCAAGCCCCAAAGACGAACCGTTTTATCGGCAGAGCATGTAACAATCATCTTGCTGTCATATGAAATGTCCATGTTCAGAACAGGAAGTTTGTGGCCATAGAGGTTGAGGAAGAGTTTCAAGGAGTCCGTAAAGAAAACCTTGACCGTATTGTCCAAGAGAGCAACTGCCAATAACCGAGCATCAGGGGAGAAACGAAGGCTCAGAATATCATCGGAAACTTTCAGAGTCCTTGTATGGACCAACTTCAGCCTGGGGGTCGTTCTCTTTGTACCCGGGATTTCTTCTTGGACGACTTGGAAGTTCCAGAACTTCGCAGATTTGTCGGCACTGCCACTGACCACAGACTTGCCATCAGGGTGAACATGGAGTGTCCATACTGGTCCATCGTGCGCGTTGATTGTATCCAGGAGGGTTGACGACGCAATGTCAAAAACCTCAAGCTGGCCATCTTTGTTACCCACCACCACAATCTTGTCTCCAGGAAGGAAAGCCGAGCACAGAGCGTAACCACATTCCAGGGTACGTAAGCAGCTCTGTGTACGTACGTTCCAAATCTTAAGGCTGCCATTAGAGGCAGACGCTAACATCCGGTCGTCCGAACTCAAGGCAAGAGACCGGATATCAGTGCGGTGACCCGGGATATCAACTGCCAGGTTACGACTGTAATCCTCTTCATCTTCGGCGTTCTTCCGGCTCATGTTGACCGTGTAGGCTTCCAACTGGTTATTAGTGGTTGCAGCGACCAGCTGAATACTGCGGCTCGACTTCGTTCTTATCCAGTCGAAAGACCGCATCTTGCCACCGGTACGAACGATCGTATGGGAGACGAAAACCTCTGTGACAGGCGCTGAGGAAATGTCCTCGGACTTATCATTCTCAGCCTCCACCACGGCGCCCTCCTTGTCAGCTGTACGCTGGGCTTCCTTCTCCTTTCTCCTCTTGCGCTTCCTTGCCAAAGCCTTTTGAACCTCTGTCTCTGAGCGGATGCGCCAGATCTCGACTGCCTTTTCTGAGCCGTGAATTCCGATATAATCCGCCCGGGGATGAAAGCTGACGCCAATGGTGCGATCCTTTCCATTGCGATAAAATGTGCCCCTTTCCGTCAGAATCCGCCGATCCTCCGATCCGACTTTCTCCTTCGAGATCTCAATCAGAGCGCTTTCATCAATCGACCAGACCTTGAGCTCGCCGTCATTTCCCGCGGAGATACACCCGCTCTGGTCAGGAGAGAGGCCAAGACTCCAGCACTCGCCGTTGGATTGTGCCACGTGTGTTTCAATGCAATGTTGCGAGGACAAGTCCCAAACTTTGATCAGAGAATCCTTGCCAGTTGTCAACAGGAACCCTTTGTGCTCACTCAGTCCAGCGGCATTGAGCAGTTCCAACGATGGAACGAGGAAATGAAGCGAAGTGACCTGATCAGTATGCCCGCGTAGCTTGAACAGTCCAACTTCTCCAATAAGATCCCAAAGAATAATATCCGTATCCTTTGAACCACTTGCCAGGCGGACACCGGCGCTATCGAAGGCGAGTTGGGTAATGGCAGATTTGTGGCCATTGAACGAGATCATAACTGTTGCGGTCCTTGAATCCCAGAGGCGGATACTACCATCTTCATAACTAAAGGCAAAGAAAAAAATTTCAAATTAGACCATCACTATATGCCACTCATTCGGATTGAGAGACCTACCCGACTGCGAAAATATCCTCATCTGTTTTGCTTTGGGTAACCACAGACACTTGCGCTTTGCACGAGGAATCTTTCCATTTCCCAAGCAATTCACCCTTCTTTATATCCCAACAAAGAACTTCCTCACCGGCGCCTACAATGGCTCGTCCGGAGCCGGTCTGGCGGGCTGCGCCAGCGAAAACATCATCGCGGGCCCAGATCGCATTCGACGTAGCGGAGGCAACGAGCCCGAAAGTTTTCGAGTGCTCGAACTTTCTATGATCGCAAGGGTCAGTATTGAGTCAAGATAGCGTAGAAAATGGTTAGAGGATTAAGCATACAGGTATGACTTCACCATCGTTGAGCGTTCGAGTATAGAAAAAAATTTGGGAGCTTCCAGAGCGATTGCTATCGATAGGCTGAAAAACGGCCGGAGAAAAGTACGGACGACGACAGAGACAACCGGCCGCAACCCCCACCGCCTGCCTTTCCCCCAAACACCCAAACGTAACTACTCCCCGAAGTACCAGCTGGAGGCAGTGACCATTCAATTCGACTTTCGTTTACAGCGGTGAAATAATCGGTTGGAAGGGTCAAGGCAAAAACTGAATATTCTATTTCTATTTATGGTACTTCCAGAATGCTTCTTCTCGATTACCATAACGTTCTCATCCATTCCCTCCTGACGGAGCGGTTCTCAGGGTACAGCTTCCCCCCGCCTCGCCCCGTATACGCAATGCAACCCTTACTAACTACTGCTTGCTGACCTCGACAGAGGCCCACCAGTTTCAATCGACCAGGTTGTTTCAGACTTCGACGGAGTTACCTTCCATCTCTCTACTCCTGAATCAAAGACTAAGATCCTTATCTCCATCAATGTGAAATGCTTCCGAGAGCTGGTTCAGTATGGTGCCCAAGAGGTGCTGGAGAGGGAATACGGCCCATACATTGTCTCCCCTGAGCCCGGCTATGACTTTTCAGTCCTTATCGATTTGGAGAACCTCCCCGCGGAACAGGAAGCCAGAGATGATCTTATAATGCGACTTGCATTGATGAAACGGAACGCAATGGCCGCCCCGTTCGAGAGAGCTTTCGATGAGTTCGCCAAGCTATCCGAAGAAGCTTCAAGATATAGTACAGAGGCAGCCCCACAAGGTGTGAAGGAAGGAGGAGAAGTCATGGCCATCCATTACCGGGAGGAGGAAGCTATCTATATCAAAGCTAGTCATGACCGGGTCACAGTGATCTTCAGCACAGTCTTCCGTGAAGAGACGGATCGTATCTTTGGCAAGGTCTTCCTGCAGGAGTTTATCGATGCTAGACGACGGGTCTTGACCCTGCAAAATGCCCCTCAAGTCCTTTTCCGCAATGACCCACCGCTTGAATTGGCCGGCGTCCCTGGCCTCAAGGTTAACGACGATGGCAAGACCAGCTACGTCACTTTCGGTAATCTATTCGACCACTGTGCAGCCATCGCAGGTACTAACAGTATTCAGTTCTCTTTCCCCGTCACTTGGCTCCTCAGCGCCGTTACGAAAACATTTCTCATATTCAGATCTTCCGGGACTACTTCCATTACCACATTAAGGCCTCCAAGGTAGGTTTACACGTTACCAGTCACTAGTGTTGGGCCATCCGCTCACTCTACAGGCATACATCCACACTCGAATGCGCAAGAGGACCGCCGACTTCCTCCAGGGTAAGTGGGAGCGAATATCGTTGGTGAGTTCCTGGGTGCTAACTGGTAGCAGTTCTCAACAGAGCTCGGCCAGAGAACGAGGAGCGGGAAAGGAAGACAGCCAGTGGTCGGACATTCCGGGTCCAGAGTTAGGTGTAATGTATATTTTGTTTCCTGGCAGCGGAGCTGGAGGGGCATCAACAAGCCACAATGTGATTTATTCAGAGTGTATAGACTGCAACAGAATTCCTTTACCTTTTCATCTTCTCCCACTATTTATATATTCTCGAAATGCATGGCTAAATGCTGCTAACTACCGAACTTAGACTGTCTTATGAGGAGAGCTCTGCACAGGTATACACAGAAAGCATGATGATGTAACACGTTCTCCAGTTTTAGCTGTATCTACTAAGCTCTCTGTATCCCTTGAAACAAACATATATGCACTGTCAGTCACAATGGCATCTTTCTCAGCTCCAGGCGCTCAGCCTACAAAAGCAGGACGACTTAATCGGAGTATCCGCCACAGACAAAGCAACATCAAAAGCGCTGTTTTATAATCGTCTCCTTAGCCTCCCGTCCCAAACTTCATCAAACACTCATGGTACCCATGCAGAGCCGACACATTATTTGGATGCTGATGAGCCTGCGTAAGCGTATTATCCACCCCCACGGCTCCGTATAGACCAGCGGGTTGTCATGGCGAATACCCTCGCGCGGGCAGGGATTCAAAAGCACGATCATACTCGCCCCGTCTGTATTCGATCTCCCCGTCTAGCAGGGCCGCCGCGACTTTCAGCATATCTGATAATAAGTTAGGATAGTCCTTCCGGGTAGGCGGGACTCGTTTTGCGGCGACATGGTACAGCTTGCGCTCTTTGTCGGCTTCTTGTACGTTTCTCGTAGCGGCCCAGGCTATGACCTTGCTGTAGTCGGACATTGTGGTTGTGTCGCTGTAGAGGTCTTGGTCGTGTGGGGTCATTGGACTTGTATCTACATTTGGAAGTGAAGTCCACTCGATATATCGTTCTAAATAAGACTGCTACATTGCACATCCTCCATTCCATTTTACTAGTGAGCTTTTTCAGTATTACTCCATGTCACTTGAGATGGCAACCGTAAAAAGGAAAGAGGCCTTACCGCTCGTTTAGCTTGTCTTTCCGGCTTGAGTACCCTGTTCCACACCCGTACTCGATGACCCCTAGTACTCCCCGAGCGCCCTAGAACACAGCCAATAACTTATTTCTGCACAAGCTACTTGACCTGTAGACGTTGCAAGAAGCGTTGCGACGAAGTTTAACCTAACATGAGGCGGTTGTACGCGGAACAAACTGAGCTGCACTGGCCAGCCAGACTCCGTCGATAGAACCACGATATCTAGGCAAAGAGGGCATTTTTCATGACCAACCTTTCAAAGAGTATCGAGCAGACACCATAGAGTGAATCAAGAAGCTCTGTCAGTCTGTCTCTCAATAACTATTCTGCGTCTATCGGGAGCGGAGCTCTTTCGCCTATAGGTGATTCGGGAAAAGACGCGGACAGGTAGGAAGGGAGCTATAATAGCAGCAGTAGCAGTACAAGTCAGGGCATTACTATCAGGCGGACTGTGTACATGGGGGTTCAGGTAAAAGAGAGGAGAGCGTTCGAGGTGATACTTCGCTCAATGCTGACCTTCTGGCTGAAGGAAAGAGCGACAGTACAACAGGTATTACAGTAGTAATCCACTGAATTCCAACAGGGAGACGCAGTAACGAGCTCTGAATATAGTGTATGGAAACTAGCCGCATCTCAACTACATAATTCATCTGCGGATACTGCGTTTTTTTGAAACCAGAACCCGAATTAGACGCATGGGCAGTGGCAACTGGCGAATATTAATATCTACAGGTCTATTGACATCATAATCTCTCCATCTTCATCTGGTGGCGCAGTCTCCCTAAACCCAAGATCCTGATAGAACTTATATGGCGAATCTTCAGGCTTCACATTCTTCAACGGATTTCCACTCAACTTCCCCTCCGGTGGCGTTGACATCACCCCTAACTGCTTTGCTTGAGGGTTGTGATGTCGTATATGTTCAATCGCGAATTCTACGCCACGGCGACCGTACTCGAGACCCTGATACCGGCCATCAATCATGAATCGCCAAATGTAGTAGGCCTCGTCAGGATCCCATATTGCCATCATAAGCATGCCGACAAGCGTCTCGTCGGCGTAGATGGCTCGTACCCACGCGTCTTCGGAGTAATGGGCTTCGCAGAGAGACCAAATATTGGGGGTGAGGTTTCCTATCTGGCTATCTTTGGGCTCAGGTTTGCCACCGCATGCCAGTTTTCTTCGGTGACTTCGCGGAATGTGAGGGTTGAGTCTCTGCTGGGAGTAATCATGCTAGGAATGTATTCCATGGCATTGATGAGGGTTTGAGAGAGGAAGTAATTCAAAACTTGTGTAAGAAGAATAGTCGCTACAAAGTATAAACAAAGCACGAGTAGTGCAGCCTTGGCTTTTTATATTTTGCCGCAAAGCGTTGGTCCCCCTCCTGTGGGGTTGCCTTGGCTCTCCGGATCTAACGTGATGAAGCATAAAGCAGCTCTGGGAGGTGGTAGGACCCGATCGCAAATTTTTTTCCTGCTGCTACAATGAGAGCATGGCTCAAATCACAATAGCAATTGTTGGGTTGCTACTTGAGTGACTGATAACAGCATTTGATTCATCTTTTTTGACCATGAAAACTGTGAGTAATCACTGAATGGAGGCCAAACATAATCTAGGCTGAAGCCTCTTCAAGCTTAGTGCTGAAATGGTGCCTTGGTCATCTGCTCTACAGACCTTGCGAGAGTCACTCGGAGGGTCCAGTGCAAAACCGCTACCAGTATTGGATTACCGCCTAGTGTAATTCAGGTCTCACATGGTCTGCAAGGCGTTATCTTGTGTATCCTATCAACTTCTGAGCGTGTCAACCTAAGAGCGGGTCAACTTCGAGTCATATTTACTTCAGGACCTGTTAGTCTCTATTTGTGTCTGCTTTAAGTCATGTAGGTAACATTAGCTTTGGTCCTGTCCACTTGAGGGCATGGCCACAGGTCGGTGATCCCACCCTGTCAATTACTATTCGACCTGCTAATTTTCTAGGATATAGACGCCATGTTAGAGGGAGTTCCACGACAGTCGACTCTCAGAGTGGATGGGACCACCACGGTCATTGAAGACATTCACAACTTATGTTACCAAGGAATATCATCCACCCCTGCCCTTTCATGTTGTCCACTTGCCAACTAGGAATGTAGGGACTGAACCAGAAGAGCCCATTTTAGAGCTACCAACTTGTATAGCTGAGGAGCCCATCTGTTCCAGGTGTGACCGGAGAAAGAAGGCTTTGATCTCGTCCAGAGGCCGAAGCGGATGTAGAGGCGAGCGAGTGGTAGTTGTGTAGCAGGTAGAAGCTGTACCAGTTCTTTGGACCCGCTTTGGTTAGATATTTATCGTCGGTTTGAATGGCTGTTGCGTTGGAATCGGTGGAGCGTCGGTAGTCGCCTACCAGGACGTCGATACACGTGGGCATGTGTTGAATATGGCCGGCAGCAGGGAGGGCGACGGCTGGTGAGGCGGACATCTCCAGATAATGGACGTAGAAATGAATGAGGCCAGGGTGCTTGTCGATGTCGGGATGCCGAAACTCCCGGTCGAATATGGCCTTCACGTCGTGGACGGGCAAGCCGGAGATAGGCAGCCCAGTCTGCACGTGGAACATCTTTCGAACGGCAGTGAACACTAAGGCGTCAGCGTAGAGGGCGACCACATCAAGGTCGTCATCTCCGAAGCTCTGGTGGGTTTCCTTCACAGCGTTGGCGTAGGCCTTGTCTACAGCGGGGAAGTCGTGTGAAGCTGGGTGCGCGGCTGGGCAGCGAGTCTGGATCGCGTTGATGAGTGTCTTTCAGGTCGCGTAGGTCGAAAAGACGCCAGTTTTTGTTGTAGTTGGGGCCTGTGGCGTAGGCTAATCCCCGGAAAACCGTTGCACAGTACGGATCATGAATAATGGCTTGCTCAAAACAACGCTTCGCTTCGTCATGATTGAAAGAATAACTCTAGATTAGGCTACGGTTGAACCATATCTGGGCTTCGGCGCTCTTAGTGGTAAATGTAAATTTGAAGGATCCCAGATCATAATACTCAACAGTTGAGGCAATTGGATGCACAGTGACTGCTCGGTAAACATTGTTCTTTGGGGTAAAAGGAGGATTGAGGGAGACTATTGTGTCTATGTCTACGACAGATGAATGAGAATTGATGCGTAGCAAAATGTTGATACATCATGAGATGAGAGCAATCCGAACTTCCATTCATGTTTCTGGTCCACAGACACGCCACAGGGTATTATTTAAGTGATCTTAGCTTTCTGAAGAGGTTACATCATAGAGATTGAGACAGAGATGTAACTGTATAAGGCCAGATGCCGCCCAAGGCCGATAGGATGATGATGGTGGGTCGCCATTGAAAGGCCGCTCAGCGTTTGAACCGAACTGGGCATTAGTCAGAAAAAAGATCAGCAAAGGTTCTATCTTGTGTTTAGGAGCTCCGGAGATTAACAATTGGCTGATTCGCCAGACAAATAATGAACAAAGAGTCGTCCGTTGTACCAATAAGATGAAGGTACTTTCGCCTTCGACCAAGCCCCAATGCGGTCCCCGTTGCACCAGAAGCAGACTGGAACAGGGATCATACACACACTGAGAGCTGCCAGGAGGGTGGTGGCATACACCACTCCCTACCGACTATGGAACATCTGGCTCGCAAATAGCGGGAAAATGGCCCCAAAAATACTCCGCATAGATCCATTTACACCCATAGCACTATTGGCCATGCACGTGTAACAGTCAACAATGTAGCTGAACCCTTGGATGAAGAGCAGGTACATCCCATATCCGGTCAGGAGACTCGTACAGACGGGACTCGGCCATGGGATGTCTGGACTTGCTGTCTAAGTATACTAGAATATTCCTATAGGAATGAGAACACCACCGAATATCATGGGTGGTAAATGACTTTCAGGAATGAAGGAGCAGTCTTCAGAGAAACAGTGATACCGTAAGTAGGTCTGGTTATAGACCATTACCCCCCACAGTGCCGGAAAAGGTACCGAAGATGATTCCTAGAGAGGAAGAATATTGAGACCTGCTTTCCAACCACGGACCTCTCCAAAAGCGATGGGATAAGGTTGATAGAAGAGAAATAGTACTCCACAGATGAAGGACTGGTACAGAGTTAATAAGGCGAGGATTGGTTGAGTGGTGAACAGCTCTGAATTGTTTCGTACGTCTAACGTCGGCCGTTACTTAACCAGCTGAGAAAGCAAAATGAATCACAGAAAGTGACTGGCAGAAGAGGCAGTACTCACAGAATGGTCGTACAAGATAGATCTGCGCAATTTTTCTAGGAGTAAAGCTCTCGTTCTCTGAAGCTGCCTTCGGATGAGGGTTGCTGTATTTCATACGCAAGCGCTTTGCCTTCGTCCGCAGGATCACAGGAGGATAAGACTCAGGAAAGCTGAACACCGAGAGAACAGACAACGTTAATCCAGCGATGACGGTCACCCATATCGTCCATAAGCGTAGGCCGCATATACTCAGTAGAAGTGCTATGGTTTATAAGCCGAGTACCCACTGTAGTGAATCTAAATCTCTCAGAGGGTGGGTACAGTGTCCAATATCGCATTTTAAATTCTTCTCTCAATCACCCATGAATCAAAGTCAACCTCAAACTCTGAGTTCGAAAAAAAAACCAAGGTAGTCACCCATCGATGCACTGGCAACATTGATCCGGAATTTATTTACTGTTGGGCCAACATCCCACCAATCATCATGCATCCATAATACGTATATGTGGGCTATACAGTATAACTACAGAGTAACTAACTAACCTATACGGATCCGGTTATCTAATCAACCTGGCGACCATACGGCTGCGTCAAGCTTGAGAAATTGAACTCATCATTGTCGCCATTACTGCATTTCTGATAGTTACTATTGGACTTGTGAGATTCCATTTTACCTAGTAATCTAGCACTGAATCCCAAGGCTTGCAATGATGAAATAAAGAGGTCTGATTTCCTGATCTAATAGAAAAATGAGCAATATTTATAGGCCGTAAAATGATCATTCAGACGTACGTTATCATGGTGTTGTGGCCTGATTATGGCCTGATATCATGTCTAAGGGGCTACTCCAAATTGAGTAGGGTGGTGACTGATCACGGAGCTTTAGTGGTATTTTTGGTCGACAGCTATTTTTGAGCCCTGACACTGCCTCTATCTGTTTACCTCTCCTGAATCTCCCCTTCCGCAACGATGAGCAACCCACCCATCGTCACCCAGGCTCCCGTTCCCTTGAGTAAGCCGAGCGATTGGCGTCTCTGGTATGAAAATACACGGACCTGCGCAAGTGATCGAGATGTCAGGAATTACATCAATCCCGAGGAGGAAAATCCTCCCAGCAGGCCAAGCGCACCACAGCGGCCCAAGCCTAAGGATATTGACGAGACCTTTTCGTCAATCAAGGACGTTGTCCGCTCTGGCAAAACAGCTGAATGTTGATGAGCGACTACGGTCGTCAGCAAGAGGACTATAAACACATTAAATCTAGGCTAGTGGCCGTCAATACGCAGATACTTGCTACCGTTTCCCGTAAGCATCAATATTGCATTGCCAAGCAGCAAGATCCTCGTAAAGCGCTGAAGACGCTGAAGAGACGATTTGAGCTGGATATCCGAATAGAACGCCGCAGATTGACTCGGGAGTATGCAAGACTCCAAGAGGGCCCTCATAGGTATAAATCAATGGACCAGTGGCTATCGAAGTGGGAACCTCTCGTGTTTGAATGCGAGAAATTGAATGTATCATGGTCTAGCAATTAATCTTTTGTTCTAGGCTTTCTTGAATCCATACGGAAGATCGGCCCCGACTTCGCCGACTAGTATACGTTTAGTACCGACGAAGGAAAGGAGTATGCGCTCTGGGAGATTTTACGACTATATCGATTACATTCAAAATTTTAAGACAGACCACTTCCAATGCTTAGAGTCAGGATATAGCCTGCCCATGGACGGCCTAGGTTGTTTGCCTTGCCAACAGTATATGTCAGGGAACTCCAAAGGACGTGAGAACGTTGTGAGACATGCTTACCTGCGATGTGAGAACTACCATAGGCTGATTAGTAGCCACTTTACCTGGCTAGTTATCTTGCGCATCTCTTATATAGAGCCAAGAACTCTCCTCCTGTAACTTTCTCCGTGTCTCCTCCTGACCGTACCTACGCCCGTACCCGCCCAAACAGTGACAGTCTCCTTAAATTCAAGCCGCTGACCCCAGGCCCCATGAAGATCCTGATATAACCGTCTCCGCATGCTATCCATGCTCACCCCTCTCTTGATATACTCGTAGCTAGTATTCCTGAGACACCGTCTACCATACACTTCCGGCCAGGGACTAGGACCCCACATCTCATCAAAGACCCTCGATCTAACAAAGTAGACTGTCCACCATCTGTAGCCTTGAAAACCGCTTTGCGAAACTCAGAAGGCAAATCAGTTTCCTCGGCGGCAAGAAACCGCGTCCCCATCACCACCCCTGCAGCGCCGAGCATTGTTGCAGCAGCAACACCCCTCCCATCCATGATACCACCAGCGACAATCAGTGAGACGACACTCGCCCCATACGCATGTCCATGCCCACCAGCATCACTCCCCTGCAGAACCAGGGCGTCCGGATAACAAGCCTGTGTCGCTTCCAGCGCAGCACTAACACTGCCCACCTGGATCCAGACTTGGGTATACTGTGAAGCCTTTCGAATCCCCTCCGCCCAGGCCCTGAACTCATCTGTCGTCCTGAACGATAACCAAGCTACAGCCGGTCTATACTCGGAAAACAGCGAGAGCCAATGCACGGCTGGGGAGCCAAAGACTATCATTCCGACGCCGACAGGGAGCACAGGCTTCGGGGTATCTTTTCGTGAGCTCATGAGGTCGTGTAGTTGGTGTCTGGCTTGTTCGAACTGCTGTGCGAGGGAGCGCTTGCTATCCAGGAAGCCAATCTGCCCCAGGCCGCCGGCGAGTGACGGCGACTGCCAGGTTGCTGGTTGCGGCGCCGCTCATCGGTGCATTGATGATTATTGGGGTTTGGGCCCAGGGGAGAGCTTTTTTGAGTTTGTGGATGCTTGACATGGCTTTTTATCTATTATTTGAAGTGTGCTGGTGCTGGGTGAATGCGAATGAAGGATAAACTCTGTATGTACTCCGTGCAATGATGATATTTCAAGATATCTGCCGTTCAATTAAGAAAGCTAATTGACTGTTGGTTCAGCCTTGGAGTAAGGCGTTTCAAGCACCATGTATATGTAAAATAAACTAGGTGACCCTCTTGTATTTGATTCTCTTTCGTATCTTTGCTGGAGGTTATATATAACGTGTCATGGAATTGACTAGCTTGCTACAATCCCAACCCACATCCTAGATATGGCTTGAATATATGACTTAACCAGACTAAAAGCCGATATCTTGAAGGGAAGTCACCCTGCGGCTTTAAAAATACACCTATATAGCATGATTCTAGAAAACCGATATGCAATATCGCCGGGTGGCGTTTGAAATCGGTGATTGTCCCGCACCAAAGCGGGTCAAACACCGGGTCACCGAAGTTAGGGTTGGTCTTGAGAATATATGTGGGGCCTGGATTGTACCTTATCAGGAGCTTTGGTATTGCCATGTCATCAGAAGAGAGGAAGAAGGTGCCATTCCTTCTTTTCTTGATAGAGTATCTTAATACAAGTCTATGGACAAAAACTCGAGCTACTAGAACTGGTCTGTCATCGTCTTCTATTCTTGCAGTTTCGACAAAAATGTACTGTAGATCCAGAAGCTCGTACTCGTTGGAACCCTTCTAATATCGCATGTTTAATTGAATACAAATGACAACGGGAAACCCCAGACCCGATTTCATCTTAGATCAAAATCGCACAGCAAACTCCGTCTATCTCACGTACCATGCCACCCACACCCTCAAAAGCTACATCGGCTTTCATCGATGCACTCAATGATTCAATACCATGCTGTAACTCCGCGACCAGACACTCGGCGGCATCTTGCACTTCTGAGCCCAGTTCTGGCTGACTCAACGGATGGTGGCACGCCTGCAGGTCTCCCGAGCACAATGAGGTGCGGACCTTTCGCAGCAGCATGGCCAGAACGTAGACGCTTTGCATCTTGTCAATAGGACATATACGGAAGCGAACGAGGGCATCCCGGGAACTGAGGGGAGGGGGCCATGGTATTGTCTCGTTATTGGAAGGTGCATCGGTACAGTATAGGTTCGGTGGTGTTAGGTTACGGAAGACTCTTAACACCACGAGGGTTGATTTCATACATATGGCTACAGACTGTTTCTCCGTGAAGGGGAATATGGAGTCGATATTAGTTATTTAGCTTAGCGATAGTTGATTAGCGGAGTAAACGAAGTCGATATGGTTAATTGAGGTGAGGCTGCAGTGTTCATCTAGATATAAGGGATGATCTAAGAAAGCCCTGAATTAGTCTTATCCGAGCGCTGAATGTATGGTGAGTTAAGGATCTATTATTATTGGTGTGGAAGCAAAGTAACCCTTCCCCCAATATTTGAAACAAAAGACAAGACTTACCTGTGAATTATGGCACTTGTAATTGCCTACAGGTTTCGGGGAGCAAAACATTCAGCCCCTTGTCGGTTCGTCACACACCGATATCGATCGGACTCGGTGGCAAGTGATGATATCACAAAGTTCTCGGATACGAACAGTTAGAATCGGGAATTGACTCGACTTGCTGTCCCCTTTCTCGAGCACCCTTGCTATTTTGTACGTCTGAGGAATGTATCTTGTGCTTTTGCTAATAATGGCCAAGGCTAGAGTATAGGTAAGTGATTGTCATACAATATCCGACTAGAGGGCGTACTTCAAGACAGTCACGGAATTTCGGGTACGGCGTGGTAATTCGAAGATCATCATTAGATACGATCGGACACTGGCATGAGTTAGTGAGGGTTGAAATAGGCCGAAGGATAATACATGCTAGGGCTCCAACCAGTTGCCTCTCAAGTTATTCTGAATCGAAGAATGATACACTAGAAACATCTACACTCCTCAGTAGCCTACGAGCAATGTGAATGAAAGTCCAGAATGGGTAACTGACTGTCATCTACCAGGCTCGACTTTGTGCATCTGAGCACCTTGATCCCTCCAGGTTGGCAATGTATAGCGGCAGATCGACAGCTGTTGCCAGAGCCTTGTTGGCTCGAGAGCGCATCTTCGAGAAGTTACCCCGCTGACAATATTCGTACACCCCGAGCAACACAAGGGCCACAACTGACTCTAGCTTCAACGGGGCACTGGGATGCAGCGAGCTCCACCGGGGCGATCCACCAGTGAGATCCATTGCCGGGGTCGGCAGCTCCGGAAGGTCGGTCCAATTTTCAATGCTATTCAAGGCTGCATGTGCGTATAGTTCTGCATATGATCGGCGTACAGTTAATGTGGCTTCAGACATGGGATGCAACATCTCCTGCTAGAGGAATCAGCGCCAGAACTGCGCACAAAACCAGTGCAAAAGGGGAGGTTGGCCAGTAAGGCAACAAGGCCTGGTCTGGTTGAACTGTTGCAACGATATTGTAACTGGGTGATTCTCGTACTGGGAAACTGCTGGTGGGGGTAATAATGGAAAGTAGGGATGTATGAACACGTAGTAGGCGTTAATTCTGAGACCACAGGGTCTGTATCAGTTGTGGCTGGACACTAGCATGCTGGAATGGTCTCAACTTATTCCATCGGGTTTGGACGTACAGATCTTCCCACACCCAAATGCTCTTACAGCGTGTGATACCAGCTCGAGGGAAGGATCATGGCTTCCATGGGATACGGTGTTGCTGGTGGGTAAATCTCTACCATCATGAGCGCCGCTGTATGGATAGGAGAGACTAGTCGTGTTATTATTATCAATGTTGCTCTCATCAACGAGGACTTCTACGAACCGTCAGGATAGCTGTGTATCTCTATTATTCACTCTGTTACGAGCAACGAAAATTTTTATTTGGTACCATAACTTTCAATTAATCCTGATAGCAAGGATGGGGATGGGGGGTGGCGTGTGCTCGTGGCAAATGGTAGTATGCTTCCTTGCATTTTCCGCTCGGATTCCTCTGCGAGCTCCGCCTCGTCGACTGGGGCGATTCCGGTAGTCCCGGCGTTGGTTGTAACACTGTCAATCTCTACATTGAGCCTCTCAATTGAAGGATGGTGCAGGAAGCAATTTCGCTTACATTGGCGCAAGGACTTTACCCATCACAAAGAGTTTTGATGGCACAGCTGTTCAAATCGTCAGCCAGAACTTCAACGTCTTTGTGCCAATAAAAAAGGCCCAAACCACAGGACCAATGGCCGTCTAACCCATCAGGGCAAACATGCCAATTTCACTGGTGGCTTTGTCGGGGGCATCGATAGAAATATGATCCACTTGATCGCCGATGCTGTGGAACATGTCGGGAGAAGGGTCGAGAGAGAATTCACAGTATTTACGACAACAGGGAAGAGTAGTCAATTTCAAACTCCTTTCTTGACTCACTACCCGGCGTTTGAACTGAGCTGTGGATCCACGGACTTAGGGTTACGGAGTGGTACACTAATCATACTCGTTCGGTGACTTCATTTACATACAACCAAAAACCGATTCCATGGCTCAGTCATCTTAAGCACTATAACAAGGATATAGCGTTTCGTTATAAAAGGCCCCGAAGTCCTGCCGAGGATTTAATATCCGTAGATTGTGTTCCCTCTTTCCCTCTTCCCCTAATTTTGTTGTACAGTGCATTCATCCTTACTATAAAACGGAAATGACTCTCGAAACCGCCGAAAAATCCCCTGCTGTACCGGCAAGCGCTGAGTATTACGATCTCGGATCGTTTGGGCACACCATTACCACGACAAGCCTAGATGCACAAATATGGTTCAACCGCGGCTTAACCTGGTGCTATGCCTTCAACCATGTTGAAGGCGCCTATTGCTTTGAGCAGGCAATTTCTCATGACCCTTTTTGTGCAATGGCCCACTGGGGGTTGGCGTATGCGTCGGGACCCAATTACAATAAAGGCTGGGATCGCTTCGATTCGCAAGACCTGGCTTTCTGCTTGAAACGCGCTTTTATTGCCTCACGACGTGCAAAAGAATGCTCGGCCCATGCAGCGCCTTGGGAGCAGGCGCTTGCGGACGCCATTATAAAGCGCTACCCGAGTGATACGCCGCTGGTTGATTACTCGGTGCCAAATGGAGAGTACGCTGCCGCTATGGGGTCGGTGTATGAGAAGCACGGCAGTGACTTGGATATTGCTGTGCTATACGCTGATGCCATGATGAATCTCACTCCCTGGGCCCTGTGGGATCTGTTTACCGGTCAACCTGCCAAGGATGCCCCAACGGCCGACGTTCAGCGAGTGTTAGAACGGGCACTTGAACAGGATGGCGCTTATCAACATCCAGGTCTTCTACATTTGTATATTCACTACATCGAGATGTCCCCTACTCCTGAGTTGGGCATGAACGCAGCTGATCACTTACGCGACCTCATTCCGGATGCTGGTCACCTACACCATATGCCCACTCACCTGGATATTCTAATCGGCGACTGGCGCCGCTCGATTGCATCAAATCAAAAATCGACCCTCGCAGATGAAAAATACCTGCGTCGCGCAGGCGCCGTCAATTTCTACACGTTCTACCGTCTCCATGATTACCACTCGTTAATCTATGCGGCTATGTTTGCCGGGAAGCTCAAAACTGCGATGGAAGCAGTCGATCGCATGGAGAGGTCTGTCCCAGAGGAGGTGCTTCGCATGAAATCTCCTCCCATGGCCGACTGGCTTGAGAATTTTATGTCTGTGCGCATCCATGTTATGGTACGCTTTGGGATGTGGGAAGATATCATTCGAATGGAATTGCCGCATGACCAAGAACTATACTCGGTCAAAACAGCCATGGTTCACTATGCCAAGGGTGTCTCATTAGCAGCAACGGGCCGGGTTAGTGAAGCACAGCATGAGAGAGATTTATTCAAGAAGGCAGAGACACGAGTTCCAGAGACTCGTCGGGCGTATAATAGCAAGTGCGCTGATATCCTGGCTGTTGCATCTGCCATGCTCGATGGGGAAATCGAGTACCGACGGGGGAAATATGATCAGGCGTTCAAAAGCCTTCGCAAATCTATCGATTTAGATGACAATCTACCATACAGTGAACCTTGGTCTTGGATGCAACCTACCCGACATGCCTACGCTGCCCTTATGTTAGAACAAGGGCAAGTCGAGCAGGCTGCCGGTGTATATCGCGCTGACCTTGGGCTGGACAGTACCCTCATCCGTCCCCGGCGGCATCCGAACAATGTATGGGCTCTTCATGGTTACCATGAATGTTTAGTGCGGCTCGGAAAGATGGACGAGGCGGCCATGGTTGAGCCTGCTCTGAAGCTTGCGCTGGCTGTGGCAGATATTCCTATCAAGTCATCTTGCTTCTGCCGGCTAGACACATCGCAGGCTCCAGAAGTGATCATAGGTTGTGTCACCAGTAGTCCTTGTCATTAAGTGATTGATTCTCCTATAAAAAAAAATGGATAGCTTATGAACAGCACAAAGTATTCCCTGGTCCAGAAGAGATAGCATAGCCTCCAACTGAGGTGCTTGCTCAGTTTGCTAGCATTCTAGTCCCGTTGAATATGATATTTGGTACACACAAGGCTTATTGTTTTTTCCAGTGGGCATAGATAGGAAATCCCGCAGGCTGCCGTCCGACCTAGCTAAGTATCAATGTGCCGGATAGGAACACCCGTGAAATTAAACAGTCCAAATCCCGACTCTACCCCTGCAGATCACAAATTCCGTGCTAGTCAGGGAAAGATCGATAGAGTCTGTTAGTTACCCGATCTAAAGGACGAAAACTTGCTCTAAAGAGGGGAAAGACCAGACACTAAGAGAAGAAGAAGAAGAAGAAGAAGAAGAAGAAGAAGAAGAAGAAGAAAACACTGAGAAAAAAAAGCCGACGCTGGTTGAAAAGAGAGAGAGAGAGAGAGAGAGAGAGAGAAAGAGAAATACAAAGACTACGTATCTCGACTTGTAAATTGCAGTGGATAAGGCCATGTGATCTATCACTTCTTCACCGCCGACTAACTTGACCCTCAACAAACCACCTGGAGAGAAACAACTTCCATACCCTTCCTTTTCTTTGTCTGACTTCTTTTCCTTGACTCTTCCCTTCGGAATAGGCACTTGTATGGAGCACATGCTTTCACAATGTGGAACTCAGTTCGACTCTTGGGATTCGACAAGAGCGTGGGGCATGACTCATGTTAGTATGCAGTGCCCGAACCGTCGGTGTCACTAGCTAGAGGGCCGGTGATCAATCAGCTGGGCCCTCCCTCAGCCAGGAAAAAGCATTGGGACCTTATCAGCCAATGACTCGTCGTCGTGATGGCCAATTATTGGAGAACTGAAACACCCTCTAATGGGACAACTAGCAATATCCATGATCAGCCGTCTTAGCATCTCTAACAAGCCGGAAGGACCCAATTGGGCCAGCGGTACCGGGAGTCTGGTCGAGTGTCACCCTCCCCGCTGCAAGGAGGTCTGAAATCGGTCTCTTTGGATACGTCCTCTTTCTCAGAAGGGTATAGTTCTGTCCAACATGGAATGCTTGTGGCCTAGGAGGAGAGTGTCACGCCAATCTCCGAGGCGCCCAAGACTCCCCAGGTGTGACAAGGCCTACTCTACCCTTATGCCGGTATCTGTCAGTAATCTATTACATGCAATTGTGTTCTCGCAAAGCCCCTCAATGCGAAGATCAATAACACAACATCATTGCTTTTTTTTTTTTTTTTTTATTCCGACAGTCGGGAATCGGCACTCCTTGGCGTCCCAAAGAGCTTTAAAAAAATAAAAAAAAAGACCCAGCGGAGGGAAAAAAAAGAAAAGAAAGGCAGTTAATAAAACGAAAATACAACCCGAAAGCTAGGAGCATGATACTATGTCTCTTAAAGAGTCATTCATGCGGGTGTTTATCCAACACACAACCTCGAACAACCCTGGTGGCACCCAATCATCACCTGCTGCCATCCCATTTCACCGAATTACGTTGCCATTGCATAGTTGCATCCTACCGGCATTCGGATTGCTATTTCCATTTCGAATGTGAATAAATGAGATTACAGGGGTTGGAAGTCGATCGTGGTATGCGACCAAGTTGGGAGTTCATGTAGGTAGCCCACTGGTATAAATAAGTACCTGCGGTAGGTAGGGGTCACTAAAGTGGGATCGTTTCTAAGGATTTCAATGTCCAGCTACTTTGCACCGCATAACATCGAGTAATCACTGCTTGTGTTGCCTCATAACTAACTCACTTCCCTGCATAGACTACTGCGTGTTTTGCTGGGCTTTACCCTTGAAATGACTATAAAGACCACCACCCAGCATATTCAGCTGTGCAATTTAGATTACATTCTTATTGGTTGGCTTGTAAGTTGCAGTTCTTTTCTTGGACGATAGGAAACATGCGCCCAATTGTCCTTTGTCCCCTTGATTGTCCGACGTCTTCTTGCCTTTCCATTTCCTGTAGCACCATAATTCAGCCTAATGCCTCTCTATATGTGGCGTTCGTTCCTCTATGTATTGTTGCCTCTTTTCAAAAATTTTTTTGTCGCGATCAAATGCATGGCCGCTATCTCACTAATAATGAAGCTCTTATCCCTTGATAGTGCGCTGTCATGGAAAATTGAGACCCCAGACCCGTTGCCTACTTTGGGTACCCTTATAATATACCACTATAAGCCCTTCGCTGATCTCTGCAAATTTGAAGGCTGCCTCGTTTGACACATATACCCTCGCATATTTTCCATTTCCATATTTTTTTGTTTGTTTCTCCCATCATAATTTTTCCTCTAGTATTTCGTTCCAAGGTGCATCCTCAAGGCCAATAAGAGTTGACTGGCTAATGCTTCGAAGCTCAGACAAAAAGAATTTGAGATATAACCACCAGATCACTGGTAGTCACCATACAAGCCCATCATGTCTGACCGAATCAGTTTTCTACCTCTGGAGATAGTCCTTCAGATTCTCTCTTACCTTCCTTTTGAGTCACTGCTTGCTTTCGGAGAGACTTCTCATACAAATTACCGATCGCACATCCTCTGCCTCCGGTGCCTGCGATTGGGGGTTTTTGAGAAGCGAACCCATTCCATAATCTCTTGTCTGCAGGCGGGCTGGATTAAAGCAGATCAACTGGGGGATGCCTTTCCCGTTGAAAGAGAGATCGGGCCTGATTATACTATCTCCATCATCCGGCCGAAAGCCAAGCCTGTAAAACATGAGCTCTCTTACAAGCGTGCTATTAAAGCGAAAGATACAAAAAGGCAATGCCCATCGGACCCGTCTATGATGCAGGAACAGATGGTCCGAGCCCAAAACAAAATCTTCTCTAGAATAGTGAATCGGTACGGCCCGTCACTCGTAAAGCTCGAGTTTATGGCGTACGACATCGACATCGAGAGTGCGATGGCTCTAGGTACTAGGTGCCAATATCTGTTGCGCCACCTTGCGCTTCGCTTTGAACATCAGCACATCAGAGATGGCCACATCAAGCCGAGCACTTGGCGACATCCAGCCCCATGCAGCGTTGCATGGAATCTTCTCATTGGGATAGGACAGTACAAACATATCGGCGTTTCTGGGCTAAAGACATTGATACTGGAGCGCGCCGGGATCACGCCGTGGCAGCTAACAATGCTCGTGAAGAAGAATCCCGATTTGACGGTGTTGAAGTTGAAGACTTGCAACGGTGCGCAGCCAGATTTCTTGAACTGGCTGGGAGGCATTGAGCAAGACCTGGATGACCCCGTAGAGGGAGATAGCGACTCCGCACCGGGGGACCGACTTGAGATTCTCTGGCTAGAGAACTGTCACCAGATTCTCACACATACAATCGAAGGATATGAGGATTTTGCAGATAAAAGCTGTGACCGTGGCCTCGAATGGGTTAGAGGCTTGAGAAATCTGAAAGTAAGTATCATATTCATTCTACGGATTTGTGGATTGTATCGCAGCTGCAACAAGAGCTAATAGCTCCAAAAGTCCCTTTCTTTCAGTAAATGCATGAACTTGCCGTCCGAGTACGTTGAGCGGGCGAACAAGACAATTTGGAAAATTCCGGATGTTACATTACCATATTATAATTACGAAGAGGGCACACCAATCGAGGTTGATCCTACTTTCTTATAATGTCTGCTACTTACCTGACTATGATAGCCTTTTACGATGAGATGATCTATGTTTCTTTCCCTTTCTTTCTGCTTTCTGCCATTCTCACCCTCGGCCTCTTTTTCCATCGGTCTCAGTTCATATTTCTGCATTAATGGTCATTTATAATCAGGATATTACCCTTAGCGATGTTATGGCTTTTCACGATTGAGAGATACATATTCCCCTGTCATTATTATAATGCATTCAATGATTAGATTTCTTCCGTGTGAGTAACCTGGTTCCATTTTCCTACTGGTTATATAACTTCCATAATATACGGCAATCAAGGTGCTTCTACATTAATCCCGACATGCTGGCATACCTCCCAACACTGGTCTGGGAGTATAATAAAAGCCCGCAATATTCTCTTACTCTGCGCACCATTCAGGGAAAACATGTAAATTCCTCGGCTTTCTTCGCTTCCAGCCAATCCTCAGCTCGACCTACTAGAGCATCGCCAGCTGAGTGGGCCAGCTGTTTTAAGAAGAAGGTCATCATTTCCTGCCCCTCTCCACCCTGGACTAAGTTAAGTCCCCTGGTATCGTTGCAGCATGACCGACGGCTTCATTTTACACTATATGTCGCGGGGATGGACCGAGGAAACATGTCAGTATCACAGACATAGGTTTCGGTTTCGTCAGCTTTTCAGAAGGGGTGTCTCGTACCAGGGACATCTCAACCCAATCAAGACCTCTAGTATAAACCTAATCGGTTCAGCAGGAACTCCAAGAAGTAACATCCCGTCACGCAGCAGGAGCAAAGCTCACCAGGGCCCGTAACCTAGCCCGAATCCATGAGCGATGACTCATGGCCACCAGCTCCAGGCTTAACAAAGGCTATCAAAGGCCAAGATCACAGCGGAAGCGCTACAGAAGGAAATATCCAAATATAGTTTCAATAGTAGAATACCTAAACCGGGATTATGTTGGCTTCTTCGTCTTGCGAACATACTATCCAGGCGAGAGATTGCGGGTGTAATTCTTGGTCCGTACGATGCGTTCATAGATGAAGGGCTTGGTGCTTCCCCGTCTGGGTCAGGGAAGCCGTGGGCTCGCGATAAAGTGCTTTGGAAGATTGCTGATGATGGGATTGACGGTTGAGTCGCCTGCGCACGTGGAGTTTGCTTATTGCCTTTATGTGGAGGAGACGGATGATGATGAGCCTGGAGATAGGTTGTAGCCTGTGTTGCATACGCAGACCTGACTCATTGCGGATGATAGGTGTATGCGTCTATTCTAAGGGGTGACCGGCTCGCGTTTATGAAGGCTATTGGTGTTCGTTTGGGGAGGAGAGGTTGGTTTATGATGGGGTTTCCAGGGTAGCAACTACGGTTCCGCTTATGAAATTGTATCCAGCGTTGCTTGCTTGTCGTGAGATGTGGGACTTGGTACCGGATGGGGTTATATAAGAGGGTTTGGTTTGGTTTTGTCTAAGTAGACAGTCGAGTGGGTTGAATGCTGGAGTACTTGGGCGTCTTGTCATTCTATAGGCAGTCGACGGCCAGCATGGGCTCGTTAAACCCAAAGTGCGAAGAGCAATCACTCCCTTGTCTGTCCGCACAGGTGATGAGATGATCTACTCCGGTTGTCACGGTCAGAATCTTCAGGACTAACTCCAGACAGATTATGGCTGGCAGAGCCGGCCATTCCACCCAAGCTATGCGGTGTCTGCGGCTTCTGGCTTAGTAGTACTATTTCTTAAAGGACGAGGATGGCAAAAAATCATATCATCTCTGCTCGCCTTGTTGAGAAACGTCGTGATACGTTGTCCAGCTAGGGGACAATTGTATCAAGTTGGGCCAGTCAATGATATCAACAGATCAGCCACAGCTCTGCAATCTGGAACTGCAAGATGAGCAGTCAGATTGAAGAAATTGAAAAACTCGATATGTGTACTGTGTTCAAGGGATTCTAGTGGTTCTATTGGCTTAACTACCCTGTTGTGTTGCATGGCTGAGTGTCAGCCTGGTGAGATGACAAACATGTGTAAGTAGATAATGGAATTATTTGGAGTTTGTAGTTGGTAGTTAAGAGCTTTGTTAGACTACAAATCATAAAAAAAGTTCTAGAATTCCGTTTGACCTCTCATAGTACATTTCTTTTCTTTTTGGAAAGAAGGGCTAAATATAGACGCAAGAGCTGAGCAGGATAGCGCCCTGTATCAATACAATCAGTATCAGTGAATATTCTTTCACATCCTCAACATACACTCGTTGGCTACTCTCCATCCTCCAAATGGGCAGTAACACCATATACGACCTTGCTCTCTCCACTGAAAATGCTCATTCATTGCTCAGAGTATGAATCCCCTGACTCTGCATCTTTCCTGGCACCGCTTTTGATCTCATTTTTACCTCCTCCATTCATTATCCTCACGCCCAATCTGCCATTGATGCACCTCAAGGCGCCGACTTGCCAGTATGAAGAAACATCGATCGCCATCCCAATTTTGGGACACAGCTCTCAACAAGATCTTCCCCAGGCGAGCCTCGCGATCTAGATCGGACGAATACGACGCTTTCATGACTTTTGGGTCCTCCGCTGTCAGCGAACATACCGACGGCTTTTACATGTACTCCCAGGCGCTTCTAGACCAGGAAAACAGAAGGCGGGAGGCTTTATTGCTCCGCCAATCGGACAGCACAGATGTTTCATATTCGTCCGCTGTACGCTAATCACCCTCTGATCCACCGGCTGGAACTGACAATGTGAGAGCTCATGGCGCCAATTCCGCGACCTGCACTCCCTTACACCATTAGCTCTCCTGAATGGAACATATTCTCTGAAGCAGTCAAGGCCCTCGAAGATGCAATCGACGACGATGCTTCTGACTGGATCCACAGTGTCCTGTCGATCTTTGCTAAGGTCTACGCTGTCGCCAAGATCGTGGTCACAATCCTCATGTACTATGGGATTGAGGTACAAAGTTACTCGCCCCAAGCGCAGGTTCGGTTTCCATTGCCGCGGAGTTTGAGCTGACTGCGGCCTTAGGTGGAAGACATCCCTGACAGTGTCCCAGCCCATATCAGACGTATGGAAGAAGTCGTGACGTCTGACTCGATTATTGACCTGATCGATGCCGTAGAGAGTCTTTATTATTCTCTGTATGCGAGGCTCATAATGGAGATCGCAAATGTTGACTTGTCGACTTGCTTCAACCTGGAACTCCGACGTGCGTCCCGCAAGGAAGGCTTTACGCTCCCCGAGCCTGATCATTTGCTCAAAATCATGGCACATTGCAAAAACACCCTCGAAGCGCCAACCGTGTGCAATAATGTCAATGTGGACCTTGTCAAGGTGCACCAGGATGAGTTTATCCGCCGCGCCATGGAGAGGGCCATCGGCACAGGGTTCTTCCTCGATGATCTCCTTGGATACCGCCGTTATACTATGGGGATCGTGAGCGACATATCGTCCAAGTTCCGTCAGAAATGGAATCACAATACATTTCTTTATCAGATACCACCAGAGGAGATTCTCACTGTTCAGTCCGAAAAGTATCTTTCGTTTATTCCCAAGCCGGAAGCCGTGCTGTCCATTGCTGCCACCGAGCTTCCTTTCGTCGACCGCGACAGTATTGACCCTGAGATCTGGGAGAGTGAGCTCGTCAAGGACCACCGCCAGTCAACCTTAGCCAAGATGGAAGGCAAAGGTATCGGTGATATCAGGCGAGGGGATGACCGACGCCGCCCGAGCGACTACATGACAGAGAGAAAATGCATCTGTCGCTCATCATGCATTTGTTCCTTGGAATGCACCACGGAGCCCGAGCGTCAATGTCCCTGCGCAGACCGTATGATGCAGATAATGCTTGCGAAACGTCGCGAGGCTCCGGGAACTCGCGACTTTAGTACCCGATGCGGCAATCTTGCTAGGGCGATCTTTGAAGGAGCTTCCTTGATCAAACGGGATATGGACGATATCGAGATCACTATAGAGCTGGACCAGGCATTTTCACTTGTGAGCAATGAGATCCAGAAGCAGCGCCGTATACCAGACCAGATCAACGGCGTGAAAGTCTCGAGCGAGGATTGAAACTCTCGTATGACATGGGATGATATTGATTGATCTCGACGGGGGAAAAGAGGGGACATGGGGTGATGATACGTTCTACGAGTTGGGCATAGTAGGGATGTTGATCGGATCATTCGACTCTTAACTCTGATGATCGGCGATAAGTGCTCCATTAGCAACAGGGATAGCAATCTTAATGAGATGTACTATTCATAGTATAGTATTTATATTTCATACTCTGTACCTTGCGATGATGTAATGTACGCGGTAACACTCGGAACAAGTGTAAGCCAAAGAAAAAGAGCCTAAAAAATACTCCCAAAAAGAAACTAGAGAAAGCCAAACTCTCGACAGAAGGAAATGACTTACTATTAGTCACAGCGTGATTGCTCACTGGTTTGAATTGTTTCAACCCTGTGAACCAGCAGCCGATCATTCCACCACCATATCTCAGCATGATACTGTCCCAGCAAACGGGAAAAAAAGAGGAAAGAAAAATAAATTTCCTTCCGGGTCTGTGATTCATTCACAGCACGCCTGAGAAAGAACAAAGAGACAGTGCAGCCTCTGTTTCTTTACTTTTTTGTTTTTAATCTATTTTCTTTTTAAAAGTTCTCCAGCGGGCATGGTGCCCAAAACCGTATCGACTTCGGCGACTGTATTAATATCCTCCTCCTTGTCATCACCGTGGTTATTACCATCTGCGCGAAATCCACAGTGGATCGCAAACTTCAGAGGACCCAGAATTGGAGTACGACGATATACTCGTGCTGGGCCCTCCTACGGCATCACCACTCCCGTCCCGGATCGTCCTCCACAGTTCCCCAGTTCCGGATCTCAGTCTCCATTCTGCTTCCAGACAGGATATGCGCTCTGCGCCAAACGGCCCTCGCGCCCCTTCCCCCCACCGTTCCTGTCCCCGCCGTCCTCGTCCTTTTCCGATCCGTTGACAACCCACTATCTAAGTCAGGATAAGAGATTATCCGTCGGGGGTGAACTAATTCGGGGGCTGAACAACGGCGACGACGCAGTCTTGGTTGCGGATAATTTCCTCGGGGTTGATGATGGTGTAGGGGCATGGGCTACCAAGCCCCGAGGTCATGCTGCGTAGGTTTTTCTTCTTTTCACACCTCTTGATACTATACTCATTGATTTTTGCCCGGTTAGACTCTGGTCCCGACTTCTACTACATTTTTGGGCTCTGCAAGTCGAACGAGAAGTCAATAATGATGCGCAGCTGGATCCCATCAGATATCTACAACGTGCGTACGAAGAAACGACCCGCGCAACGGCCACACCCAGCGAATGGTACGGAACTACGACGTCCGTCACCGCGATCTTACATTGGAAATGCGACGATGAAGGGAACACGAAACCTTTACTTTACGTGACCAACCTGGGTGATTGCAAGGTCCTTGTCATTCGCCCGAGCGAGGAGAAGGTCTTATTTCGGACTAAGGAACAATGGCATTGGTTTGACTGCCCCGTGCAGCTAGGGACAAATAGTGTGGATACGCCACAGAACGATGCGGTGCTGTCCCGGGTTGATTTGGAGGAGGAGGATGTCGTACTCGCTGTTTCTGACGGTGTTCTGGACAATCTATGGGAGCATGAAATAGTGTCCATCACGCTCGAGAGCATGAAGAAGTGGAATCAGGGACGGTACGACAACATAGGCCTCGAATGGGCTCCTCCGGAGGTCCTGGCGGAAGAACGTATGGTATTCGTAGCTAGGGAGCTACTCAAATCTGCGCTAGCGATTGCCCAGGATCCATTTGCTGAGAGTCCGTTTATGGAGCGAGCGATTGAAGAAGGCCTCGCTATTGAGGGGGGTAAGTGCAGTCTCTTCTATATAGTGAGCAGTGGATTGACTTGTCATAGGAAAAATGGACGACATTAGCGTGGTGGTTGGATCCTGCAAGCGGAGGACCCCTTGAACAAAACGCGCGCGATAGGCTATAAAGCTTTGATCACTCGATAATCAAGTGGCGATTCGAAAGACGCTGCTTGCAAGTTTCGTCCTAGAACACTCCGAACAGTCAGACATCAGTTCTTTGAAGATTGGGACTACGATGCGTCAATGGAACCGGGACCTGCTCCCAGCCATTCCACTGGGGCTTAATGTTGGGTAATATCACTCCGCACTAAGTGCCCGAACGTCGCGGCACGACAGATACGAGAGCATTTGCTATAGAAGGCATGTAAATTGATGCCAAAGCCACGAGGTTATGGACATATGCGCATATTGACCATAGGAAGCCAATAACCGGCGGGGAATGATTTGCATTTGGTAAACTATTTATGTAATTAGACGACACTGCTTCTCTTTTCATAATCCATGTTTTCTTACGATCTACCAATTCCATTTCTATTTCCCGTACAACTCCTTACCCCAAAATTCTAGAAAAGTAGATAACGCACGGACCACATCAAAACCGCAACTTTCATTCCGCCCGGCAAAATCAGTAAAAAAAAAGTTTCAATCTAAGAAAACCAATCGACGTAATCTCCAATATCATCCCAACCAACACCTTCTACCCCAACCCCACCAACCCGCGAAAATGAGGGCCAAACGCTCAAAGAAGTATCGCAAGCTCATGCACCAGTACGAGCTAGCATTCGGCTTCCGCGAACCCTACCAAGTCCTAGGTATGTAACCTCTCGCTCGGCGCAACCCCGAAAAGCACCAAGTTACTAACAAATCAAACACCAGTCGACTCAAACTTCCTCCAGGCAGTACACTCCTTCAAGATGGAGCTCATCCCCTACTTAGAACGCACACTGCAGGGCAAAGTCAAGCCCCGTACGTTTTACCCGGACCCAACCCGCTCAGATCAGATCTACTGAAGATATAATATGTAAACATATATACTAACGAGATATTAGTCCTAACAAAATGCTCACTGGCAAAAATAATGGCCAATCAACCTCTCAATCCCCGAACCAACAACCCCGTCCGTCCTGCCCAGCTCCCTCCGCCCACAGTCCTTCCTCTGCGCCACTGCACCCACAACGAAGACGAAACCCCCATCGACGAAGTAGAGTGTCTTCTCTCGCTGCTTTCGCCTTCTGCGGATGTGAAGCGGAACAAGGAGCATTATATCCTTGCTACGGCGGACCCGGCGACGCCAAAGGCTGCGGCGCAGGATGCGAATGCGAAGAAGAGGAAGCGCGGCGTTGATGAGGGGGAAGTTGCGTTGAGAAAGTCTAGGATGTTTAGGAGTGCGGCACGAGCTATTCCCGGGGTGCCGATTGTGTATGTAAAGAGGTCTGTTATGGTGTTGGAGCCGATGAGTTCGTTGTCCGAGGAACTGAGGGATGGGTATGAGAATGGGAAGTTTCGGGCTGGGTTGAATGATGAGGCTGTGAATAAGAAGGGTGGGGAGGGTGCTAAGACGAAGAAGGGGATGAAGAAGGTGAAGGGGCCGAATCCGTTGAGTGTGAAGAAGCCGAAGAAGAGGGTTAATGAGTCGGGTTCGAGTAGGCCGGCGAAGAAGAGGGATGCGGAGGGCTCTCGTGCGGAGGATGGAGACGAGAGGGCCGGGGATGGTGATGGTGATTCTGCGCCTAAGCCGAAGCGGAGGAGACGCCATCATAATCGCGGTGCTAGGACTGATGGTGATGGCGAGGAACCTTCGGGTGGAGGCGATACGGTTGCGATGGAGGAGTGATTCTTTCCATTGGGTTTGTGTCTTGATGAAAAGATAACTTTCATGGTATGGCGTTCCGGTTGGGCAAAAGACAATATATCAGTTTAACCAAATGTATATTTCGATATCGAATGCAAATTATGTAAATGCATCCATCCCGCGTTTCTAATCCTGGTATATACTACCATCTGATCATACACTCAGTCGTAGAAACCTCAAAAGAAGAGAAGAGAATATCACACAAAACGCCTATCCGCCCAAACGATCATGCAACATACAATACAATATAATCAATTCCCACCATCACCGACAATCAACCCGGTCTATTTCTTCTCCTCCGCGCCCACATTCGAAGACGCAGAGGAGAATCCCTGCTCAAAAGCCTTCTCATCTGCCCAAATCTTCTCAATCCGCTTCCGACTCTCCCTCGCCGATTCGCGGTTCCGCTTTGCCCGCTCGAACCGTTCCGCAGCAAGGCACTTGTTCACATCGCGCTTAATGTCGTTACAGTTTCCAAGGGCTTTGTGGATGAAGCCCCGGGCGTGGCATTCGTCCAATGCGGTCATGATTTCCTCGCAATCTGTGCCATTTGAATGAGAGTTAGTTTCGACTTGGGTCTTGGTAATCGGAAGCATGAGACGGGAGAAACGGACTAGCGTTGTATGGGGTATGAAGATGGGAATGCATTTTCGAATTTCACTTTTGATCCTTCTCGGTTCCAAATAGAAGAACTTGGTGTCTTAATCGAAGGTTGAAAGACCAATTTAACGTAGAATAGTAGATAGCCAACAGAACCAGTATGGGGCGTATATGAGAAATCTCCGAATCCAAACCCCGGGCGGTGAACCGCCATGCCACAATTTTGCCGGGCGGTGGCTGAGGGGCCTTGCAAAAAAAAAAAAAAAAAAAAAAAAAAAAAAAATCAAGCCGTCAGTGACGACTGAATTTATCTTCGGTATTCCACAGGCCTTATTCTTGTGGACGACAATTGATCCTGGTTTGAACAGGTCAATTCAATGATTTTTAAGGGATTTTGAAAAGTTTGATCTTTTTTTCTACTATATTTTGAATAGATCTGTGCACAGTTTACGACCTCAAAAGTTTGACGATTTCATTTCTTTTTCTATTATTACCGTTCACGATGTCTGCTATGATTACTACTACCACCTGGGTGCGACGGGGTGTCGCAGCTCAGTTTCCGACTCGATATGAGATTGATGAGGAGGAGATGAATCGGATATCTACTCTGGCGAGGATGCAGCTGGAGGATGCGAAGGGTGATCTGAAGGCCGCTCAGGATGGAGACGAGGAAGCTGATGAAGCTATGGATGAGGATAATAAGGAGAAGGATACTATGGAAGATGATTCCGGAAAGAAGTCGGGCACGGCTACTACTGAGTATGTGTGGAATTTTTCTGTGTGGATTCATTGGGTGATTATGGCTGACTTGCAACTATAGTGACGATGATTTGAAGGAATACGATCTTGATCATTACGACAGTGATGAGGTTGATGAGGATGGCGAGAAGATTACCATGTTCGGCAATGTCAAGTCGCTTGCGTACCACCAGCCCAACGAGGAAGACCCGTACCTGGTAATGCCGCCAGAGGAAGAGGATGAGGAAAGGGAGGAGCTGCAGGTCCTTCCAACGGACAACTTGCTGCTCGCGGGTAAGGTGGAGGATGAGGTTGCGCATCTTGAGGTCTACCTCTACGAGGACCGGGACGCCAATCTCTACGTGCACCATGACATCATGCTGCCGGCCATCCCTCTCTGTACTGAATGGCTGGACATCCCTGTCGGAAAGACCACCGAGGGACGCACTACAGGAAACTTCGTGGCTGTCGGAACGATGGACCCCGATATCGAAATCTGGGATTTGGATATTGTCGACTGCATGTACCCTAATGCCATCCTGGGTCAGGGCGGTGAAGGCGAAGCTGGAAAGAAGCCTAAGAAGAAGAAGACCAAGGCGAACGACGAGTTCCACGTCGATTCGGTGCTGGCACTGGCTGCTAACCGGCAGCACCGCAATCTTCTGGCCTCCGCCTCGGCTGACCGAACGGTCAAGCTCTGGGATCTCAACGCCACTAAATGCGCCAAGTCCTACACTCACCATACCGACAAGGTGTGCTCCTTGACCTGGCACCCGACGGAATCTACTGTCTTGCTGAGTGGCAGTTACGACCGTACAGTCGTGGCCGCGGACATGAGAGCCCCCGACTCCAAGGCACGGTGGGGCGTGGACACAGACGTCGAAAACGTGCGCTGGGATGTGCACGACCCCAACTACTTCTACGTGACGACAGACGGTGGTATGGTCTATCGCTACGACGTGCGCAACGTCCCCGCCAACCCTAAGGATTCCAAGCCCGTGTGGTCCCTGCAGGCGCACGACGACTCCGTGTCGGCTTTCGACATTAACTCCGCCGTTCCGGGCTTCCTAGTGACCGGTTCCACAGACAAGCAGGTCAAGCTGTGGAATGTCGAGAACGACAAACCTAGCATGGTCGTTTCACGCAAGCTGGACGTCGGCAAAGTGTTCTCAACCACATTCGCCCCCGATCCAGAGGTCAGCTTCCGACTCGCCGTGGCCGGCAGCAAGGGCGTCGTGCAAATCTGGGATACTTCCACCAACGCCGCAGTCCGCCGGGCTTTCGTGTCCCGGATGCCCAGTTTGGAAGGTGAGGTGCAGGAGCGCTTCGTGGGCTTGCAGGCGGACCAGAATGACTCGGACGAAGAAGATGCTGCCGAGGAGGTTGGTGCGGCCACCGGCGGTGCAGATGGCTGGGAGTCGATGGATGAAGACTAAGGTTCTGGAAACGGGGAAGATATCCGACGGCAAGGAGGCACTCCTATGTTAACTGCATGAATTCAGGAAGTTTTCTCTGCTGTGTGTATATCTAAGTGCTGTCTGCCTCCCGCTGATATGCAATGCAGAGTTGATACCCAGTTTGGTTTAAATTGCAACTGAATGCTGATCGAAAATGCGAAGGGAGGACATCTCCGAACTAAGCAAGGATCGACAAGATCCCGTCCGAAAACGGTCGTAGCGTGAAACGGCCCGGCTAGCCAATCAAAGTCTCACCTTAATTTCAGAGATCCAAATCAATTTGCAATTGAGGGTAAAGCCGGTGATTAACCCGGGATTTGGCGACTAATGTCACGGTGTCGCTTATGAGATTACTACTGAACAATAACTACGTAAATAAACAATGCAACTACAATTCAACCTCGAAGTGACAGGGAGACTACGTAGTATTTAGTGACTTTCTTGTTACACCTAGGGTACACGATGTAACGTCGATAGTGCTTCTAGGGCTCTAGGTAAGGTTAATCTGTGGAAGCCACATGGGATGCAGAAAACAAAAAAGAAAAGAAAACAAGGAAAAAGAAAAAGAAAAATTGAATTCCAGCCCAGTCGTGGGACGGAGAAAAACTGGCCAAAGCTAATCCCGAGGTGGTAGAACTTCACTAAGACTTCATAGCGGGTGATATATCCGCCCTCTTTTTGTCCGACGATAGATAGAAAGAGAGTGGTAAACGAAGCCCACAAGGCAATATTGTGTGTGTATTAAGTTTATCCACTCAGTGGAGGTGACCCGCACGCATTGACACCAAAAACCATTGTTAGGATAAGATTCAGATCGGTTCAGGAGTTTCGACGCTAGTAGTGAACAAAAAGGAAAATCAAAATCCATAACCATAAATCATATCAGAAGCACTTCGAATTGATCGATCATATGTCACCAGTCTACCAAACCCAAAAGAAAGAAAAAGAAAGAAAAAAAGGTTTACCTATTATACTTGGTAGATCACACTCTCCACAGTCATGCACAACAGGCCTTTAATCGACAGGGCGATACGCTGAGACACCGCGGCCGCAGAGTTGTTTCATCCCCACCGATTAGGGTACATGGCGCTCCTGAGAGGTCACAACGTTGCCGTTCCTGACGCAAACTTCGGCACCGTCGCCTGACCATTGCACTGCGATGATACATGATTGCTCTGCTTTTTAGGGCCGGAGTCATGGGGGAATAATTAATCAGGAACATGGGATAGTTCACCGAGGGCGGAAATCCCCAGGGATTTCTCGTCTCATACTGGCATCTAGGACAGCAAAAGGAGAATACCTTGGCTACTTAAGTATTCTTCTCATAGTATCCAAGGTATTCTCCTCCGATGGGGATTGGCATTTCACCAACATGAAAAGAGGGGGAGGTTGCTAGGTAGCAGTAGTAGTAACTGTTAGGTCATGGATTTAATTAAAACCCCCGTCGTATATGTGTCACGCAGGCTAGTATACAGCCCCCAGCGCTTGCATCGTCCATTCTCTACCAAATGGCAGGTCACAAGTAAGCGCGTGGGATAGTCATCCAGGGCTTTCTCGGCCGTCGGGAGACCGGATCATCTAAAAAGTCTGCCTGAGGTCATCCCATCTTCTTCGAATTGATTGATATTTTTAGGGACTGTCGGGGTACTTCCGTACGGCGTGGAAAATAATATATCGGTTGATTTGGGTCAATATCGGTCGGTACTTGTGGTTCCCATGGGTAACTATTACGTTCTCGACCATCTCGAAAGATCAGAAATTCACGGAGTGGAAATCACCAGACCCAAATCCCCTGGGCGAAGGCGAAAGGGTTTTCTTGTTCTTATCGCTCACCACGAATGAGACTGTTGGACCCTGGGAATACAAGAGAGTGAACCGTGGGAATCGCGGGAGGTACCCGACGAACAAGTGGTGAGTGGACAAGACGAAGGAGGAAAACTCTAAATCAGAGGCCATCAGCCTTTCCCTTCGACAGGTGGAGAGAGCCTGGAACTTACTTGAACCATACTCTCTCATTCTTCTTGCCTCCCCTACTTTTTTCTTCCCTCTTTCCCCTCTCTTTCCTTTACATACCTTTGTTTTTGAACCTCTTCTTCTTTTTTCTTCTCCTTTTCTTGATCCACACCTCCCTGTGGGATTCTTTACCTTGGATCAGTTATTTTTCTTCCTTTCTTATTCCCTCATTCCATTCTTCTTGTCCTAGTTTGACCAGTTCCTGGATTCCTTCCTTGTATCCTTCATTTTGGTACTCCGTACTCCGTACCTTTTTTTTACACTTTATTAAAACCCCGTGGCGCGTCCTGGTTGTCCGCCCCGAATTCCCAGTACAGAGTGCTGCAACAATTACTGCTCACCCCCTTGAGTCAAGCAATCCACACATTTGAGACGAAGTTCCCACCATCCGATTTTCTGCTGTGCAAGAAAAGGGACTATTTACCTCGACCTTCGTTGAATGAAATTTTAGCAATCTTGATCTTCGACATCAAGAAAGATCTTGTATATCAACATACTCCGTCCCTATCTGATAGCGGACATTCCAGTCATTGATCTTCCATTCCTTCTGGTGTCCACCCCGCAATCGTCAACCACACATTCTTTATCGGTACCGCAAACGAGGATTTGACAAACACTAAAAATAGGTGGACCGTTCGATAAGGAGAAGTAACAGTCGACCAAAAATAGCAGTTTCAATACAAACAACCTATATCTTTGGTCCCAATCCATCTACTGCTCGAAAGTTACCAACTTCCGCATTGCATTTCCTTAACCGTTCAGAAACACCGCCATGTCGTCACTGACCCGAGCATTTACCAAGCGCCACAAGCGCCCCGAGGTGTCCGCCCCGATGCCCTACCGGGAAGGACAAGTCAAGTTCTCCGCAGGCACCATCAATCGAGGAAAGATTTCAGCGCCGGTGGAGTTGTTGTCAACGACGAACATGCTCGCTTACAATGCGCCCGATCTCCATTCGGCAGGCTCTTCATCCACATCATCTCTCCAATCTCCAGATGACTCGGAATTGTCTTTCGCGCAGCAGAGTTTCGGATCGCCCATCACAACGCCAAGTGACTCTCCCATAGAGCCCAATCCTCTGTCGACATATTTTCCCAAGCGCTCAGCAACTGTGACCAGTCATCCCCGGTCATCCACATCGACTGCATCATCTACAGAGGCTCCATTGGTTCCCAAGCGGGCGCTATCTCATACGAAACGATCTCACCAAGAGTTAGCTCGCCAGCGTTCCATATCGCGGCTCTCGCCTCCTCCGCTGAATTCGATGCGCAGCAGTCCCGCAATTCGTCCAGCGCAGGAATACACCAACCCCGAACCCCACCCGTTTGGAAAGGAACTGGAGCAGGTGAATGAGGTAGTGGAGGAGTTTAGTGGAGCCCGTGTGGTCGATGAGGACGAGCTCTACTTACAGAACAGAGGCCTGATGAAGTTCACCGCGGACGAGTATTTGGTCGAGCTGGAAGACCTTTATGGGAGCATTTTTGATGATCGAATGGGTCCGATCGCTTCCGGACAGTGGTTATAAAGTTTTAACTCCTGCGCTCGATGACATTTTGCCTGAAGGGAAAAGAACTGGATATTCTTGTTCTCTTCAGTTATCGCCATGACCTACTAATATTTCGCTCTTTAACGATTTCGTCTATTTACTTGCTCTTATTACCGGCTTTATACCACTGGAGAGGTTCTGCTACCTATATCATTATTCTTTTTTTACATAGTTTCTGTGCTCACACTTGTTGTTTCAACTACATATTGTATCCTTGTCCTTTTTTTTTTTTTTTTTTGAATGGATATGTGAAGGATTTATGATGAGTCGGTGCTCTATTCTTAGTGTTCTAGTTAAAGTCATCATGAGTTGAAAACCAGACAAATAGTCCAAGTGCCGCAATAATGAGTAAGCCATTTCCATATTACCCAATCAGGCAAAGCGTATAGATTGAGAGCTACACAGTACGCGCCGGTCACGCACTGGTCACGGGGATGGCTCCACCTCAGCCCCACAAGAAAAATTTCAAGCAGGATGCTTCTCCGCCTAATTAGGTGTCCCTCGAAGACAAGGTTGCTTCACTTCAACTGCCTGCGTCTAACTGCACTTTTACCGCAATCGTGAGTGTTAGATGACAGATGGGGCTACCTTCAGTCACCATTAACCCATAGCGCCTCTATCAACTGTAGCATCAGCGGAATACGCGAGCTTTGACCACGCTAGGCGGTGTCGTGTGCTCTCCGGTCATTGTTCTCCAACCCTCTCAGCTTGTATTATAGCGAGAGGCCACGGGTCCAACAAATGACGAGCCTTGGCCAAAGTCTCTCTTTTTTCCTGCTGCATATTTGAACATTCCTGCTGACCTATCATGGTCGCCCTCGCCACGCCATCGCGCAACCCAGCGACGGGAATCAAGAAACCCATCCGCTCCAAGATGCTGCCTACGTCTTCACCTGCGCCCATCTTAAAGACAGCTAAGGAGACCCCTACGACCGGTATAAAGCATAAAATGGAGGATATGAATCTTTCCCTGTCCCCTTCGTCCTCAGGTTCTTCCGACGGCGAGGGGCTCCCCAGCCCGAGGAAGCGGGCTCGGGTGCAGTTCAAGGATGTTGAAATAGTTTCATTCGATGAAAGGGAGCAAAGAGACACCGGGACTCCAGAGAAGAGTGCGGCTGTGGTTCGCGAAGAGGTGCGCCGTGCTATCCAACGGCACGTCTCGGGCACCGACAGCGAGGCCTACGACCGTATCAAGGAAGTCTTCTCGGCGGATCCCCGGCGTGGGGAAGAGGATGGCATGTTTTCCTACGATGTACCTACACACACGACTTTAAGATATCACCTTCTGGGCCTTTTGTCAAATGTCGCTTCCTTGGATCGGAGCTGCAATGGGCTGGTTAATGCTGTTTTGAACAGTGTGTGGCTCGGGCGCGACGAGTCCTACGTTAAGTTGTATATTCGCTTCCTAGGTAATCTTGCGGCCGCCCAGGGAAGCTACTTGGGGTCGGCACTCAATATGCTGGTCAATTATTTGGGTGAGATTCCCAAAGGTGCGGGCAAGCTGCCGGGCTATGCCCCCGTCCACGCATCGGAGATCTACACCCGGGTTCACATGGCTATTCGCCATATAGTGCATTTGATTCCGTCCGGTAGCGGAGCATTGTCCCCCATCTTGTCTATGCAGTTTCCTTTTGATACCGATGGTCCCAAAGCCAACATTGCGTACACACAGAACCTCATCAGAGTAATTGGCTACGTCCCAGAACTCCAGGGGGACATACTTGCTCTTATCACGGAAAAGCTCGTCAAGATCGACGTTCAGATCCAAGTGGATATGGACGATCTTGACGATGAAGAGGAAGAGGAAGTTCTGCATGCTGTTTCCCCCGGTGCTGTTGCCTTCGGCGACGACGACGATGATGACAATGCGTCGGTCATGAGCGATGACTCAATAGACGCCGAGTCTCGGCTTAAGACAATCAAGGATAATGTTCTCCAACTGGATGGCATGATTGATGCGCTCTTTGCGTACTACGCACCTACGTTCGCCTCGGGTACCCTGGATGACAAAGAGAATACGCTCGACCTCTTACTCAGTCACTTTCAGAGCATTATTCTCCCGACTTATCGCTCGCGCCATTCACAATTCCTCCTCTTCCATTTCTCCCAGTCCTCCCCCGATCTCGTTGACCGCTTTACCACCGCCTGCATCGAGCTTGTCTTCAGCAAGACGCAGCCAGCTATTACGCGTCAATCTGCAGCTGCCTATCTTGCCAGCTTTGTTGCCCGGGGTGCACACATCTCTGGTGAAATTGTGCGAGATGTCTTTGGTTTGCTTGGTGGGCATCTGAAGGATCTCCGAGACATCTACGAACCTGCCTGCCGAGGCCCTGACCTGCGTCGCTATGGTCCCTTCTACTCCACCGCACAAGCCCTACTCTACATTTTCTGTTTCCGCTGGCGGGACCTGACCACTGCTGCAGCGGAAGGCGATAGCATTGAGCAAGTAGACGAGCTCGAGTTAGAAGACATCACATTCCCACCAATGGTCAAAGAGATTCTCCACCAGACCATCTATTCCAAACTGAACCCGCTCAAGGTGTGCTCTCCCGCTATCGTGTCAGAGTTTGCACGGATGTCTCAACATTTGAACTTGATGTACGTTTTCAGCATTCTCGAAACGAACAAGAGAATCCGCATGACTTCTTTCCGGAACCTGTCTGCACTGGCAGATCCGCGTTTCAGCCAAGTCGAGCGAGAGACTCGTGCAGGCGATGACCTCGGTTACCAACTCGACGCTTACTTCCCATTCGATCCTTATCAACTCCCTCGCAGCCGACACTGGGTGGAAGCTGACTACATCCACTGGCGGGGCATCCCCGGCGATGATCATGAAGATTCTGACAGTGAGGTTGACGATGATGTTGAGTCTGACGATGGTTTAAGCGACGACACTGGCACTGATGAAGAGTAGATCGTTTCTTTGAAAGAGACTATTGCTTTCCTTTCTTTTCCTCTGCGGTTCTCAATACCCATTCTTGAGCATTGCCTAACGAACCTTTAAAAAGCACAAAAGTCCTTTATCTTGCTGTTAGCGTGGCGTCTGGAGCGTCATTCATGTCATTTTCTACCGTGTCGATTTCTTTTCTCCTGATCTTGCGAGAGATACCTACCATTCTTTGTTTGATTTGGTTCTGCCACCTACTATAGTACTTGATATGCATGAACGTGATGTGATTGGTGAATGTGTGCTAATGCATGGTATCAATTGAAATACATTCAATTTTGGGAAATTTACTTTCCAGTCTGTCTTTCTGTAGCAGAGTGTAATGCAATTCCCCACATATAGTGTACATATATATATCTCTAAATAAAGCTTCACATATAGCCCTAAATTTACAACCCTAAATTACCTACGAAAACCTCCAACCTCCTAGTGAGTCAAGACTTTACCAACAACCCCTCCCGTAAAGAAGGAACCTCAACTCCAACCACAAAAACAATCTTGTCAAACGCCTCACCCCCATACCGCATTCAACCCACAAGCTGCCACGACGCACAGAACGACTTCAGCGTCTGCTGCCCAGGCAAAGCCGACATGGCGCCCCCGTCCAAGGGCAGAATATCAGATTCTCACACGCCAATCCTGCTTTACCAGCTCCGATCCATTACTACGACCAGCCCGAACGAGAAGATCCCTCGCCTCAGCATGTAAAGCCGGGGCTTCTACTTCAGTAGGATGAATCCTAAGATCAGGAGAGATAATCCTAAAGCCTATGAACATGTAGACCGTCTGAAAGATCGTTTGGATGGAAGCCAGCATCGAGACATTATAATGGTTTGTGAGAGCTTGTGACCCGGACCAGCATCTTGAGTTATAGTTAGGGCTGTAGTTGTATTAGCATCAGAAATTTGGGATTCGATTTAGCCACACCCATGTGCAGTTGCACTTCATGCTCTGGGCGCGGGTTTCTTCGATGGCGAGCATGATTGTCCCCGTTATGGCGCGGTAGAGGATGTTCAGCGAAGTCAAAGGGGCTGGTGGTTTAGAACTATGCCCACGCCGTATTGGTCTACTGTTAATGGAGTGATATCAAAGTAGACGGTGTGAACTCACCTTATTTGGTGCAGGGGCGAGAAAGCCCCGTAACACCACAACTGGGTAATCCGACTTATTCAGATGGGGAAACCCTAAGCTCTCATATAGAGGTTGGGGAAAGCAGAACTCGCAGGCGACTAATTTGTCTGTATCCAGCTAGACTCACGAATATGGGAACATATAATTCGAAGGTATGCCTGCTAGGTGATCTGCCAATACTCCCAGCGTAATATCTTTCCACTTAATAGAAGAATTGACGGCGCTTAACTCGGGAAAGAAATCCGTCACTGGGCTCTGGAGGCCATCTCCAGACTTCAACAGCATCAAGTTGAAGAAAAATTTTTGTTACTGAGCTGAACATATACTGTGAGCCCCAGTTTGCCAAAGTAGATCCTTCTGTGTTTGGCTTTGCCCGATGATGGTACTCCCAGAGTGGTTTTCCATTCGTATGTTGAACTCCATTTGGAGAAACGACAGCCAGAGAGAAAGAGACGTTATCCACCACCCAGCCAGCTTTGATCCCCCCTTTCAGTACAAAGTTTGAGCATATGGTAGATTGTCTGTAGCCGTCCGGAAGTGTTTTGATTGTGCTAGATTTGTTGGTTTGGGAAGAAGAGGACCATCTGGTGGACAGCCAGTATAGGATGGATCCGGGGTGAATGAGGGTGCTGATGGGAGTTGCGCAGATCTAAGTCCTATAATTAAGAAGCTCCACGCTATATGATGCACTGAAAGCATTGTGAATCCGTCTCAGGTCATACAATTGATCCAGACGCTAGTTTCGATGTCGCGTGAGCATACCGGTGATTTATATACTTCCGTTTAGACATTTGATAAGCTACGATGACGCGTGTCAGGCTACGTCGACTTTGTAGGATACGAGCTTCCAGTGCAATGATGCGAGTCATGGCATCAATTGAGTAACAGCTGGAGTACCTGGTAAGTAGTATGAAATGGTTGAGGTTGAAGTGATGTCCGCATTAGGCAAGCGTCGTATTCCGATGGTCAGTGATCATCGATGGCTTGGCAAACAGGTCGACCTCGATATTTCTAGCCCTCATCCCCTACTCTACCTTAATCTCGACTGTGGTTCCGAGTAACAGCTGCCGAGAAATTGGTGCCCTTGGAAGAATAACAAAAACAAAGAAGAAGAGCCAACGGTTGGACCATCGATGATTGGTCTCAGGTAGTCGCCGATTAGAACAATATACCCAACGGCTCAGCAAACCATACACCCCCCGGTCTACCCAACCCGTCAATGCAACAAGGCCTCGGCAGTTCCAGAATATGCCGAAACAAAGGGGGAAATGACCTCTAGGTGGCTACCTCTTGTCAGGGACAAGTCGTTTTGATATGAGAAAATAGCGTTCTACGTGCTTAGTAGCTCGGCTCCTACGGAAAGGACCTGTCCATAAAAGCAGGGATTGAGCACCCAACACCTCGGTTTGACTCTTGCAATAGCCTTGAGTGTACGAGCTCTGAATTCCTAAAGCGTCAATGGACGGCGTCAAGCGATACTATAGCTCTCTCGAGACACGCTTAGCGAACAGGCTTCTAGGGCGGCCGCGCTCATCCCGGTTATTACTCTCCAGATGTCTGGTGGCCATTTACAGTCCATGGGGATCTTATCGTAATGGAAGATCAAGTGTTCCGGTCACTGCGATTGAGTCCGGGGGCTCGAGTCCTTGATGCCGGCTGCGGAGACGGCCAGGTTGCTATCTACTTCGCAGAAGGGATTGAAGGTCTATGCCATCGATGTTCTTCCGCAGCAAGTCCAACAAACACAACAGAACGTCCGGGAGGCTATTGATGAGGTCGATTGGGCGGCCGGACTCAAATCAGATACGGTCACAGCCTTGGATGCACTGACGGTCCAGCAAGGTGACTATCATGACCTTCGAGCAGTGGAAAACGGTTCCTGCGACGGTATCTACACAATGGAGACACTGGTGCATGCAACAAACTTAAGCCGCGTCTTCTCGGAGTTTTACCGAGTGCTGAAACCTGGAAGAAGGATCACTCTATACGAATACGATCATTGGAGTAGTGAAGACGTTCAGCAAATAAGCCCATCGGCAGAAGAGGAGGCTATGGACAAGGTTCACTTGTACCGTGCTATATCAAAGACAGCAAATGGACAATCACCGTCTCTGATGCAGGATCGAAGCGAACATTCTTACCCTCGGAAAGGCCTGATCGGGACGTTGAGCAAGTTCGGCTTCGGAGGTGTTCAGGAATGGGATATTACGCAGAATGTAAAACCCATGATTCGTTTTCTCTCTTGGGACCTATACATCCCATCTATGATTGTGTTGGCTTTGGGTCTAGAGGCACACTCTATCAACGCCGTTGCTATTGTCGTCAATAATCAGCGTGGGTGGAAGTATATTGCAGTGACGGCGCAAAAACCTGTGACAAGGACTGTACAGTGTATGGTAGACTGTATATGATTGGAAGGACTTTTCATTTAATCAAAATACGTTTTTAATTTTTTTTTTTTTTTTTTTTTAATAATATCTGTCGAATGGAATGTTGTCTTCATTGCTCTTGAATGCCTTACTGTACACTATTGAAATCCCATACTCGCTTGACCGAAACGCCGTTTATACATCTCAACCCGAGAAAAGAGAAGAAAGGCCCACTGACAGACCGAAACCAGCGATATAAACCGTGGTGTAGCGTCTATGCATTAAAGATGGCTTTCATGTCCGCACAAGCGTCGCGGTACAGAATATCCACCTGTTCCTGATCCCGCCACGGATTGGGCGATTTATCCCAGGCGTGTGGCACTCTCTCGATCATCATGGCGCGGACATGCTTGTTAATATTTTGTAAGCGACGCACGAACTGTTGACCTTCGTTGAGTAGCATGTCCCATTCACAGATGTACAGAAAGATGTCATGTGGCAGAGCGTCGGCTAGAAGTGCATCCGCGGCCCGAACGGGCGACGCATACGGCGATCGGCGCTCTTCAAGGTCCGGTAAGTAAGCCTCGTCGAATAGACTGGTAAAGAACTCTGGGAGGGTCTTGTCGGGCATAATACTCGCAGCCCGCCGATGCTCACGGGGCTCTTCGAAATCTAAGATGGGATACCAGCAGAAGAGGGCGACGATGTTCACGTCGCTGGCGGACGCATCGACAAGCTGTTCCGTGGACTGCGCGCGATCCAGCCATGGATCTCGAGATTCCTGACACATTAAACTCCGAAGTCGCAAAGGCACCGTAACCGCCAGATTGCCACCCGCGGAAAACCCACTGAGGGCAATGCGGGAGACATCCAGTCCCAATTCAACGGCATGGGCGGAAAGATACTGGATCGCTCGCACGCCGTCGTCAACGGCGGCGGGAAACGGATGTTCGGGAGCTCGACGATATCCGACGCTGACCATGACAGCGTCCACTTCGGCCAGGACGCACTGGGCCCAGCGACTATCATCGGTCGGACATCCTAGAGTAAACCCACCGCCATGGAAATTAACCACTACAGGAAACCTGCGACCTTCCTTGATCTCCCGAGAGTACTCGGCGGGACAATAGAAGTATAAATCAATTCGTGACGACCCAGTTGGGATTGATCGTACGAAGGAACGACGAGGCGGTCGCGGGGATGAAATATGGTGGATAAACATGCCTATGCGCATGAGGAACCGCCAAAAGACGGCCTGTACGAGAAGCCACCATCGAGACGACGCCATGGCTAATTGGATCTGGGCCTTGTTCGAAGGGACGAACAAGGACAATTAGGTTTAGGGAAGGGCAATCAAAGAGATCATGAATTATTAAGATAACCAAAAGAGAGAGAGATCAGCTGAAAGGATCACGAGGGAGTGAGAGAGGGAGAGAAGGAGAGAAAATTAGAGCCTTTTTTTTTACTTTTTTTTTTTATTTTTTTTAAGTGTGAGGCAAATTTGGGGGAATCCAAAGAGTTTGAGTCGTAATCAGTTCACTCTATTGATAGATCAGGAACTAAGAAAAAGCCAAGACGGCAATGGGACAACTTTTGAAATGTATTTTGTTTATGGTTCATGCGGAGAGATAAGGAGGGAAAGTAAAGAGAGTTAATAATCAGAAATGAAGGGCAAAACCGGGGATCATTGGATTGCCTCATCATCCGATCATTCCAGACACTCGGAGGAACTTGGAACTGAAAAGGAAAAAAAGAAAAAGGCCATTGATCCAGCCTATGACATCACGGCGTCTTGCGAACCCTAGACAAGGAAATAATACCGTTGAACTTTACTTATCAGCTTTTCCTTCTCTCCTCTTTTCTTCTACCCAGGCACATTTCCCAGACTGAATCCTTTTTCCAATCTTCCTTGGAGTCTGTCCTCCAAGCCTTCATAATCCACGATAAATTGTTTTGTTGTCTTTCGCCGTAGACTTCATTCAAGACTTCTTACTCATATCCTTCTCGCAAGTCTATTGCAACCTGCCCCTCCTTCAGCCGGGTCAAAACGGCTGGGGTCAAAAGTTCCTTCTGACTCTCTACTCTCTCTCTCATGATTGTACCCCTCTCAACTATTAATCATGTCCATTAAACGGGCCCTCTCCAAGATCGTCCCCAATAAAATCGACACGGCCGATGGATCTCCCGCTTCTAGCAGGCGTTCAGGGTCAATGTCCCCGCGCCGGTCTATCCTGAGCGGATTTCTGCGGGATCGCGGCGGCTACGCATCCTCATCTGATGATTTGTCGGACGACTCCTCATCCCCAACCACGGGGACGATGAGTAAAAATCAACAGAAGCGCCTTGCGCGACAGCAGCGCCGACAAGCGCGCTCTCGTCTCAGTGAGGAGCACCATTCCGAGGAATCAGAACGTCACAAGGAGGCTGTCGCAACCGCCGCCCGCGACGAGACCCCCGAGATGAAAGCGCGATATGGTGAGCTGCCCCTTCTCCAGTCGCGCACTCGCTCGCGGGAGCTCCGGACCAAATTCGAGGATATTTCGGCAGATTCAGTGGGGAAGGAAGTTCTCTTCACAGCGCGTCTACATATCATCCGTCGCATGAGCGCCAAGCTGGTTTTCCTGGTCTTTCGCCAGCAGCTGGTCACGTTTCAGGGTGTTTTGCATGAAGTTCCAGGCAAAAATTCCATCGCAATGGTGCAATGGGTGGAGCACCTTCGCGTGGGTTCTATAGTACAGATTCGCGGCACCATCCAAGCTCCAGAGGTGCCCGTGTTGGGTTGCACCATCCATGACGTCGAACTAGCCGTTGATGCAGTTCACGTCATCGTTCGTCGTGAGGAACCTGTTCCGTTTAGTGTCTATGAGGCGGAGATCCAGACTCCCGAAGAAGAGCGCGTCGAAGGCCGTCGTAGTCACATCCCTGACCGGACTCGTCTAACCAACCGTTTGCTGGATTTGCGTACTCCAACTTCTCAGTCAATCTTCCGTATTCAATCGGGAGTGGGAAACCTTTTCCGGAACGCCCTGGACGAGCAAGGGTTCATCGAGATCCATACGCCCAAGCTGCAAGGGTCTGCTACCGAGTCCGGTGCCAGTGTGTTCGAAGTGAATTACTTTGGTCGGGATGCATTTCTGGCTCAAAGCCCGCAGTTAGCCAAACAAATGGCGATTGCGGCGGACTTTGGCCGAGTGTATGAAATTGGTGCCGTGTTCCGCGCGGAGAACTCCAACACCCACCGCCATTTGACGGAGTACACGGGGCTGGACATTGAGATGGCAATTGAAGAGCACTACCATGAGATGCTTGAGGTGCTAGATGCTGTGATTAAGAATATACTAAAGGGCGTCTATGGCCGCTTCCGTCGCGAGGTCGAGACGGTGAAACAGCAATTCCCGTCCGACGACGTCGTCTGGCTTGAAGAGACACCTATTATTCGTTTCAGCGATGGTATTAAAATGCTCAACGACTCCGGGTGGCGTGATGAGGAGGGGAACCTCCTGCCGGAAGATGAGGATTTGCACACGCGCGACGAGATCCGACTTGGAGAGCTTGTCAAGGAGAAATTCGGCACGGATTACTACATTCTCGACAAATTCCCCGTCGGTGCCCGTCCCTTCTACACGATGCCTGATCCTGATGACAACCGCTTCACTAACTCCTTTGACATTTTTATTCGAGGCCAAGAGATTGTCTCGGGCGGTCAACGTATCCATGATCCCCATATGCTGGAGGAGAATATGCGCCGCGTGGGCATCAATCCTGAGACCATGGAGGAGTATATGGAGGGCTTCCGATGGGGTGCGCCTCCCCATGCCGGTGCCGGGGTGGGCCTAGAGCGCTTCTTGATGCTTCTTCTCAAGTTGGGTAACATTCGTCTCGCGTCTCTGTTCTATCGCGACCCTAAGAGTTTCCCGGCCAAGCCTCCAACCGTCCAGTTGCGGCACCCGGAGTCTTCGACTGTCGAACCATCTTGGGTACGCGACAAGAAAGGCCACTTAGCGCCCGATGAGAGCCACTTACAGCCCATCGAGCATCTCATCGCGAATTATGGCGATGCGACTTCCACATCCTGGGGAGATGAGCGATTCAAGATTTGGCGTGATCTGGCGACTGGTGCAGCCATCTCATACGTGCCCAGCAGCAGTAACTATGCAGTGATTCCAGGCAATCCGCTGTGCGATCCCCGGCAGTATGGCCGCGTCATCACTCAGTTCTTGCAATGGTTGCGTCGTGAGACCAAGTATAAGCCAATTTGGCTTCTATGCTCTCCAGAAGTTGAGGCTATTCTGGGCGAGAAGCTTGGCTGGCGTAGCTTGTCCTGCATCGCGGAGGAACGTGTAGATCCGTCCCGCAACCAGGCCGCTTCAGACGGAGAAATTGCTCGGAAGATCCGGCACTCGGAGAGCGAGGGTATCAAGCTCGTGAGCATGAATCAGGGTGAGATGGTGCCGGACAATATCCGCGAGAAGATTGATCAGCGTATCCAAGACTGGTTGGCCAACCGCAAAGGCACTCAAGTGCATCTGTCTGAGATCCAACCGTGGCGTGACCATGCGCATCGCTGGTACTTTTACGCAGTCAGCAAGGAAGGCACTATTTGCGCGTTTGTTGCTTTGGCCACTCTGTCCCCCTCTTATGGTATGCAGGTGAAGTACAGCTTTGACTTCCCAGGGTCTCCAAATGGCGTCATTGAACATATCGTCACCCATGCCATTCAGACCGCGGCCCGATCTGGGGTCAAATCACTTACTTTTGGCGCTGGAGCGACCACCACTCTCACACCGGGGCATAACATGCACGGGGCCAAGGTGAAGATGCTGCAGCATACCTACGAAACCTTGGCCAAGCAATTCCATCTTGTTCGCAAGAGCGAGTTCCGTGCGAAATTGGGAGCACGGGATGACCCCCTTTACATCGCCTATCCACCTCATGGGTTAGGGTCAAAGGGTATTCGAGCTGTTCTTCACTTCTTTGAAGATTAATGTTCTACAGGCGTTGACTAAATGACTTTCCTTTGAAAATCCTTTTAAGGGCGATTATAAACGGATTCATCAGTTTGGACATTTCCATACCCCCCGAAACGTATTCCCCATAGTGTTCTGTCTTTGTTACTTTTTGTTGCTGCTGTTGTTTTTGTCCCTCACATAATGAACCCTGTTCCTGTTTGACTTATTGTGATTTTGTGTGGTGTGAATGTATGTGATGTTGACCCCCTGTCCTGCAAAGTAACGTTTTTAGACGAGGTTAGATGAGATTTTTGATATTGAAGAGTTTACATAAACCGTGCTTGATGATATTGATACATTATGCTCTTGCCCTTCCAGGGAGGCTGCAAGCGAATGAAGACATATGTCTATACCATAATATATTACTTATCCTTCTTACCATCCCGAAGGTTTCTTGAGCCCATATAAACAGCCACCCTCTCCAGCTCCCCCAAAACCCACCACGCAATTACAACCGCTAAGCATCCCACAATACATATATAACACGCCGTCGGTACTAGCGACTGCGGGAAAATATTCCATATAAATGGATCGAGAATGACGTCCGCAGCGACGGGCGGAACATTTTCCATCAGTGTCTTGTTGAGAGAGAAATAGTCTGCCGCAGCAGTAATACGAAGGAAAAGCACCGAGTCAGACGTAGGTGCTTGATCATGAAATGAGGATGACTTGCGAGGAGCGGCATTGGCTTGAGGCGAGTCGAGATGAGCTTGAGAATAGAGGCTGATAGAGGAGAGGAGTGTAGGATCCTCAATGGTTTGCAGAAGGGTATGCGTCGTCAAAGTAAAAGCTGTCGGTTGCTGTTCTTGTTCGTTAGTTATACCTCTTGAACCCGTCATAGTGTATATCATTATGGAATATACGATGAACGTACAGTAGCCAGCCAACACACGCGCACTTCATAACGTTGGCCTGGGTTCAAGTTCTCGAGGAAGTACCATGAGTCCGTACCCGGGGATTCATTGGTAGGGAATGTAGCATTTATTCTCGTTCGGAGTATGGGGCTGGACCAAGAGAGGCGTTCCAGACCTAAGTCATCCAGGGTCGGATCGGCAGTGGGAATGGTGAGGGGTTGCGGAGCGATGAAGATCGTTTTCTCGACATTGGCGGTAGCGAAGGAGAGGGTGAGAAGGAAGAAAAGATATTGGAGTAGCATTGCGGCGGCAATTCTGAAAAGTGCAATTGGTGCTGCTACTAGACGGTCATGATCTCGGTGGCCTTGATATATATATATATATATATATGCAGCCTAGTATGGTAAGTAGTTGTTGTTGTGGTAGGTTGAGGGCCAGCCGGTCTGATGGTCCGTTAGTTCCCTCCAACACATATGTGAAGTCAGTGTCAATATGATGATATGGCTCACCATCAATCAAGCCATTGTCGCAATCACTGCCGGTCAGAGAAAGAGTAACTCAGTGTGTGCTCGTGTTTCATAGGCCCCATATGCAATGCTAGCTGCACAACTGAAGATGCCGTCATCGACACGTGATCCCATTATGGGTGGACTTCCTAGTTCCTACTAGTCAAGAGGGACTAGTACTAACCCGGTGGCTGAGTCAGCGGCGGGCTGGAAGGGCGGTCACGGCCCCAGGCCAGCCAATCAGGGGCCCAGGGTGGGAGACGCGACCCAACGGATGGATCAACAACGAAAAGGTGGAAGTCCTGCTTTTGGGTTGACAGCGCATCCCAAGACCACAACAAATTGACTTGACCGATCATTCGGGCCTTGGGCAATTGTTTAATTGATCCCCTTTGTCTAATTTTCTCTTCGTCAATCACCCCAAGGGTTTGTTTCTCCTCCCCGTTTTTTCTCCCACCTGTTCCCCCCTTCCCTTTCTTTTGTTTCCTTTTCCTGGCGGTGTTTTTTTTTTCGTTTACTTACCCCTGAAACGTCCTTACAGATCAGGGCATTTTTTCCCCCTCAAAGTCCTTCCACATTCCACCCACTCCGTTTCACACACCCCCCTCCCTCCAATCTTAATTCTTTGTCACTCCGACATTCGACCATTTTAGACTCGACAAGATGAGAGAAGTCATTAGTTTGAACGGTATGTGTTTTCCTTCTCTCACCAGTCTCATTGGTTGACCTTTACTGATGTTTTTTTTATGTGTACAGTCGGTCAGGCTGGTTGCCAGATCGCCAATTCCTGCTGGGAGGTATGAACATGGCAATGCACTAGAAGACAGAGTGAAGGGGAATGTGACTAGTAAAACTAACATGGTAATCTAGCTCTACTGCCTCGAGCACGGCATCCAGGTATGTGGCTAACAAGGACAATCCATCTATCTTCATCTCAACCGGGTAAACAAACTAATATATAATAGCCCGATGGTTACTTGACCGAGGAACGCAAGGCAGAAGACCCTGATCATGGGTTCAGCACTTTCTTTTCCGAGACTGGTACGTGGCCTTGACATGCCATCTTCCCGCCAACCTCTCCTAACAGGCAATGGCGTCTAGGCCAGGGCAAATATGTTCCCCGTACTATCTACTGCGACCTTGAGCCCAATGTTGTCGATGAGGTCCGCACTGGCACCTACCGTAACCTTTTCCACCCCGAGAACATGATCACTGGCAAGGAGGATGCCTCGAACAACTATGCTCGTGGTCACTACACTGTTGGAAAGGAGATGATCGACCAGGTCCTCGACAAGGTTCGTCGGGTGGCCGACAACTGCGCTGGTCTCCAGGGATTCCTCGTCTTCCACTCCTTCGGTGGTGGTACTGGCTCTGGTTTCGGTGCTCTCCTGATGGAGCGTCTGTCCGTCGATTATGGCAAGAAGTCGAAGCTGGAGTTCTGCGTCTACCCTGCGCCCCAGAACGCCACCTCCGTTGTTGAACCCTACAACTCCATCCTGACCACCCACACCACCCTTGAGCACTCCGACTGCAGTTTCATGGTTGACAACGAAGCCATCTACGACATCTGCCGCCGTAACCTCGGCATCGAGCGCCCCAGCTATGAGAACCTGAACCGCTTGATTGCCCAGGTCGTCTCCTCCATTACTGCCTCCTTGCGTTTCGATGGTTCCCTCAACGTGGATCTGAACGAGTTCCAGACCAACCTGGTGCCCTACCCCCGTATTCACTTCCCTCTCGTTGCCTACGCTCCCGTCATCTCCGCGGCCAAAGCTTCCCACGAGGCCAACTCCGTTAACGAGATCACCATGTCCTGTTTCGAGCCCAATAACCAGATGGTTAAGTGTGATCCTCGCAATGGCAAGTACATGGCTACCTGCTTGCTCTACCGTGGTGATGTTGTTCCCAAGGAGACCCACGCCGCCGTTGCTACCCTCAAGACCAAGCGTACCATTCAGTTTGTCGATTGGTGCCCCACTGGCTTCAAGATTGGTATCTGCTACCAGCCCCCTAAGCAGGTTCCCAATGGCGACCTCGCCAACCTCAGCCGTGCTGTGTAAGTACCACGGTTACTGCTACGCATAAGAGATAAAAACGCTGACAATTTCTAGCTGCATGCTGTCCAACACCACCGCTATCTCCGAGGCCTGGTCCGCTCTCGACCACAAGTTCGACCTCATGTACTCTAAGCGTGCCTTTGTTCACTGGTACGTTGGTGAGGGTATGGAGGAAGGTGAATTCTCTGAGGCCCGTGAGGACCTGGCTGCCCTCGAGCGTGACTACGAGGAGGTCGCCAGTGACTCGCTGGAGGAGGAGGTTGAGGCTGAGTACTAAGTCTAAAACACCGCTCGGCCAGTATCCCGACCATGGTTGCGTTCAGCCAGGTTTTTGGGTGCTGTTAGTGATTGATTCCGAGTTGATGTGTTGGGGACAGGCGTTGGCCAAGGTTACGTGATTGAACTGCCTGCAAATAAGAGAGAAGCTTGGATTAGCCCAGACTCTGTTTTCTTTGTCCGATATATTTTTAATATCCCTGAAATAGCGATGAATTTACCGCTCCTTCCCACATGTAGCTCTCCAGCCAATTTCCTTTTGATTTTCAGAATGTAGACTAGTGATGAGAGGGAGGTCCTGCACTTTGTACGAAGAGGGTGGATCAGGGGGATGACATTCGCTGCCTTAAGCTCCAGATATTCATTAGTAGTTGGGTTGAGTGCTTGACTGACCGCCCGGCAGAACCCCCCCCCGGACCCAAAGTTAAGCTACGGAGTACATGAACCCAATCCCTCATTCCTCGCTCCCTCTACCTGAACACTACCCTTCCAGCTTCTTTTAAGCTCCCGGCAAATTTTACTTGCTTTTCCATTCTCTATCTTTTGTTCCGAGTGAACGCGCCGCCCTCTTTCCTCTCGTACTTTGGTCGGGATATTAACTCCCGCCATTTCGTCTAACATTACCTCATCCAGAAAGCGGCGCTTTGGCCATCCATGCCCGTGGCATCTTCTGGATAAATCGATAACCCTGACACTTTGACGATCTCTTGTCAAGCATTTCGGGCAGATTACTTAGAAGGAGGGGAGGCCTGTTCCCCCGGAACTACAGCCATGGCTGACAATTGTAAGTCTTGCCAGCAATGATGCAACCAAGGTAGCGCAGGTGGGAGAGCTCAGGGGACGGATCTGTGCAACCCGGTATACGATACAGCGGAACTGACGGATCCCTCATGGCTTCCAACAGCACGACAACCAAACCTCAATCTCACTCCTGAGGAGAAACGCGTCTTCTATCAACTCTTTCAAGTCGCCGACACAACTAATCTGGGTGTCATTACTGGCGAAGTCGCCGTCCCTTTCTTTGAAAAGACGAAGCTGGCCCCCGACACTCTCGGCTTGGTACGTCGATGAATAGCCAGCTTACTGGACTTTCTGCTTTCATATTTTACGGGAATGACCCTGGCTAACAGTACCTGCGACTTTGTGTAGATATGGCAAATTGCGGACAAGGAGAACCGCGGTCTCCTGACCCCCTCAGGGTTTGGTGTTGTCTTGCGGTTGATCGGGCACGCTCAAGCAGGCCGCTCCCCGTCAGAGGAGTTGGCTTTACAGCGTAAGTTCTTCACATATGCCAGGTTTTCTTCTACAAGGTGTGGAGGTAGGATGTTGACAGTTTGATTCGCCAATTTAGCCGGGCCGATACCCAGATTCGAAGGCGTTCAAGTTGATACATCTGCCCCTACGCGCGAGGCAGGCGCAACAAGCCCTCCACCAACCCCCGGCGCATCAATTCGAGTCCCTCCGCTGAATCCGGATGATGTGAACAAGTTTCTGTCGCTATTTGAGAAATCGGACGTCTCCAAGAGTGGGGTTCTGTCAGGCACGCAAATTTCCTGCTCCATGAAGGGATAGACTTTTGAGCTAACTCTATATTATAGGCGAGACTGCCAAACAGATTTTCGAACGCGCGAGGCTGCCTAATGAAATCCTCGGTAGGATATGGAATCTAGCCGATACCAAACAACGTGGTGCCCTAGATATAACCGAGTTCACTATCGCTATGCATCTTTTGACATCATACAAATCAGGTGCGATGAGAGGAATCCCGCAAACCCTACCAGCAGGTCTATATGAAGCTGCCGCACGAAGAGGCTCTAGCCGTGCTTCCATTGGCTCACGGCCGGGACTTGATGTTCCCCCTGTTCCCGCAATACCGAAGCAATTTACTGGGCCGCAACGGACGCAAAGCCCTATCAGCAGACCGCTCGGCTCACCCCTTTCGGCACAGTCTACTGGCGCAGATTGGTTAATCACTCCCCATGAGAAGGCACAGTTCGATAGTATTTTTGCGACCGTCGATTCGGCAAAGCTTGGCAAAATAAGTGGGGATCAGGCTGTTGGTTTCTTCATGAATGCGCAACTACCTGAGGAAACCCTTGCTCAGATTTGGGACTTGGCTGATATTGATGCTGATGGGCAGTTGACAAAGGACGAGTTTGCAGTTGCCATGTATCTGGTCCGACTACAACGTAGTGGAAAGGAACCGCTCCCACAGGTTCTGCCTCCAGCCCTGATCCCGCCTAGTATGCGTCGGCCTGGTTCTGCTCACATTGCTCCGGCTCCTATGGTTGTACAGGGTACGGGTATGGCTCAACCAGCCGCCCCTACCCCGGCTGTTCGATCAGCCGCAGATGATCTGTTCGGCCTCGACTCTTTCTCAGCTCCTGCTCCGGCTGCAGCTCCCTCCCAGGTACCCCAGTCTACAGGAGGTTCAAACGTACCATTGCAGATGCCCGCCTCCCCAACATCTAGAGCATCCCCACCAAGCACGTCAACGACGTTCAAGCCTTTCATTCCGACCTCGACCTTTGGGCAGAGCCTTCAGCCCCAGAGCACAGGTGCCTCATCCGGCGTTGCACCAGCTCGTCCACCCCCGTCACCAGCAGATGACCTTCTTGGGGACAACGACCCTGAAGAGTCCAACAAACTAACACAGGAGACGACAGAACTTGCCAACCTATCCAATCAGATTGGCTCTTTGGCGAATGAGATGCAGAATGTTCAAACTAAGCGCACCTCAGCAGAGCAGGAATTGTCTCAGACCTCTCAACAGAAACGCGATTTCGAGGTTCGGCTTGCCCAAGCCAGGGCAATGTACGAGCAGGAGTTGAAAAACTTCAAGACACTCGAGGAACGGCTCCATGTTTCCAAGGCCGAGACCAGCAAACTGCAGCAGGATTATGCTATGCTTGAAGCAAATAGACAGGATCTGCAGAACCAGTACGACCAGGTCTCCGCTGCACTCGCTGCTGATCAACAAGAAAATGCAAGCCTGAAGGAGAAGATTCGCCAGGCTAATGCTGCTGTCACTCATCTCAAACCGGCACTCGAAAAGGCCCGATCTGATGCACGACAGCAGAAAGGCTTGGCCGCGATTAACAAGAAACAACTTGCTACTGTAGAAGGTGAACGAGACAAGCTTCAGGAAGAAATGGATGGCCTCAAGAACGAACAGCCCCATGAGCCAGACGAGAGCGTGGCCCCTCCCGGGAGCATCCCTAGAATTAGCAGCCCAGCTGCCTCGACAACTAGCCAGAACACGAATCCTTTCTTCAAACGCCAAATGACTGGCTCCAGCGAAAGCAACGCTGTGTCTCCTCAAGTCTCAAACGATCAACAGCGCGCTTTCGATAGTCTGTTCGGCCCATCTCTTGGAGCCCCGGTGGCCTCCGCCACTCCGCCTCCGCCCACTTCCTTCCGCGCTGACTCGCATCCGACTTCGATCAAGTCGGCGACGTCTGGAGCACCAACTCCGACAGGTTCCCCTCCACCACCCGCGGCTGCATCCCTTAATGAACCTCCAGCCCCGCCGCAGTCTAGACAACTCACACCTAATGTGCTTCCGTTTGGCGAGTCAGTGTCGACGACCTCTTCGACCATGGTCTCGCCACCTGCTAGTAGATATGACACACCAGCTCAAAGCACAACTTCGCAAGCTGGTGCTAGCGAAGCCAGGCCTACGTCTACCCCTGCCTCTGACAGGACGGAAGAATTGAACCAGAAATTCCCAGAAATTCCCGGCGCCTCAGAGCAGTTCGCTAATGCAGCTATATCGCCTACTAGTGAAGATAAACCAGCAGAGAAGAAGGATCTCAGCTTTGATGAGCTTTTCGGTGGTCCAGCGCATCAGCGGTCGAAGTCTCAAAAAGAGAACGATTTCGAAGAAGCCTTTGCGTCTATGAAACAGGGACCTGGCCTGAACAAAGCAAATGGAGCACCGGCGGCCTCCGAATTCCCGCCTATTCGTGAACTCGACGACGACGACGACGACGACGATAACAGCACAGATAGTGAAGCACCCATGGGCTTCGACGACAATTTCACCCCTGTTGCCCCTCCTCAAAGCCAGATCGCATCCAAACCTCCTGCTGCAGACTCTCAAGCAAGCCCTCCCAAGTATGAGGAAAGCCTGCAGAAAGACGCCGCTGGAGAAGCGCCTGAATTCAGTGGTCTTCTGCCAAAACGTGAAGACCCCACCGCTTTCCCTGATGCTCCTCATTCAGTTGAGTCAAGCACTGGAGCACCCGTTGTTCACGGGGAACCGCGGCGAGACGCTTCAAATGATATAGCCGGGCCCCCAAGCGGAAAGGCTAGTACCCCTGATTTCGAGGCGGCCTTTGCAGGTCTTAATTTAGCCCCTGCTAAGGAGAGTGAGGACGATGATGACTTCGAAACGCTCGACAACAAGAATAACGCGGACTTCGACTTCTCTTTTGACTCCCCATCACAGAGGAAGCCATCCACTCCTGGACCCAGCGCTGGGAACTCCACTTCTTCCGACTTCTTCAGTTTTGATAAGAATGTTGCCCCTTCTTCCCCAGGAGGTGCCGCACCAACAACGGACTCGGCTGCAAAGCCCCAGTCTCACGACTGGGAAGCGCTGTTTGCACCACTTGACAATGTTCAAACCCCTGGCGGAGCCAATGGAACCGGCAATCCAGCAACAAGTTCACCGCCCGGTTCTAATACCAAGTCCCCGGGCTGGGCTCTCCAAACCGGCACAGAAGATGACCAAATCCTTCAACGGCTGACAGGCATGGGTTTCCCTCGCGAGGAATCCCTTGCCGCTTTAGAGAAATTCGATTACAATCTTGACAAGGTAAATCCACTCAAACCTGCAAATTTTACTGCATGTAGACAGCTGGCTGACAACCGTATCCCTTCTAGGCAGTAGATCACCTGACATCGAAGTCTTAATACTTTCTTTTCTTTCCTCTCCTTTCTAGCGCCATGCACATAATTTCCTTTTAGCAATCCACTCGCTCGACACTACATCTTCTTTCCTTTTTCTTTTTACCTCCACTGTATCTGATCTATTGGTTGGCTTGCATATCGCTACTGCTGTCATGTATATTCCCCAGCGGTACTTCCTCAACACTACTTACCCACTATATTGATTGCCCCATGTAATGTAACCCCACATGCTTGTTTGACAGAAATAATATGAATCCTAAGAGGAAGGTCAGATGATACCATGGACGGATCTAGGTAACCCTGGACACTCTCCGAACTAGCATCAGACTATTCTATAGCATTTAATAATCCTACGACGTAGTTGTTCCTTATGTTGAGCTTCATTCCTGTCGATGTCACTTCAAATAATGGTGATGCCCGAGTGTTTTCTTTCAGCAGTCGAAGCCTCGGCTCAGCTCAATGGGATGGGGCTACTTCGTGTGGAAGCGGTAGATTTAATTAGCACCCACCTTGATGGAGTTGGAGACTGTATAATATTCACCACTGTGTTTCCTAGCCAATGAGGGACGGTTGCTAAGATGCAAACAATAGACAGAAGGGGACACAAGGATACGCTCGTTAATAACGGACAGAAACCGAGGGGACACAAAAAACAAGCCGGCAAATTTTCGAAACGTTTTTTATAAAGAGCCACGTAACGACAGAAGAGCTAAGGCACGGTGGGTGATACAATAGCTTCTATACCTAGAAGTTGAGCATTATTCAAGCGGGAGGCTCACAGCCAGTATCGGCGCCATTCAGTGAACTTTTTTCGTGCTGTGTTGAAGTTCGCTGCATTGAAACCACTGTATCGTGTAAGTAATGGTCTCTAAGGGCTGGAAATTTGGAATTATCTTACCGAAGTCTTCTTTTTGCCGTTGTCTGGACGCTTTGCTTCCTGGCCACCTCCCATTCATGACATTGTCAAACCACTTTGAGTCCTGTAGCAGGTAATAGAGGCCACCCAAAACACAGAACACTCCAATTGAGAAGACCCAAGTACGGACGACCGTAACTATAGAGGTTTGGCCTCCGACGAACCATCCAAAGAGACAGAAAAAGGTTGCTAACAGATCCACAACCAGAATAGCTCCCATGAGCTGCCAAGAAGGGATTGATGACCAGAAGGGCCCTTCCGCACGTGTGATGAAGATCAACCAATTCTCAGTCAGCGAAATCTCTAGGAACAGAACTTCATCTCGTTTCCCAAAGTTTTGCACGATTCCCCCTTGCTCACCACCGGACAGCATAGTAGTCAGCGTGACCCAGGTGCCTATCGCTAGAACAATCCCAAGGAGGACAGACATCCCCCATAACCTAGGCAAATTCCACTTCACCGGTGTTTTCGAATAGGGCGCTTTATCGTAGGCAATGGCCAAAGTCGCAATGTCAGCAAATATGGCAATAAAAACTACAAGCTGCAGGTTTAAGCTCTCGTTCGTGATGGCTATCCAGAGTCCTAAGAAAATCTCGAGGTGTAGGGACAGCGCGATTCGATATACCACATAAGCGTGCATACGGTGAAAGATCTGACGGGAGGTCTTCAAAGCATCGATAATAGCAGATAGTCCAGGCGCTAGGAAAACTATATCGGCAGCCGTACGGGCTGCATCTGAGGAGCCTTCAACTGCAATTCCAGCATCGGCTTTCTTCAGAGATGGAGCGTCGTTAACACCGTCCCCAGTCATTGCCACCAAGTAACCCCGTTGCTGTAGGATATCTACAACGTTATACTTGTGCTGAGGAAAGACCTCGGCAAACCCATCGGCAGCCTCAACGAAGTCATAGACTTGAGACCCAGGCATTGTTCCCTTTCCACCTAGGCCGAGACGCTCAGCATTATACACGTTTGTGCCCAGCCCAAGGTGGCGCGATGTCTCTCGGGCAATCCCGACTGCATCGCCTGTCAGCATTTTGATCGACAAGCCGAGAGACTTGGCTTCGTGTATGGTCTTTGCAGTGTCATGCCGAGGAGGGTCTGAGCATGGCATTATGCCGAGTATTTCCCATTCCCCTTCACCGCGCTTTCGAGCAACGCCGAGTGAGCGAAAGCCACGCACTGCGAAGTCTGCTACTTTGTTCATGTAAGCAGCCTCGATATCTTCTGGAATTGAATGGTCCCTTTCGACTGTCTTTAGCACAAAAATTGGAGCTCCTTTCATACAAATGATGCGGTCTCCTTCGGGAGACTGTACTACAGCTGTGACCTTCTTTGACACCGGGTCGAATGGAAAGAACTCCAGTTTCTTATACTGTGGAAGCGCCTTTTTTGCTTCCGGGTAACCCTTGAGGGCTCTGAGAAAAGCTTTGTCAATGGCATCCATTCCATTTTTCTTCCGTGAAGCGGCCAGGCAAGCTGTTAGCATAAGATCCTCCGAATTGACACCGGGTACAGTGTAAGGTTCTGACAATGATAGCTTATTCCTCGTTAATGTACCGGTTTTGTCGGAGCACAGTATCTCAACACCGGCAAGAGACTCAATTGCGGAAAGCCTTTGTACAATAGCCTTCTTCTTAGCTAAATACGCTGCTCCCACTGCCATTGTTGTTGTAACGACGGCCGGGAGGCCGACAGGAACACCGATCATAGTAATGGCTAAGGTAAACTCCAAGATTGTGACGATGTCATTGGAGCGATAGAAAGAAGATACCCAGACGACGAGTAGGGTCATTATAACGAGTATAAGCAGCACAATGCTGATTCCATTCAAGACCTCCGTGAAATGTCCTGTTCCGGAGGCGGCGGCACTAACCAGTGCAGCAGCTCGCCCTACGAAGGTATAGTCGCCAGTAGCTGTAACAACAAGGCGAGCATGGCCATGTTTGACAGCCGATGATGAATAGCAAGTGTCACCATTGTCTTTATCAACAGCTAGAGACTCGCCAGTAATTCCGGACTGATCCACTTGAAGGGCGCTACTAGATACTATCCGGCCATCTGCAGGAATGATCGTTCCCTGTCCACAATTAGATATGTTGTCAGACTTGAAGCGTGCGATAGAGTCAAGTAGTGTACCTCTTCAATTTGTAATATATCTCCTGGCACAACGTCTGAAGCATCGATTTCAACAAGATGACCATTACGCAGCACAACAGCTTTGAGAGCCAAGGTTTTCTTCAGCTCATCCACGATAGACCCAGCTTGGAACTCCTGAATGAAACCCACGGATGCGTTGAGTATCAGTAGAGCACATATGACTCCGAAGTCAACCCAATCTCGGAGGCCAGCCGCTAAAATTGCAGCTGCCTATGGCCGTAGCACATCAAAGAATTGGTAAGTGGAAATCCGACATACCAGGGCCTGGTGCACATACCTCCATCACGAACTGAACAGGCCCAATGAAGTACGAAAGGAATTTGAGGACGAGGTTCTCTTTTTCCTGTTTCATTTGGTTGAGGCCATACTTTTTCCGACGCATGAAAACCTCGGGCTCAGTAAGACCGGCGCTGGGGTCTGTCTGAAGCAGTTCCTCCGAGATACAACATGATGTGCTTGCTTCGTCTTGTCCGGCGTCATCTAGATCGATATGACCGTCTAAGGACTCAAGCTCTTCAATGAGGGCATCTATGTTCTCCACGTCCTCGTCATCCTCGTTATCCGCATTGTCAGACAATGATTTGTATTCAGCCGACACCTTTGCCATGAATTGCTCTTTTGGGTCCCCGTCATCATGACTAGAAGATGCTTCGTTAGCCGGAGGGGCCCTCAAAATGTCTAAGCTGGGTTGAATAGGCATCAGGAATGGATGAGAGACTAAGATAGGAAGTTGCTAAGATGGATGTGAGAGATCTTTAGGGCTTTAACGGTTATATATATATAGTTCGTATCCATGGAAATGTGTAGATAGTGTAGCGAAGAGATGTGCAGGCTCTAGTAGAAGCTGCAGGCATAACCAATGCACAGAGATAAGGACAGTCAAGGGCAACATGAGAGGGAGATACATGGTTGAATCACTAGCAAGAAAAAAAAAGGGCAAGAACAATGGTGTCGTCCTTACCAAGAGTGGGCTTGTATGTATACATCGTGGGTGTTACCTGCTAGTACTTAGTAGAGAACGTTTTGGTATTGTACTAGCATAGTAGCTCAGCTGAGGTCAGGTGCTCTCTCTACTACTAGGATTGTATCCTAGTACGTATAGTTCTATGTATATGGACTTCTGGAGTGAATGTTAGTACTAGTAGTCTAGTCCTCTAGTATGGATTGGATCATCCAATCACATATTGATGACATAATCTAGCACCCAAGACGTCATTCTTTTCATGGAAAAATAAAATCATTCAAGGGAAAATCTCCCACTTTTTGCCCATCACCTTTCAGCCCATCGGCTGATAATATTCCATTACTGATGTTCCACTGCTAGAAATTTGGTAGACCTCAAAACAACGGCGTTGGGGTTCTTTTGTAACGATCAACCACGGGAACTCCACTGCTATTCACTATAAGACCACTGCTCTCGCTGGAGGCTATCCGATAATGTTGCATATCTTGGCGTTTAAGGAACTCTTGGTCTATTCGGTTGATACCTGAAAAGGCTCTCAACGCTATTCTCTTTATATCTTTCTTTTTTACGACAGTTCTCATTTCACTTGCTTAACCTATTTGTCTATCTATTTATATCCAAACATGAACAGGGAGATACCAGGGTTCTACTATGGTGAGTAGTCATGTGCCACAACGATACGCTATCATCTCACTCATACAACTCTCTCCTCCCGCATTATCTAACCATGGAATATTAATCCCCTTCTAGACCCTGAAAATAAAAAGTACTTCAAGATCGAGGCGAGCCATAAAGCTCCACCAGGGTCCCAATATTCCAAAGATGCCGTCAAGCGCAAACGCAAGGATTCAGAGGTTTGTACCACCCGCACAGACCATATGTGAATTCTTCATTCCTGACACCTTGTAGAAACGGCAACGGAAAGTCCACCTCACTCAGAGGGTAGCAAAGGAGAAAGTCAAGAGAGCAGCTTTCTTAGCCAACCCTCTCATCGGTGCAGAGCGGGAAATTGGAACCCAGCTTGTGACAAAAAGCGCCCGGCAAGACCAACGGGGTCTGCTGTACGCTGGCCAGTTGCGCCGCAACCAGTTGCACCAATTTGAGCCCTGGCCGGATGAGTACTCTATTAAACATGTGGTGCGCAATCAACGATCCGGGATTCTAGTTGCTAGTACGTTGCTCAATTATCCTCTCATCTTGCGATCTCGGATGCTAATCAATTCCAGGCGGCCATCGAGGTGGTGAATCATCTGTTTCGTGAGCGAAGCCTTTCAGTATGTGGCGGCTGGCTTTTAGTTTGCTAACCGCCACCAGAATATGCTTCCCAGACTGCGATCAGGAAAAATGGACCTACAACCGGACAATGGAACGAGTTCTCTTCAAAGAGCCTTATAGGGTATGCGACTCGCAGTTCTAAACGTCTTAATCTGTCGATAACCGCTGATGGGGCTTCCTTCAGCTTTCCTCTATCTCGTTGAGCCATACCGGTTATCTACTGTAGGGCAAACCGACCCATTCAAAATCCTGCTCAGTATGGCTGACCGCACCAGAGCAACGATGGATAGCGGCCCTCACGGCGACTCATTCCTCGCACCACGAATGCTTCCTGACCCCGACGAGGGGGGAGATTACCGGTGGCCTCCATCCTGTACGTCCATCCCCTAGAACCATGCCACTTCGCGAACCAAGCTAATGGACATGTAAAAATAGTTTCTCACCCAGTTCGCCTTCGCATGGCATCATCGCTTTGGTGCTCCGCACCTTGCCCAGTTGGCAACATGCCCTTCTTCGCAGTCGGCACGTCAGACGGCCTTCACACACTAGAGGGCTTTGGAAGCTACTGGGCTCTATCAAAGAAATCATTCGCCAATGATGTATATACGGGGAAACCAATCCTCCACCGACGAGTGGATTCCTCCCATGCAGTCGTCACCAGCGTGGAATGGTTATCCGCCCAAGTAATTGCTGCGGGACTCAAAGACTCGGCGATATTCCTCCATGACCTTCGCAGTGGCGGAACAGCAACAAGACTCCAGCACTCGCATTCCATCTCGAAGATCAAAAGCGTTGACCCTTACCGTGTGGTTGTGGCCGGAAGGAACTCAGTACGTCCTCCTTCATCAGCCCCCACCCCGTGCCCATGCGTTGGTGTGTAACAGTAGGACTCGGGGAAAGCATCTGACACAAAAAGCAGCTCAATATGTACGACATCCGCTACCCACCTAACGGGCTCCAGCGCAACCCCAATCCCAATAGTAAACACCACACCTCAACGAGACCATACCTCACTTTCTCAGATTATTCACCTGAAACTATACTCGATTTTGACATTAGTCTTGAACTGGGCCTGCTAGCGAGTGGTTAGTCTGTCCCTTCCTTATCTTTTCTGAAGGAGGGCAAACTGACCAATGGACTTTTCATTCATAGCGTCCGATGAGCGCAAGATCCAGCTCTTTTCACTTCGAACCGGCGAACAGGTTTCTTCACCTCTATCGAAATACGAATACGAGGATCCCATATCTTCAGTTTGTTTTGAGTCCGGGAATGGGTCTTTGCACGGGCCACAAACTCCGAGCATATTGGTTTGTGCCAAAGACACGGTAGATGAATGGATTTGGTGAAGGTATTTATTGCTGTATACCATGATTGCATGCTATGGATAATGTTACATATCTAAATTACATCTCTATTCCCGTCTATTACATTGAAATGTAAAGTATCTAATCCAAGCCGCCTGCTAACCATTCACCAACTTCCACACCGATTGTCTTGGCCAATTCCCCGATCCAGTCGCCGGAGACATTAACACACCATCTTTCACCAGCATCGGATGTGGTGTTTCCGCTATTCAACCCACCTGAACCTAGTCCCATGCGACTGCCGCTTTCGCGACCAGCAGCAGGAACAACAAGCCGTAGTCGACGCAGTGTGGCAAGTTCCGCGTATATTGCATCGGAGACTGCCGCTTGACGTATTGGATTTGCCGGCGGGTTGGGATCAATGGCGTGATAGATGGCTATTAATCTCTCTAAGGGGAATGGGCGGGCTGTTAGAATAGTGGATGGGCCGGTGATACCGGTGGCCCCAGCGGCTGATGTTGTAGCAGAAGAAGTGGCAAAAGCAGATTCTAGTGTCGACTTAGTGATGCGAGTCTTTTGTCTCTTGCCTCTTTTGCTGGGGGTGGAGGGATCATTGCTGGCATTTCGAGCATCCTCCGCTTGCGCCTTTGACAAGAGCTTTAGACGTCGTCGATGATGGGCACGCTTGTTCCGCGCTGATAAAGAGGACGATGAAAATTTTGAGAAGAAGATCGTATCCAGCCTTTGGGGGGTATGGGAGGCCAAGTACGCGGATGTTAGGATCAATGTCGGGAGATATGGTAAGGAGGGAAGGGGTGAAGGGGCAGACACAGCTAACGGTGTCGGCTTTGATGCCGAACCATTCGCGAAAGATGTTGGCTCCTCGGTGACTATATGATGCACAAGTGCCGCTTCTCCATGGTGTCGAAAGAGACCACGGTTCTTGAGTAAGAGTCGAGAAAAGTCCCATTCTTCATTGCCCCCGGGAGGGGCCTCCCCGTTTGTGATAGGTGACATAAACTGGGGCCAGAGTTTCTCGCAGATAGACCGGAAGGTAGGAATCGAACTAGCCGTAGGTCCAACTAAGGAGTCATAGATAGCTGAAACAAAATGGAGGTATAAGTTGGATGACACTTCATCAGAGAGACCAGTAACTGTAGGCGGTTGTGAGTTTAGGATAATGGCAATCGCTTCGTTGCGAGTGTACGGGGGAAAGCTAATGTGCGGAACACCTGCGGCTTGCAAAAAGAGTGGTCGTGGAGTAGCGCTGAGGACCAAAACAACCGAGAGACATGGGATCTGTTAAAACATCCAGTCAACCATTGCTGATCCAAAATTCCCAAACGCCTCCAAAGTAACTTACTATTTCTCCTAGCCTTGCTAGCGCGGATAACAGGGTCTGTGATGCCTCTCGCTGCTTATCGATCCCATCCAAAACAAGCACGAACTTAGTCGCTTTGCCAGATTTTGATGCCAGACATTCGCTTAGAAGGACGGCGAGCGTACTGACATGCTCACATCGTCCTTTACCATATTTCTCCCACTCATCCTGTATCCCTAATGCTTCTAAAGTTGCCCATAGTATCTTTGTTAACAGATGACGGCCTGTGATGCACTCTGTGCTCCGGACAATGGCGTGCGGGACTTCGAGGGCGGAAAGAACGGCGCGAACTACGGTCGATTTGCATGTGGCAGATATACCATGCACAACTAATGTTGAGGGGCTAGGACCGAGAGGCTAAGTATAGCAGGCAGTCAACTGTTAGGTGATAGACCTCCAACGGTTCGCTTTGGAAGGTGAAGTAAGCATACCCCAAGAAGGTTGGCAAGTTGTCTGGTTTGCAGCTCTCGACATGGCCAATTCTGGCTCAGTGCTCGAGGAATCTCGCTTGGACGCATAAGGCGCTATGAAGGTACACCGGAAAGAGTGTGAATATCCGTAGACAGAAGAAATCCAGCACACGGAGATAAAAAGAAAGATCGGAGATCTTATCGTCACGCGTCTTGTTCACATGCCAAGTCACGTGTATGTCGCCTGCGGTTTCTAGATTATTGAAACGCTGTAGAAACAGTCCTTGCTCATCATTTATAATTATATGTTCACATTGATTTAGGATCCATTGGAGATGAGTCAAGTATCATTTGGATTGCTAGCGTATGGTTACATCTATTCTACCGAATGCTGTTGGGACAAGCTTCCAACTAGTAAATCACGCAGCAACCGTCGCCAGTATGTGTAAAACACGGATAAGAAGTAACGTAGGCGTCATATCACAGTACCAAGAGAGCGTACAGTATTGACAATAAATATCTTCCATATGACAGCCCACTGTTCCAACCGGAGGGTCAAGAATTGCCGCAGTGACAACCCACATACATAAACACTTGGAGAGCCCAACTTCTGAAGCGAATAAGAAAAACAGAGCATTCCAAGTAACGTTAAAGAGACGAGAATGATGATAAAAACACATTTGAGCGTAGCTTCGAAAAAAAGGTAAGAAGGAAAAGAAAAAAGAAAACAGGGAAGAGGAAAATGGGGAGGAAACCACATATGTATGGAACATTTCAACCTTCACTCAACCTGATATCGGAGAGCAGGGTCAGCAGAAAATAAAGACAAGGAAGAAATAGACGTGCAGGTATATTCGTCAAAAAAAAGGTGATAAACATGAGCATTTACGCCTTGAAAGAATACAGGACATCAATGCAGAGACGCTTTTATCATAGACTGCATCGTGTCGTAAGAATCCAAAGATGCAATACTAATTGCATAAAGATAAAAGATCTGTCGTAGTATCAATGTTTGTGATTCCCAATTCGCTGACGGTATGTCGAGATGGCCGTAAGTCATAGAGATCGTATCATCATTTCAAATATGAGTACAGTTCATTGAATAGATTGCGAATCCAAGATATATCACGCCAGGTCAAAAGTATGCATACAGCTGACCCTGGGCACCTAGATTAGCATTGGGGTGTTGGACCGCAGGAGTGAAAATCCCGGAGTTTTCGCTCGGTCCCCCCGATGGAGTATTAGTTGCAGAGCCGGGGCCGAACTGGGCACCACTGATGGGAAAGGAGGGATGTTGGTACAAGAAAGGCTTCTGGTTACCTTGCAAGGGTCCAGGAAGCTGAGCCGAATTCATCTCGTTCGGAGTAACCTGTCCGCTAGTTGTAGCACTTCCCCTCCCCGAGCCTTCAGCCGCCATCATCTTTCCGGCGATACGACGGCCATGGGGCGTCTGACGGATAGAAGGCAAGATTGGTTTAATCGAATCGACAAGCCGAGCTCGGGTTTCGCTGTCTGCGAAGTCCATAGCAGTTTGCACAACATAGTTAGCGAAGGAGTCTCGGAGCATTTTCTCTAGCTCAGCGCCCGCGAGCATCTCATCGATCAGCTGGCCTCGAATTGGACCATCGGCAGTGCGGAGACATTTCTCAATTACGTTGGAGCTGAACTTTTGTTTGGACAGAGCCGGGATATTCCCTCGGAACGTCTGACAAAGAGGTTCGGTGAAATGGGGTTCGGCGAGATCCAAAATGTACTGCACCACATAGTTTCCAAAAGGATCCTGGACGAGCGCAAAGGCATTGGAGGTGATCTGGGCGATGAGACGAGCCCTCTGCTCACCAGAGGCATGATCAATGCATCGCTGAAGAACGCAACATCCATGACGGTGGGTGCCGACGACAACACAGTTAGCGCCCACCGCATCGTAGATGAATTGAGCATCCTCCGCAGAGAGGCGGTTCAGGCACTTCTGAATCACGTGGTTACCATTTAAGTCCTGAACTAACTCCACAACGTGGTCCTCCAAAGCATGAATCACAGTTTGCGTCTGTTCGGAAGTTGAGATAAATTCTATCATCTTCTGCAAAGCCCTAGTGCCATGTTGGTTCAGCGCAATCTTGACTAGCTGGTGTGCGGCATTGTTGATTAGAGCTGTGCGTTGCTCATCGTTGGAGTACTCGAGCAACTTCTGGCACAAGTAGTTGCCGAAAGGGTCTTATCAAAGTTAGAATGGTCAAATAGATGTAAATTATCAGGTGAGGTTTACGAACCGGTCATTAGCTCCACAACATGTACGTGTGTCTCGTCAAAAATCATCTGGACGTGGTCCGCATTGCGCTCTTCGAGTTTCCGCTGCAAGTATCTGCACCCATGTTGATCCTTACAGAGGCTGTACAGCTCACCCCGATAGTGCTCCAATGGAAAGTTAGTAAAGCGAGATAGCTGGGCTGACTCTCCTTCACCATTACTGCGGCGAGATCCCATAGCTTTTGCTGGTCCCTCAGCAAGACGGTAATTGCCAAAGGCAGGAAATGCGCCATAAGAAGCACCAGGATTGTAGTTCTGAAGTTGTCCATTTACTGGAAGTGTGTTACCCATGTACCCCTGGACGCCGTACCCGTAAAAGGGCTGCTGAAAAGTGGCCAAAGAAGCCGGAGTAATAGCGCTAGTATTAGCACCAGAACTGAGCTGAGGCCCAAAGGGTGTTGCATTTGGCTTTAGAGCAGTTGGCTGAGACCGAGATCCCTGCATGCTTGGGTCATCACGCTCAGGTGAATCCTTCTGCAGACGGGGATTAACACCATTCGCAGGGATTCGGCCCATATTGGCGTTGTGCTGCTGAAATTGTTCCGCGTGGGTCTTTGGCGGGGTGATGGCAGGGTTGAACGCATCGCCCTTGACAGTAGGGAGATCGTTGGTGGAGTACGACGACTGTAGAGAATTTGGACGGTTTGAAGAAGTTGCAGTCATACCTTCATGGTTTCCCTCAGCACTATAAAGAAGGTTTGCCTCCAGAGAGTGACGAGCAGCGTGTCGGGATACGTTAGAATGTCCCTCGTTGGTAGGACTACCAAGCTGCTCGAGCCGGAACATGTTCAGAGCGTTTTGGGGCATGCTTTGATGAGAAGATCGATGGCGGCTATGAGAATTCCACGTCTCGGGGTTTGGGGTGCGAGAATTAGCCAAGTCCAAAGCATCTGAGTTTGCAGATAACTATGTACTCGGTCAGTGGAGCAAGATCAGCGGAGATTTTATTATCGATGACTTACCAATCCTGAGTCGTCCCTGCGCGACAATGTAGGAAACTTGTCGTCAGGGTCGGTCAACTTAAGATAACTTTTGATATCGGGAGTTGGAATCCGATCTTCTTCCTTCAAAGTTGCTCTATCGTCCTCGTTACGGAACAGGTATTTAGGAGCGTTGAAAGACTCCAACCCAGACGTATTGTTGAAGCCAGAAATGTTGGGACGAAGTTGAGATCCAAAGCCAGCAGATGGCATTGAATAGCGATGGATTCTAAGCCATATGAGTCAGCAAACCTGATGAGGTGAAGGTACCATGAATAACTTCAATAAAATGGATGCCAAATATCCTGTACACGTGAACATCCAGGTAGCACAAGGAAACACAGTGCGAAATAAATGTTTAAGCAACAAAGCAAACTCTTGTGTTCCTTCACAGGTAACGCAGCGGCAACGCCGAGACTTATTTTGGTAAAAAGTGAAACACACGAGACTCCAGAATACAACAAAAACTAATTCACAGTGATTAACATGAATTAGGAAGGGAGCAACTTACGCAGGTCCAGGGCGGAAAGGAGATGTAGGCTCTTGGCCAAAATCCTCTTTCTCAGAGTTTCTGCGAGAACCGGGAACAGAATGCACTGAGAAGCGGTTTGTAGGAGTTTGTGCAGACGCTTGATTCACCTGGCCCTGCGGAGTGGTTGCCTGGGATGGGGCGAATACATTGAAGAACCCGGGAGATGATGTAACAGATGAGGTTGAGAAGCGTGTAGGCCGAGTGAACCCACCTGAGAAGCTGTTTTCACGATACTCAGGAGGAGTCGTGGGCTCACTCACGGGACCAGATATGCCAGCTTTGGCAAGATCCTTTGCAATTCGGTCCATCTCTAACCTCTCTTTCTCATGCTCCTTGTCTAGGAGCTTCATATCCTCTTCAAACCTCCTCTTTTGCTCCCGCATATACTCGATGTGCTGACGCTTCTTTTCAAACTGAGACTGTATTAGAAACAATCAGGACAGAGGTGAATGAAAGAAGTAAGAAAGAAGTAAGGAGTGACGAAAGGATGCCGCCAATCCCTCGTGATACAGAGGGTTGTGGTTTGTGAAACTTGAAGGTAGTAGGGAAAGTGAAGGTCAACAGGAGCTAAGGTAGGTACAGGGTAAAGAAATAGGCCTCAGGTGAGAATGAGACGTCACATCCATCGAGACGTTAGTAGGTAGCAACACTGACTAAAGCTTACTAGGACCGGACGGTCATAATACGAGAAACGTTCAAAGACGAGTGCACCTTCAGGTGATATATAAAACGGCTTATCAAACGGGGAAAGCTTACCGATGACAACAAATCTAAGGGGTCCTGTATCTGAGAGTTATTTCCAACATGGTTCAAATAACTCCAGGATGAGAGCTTGCTAGAGTCTGTAGTGAAGCGACGTTGAAGGTTGGCACGGACATCACCCGAGGGCCTCGAAAAGGCCGACACGAGGTTTGAATGGCCTGGCGAGATTGAATTGTATCCGGGAAACGGGGACTCTGAAGTAGGGGATCGCGGGGATGGAAATCGCAGCTCATCGAGGCGTTCACTAAGTCCGTTCTTGAAGGCCATGATGGGCGGCCAATTCGGGACGGTGATCACTGGACTACTACCGTTCAGGGGCCAAGACAAGTCAGAAAAAACAGTCACAGCATGGTATTGTGTTTGACGGGAGGGCACTTTAGAGAGTTATCAACCCTCGGGAACAGCGACAGATAGCAGGTTTGGGGGGCTTTAATTGAAGCACGGGGATGATGAGGAAGAGTTGTCTTGGTTGGCGGTGTGTTCTCTCCGATAGTGTTGCGATGTAAGGAGTTGGAGAGGGGCTGAGGGGTGATCTGGCGGAGAAGATCTCGGAAAAGAGCGACTCACACACAATGAACGCCTCGAGAGTTTAAGTTCCAAGCGCGAAAATGGAGTTTGCAGTTGAATATTTGCTTGAGGATGCAAGTAAGGACTGTTTATAGGGGTCTCGGGGTAAGTTTGTACACCCAACGGTGCACTCCTAACGATGCGGAGATCTCGATCAGTGGCGTGCGAACCAAAGGTTTGGGCAACGGGTGGTACCTGTTAATACACCTTAACCCTACACTCTCGATTCGAGCGCGACGGGTTGATAAAATACTAACGAGTGAACAACAAGGAAATGGATTCGCAAATGACAACAACGAAGGTAAAAATATATTGTTGTACAGGTAAGTGTGAGTGCCCCAGAAGACAAGAAACGAAGGAGGAGGAACAAAGTGGGAGGCGGGCGAGAGGGGAAGAGAAACGAAGCGTGAGCGGCTGGGAGAGCTGAGCGTGCCTGAGGAAGCGGGGAGTCAGCGACTGGACTCGTTTGGGAAATACGGCGTTGGAGTCTTTGGCCGATGGGTGTTCTTCATCGCTAGGACCTGATGGCCCCATGTCTCTTCTCGTCTTCTTTCAACCTTTCAACGTCAATCTACCACTATAGTACTATTAGTATAATCAATATAAATCTTTCTATTGCTCTACGTAAATCAAGCCAGGTCCCGACGCATCCCTTTGGTCTGCTCTAGTTGTTCCGCTTTCTATAAGGTTGTGGTAAGTACCTGTACGGAGTACAAGTACTCGGTACTATGTATCGTACTGTACACACCCCGACAAGGCACGAGGTTAAGGTACCCAAGGCCATTTACTTAGACAGGCCTTCTAGGTGCTGGGCTCTCTAAATACCTCGTATATACCTCATTGTTTCTGTTTAATTTTCATTTCCTTGGATTTTTATTTTTTTCTGGTTTTTTCATATTATTGTTGATGTTATTATCTTTTTCTATTCTATTCAGTGGGTAGAAGAAAAACGGGGATTTATTTTGTCATGCTTCTCATTATCTTGGGAGGCCTAACCGTCGTGATGGTCCATTGAGGGTTGTGGTGAGCTGTTCGATGACAACCAATTCTAGATGATCATTGACTTTTGGACGGATCAAGTGTTAATCTTGCCCGGACGAGTCGTGATTGGATGGCGAATTGCTTTACCCTGCAAATTTCAATGATCCTGCACGACTCTGTCCAGTTTGAATGGCACGTAGTTGTTGAACTGTATCCTCGGAGGTTTGCTGCAGCTTGCAACATGCACCTTCGTTGTCCCCGGTCTTGCTCGTTTTCGATTGTTGAGCTCTCAACCTCTCCCGACATCAAGGATATATTATTATAGCTGGTTCGTTTTTCTTTACTCTTCCTCACCCCTTTTTATTATTACAGCCAGGGTGTACCTTTGACTACAAAGAACTTACGCTGCTTCCTCCCTGCTGGAGGATTGTGTAAGGGGGGCACGGGTTATCTTTGGTGTGCTGGTCGAGGCTGCAAGTGTAATTCTGCATTGAGTGGAGACAACAAGTCAAAAAAAAAAAAAAAAAAAAAAGATGTGACGGCGGTTCACGCCCTAATTCCTGCACGTACCTGGGTCAGAGCAACAATGACTGGAGCATTTACAAGGGAGACATTAATCCTCCGTTGTAGTAGAAAACGAATAAGATTTCTGGAGCTAATAGCGGCTGCAGTGCAAGTCATAGTTTCGAGACTATCCCAGTAGTCAATCCTTTCTCTCTCCTTTTTTTTTGGTTTTAGATTGCCTTGTTTCTTTAATTAATTGAAACTGAAGGGATCCCTTAATTCCGCAATTTGGTGCCCTACGAAGGTATCATTAGGTTCCCATCTAATGATCTCGTACATTAAGGAGGGAAGAATACGCATAAAGAATGAATGGCCACTAATCAATTCAGCATTGATTAGCTATCCAAACTCATATGAGTCTTGTACGGTTTCAAAAAATTCGGGTTCATGGCTTCCCATACGCGTCCCAAATAGTTGGTGGCGGGGGGTCATCTTCAGCAAAAAAATTTTTTCTCTTGTTTTGATTTTCTGTTTTTCTTGGGTTTATTTTCTTATTTTATTTATATTTTTCCCATTTGACTCAATTCTGGTAGGTGCATGGTTAGTACCAAGGATCAATAGCCCGGATAGCATTCGAATGGATTCAACCGTGACAATCGAATGAGGATCATCGAGGATGCCAGTTAGCGTGGTTCCATGGATCAGTCGATTCAACGTCTGGGCCGATTGAGTTGGGGTGCAGCGCCTCTCAAACAAATGGAACAAGATGAGTAATACTAGTTGTTTCTCGTTCAATGATATACATACACACGGAGTATTTTATACTTTCTAGTACTAGTATTATCAGATGCGTTTTAAGGTACCTACTTCTAGGTGGGTATGGAACCAAGTTTCCTTTTGCCTCTTATTCTTCCAATACAACTATGAGCACGCCAATCCCATGATTGGTGCGGTGAAGGAAAAGCGGTGTACAACCTGCTAGGAACACCAGACCAACGAACGGCGTGCTGATCCGTCGCTTCGAAGCGTCCCCTCCCTTTCGCTACTATCCTGAGCCAATACAATTATATTAGACATGGGTCGTCTGTGAAGAGATCTGGTCCTCTCCGAACGGTGTTCATACAGTACAGTAGAGAAATGAAGTCAGTATCTACTCCGTACTGCACATCGCGAACCGTAGTACAAATGGTGCACAGGGCACAATGCACCCAGAGCAGGATTTCAGATCGACGCTCCCTAGACCCAGGAAGTTGCCCTAAAAAGCACTAATCGTTAGTCACTGACCTACGAAGGCGCCTTAGGACGTTACTTACTTTCATTCTGTTGTCTCCAGTTACTAGTGAGGTATGTCAGACATGCCTTACTTGTACGTTAACTACTAGTCACTAGTTTGGGTACCTTACCATGGAGTCATTTGCAACATTGCAGTCTAACTGGCCGTGGTTCAGGGGCCTAGAGGCGAATGGAAGCCAATCAATGGAGGCCACTTTTCCTGCCCCATGGACAATTTGGGTCCTCAAGGAAGCCCTCGAATTTTCGACAGCATCCGTTTGGGGTCTGACTAATGGATCACCCCTCATTATTTCGATGCCGAGCCATCAGAAAGCTGTTTCACATTTCCGTTTGCCACACCAATTCTCAGATTACACCGGGAAAGAATTACAAAAGGGAGCCTGTTATAGAACCAAAAAAAGACGTCCTTCAACAAATTCCCCTGTAACTGTTCTATTGTTTCTTGAAATACCGTAGTTTCATGCCTGAAACGGCGTGTCCTCACAGAGTACTGTTCGACAAGATTCCGAGATGATTAATCTGTCTGTTACTCAAGCGCCCCATCTGCAATACACCAATTGAGAACTCTTGACTGGTCACAAAAATAGCAGAACCTTGACATTACTCATTGATCTCCACACTCGGCCATTTTACCTCGATGCCTTCAATCCAATCGCATGGTGTTGCTGGTCGTCGATCTCTCATCTACAAAAAAAAAAGAGAAAAGAAAAGAGAAGAAAATACAGACCTGTTAGTAGTCTGACACATGCAGTATGAAGAAACGACTCTCTGACACAAATGGACCTCATCTCAATGGGCAACAGATGGAAGGAGACAACACACGTGATCATAGGGTTTCTACAATGAGCCGATATCTGTTCTTGAAGAATTGAGATACTCATCAGTCCCGCACAGTGAACCGGGGGTTTTATTAGTACTTCGTCCAACATCATCGTTGTATCGATGTACTTTCTCGCTTAGTAGCAATCATTCTCCGCATAGGAGAGGGACGTCTCGAATGCCAGGTGGCGAAGATCTAAAATTGCGGTCAAAGAATCCCACCGCCACGGACATCTCGCCCTCTAGAACAATCCCCCCACATCCTTCGTAGCATTGTTCTGAGGCCTTTCGTCATCTAAACAATATCTCGGGACTACTGCGTGCGCGAAATGCGCCTAAGGCTAGTAACAGCTGTACTTGACCTCTGGGTATGACCCCTGCTCCCGACGAAGGGCAGGGAAAGCTCCAGTTCTCTGGGTGTATGAGCCATTGTTGCCCAACCCCGCAAGTCACAAAGCTTGGCTTATTCTTTTGATACCTCTACGATAACCTGAAATGATACGGCAACTCCGAGTCTGTATGCCCGAAGTTTCTCCTTTCTAGTCTTGGTCACTTCTACGCCTTTCCACCATGGAAACATTATCTACTGGGGATTAGCAGGAAAACTCCCTGTGTGGAGACTGGAAATCCGCCGTGCGTGGTACTTTTGAGGGTACCCACTAGCTCTTAATGATTTATCAAAGCTTCTAGTCGCTCGTTGTTGCAAACCATTTACCACCAATCTGGTAATCGGTCCTAATGCAGCGAAGGGCCGCGGATTCCATGCTGAAAACGTATGCGTGTTCGCAAATGCTACTATTCCTGCTCCTGCAAATCCTACTCGCCGGAGCTTGTGGTGTTCGAGCAAGGAACCAGTCCCCATGAGTCACGTATCTTAGAGTGATGCTATGGTTAATTTGCACACGGCTTGTGCGCAGCTGCCAGTGAGTTGTTCAGTGGGATATCTAGGCAGATGTGCACGATGCCGTGTTGAGATGGTATGAGGCTACCTAGCAGATATCCTTTTCCTGGAACCTTAGGTTCCGGCAGAACAGCTCGCTGGACCCTTGTGGAGCATTGTTGCCTTATTCTATGTGCAAATTAAGCATTTTAGGCATCATTGTCCATCCTGAGAAGGTAGACTACCAGGCATAGAACTATGTTCTTTCTATCCTGCGAGGGTCTCTTTTTTTTGGAAGCGTTGCAATTTGCTGGATATTTTTCCATCAGGCCAAATTCCTGCGTAATGATCATGTTCTTGCTTTGGAGCGTGATCTGATAGTATAAGGGATATGATCATCTAACATAATTAAATGTGCAGCATTGACTCGAACGTAGATGCAATTCAGAGAACACGTCACGAGACTACCATAAACTGCCCCTTATACGCTATGCGCCTAGGCACGATGCCCTCCATCACAGTATGGTTCGTCCGGAAGGCTTCGAGCCTTTGCAAAAGCACCAGCACCGAAAAATGCTCAACTTCATCTATACCCAGATCAAGAGATACCACTAACTAAACTTTCGTCTATCTATCTATCTATCTATATATCCATCTTTCTCTTCTGGACCTGTATAGCTATTCACTACCTCGAGGGAGCAACATCTATGAAAATAGGAGCCTGATTTTCGTTCCACATAGCGCAAGATCAACCTGACAAGCGACAATTACGATCCACTATCTCTATCTCATAGGAACGGATTTAATCTTCATAATGTTCACATGTCATATCGATTGCTTGACCCAATAGACAACCTCTTCTATCCTGTTCTAGAATATATATATCTTTGAACTATAGGTCTAATTATACCATTATCACATATTCTACAACGTAAATCTCTATCGAATGCCTATAATTCACTCTTAGCCTTTACTACCAGGGAAGTGCATATGAGACACCGCACCTGTAGACCAATAACATATTGTTTAGGTTATATTCGACCCTTCCATTCGAAAATGAATTATGTCTTTTGGGAATATCAGATACAATTCTCTGACTTCTCATTCCCTCTGTCCAAGGATATTCGTAGTTCTGTTCACGTCAACCGGTTTTACCAAAGGAAAACGATAGATATAGCCAAATAAATCACTTATATATATCCGTTACCTCTACCTCTCCCAGCAGATCACCAAGTACTTCTTCCTCCATGTTCCCACCTGTTTACCCTCTCTAGTAATATATGAAATATTTGCGAATTTATCTTGTAAAGGTTCTAGATTTTAGACTATGTCCTAAGTGATTCTAGTCGAGTACTATCGAAAAAGGATAACGAGAACAATGTGTTACACAAGATATTAAGCTAGTTTAATATATGGCCGGATAAAAGTTACTTTAACCAGTAGACATTAAATATCTTTGCATATTTTTTCATTAGCTTTAACGAAATACATTAGACTCAAGACCATTGTGGGAGGTGTTTTGAAGGCCAGGAACAAAGCTGCAGAAGACTTCCTTTTTCCAAATCGGAATTTAGGCCATGGATCAATAAAAGTACATATATAGACACATAAACCATCACATGAATGAGAAACTCCACGAGAGCTAGTCCTTGTATATATTAGTTATTATATCTGCTTGCAGTAGTGACCAAGACGTTTCCACAGGACAGGGCGTTGATATGGGCGTGTATATACTGTAGCAGGGAAGAGTAGTTGCTGTAGCATAGATGATCCATTGCGGTTACCCTGACTAGGATAGGTAGCGCACATGTACCGTGATATTCCCTGCAATTAGTGGCTGAGAGGCGGTGGTTGCACGATATCCCACTGTCAATCTAGGTAGGACGTGTAACATGCAACTGTCATGCCCTTGCAGAGTCAGATGACTCATCCCTGGTCACAGGCTCGTTCATGTTGTCGGAAGCTATTCTCTGTTCAGGGTACTTCGTGTTGGTCCAGGACTCCCAGATCCCGGCGTGGCAGTGTAAAGAGGTGACGTTCTCCCAGATCAAACAAAACACTATCAGTGCCATGATAATCGACATAATCGAGGTAATATCGAGGTCTTTAGTCAGGCCGAGAAGGATTATGATCAGTCCAGTGATAGGCCGCATGATCATGCGAAGATGCTATTTGTGCGTGGATAGGTGAGAATATACTCCTTGCCTGAATATATGTCCAACAAAATTGACTTACCTTGGACAACATCAACGTTCCTGGCTCATCCCTATCTTCATATAGTAATGCTAAGCCATATAAGCAATACAACCCAGTCCCGAGGCTACCGCAAAGTAGCCAACGCTCGGGATCTTGGAACCGGTCCTCTGCTGCACTTGCAGCGGCAACGTGTCCGCTTGCTAGCAGGCTTGCGACAAGAGGCAAATGGAGCGTAGCCCATCCAAATGCCGTGTATACTGAATAGCGGAAAGGGTGAGTGCTCTGCAGCGCGCCGTCGTTGTGAGCATACATCCAGTTCAGGCAGAAGGCGATGATTAAGACCCAGACTGCATGGAGCAAGCTAAGATTGAAACCCACAGCCGCAGGAGAGCCGACAACAATTTGGTATAAATATTCTCCGAGCACAATAATATAAAAGGCGGCGTATCGATCGACCTCATGTGCGATATCAACAGCAGTTGTATACTTGGCATTCAGCATCCTCTTGGCTGCCGGTGAGTAGCAGAAGATCCAACTGCACTCCTCAAAAATGACGCCAACAGCGGCCGCTGCAATTTTGCCACGCAACGATACGGATTCGAAGTACAGTGGGATATATATGAACATCGAAAGCACTGTAAGCGCAACCCAGAGCCGCTGCTGCTTTCGATGATGATAACTGGCGAAAGAGTATAGCAGATGCGCCGCGCTGCATGAGATGCGTGCAACCATGTAGCAGCCGATGGTGGCCCGCATTGCGCTGATATCCTCATCCACAAGGGATGCGTTATTACCATACATAACAAGGACAGCCATAACCCAGAGGATCAGCACACGCTGTAGCAGATCGTCATTATAGAAAGAGTTCATCAGTTCCCGGAGGTCAGCCCAAACATGCCAGGTGGGCGCGAGTATGAGCTAATTGCCAATCCAAACCAGTAAGCTTATGGCCTGCGAGAGGGGGCTCCTATTCAGTGAAGATTCGACCTGCACTTACAATATATTTGACTAATTTCGCACCCGAGATATCCTCAGCTAGAGTCTCGGCGAAATTGGCCAAGATCGCGACATATAGAAGGTCTAGGAAGAGTTCGAAGCGTCCTGAGCAGGACGCTATTAGCACGGCAATGTTCTTAATTAGCAAATATGGGGGAATACCCACCTGCCTGGCGTTCTTCTTCATGTCGCTTCACTAATTTCCCATTCTCAAACCATTGCAGCGCAAGCGGCTGGCGAAAGAGATATCGCGGGCTGGGTTGAAGCTCATCGACGTTAATTCCCGGAATGCTGGCCATTGTGGAATGGGCAGGAAGCTGAGAAACTGAAAATCAACTAGAGAAAAAGCTTCTCGTCAATAAAGTTCAAGAATGAGCCCTAGATGCTCAGCGTTCCAAATAGACCCATTTCCGAAAACGGTTAGAGAGAGATGTCCTTATGTAGTTAGATCGATCGGGACCCGACCCATACCCGTCTCTTTGGTAAGCAGACCCACCCGCCCTTCGGCGTGTGGGTCTGCCACACCTCAACGATAATTCCCACCTCAACGATAAATTTGAAGCTATTCAAGTATTTACACCGCATCGCCTTGAGTATCTATCCAAAATGGTAGTCTAGGGCCTTCCTTATCCACCTGACTAGCTTCTGCGCTAGGTAAATCCCCTGTAGTTTTCTGTGGTGGTGGTTTATCGTGTTCCAAAGTTTCTATTCTCTTAATCTGCCTAAGGGTCTGCTGTCTTTTCACTTGAGTACGCTCTTGAATTCGATATTTTGTATTATATACTGTTAGGGGCCCTGTTTGTGTGATCCTTCTCTGTGATTCCTTTTTATATTGAGGCTTTTGATGTCGAAGATGTTGTTCTAGGTCACTCTTAAGCTGACCGGCTAATTTTGTAGTTTCTAGAGAACTCTAGAATACACGGTCAAGACATTGCACAAAGCTTTGATTAAGCTCTGGACTATCATTAATAAAGCTCTGTGCTTTACTAATACTCTGACGAAGACCTTGTATTGTAGAGAACAGTGATAAGCTTAATAGTAGTGGTGATGGTGTTATAATTATTTTGATCTCCGGTATAGAGTCTTTAGCCTTATATAGAGACTTTATTATCTTCTCTGGATTAAAGAGATATAGTCCTCGCTTTTAAAAGCATCCCGGATCATATGTTGTTTAAAGATATTCTCATGAATAGAATGAATCTCTCTCAGAAAATCACTTTTATCATCCATCTAAATATCTCTCTAAGCAAGATAGATATTTCTTGTGATAAAAGTGTTTATAGACCTGAAAAGGTTATTCATCAAGAGGCTGTATAAGATATATTATATGAGAAGAAAAGCAGTAAGAAATAATATAGTATTGTCTACAGAATTAAAGGAATTTATATATAAGATAGGGCTTATAGCCATTAAATACTAGTAATTAAATCTTATCTTTTTTAGAGATGCGGTGTTTTGTATGACGGTGAAAATGCTGAATCCAGTCAAGACAGATCTTATCTATAGTATAGCCTTTAGAAGATAGAGCTATTTGATATTCCCCCAGAATATCTAAATCATACCACCGCTTAAGATGATATGTTTCTTTAAAGATAAAGTATAGAGCAAGAGTAAAGCCATCAGCTATAATACACTTAATTGCAGAGATTACTTTGCCTATTTTTCCAGTTAGATTATCCTTTGCAGCTTATATAAGTCTTGTAGTCACAACTTTTTAACTTTTTTCTTGTCCCAGTTAAAAGCCAGTTTTATCAAAGTTATAGATATTCTTGGATGGAATCTGCTTGATAAACCGCTCTAAGTAATTATACCAGTGTTAAAGAACACCTATATCTTCTGTATTAAGACACTTCTTATCTCTTGGCTTTTACTGAATAAGCTTAAACTCCTCCGGGAGGCGTTTAATAAAGTGATAAATCCAGTTCTTGTTAACTGTATGAGATAGCCTATCAGTTGTATTCCGCTGCAGTATTTGGTTGGCACTCTACTTAATTATTCCGGCTGTAGGTAAACTATATAGATTATCAAGGTGATAAATCTAGTAAATCAGCATCTTCTCTTGTGAACTATCAAGGATCTTTTTAGGGATAGGACATGTGCTTCGTATAGCTTGACCAAGGATACGCGCTTGGAGTCGTTGATAAGGAATGTCAAAATGACGCGCTAACGCTGAGATATTTGGTTTTTTTTGGCCCTTAGTAATTTCACAGGCCTTTAAGACACGTGTCTCTATATCAGAATAGGAATCAGGCATGGTGGTGGTATATAGGAGCTTGAATAGCTTCAAATTTATCGTTGAGGTGGGAATTATCGTTGAGGTGTGGCCAGACCAACACGCCGAAGGGCGGGTCTGCTTACCAAAGAGACGGGTACTGAAGACCCATTTTGACCCACTAAGGCTTGTTGTTTGTATGGTTTGTGTCTGCACAGGTTTGTGGCCTGTTAGATTAGGCAGCAGCACCTCCCATTTTTGATTGAAAGCCTGGACTCCGCATATGGCTCCCCAGGACTCAATTGCTCCGAAATGCGGAGTGGTTGCCTAGATCCTTTTTCCGATATATACACCGTATTCTGCGATAACGGCGAATTACTGCATCCGGTATAGCGTGCCTGATCGGGGAAAGCGCGTCACTACCGCTTGGTATCCTAGTGCGTGGTCTATCTAGATAGCCTCCTCGCCCGCCTACCTCCCCTCGGTACTTTCCCATCCTTTAACGCCGTGTAGATTCAGACCAACTTAAGCCATTTTTACTATTAGGCCGGTCTCTCCGTGTCCTGCACTTCGCCACCCCCTTTTACTATAGTAAGTTAGGATTAGTTCGTATCGTTCCGTGAACTATCCTCTAACTAATCTTTTCTCTTCTCAGGTAAATAGAATAATAGAGCAGAATTTGGCACGATCGCGACATTGCGCAGGCAGTTTACTCTGCGAATTCATAATATAGGAAAGATGAGCGGCACTTGCGGGACAAGATTGGAAAGGACGATATATGGCAAGGTAGATCGCGCTGGTTTGGCTCGTGACATGAGAGGTGCTGGGACGCGCCGAGTGCGATCGCTAATGTCGCACCACAGGATCGATGTTATGGGACGAACAGAGATGGATCTCCCTATCTAAGCGTGCCGTATGAACAAGAAGGAATAGCTGAAGAACAGGAAGTCGAGTAGCGGTCAGATGTCAACAAATAGGGCGGGAAGGCGGTATGCGGCGGCAGAAGCGAGCTTTATCAGAGCCCTAGTTTAGTCGGCTGAGCTGTGGCATGATAGGCTATGAGCCAACGATGCTAAGTAATAAGATGGCCGCTGGTAGCGTCCTATCGGCTCACCCCGGGCCTTCCCCGCGCCTTGTACTCGATTCAGCATTTCCGGATGTGATAGTCATGGCTCGAGGTGGATACGACGGAGAATTTTCCGTCCACTGAAGGCCGTCACTAACGGACACTAAAGCCCGTCACGGCTTGGCTTGTATAATGATTCACACCTGATGGTTGCAAGGCGTTCTATTCGCGGTGATTAGTGATGACGTTCAATCGAATTGAAGTTGATTTGTCGTGGAGGTTGGACTGTGACTGACCAGAAGGTGAAAGATATTGGAGCCTGAGGCTTCTAAATTGCCTCTGTGAGCCTAGCCTCTGCCTGCTCTGCTTTCTACCTAGGTACAAATTCATCTCGATGACCTTCACTCATCACCTCTTCTTGAGCTTCACCTTTTCTTACACGATGGAACCATTACTTCATGATGAGCGGGAAAGGACATTAACCAAAGATGTCCACCCCCCGTCACTACCTCTTGCTTTCTTCCATCACGGAGTCGCTCCGATCGGACATTTGGCTAAAGTAATTGTAGGGGTGAGGACGTGGGGGATTCATTCAACGATGGTTGATCGCTTGCCGTTGCTGGGGGTCTTTCAATGGTCGTTCCAACCTGAAGAGGTCCTCCGTAGAACCTGATCTACTTCAAGAGTATGGACTACCTAGCCTCCAGCAGGAAATATAAAATCCTCAGGCACCAACAATAAACAACGCGACTTATTGTATCAGAGTAGGTAGTAGCTTCGCTTCATGTTCAATATTGGGCCTGATGATTCAGTAACTAAGCCTCTAGGGCTTGTATCGCTAAGGCCCCTATACCTACTGGTGTTATGCATGAGGTGGACTAGGTCATGGTCTCGTTGTAATAGCTAGGTAGGTAGGTCGGTACCTAGGTACCACAAAGGTGTTATGCTTGCTAATGCACGTCCGTGACGATACAAGCAGCGCGGCGGGCTGCCGCGCCAGAGGAGGCAGCACGCACGCAGGTGCAGTAAAGAAAGAGTTACATCCTGAGAACGTTGCTCACTCCGCCCGGCTCGAGTTCGACCTTCATCCCTTTGTTGACCGACGTGTCCAACGTTGTGTCCAAAACTTCTTTTATACTGAACATCTCCCCACAAAGGTGAAGGAAGGTGATGAGACCGACAGCGGAAACGAAGTCGAATATATTGCTCCATGTTACATTGACATTGAGTTCGAGACTACCGGCGGGGTATCTCGAGGCCTTCTGGATGGGCACGAGTTCAACAGCGAGACCACCGAGCTCTTCGCGTACATGTACAATCTGACAAGGGCTGCCTCCACCAAGCTCCGTACCGTCAAGATTCGCGTCGATGTTGACCCTCATGATGTACCAAGACTCACCGGATTTCTCGAAGCACTGGGCGATGTATCCACCCTTATCGCGCACACGGTGGAGAACTCCGGATCCTTCTTGGGCAGCAGAAACCTCGTCTTATTGTCCACCAAGCCTGGGGCTCGGAGATGGTGAAGTTCCGTGCGCAAGCGCATTTCTACGATATCGATACTTATTTGGTCAAAATGGCCTATGGCTCTGTACTCGAATGGAGATGGCCTTATGAGATGATCAAAAGAATTCAACTGATTCCAGCTTTGATCAAGTTGAAAAAGATTGGTGGATCGATTGTCGCTATTGCCATGCTGGAGAGATCTGCCTTCAAGGAAGATCTCCTCCCACCTGAGTTGAAGGGAATGGACGTGATTCTGCCCGAGTTCACCGAGGTCCAAGTGATTGTTCGTGTGCATAAAGGCTCGGGCTCAGGACCAGCTACTGAATGGACGGCTAGTGGATTCACGGTGCCTGAATACATAGAGAATGAAGCCCCTGGTGCCATTCAAATCGTCCTCTACGGCGCACGTCTCGGAAAACTCTTGAACACCGACGAGGACAATGCCAGCGTCCAACTGCCTGGGACTCTCAAGTTTGAGATCAACAAGGCGCCGATCAAAAGGTCCATCAATGCTCTCGCGAAGCTCAAAGCTAACGAGAATGAAGTTGCGAGATGGTTCCCGCTTTTGCTCAATCATGAGCCCAATGCTTTGCCCGACGTTGACCTTCTCCGCGAGACCGATCCGAAAGTCGTCCAATCAGCGCTGCGGCATCTCCTTAAGCTAAAGCAGTGGAATGCCGAGCAAACCAACGCGTTTCGCTCTCTGCGTAAGACAAAGGCGGGCTGCTCCCTCCTAGAGGGGTTCCGGGATGTGGCAAGACCACGGTCCTGGCTGCAATCGCAATCTTCTCCTATTTGTGTGGATTCAATATACTCCTCGTTGGACCCAGCAACGCAGCCGTGGATGCCTTGACTAGAGAGTTTAAAGAGCTGGAACCTGATCTTGACTATGTTCGTGTACGTCGTGGCGAAGTCGAGAAACGTTCCAAAGCAACGGCAAACCCTAGGGAAGCTGATGATGGCAATGAGGGACAAGCAGAGATTGAAAGGCATACTGCTCTTATCGGCCTGCTCACGACTCTAAAGGAGACTCGTTCCCGACGGGTGCAGGGAGATTTGGAGCATAGCGTTTTGTCTTGGATTCTGCTCAAGTGTGACAGCGCTCTCGCTTCCGGAGAGGAACTCATCCTGAATGTCGCCAAGGATGCCCCGAAACAGCAGACAGCAACCCCCGATGGCGCCGAACCTGACTCGCCGGTCGACTTGCAAAATGCCTATCGCGTGGTTCATGAGTACGTCAGCCAGCCGAAGGTCCCCCGGCCCAAGGACGCGTCCGAAGACGATCTTGAGCAATGGTACAAGAGAGAAACTGCATTCAAGAAATTGTACGACGCGGTTTCAGAACTGATAGTCCAAGAAGCTCGTGTGGTTGCTTGCACGAACAATCTAGCGGGCACCGACCTTGTCAGACGAAACTTCGGTGCCAATGGGAAATACATCATCATTATCGCAGATGAGGATGGCCAAGCCGCTGAGTCTGACGCCATTATCCCTCTAGTGTCTCTCGATAACGCAAACAAGGTTGTTGGAATGATTAGAGGAGGAGATCGGCATCAGCTCCCACCTTTGGTTATAACATTAACTGAATCTCCTGGATACAATGAGTTCGGTGCTCAAATCGGAAGATCATTCTTCGATAGACTCCGCTGTGCGAGATTTCCAGTGGTCATTGTATCACAACAACACCGCATGCATCCTCGTCTTTCCAAGTTCCCTTCTGACTTCACATATGAGGGCAGGATGACAAATGATCCATCCGTGAAATCAATTACACTGAGTCCAATGTTTTCCCAGAATCTTCTCGAATGGCTCAAGTCCAAAGCCAACGATGTCGAATTCAGAAATGGGTTGGAGCTTGTCGGGCTTGACGTGAGCGATGGCGAGATTGAGATCAATCAAACCACATTCTCCAGATCGAACAAGCGGAATATTGAAGTGGTCATGAACTTGATTGAACACCTGATCTCCAACAGCGCCCTCAACGGGATGTCCTGTTGTATTCGGCCTACGTATGCCGATCAAAAGAAAGCATATGTAGAGGCGATGATCGCTCTGTCTAAGAAGCTTGGAATCGCCTGGGAGGTTATGGTTTCCGTTTGTACGGTCGACTCAATGCAGGGAAACCAAGCCGATATTGTCATCGTCGACTGGGTCATTACTTCTGGGGAGTCGAGGGACTTGGGCTTCGGCTCCAATAATCGCCGCACCAATGTTGCGTTAACCCGCGCGCGAGCCTGCCTCATCGTTGTCGCGAATGGGCAAATTATCAACAACGATAGACTCGACGGCGATGAGACCAAGGCCAAGGTGCCCCCGGAGATACTTGCCCATTGGAAGCACTTGTTGGACAATGACCTCATTGTCCCGTGCCCTCGTGCTCTGCCCGACAATGTCGACGACACCGAGAATACCGCGGTCTACAATGCTGATGATACCGTGGTCGACAGTCCCCCTGGAGTCGTCGATGATGATGTTGATTGGTAGACAAGAATTACTTCATGATGACCGGGAAAATATCACAAAAAGGGAAAAAAGGGTTTAAAAAGCCCCAAAAGACATGTATTTAATATCATGGGTCCCACATATCCAGGCCTGTATCAAGTTCAGTGCTATTTAGTTCCCAATTTCTCTTTCCTACCGTCACGAAACATCTCTGTACTGGTTTCCCGAGTCTCCCTTCGTCACCACCTCTTGGTTGCTATTTCCATCCCTCACCCAGAAGGATCATAGGATCACCTTCCATTTTCGAGCTTTCGCAGCCTCCATCTTGTCATCTTTGAGCACTTCCCCCATTTGCAGTTCTTCACGCTATTCACCATGGCACCGTCAGCCATCTCTCCGCCATCGATCACTTACCATCCCAAGGCGTCAAACGCCATCCCAGTGGATTCTCCAGCAGTGGCACGAACTCACGTTGAGTCGTTCTTGCTCAGATGGAACGAGGAGAACTTGCAACTGAAGCTGTCTTCGGAAAACCTCACCAAGGACATCCGTTGCATTTTGCAGAAAGCCTCGGAGAAGAATTTGTGCAGGTGGGAATATGACCCGGAGTATCAAATCTTGAAGGTCAAGGCTATGGGTTCTCCTCTGCATGACGCCCTCAATTCATGCATCGATCGATCTCTTACCAATGCGAAACTTACCGTCCTAACTCCTGACGAGGCCAAGTGCATTTTGAATTACCCATTGTCCACTCTTCTGTCCAGACCACCTCAAACTGATCTCAGACTCAAAGGTGGAAAGAAACGTGCAGCATGGTTCAAACGTCCTGACAACATGATATTTTTCCAGGAGAGGGCCGGCAAAAAAAAGTTTCTACAAGTTGTCATCGAAATTGGGTTCTCAGAAAGTTATCATGATCTGGTCCGTAACGCTTTTCAATGGCTACTGCGGTCTGTTGGTCGAGTCAAACTAGTGATCATCGCCAAGGTAGAGGAGGATAAGCGTCAGCTCGACATCCACCAGAAGACGGAGCAGTTCAAACGCACTCGGGATCAGCTTGTTGCCAAATACGGAGATGACATATCCCGAGAGATCTACGAGACCTACGACATCGAATGTACCCCTCAAGATTCCTCAGCCGATTTGTACGAGGCGCTCGGTTCTGAAATCGCTGCTTCTGATTGGGTTGGCCCTATTTCTGTCTTTCTTGAAGTCTGGCGGTTGAGAGACGGAGAACCTAGTCTGACGGAGCCACGTATTGTGAGTCTTCCATCGATGAAAAGGATAGTACTGACTAGGCCTTCAGGATATTCTTCCCACCCCCGCTAGCCCGCGAGACCTTATACTCCAAGTCACGGACTTGATCCCTGAAGAACACCGGGCCTCGTTTCCCAACCTTGATGCAATGAGGACTATAACTATAGACGTGGCACGCTTTCGTGTTGAGCTGGACGATGCGAGGATGGGCAAAGCACTCATCCGAGCTCTGAAGGTGATTCGACCGCTGGACAAGGACGAAAGCGACCCTGAGTTCCTGCCCTCGGCCATTTCTTGATCGTTTGCCTTCTGTTGACACGGCCATTGGTTTTGCTTCATTCACGAGGGTTATGCACGGCGGTCAGAGGATTAGCTTATCATTAAGAGAGACAATGCACTAGGTCAGACAGTGTAATACCAAGAGTCGGTCCTCTTTTGATTTTCCTATAGGGGTTATAACTTCTCGGCTCTAGAGGTGCATGCATGAGTTTCAGGAAAGAGGGCACTGAAGAGGCTTAATATACCCAAGGTTAGGAGATAACTACGGTATAGTATTTTAAGAGCGTAGATGTTATCATGGAGTTGCCCAAGACATCTGGGTTCTGGTACAGCATCTCATTGAGTTGTCACGTATAACTGTTTATCCTAGCTTGGAGCTCCAGGACTCCGGTGTACGGGTTTGTCAAAGACTCGTCGAAGCTGTGGACAGACTGATCGGAATATTCAGGCGGGACCCCAAGGTCGTGCTTGCGGAGAGGTAACGTCGCTCCAAGACATCGAATTAGCAGATGATCTGGCAGATGTAAACTAACCCGCCCAAGAAGCGCTTGGTACTCTTATCCAGGTGGGTTCAATTTAGACGAGAATCTAGAATTAATATAGAATCAGCGAAGGCATTCATAGAAAGACGAAAGAGAGGGTATATCTCTAAAAATTTTACTTTATATAAAGTATACGAGCCTTTATTGACTCCGGGAAGTTACCTCTTGTTTTACTATCAGGCTGTTGGACGAAGGCGTTCCAATCGACCTCCTCGGGCAATATTTTAGTTTAAGGTATTATGAGTAAATAGCATACTTAAAAACATTCCAGGAGATAAAAAAGTAGGTCTTCCGATGCTGTATAACTAATCTAAATAAATAGCTATTAGATTATAACTCTACGAGGCTACATCCGGGCTTTATATATTTCTGTCTACTCATTTGGTGTACGCGCCGAGTGTATAAAAAGGCACCAATATCTATAACTAGAGAAATGGCCCTAGAACAAACTGGGTATAGCCTTCCGGGAATGTTTGAGGCACTAACACGCAGCGCGGAAAGACCACGCTTTCGTATCTAAAGACTACGCACAACCGTAGTCTTTCCGCCGTCACCGACAATTACTCCGTATAGGATGTGAGTCACTCTAGCCAACAGGGCTCTGATGATACGACTCCACGTAGTGCTTAGAAATCTATCTTGCTTAGCAATCTACCGAGTCTTATCCCCGATCTATGCTATACAGAAGAATTTACCTTAGTGGTCAACGTGGGGTGGGGTCTTATCTGTTTGACAGTGTTGATCAGGTGAATCCTTTTCATCTCGCTTATATTGACTGTCTTATTTGTGTTCCTAGGATAATCTGCTTTTCCCAGCCCATAGAGTATCTTCTGGCTCTGTTATTCACATACTAAATTGCTACATTTGATTGACAAGATCATGGGTCTAAATCGAAGACCCCCAGGATATGTTATCGCTAGTATGCTATGTTCCTGTGGCGGACTCTTGTTCGGGCAAGATACCCTTTTCACATTGTTGTTATCTTCTAGCACACATGGGTGTACTGATATATCGAAAATAGGATGGATACCGGCATAATTGGCCCTGTGACTGTCATGGACAGCTTTGTTGCACAATTTGGTAATCAATCTGCAACAGTTCATGGCTTGCTAGTGTCCTCAATTTTGATCCCAGCGGCTATCTCATCGTTCTTTGCCGGCTTTCTTGCAGACAAATTGGGTAGATCAAAGGGTATCAGCATTGGGGCTCTAGTATTTGCTCTAGGAGCTTCACTAGAGGCTGCGGCAATCCATATCTCCATGTTTGTTGTGGGTAGATGCATTGAAGGGGTAGGCGAGGGCCTATACTTGGGCACGTTAGTTGTGTATGGCATAGGGCTACTACTTCACTCAAGTGTACATCAGTCAGCAACTGACAATCTATAGCTATATATGCGAGATATCACCGACAAGCGTTAGAGGAGTTTTAACTACTGGGCCTCAGTTGCTGATCACACTGGGCTTAGTAGTTGGCTTTTTTACCTGCTATGGCACTGCTCGCATCGCTTCTTCATTCTCGTGGCGAACACCGTTTCTTATCTTGGCGGGCCTGGCGGTCACGTTTTCTGTCGTTTCATGGATTTGGCTGCCCCCATCACCAAGATGGCTGAGAATACACGGGCGTGAAACTGAGGCAACAGAAGTGTGGGATCTACTGGGGGTTAGTCCAGCAGAACGAGAGAAGATAGAGGTGGAAGAGGGTCGAGAGGCCAGTATGCAACCAATAGCGGTCCAAGGGCCACCCAACGTGGGCCAGATCACATCGAGTTCCCGATCTCAGGATAAGTCCCTTAAAGACAAGCTTTTTGACATTTTCTCCAAAGATGTTCGTACACGGACAGCGCTTGCTGCGTTTCTAATGGGAATGCAGCAACTGAGCGGAATTGATGGAGTCCTCTATGTAAGTTTGCTGATATTAGTAGGTATCACGCTCAGTCTAATGCTTGTTTTCCGTAGTACGCCCCGTTGCTTTTCCAACAGGCTGGACTTGCATCCTCGGACGCTAGCTTCTTTGCTTCGGGTGTCTCTGCCATTGTTATCTTCGGTGTAACAATTCCAGCTCTCATATGGGCAGACAAATGGGGTCGTCGGCACAGCACTATCTATGGTGGCGTTGGACTAAGCATCACAATGTTTTTGATGGGTGCTTTGTATGCAGGGAACGTCGTACATAGCTCAACGGGCGCAGGTAGATGGATTGTCATTGTATCCATTTACATTTTTGCTGTCATCTATTCCCTTAGCTGGGGAGTTGGGATTAAAATCTACGCTGCGGAAATCCAACCACAACGGACGCGCGCCTCAGCGACGAGCCTAGCCCACGGAAGCAATTGGGCATCCAACTTCCTCGTGGCCCTTACAACCCCTATCCTGCTCTCTCGGAGTAGCTTTGGGGCATACTTTCTATTTGGAGGGTGCACCCTGATCACAGCTTTGATCTGTGCAGTCTTTATGCCAGAAACTAAAGGCAGGTCCCTGGATGAGATTGAGGAAGCCTTCAAATCCAAGTCCTTGGGGTCGCGGTCGTTTGTCAGAATTATCCGCCCAATAATTGGGCAGGGTCAGTGAGCTGGGATCTGGGCATAGTGCCATAGTGATAAGGTAAATAGCAATTATCTATTGAATTCTGTATGGCCTTGAGATATGCAATAATCGGGCTGTTCAGCACGTGCTGGATATATAAGATAAGAAGAAAACAGCATTAGGTCAGCGGAACTGTCAATATGGCACTAGCCATCTTAGGGGAATTAGCTCCTCTGCTTACTAAACCGCCGCTCTGAAGAGCAGTGAAATTAATTTAATAATCTAATTCGGACCTTTTTACCTCGCCGATAACGAAGAAATTGTGCGCCGTAGATTTAAACCGCCATGATACACCTGCCATTTCATCTAAACTAACGCAGAGATTACCCAGCATAGTATCTTGGTGGATTTTTCTACAGCAACAATCATGCCCCCTCGTAGGAAGCCACAGGCTCCTGCCGCGCGATCTGCGCACCCTTCAGATGTACGGCAAATACTTCTCCGCATCTTCAGAAATGTATTGGCTGCTCATACTAACATTTTTTCGATCACTCTTATAGATGGCAGCGAATTCGAAGAGAACAGCTGCAGGTTCTTCGGCAACACAGAAGCGCCCAGCTCTATCGAAACAGCCATCAACCCCTACACAACCAGACCCAACTGTTGAGGGGTCGGATACTCAGGCAAACGAACATCCGCACGTACCATATCGTCACCGAGATCCTTTCGATGCGTTACTTGAGCCCTTTTATTATAACAAGTCTTTGACAGACCCAATCAACACGGCCAAGGATAAATGGAATTTGCTGCCGGCGTTCTTGAAGGTGAAGGGGTTGGTCAAACAGCACATTGACTCATACAACTACCTCGTGGAAGTACAGTTGAAAAAGATCGTTGAGTCGAGCTCTATCATCCGTAGTGATGTGGACCACAACTTTTATATTAAGTTTACCGACATTTATCTTGGAGCCCCACGACGCGCGGACGAGCAGCAAGATGCCGGCCCGGCATTTACAGGATCGACCGTAAGTCCACAGGAATGTCGACTTCGTGATACCACATACGCAGCCCCTATTCAAGTTGATTTCGAATATGTGCGTGGTCGTCAACGGGTGAAGAAGACGGGTTACTCCATTGGCCGAATGCCGGTTATGCTTCGTAGCTCGAAGTGTGTTCTGTCCGATAAGACTCCAGCGGAGATGACAGTATTGAATGAATGTCCTTTGGATCCCGGCGGCTACTTTATCGTGAATGGAACCGAGAAGGTTATTCTTGTTCAAGAACAGTTGAGCAAGAACAGAATCATTGTAGAAACGGACCCTAAGAAGGAAATAGTTCAGGCGTCGGTGACTAGGTAAGCCTACTGTACGTTTTGTCCTTCTGTTCATGCTGTTCTAACTCTGACTTCTAGTTCTTCCAATGAGCGCAAGTCCAAGAGTTACATCGTTCTCAAGAAAGACAAACTTTATGTGAAGCATAACGTTCTTAGTGAAGATATCCCTATCGTCATCTTGCTCAAGGCAATGGGTATCAACACGGACAAGGAGATGTTGCTTCTTGTTGCCGGTATTGATAAGGTATACCAGGAGGACTTTGCGATCAATTTTGAAGAGGCCATCAAACTAGGCATCTACACACAGCAGCAAGCCTTGGATTGGATTGGCGCTCGGATTAAGATAAATCGTAAACAAGCTACTTATCGCCGGACCCATGTGCAAGAAGCTGTTGAAGCCATCGCATCTGTCATCATTTCTCACATTGAAGTCAAAGACATGAACTTTCGGCCAAAGGCAGTCTACGTTGCCCATATGGCCCGCCGTGTTCTCATGGCTAAGAACGATCCTTCGTTGGTAGATGACCGTGACTACCTTGGTAATAAAAGATTGGAATTGGCCGGTCAGCTACTGGCTCTACTTTTCGAGGATCTTTTCAAGAAGTTCTGCTTCGATATTAAAATGAATGTTGACAAAGTTTTGAATAAACGCAACAGAGCCGAGGCTTTCGATGCCTGGACTGTTATGAGTATGCATGGAAACCATATCACACAAGGCATGAATCGTGCTATTTCGACAGGCAACTGGAGTTTGAAACGTTTCCGTATGGAGCGTGCTGGTGTTACTCATGTGCTCAGTCGACTGAGCTATATCGCAGCTCTGGGCATGATGACCCGTATCAGCAGTCAGTTCGAAAAGACTAGAAAGGTCAGTGGTCCCAGAGCTCTCCAGCCGTCTCAATTCGGTATGCTCTGCCCTGCAGATACCCCGGAAGGTGAAGCCTGTGGTCTCGTGAAGAATTTGGCGCTTATGACCCATATCACGACGAATGATGAAGAGGGCCCGATCCGGAATTTGATATTTATGCTAGGAGCAGAAGACATCTCGACACTTGGTGGAAAGGAGCTCTACGGTCCTGGTTGTTATACGATCTCAATTAACGGAACACCGATGGCACTCACTCGTCGTCCTAAGTATTTCCTTGATGCTTTCCGGAGATTACGTCGAATGGGTAGAATTTCGGAGTTTGTCAGTATTTACATCAACCATCACCAGCGCGCTGTCCACGTCGCTACCGATGATGGACGAATTTGCCGGCCCCTCATAGTTTGTGAGAACGGCAAGTCTAGAGTCAAAACGCATCACTTGAGAAAATTGCGCGACGGAACAATGTCGTTCGACGATTTCCTCGCTCAAGGCTTGGTTGAGTACCTGGATGTCAACGAAGAGAACGATTCATTGATTGCAATCTATGAAAAAGACATTACTGAGACTACGACTCATTTGGAAATTGAGCCATTCACCGTCTTGGGTGCTGTCGCTGGCCTGATCCCTTACCCACACCACAATCAATCTCCACGTAACACCTATCAATGTGCTATGGGTAAACAAGCTATTGGCGCAATCGCATCGAACCAATTTCTTCGCATTGATTCAGTTCTCTACCTTATGGTGTACCCTCAGAAGCCCATGGTAAAGTCCCGCACAATTGAGCTTACGAAGTACGATCAATTGCCAGCTGGTCAAAACGCAATTGTTGCAGTGATGAGCTATTCTGGTTACGATATCGAGGATGCTTTGGTTCTGAACAAGGGCTCTGTTGATCGTGGTTTCGGACGTTGTCAAGTGTTTAAAAAATGTGTTACCAACTTGAAGAGCTATTCCAATGGTACTAAGGACATCTTAATGCCACCAGAGTATGACAATGATGCCCCCATCAGGAAACATGCTCTTCTTGAGAATGATGGTTTGGCTGCAGTGGGTGAAAAGGTTAACGCTGGCGAAGTCTACATCAACAAATCTACCCCTGATCAATCCCTCGCCTCCGGATTCTCGGGCCCTGATATGAATCGGCCTGTCAAATACACGCCCACGCCTATGACATATAAGCTGCACGACCCTGCATACATCGATCAAGTTTTGGTCTCTACGACGGAAAATGAAAACCAACTCGTTAAGGTGCTCACTCGCCAGACCCGTCGTCCCGAAGTAGGTGACAAGTTCTCCTCTCGTCATGGACAAAAGGGTGTCGTGGGTATCATCGCCGACCAGGCCGATATGCCTTTCACAGACCAAGGAATCAACCCCGACATCATCATGAATCCCCACGGTTTCCCCTCTCGAATGACAGTAGGGAAAATGTTGGAACTAGTCGCTGGAAAGGCGGGCGTCATGGCGGGCCACCACGGTTACGGAACCTGCTTCGGTGGCAGCCCTGTCCAAGAAATGTCCCAGATCCTTATAAACAACGGCTTCAGCTACGGTGGTAAAGATTATCTTACCTCGGGCATTACTGGCGAGGCGCTTCCGTTCTATGTCTTTACCGGCCCCATTTACTACCAGAAGCTTAAGCACATGGTCCAGGACAAGATGCACTCTCGTGCTCGCGGTCCCCGTGCTATCCTTACCCGTCAGCCAACGGAAGGTCGTTCCCGTGATGGTGGTCTTCGTCTAGGTGAGATGGAACGCGATTGTCTTATCGCCTACGGAACCAGTCAACTTCTCCTCGAGCGACTGATGATATCGTCGGATCGTCATGAGATCGATGTTTGCGAGCAGTGTGGCTTCATGGGGTACTTGAACTGGTGCCAGCGGTGTAAATCTTCGCGGAGTGTGGTCAAGATGGCCATCCCGTACGCCGCTAAACTTCTTATCCAGGAATTGATGAGTATGAACGTTACGGCAAGGTTGAAGCTTGAGGATGAGTTCCCAGAAACAAGGGGAATGTGATTTAGGAATGCAAAAAGAAAAAAGGGTCCATACAGGGGTTACTAAAAGTCAAAGAAGGCGTTTGTATAACTTGATTGTGTACATATCGTTTGCATGCATAGCGCACGGTGATTTGTTTGACTTTTTGATGAAAACTGAGGTTTGTATAGATATGATATGATACGTTGCTTAAAGAAGATCCGTTCGATATGCTCCCTTGGGAGCTGGAGTAGCCTTGAACGAACCGAATCGGGGTTTTGCTGCTAGTAGTGTGCTATTCTAATCCATCTACGAATGACTCTTGGTCTTACTATGGTTCCTTAATACGGCCTAATGTACCGCTAATAAAGGTGTAACAACTGCATCACTCTACCTTCCCCTCTATATTCCCTTTAACGGAATACTACTAACCCAATTCATTCAACCACCATCTCCGACTCCACAAACAAATACCCCCTCATAATCCCCCAATATCTCTCCGGATCATACTTCATATGAGAAACATGCTGCGACCCAACAAACTTCTCCCTCCGAACCGACCACCCCTTCGCCTCCGCCTCATCAGCATGCCTCTCCACATCTCTCCAGTCAACCAACTCATCCGCATCTGAATAAACATAGCACCGCCTACGCACCCCATCCCCACCCCCGCAAACAAGCCGACGATCATTGATCGCCTCCCTCGCAACACTGACAGCATCTGACACACGGATCACCCTGCGCACAGCCGCCCCCAGTACAAAAATCACCCATAGCGCAGCCTGACAAACCAAACGCAACACCCACGGTCTGGGAAGCACATACGAGAATGCCTTCAAGGCACCAGACACCGTCGCCACACCTGGCGCACTATCTAAGATGGTAGATGAGATGCGAAGCGGTTGGCCGGTTCTCGCCTGATACGTTGAGAGAAGGTTGATGGTCGTGAAGACGCCGCCGTTGGAGAACATGTGGACGAAGACGGGGTCTTGGGAGGAGGCCTCAGCCTGGATGGCCTCAACGGCTGGAGCGAGGCGCGCTTGTTGGGCTCTCTTGGTGGAGCATGTGGTGAAGTCGCTGGAGGAGCTTAGGAGGATGATGATTCGTGCGGACGGCGCTAGGCGCGTGTATTCGGTCACATATTTAGTTAGGGCTCGTGGGAGGGCGTTCATCCAGAACGCTAAGATGATGGTCTTCGGGTGTGGGTTGGTTTCATTGGGTGAGGGTCGTGATTGGGGTTCTTGGATATAGATTGAGGGGGATAGTTTGGTGTATGGGGATAGTAGGTTCTCGGGTTTGGATTGGGACATTTGGGGGAGGAAGGTTTCTAGGGTCGATATCTGGCTCTGTCCTTTCCTTTTTTTTTTTTGTTTTCTTTTCTTTTTTTTGTAGAATGGGAGATCCAGGTATATAAGCAGCGCGAACTGGGAAAAAGATCATAGGTAAAAGTTTAAAAAGGGTCAGACTATGTGTCTTGGGTTACCTTTGTGTTTGGTAAACTAACGCAAGCACTAATTTACGGCCCCGGAAATGAGCATAAGCAATGTCCTCGGCATTTCATGGTAATCTCCTGTGATACTGTGGAGCCTTCTCACCGGCACAATATTGATCTTCCATATCGACTTGGCGGGCTTGGTCAACTATCGAAATCAACCCTACTATTGTTGAAGAAAGTAAGACCCCCGTTCCATGAAAGTGATTCCCTTATTTAACGCCGGCCTATACCACGCTAATGCTCTATAATCAAGCCGTCCTCGTTTTGCTCATAGTATTCTGAGACAAAGAAATAGAAACAACATCGAGAGAATGAAACCAGGCAGTGCACCGGTGCCTGAGCGTTCAAGCTATATTCCGGCACATACATGACTTTATGACGGCATTTTCCACCAACCATTATTTTTCCTTTGAACCTCATCGAACTAAGTGGGCGTGGAAGAACCTCCGGTATCCTTCTTCTTCCCTCTTAATGTTTGACCAGCTCCTTGAAAGCGGGGTTTCTCGTCCTCGACAACTTGCCCAGCCTCATTACGCTTCTTCACAGGCTTAATTGCATACCCAAAGAACAACTGATTAGGCGGAAGCCGAAGCGGCATTGTCCCATTAGTTCGCATGACAGGAGGGGGGTGTTGAGGATTTGTAGCTCCGGGCGTCGGAGTGGAGGGCTTTGGGGTTGGGGCTTTACTACCCTTTTTCGCATTCAGGCGCTGTCCGCCAAGAAGGAAGTTCGACGACACTGCTTTCGCTCCTGCAGCAGCGTCAGTAGATTCTGGAGCAATGGCTGCATAGTTGATTGCCTGAGCCATAGTTCCGTGCGGGTGAAGCAACCCGCCAGACGGAAGCTTGGTTGCACTCATGCCACTTCGGGGAGTACTTGTGCCACTTGGTCGTTGGGGTTCCTCATATCCTACTGGAGGCGCAAAGTCGACTTCCAAATCTGTTTCGAGGACAGAAATGGCATTTGTGTTGTTGGCCGGTTTAGTTTCCAAGACGGCCATCTCGTAGACCTGATCATTGTAGGCGAATGTGAAGACATCGCCCTTCGTCAGGCACGAGAAGTTGCGGAATGCATTCTCTAGCACAGCCTTAGGGTCACTGATATCTAGGAACGACGTCGACTGCGCTTGAAGCTTGATGAATTGGCCCGGGGGGAGGTCGGTCGATTTGACCTGGACTAGGTCACCAGGTTCGAGGACGAGGGTTTGCATGAGCTACACATGTGACCATCTATCAGCATGGTCGCGTTAATGCATTAAAGGGGATACTAGAGGGGAAAAAATCATTGAAAGGCTGCATATGGTTGAAGCCCATAAGACAGTACAGTCTTACCCAGAAAGGCAGATAGATCTTCCCCTCTTCAGCGATGAACTCCAACACACCCGCGTGGGTCATCTGTCCTCGTGCACCATTATGCAACTCAAAGAGCATAGGGTATGTGATATGTAGTCGAGTCAGCTTGTCTAGTGCACTGGGCGGCATGATGACTTTGCCGCCGTGATTAACGTTCTCTCTCTCAGGGCCCGGCATCATAGCAACAGGGTAGCAGCGGTAATACTCGTCGAAACGGCGAGTCGCACCTCCATGGCGGAGCATGGAGGAGCTGAAGACACCATCCATCGGGTCGTCTTCGTAGTAATTAGAGCGGAACTATAAATATTAGTATTTGGCGTAGTCAGCAACAAAACAACTTGTCTGGAGCTCACCATGGTGGGAAGCCCGCGAGTTGCTGACAGTCGAGTGCCTGTTAAACAGAGTCCTGATAAGGCAAGCTAATTCTGATTCTTCTCATCCAGAGTTAGTTAGATAAGCTTCAGACTGTTGCTTGAAAGGACTAGGGCGCACGAATCGCACGGCCAACAAGGTCGGGGACAGTAGTAGTTGAGATGCTGTTCGGAAAACGAAGGCTTATCGCCCGCAGTGACGCAAATGGCTCCGCAATGATTTTCCGACCCGACCCCATATCTATAGCTTTAGTAACCGGACTCCTCCCCCCCCCAAAAACTCACATACTCAGACTTAAAGTGTTTCTGGTGTTTCTGTGAGCTTCAAGGCCAGTGTGGTCGCTTCTTTAATCTATACGGCTTTTCTTTACAGGATTGTCATTATAAACACGCCTCACGATCCATGTCGGCCACTCAGCCACGCCCCAAGCGGGCTGGTGAAGACTTCGCCCGCACACATCAGGAGCCTGAAGACGATCCGAACGGGCCTTCTAGCAAAAGACCTAAGTTTGATCTCCGAAACCCTTCCGCTCTTGCTCCGGATGCGCTTGAAGAGGATGCCATTTTGGACGCGGACGAAATCGGTCGGCGCGGGCAGCAAGTACGACGCAAAGCTGTGAATCTTGACGGCTACGACTCAGACAGCGAAAATGAAGGATTCGATGCGCGAGCTGAAGCTCAGGCCAAAAATAAGCAAAAGGAAGATGCGGCAGATGATGACATGTTTGCTGAGCTACAAGAGGACTTCGGCGCCGAGGAGATCGATGCCGATGAAGCTTTAAGGAAGAGCAAAAAATCCGTGCGCTTTTTACGAGACGATGAAATCGAAGGTCAGGTCGCTTCATCTAAAGGTGGTGGTACACTACATGCAGACTTGCGTAAAGGCGCAGACAAGGTCGATGCAGAAGATGTGGAAAGTGAAAGCGATGTAGCAGAAGAAGACCGCGCCAGGGTTGATGAGGATATGGACGAGGAACTGGGTGCTGGGTCGAAGAAAAAGCATGCGCCTTTACTTGATGCATTCAATATGCGGGCAGAGCAGGAAGAAGGCAAATTTGATGATCAAGGAAATTACATACGGAAGGCGGTAGACCCTGACGCTATCTACGATTCGTGGCTTGACGGGGTATCGAAGAAGGATATTCGGCGCGCCAGAGAAGCTGCAGAGCAGAGAGAGGCTGAGAGGAAGGAAAGAGATCGGATGGACGATAGCGTCCTAACGGGCGATGTCTTGAAGACCCTTATAAGTCACCTTGAACGAGGCGAAACTATACTGGAGGCGTTAGCCAGACTAGGGAGAGGGGCTCAAAAGAAGCCCAAATGGCAGAACAAACGCAATAAAAACCGGAAAGCTATGGAGGACACAGAAATGACCGAGGATGACCCGAAAGAAGTCGCTCGAAAGCAGGCGATCGATGCAATCACTGGAGCAGCAGATATCCTTCTCACGCGGGGACAAGGGGAGATCTATGATACAGAACGCGAACTCCTCACTCGTCAATATCGTCGCGAGACAGGCGAGGATTGGGTAGACCCCCTTTCGCAAGATACAAGGGAGGATACCTCTACGATGTGGGAATTTCGTTGGTCGGACGCCCGCGATGGTGGAATTGTTCACGGCCCCTATGATAGTGCAACGATGGAGTCGTGGAGGAACGCTGGGTATTTTGGTGAAGGCGTTGAATTTCGAAAAACGACAGAAGAGAGTGGATGGAATACTCAGGCTAATTTTGTACAATAATAAAGGCAAATGGGGGATCCTACTTATAGCCTCAATGGATACCAAGCACTAAATATGAATTTCATGATTATCATTGAAGCTTAGGCTCTTTTCGATAGAATCCAATTCGAACCCGAATATCAAGGTACCCACAAGAGCTCTGAATAAGCGCCAGCATTATCATACATAATTTGATATTGCAAAGAAAACACAGGGAATAATAACAGATCGCACTAATTGTTTTCGCACGTCACCTGGAATGCTCAACCATTCGAACACCAGAAATCACCCAGAAAGTCTATACCGTATCGAATCTAGGATATCTCCATGGCATCTCCATTTGCTGCAGTAGAGAAGTTGACGTTGCCTTGGTCACCGATGAAGCGCTGCTCATACGCATTGACAAACTTGACACTCCGAGCAGGATCATAGAATAATCGGTAGCTGCGCTGGACATCGTCGATACTGACCTCCTTTGCCTTCCGCTTTTGACTAAGAAGATGAGAGGTAGTGATGATGTTGCTGGCATATCGGAGGTTTGATTCTTGGCCAATCTTGGTCAGAAGTGCTAGAGCGTCCGGCGAGAGATCAATCTCTTCCTCTTGGGCTCGGATGGCTAGGATCTGTCTGATTTCATCGGCAGAGTATGGCTGTGTGCTCACAATGACCACGCGGTCAAGGAAGTCGAGGGGCAACCCGTGGGGAGAGCTGTATGTTGTCCCCCGAATGCGGGCTTGGCCACGGTTACTGGCCATGATGACAATGGGTGCAAGTTCCGCCTCCAAAGCACGATTAATGAAGGAGAAACATTCAATATCCAGCATATGAACCTCATCAATAAAGAGGACGCCAGGAATGATTTCGGCTTTGCCCTCCTCCTTCCATTCGGCAACCTTGGTGTTGATTTGATCTCGAACCTCACTCCTAATCTCCCCGGTATCGCCAGAAAAGAGAGCCAGAAATCCTTGTGACCGCGAGTTGATCACATCGATCTCATGAAGACTCACAGTGTGCACAATTTCTTTGCGAACTTGAAGTTCACCCTCCGGGCATTGCACGAATTTGGTGTCAGCGCCCATCGCATCATAGTCCCGAGAACGTGCGTACGAGCGTCCCAACTTTGTGATTTTACCCGATGATTTGTCAATGGAAATAATATCACCGGCCATTACACGCTCTTTGGTCATAGAATCGATCATCTTAGTGCCCATATCGTAAATTGTCTCCATGTCGGTGGTTTTGATAGTAAGTTTCCCTTGTTTGTTGCCCTGAGTGGATTAGCACGGTCGTGCTTCATCACTAAAAGGGGGTATGGTGGTACTTACGCCAGTAACGCTTCTATCAATCTGAATCTCCACAACTTCACCTTCAATGATCTCACTTTCTTCCTTAATCCGAACGCCAATGGACTTCCGGAAAGCTTGAGTGAGGGCTTCGGTCTTCGACATTTCCATTGAGAAGATTTCTGAAGAAGCAAGCATTGTGAAGGGGACGTCGGATCCAAGAGATTGTGCCATTCCCATGGCAATCGCAGTTTTACCAGTGCTAGGAGGTCCTGCGATCAACACTGCGCGACCAGCGATCTTGCCTTCCTTAACCATCTGCAAGATTACTGCGGCGGCCTTTCGCGCCTTCTCTTGGCCCACAAGGCCCTGGGATGAGGTCCTAGGTTGTAAAGAATCGGCATCGACACCGAGTCCTCTAATATGCGAATGGGCAGCGATGAGGTTCAAGCCACGGAGTTCCTTGGTCTCCGCAACAGTAGAAATTGGCTATGGTCCAGGATCAGTACCCTGATAGTACATAGAATGCAAGCACTGTTGACTTACCGCAGCCATTGTGAATGCTTACGATTATAGAAGTCTCTCTTCTTGAACAGCAACGAGGTCAGCTGCGCTGCAAAGCTATTCTGCGTCCAATGCCTTGATCGGCCGGACAAAAGAGCTGTGAGGGCAGAATAAGGCGAGCCACAACGCCGCCCTTGACACCGCCCGGCAGAATGTGGGAAATTAGTATCATTCACCAGGTTTTTGTTTTCGCGTCAACAGTTAATCTTTCACTCGTTGCTACGCAAGACATGTTACTTACCTCCATCTGAGCTCCTCTATATTATACAGCATTCACTCTCTGAATATTTGGTGTTAACGAGTTTGGTGAGACATAATACATTGAAAACTATTTCTTCTATCTACTCATGACCAGGCACGGGTACTAGATTGGAGTACAAATACTCCTGATTAGTCCTAACTTGCCCCAACCATCAATCTTCAACATGCTTCACTCGTGACTTGCCTTGACTTTTGATGTATCTTGTTACATCAGATGCATTAGTTCATCCTACCCCCGTGAATCCGTCAATATGGGTTCTGAGCGCACGGTTACTCCCAATACACGCGACCCCCGTCTGAACAGACCGATTCAGTCTACAGCAGCGTCTCTAGACACGCCATCCCGTACAGTTGCTACACCCCCAACTGCTCCACGACAATACTCTGTGCAGCCAGCATACCCGGCGCCAACTGACGCCCGCGTTGATATTCCTGGCGACCATTTCATACGAGATCTTTCCGATTTTGTACAGGCCGCTGTTAAGTCTGCCACCCTAAAATCAGAGAAAGAATCACTAGAGAAGAGGAGGAGTAGCACTGAAACTCTCTTGAAGAAAGCCAAGTCTCACTCGAGTTTCCCTTCTACTGCTGCTTTCTTTCAGCAAACATGGAACGATGAAAGTGGTCATCTGGCTCGTGTAGATGGCGCGTTGAGGGAACACCGTTCGCGCTATGATAACTTAGAGAGAGCCTTAAAAGCAAATTGGACGTCTTCCATAACTTGCGGGCCTGATCTAGGTGAGAAATTTAATCAAGTGAAGGAAGATGTCGAAGCAGTCCAGCGGGAGGCTAGACGATCCAAAGATGAGACCTATAACCTTCAGGAGCATAACCGCTCTTTGGAGGATATGCTCAAGGCTCTCCAAGCCAGGATGGCTATAATGGAGAAATCACTCGATAATCACACGACGTCTTGGACCAAGCAAGCCAAAGACAACTTGTTTCGCTTCGAGCAAATTTCCTCGGAATTCGAGAATCGCATGGAAAGCGTTTCGACAAAAATAGAGGAAAGCTTCTCGATGAAACTTCAAGAGGAAGCATGCGAATGGCAGAAGCAGAAATCAGCTCTTGATCTAGAAATCGAATCAATGCGAACGTCCCAGGAGAACATTTCAGGTACTATCGGCAAGGTCGATCAAAGTATTAAGGAGCAGCAACAGAAAGTATCTCATATTGAGTTGCTGGGCCAAAGGCTGGAAGATTTCAACACCCGTCTTGTTTCTTTGGAATCGATCAAGAGGGCACCAAACTCCACTGCGGCAAATGAGTCGGCTCTGGACAAAGATGCTGCGTCTCACCTCCAGACCAGAGTTCAAAGCTTGGAAGACGTGCTGAGGCGGTTGCAGGGCCTGCAGGAAATGAAAGATGACTTGCACTTTTCTGAAGTAGAAGACATGAAAAAGGCAATGGTGCAAGCCTCTGGGGAATTAGATGGCATGAAGAATAATTACAATAAGCTATCTGACGAAATGAAGAGCTTATATGAGACAAATTCAGCCACTACTCTACAGCAAGTCGCCAATTTGTCCGGCTCTCTACAGAATACACAACATTTGGTGGAGAGCGTTAAGGTGGGCTTGCATTCTCTGGAAACCAGATACAACACTCTCACCACAGAGCCATTAGCGAGAAATATGGTCGCCGTAATGCAGGAGATGTATCCTTCTGCTGGTCAGTTAATAGAGCAGACTTCTTCGTTGAAAACTCTAGTTGAAAATGAAATAACCTCCCTCAAGAAGGGCCTGGAGAGCCTCTGGCAAAACCAAAACACTATTCTCAGACAAACAGCACAGACGCAGCAGGAGGCGACTTCCCGGCTTGATGAGCTAAACAGACTAAGGAACGACCATACCAGTCTCTCTCAGTCACTTGCACCTCTTTGGGAACGTTATAATACACAAGAGCAGTCGCCGAGTCTAGACGATCTTCGCAAATTGCGCGCGGAACTCCACACTTTCTCTACAAAGTTCGAGGAATACACATCCAAACAAGAATCCGAAGTCAAGTCACAAAAACATTTGGATGGTCGTTTCATGGAAGATCTCCGTGAAGAGCGTAATAAGTTTGATACTCGAGTCAGTCAATTAGCCAGCAGACTTGAGAAGTTGGTAAATGATGTCGAAGAAGTGAGATCTATTAATACGAGCAGTTTTACGAAAGTTGAATCGTATGCGAGTGACATTGCATCATTGCGTGATTATATTCGTGAGCTTGAGAAAACAACGTCAGAAAAACATCAAGCTTTACTTGGCCAACTTGGCGATATCACGAAAGAGCACAGTACCTATGGTACTGATATCGCATCATTAGTTAGCCGTATAAGCGACCTTAAGCAGTCTGAGAAGCTCCGACACAAAGAATTGCATGAACACCTGGATGAGCTTAAGAAAGTTGTGGAAGCCAAGGAACTTCATCCTCGCAAAACGCCTCCAATTGTGGTCGAGGACCGGGTTCTAGTACCCACAGACAGCAACTCCGCTAATGCAGAAGATGCCGCTATGGTTCTGAACGTGGCGGAGAATAATCCTACGCTCGCGCTCCGAGAGAAGAAGAAAAAGAAGAAGCGACCTCGTCCCCAGGGGTTGTCTGAGGACGAGAAGTCTCCAATAGTGCGACCCGAATCCCCCAGGTCATTCTCGTCTGCGGCTTCTCCATTCGGCGCAGAAGACACACCTACAGAGAACACAAAACGACCAAAGAAAAAGAAGAAACGCAAAATAGTATCCACGGAGCCTATACCCCTCGACTGAGCAGCAGTATGATGTGCATTTATCATCAACACATCGATTAAAAAAAGAAAGGAAGGAAGGAAGAAAGAAAGAAAGAAAGAGAAAGACATGCTGTTTTTGTAAACCCGTTGATGCCGTAGTAAGATTTCGGAGGGAAAGCTGTGGAGTTGAAGGCGCCTAACAAAAACATACCTGCTGTACCTGTAAGGCGCAGCACCCGCTTGCCAGGAAACCTTGGATACCTCTCAACAAGGGGTAAGTCTCGCTGACATACAATTACGAAGATGATGAGATTATTATTTGTGTAGTGCGAATTAACGCTGGATACCTTTCTGTTAACCGGTCTTATTTTTGTTTCGTTGGTTCATCAGTTGGGTGGACTACACTGAAAATTTCACATTTCTTTGACCTCACTTGGGTACGGGAGTCCGTACATACCCAGAGCCCGTCCTTTTAATTCTATTGTTAATATTACTTGTTTATATGTTCAAGGAGTCTCTTGCAAGAATGTAACAACCTCTGGATAAGCAATACTCGTCAGTCAACCCGTCGTACTAAGGTCCAACTCAACACTCACCTTGTCTGAAAGCTTCAGGATTTTCCGAAATGAGCCAATGACCAGCCTCAACATCAGCTATTTGGGCATGGGGGAAGAATTTTTTAATGGCAGGAATTGTCTCGTCGCTGACATATTTGCTCTTCGTGCCCCTGACAAACAGCGTAGGACCGTTGTACGTGACAGAACCAGGTTCTGTGTAAGGAAAATTGGCCATCTCGCTTAGAGCATCCCCCAAGATCGAAACAGGAACACGGAACTTCATGGTTCCATCCTCTCCACGAACCAAGTTGGTTAACAGGAACTGGCGAATGGGAAGGGACTAGAGGGGGAAGATACCACAGTTAACACATACCCAACAAGTTCTGAGCAGTCATACTTACGTCCTCGTAGTCTTTCAGAATCTTATCTGCGTCAGACTGCTTCACCACGTTCTGGGCCTCAATGTTCTGCATGCCCTGAACGTATTTGCCGAAGTCACCCTTCAGGGGAGCATTGACTGGGGCATTGTCAACGGGGACAAGCGCCGAGACTAGGCTGGGGGAGTCGAGGGCGACAGTCATCGCGGTTTTGGCGCCCCTTATACTGATTAGCATCATCACCATCACTACTTGGATTACTGCAGTATTAATGCTGCAGGGAATGGGCGATAATCATACATAGAATGGCCAATCAAGACACATTTCTTCAGCTTCTGCTGATGGATGAAGTTGACTACATCTTCGGCCATCGCAGTGTACGTGTGTTCTTGCGAGTGAAACGAGTGGCCATGGTTTCGAAGATCCTAAGAAAACCATCAACATGAGTCATTATTAGCTACTATCGGATAAGCACTGCCAACTTACCAGGATAAAGACTTGACGCTTCAAATCTCGTGCCAAGGCTCTAACAACCCCTGTTAGCTGGCATCGAATTGGACAAGAGACAACAATAGCGTATGAAGGATAGTTTTGATTTAACATACTTGCTAATACTTCTGTTGTTCTGCTTAGAGCCGAAAAGCCCGTGCATGAAAACGATTGGGCTCCGGCTTGCTTCTTCCTTGTCAGGGCCAAAGATCTGATAAGACAGGTCTGATCGGAGCACTCGTGAGGTTGAGAATGCGCGGATACTAGATGCACCCCGCAGAGTTATTCGAAACGGCAACATCATTTTATAATGCCAACTGCATTCGATCCAGGATGCGGATGGCGATTTTCCCGAAAGAGCGCGATAGTATGACTAAGCAATTTGGGCCGATTCGGTCCGCCGATCCTTTGGGGAAGTTTATCTTTGTCGAACATATTAACTATGTATGTACAGTTTCTCCTTGGTTTGGAGATCGTCTTGTGTATCTATATCCGGAATGTATAACCTTAGCCGGTACTTGGGCTTATATGGCTAATGAGTGGGCTCAGAGTAACTATCGCGACAACAAATTTTTTATGTTTTTAAGTGACCCCTGTGGAGAAATATATTTACGGAAAAGCCAAAAAAGCCAAACAATATCTACTTTGTAGGTTGCGTGAGATACAGGGTTTGCGCGGACACATGAGTACCACTGATGATATGCATGCTTCTGGAACCCCGTGACGCTGTCTTCATAATCATATTTTGTTTTCATATCTACTTCATGGCAATGCTCACCTATATACACAGCGGATATCATCTGCTCCGGTAAAGCACATAATCGGCGCCCTTCTAAGGCTCCACAGCATGCTGAATTCCCATATTAATTGTCCAAAAGCCCGGGCACTTTCTCGCAAAGATATTCAACGATAGCGTCGGGACCCCGTTCTACTTGCAGCCCCTCAGGAATGGCGTGGGTTTTGATATCGGGTTTGATTTCTCTCGCAATAGAATGAATCTGACGAGCCTTCTCCTCTGTCCACATAGAGGCACTGAACTAGGGAGTATTAATGTATAAATCTATTGATTGACTTGATATAACTTATACGAGCTTTGAACGAAAGGGGTTCTTACTAGAACGTCAGGCATCAGCTCCTTTACCTTGGGTCCAACTTCCTCAATTGCTACATCATTCGTTAGTATGAATAGAAATGCAGCTCTGTATGCGAATCACACATACTTTTGCAGTTTGCTTCGTGGATGATGGTATAGCGGTCCTTAAGGGCCTCGACCACCCGCCCAATTAGCCGTTTAGCTCTGTCAGGAGCAGTGTTGACAGTAACAAGACGAAAAGGTCCCTTAGGGGCAGACATTGTTAGATTTTTCCTTTTCTCTTCTCTTTTTTTTTTTTTTTTTTTTTTTTTTTTTTCTGTAATAGTGAAATTGATCTCTTGAGATTATTAGATCACTTTCAGCCATGAAACCCACTGCTTTTAAATGAAGGTCTTCGAGTAGCCGGCAACCTGAGGGCATCCCCACAATCCAATCGTGGGGAAGTCGTGGGTGTTTCGCCCCGGACTTCATCCCGATTCCAAAAGAATCTCTTCCGAATCAGGTACTCTAACTTAGAGATATCTGGATACTCCGTATATCGGCCGTGTACTGGTAGGAATCAAAAGAATAGTGGGCTAGTGTAATCTTGTCCCCCCACTCAACCCCGCCAAACGCCATTATCGGTCGCAAACGCGCCCTTCAATTGATATCAGGGTGATATTAACTCAGCCCCGTGGTCACGATTACTCCTCTTCAGAAAACTTTTCATTTTTCTAATTCCAACTCAACCTCTCGATCATTGTACGTTCGACTTATCTGCGATAACTAAAATCATGTCGAAAATTGCGTCGACCTTCTCGCGTAAGTGTTCATATATATTACCAACATGAAAGAAACGGCTTTGATGAGCCTCTCCTGATAATTCAATAGGCCTTGTGCGCTTTGTGCCCAAGTCAAACCCATCCAAGGTCTTGATCGGTGAGCCGATAGATGCGCAACTTGACGTCGGACTGGCTATCTACCAAGGGAAGGAAGTCGCAGTGCGACCATTTACCGGAGCATCTGTTCTTAATCCAGGCCAAAGGACAGAGTCAACAGAGATCATTAGTCGCATTCTCTCCCCTCTGTCGCAGAGTGAGGTTGGATCGATCAGATGTATTGGGTTGAACGTGAGTTCCTGGCAATACTCCCTAGTACCACAAATTCAGGACAAAAATGGACTCAAAACTATCCCGGCAGTATGCATCTCACGCCGCAGAGATGAACCTTTCTATCCCAGAGCTGCCCACATTGTTCATGAAGCCATCAACTTCCCTCGCAGATCCCTGGCCTGCACCTACCGTTCTTCCCAAGATCACGCAGGCTGACAACACGGGCGACTATGAATCCGAAATGGTTATTGTTATCGGCCGTGATGCGAAGGATGTCAGCGAGGCGGACGCCCTAGAATATGTCCTTGGATATACAGCAGCGAACGATGTCTCAAGTCGCACGTCGCAGATGAACCAGAGTCAATGGTGCTTTTCTAAGGGATTTGACACAGCGTGCCCAATTGGTCAGCACTCATCGAATAATGCTTTTCTTTGTGCTCTGCTCCATATACTGATGCTTTTTATTTCCTTAGGACCGGCGCTTGTTTCTGCGGCATTGTTCACGGATGCTAGTAAATTCCACATTCGTGGGCTGAAGAACGGGAAAGTGCTGCAGGATTGTCCGCTAACGTACGCAAAGACCCAGCGAACCCCTGTATGTACGTACGATTGGAAACTGACAAAATCTGAATAGGGACTTGATTTTCAACGTGCCCAAGCTAGTCAGCTTCCTGTCTCAGGGAACAACTCTTCCAGCGGGAACCATCATCTTGACTGGCACTCCTCCTGGCGTGGGAGCTGCAAAGGACCCTAAGGATTTCTTAAAGGAAGGGGACGAATTCGCCGTGGAGTTGCTGCCTCATGTCGGAACTTTGGTGACGACGTTTGAAAATCAGAAATGAGCTTGTATTTGAGTTCCTGTGTACATACTCCTGCATTTACATCCATAGCTTCCACGTATTTGCAAAGTTGGCTTCACTCATTCCTTAATGCTAAATGACACAGTAGGTACTGTTCTTGCTAAGCCACTGAGGACACCCATCTTGAGAGCTCTTGCCAAGGATGCAATGCGCATGTAAAATTCTTTCCAATATGCACCTACCTAGGAACCATTGGTCAAGGTCAAGGCGCAGAGACTTGATAATATCCGTGTGATCTTGGAAGATGCAATGAGCTGCCTCCGCATTGGTGAGCCAAAACAGGCTCTGTATGGTCCTATGGATACTGCCTTGGGGAACCGGGTGCAGAAAGATATGGTATGTATAAATACAATGCACATAACTATGATGCGACCACGACATCAGACGATCACAGGCCTGCTTGACAGTTCTCCAAATTCACTGACACCCTTTCATCTGAAAAGAGACAGACAAGTGAATGTATCGAAACTGAGAACGATGAATAAGCCACAACCAAACCAAAACATGATTATTCCATTCTCCTCCCCCTGCAAGGAATACTGATTATGGGATCTATTCTTTCGCTTTCGTGAATATCCTTCAACTATCCTGCACTTGTACTCCCAAACAATGTCTGAATCACCTTATCCGATCAAGGAGGTTCGCTGTGAAGGCCATACGCCATGCGACTGCGACGAGTCTTATTTCCAGGCTCTCAGAGACTGGGTGCGACTGGCCGCTGCTTTCGGTTGGCCAGAGACAGTGAGAAAGGTGGCGTTGGGGTATCTTTCCAAGGTCAAGACCTTGGAGGATACAGTTATCTTGATGGACACCATCCGGATCTGTCCACATGGGCAGTTAATTATGCTGGGCGTAGAGTTGCCTCTTGAGCACAAGGAGGGCAATTATCCGATCGATATCGCGTGGGCGAACAATGTTCCCCTTGTTTACACCATGTTCCGATGGTTCAACGGTGACACGATCCATCGCATTTGTATCGAATCTGCGGAGGAATGGGTTTCGTATGAAGAAGAAATGTTCGCCTTTGAACCTTCATCCGGACTTTTCAAAAAGAAAGACTTCAAGTGTCTTGAGAATGCTACAGCTGTGGCGCAGGTGATGCTGGCTGCAGATCGCACTGTTGAGTCTGTTGTGTCTGACGTACGTGTGGTTACCATATTCTGAAGAAGCCTCCGCTGTAATGATGGTAAAAGGCAGGTTGCGAGCTCCGCATCTTGATGTCATTAGCTAACTGCTAGAAAGCTTGGGATGCATGAACTACACGGATAACGAATTGAGGCCGATATCGACGGAATGAAATCGAACGATGAGCATCGTGCCTATGAAAAGGGTATACAAACCTTGGCTAGAGAAAGGTCTGCTCATCCTATCTAAAGAGCACAACACTTACCTGCTGACCATGACTTGAAGAGCTGTTAGTGTTGGACGAAATGGGGAGTTGGCTAGCCGACGCAATTTTTTTTTTTTTTTTTTTTTTCGCATCGATAGTGCCAGTTACATTGCTGCCTTATGCCTTGACGTTGACGACTGGAGAATGACTACTCCAGGATATTAATGATGTTTGACAAAGTCTACGGTGTCCCGACAGTTTGTATCAAAGGTTAAGGGATTACGTTAATGTAATTTGGATGGATTTAGCTCATAAGTTGCAGGCAATGCCTACTTCACAGGGTGTATTTTCATTTTAGAAAGTAGTACAGGATAAGCATTTACGAAGCATTTCGAACCTCCAAGAAGAGACTCTCTACATTGGCATCCCCACATTTCCATATTAGTAATGAGTAATGCACGTTTGATACAAGATCCCCACACTTTCCTTGCAGAAATGTGGATATGACTTTTTCCCGCGCGGAGTAAATCAGCTCCGCTTCGAGTGTTTCTCAGGCTTATCTTACTATGTACACTCGTTGTGCTGCTCTATAGAATCCATGGCTACTAGTGGCATTCTATACGTACTTTTGCTTGATTGTAGGCGCATTTACTCTGATATAGAGAATATAGTGACAGATCAATGTCAAAGTGACAAAGTGATGGAAATTATAACATTCTATGTAATGTTCAGTCACTGTCCCGATCTTCCCAGATGTTTCGGCCAGCCGATCGGCCACGGGCACGTTAGGAGGCTAAGATCGCGTGGTCTGATTTCGCTTTCCCGAAGGTAGTATGAAATCGGCTGGATGACTCGGGCAGTGAAACATCTTTGAGAGCTGTTGACACACTGGAGTATATAAAGATTTTGTTCTAGGCCGGAAGAATTCTTTTCTCCATTGTTTATATTGTTGAGCTCTGGAAATTTTGTTATTCTCCGTTTGTATTCATTCACTCTGATGCTCCTAATCTATTCTATCCCTAATTCACATATATTCTTGCTCTATGCTAATTCACAATGAAGGATGTCCGCTCATTCTATACTCTAACATACCATTTCTATGCTGTTGTCGACCAAACCAACCCGTCAAGAAAAGTCCTAATGTTTAGATTCATACGTTGACGTCCGGACGCCATCCCCGCCCCAGGTAGTGAAGGAAGAGAATCGGGATAACACTGACACTCACAATGAGAGCGCAGCCAATACCCGCACTTGCAGCCACCCCGACGGTCTCGAACATGGGCGGAAACCTGAGTATCGTTAGCTATCGCAGTCCCAAACCTCGACATGACCTCCCTCCCACATACCAAAACGGACCCAAGAAACCCCAGATCTGCCGAACGAACGTGATACACACCCCGACACTGGCGGCATCGGTTGGATAGCAGTCCACGGCGTACGTGATGAGGACAGTGGTTACAATTTGGTTACCGGCGGCTCCGATAGCGATGCCGATGATGGGGGATACGTTCCAGCGACCTTCTTCGGACTCCTGGGTGCATACCAGGAAGACAATTAGACCCACGATGGAACAGATGAAGCCGATGTAGCTGAGCCATAGACGGTACTCTGGTTCGGGTTTGCGCTGGATCTTCTTTGCTCGTGTGTTCATCCACAGGTCCGATAGGGTGCCACCCAGCTGTTCGCCGATGAGGGAGCCGATGATGGGACCCAGGAACTGGAGACCTAGCTGCTCGGTGTTCAGATCGAACTTTTGCTGGAGCAGTTCGGGCACTTCCACAGTGGCCAATACGTTGCTCAATAGGAATACCATTGCGTATGCCGCGGCCGGGATCATCACGCAGGGACATATGACCATGGTAAGAGGTTTAACGAACTCGAACCAAGAGAAGGGCGTCGGGTCGATTCGGCGAAGTGAGAGATACTCTCTCTTCCAGGCGGGTTTGTCTGGGTTGACATTGCTGCCAACATACCGAGTTTCTGGCCCCAGAAAGAGATACAGGATGAACTGGACTCCGTTGACCTAATTGACGGATACTTGTTAGCGAATGGCCGTCCACGACATGTGCATCGGGGAGGGTAGACGAACTATGGCCAGGACCCAGTAGATCCACACGTAACCTGCCCGATATGCAACGAAACCGAAGATAAATGGACCGCAGGGAATCCCCAGCGTGACTAGCAGGGTCCACACGCCCATATACCGGGCACGATCCTTCTTAAAATAAGTCTCCATCACAACAGCACTTCCGATAGCTGGGTAGTATCGTCAGCTCAGGCGAAATCACATCAGAGGATTGCCTTACCAGAGGCCGGAGAGATGAAGAATGCTTGCAAAGCTCTACAGGCGGCAGTTGATGCATAGTCTGTGCTTTTCGCACAACCCACATTACATACCAGACTGCATATCAATGATGTAAGGAAGATCGGACGGCGTCCATAGCGATTAGACAAGGGCTTCCAGAACAACGGAGCCCCGCCCAGGATGGCGATCTGGAGCGAAGTCAAATAACTCGCTTTTTGCACCGTAACGCCATACTCCTCCGAGATCCTGTTATCATATGTTAGCGGAACATAGCTCCAGAAGTGGTTGATTCAAGAGATCATCTTACGTTTTATAAGCGGGAATGATGCCAGCAGCGGCAAAAGTACCCATACACGCGTGAACCGCTACCAAAACCAGATTGGCCAGTTTCTGGAGAGGTTGAAAGCGAGTCAGCTGCTGATACAGAGGTTCATGCTCTCATGCCCATGAAGATTAGCAGGTATGAAGGCTAATACTGACCTTCCATGACGGCCAATTATACGGATCTGCCGGATCAATGCTAGGGATTGGATCAAGTTCCAGTGTTCCATGACGCTCCATCAGGTAGTCTCGGTGTACCTTTGAAATGCGAGATTCCACGAGGTCGGCATAGGTTGTAGGTATGGCTCCGGCCGTACTCTCTACAAAATCCACGTTGACTTTTCCTAGATGGGAGAAGACATCCTGAGCGTTGTCATCTTGGCGAGGCCTCTGCATCTCCATGGATGCAGTCATATTTTGATGGACCCCTAAATAGGGCAAAAGCTGGAATTGAATATGAACCTTTGTTTATTTGGAGAAAAAGACTACAGACCTCCTGCAGCTAGGTCCTCCCCAGAGCTAGACGAAAAAGAAGCTAGTTGTAGCAGAGAGGAAAGACGTCCAAGATAGCCTACGAAGATGCGAGTAACCCGCTATTGAATTATGGCTACAGGCGGCACATTCTAACCGAAGACAAGGGATGGGACAGTCCCACGCAAACTTAGATAAGTCGAGGTATCTAGCCTATCATTTCTTCAATGGGGGCCATTATACCCCGGGATAATGCTAGATATTGACGAGTCCTCGGCACTGCTGGGGAGTTGGCGTGGAGATTATGCGGAGGTGCTCCGTAGTAGTATCGACTCAGAGGAACGGCAATGGTCAGAACCGTCAGTCATGCTCGGATAATCCATCGTTGGTCGATTGGACGGAGCAAAACCCACAGCTCACTGGAGGCGTTAACAAGTTAGCCGACTGAGGATCCCGAACCCCCAGGGGGCACGCGGTTCCAAGTCACAAACTCTACGGCTCGTTAAAGCAACTCGGGAGATGGATAAGTATTTTGGAGTGGAGGAGCGAAGGATGCAATGAGAGGGCTAGCCATTGAACGACTAAGCCGGACTGAGCAAGCCAGGCTCCCGTGCCAAGAGGCCAGCCTCTTGCCACGCCCCACACGCCAGTCCTTTTACCTACTCCTCCCCACGGCCCACTCATCGCCTGAAGAAGTCCTGCCTTCCATATGAACCACCCTCAAATGGTGATCGGTAGGTTATCATGGGTTTGAAGCTTGGGGTCTGACCTGTCATTGCCATTCCCTTGCTCTCATTTTGCCCTAAACTCCTGAAACTTCAGCGATGAAAGCATTGGTTTGTCGAGTCTGTCAGAAGGCCTTCTCGAAGGCTGAGCATTTGAGGGTATCTGATCCGTATTTTGTTCCCTTTCGGTGGATACGTCACTAACGCCGGCACTTAGAGACATGAACGTTGCCGTAAGATAAAGCCACCATGCCGTGATTTATGCCGTGCTGTTTCGGCGGAAATACCGTCATCAGCCCTAACCCCAAATTATACCCCATGAAAGCTGACTAGGGTAACGCCAAAGACACGGGAGCTAAGCCATTTGTCTGCAAAGAATGTCGTCGACCTTTCGCCCGCCAGGATGCCCTTGCGCGTCATGAAAAATTGCACATACGTGCTGCAAATCCAAAGCTCCCTCAAGGGCAATATGTAAATGAAATTGCCCATCCGACTTCTCTCGATACTCTCCCACCATGGGATACTACGAGAGCACCAGTAGATGCCACAGTATCAGAGTCCGCTCCGTGTCAGACATGGGATTCTTCACAACCTGAGCAGAACCCTGGATTGCAGCATGCAGCCTCCGATCTTGACTTCGGTCTGATATGGCCCGATTCAGAGAACCTGTTTCAGAGTATCATGTCATCGGACACAACAGATCAATGGCAGATGCCTTTGGGGGCACTTCCTTTCCCACCTGTAATCCAAGATATCAATCTAATGAGCTTTGGGTCTCCTAATTCTTTCGACGATCGTAGTTCGTCAATAGGCACGATACCCTCTGGTGGCAGTCATCAGGCTGTACGAGATGTCACAGAAATGGTGACGAGCTCTGTAAGAATTCTCGGGTGCCACCATGCTCCACAGGCAGCACTAACAGTTTGTCTTTGTCAGTCCTCGAGTGTGACGGCCGCAATAAAGGCAACATCAATCACATCGGTGTTCCTGGATGAATGCTTGCATATGTTCTTTGTGCGGTTCATTCCTACATTTCCCATCTTACACCGAGCTACCTTTGTTTTCCGAGAGTGCACTCACCCTCTTCTTCTAAATGCAATGGCGCTGGGTTCTCTGTACTTGGGACCCAAAGATTCTGTTGCGAAGGTAGGCTTGCTTTGTCAATGAAGAATCTCAGAATCCTAAGTTTATTAATGATACTGTAGGGTGAAGCCTTATGGCGGTTAGCACATACTGCCGTTGCTACCTCGGTATGTTCTTGTCCTGTTGAACGGCTTGATCATGCTTATGTTTACTTAGTGGCAATCACTCATCTCACACCGCGGCCCGTATGATGCATGTAAAGGCGTTCAGCTCCTCATCACTGCCCTTTTAGGACAGATTTACGGTGCATTGTCCAAGGTTGGCCGCCAGCGTATTATATTTTCTTTCTGGAACTTGTGCTTACTCTGCTACTACAGAACCGACTTATCCGCACTACGAGTCAAGTCTTTCGTCCACTCGGATTCTTTTGGGCTAGGCATTGCGGCATGTTAGGTAGCGAGCCTTTCTCAAAGGAAAGCTTACCATTTCCCAACGCCTCAATGGAGGAGAAGGAACAAAAATGGCGGACCTGGGCTGCAAGAGAGATTCAACAGCGCGCACTACTCGCGTACCATATCCATGACGGGCTCGTCGCACAGATGTCTGGAGATGGGACTTCCACTCGCCATGTTGCCAATCCTCTTAGCCTCCCTAGCAGTGAAGCTGCATTTGACGCCAGTAGTGCAGACGAATGGCTGGTTCATATGAACTCTCAAAGACCCGATCAACCATCCTTTCGGTTGGTTTTCCGCTCTCTTTTCCCTCCGGTTAGCAGCTTTCGGCCTCTGGATTATCAACTTTCTGCCTTCGCCCTTCGAGTTGTCCTTGAAGGCCTACAATCTCTGGTATCGGACTCAGACGAGGATGACCTTGTCGCTGTGGGTGTTCCAAGCCGTTCGGATGTGAGGAGAGCTCTGGCTCAAGTGCACGAGACCGTCTCCATGAGCATCCATCTTTCCTCTCCAGAAAGGCTCGAGGTCCTTCTGCGTTGGCACACGATATGTCTCGACACTATGATTAACTCGACCGTTCTTTGTAGGTATGTTTGCACTTGTTACGACATTGCGCAACACGTGTCTGGGGGCTCTCGAACAGTCAAGCCTGGATTCGATATGACGAAATGGGTCAGCACGTCTGATGCACGTCGTGCCCTGCTGCATGCCATTGCGATTCAAGACATCATCGAACAACTTCCTCGGGGACGGGCTCATGTAATTCATATGCCAAGCTCCCTCTTCGCTGCAGCGACAATCTATGTTGTGTTCTCGCTGGCTGGGATTGCAACAATTAACCTCCCACATACCATTGTTTGGCAGGACGCACTTCTTTCACACGCCGATTTGAACCTAGGCTGCGACAATATTCGGTCATCTGCTGGCTCGGAAACAAGACGTTTTGTTGAAGAAGGCCAAACTTATTCTCCGCCCGGTTTAGGGGCTGTGAGGAACTTACTGTACGAAATGAACTCGATGCAAAAGCTTTTTCGCTGTTTAATATCCCAGTGGGGCATTGCTCATGATATGGAAGAAATCATCAACCATTGGATTACACTGTGTCACTGAGGGAGTTCCTCTATCAATCTTTAGTCCGGCGTTTCTAGTCCGGCGTTAAGAAGCGGGTGCGTGGCCTGAACTTGATCTGGGAAAATGCAGGTTGTATAGACGTTCTTGTTGCTTGTATATACTTAGAGAATCTATATGATCAATTTACTTTCCCCTATCTTCTGATCATCTTGTATGCCCTCACCCTGGCATCTGTTGCTTGGGGTCTACGCCGCAGAAGTTTGGTCTCGGGAAACCCGGGCTTCACACCCTCATCCATATTGACATAAGTGTATGAGTCTGACTTTGTATATTCCAATATGGTCTATTGCTACTACCGGTAACTGGTTATTCAATTTTGCATTGGTCTCTTCGTTCCGTCGGGTTTCGCCAACATCACGTGGAAGCTACTCATCGCACTTGGTGTGATATGTATTGGCGCTGCCGTTCAAGTATTCTTCACGTTCGTTTTCCTTCCTACTAGATAAATGCTCCAATAATCGTTGAGGAATTGATACAATCTGACAGAAATTACTATGTGTCCCGAAACCTGCGGCAAAACCATCGAAGGAGTGGAAATGTCCAGCAACGGCGGACCGAAAGCCTGGCATGCAAAGCCTGGACACTCGAATCGGATGGTCTTATTGACCAAGCTAGGGAGAAGCAGTTGCATGCTGGTGAAGCCGCAGCTTAGACAGTTGCGGTGGGTAAGGCTTATAGGTAAGGGATAGGGAATTGGGCATGCGTGCATTGACCCTAACCTTGTAAGGGCGGCATGGGTTGTCAAGTTTAACCGAGTATATATACATTTGTTGTCCAGTATTTTGGTGATCAATCACTCCACGTGGAGAGTAGTTGTTGACTAACATTGGCAATAAGTAAACTCTCTCTATCTGCTTGACGCAAAAGCACATCGAAGATCTATTGCTTGCGCTGTGAAAAAAACCACAACTGAAAACAGAATATGTGATGCCAACCGTGCCGATTTATATGCAAGGGGTATCTCAGGCAGTCTAATGCAATCTGATGTGTGATGACAACGCTACTAAGGGTAAAGATGAGGTGATAATCAAGAAAGGTAAAAGAGAGAAAAAAAAATAAAAATAAAAGGTATATATCATGCATGCAATGCCGCCCAAACTGTGCAGTAATAAGAGAAGAAAAAATCGAGAAGACGACTAGCATCCAAAGGAAATGCATGAAGATGAGAACTGAACCGCTGAGTACGCCAAAGAAAAACAAATTGCATATATCTTTCAAATCTTTTCAGGTTCATCAATGTCTTCTCGCATTCTCGAGAAGGCTTTAGTAAGAGCCGTTCCAATTTCGCCGAATAGGTCCCGCATGATAGATTCGGATTTCACCGCCGTTGGATTTTGGGTTACAGCAGGGTCCTTGAAGAGTGGTGCCACTCGCTCCCAGAGTTTGCTGAACGTATTCTCGACGGAGATATCGATGGCTCTCAAGCCGTTTACTGTGTCTTCCTGGTTCGGAGACAAGGTGGCTGAAGGGTAGCTGGGCTCTTCTTGACGGAGACGGCGAGCAGGTCGGTCAAGGGCTGCATTGTTGTTGTCATCATCGTCACGAGGTCGTTTGTTATTGGTCTGAATATTGCCAGATGCTTCGAGCACAGGATTTAAGGTTTGTACCGGCCCATTAGTGTATGGCGACGGCCCGTGCGCTTCCGTAGAGACCCCCTTATCCTGGTTTCCAGAGATATTCTGCTGTTCGGTAGGTTGGCCCCTGTGAGATGGAGTATTAGATGGCGCGAGATGAATGCCATGAGGAGCGCCGGCCCGCTGACGGTACATAGAGATCCCGTTAAGTACAGGTGATTGAGACGGAGATTGAGAATGGCTCAAAGATTGGTGGCCGGAAAAGGGAAGGCACCAGGTCGATGAAGGAATGCCAAATTTCGTTGGTAAAGGCTCCATCTCCGACGGTGGCGGGAGGCTTTCGACCCATTGCGAGACCCGAGTATACTTGATCAATTGCTGGACTGATACCCGAAGTGGCGGGGCTTCCTCTGGTTTCTCAGCCGCTTTCAGAGCGACTTCGTGACGCACAGGTCGACCCATCTTCCTATCGCAAGATCCCATCCATGAGTCGACGTCGTATGCAATGTCACTGTGCATGTCACAATCCGGAAGATTGTTCACTTTGTAAGAAGCCCAGTATGTCTTGCGTTTGGTAATATAACCAGCAATGCGTCGTCGACATGACTGCCATGAATACCGGCGACCAGTTTGCTCCTGTAGTGCTGCCGAAATTCTGATCCAGAAACTTTTGGGGTAGTGTCCCAGTTCGTAATGGTCCATCATATCTCTACATAAGCTGACCAGGCATTGTTGCTCGTGAACCGTGAGCTGGATTCCCCGACCGGAGTGCTCAATTGCGACATCGTTATACAGACCGGGTGCAATTTTTGACTCGGTTGGGGTGGACGGGTTATCGGTTATTTTCGCGGGGACAGTGAACGATGGGTCTGCTAGCAACGCTCGACGTTGCGGTGAGTCTGGCTTGTGGATTCCATGATGATCGCGAAGGTGTCTCCATAGTAAATCTGATGAAGCGGACTCTTCAAAAGATTGTGCCATGTCTTCCTCTTGGGATGATTGCTAAGTATCCCGTCACGGACCTCCTCCTCTTCGACGAAGAAAAAAAGATCGTGGGTCGGGGAGGGAGACATTCCGGGAAGATCGGAGAAGAAGAAATTCGCGCCGCGCCCGCGTCCCGACACGTGACCCCGTTGGGCAGCGAATTAGTATGGAGCGATCATCAGCCTCCTTTATTTGCTCCTGATATTAAAAAGGGTTGAGTTGACTTGGGACGTAAGTCTGCCTAAAAGAGGCAAACCGACTTGGTTTGCCCCAATGACTGCCGTTGGCCACTTTGATTGTATGATTTCTTTGGGGGAGGATTTTCCTTCCGATGTCCAATATTACCCGATCAGGCATGGGTTTAATACCGGGATTGATACAGGATACATGGTACTGTCCTTCGGGTTCCATGTTTTTTTACTTTCTGTTCACCTTCTGATGGGGACTCGCGGAAACCTGGGCACGATCGATCCCCATGATTTGACGAACCTCTCCTCTCTCCCTCATCCCAATCCGAAAACTTACATGGGCATGATGCGTGTCCTCCGCCTTCATTCCCGATTGGGGGCCGGACCATGAGGGGGCGACTCGACTTGTTGCATCATTCATTCTCTATTCGTTCAGGGGCTCCTACTACTCCTGCACAATGTACATCGTACCTCGGCTGTGGTCAGTAAAAAATTGATCTCCATCTGATCAGTACTTTATGAACCTCACCCTATCGTCTATCATTCAGGATACTCGGAGATTAATAAAAATTAAAAATAGGAGGTACTATAGATATTCCTGGGTTAAAGAGTTACATTCCTCATCGCGCCGCGTCGGTCCTATCAGGGATCAACCTAACTAAAATGAGGATCAATGTCTCGCCGTCCACAACGCTACTCAATTAGGGTGAATAGCTGGCAATCGACCATGGTCTCTCTTAGTAGTCCCCATCGCTGCTGATCGTTCCTCCCTATTTTGAGCCAAAGCATCACGCCTCGGCAAAATTCTGTGTCACTGGATTGTCAAATGATTGCAACATTACATATGCAGCCGAAATCTCAGCTGGTGGTCCCTGATCCGAAGGTGTAGACACTTCCATGACACTCCAGTGAATTGACCTCTCCTATAGTACCTTATCTGATCTATTGACCGACCGGAAATGGCGTCTCCACCTATACCCGCCTCCCCCCTGTTGGAAGCAGTGTCATCTATAACTCTTGAGAAAGGTACACGAGATCGATTTGTGGCAAACATCTCTCCAGAATGGTGCACACAACAGTATGTCCGGCAACGTGGAAGCGAGCTAACCAGTCGAGGAACAAGACTAACTAGAACAGCTCTGTACTGGGTGGCTACCTGAATGCATTGATACTGTCCGCCACACAAAAGTTCAACGCCCTTGAATTTGGCGAGGAACGGTTTCTCGACCCAATCCATGTCTTTGTGCAATTTCTGCAATTGGTTCCGCCTGGACAGGTGATTGTTACTTGCAAGCGTCTCCGAGTTTCTTCCCGACAGTGTGTGGTGAGTGTAGAGGTCGCGAGAGCCGCAGTTTCCGGCAACCCAAGTACTACTGCTACCCTGGGTATTGTTACGTGCGCCAACCTCTCGGAAGAGGAAGGTCTTACGCAACATAGTAAGCCGGCCTTTGCTGTCCCACTCCCAAACCGACACACCGAGTGTGTCAAAATTGATGATCCCGTGGTCGATTCGACCCCAGTGACTAGTAAACTGAACTGGATTTCACCAAAATCAACTAATGGTCTTTGGGGACACCGTGTCGGGGGCCATCACCGCGAGGTGTGGGTGTCCTTCCGGGACGGATCGAGGATCTCCGATCTTCTTCATCTAGCCATGCTGTCAGACATGGTAAGTGACTGAGAGCCATTCCATATCGAGGATGTGGAACTTCTAGTGTCTGACGACCGAGCCAGCCACTGCAACCCGCTGCAACGCACCAAGCTGGGTTTTACTTCAAATATGCATTATCCACGCTTTGTATGACAGTGGAATTCAAAAAGCGCCCTGGCCCATCCACGCAATGGGTTATGATTCGGTCAAACTCGCATATGGTCTCGAATGGCCGGTACGACGTCAACATTCAGATTTTCAATGAAGGAGGTGATCTTCTTGCGTTGAGTAACCATGTAGTATATGTTTCGGAACTTCGAGCACGGGTGAGGGGAGCAAAGCTATGATGTTGTACTGTATTTGCTCGGAAAAAGTATATAACCCCACCCCCTTTCCATGACCTCCAAGATGAAATCACCAATGATTGGGTGAGGAGACTAAATCACTTCCAGTAAATAAACAGCTCCACATAAAGCCACAATTAAAACAATAGCTTAGATCTTTACCGGTATCTCATGAGTTCGTTCATACATGCGTAAAACTATCTTAGGTAACGAACTAAGCTATGTTTAGAGGCATTGCGATGTACAGTACTACAAGCAGCTTACCTCTTCCTTAAAGTTTCTCATTTCAACTCCTATCTACTTGTGTCTCATTGTGACTTTCGCAAGCGGAATCCCAGAACGATGGCTGGAATGCAGAATTTGACCCTCTGTACTGATAAACTCCTGCATCTTCCCACCCTAATGACATGCCCACCCAACGCAACAGCCGTACAATCCGTTCGTATTACATTACATTGATTATCGACCCCCAAACATTTGCTCTTATTCCCAGAGAAGGCACACAAGAAGAAACTAATGAGCCCGTGACATGTTCACGATATCAGGTTCACCTAGTCCCCACACAAGAACACAGAGAGGAGACATATGACGAGAGCTCAAGCCTCCCCGCCATAAACATTACCAATATCATAGTCAGCTTTGACGTGATCAAAGAAACTACTAGTATAACCCCCAGCCATGCCGAATGGATCCTCCTCCACCCCGGCAGAATAATGAGCTGCGCTGTCATGATTGCGGATACCGCGCCTAGCAGCCGTCGCACTAATACCAAATGCCGTGTCTTTTTTCTCTTCTTCTTTCTTAGCAAAGGCGAAACCGGGCGTATTGCGCTCAAACTTCTCCCTTTTGATTTTGGATATAGAAGCCGCAGAAGCAAGAGGAGCATCAACAACAACGACATCGTCATCTTCTCCGCCAGAAGGAGAACCCACGAATTTGAGTTTGACATTAAATTCTTCATCCGGGTCGGCGTCTTCAACGTAGATTGCATCCATGAGAGACATACCAAGCTTGTTCTTCTTCTGCTTCGTGGGGGTTTGGGCCTGTTGAGTGCCCCTCTTGCGCTTGCTGGACGACGAAGGCGTGTTTATGCTTGAGGTGATGCCGCCGCGTGCGCCTCGGGGTGTTCTGGGAGTTGTATTTCCGTTTCCACCGGATACGGAAATGTTGCGTCCGACATTATGTGGGATGTCGGTGATGCCGCGATTGTAGGCGTCGGCTTTCAGCTCGTCGGCCATCTTGCGGTAGCGGCGGAATCGGGCTTCCAGTGCGTCGAAGGTCGCTCCTTGGTCGAATAAGAGGGCCATGGCGTGGTAGTCGAGCTGTTTTGGTTCAGTTGGTGCTGGAGCTGTACGAGAGTATGGAGTAGGATGATGATAGGGGTACCTTGATGCCTTGGTGGGTTGCGAGCAAAGCCGCGATGAGACGGTCGGTGCTCTCGGGGCTCTTCCAGTTTACCATGTTGATCGATGTTGTGGAAATGGCATGCTTTGGAGTCTTGGGTAGAGTAGGCTGATATTGATGAGGGGTTCTGTGTTGCTTCGCTGCGAGTGAGATGGGAAGCTTTATAGGAATATTCCTAGGAGACCAGAGTTTGTTTAGGTAGGCTCAACCTTATAATGATTGCCCTTGAGATGAAGGGAGGTTCCCACGGGATTCTTTTCTCGCAGAGAAAACCGTCTAATTGGCTTGAATCGACACTATCCCAGACAGTGAATGGTTCTGTCGTTGGACTAGTACAACGAAGCCCGGGGAGTATTCGAAAATTTCCCGGAGCTCTGAAAAAGATTGGCCATGAAGACGGTAGTGAATGAAGAAGACACGGCCTAAATGCCAATGACATAGCCCAAGGCAAATACAAGGCCTGCTTAAGGTAGTGAATATCAAGCTGATCATCCGGGCGATACAGGAACACCAAGTCAGATCCGTATATCGCTTTTCGCGGCTGTGCATTTAGTTTCTGGAGAACAATATTGGTCGACGCTTCTAAAACACCTTCATACTAACTGCTTAGATACGGCAGCAGTTTTCCACTCCCCAATATACCACCACTGCCAGGAAGGATAAAGTTGTCTCGTCTAATCCATCATTCACTTAAGGGTTACCAAATCTCGTCACTATACTTCATCGTTCTCTTTCCCTCTCCTCGTACTTGCTGTTCCTCTTCTTCTCCTAACATTCTCTCTCACTCCCTTCTCATACTCCCATACTATCTAACTATTCTCACTTGTGTGCGCTCCTATTCCTTTCTCCTGGTCCCATACCTCAACTTACATATACAACACCCGAGTAATCTCTACTGAACCACAAAAATGCCTGTACGCTGGAGTCCCGAGAACGACCAGCTTGTAAGTCCGGCCTCACCAACGCCTCCCCTACCAAGGCACAACCTAACCACCCACAGCTTCTCCTGAAGATACTGGAAACCCATGATATCTCCGTCGACACCAGAAAAGTCTCCGAAGCCTGGCGTAAGCCCTCACCTAAACCTCTCCCACATAAATAGCATACATACTAACAACCCAAACCCCACTCAGCCGGCACAGACTCCAACAGTCGACCCACCCCCCGCGCCATCACCGAACGCCTGGCCAAAATGCGCCAGATAGTCAAAGCATCCAACAACGGCCCCGAAGGCCACTTCAGCATCGGAAGAGGCACGAACGCCAACCCCGGCAGCGCAGCGTCGACTCCCCATAAACAGCGCAAGAATGCGACAGCTGGTCTCAAGACCCCGACTTCTGGGAAGCGTAAGCATGTCGTTAAGGCTGAAGAAGATGTTGGGGGTGATGCTGAAGTGCTGGTCAAAGAGGAAGACGACGGGAAGAAACCACTTGGGGATGCTTCTGCGGGGGTGAATCAGGGTCAGGTGTTTGTTTTGCTTAAGACTGAGTCGATTGACGAGGATGCTTTTGTGGGGGACGGGTCTCCATCGAAGCGTGCGCGTAGGGCTAGTACTCTTCATCCTGGTATGGTTAATACTTATAATGAGGAGGATAGCGGAACTGAACTGGATAGCTCGGTCTCTGAGTATCTTCCTGAGGAATCGGCTAAGGTGGAGGAGGAATTTTGGATGGCTTGATTTTTTTTTTTTTTAGTTTGCTCTGGTGAATTATGTATTATGGGGTTTTGGATTGCATGGATGGGGTAGCGGTGCAGATGAGGGACGAAAGTACAGCTTATGTCCGGGGGGTAGCAGTCACTGAATTAATGATCACGGGATGTTAAAACAGTGCATATTTCCATAATCTCAGCTCCATGAGTAGAAATTGTAGCTATAACACTACGTTTCGATACAAAGAGAGATAAAGTGCACGTAGAGAAGCAGCGCGCGACTGGTAAATTCCTTCGATCTCAATAAAAGTAAGTATGAAGAGTCGCCATCAAATTATCAAATCCTAAACACTTTCAATAACAGCCGCCAATCCCATTCTCGTAGAACCCAGGAACCCGCCTGTTCATATGTTAAATAATTCCAATCCCGGTTGAACAAAAACAAATCAACAACCAGAAGATTCCACCATAAGCCTAAGAAAAAACCTCGTTTACCTGGGCTTTGACTCTCTTACAAGCTGGTCCGCCACTGCTCTTTGTACCACGCTTCGCGGGCCTACCTCTCTTGGGCTTGGTGGGAGTCGAGTCGGGAGCCACATCACCATCTTCTTCCTCCGCGTGAGTAGCAGAGCCAGGAGAGGTAGCAGCAGCAGTATCTTTCGTAGGAGAAGAGTTACGGACCATCTCCTTGATTCTCTGGACTCTATGCTGTATGGCACTGGCTGTGCAATCTATGATCTGTTTTAGTTCTTGTGTTCCTGGACAGGCTGGAAAGAGTAAGACAAACCTTGACCCATGAACTCGGCTAAGGCCTTGTGGTCGAGCTTGAAGCTATGGAGAGTTATGATGCCGACAAGTAGCTATGTGAGTGTGCTCAGTTAGTTCTGTACAGGTTAAGTTTCTCGAGGGTTGGGAGAAGAGATCGGTGGGCTTACTCTGGCATCAGCCTGTTCTCCCCATTTGATAGGCATCAGGAATAACCAGGAAGTAAGTGAATTGGCTGGGTTTGTGTGGTATCCTGTTGATCAGAGGCAATCTTTAAAATTTTTTTTTTTGGTGGGTGGACTTGTAAGTGAGGTTGTAGTTGGAAGATGTCGGCTGAAGTAGAGGTAAGCAGAGGATAGAAGGGGGGAACTCAAGGTGTTGTGGGAGACAGGAAGAGGGTGAGGTCGAGAGACCAGTCGTGAGAAGAGAGGACGAAGGACCCAGCCATTCACTTCCAGTCGGGCTGGCAGTAGTGAAGTGGTGTTACTGTTCCTGTCGTTGCCAGGGGATTCCAGAATGAGACCAAGCCGTCATTTGAAATTCTTGTAAAATTCGTTCGGTTTTCCAGACTATATTCGGTGTTTCTTCCATATACCACAACTTACCAACATGGTGTAGAACAGCTTACCATGTCAGTACTACATCTTGAAGAGAAACTCTGTCTAGGTAGCGTAACGGAAACTATTGCTGAAACATGAGTTGATAATATAAGTATGAGGTAGCTAGTAACCAGATGATTGCCGTCACGAGATCTAAATATTTTCTATTGAATGGCATGCTCTTCCTGTAATTCTGCTGAAATCGCAGTAGTCCTTGAAAACTGCCATATTCCCGACAACTTGCGACAAGAAAAGCTTCTGGCGCTCGACGCAGCATAGAACCTAACCAGAGCTCTAGATGACAAAGAGCCATCCTCCGCAGTGGAGGATAAAGTGATACCAACAATTCCAGATACCTATTCGCGATATCAACTGGTCGTTACAGAGCTGATGAGAGCTAGTGGTTATGCCCCGGGGCTATTGATACCAACTGATTCGTCTCTACCTGGCTCTTGTGTCGTTATCTGTGAAGGCTGTTGGAGCGTTACGAACGTTATTGCCACCCCATATCAATATAATTCTCTTGAGTATTGGAAGTATCACCATGTATCGCTCCCATAAGGGTGAGGGTAGCAGTTCGTCGAAGGTTTATTTTTGAGTGTATCTGCATAACATTGGCGGATAAGATTTCAGTTGGATTCCCACAAATCAAGAGCTTGGTAAATAGAATGATCGATAAGATCCGTCGATGATCTCGTAGGGGTATATAACCAATGGATCATCTATAAGTTCAGGGTAAAAACATGTCTAAGTTGCATAACGGGACAGGGGCTCGCATATAAATTATGACAATATTGCCTCGCAAGGGAATACATAGCTTTCATCACAACAAGGCAAATATTCAGCATGAATAGCCTGCTAAGTTTGATATGCACTTCCGTTCCGCCTCTCTGATAAGCCACAAAATTCCATTACACGCGTTACTTGGAATTACCTTCGTGGACAGCGTGAGATTGTTCCACCCAGACATATAAGACAACGTGTCCTATAGAGATCTGGTAGAGCTGCAATATCGGTCAATATCAAACAATGGTACGGTCATTGTATCATCCCGTAGACTTTCCTTTCTTGACTCTTGTTTCGACGATCTCTGTGTCTATCAACAACTCTTATTGGAACCCCTAGACTAGATTACAAGATGGGATGCTCTGAGGAAAATAAAAGCAAATAAAATGGCAGATGCCTCTGATATATAGTGAAAGTGAATATGTTCACTCGAGGTTGAACCAGAATGTGTAGGAGTTCTAACCCCGCCATTCTTACAGAGCAGAGCAACCCCACCTCACGTGTGTATGCAAAACAGAGAGATTGAGACAGCTTATATTCTGTAGATGAGCCATGGAATCATGTTTCACTCAAACCATGCCATCCCCAGTATTGCATTTATCGAATGATCGTATCCCCAATTGGTGCCTTGCTTGAACACCGCCGGCGAAATGTCAGTACTAGTTAGACACGTATTAGATTGCACTGCAGCAACAACTTTGTCAGTACGCCAATCGGGTGATGTTTCAGATGCAACCACGACTTTGATGCTGTGCATTCGGTACTCTGAGTGGCTGTCAGGCTACATCCGATAGTTTCCCTCGTGGAGTACGAGTACAGCTGCTACCAGCGCCTGCTTAAAGTTTATCTTTAAGTGAATTGGGATGATTCGTCCTTTCGTTGTGTCAATTAAGACTGTACGTTCCCCATGTATAGAAATACTCCACAGATAGATCTACGGATCCAACCAAAGGGGGTTACAACGCAGCAATTGCAGGTGCTTGGCAAGGATATAGATATCCGCCATGCATCGGAGGGATACGTATGTACTTAAAATCAGTACTTTAGTACGTTATCGAACAGTAACATCTCACAAACAAATGGCCGAATTTCTCCGAGCAGCAAGTAGTACAGCTCTAACTGCGGTAAGTGGGTGTGCGCCATAGGACGCAAAGATTCCTTGTTTTAGGACTGCATGATGCCAGGGTATAACGCTGAAAATTAATGTGCAGTTAAATTTTCATCTGCAGAGAGAAGGCCTTAGAGATGTGATGATTGCTTGAAGAGGTGGTTGGTGTTGGGGGGGGGGGCCTACTAACTCGGGTGTTTTCTTAAGTATGTGCTGCAGGACTACACCATTGCATGTCAGGTCTTATTTTCATAACACTATAGGGTGACTACTAGGTATACCAAGTGGGTCCGGCAAGTTAAACTGAAGACCTCTGGAGTCGGTGAAAAGGTTGAAACGGAGGGGCAAAAGAAGAGGAGGAAAAAGGGGCGAAAAGAAGAAAAAGAAAAGAAAAGAAATACAGCATACTAATAATGAAGAATTCGATTATTTGCGCAAATGGCAAGGTTAAACAAACGAACAATTGCATTGTCACCCAAGGATCATTTATTATTGCATTTCCCTCAACCCACAGAGATCAATTGGCCAGCCTTACTGTACCCCTCTCATAATTCTGACTAGGTATACATGTCACAGCTCTTGGCTATATGTATCTATTGGTTTATGATCATCTTCGTTAGTGCTACACCTGCTAATGTGGCTTCCCCAATGTAGTGGGTAAATCAGGAATGCTGATCAATGAGAAGCATGGTGCAATCCCATATGACAAACAACACCCATGAAACGAAGGGTCAAAGACATCGAATTAATTCCCTCAGAGCAAGCAACGGTGATATGATGAGGGTCTCGCTGCAGTCGGCCCCCGACATATGGCCAGTACCCCTCCAAGTTCCACTGCTGAAGTGTCCGCCAAGAGACCCCATATAATCGCGCTAGGTGGGGGAGTCTCTCACCATCTTGAAATGGGCCAATCTGACAGAGTTTCTCCCTCTGCAAGGATCCATCATTGCTGTTGCCTAGAGAATTAGGAGAAGAGGGCCGTTTGGAGGGGTCAGAACTAATCCTATTGTAATGCAACGGGGTCAGATCAACGCCTCAGTTCATCTATCATGCGTGAAAATCAACAAATGATTGGAGGCCATGTGTATAGCATCTAGGATAGAGATATTGGGAGAGGTTCCACTCAGGTGGGAGACATGGCTATAAATACTACCTGCTCGTCTTCCTAGAGTTGGCTTCTAGTCTTCTTTCTCAATCCATCAAGAGCCATCTCTCAATCTGTCAAAACCAGTCCTCCACTACCCACAGCCAACATGAGTTTCCATATGACCGCTGAGGAAGGTTCCATCAGAGTCCTGGGCGATAAGCGCACCCTGATCGGTCGGCTTGAAGACGAAAACGGGGAATATCAGGATGCGAGCATTGATCTTGACCAGTTTCTCGGAAACAACAACGGTATGTTCTTCACATCTGATATGATGAAAGAATAATTTTAACCTACGTTACAGGTAGCTTCCAGTGGGACGGCGTTTCATTTTCCGAGACTGCTGAAGGGGTCCATTTCGACATTGAGGGTGGATCCAACGTCCCCGTCCTACGTGCCCAGTTGCGAAACGAGGCGGGTGATTATGTAGATGCCAATGTCAACCTGGCTGAGCGTATCAGGAATGAAAATGGACAGTTCCAGTTTGAGTAAATAATTGTAAGTGGCAGTGGCCTTGGCTGAGAGGGCGTTTCTAATCGTCTCTTAGCGATACCTATATATACTATGGTTGGAAGACACGCAAAGTACATGGTGTACCGACTTACGGTTGAGCAAAGTTGTTGTTTGCCATGTAGACTACTTGTATCTATACGACCAGCCGTGAGTTTCATGCATGCCTTCCAATTAGAAAAATTTCTCGCATTGTGCTTCTACTGTAGAATCAGGTAGAAAGAGTATAGACAGACGAGTAGCCTGAATACATAAACAAAATACTGCCACCAACAAAAGAAACAAATTTCAGCCGTCAGCTCATACAAATCCATACAGCCATCCAGCTCATAATGACCTGTAACTCTAACCCGAACTCCTGGAGAGCATCCGAATATACCAGGTGTATCTCAAATGATGGTGAACCCAGACACAAGGAACAACAGAAATAAAAGCAAGAAGGCAGAGAGATCCTCCAGGTAACACCATAATGAGAAAGTCAAATAATAAAATATATATAGACAAATAACAGAAAAAGGGAAGAAATAGATGCCCAGTTACCAAACGTGGGTTATATCACCTGCATCCATGTCATGTCCATTCCAGTCTTCATCACCACTCACTTCATCATCAAGAAAGTCTTCTTCATTGAATTGTGTCTCACTCGGACGTTGATTATCAATTCGAACCATGACCACGTCACACATGCCTTGTACAGCTAACGGCTTCTGGTCATCGTCACTGTCAGGCACTGCGTGGTGAGATGTGTTCAATCCAACATCATCATCAACTTCGGACAGTTTCCGTTGGGCGATGCGAGCGCTCTTTCGTTTTGAAGGCGTAGAAAATCCGCTGCCAAGGACATCTGGCTGAGTTGTAGTATCGTTCAAAACTAGGCTGTCAGCCAAGCTACCAGAAACTGGTTGCCGAGACATGAACGGAATGGTGTAAAGGGCGGGATTTGGGGATGCGCTATGCCTTAGGAAGACCTTCTCGAGCCTGCCAATCCATTTTTCTCGAAAAGATGCACGATCGCGCCATCCAATTTTTAGAATCGCACTTATCACTAATCGCCGTAAGTTCCGCAATTGGGGAGCTGCATCAATAAGGGATGTGAAGAATACGTCCGCCGTAATATCGTCCCACTTGCGTAACTGTATTAGCTCAATGTCCTGCAGGGTAGCTGGCCACGTTGGAACTTCCGAGGGGCTGAGGAGCTCCCTAAAGTGAGGCTCCACGTCATGATAACTAGACAAGTCATGTATCGAGATATCCATCTTGAATCGCTCAAGATTTTCACACGATTGTGCCAGGCCCACGATAAAAGAGAGGCTCAAATGGCGATTGTGACTCAGAGCTAATTCTCGAAGATGTCGGCCATGCGAAGCAAGGAACGCACTGAAGTTTGCCGTTGTTACTTCATCGCAATTGTTTATGGTGAGCGATGTAAGTGTTAGGGGCAAGTTCGGTAAAAGATGCTCATTTACAATTGAACACTCTAAAAACTCCAAGCGGCGCAGCTCCGGAAGTTCCTTGAGTGCGGTAGCAAGAACGACTTCCCTTTCGTTTGATACATCAGCAAATTCATCTCCATCAGAATCTTCCGAAGCAATATGCAACATCCTAAGCTCCCGCAGGCCAGAGAATACAGGTTGAAGATGTTTTTCCATCATGCATTGAAGTAGCCCCTTCGTTTCCATGAAGCGGCTGTTCCAGTCCCAGCTGCGCAAGCGGATCAAACTCGATACGAGGGAGGTAAAAAGACTTTCAGGATAAACCCATTTGGTCCTCTGCCACAGAGGAAGTCCAACAACATAATCATCACTATGATAGAGCCGCAATCTTTTCAACTGAGGGGCTTTCTCAATCAGCTTGGGAAGTTCAAAATATCCCAGCGCCGGGCCACTTTTGTAAGTTAAGAGAAGCTCCGCATCAATATGGAGCTCTCTAATCTTGTTAATGTAATTGGTAGAGAGGTACTTTTGGGGCTTTGATAGCAAGGTGAGCAAGCCGTGTGCCTTTGCGGATGGTATCAGAGGGGGGCAGTGGTAAAGAGCAGCCAACGCGGGCTCATGAAAAGCGCGACAAAGCAGAGAGACATTCACAAGCCATTGAACTGAGTTGTTTCTGGTTGCAGTCTTCTCATCCACTAGGGGATATGCGGCGCTATAGAATATGTCAAACAGGATATGATAGGGAAGAGCTTGCCAAGGGGGAATGACACCAGACCCCACGAACGGGGTAACATCCTCTTCGAATTTCCTCCGTTTACTGAGGGGTCTACCCAATTCCAAGCGCTTCTTATTGGAGGCTCTTTTCGGTCGCTTAGTTTGAGACCGTGTTTCCATAGACCGCTTACGTTGACGTCTGTTTGGATCGTGGTGGGCTGGTTGTTCGGTAAATGGATAGGTAAATCGAGTTGTGGCTTCGGCGGGCACTATAGCGTCTGGATCCTCATCGCTTGGGCCCCCTTCAAAACTACCGTCAGTGGATTCTTCGCGGTAGGATACAGGCATGCGATTTGAGTCGCGTGGGCGCAAGGAAAGAGACAGACGCCTTGATTCCTCGTCGTCGGACTCTGGGTCCTCGAGCTGATCTTCCGAGCTGCTTTCTTCATGGTAGGATTGAACTTGCGTGCGGCTGGAGCGAACTGGACGGGACGATCTTGGAGGTCGACGGTGAGAAGAGCCGATCGAGGGAGCCATGGCGAGTGGGCCGGTTCGCCCTACAAACGATGAGGTGCCAAGCAAAAGGGTACCAAATTGCACATGATCTGCGATTCCGCGAATGCGATAGTGCTTGACCGAGCTTGAAGGCACTAGTTTGGAGTCCCCTGTAGTAGTTCAAGACTCTGAACTAGGAGACAAGGTGGATAGAAGCAGCGTACTTATATAGCGGCAGTAGGATTGAAGTGAAGGAAGCGCAGAATGATGAAGCCAACGGACCGAATTTCACTGGAAGGGGTGGAGTTGGTTAGCGGGTTTATCGATAAGGAAATGATGATGATGATGATGAATGGATTGCCTGACTGTCCAGGCGCGGTGAAGTGGCCCCAATCCGGGATAGCGGCACATGTGACTGGCCCAAGGACCAAGCGAGGCATTGACAGGCATCAACTCCCCCGCCCTGAGGCCATGACGCTAGGCCGGGATGGGCATCGAGGGGAATCCCGAAATAGAAACAGTAAGCTCCTCTCAGTCTATCATCGGCCTTCTTTAAAGCGCCGCCGTTCTTCCAGCCACCTTCTCCTCTTTTTCCCCCCGATGATTCCGTGGTGATGATGGCACCCTATTTCCTCCAAGGCTTCTGCCCTCCTGGATCGCATTTTCCGACTTTAAGTGTGTATGCGCTATCTACTTCTATATAAATACTTATCCATCCATATGCGCTCGATTGGGCTGGTCCCTACACTAAGCGCGCTCCTTGCGATCTAATTATAGCCTGCTGTCTATACGCGCTCAATTCGATTATCTTTGCTTTGTGTTTGCCCATACCTATGATACCCAGCTATCCACCGAGCACATACCAAATTTTCTCTCCTGCCATTGTTTATTTGGGCAATCTTAGCTTGTTGACTCACAATGGAAAGCTCGTTTCCCAACGTCATGAATCCATCGGAGAGGAGCGAATTAGGGGGCCCGCAGATGGTTGTCCAGCAGTATGCTAGGTATCCGCCTACCTTAGAACCTGGATTACATAGCGCTTCCTCTTTAGGTAGCGCTCGCAGCCGGATGGCAGCCTCCAAGTCTCCCCCGCTTCATCGCAAAGCAACCCCTCGCAGCATACAATCCTCACCAACAGTTCCCCGGCCAGGTATTCCTCCAGCACCAGCTCCACGCTCTGGGCCATCAATGTCTCCCCCGGTGTTCGATCCTCTTCGCCAGAGACAACCGCCGAGAGAACCATTGGACCAAGCAGAGACCCGATCGCTCCCATCCCGTGATATTACAGATGAAAACATTGATGACGCTTACGTGATGTTTATTTTTTATTGTAATCCAAATGTGCCTCTGTCTGTAGACACTAGCGAGTTGCGAAAGACTTTCCGCTGTCCCCCGCGAAGTGATGGCAAAAGCTTCAGTATCTTTACGCTCTGGGAACTCATTCGGAAGCTAGACAGCAAAGAATTGAAAACATGGATATCGTTGGCGACCGAGCTCGGTGTGGAGCCCCCTGATTTAGAGCAAGGGCAGAGCACACAGAAAGTCCAGCAATATGCTGTTCGCCTAAAGGTCGGTCTCAAGTGCCTCGTCTTGATATGGGATCCCTACTGAATGGTCATAGCGTTGGATGCGAGCGATGCATGTTGATGCATTCTTTGAATACTGTCTCGGTCATCCCCACCCTTACTACACTCAGCTTCCTGCAAACAATGCGATAGTCAGTGAGAGTCGCGATGGTGTACCTTTGGAAGAGGACCTCGCGTTGCGAGCTCTTGTCCCTCAATGGAAACCCAAAAGAGGTAGAAAACGAGCGGAGGAGAGGGAGATTGTGAACGATAGATCATCTAAACGGCCACAGCTCGATACCTCCGTGGGTATCTTGCACACAAGTACGTTCCCAGCTCACTCCGCGACCTTTCCTCAGAGTGCAATCCCATTCAGCGCCTTTCCCGAAGAGATTGAGCCAAACGATCCGTGGATGGCGGCTACGTCCTCATTTGGAGCGAATGGGCCATCGGGGAACCCGGCCGCTCATCAAGGCCAGGATCTGCGGTGGAGATCAATTGAACGAGAAGCTTCACCAAGTTATCCACATTCCGCAATTCTTCCCAGGGCCCATCATCCATCCGAAGTATTTCTTCCTCCTACGGAGCCTCGATCAGCAGTTACACCATCTGAGAAGTCACGCCCTAAAAGGCGCCATGGCCCAGCTGTCTCATCTGCCTGGCCGACCAACAATGGGTCATCTACCGGAAAGACCCGAGGACGACCTCCTGGTCGAGGGACAACCTCCGGCCCCTTTTCCTCTTTTCCAGTTAATCCTATTCGCTCTGACCCATCTCACGTACACAGCTCTAGTGCACGGCCCTCTCCTTCCATCCTGCTTGAGCACGATCCTTCCGGTCGCTATTCCAATGCCCAATACCAGCAATCTCCTACTCCCTTCGCTGGAGGTGGTAGGCCAAACAAACTCCAGCTGCAAGTTCCTCAACAGCCAGGTGCACCAGTCCGTCTTGCGACACCACCAACGCTCATGGTGAACGGCGTCAACAATGCATCTCTCAAGATTGAGGGACACCAGCGCAACAGCACCTCAGCCCCACCACACGAGATTACTGGCACAGCAATGAATGCTTCAAGTAGTGCACATCGCAATAACAATCTGAACAAAGATATCTCGTCTGATGACCTTGTCCGCGTGCTCTCCAGTGATTTACTGCGTGGGAAAATAACCGGCCGCCCGGCCCCTTTGAGTGTTGAAGAGGCCCGAACATTAGCAGTCTCTATGGTGACAAATTTAACTGCATCATATTCCCAACTGCCCTTGGGCCTGCCGGTTCTATTATCGGCTCTACACCTAGGGCTAGGGCAACACTTTGGTTACCCCGGAGTGACAGATAGTACGATGACAATTAATATTGAAGCTTCACCTGCGCCCCCTGCCGATGCGCCAGCGGCAACTGGGAACGAGGGACACTTATTCAATTTCATTTACACTGTCTCTCAAGAATACAAACATGGACTTCGCTTCACAACGAAGGTTACTTATGGTGACTTCAGTATTAACAAGCTTACAAGCAGCAGACCTGAGAATGCATTCGGAGTGACTGAGGACCTAGATAATAGCATCGCGGAGTTAAATAGCTCTACAGATGGTGAATTCGAAGTGGATGGTCCAGAGGATTCTATCCCCGACCTGACCTGGAAACATCGGTACATGAAGCTTCGCTCCCAGATGCAGAAAAAGGAGCGCGCCTTGTCCCAGTACAAGCGCAAGATCCTAGAGTCCGTGATGTCAGACATTTAGACTCCCGCGGGGGTAGTGAAATTCCAACGTGCTAAGCGTCAAAGACTGCTACTTCGCATGAGAATCACTTTTGAGCTGTTGACGACATCATATCTTTTCTGTGCTTGATAAAGTGCTTTATTCTTGAACTGATGTGATCAGGACATGATCTCCATGTATTTCCCTGGGAGCGTGTTGCTGTTTGTATGTTTCGTTTAGGCTTCCTACAGATACCCCTTGAGCGGCTTGCTTGTTGTTTGAAATGAAGCATGTTATAGAACAATATCTAAAAAATAACTGAGTTCTCCTTCCGCATGCTTTCTTCGGATGCTCTCTTATTGAATACGGAAAGAATCTATAGTTACTTGGTAAAATGATAGATTTAACCACGGTATTGTTAAAGTAGTCTTCAAGTAACACTTCAAAGAAGCCCATCAACAACGTTCAAAAGGACAAAAGACATATCCATCCCCGCTTTAACCACCCTCCACAAAATCCCCACTCTTACGGAAATCTTTCTCTCTAAGAAGCCTTAAGCATCCGCATCAGAATCTTCCCCCTTGACCTGCACATATCCATTCCCGTCGTCAGTATAACAGAACTGATCGAATAAGGCAGTATCACTAACTCCAGGCCCTTCCTCGTCAATCTCAGTCTCCTCTCCAGAAGATTGCCCTTCGACCTTGTCAGGGTCAGCCATATGCTTTAGCAGGCTTTCTGCATAAGCAACAGCAATCACCTTCATTGCTTTCACTTTCTCGTTCTTGGAACCTGCTCTCTTCGGCACAGCGGCCTTGGGTACTGCCTTGCGCTTTGTAACCGATGATTTGTTAGTTTTCTTTGGGCTAGAAACTGGACTGTTGGTCGAGGATGCACCGTGCGAGGTGTTGTTGCGGCCTTTTACGAGACGCTCGTAGCGTTTCGCGCTGGTTCGATTAGGTACTGGTTGTATGCTAGGTATAGATAGGACGAGGTAATGGAGGATAGCAAAAGGACTTACGCAGCTCCTTTAGTAACGATACTGCATTCTTTCGCGACTTCTTCGAAATCAACCTGCAAGTGAAGATGAGTCAAGTCGTAATCAGCTCATGGTGCCCGAGATGGAGGTATGGACAGAGTGTGTCGGCCATTTAGACACTATAAGGAAGTGGGAACTCTTACCTTTCCGCTGTTTGAGTGACGAATGCAGCTCAGGAGGAAGTCAAGCTGACCATTGTCTGTTATACGAGACATGTTGAGTGCCCTCTCGAGGTTAGTATGAAGCTAGTCAGTGATAAAGGGGTGACTAGAAGGCTTTGTTTCGATAATATATTGCTAGGCTTATTAGAGGGTGCGCTGAGGCAAACAGAAGATGATAGAGAAAGAGGAGGAGGCTCGAAGAACAGCAAAGAGAAGAAGTAACACTAAGGTGGCTCAATGAAAAATATTCTCTGGATAGGCTCAGATAGGAGACAGGAATGTGTGGTGCAGCGCTCAGCACAGTGAATATACGCTTCACTGGTCGACTTGTTTTGTCTAGAATGTAAAGTCTGGGATGTTCTTCGCTCATCAGACTCGCCCGTTGGGTCAGACAAATGGCGATTAAAGGCGGTCCTGTATGCCTACGTCCTCTAAGCTAGGAGTATAGGAATGTTAATATCACTACAACATATGTAGAGAATGACACTTTTAGCTGGGTGCGATGTAGGTCCAAGAATCAACCAGTGGTTCTCATTTCAATATTTAACGACAACCTCGAGATGTCTATGGAACAACTTCAGTATCTTACTGGGGATGTAGACAAATCTCTGTACGATGAAAGACAAACTCAAAACCCTTCGCTATTGTACTTAGAGTCGAGTGAAGGCAAAGGGCAATGTCCACTCCACCTTCAAAGCTCTTAAAGTGCAGACCATTGCCGTAAATAAAGGCAATATCGACTGACAAAGTTAGCCGCAGGCGACTTATATTGAGCAACATCGGACTTACAAATTGATAGTGTCCGCAAATGCAGAGTACCCTTCTAAACAGCTCCGAAGCCGCTGTCCCTAAAATCATCGATGGCATTATTAACCGCACTAAGAAGATTAACGTCGATTCCTTCATCCTGCACGATCTCATCTTCGACTTTCGCTTTCACTGCGGGCAGGGCCTGAGGAGGGCTCTCGCCTTTAGAAGCCCCCACGCCAGTTGCTGGGATGGGGGGAGAGGTTACTTTTGCTCCCTTTCTGGTCCCTTTTCTGGGTGATAACTTTGCCTTAGTCTTAGGACCCTTGGCTGCTATGATAACCTCCGCCTCAGAGTCATCTGGGATAACGGCCTTTTCAGGTTCTTCGGCCTTGGCCATGCTCTTCTTTATTCCTGCACTGGAACCATTTCCCTTGCCTTGGCCAGGGGTGGTAGAGGGCACAGGACCGCTTAGGACGGTGCTCCCATTTGCCGGCTTAGCAGTAGCCTCGAGGTTTATAAAGCCGTACCGCTTGCGAATTGCCCGGAATCTATTACCAACAGATGCAGTGTTGGTGTATCCCAATACCGCTCCAACATTGGTCAAGTTGACCTAGACCGGTATCAATAAGAGCTCTACCAGTGTGGCATCTGAAGCAGGGTGCTCGCTTACAGTCCTGCTGTCATCAAGATTTTTAAGGCACTCGAAGATGAATTGACAATCTTGGGCATTGAATCCCCCAATATCGGGGGCAGTTCTTGGGCTCGATGCCATTTGTTCCAGATGACTTCTTGTAAACGATTGTTAGTATGAAGGAAACTTGGCCCAGGGACAAGTATACAATGGCCAGTTACCAGAACTACCAGCTAAGCTCAAATAGTGAGGTGGCGGTGTTAGGCGAAAGTGGGAACAAATGGATGTGAAATGTGGATGAGGGAACCACAAAGATAGATGAAACCATCAACGGTAGGCTTTCGCACTCAAGAAGAGGGGCAGCGAGAGAAAAGTATTTCAGATTTCCTCCAGTAATTCCCATGTTGCTTAAAGTGTCCTAGCCATATGTCACTGGTTAAGTGAATCAAGATGATAGTCGTCACGGCGATGGAATGTTGTTGTTAAAGAGTAAAGAAAACAGATACGGTAGCTCCAATAGCAACATTTAGTGTATAATCAGTTAGATGTCACTTATCTCCCGCTACCCGTCGAGAAATATGTCTACCATCCAATCTATAATTTTAAGCATGTGCAGTCCAGGTCCATTCTTAATGGCTTCTTACCAGTCTCCAAAATACGATTGTGGTGTCTAAGACAGATATACTCAAGGGAGAAATACAAAATATTATGACAGATACATCGGCAGGTGCACAATATACCACTTTAACCCTTAGGCTCCATGACGACCTTCAGCCCGCAGAATTCCACCTCACTACGGCTTGAGTCCACCTCCTGCTCTTGTTGTTCTTCCACCTTGACAATGTCGCTCAATCTGCCATCCTCCTCTGGCTCCATCTTTGTGGAAGGCCAGAGATAACCTGGGTTCGTTTGATGTTTGAATCCGATCGAAGGGTCCAAAAAGCTGGGTGTAGGGGTGTACATGGTCAGGTCTGACGGGGAGACGGCCATTTGGGAATACGGGGAAGTAAATGACTGATCTGGCGAGTCCGGCAGCATGTGGTAAGCTACGCCGGGGATATCGGCCAACGTATGGAACCTCTGAGCATGTGGGTCGGCCTTGATATAGGAAGCTATCTCGTCTAGAGACGCACGACGTTCTTGTTTCATGCCCGGCTGCGGGTCAGAAGGATCGGTTTCTTTGAACAGTTCTGCCTTGCAATGGCTTTTCTTGGACTTATTCGGGCTTTTCTTCGGACGAGATGATCGTGGTGTCGATGTGGTACCTTCCATCTGCTGCTTAAAGCGAGAGTATCGCATTCGAGCTGCATGACCGTTGGAGATTTCAAGTTGATTTGCAACGAGGCTCCAGTCAATCTACCGAAAGGCTTAGCTAATCCAAATATTACAGTTTTGAGGGAGTGAACTTACCGATTTCAGATCAAGTTGTTTGATGATGGTATATAGGAACTTGACTGTTGGGCCATCGGTCGGCATGGCTTTGCTGCGTCGGACAGTTGACATGACTGCAGATTGGGCAAAGTAGAGCCTTTGGGGAAAACAGGTAAACAATTTATGCTAGTTAAGAGCTCGTTTGGTGCTTGAAATAACCTAGGGAATAGAGAGAATTTAAGGCTGAGGGAAGAGCATGCACTCCGGTGCACGGAAGACTGATATATATAGGCCACTCCCTCTTATACAGTAGGGCCTCCTTCCATTAGTGCACGCCAAAAATGGCATTTCATAGACAAAGAGACCTAGACACACTGCTATTGGATCTATTTATAATGACCCGTACAGCGGGACTTCTTTTTTCATTGATAAAAGAGTACTCAGGTAGCTTTAAAGTTCTAGAGACAATGGCTGCATGCCTTATCTCCCTGTAGTGGTGTAACGAAGGGGTGACAAACTAGATCAGTCTACTGCATTATAGACAAAGCACAATAAATGCAGGAGCCCCTTTGTGACTTTGTGTTATACCTTTGTTCAAAGGCCTACTAATGCCGCGTGGGTCTGTTTGCCCTGGATAAATCCTAGCACAAGGTAAAGGATCCTTTAGAATTTAGGTACTGTTACTACGTACCAAAGTCATACTTCCTTATTTGACAATAAATTTACTGTGGAATTAGAAGCCAGTAAATATGGTTCACAGGACAGGGGAAATTAATAACTTGGGAAATGAAACAGTAGAACCTATCTAAATACTAAATATAACAGTTTTGCTGTTTTATTATTTGGTTAATCAGGAAGGTATCTTTTCTGCAATGATTTCTCACATGATACTTAAACAAAATCAAGAGAAGATATTTATTAGTATCATAAAACTATGAATGCCTAATTGAATGGCTTATTAGTCGCAAACCCCTCCAAACAGCACAGCTATACTTTCAAGGATATTGTTTGGTTTAACGAGCGGAGTAGAATGAGAATTCCCGGATCCATCCAGAGCATAATCAAGCTCATCATGCGCTGCTTTGATTGCTGCGTCCAGTTTCTGCCACTGCTCAGGATGTTCAATACTAACCTTCCAGAAACCTTCTGGTGTGTCAATACAAAGATAGTTACCCTGAACAGAACATAGAATGCACTCATTGAAACTCCTTTCCAAGAGGCATTTGAACAGGGCCACCCAAGTTTCCACGTCTGAACTGTAAAGTAGATCCCCAAGATCTGCGCACTTCCTCAGCACTCTTTCGGCGTTAATTCTTGTATTCCTCTTTCGAGAACGCAGGAGCGATGCCACTGACTGCAGGCTTTTTTGCGATAATATTTCCCGCTTACACAAAATTGAAACTGCCTGTTTTCCGGTAATATGAGTGTGCCCTGTGAGGAAAGGAATCACTTTTCTCAGGATCTCGGGAGGTAATGTAGACCGCGAACCCAAAGCCCTGAGAATAATCTCCTGCATGTACTGTCCCTCTTCTTGAAGCAGAGATGCTAAGGCCTTCACATATTCATGACTCAGGTTTGACTGGTGACCAAAAGCTATCACACTATAGCGTCGTACACTCTGGACTCGGTCCCTTAGATGTTGAGCCAACGTATCAAGAATTTTTACCGGCAAACACTGGCTTTCTGCTAGGGCTGAGGCAGCATATTCCTTTAGATCGGGTCCTTTAGTCCGTAATACTGAGACACAATGCTCGAGAATAACCTCTGGTGGATCTAATTTGAATCGAAAATGCCCTTTCGTTACAGCAATGGAGACAGCATCCTTGAACGTTGATGTGTTGTACAGCTCGATCCAGGCGTCTGGCGATGGTGCTGTCTCCTTCTGTAAGATTTCAAATGCTAGGTCCCGAACCCGATTGCACCCGCGCTCAATTTTGCGCCACATGCCTTCCACCACGTCCATGGGCCAGGTATCTTGTTCTTGCAGTATTTTGTTTGAGATAAACATACTATCAAGGTATTTAGTCTCGTTCATATTCGCAACGGCCGCTTCGAGAATCAGCTTGGGTGGAGGAAGTTGTTCTTTGAATGCGGAGAAAATAATCCTCCTCACTTTCTCATCGGGGTCACAAAGAAGCGTAGCCACATCCTCCAACATGCTCTTCTCCAGCAGCGAGTGCGCTACTAAGACCACAACTGCTCTCGCTTTGGCGAGGGGATTTCCATTCTGTAGGACGTGGGCCAAGCGTTGAACAATGCTTTCAGCGAGAGACAATTGATTTTTCATGACAATTAGTTCGGTGTCGGCCTCTCTGTTACTTAATCGGGTTATAATCATTTGAATCATATCCTCGGGCAACTTTGGGTGTCTGCATAGGCCAATCAATAATTCGCGGGGAACCCTCCAGCCCGAATTGTCTTCTATCAACTTTTTGGTGGTCTCAATTGAGAACTCTGGGTTATTGCCTATAACTCTAGCGGCTGTTTTCCTCATCCCAACAGTATGGCTAGGCTCTAGGAAGGTGATCACTCGGCCTAGGACTCTCGGAGACACTTGGGGACGCTTGGTGAGTGCCTCCAAGACTATCTGTTGATGTGTAATGCATCCTTTGTCCAGGATATCTTCCAAAATCTGCTCTGGAAACTCCATTTCAGTACCCAGCAATGCCGTACTATACAGGCTACCCCAAGGAGGATCAAGCGTTAATCCAGATAGTCTTCGGCCCATCTTACCTTCGAACAGCAGGAGCCGTGGCAGCTGCCTCTTCATCGTTGCGTGCACATGTTGTATTGTGGAATTGTTGTCCAACAGAGTCAATTCGCTGAAGCAACGCATAAGCAGCCGGGAATGGACAGGTCCAAGTAAATCGCGTGGTTCGCTTTCAACACGTTCTATAAATCTAACGAGATGTTCCTCTCCTTCAGTTTCAAGAAGTCCCGATACAAATCGCCACATAATGTCATAGCGCCCGTTGTATTTCTCTTGATCTATGAGCTTTTCTGGCTGGAGGACTGCGCTTCCGCCATGCTTAAGTTGAAGACATTGTAAAGGCAGGCCCAATTTCCAACGTTTAACAAAATACTGCGCAGCAAAATACTCTTGGAAAGTTAAGTGAATGAAGTAGTAATTTCGGTCTGCAGAGCTGAGAGAGGAGTCAGAGCTGCGAAGGAAAGAAATTCTATCCAGACAATCATCTGTTGCTCCCTCGACTTGGTCGTAGACTTTGCTTCGAATGCCCCATTTGAATTCCGTGATATTGTGGTATATACCCAAAAATGCCATCAATTCTAGCAGTTCCATCTCGCTGGATAATATACATTTAATTTGCCGGCGGGTTTTATATTTTTGAGCGGTATGTCCTGTCAGTAGTCGGCCCGAAGCATTCTTCTCTAAGCTAACCATGTCCTTGTGCCATAGCTTTTTCTCAATAGCGCCATAGAGGTCAGTCATCGTGCTGAGGGTTTTCTCGGAAGACAGTTCCTCATCCCAGGTAAAGCAAAGAGCATCCAGTTGAATAGGGATTCGAATCAATCCCTGGATGAGCCAATGTTGTGCGATAAATTGCCTGATCTGGCTTATCTTAAGATGGTCCTTAACCACTTGGTTCAGATAGGATTCGATTTGATGGTCTCTGAACCCGGTTGTCTCAACTTCAAGATCATATCTCTTAAGCTGTGAGGGATATACAGCGTAAGGCCTAGAGGTGATGACGACATTGTTTCGGTTTAGGACTCGTTCAAATGACTCAATGAGACTGCCCTCAGGTCTCTGATATCCAATAATCTCATCAAGGCCATCTAGAATGAAGAGGGTTCGGTTCCGGTTTTCGTCGCATACAGTGTCCCACAGCGTTGGGAAAAGGGCAGTTTTTTCTAATGTGTTTTCGAAATAATTCTCTTTAAGGAATCGCTCCAAGGAGTCTTGATCTTTCAGTTTTCGTAATGGTATCCAGAATACTCGGTCAAAATAGGTTTTCCAGAGCCGGTGGTAGAGAAAGTCATGGATAATCTTTTTGCACAGCGTTGTCTTTCCAACCCCTGCACGCCCGCGAATTAAGATACGGCTTGGTCTTCTCGTAGTGCCATCACCTAGTTTTCTTGGCTTGAATAGATCCGCCAACGGCACGTCCGTTTCTACCTTATTTTCAATTTTTAATCGTTCAAAGAGAGAGAACTCGGAGACCTCGCTGCTCCTTTTCTCCTCCACTGTATTTTCAATCAGAGCAAGGTTAATGTAACATGTATCGATGGGCGCCCTTTCCCCGGAGAGCCGCTCAATGTCGAGACGACCCTCCCTGGTGTAATGCTGAGAAAGTGTGGCATCTGCATAGAATAGCTGGGCTTCCTTACAGCCCCTCATTGCTACTTGTAGAAGAGGAAAGTATTGATCATAATGGGGCTGTCGATATTGAAAACAACTCTTCAGAGTAGGTACCTGTTCCTTGTCTGGTAAGAGACGGAAGGGAAGCTTGCGCTTTGGCTTGGACAGCTGCTTTCCCCAACTGGGCTGATGAAAGGTATAGGCAAGGAACCGGATCCAGTCTTGTACAGACCGATGTTTCGAAGAAAGTTTCATAAGGGATGGCTGGCCGAAAGTCCACTCAATGAAGTCTACCGCACCATGCTTGGAGGGTTTATCATCTACCCAGCATTGCTCAAGCTGGGCGTACAAACCACACCAGAACAATTTTTCCTGCAGGCATGGCAATCCCGGTATTAATCTCTTGAGAATATCATATGCCCCTGACTCAATGAGGACATCAGTCTGTCGAAGCGCATCGTACCACCCATGTTGTGCTGCTGCGTCCTGCATCCCCGTTATAAGGCTTCGGATGTCATCACTCGCGCTCAAGGCGTCCCTGCTCATCTCTACAACTTTCTTAAAGAACCTGCATAGCTCGATTATGTCAGGAGCTGCGTCTACGAACTTCTTTGGGTCCATAGTTGCGACACCACTTGAGATCTTCGTAATGGCATTGATAGCCGTCCCGCTGGTGCGAAAAAATGCCTGCCATGGCCCTTCATTATCCGGTATGCGGCTCAGAGCTTGAAATGCATATCTAGCGGCTTGAGCCATGCGTGGCTCAGAGTCATTGCTCAAGTCACGGAGCTTTTCAGTGAGGGGGGTATAGAGCGTCTCCCGATCAATGCCGGAAAAATTGATGTCAACCATAGCATCCAAAACAACATTGATTGTGCATAGAAGGAAGTACTGTGTTTCCAAGTCAGCAAAGTTCTGTGCATTGCTCATATGTTTGCTAAGGCCTCCGAGCACGGCACCAAGTCGAGTAGCCGTTTCCCGAGGAATCCGGTCTTTGCTTTGACGGAGGGAACAGGCGAAGAATTTCAGCAAATCCAGGTCGACGGGACTCCCATCCGCCGTACCCGCGGTAATTGCTCGGGAGAAAGCAAAGATCAGAGTTTGATACTCATTCCCGCTGGCAACCTTTGCGAGCATTGCCGCCTCTCCGAAATACGACGGTCGCTGTTCATCTCTGAAGAGCTCGACCATTCTCTTCACCAAAGCTCTCAATGCTTCTGTCTCTTTATCCGCCTTCCCAGCATTATTTAGGCGTTCAACTACTTGTTTGGTTTCAGTTGGTGGCGACCGGAAGAATGTTCCATTCAGCATGTTGAGGACTTGGGATGTTTCTAACACAGTTAATTTACCAGATGGAATCGCAACATCACAAAAATGAAAAATAAAAAGCCCAACTCTGGGAGAAGGAGGACGAGGCAAAACTGGATCAGGCTGGGCTGTTAGACCCCGCCCACTTATGCGTACCCTGGTCGTACATGAGTCCATTAAGATCACCTAACAGCCTCGGGCGCTTATTCCTGGAGATCCCATCAGGTCAACCAATAAGTGGCTACTAGGAATGCAACCTATTTATATCAAACGCATTATTTGGCCAGTGATGTAGTATCGGGATTGCCTTTATTTAATGCACAACTTGATATGTGGCTATAGACATACATGTGTCGCTCGAGTTGAATTGGCTGGGTGTGCAGCGTGCTCAAGCCTTCTGCGCATGAGTTTTCGTGAGACTTTCTCGGGATACCAGCATGACTCAACGATATGCTCTAGTTTATGAGTAACTTCTTTCTAGAATAGAATCGATGGCCTAATCGCGCAATGTGGTAGCATAACCGGCCGAAAGATAGGGTTTGATATGATCATGTAGTTGGTGGGTCATGACTAATCCTATCAACTACTTGCCCCTCCACTTCACGTACTAACTTCCACGATACATATCCAACAGTTACTGCTGGTGTTCTGTAAGAGAATTGGCAATTTTCTGTCAGAATGTCCTTAGTCGCTGTGGGTGCATGTTACGTTGATACTATTCTCACGTTGGTTGGCACTACCTACAGTGAGCGCTTGAATCCACGTTAGCTCACTATCTATATCCAGAACCCCTCACTACCCTGGCGAAGATGAGAAGCTCCGCGCTTCGAATATTTCACGGCGACGTGGGGGCAATTGTCCCAACTCTCTTGAAGTCCTCCAGCAATTGACGGGGTATGATGCTTGCGCAACGGGAGTATCTCTGAACCTTGTTGCTGTTCTGCCAGCGAAATCTTCGACTGCTTCTCAACAGATCCGGTCTGTCTTTGAGCCCCGCGTCCAGCTCAGTCACTGTATCTATCGAGAGCAATATGCGGAGCCCGCTTCAAGTTATATTATCAAAAGTCAATCCACTGGGAGCAGGACTATTGTCAACTATAATGAACTACCTGAGATGACGGCGGAGGAATTCAAACGAATTGCAGATGACCTAGGCTCAAAGGCTACTTGGTTTCATTTTGAGGTTAGACTAACTCTGTTGAGACTTCTCGTGTCGTTTCCATACTTATAAATGTTGAATCCAGGGTCGGATACCTGATGTAACGCTAGCATGTATACGATATCTCCGGCAACAATTTCCATCCGTGCGGATTAGTGTCGAGGCAGAAAAGCCTGGACGACAAGGCTTACAAGAACTCGCTATGGAAGCTGATGTTGTCTTCTATTCAAAGAGCTGGGCTCAGGTATTATCTTGGTATCATAGTGTTGAATCTTCTCTCTAATGAATAAACAGGGAAACGGGTACACATCGGCAAAAGAGTGCCTCCAAAAGCAATCGTCACTTACACGTAAAGCGTAAGTACTAAAGGTCTTTCTGCACTGTCACGGAAAGCTGACTCGCAGTATCAGGCAATTCCTTTTTTGCACATGGGGTCAGGACGGGGCAGTGGCTCTAGAGACAAGAAGCGGCGACTTGATTCATAGGCCAGCATATACAACAACGGGCTTCAAAGTCGTCGAGTAAGTCACCAATATAAATTGATTCTAGATCAATCTCACTAACACCTTCCAAGTACCATAGGCGCGGGGGATACATTTATAGCCGGTATGCTTCACGCATTAACATCCCGAAGTGATACTTGGGATCTTTCGCAAAAGCTCGGTTTTGCAAATCGAGTGGCAGGAATGAAAGTAACCCAAGAGGGCTTCTCCGGCCTGGAAAGGGCATTAGAGTCTTATCCTTAAATTTATAGTACTCGATGAGCACGTAGAGCTTCTACAAAAAAAAAATAAATAAAATAAAAATAAAATAAAAAGAGGTATTCTTGATAAAGTGCGTCTGATATATATTCCTACAATCTGTGATACTTCAACCTAGTAATGCCTTGTCTTTGCGGTATCTTGTACGGAATTATCAGCCTTGAAATAACCAACACACAATAAATATACTAACCATAAGTACACGACTTGCTGTTTAAAAAATGGTGAATGTACTTTCCATGAGAATTGCATATTTCCGGAGCATCACGTGGGCGATAGCGGCAGAGGTTTCTGGAAGGCGGTGAGCCATAGAAAAATATTCTGCCCGCAACTTTTTTGGAAGCTTTTCGCTGCGGCGATGAACAACCTTGAAATTTTCTTTTAAGTCAGTTTATCTCCAAGTTCACAATGGCAGCGGTATACAAGTCGGTGTCTAAGAAGCAAGCGAAGCAGCTTGCTAGACAGCAAGAACAAGATGACTCAGATGCAGAGATGGCCGACATGGCTGACCTTCTCGCCGATGCCGATGACACGAGCGACAGCGATGAGGAGGAAGATGTGGAATCCTCCAAGAAGCAGCTTGCTGCTGGATTTATGCCCAAGACCCGTGTTCTTATGTTGACTTCTAGAGGTGTCACACACCGGTACGCCTAGACTTCCCTGCAGCGAACCGAAGGAGTGGATTACTGATCGTTATTGCTTTTAGCCATCGGCACTTGTTGGCAGACCTTGCTGGTTTGCTCCCTCATACCCATAAAGAAAGCAAACTTGATACGAAAAAGAAGACCGCCGGATATAACCTCCTTCTGAACTCTCTCGCCGACCTTCATTCATGCAATGTCATTTTCTTCCTCGAGGCTCGCAAGCGTGGCCAAGATTTGTACCTCTGGCTTGCTCGTCCCCCGAACGGGCCAACGCTCAAATTCCATGTTAACAACTTACATACCATGAGCGAACTGAATGCTGGGTTTAGCGGCAACTGCCTGAAGGGTGGTCGTGGTATTGTGGTTTTCGATCGTTCATTTGACGAACAAGGTCCGGTTATGAGCCAGCCAGGCAACGAGTACCGAGGATTGGTCCGGGAGATGCTGCGTGGTGTATTCTCCGTTCCCAAGCGTGGAGTTAAGGGAATGAAGCCTTTCGTCGACCGCATCATTGGTGTGTTCGGCGTGGACGGCAAGATCTGGATTCGAGTGTATGAGATCAGAGAATCAGAGGCCGGAGGCAAGAAGAAGGAGGATGGAGAGGAAGCTGTGAAGCCTACACCCAAGGGCAAGGATGGTCTACCGGAGGTTTCTCTTGTCGAGATTGGACCTCGCTTCGTTTTGACGCCAATCGTCATTCTGGAAGGCAGCTTTGGCGGTCCTGTCATCTACGAGAATAAGGAGTACGTGAGCCCCAACCAGGTCCGTCACGATATCCGGATTAGCAAGGCCGCCCGCCACGCGAAGCGCAGGGACCACGAGACCGATCGTTTCGCCAAGCGGACAAACTTGGGATTGGGAGAAGGCCAGCGCAAACCAGGCCCATTGGACAACAGGCAGCTGTTCGCATAAGTGTTGCTTTTCTGTTTTCTTTTCATTCATTTTGTCTCTTCTTTCTAGTGCTATTAGACTCGATATCCTAAGGGGATGTACATGTGTTTGAGATGCAAGGGGCACCTTATCATGGTCTAAAAGGCGTCTGGTGTGAACAACTAATAAAAGTTCGAATGTTACGATGAATGCCGACACATTTTCCGGCACTAGCTGATTGGAGTTGCTCACTTGTCCAACTTGAATAATCGCGTTCGGGTGTCATTCTCTAGAATCAGTGCGCGCGCACATTATTCGCGGACTGACAGAATATGCTACCGTAGCAACCCAGCATTGTGCTTTGTTTATTCACAGGGCTTAAATATGTATACTCTAGACCTATGAAGATGATAAATTAAGGGCGGAGATTAGATAAGCGCTGATATATAAGAGTCATAACATCCGCTTGCGACTCAACTCCAACCCTCCCCCAACCACCATGGCACCATCCTCGCCGTTCAGCCTATTGCGGCTGCCTGAGCTTGCCTATCATATCACAATGTATTCATACTTTCCTAGAGATCAATCTTGCTTCGTTATGGGCGGCCCCAAGGGTGGGGTCTCGATTTAGTCCAACTCACGATCGCGACGTCAGCGCTGACTTGGATAGCGACTGTCCTTCGTACACACAATTGACTATCCAAAGCAGTATTACTCAGAATATCTACAATTTTGCACCACTAGCATAGGTGAATAAGGTATGCAACCGAAATCAGAAAAAGTGTTGAACGCAGCTAACGATTATAACCCATATCTAGCCACCATGTCATTGACTCTTCTAGCCACGGAGCTATTGCTCCATGTATTTCGTTCATGTGAAACCATATCAGATATATTAAACCTCGCATCAACCTGCCGACGACTTCGTATTGTCTTTACTCAATCCAATAAGCTACAGATCTTCGCCGACATCGCTGAGCGCGAGTTCGGTCCGCTGGACGAGATCATTCAACTCGTAACGCAAAACGCAAGTCAACCAGCTCACTTGAAGCGCACGGCTCCCCTGACCGATTCCCTCCTCAAGCAAATTGTCCAAGCCGGACGTGTCGCCCAGAAATGGGAGACGATCTACCCCGTCAAGAAATGGAAGGCGGACTATGAGAACCGGCGATCATTGACGGATGACGAGCGATTTCGCCTCCGTCGCGCCATCTACCGACTGTGGCTCTACCATCGCGCGTTCCACAATCGTACCCATGATAGATTCGGCCGTCACCTCCCACACGTGGTTACCGAGCGCGCACAACTCCTGCATAACTGGTCTACGCAGGAATTGGCCGATATCGAGGATGTGCGCCTCATTATCACCGATATTGTCCAGAACCATATCTGTCCTAGTAACGGGACAATTCAGCGAAAGTTTCGCAAACGCTACCCGGAAAGTCACCATCAGTTAGCATTTAACATCCATCTGAATTATCCAGCACCCAACAACCCCCTTGGATCTTCTGGACTCTTTGATAAAAGCCCCGATTCCGTCAGCCAGTACTATCATACCGCCCACCCTGGGCGTTCCGCAGAGTCTCCAGCCAAATACAGATCTAGGTTCCGCAATGATTTCTTCCATGACCCCGGCTCGGAAGGCTGGGGCGACGAAATTCCACACTACTACGTGGTGCAGGATATGATGAAGCTCGACCCGGGCCAGGTTCTCTGGCTGCGCGAACATGCGCCGTTAAAAGAGCAAGTTGAGAGCTATGTCCAGTCCCTAGGAGAATGGTTCCGCGATAACGGAGAGACATTCGGCGATACATTTGAATGGGTAATGAACGAGAGAGGCGACGACATCGAAGAATTCAGGGCCGCTATTTCAGACCGGGAAGTCGGAATCGTGTGGGATTAGTACTTGGCATAGAATACGCATAGGCGCTATGGTGTAGTACCATAATAATGCATTACCAAGAAGCTAATGCAATAGCAATCATCGAACCCCCCAAATCCTTCACAAACACACAGATCCCATCAGCAAGCAAGGATAACAAACACACCGAGGGATTACCGGCCACCCACTCACCACATCATAAAATCCCTCATAATAAGCTACCGCCTCACCTCCCTACAGTAATTTCCAGTCTTGTTCCCCAAAATAGAAAACCCCGACTGCAATCTAACCATCCCATCCAGTTCGGTCGTGGATGCAAAGACGTTCTGGAATCCAATCAACTTAATTATACCCTCTCCTTCCTAGTACTCCCTGATCGGCCCACCCTAAACCACACTCAGGGTCAAGAATGTCGACTGGGGCTCTGGGGATGGAATGGAGAGAGCTAAAGAACACAGCACCAATGGGCGACTTCGCAGTGGGTTTTAGAGGGAGTAGGGGAGGCTCCGGCGTGGAATTTAGGTACTAGGGTTAGGGTGGTTAGTTCCAGTGGGGACCTTTGAGCGGGAGGAATAATAATTAATTTAATTTTAATATATTATTTGATTATTTTCCCTCTAGAGATTTTCCATATGTATACAGAGTTATAGTCATGATTATTGCATCTCATGTAAGGATAGGCAGCAGTGAGGCAATGGTGTTGACTGTGACCATGGATTGTTGCCTGATTTATTTGGCTTGCTCATGGTCAATCAACCAGCATTTTTTCTTTTTTTTTTTTTGTTTTGGACGTGGGGCTCTCGCTGGCAGGCTGGTGGGCCGTACGAGACCGCTTTTTTTAGGTGTTGATTGATGCTCCTACTATTCCGCTTGTGATGACGCTTTAGGGGGTTAGTTGATATTAGTTCCGGTGTGATTTGCGCACGCTGGGTTCATAATGAATAGATCGCCAGTTTGGGAAATTGCAGTTTAGTGGTGTTTTTGGATGTTTTATTTCAAGATCGCCAACCATGATATCCTCATGGCGCCTTGGCATTGGACTCTACGTAGACGCCGACAAGAACAAACCCAAACTTCGTTTCAATAACTGGCCACAGGGAGCAAAAGGATACATAGGATGAGGCAGAGCGAAAAAAAAAAAAAATAGAGGCCAAAGAAGCGTGCCAAAGTGAAGACATGCCGGTAAAGAAGAAAATGTCAATTCCATAAGGGGTGAGAACGAATCAAATATAGGAAAGGGAAAGGAAAATCAACAGAATGACGTCTAGGATGAGATGGATGTCCCACAAGCATCGCCATACAATGACCGTATCCCTGGATGCCGTTCCCAACAACGTTCCTCTTGTGTATCATCTCCGCGGAGGCTAAGTAACAGACAAAAAGAAAGATCAAGACCATTCAATTATCACATCACAGAAAAAATAAAAATCGTTGCGGTTGGCGTATCATCCCCTAACAGTAGTAAATCATCTAACAGCAACCCTGCTTCGTCTCAGGGTCCTGCGAAGTGCTGATATCCACCACCGGGCGACGGTCACCAAGACCGGCCTGGCCCGAGTCACCACTGTCAAGAGCCTTGCTGGAGACAATGCGGTAGATTTCTATGAACGCGTGAGCATGGACGAAAATGAGATTTGGTCAAAGGGTACATTGCGAACCTGTAAGGATGTTCTGGAAAGCAAGCTCGACGTTACTCGCATCGAGGGCGGATGTCTCAATGAAGGAGAGGTTGTTCTCGCCTGGCAGCTGGTTAGCAAGAAAGTAGTCGACCGCCGACGTGCGAAACTTACTTGCAAATTGCTTAGCCTCTTCTGTTGGCACAGCCCGCAGATGTCTCAAATCACTCTTATTGCCCACAAGCATGATAACAATGTTGGAGTCTGCGTGATCCCGGAGCTCTTTCAACCACCGGTTAACATTATCGTAGGTCTGGTGCTTGCTGATGTCGTATACAAGAAGGGCACCGACGGCACCACGGTAGTAGGCGGACGTGATGGCGCGGTAACGCTCCTGACCAGCAGTATCCCAAATCTGCGCCTTGATCGTCTTGGAATCCACCTGGATAGAGCGGGTTGCAAACTCCACACCAATGGTTGACTTGGAGTCCAGGTTGAATTCATTGCGGGTGAACCGACTCAAAAGGTTGGACTTTCCAACACCGGAGTCTCCGATAAGCACCACTGTTCAAAAAAAAAAATATCGCATGTTAGTTATATCATTCGGCGAACATAGTCGTTAGAAGTATGAACCGTTGGGTATGTTTGCGGGAGGAAGTGGCAACTTTACCCTTGAAGAGAAACTACCGAATTGCTCAATTAGTTATACAAAACAGCCACGCAACAGCAAGATCAGTGGAGGAATAACTCACATCGTACTCATCGTTAGCCATATTGAATTGTTGTGAGAGCTTGCGAAGCCCTGAAAGAGTAGAGGTTTAAGATTTGGTGGAATTTGACGTGGACGAGTTGAATAGCGATTAAAGCAAAACCGACAACAGTGTGAACGTTGATCCTGGGGAGGGGTGGCGTCTCGTCAGTTGACTATTGAATAAATGCGGGGCGAGAGTAGAGAAAAGCGAGAAAAGCCAGGGGAGAAAGGGTAGCAAAATGAGAACTCACGACGGTGTTATATAATTTTTTTTGGTTAAGGGACAGCGAGGCAGAAAGATAGGAGGTTATCCTGATGTCTTTGGCTTTCCCCTGCCATTCCCGTGCTTCGTTCGCGCTGCCGAGAGGACGCCCCCCCCGGTTTGGGGATAGTGGCTGAATCACGTGATGTTATCGTTTGCCAGTCGTCCCTGATTTCAAAACTACAAAATTCAAAGGGCAGTGTGCGACGGAGAAAATGAGCTAGAGTAGCTGTCTACTAAGTGATGAGATGGCATAATTCTGACGTGAATTATATCTGTGCCTCATAATACGTGTTTACTCTCGGTCATCCGTCGAGACCGAGATTCATAAACACATGACCGGCAGACACTTTTACAAATAGAAAAAGAAAAATAGATGAACTACTTATGGTGGAAGCGACCACCACAATTTGACTCGCTTCTTTGTTATTTTTCCTTCGCAGAAAGAACCATTCCTTTGTTCTCCGAATCGGGCATATTTTTGTAGCCCTTCTGCCGACGACGCCACATCAGCACTGCTGCTCTGGCAGCGGTGCTCTATGGTAATGGCTGATGCCAGTGATGATGATGTCTCGCTTACATCGACTGTTCCTAGCCCACCAAAGGAGAATTACTTTGTTGATACCATTCATGCGGAACGTGAGACTTCCCGAGGGGTTGAATACCTCGTAGGATGGGAAGACTATCCTATCGAAAGGTGTACTTGGGAGACTGCCGCCCAGTTCGATAATGAGCAGACTATCCTTGACTGGAAGGCAAAGAAGCGAGAAATTGAGGCAGGGAGACTGCCGGCCTTCGATCTTGCCGTTTTCGATAGACGCCTTCACCAAGTTGAGGAAGCTTATCAGAAAAGGAAAAAGAAGCGACAAGAGAAGAGAAATAAGCTTACAGAAAAGAAGCTGGAGGAATCAGACACTGATTTCAGCATCGGACCAAAAGGCTTTGGCGACGCAGAAGTTGAGCCAATGACAAGCTGTCGCGCTCGAGTCTCAGACGTATACCCAAACAGTGCGACGGACAGCTCCCAAGCTGCGCCTCCTCCTCCCCGGCTAAGTCGCTGGGGGCCTGCAAGACCACCTTTAGTTGGATTTGGAACTGGGCCGGGTGGCCTAATTCGCTCTCGCCCTCGGAAATCATTCCTTGCTGATTCTTCTGCTCCTCCGAAGATGTTCAAGAATCTCTCAATAAAGAATAGATGTGAGAAGGCCAGGGCTTATGAGCCTGCACCAGACATCAGCCAACTCGAACTCATTCGGCCCTCAGAGTGGCCCTCCACTTCAGCTGCCCATTCAGCCAAGCCGGCATCCCAGAACCTCACTTCCCTCAATGCGCAGAAGACAGGTGGGAGCCCAAAAAGGAGAAGTGGTGATGCTTCTGCTATAGACACGTTTAGCTCTCAGCCTCAGAACTCTTTCGTTGATGATTCGCACTCACCAAAACGTACTCCATCAGACACCAACAGGTCACATCGTGTACCTGACTTTCCAGAGGGTTCCGTTCTTCCACGACGAGAGCCCGGTTCCAGGGCTATTTTTATCAAGGGGCCATATTTTGTCAACCCTGGAGAATTGTTAATTACCATGTATTATGGGCCTGATAGAAAAGAAATTGGTGAAGCTAGGCTGTGCGGTCTGGATAATATCAGAAGAAACAGATTCATGAGGACTAAAAAGGGTAACCGGCTCGAAATTTGGTTTCAACATCTTTGTAACCTCGCAGACTACAATACCCTCTGTAAACAGGTGAGTGAGGTATCCAAAAGCTGGTTTTGCTCCTTTATACCAGTAAGATAGGTTACTAATGGCCATTGTTTACCAGACATACAATGAAAAATATTTGAACAGCTGGATTGAAGGGTTCGACGATTCTGAGCCCAATATTTATAAATTCGGAGAGGAGCTCCGACGAAGAAACCTTGTGGCTATACATACCCCTGCTGTTAAGTCTCACGATGTATTACTTGTTTACCCCCCCAATTCGGAGGACTTTTGGTTCCTAAGTGGATGCTTCAAAGGCCCTCCTAGGGTATTTCTTCACACTGCGGTGAGAAGTCCTTTTGGGCCCCTGCAGCAATCCGTGCTTGGTAATAGCAAGGGACAGCATGGTCACCTGACAGGAGCAAATACCGTGACATATCATCCTTCACCGAGTAACACTGTTCTTGCGAACAAACAAGCTTCTGAAACGTTGTGTGAGCGAATCTACCAAAACCAAGACAACAGGTTCCCAGTTGTTGAATCCCCGAAAACATTCACAGCTCCGGAATTGGATTCAGAAATGAACACTGCTCCGCCACAAACAAATGTTTCAAATTTGAGGGATTCAATATCGACTGCGCAGAGGATTTTGCCTGGCATTGATTCCATGGATATTGACCAGCCTCCCATGACCGCTGCTAGTAGCAACAATATGCAGCCACCACCAACTATGCAAGCTTTCAATCTAGACTCCTATTTTGAGGAGAAATTTGGGATGACGTTCCACACCCTGGTATCAGCGCCAAAGCAAGGGGGCTTATCAGGGTCAGGATCCTTCTGCGTATTGTTCCCACAGGAGCCAGGGGCCAGCGAAGAAGAATGCCAGCTCGTTGTTGAATTTCTCAAAGCACAGAGTAGCGACAGGTACAGGGCCATCATCTATTCTAATCGCACCCCTGAAGACTGGGAAAAGTTCACTCAAGCCAAGACTGGAGTCATTTTGGTATGTAACATCGCAGACATCATTATCAATATATGGACGCGCTGACGGTGAGCAGATTCATGAGAACTTCCTGGACTATTACAAATTACGGAGCCTAAACAAGTTATATATGCAGCCAGCATTCAGCTTCTGGAGCTTCTCTTTAAGCAGAGAATCTGGCGACAACCAACCGCATTTCCGGCGCATGTTTCCAATCGGTGGGGTTGCTCTGATTACTGAAGAGTACATGTCGCATGATCCGCGAGGTACTGTTCTTATACTATCTTGGTTCCTGGACTTCGCGAAAAGCAAGAGACCAGGGACCTGGAAACTGATGTTTCGCCCGGATATTTTAAATTGGCTACAGAAGCAAATTGATACCGCAGAGAATTCGAGATATCTGTAAGTCGCTATGCATGGCGATTTGTTGATGATTTCAGACTAATAAGAAAACTAGGTGGCTCGCGATGTACCAATTTATGATGCAAATAATCGCCCTTGCAGGTGCGAAATCCAGGGAGATCCTCACTGGCGCTGAATCCGGCTATACACAAAACCCTGTCATCTCACCCTCGAAACTTCCATTGTACGGATCTCGTACAGAGCAAGATAACCCAGAGGTTCCCAGGGGTCTGACACAAGTACAGCGAAATGCTGACCATCTTATTGAATTTTTCGCTGGCTGGGCCCTGGTCAACTGCCACCAGTACCGAAAGTTCTACGTTTTCACATCCGTTGGTCCATATCAGCGGTGGGATGAGTGGCAGCATCTAGACATCCGAGTGGACACCACAGCAATCATGAAATGCCTGTCGATCGATCCTAAGTCTTCCTGGGGAAAATTGAAGGAATCCCTGTCGGAGACGAGATCTCAAACCCCCTTCACACCCCAAACTCCTAAGGCTAGCTCTTCTAGCGAGTCAGCTGCTTCGTGGGTTACGCATTCTTGTAGCCCTCCACCCAAACACCGTTATCCACAGCCATATCAGTGATTGACGATTCGTCGGCTATTTGAGAGAGTGTATGCTCGATACTGAGCTTTGATAGCGTTCGTTCTGTACATTTGCGATATTTACATGCCCTATGATACCATTGTAATATACCAAACAATTTCACGCTTCATGACTATAATGTACTGGGGATGGAGAAAACAACGCAATGACTGATGAATAATGCGACACCAAAGGCAGAGTGAAAATCACCATGAGGAAGCAGGCTGAACCCGACATCGCAAAACGCCTCACATCACATAAAATATTTACAGAGCATGGTATACTAGAAAAATCATCGTTGACTGCCTACCAACGCACGTCATATACTTGATGCGCAGTGTCCAACTAAATTAGCAATTGGTGCCAATTAAAGGCCTGCTGCGCGAGTCCTGTAATCGCGGAAGTTGGAGATCGTAGAATTCTCCTGTACTTTAGCTTTTTGACCTCTCATTTTCTTCTCACGCCGCTGCTTTTCTTCCCACTGGCTCTCTTCCGTCGCGATCATAGCGTGAAATCGCCCACCTTGGCCACGAGACAGGTAAATGGGTTTCTCTTGACGACTTGCTACCGGTTCGGTTATGAGGACGAATTTCACGCTTGAACCTGGTGTTTCAAACATGGCGTCACTAAGGATGGTTTCTAATTCGGTTCTAAGGGCGCGCGCACCGGTACCCATTGTAAAGGCATTGGTGGCAATTTTATGCAGAGCGGGAGTTGTAAAGCGGAGCTCGATACCTGATAGAGAGAACAAGGTTGTGTACTGCGCTAGGAGGGAGTTGCGGGGTTCGGTGAGGATCCGAACAAGTAAGGGCTGCGACAATGCGGAGAGGGCAGCGGTGACTGGAACGCGGCCAACTAATTCGGGAATAAACCCATAATTTTGTAAATCGGTCGGATTAATTAGGTCGAGTGCGTTGAAGTAAGTTGGCTCGCCATCGGCAGAATAAGGACTCGCAGAAGTGAAGAAGGGCAGATATTTCTTGTATAAAGCCTCTTCCTCTGACCCTGGCAATATAGGAATAGGCTGGTTGTTTGCGGCCGCGGACTGTCCTGACCGCTCATCTGAGCTTGAAGGCGTCCGAACAGGCTGGCCAAAGCCGATGGAGCCGCGCGATATCCGATCCATGACTACCTTGTGTAACCCGACAAAAGCACCGGAGAAAATAAACAGAATGTTATCCGTACGTACGTTATAGACCTCCCCTTTCTGCGGCATGACCCCGCCATTGGAGGGCGCATACGCCGAGTTTCCTAGTGGGCTGTTTGATGGATATGTATTGGGGGTTCCACCAGCACGAGGAGCGTTCTTCTCCTGTTTTGCTTGCACTTGCACTGTTGTACCTTCGATGATCTTTAGAAGAGCCTGCTGAACTCCTTCGCCGCCGACATCTTTGCCATGACTAACTTTGGCGGCTGCGATTTTATCAACCTCATCTAAAACAATTATGCCACGCTCCGCCTGTTCGACATCGTAGTTGGCTGCAGCTAGGAGCCTGTGGACACACACCTCAGCATCTTCTCCGATGTACCCAGCTTGCGTGAATGGCGTGCAATCTGAAATGCTAAACGGCACTGACAGTACCCTGGCTAATGTTTTGGCCATGAGAGTCTTTCCAACGCCGGACGGCCCTAGTAAAAGGATGTTTGACTTCTCTAATTGGGTCGGTGACGAGTCTGTGAGCTCAGTTTGGTTTAAGGCGGATGATGATAAGCTCGCGTCAAATGGTGCGCGGGCAGTACGTTGTTGCCCTGGAAATTCGTCTGCTGCATATGTTAGTTCAACTCCATGATACATACGTAGTATCCGGTTGTATTCTGGTCTGAGTAAGACCTACCTTCTACAGGGTGAGACTGACGCCGCGCACGCTTCGCTAATAGTTCGACTGCTTCCTCATCACGTCGTTGCAATTCTTGCACGCGTTGATAATGGTTATATACAGCAACACTGAGTATTTTCTTCGCGCGGTCCTGTCCAACCACAAACTGATCTAGGTACTGCTTCAATGTTTTCGGTGTCACTCGGGGAGCTCCGAAGGCCGGCGTAGATCCCAAGGGCCCAGGAGTCGGCAATCCGGGTTCATAGCTACCGCTCCAGGGTTGGTTTGTAAAATCCGAGCGGTTGAATTGGGACAGCGTCGGAAAAGACGCAGAACAGCTGGTGAAGCCAAGTCGAGGGAAATGAACAGGTGAGCTCGGTGCGCGCCGATAGCGGAGAACTGAACGGCCGTGCGCCCTGAGAGGTACACCAGGCCGTATGGGCAGCCACAGCATGACCGGGAGGTAAGTGTTTTATGAAGCAGGAGGCGCAAAGGAGGACTGTAAGAGGGAAAATTAAATACCTGAAAGGGAATAATTCAGACGGTGTGGGGGTTCGAGCTGGAGTTGAGTTGGAGGTAGGGAAGATGACGCCGCTAACACTAGTAGATAAGATGGATTCCAGCAGATAGTAGCTTTCCCCGCAGCACGTGATCCATGCTTATCAGCCGACGCTATCCGCAGTCATAGTTGGAGGCTACTACACCTAGTCCAAACACGCTGTTTTGTCCTTTAGAATTGAGATTTCGTTTCATTATTTGGAAATTTATAAAGGATGCGGGATTGCTAGAGGTTTAAATCACTAGACACTCATTGGGTTGCCGAAACTGCAGAACCTTTGGTCACTTGGAAATCAGCATGGACACCCTCTGGCGTAAGCCTATTCATTCTCGGTTCCGTCACTGTCTCTGGACCTCCCAGCTGATATGAGGGATCATGTCTGGTCCAGCAAGAAGCCGTATGCCTCCCTGAAGCTGACAGAGCCACACTCAGAATATAAGTGACAACCTTGAGCTGAAGTCTTCTTTGGTGTAATGCAACATAGCATCTCTGCGGTTGACTAGATAACAGCCGAGCGATAATTAATGGTTGGCATGTAAATACGTTGCAAACTGTACCAACATATAGATTGAGTTGTGGCATGGAGAGCTCGTTCCCGAGACGTAGTAGCTTGGTTTCCGGAGGCTTAGGTGAGCTTCTTCGGGGGCGATATTTTCATTTCATTGCCTTGAAAGCGGGCTGCTGTTCCATCGTTTGCGAAATAAAACTGCGAAGTGCGGCCCAACGGTTCGACGAGGAGCCGGTCTGGGTGTCTGATTCTGCATTTGGCGGAGCAGTTACCTCAATATTTGACAGCTGCGCCATGTTCTTTGCAAAACGATCCCTTTCGGTTTGTTCTAATCGCTGCCTACGCTTCATAGCACCAGGCTTATGCTTCAGAGTCTTCTGTTTAATGACATTCACCTGATTGCTGGGATCATTCATTTCGACCTCGGTCTCTGGCAAGGCATCGGCAAGCGATTCAAGGTTGGCAACAAGTTTCTTGGAAGCCCGTCGGCGTTTCGTAGTCTTTTGAGAGTTCTTCTCTATCTTGGACATTAGGGCAGCATGTTTAATTTGGCGTTTATCTTTCTTGCTCGTTCGAAAATCGTTCTCGAAAAGGTTAGACTTGGACGAAGGAAGAGCGCCTCTACCTGAAGCCGGCATTTTCACGGCTGACTGCCTCTTAACTGATCTAATGGGAGCCTTTACGGGAGTTAGCGGAACGAATTTTCATGTGAGAAGTAGGTTGACGTACCATTATGGTTTCTATCGTTGTGCCGAGAAAGTTGATCAGATCGCCCGGGTACTCCGAGTCTTCACGATAATAATTCTGTCTCTGATTCCGATGGGTGCGTGCTTCTAATCCTGATCTGGACTAGCCCGAACACTATCCCTTGACCCTGGTAGCCCCTGGGCTCACCGCCAACGTGACTGCCCCCTGACGAGGTTTTCCCTTCTTGGGATGTTTATCCGTCCTATTAAGATCAAAGGTTAAGGTGGTTGGAGGAAGGGCACTAGACTAATTTGCTAGTGTGGTGCATCTCATCAAACAGCGAATCCGATCTCCGTAAAAGTTGTAATTCTTTATGTTTCTAAAATCCCTCGTTCTTTGTCCGAATCTACTTCTCGGGACAAGATCCACATTCACGGGTATTCAACCCGCCTTATCATCTTCCACTTACATCAGAGAACCAGAGCGAGAACTTTAGACATTTTATTCGCAGTACTACGTGGATGCTGTCTCCAGTACATATTTTATCTCGTCGGAGCCTTCGTTCACTTGCCACTGCGATTGATCAACCTCGGCACCCGGTTTTTCGCCAGCAACAGACCCTCTCCACTCTATTTTCGTCGCGTTCAATTCATTCAAAGGTTTTAAAACCCTCAGAGTCAACCTCAACTCGGATCTTTCCTCGTTCGCATTCACGTTTATATACTACATTGACGGACGACCTCGCCAAAATGAGCTCCCTTACCCCATACCAGCGCAAACATAAGGTCACCGTGATAGGCTCAGGAAATTGGTAAGGGTGGCAAAGATAACCAACGGCAAATGGAATCAGAGAGCACTAACATTTGGAAGGGGCACTGCTATTGCCAAGATCATCGCTGAGAATACTGCCAGCAACTCTGCGATCTTCGAGAAGGATGTTCAGATGTGGGTTTTTGAAGAGCATGTGGAAGTTCCAAAGACATCCCGTCACTACAACCCCTCTTCGCCCCTATGCCAGGGTCCTCAGAAATTAACAGAGATCATCAACAAGACACACGAGAATGTCAAATACCTACCAGGCATTAACCTTCCTACAAATTTGCACGCTAATCCCTCATTGGAGGACTCGGTCAAGGACAGTACTATCCTTATTTTCAATCTGCCTCATCAGTTCATTCTCAAGACCTGTGAGCAGATCAAGGGCAAGATTCTGCCATATGCACGTGGTATTTCTTGCATTAAGGGCGTTGATGTGCGGGAGGATGGAATCAGCCTTTTCTCAGAAACCATCGGCAAGATTCTTGGGATCTACTGTGGCGCTCTCTCTGGCGCAAACATCGCCAGCGAGGTTGCGCAGGAGAAGTGGTCTGAATCAAGCATTGCTTACGATCCTCCTCATCTAGATTCGAAAGCCCCCTCTCCTAATCGCTCCCCTTCTTCGTCGACTGTGGATGTGGTCCATTTCACGCACAAGGACGTCTCGGGCCAACTATCTCAGGTGAAACTGCAGGCGTTGCCCTCCCAGTATCCACCCATTGACCACGCCGTTCTTAAGTCGCTTTTCCATCGCCCGTACTTCCATATCAGCGTGGTGCACGATGTTGCGGGTGTCTCCCTCGGTGGTGCCCTCAAGAATGTCGTCGCTATTGCCGCAGGCTGGGTTGAAGGGATGGGATGGGGTGATAACGCCAAAGCTGCCGTCATGCGGGTCGGTCTGCTGGAGATGGTCAAGTTTGGTGAGATGTTTTTTGGCGCGACTATTAACACCCGAACATTCACCGAGGAGAGTGCCGGTGTTGCCGACTTGATCACCAGCTGCAGCGGTGGTCGCAACTTCCGTTGCGCCAAGCTTAGCATTGAGAGAAATCAGCCGATCGGCAAGGTCGAAGAAACTGAGCTCAATGGCCAGAAGCTCCAGGGCACTTTGACTGCAATTGAAGTGAATAAGTTCTTGAAGAACCAGGGCGTTGAAGAGGAATATCCCTTGTTGACCGCCGTTTATCGTAAGTGCCAAAAGGTTGCTTCTCAAAAACGATATCACTAACTTATTATAGGGATTCTGGAAGGCACTATGTCTGTTCAAGATATCCCTTCTTATATTGAGCGGTAAATAGGACCTGATGCTTTTGTCTCCCATGCTTTTCTAGTCCGGTTATTAATTCACGGGTATCTGTCTTCTTTTCATTACAGCAAGCCGGAGTCTGTTTCGCAGTATGAATCACAAGGAGTGAATGGTGGCGGCGCAAGTCAGGCGGTTTTGGCCAAGTTGTGAGGTGGCAGGATGCATGTCTCACATATCTGTTTATAATTATTTGCGTCTTGAGACTTGCCGGTAGGTCTTTTCTCATGTTATCTTATCTTGGGTATGGATGCTATAAATGCGCATAGACTAGTGACTATATAGAGCAATTTTCCAGATATATTTTTCCGCCGTTAATTTTTATTTTTGATTGATTTTCCCCGGCTAAAAAGGCCGACTCCACACGATAACTCGGAGTTCCTTTGAGGTGTACCGGGGGTCCAAGTGGTCGAGGCCTTTGCAATTTTGCATGATGTCAGACTTCCTGCGGGGTTCGAAACGCCCAGGAACATAAATGAGGAAAAACCTTTGTTTATATGCCTTGTTTTTCTTCCTTCTTTCAAAATCTATTACTCTGTTTTCTGCTGGATCAATATTATTCTGAGGTGGCCCTATCAATCTCCACCGAACAGCTTACCTAGGAAATATCTAGTTATCTATCTCAGCCGGTCACCAACCTGAGTTAAACATCCGGATCATATCACAGCTTTCCCTCTACATAACCCGATTGATAGGTGCCAATTGCCATGCCTGCTCCGCGTCAGGTTTATTTGCTTCCGTTGAAAGACGATGGCTCCCCAGATGTGCCGGGAGGTTATATCTATCTTCCTCCGCCTACCAATCCCACGTACCTGCTTCGTTTCGTGATCGAGGGCAGCAGCTCAGTCTGCAGGGAAGGAACGCTGTGGGTGAATATCCCGGAGCATGGGAACCCGTTCAATCGCACGGCGTTCCGAGGTTTTAGGTAAAAGCGATCTCTCTTCTAGCTTATTGACTATCCGGTTATTAAGGCGCAATTAGGCTACATCCCGACTTCAACAAGAATATCCAAATCGATATCCCAGTTACTTGTCCTGGATCTTTCGCGTTTTACACAACCTACTCCCCGCTTCCTGATTTCTCTGTTTCCCCGACTGAGACGTCCGAATCGGTAAGAACCTCAACGCATTATATCGATGTTGCGCCAAGGCTTACGCTTGGTGGTCGTGATCTCCCACTCAACGCTCTTTCGATATTTTCTGTGATTTCAAAGTTCATGGGTAGATATCCAACGGATTGGGAGGGTCACTTGAATGGTATAAGTCAGCGCAACTACAACATGGTCCATTTTACTCCGTTGATGAAACGCGGAGCATCGAATTCCCCATACAGTATTTTCGATCAGCTAAAATTTGATGAGGCCTTTTTCCCCAATGGGGAGAACGATGTCGCTCAGATGGTTAGAGAAATGGAACAGGATCATGGGCTCTTGTCGCTGACGGATGTTGTCTGGAACCACACTGCTAATAACAGCAAATGGCTTGAGGAGCACCCCGAGGCTGGATATAGTGTCGAGACAGCTCCATGGCTTGAGGCGGCATTGGAGTTAGACACTGCTTTGCTGGAATTTGGACAAGACCTTCAAACCTTAGGTCTCCCAACGGAATTCAAGACCATTGACGACCTGATTGTTGTCATGAATGTAATGCGCGATCGGGTTATAGGCGGTCTGAAGTTATGGGAGTACTACGTCATTGATATTAAGGCAGACGTTGCAAGGATCATTGGCAAGTGGAGAAAGTCTCCAGGGGTTGAGTTAAAAAGTGATCAATGGTTGCCTTTTGGCCTTGAGAACTTCAAGAACCTGACCCTAAAGGAGCAGGCTAGCTTCGTTCGTGAGCAAGCCATTCCGACATCCAAACGGATACTTGGGAGGTTTACACGAGCAGTCGATGACCACTTCGGTGAGGCTATCTTAACTGCTCTTTTCGGTACTGCAGGTTCCAGCGACGATGAGGTGGAGAACAAGTTCACCGAATTGCTAAATGAGGTGAACCTACCTTTTTATAAAGAGTATGATGCAGACGTGTCCGAAATACTGGATCAAGTCTTCAATCGTATCAAATACCTAAGAATTGATTCTCATGGACCCAAGCTTGGTCCTGTTACTGAGAAGAGCCCGCTTATCGAGACTTATTTCACGAGACTGCCCGTTAATGATGTTACCAAACAGCACAAACCGACTGCACTAGCTCTTGTTAATAATGGGTGGATCTGGAATGCAGACGCGATGCGTGATAACGCGGGACCAGATTCTAAGGCCTATTTGCGACGTGAAGTCATCGTGTGGGGTGATTGTGTGAAGCTTAGATATGGAAACTGCCCCAAGGACAGTCCATTTCTCTGGGAGTTCATGACTAGATACACCCGTCTAATGGCTAAGTATTTTTCGGGGTTTCGGATCGACAACTGTCATTCAACACCCTTAGGGGTCGCAGAGTATCTGCTAGATGAGGCACGGAAAGTTCGCCCTAACTTAACAGTTTTTGCTGAGCTGTTTACGGGTTCTGAAGAAGCCGATTACATTTTTGTCAAGCGACTAGGTATCAACGCACTTATCAGGGAGGCCATGCAGGCCTGGAGTACTGGTGAACTAAGTCGCCTTGTTCACCGCCATGGAGGCCGTCCTATTGGTAGTTTTGACCTTGACTTACCTACCGCAGGGAGTAGCCACGCCATAGCCTCTGCAAGCACTGATGGCCGGGAAGAAACTATATCTCATATACGACCATGCCCCGTTCAGGCCCTCTTCATGGACTGTACTCATGATAACGAGATGCCAGCCCAAAAGCGAACAGCGGTAGATACACTGCCAAATGCTGCTTTAGTTGCAATGTGTGCTTCGGCTATCGGAAGCGTCATGGGTTATGATGAGGTTTATCCAAAATTGGTAGATCTCGTTCATGAGACACGGTTATATTCTTCAGCATTTTCAGAACCCTCGAAAGTAGAGCTGACTACTGAAGGTGGTATCGGAAGCATCAAGAAGCTTCTGAATGAGCTCCATACAATGATGGGTGTTGACGGATATGATGAGACACATATTCACCATGATGGTGAATATATCACTGTCCATAGAGTTCATCCGAAGACACGAAAGGGCATTTTCTTGATAGCACACACTTCTTTCCCAGGCCAGAACGGCACTTCCACTCTGGCACCGACTCATCTCACTGGTACGAGGGTCAAACAGCTTGGGGCCTGGCTACTGGACGTCGAGGCTGGGGAGGACGCCAAAGCGAGAGTCCTTGCAGATAAAGATTATTTATGTGGATTGCCTAGCGCGGTCCGAGAAACGAACACGGTTAAAGTTGAGGAACATGAGGATGATACCACAATATCTGTTTTAGACACCTTCGTCGCCGGGTCAATTGCTCTCTTCGAAACGTCCATCCCGAAGGCTGAGCATTCCATAGGACTGGACTATTACATCACCGAAGGTGCAGATCAGGCATTCTCAAAACTTAGTTTGCTGGATCTTAATTTCGTACTCTATCGCTGTGATGCCGAAGAAAGGGATTCTAGTGATGGTCAGGATGGAGTATATGCCATACCCAATCATGCGCCTCTGGTCTACGCAGGGCTTCAGGGATGGTGGAGCGTTCTTGAAACCATCATCCGGTACAATGAACTAGGACATCCACTCTGCGATCATCTTCGGCGAGGCCAGTGGGCCCTTGATTATATTGTGGGGCGGTTGCAGAAGGTGGCCCAAAAGGATGGATACGATGCTCTGAATGGTCCAGCGACTTGGTTCAGGAGTAAATTCCAGGCTGTTCGTGACTTACCTAGTTTTCTTCTGCCACGTTATTTTGCTATTATTGTCCAGGTCGCGTACAACGCTGCCTGGAAACGTGGCATTCGGCTTTTAGGAGAAAACATACATAAGGGACAAGAATTTGTACATCAGCTGGGCATGGTCAGCGTTCAACAGACCGGATATGTGAAATCCGCATCCCTCTGGCCAACCAAAAGTGTTCCAAGCCTTGCAGCTGGCTTGCCTCATTTTGCTGTGGATTGGGCAAGATGCTGGGGTAGAGACGTTTTCATATCTCTCCGAGGGTTACTGCTCTGTACTGGACGGTTTGATGACGCAAAAGAGCATATTCTCGCCTTTGCAAGTGTCCTTAAGCATGGTATGATCCCTAACTTGCTGAGCAGTGGAAAGCTTCCTCGTTATAATTCTCGAGATTCTGTATGGTTCTTCCTGCAGGCTATTCAGGATTATACCAAAATGGCCCCAAATGGTATAGAGCTTCTTAAAGAGAAAGTTCCCAGAAGGTTCCTACCTTATGATGATACATGGTTTCCATTCGATGACCCTCGTGCATACTCACAGCATTCGACAATACTAGAGGTTATTCAGGAAATTTTCCAACGGCATGCTCAAGGACTGTCATTCCGAGAGTACAACGCTGGCCCGGATCTCGACATGCAAATGAAGCCAGAAGGCTTCCAAATAGACGTCAATGTTGACTGGGAAACTGGCTTGATTTTTGGAGGTAGTCAATTCAATTGTGGAACCTGGCAAGACAAGATGGGGGAGAGTGTTAAAGCTGGGAATAAAGGATTCCCAGGTACACCTCGAGACGGCGCGGCCATTGAAATCAGTGGGCTTCTCTACAGTGCTTTGACGTGGATTGATCAGTTAAACGAACGGGGCCTCTACCCACACAAAGAAGTAGATCTTGGGGATAGCAACTCAATCACATTCAGAAACTGGGCCGACAAGATCAAGAGCAATTTTGAGCGTTGCTATTATATCCCTCTGAGCCCCGAAGAGGACAATCAGTACGACGTTGATGCAAAGATCGTCAACCGCCGTGGTATTTACAAGGACTTGTATAAATCAGGCAAGCCCTACGAGGACTACCAGCTTCGGTCCAATTTCCCCATTGCCATGACAGTGTCGCCGGATCTATTCGATCCATCCAAAGCGTTGACGGCGCTCGCTCTTGCAGATTCCGTTGTCTGTGGTCCCATTGGTATGGCAACCCTCGACCCGTCCGATCTTAACTATCGCCCCAACTATAACAATTCAGAGGATTCCACGGACTTTACCACTTCTAAGGGTAGAAACTATCACCAGGGGCCTGAATGGGTCTGGCAGCGAGGGTACTTCCTCCGCGCCTTCTTGCACTTTGATCTAGCTCGCAGGGAGACGCCAGAGGGACGGACAGAAGCTTATCAGCAGGTGACTCGTCGCCTAGAAGGGTGCAAGCGGGCTCTCAGAGAAAGTCCTTGGAAGGGCCTCACAGAACTGACGAATAAGGATGGTGCGCACTGTTCAGACTCTGTATGTCATTCCCCTTCCATTCCCCTAGTGAACATAAAAACCCAGGTTGCTAACAGTACATCTCCATTTGCCAGTCACCCACGCAAGCATGGTCAGCAGGGTGCTTGCTAGATCTCTACTATGATGCTTCAAGTTATGCCTTGACTACAGCGTGAAAGCGTGATATCACATTATAAAGCGGCATTATAGATGGATATATATATGTATACGCAAAGTTTAGAAATATTTACAAAAGGAAAAGGCTCTCGTGATGTTAAGTCTCTGTTCGTCTTTGTCTAGTATCTTTCAATATTCTTAGTATCCCGATAAGATCATATGATCGCATAAACACCTGACATAAAGGCTGGATGAGTCAGCCAAATGCACAACTCAACTTTCACTTACCAGTTTTGGAATCGTCAAAGAGCTTATTGAAGTTTAAGCACAATCGAGTCTGCACGTTTTAACACACACTTTTCTACAAGTTATTAGAAGGGGTGTCTCTCAGTTCTGAATTTTGTCAGAATCACTCTCAAACCAAGAAGGTGACTTGATCTGCGACGCAGTGTCCCTCACGCGACAACCCACCCTGACGTCAGTTGTTTTTGTCTTGCGCATTCCTTGCCGCAAAATTCCGTGCACTTCCCATATGCATTGAGAATTGCGCCAGCCCGAAATATTGTACAACGGGATTTATTCTCCTCAACCCATGTCTCTGACAGTGGCTGCTGCGGCAGCCATGTTGACAGCTTCAGTTGAAAGCGACAATCCTGGTGGTGGGCATGAGCCAACATGGGGCGACCCAACGAGAGGACAACGTGATCTATACACTCAGCTTGTTATTAGCTTGGCATTAGGACTAGTTGCCTTCTTATCTTTCTGTGTACGCTGTGTCTCAAAGAATTAAATTCTCAATGTCCCCTAACAAAGCTATTCCCTGTAGGTCCTGCGGCCCAAATGGACGGAGCTGTACGCTGCGCGGAGACGACAACGATGCGCAGCTTCGTACTTACCAGAACTCCCTGATAGCTTTTTTGGGTGGATACCGGTTCTCTACAGGATAACTGAAGAAGAAGTATTGCATTCTGCGGGATTAGATGCATTCGTTGTACGTGTCTATGATCTTCTTTATGAGACAAACCAGCGCTAACGCCCGGCGGTATAGTTTCTATCGTTCTTCAAGTTTGCGATCCGATTCCTGTCCGCTGTCTTCGTGCTCGCCGTTATCATAATACTCCCAATTCATTACAAATACACTGGGAAAAGAGGAGTTCCAGGTTGGGATGACGATAATTCCCTTGGTGGGAACCCGGATAAGAAGCCTGTGACTGATCCAAACTATTTGTGGATGTACGTGGTATTCACGTACATATTCACCGGACTGGCTGTCTATATGCTACTTCAGGAAACGAATAAGATAATTCGTATCCGACAAAAATATCTCGGCAGCCAAACAAGCACGACTGACCGAACTATTCGCCTGTCCGGGATTCCTAAGGACATGGCATCTGAAGAGAAGATTATAGATTTCATGGAGGGTCTCCAGGTTGGAAAGGTTGAGAGTGTCACATTATGCCGCGACTGGCGTGAACTAGACCACCTAGTCGATGAGCGATTACAAATATTGCGGGATCTAGAACGAGCGTGGACCAAGCACCTAGGATATACACGGAGGACCGAAAATGATAGCACGCTACCATTTGCACATCATCAGCCGCGTGGCTCGAGCTTGTTTTCTGAAGACAACAGCGAGCGCATACAACTTCTTTCGGAGAGTGGACGAGACCACATTGCAGACTATGCGCACAAACGACCGACTATTCGTTTATGGTACGGGCTATTCAAGCTACGGTACAGGAATGTCGATGCAATAGACTATTATGAAGAGAAGCTGCGGAGGATTGATGAAGAGATCTTAGTGGCACGCCAAAAGGAGTATCCCCCTACCGAATTGGCATTTGTGACCATGGAGTCTATATTTGCTTCCCAAATGGTGATTCAGGCTATCCTCGATCCCCATCCTATGCAGTTGCTCGCCCGATTGGCGCCAGCACCTGCGGATGTCGTTTGGAAGAATACGTACTTGCCACGTTCGAGACGAATGATGCAATCCTGGTCTATCACGGGGGTCATTGGCTTCCTAACCGTCTTCTGGTCGGTACTTCTCGTTCCCTTAGCGTATCTTCTGGAATTGGAGACTCTACACAAAGTGTTTCCTCAATTAGCCGAAGCGTTAGCTCGTAGTCCTCTTGCGAAATCGCTCGTTCAAACCGGTCTTCCGACCTTGGTCCTCTCGCTGATGACTATTGCTGTTCCTTATCTATACAACTGTGAGTATGAGCCTAGATGAATAGCTGGCCAATTGCAGCGTGTTAACTGTGTATCCAGGGCTCTCGAACCTCCAAGGAATGACATCGCGTGGCGATGTTGAGTTGTCCGTCATTTCCAAGAACTTCTTTTTCTCTTTCTTCAATCTTTTCCTTGTCTTCACTGTCTTTGGAACGGCAACAACCTTTTACGAGCTTTTTAAGCACCTTCGTGATGCGTTTCAAGATGCCACTACCATTGCATTTGCGCTAGCCAAATCGTTGGAAAACTTCGCACCATTCTATATCAATCTTATAGTCCTTCAAGGAGTGGGGATGTTTCCCTTCCGGCTTTTGGAGTTTGGGAGTGTTGCCATGTATCCCATCAATTTCTTCAAAGCTAGAACACCGCGTGACTATGCTGAACTATCCACGCCACCTACTTTTAGTTACGGGTATTCTATTCCACAGACGATCTTGATCTTAATCATTTGCGTGGTATACAGCGTGTTTCCAAGCTCATGGCTGATCTGTCTGTTTGGGCTGGTATACTTTACCATCGGGAACTTCATTTACAAATACCAGCTCCTGTATGCAATGGACCATCAGCAGCATTCCACAGGACGTGCATGGCCAATGATATGCAGTCGGGTCTTGGTAGGCTTGATGGTGTTCCAGATCGCAATGATAGGCGTGTTAGCCTTGCGTACAGCAATCACGCGTTCCTTGATCCTTGTACCTCTATTGGGCGCAACGGTGTGGTTTAGCTACTTCTTCTCCCGGAGTTACGAGCCGCTGATGAAGTTCATTGCTTTGAAGAGTATCGACCGCGATGGCGGTGGGAATGTTTCCCCTTCGCCTTCGACTTTCTCTTCGCCCTCTGGCCTCGACCGTGACGCTCTACCAATCCGAATTGGCGGGCAAGAACTAGGGCTGAGGCTGAATAAGTATGTCAATCCCAGCCTTATTTTGCCTCTAGATGGCGCTTGGCTTCCAGGGCGCAGCGCTGGTGAGTTCCCTGTATCTTTTGAGATACACTGAATATAAACCGTGCCTTAACCTAGCGCGATGCCTTGCGTTGTCCATTGAGTCCAATAAGGCTCTCTCTCTATATCTCTGCCGCCCCCATTTTTGTTGCCATCTTGCCTCTCTCTACCGATTGATCTTTTTGCTCTTTCTCATCATAGATATAATGCCCTATGTTAATATCCCTGCACTCATATGCCCCAAGTATACCACGATATACGACCGCTATGCCATTCCAAACTACTAGTAATATTGCATGGTTCTGTTATCTGCGTTTTTCTATATTGTTTTTACACATTGGCTTACCATACCTGACTGCATATACTTGGATACCTCTCAACGCTCACTGATCGATGCCCTTATCGGATCTCCTGCGAATGTATAGGTACAGCCATGGGACATTACTGTCCTGTGGCCTATACCTTCCCATATTCTGTCACTCGTTAAGTGCAGTTTGCTCTATATAATTTTGAATCCAACCTTTGATATACTATACTTCTATATACATGTGCTATGGATACAGGAAATCGTTATGTAGAAGCTTTGCCTGGTTGAGTTTTAAGATCTTTGTCTAGGTTCTCATTGATTTAATTAGCGCTTTGATTACTGGTAGTAGTAATATGGGATTTTCCTTCTCCAGCCACCTCGTTCTGGTTTGAATTCCAATTCCGCTCATTCTTCTGACGAGAGGGGAATGGAACCATAGAGAAGATCACATCATGATGCACAGTCAAGTTACCTTAGTGAGTACGGGGGAACGTAATGGCCACCACAGCTCTATCCTCACGCAGCAATCACACATCCGTCAAGAAATTGACAGCTAATTGCCTCCTTCCCTACAGAGACTTGTTCATGATCTTCGCCTTAGTTCTCCTCTCGAAATGCCGTTGATGATCTGTCCAGTCACTAGTCAAGGTACAAGTCTTTCTTTTATAGTGTGATATACATTCGCCAAACTCTTGGCTCAGAATTATACTTGGCCTATACCTGCTTATGCTCCTTCTCACTCTAGCACTGACGGTATTGAAACGTCGTTAATCAAATTGCAACATACTGTTGGTGTAAAAGCCATCAGAGATAGGCCCCGGCTTTAGATCAAAGAAAGAGCTCTATGGTGACGCACACGTCCTTGATAGACTTATGTCAGATTCAACTGAGTCTTAGCCCCTCGATTGGATATATTGCACTAGTATGAGTCCGGAATATGATTCTGAATTCCGAAACATGTCGCAAGCACCTAGATTCCACAAAATGTGCCTACACGGCTAATTGATTTCATACCTCATGAAACCCGTCACTCTCTACGCTTAGCCTGCAGATCCTGGTCTCGCACAATTGAGAAGGTAATGCTGGTCTCTCGTCCAGCCGCTAATATTGTGCCTCCCGACATTTTACTGCAGAGCTTCTCCATGCTGAACACCTCGCGAGTTCGAGAATATCCGACGGATGTGTTCACAATGGATGAAAGCCAGCCTAAATGAACATCTTCTGAAAAGTATAGCAAAGCGAGCGGGCTGGTGGGATTCTTGGGTGCGGGACTACCAGTCACAATATCCTAATTCAGAACACACAAAGAGAGCATTGCTTGAAGGATGAGCTGGCGATTTGCCACAGAATGTATCTTGTCGGGCCGAAAACTTGACTAGGAGGGCCAGCTTTTTAGAGACCACGATGGTCGACTTTTTGAGGCTTTACCAAGGACAGGATTTTCACAGAGGTGTCATTCTGCTCGTTTCCTATGAATTCCAGCCCCATTTAGAATGATGCTGCGGCTATATTCAAGTTCACATCAGTATTTGCGGCGATTACTTGCCGGTGACTACTGGCTGCAGAATCTACTTCTATTGTCTACTCAGCAGGAGTCATGGGAGCACCTCGCCTTCATCTAACACCGATATTGACCCCCTTACGAGCTTTACATGCCCCGCTGAAGTAGTTTCTGCTGCAGTTGTTACCAGCAATTCTACATTCCTCATTGCAGCCCTCCTCCGTAATTGTTCAAGGTTGGTGTGCGATTTAGTACCTTCCAAGGCCACTCGGTCAAATGCCTTTAAATCCATCGGTACCGCTTTTGATGTGAAGCACAGCTCTATACAGCCCATAGAAGTCAGATCTCATTACTATCAAAATATATGCTCTCCTGAAGACCCACCACGTAGTGTGTCGATCTGTCCCGGGCGTCAATGTGTGGCATATGGCTCTGGCGCCTGTATTGAGCTGCCTCGTTTGGGGTTAGATTTGGGGAAAGGGGGATTATGGAGCTTGGGACGGACAGAGGAGAAACCAGAGGATGGTTAGGAGATCAAAGATAGAGATTTGGGGGCGCTTTGCGGGGACAATTTTGTAGGTTATTGTGAAGATAGTGAGGCAGGCGGTTGCAAAGATTGATACTTGTTCTAGGGTTCCCTGGTTGTTGGGGAAGTAGTTAGGGATTTCTGCTATAGAAGGGTAATAGGGATGTGTTGACATGATTACTTTTATAATTTATGATATTGGACAAGGATGGAGTGCAGAGCGAGTGGATGTTCTGGGGTAAGCAAGCTGATATCGGGGTATAACTATTAAGTTTACTGGATTATCTAGTCTGAGATTCTATCTTACTCTCGGGCAACCAACCTCAGGGATCATCAGATACCCTTATGCCTAATAATGCAGAGCTGATGGTCAATTATGATATATACCCCATATCTTCATCTCTAAATTCCTTGTCTCGCTGTCTGGCCGTCCAATGCTCCTTTGTACCGCGATTTCGTGGTTCACCAGTGGGCGAGCATCACAACTACCTCAGCAGAGTACTGGGCAGGTAATCTAAAAAGCTGTCAGTCTCACGTACGCTGCCCCCAAACTCGATTCATGCTGTATGTGGCTGTCTTCTTGGAGAATCTCCTCTCGTTCACGACGTGGTCATCTATCTGGGCACCTCGGATGCGGCTTTTCCAGGCATACGGCTATGCACCGTCACCAAGCAATTGAGTGAAAATACCGATCCTCGAGAGACGGGCTGGCCGATTAGCTATGCCGGCTGGGTTGTTGATTCCACCCCTGGGGCCTATTGGCCTGCTGCTTGCTTCCGGCCCATACATGAGAAACGAGGCCCTTGCAGGTGCCAGTGTTATTTCTCCTCCTCCCTGGTGTTCTCTTAGTATTTAGGCATAATAAACTTTTTGAAAGTTATAGTAGCATATATTTTGGATGCCGTATTAGCTTTTTAAAAGAAAAATGGTCTAGGGCTATTCAGAACAAAGAATATCCCATATTCTCACTAGGATGCAAATAGGCAACCAAGAAACACCATCCTCATTGGCAGTAGTATTAAGATAAACTAAGACAGACATGTAAAGTCCATCAGAATCATGTCTGATCCATTTCACCTCGTATCTCTCAACCGCTTCCACCGCCGTGTCAGTCTTGACACTCAATATTGCCGGCCGGCTCACTATCACTTTCTCCGACATTGGCTGCTCAACCGGTACGACGCTATTATACCTGTCGGGAATGTTCGCCTCGCGCTATTTAGGAATCCTGTTGCATACGCTTGCAGAAAGAGCCGGTGTGCGCCTGCTCGTCGTCGATCGGTCAGGCATGGGTGCCTCGACCGACGTTCCACTCGCCCTACGAGTCGCCGCGTGGACTGACATCCTGCCGTGTCTATTAGCCCATCCCCAAGTTTTCACGAGTCAATCTCGTCTCGCATGGTGCAGGTACTATCTACTTGCTTAATATCAAGGCTCGGTGTCGCGACGTCGGGAAACCCAATCCCGTTCTTACTTTCCTAGCTCCCGGGGTTGATCCCACGCACTCGCGTGTGACAGCCATACAAATGGCGCAGTATGTAACCACCAAGGCCTTCGCAGCCTGGTATCACATTCCGCGCTTCTCCGTACTCCAGGCTAGCCCTGCGCTGCAGTGTTTGCGCAAAGATGATGTCAGTAGCTGGGGAGGTTGTTCGGACTATGCGGCCTGTGCGAAGATGCTAGCGGCCGGCGAAGCCTCCAGGGAGGGTTGATCCATCGTCCACACGTACTTTACTGCGAAGGATGCTATGGTGGGGAACCAGGGATAGAGGTACTTTGAGCGGTGCTGGCAAACGCCTATGTTACATGGTCCATGTCATGGATGTTGCCAAATATAACAATCGAAATCAAGGCATATCTCAAAGGGGAAACATATTCAGGCACCGGGGCAAAAAAAAAAAAAACCGCCCCAGCAGTGTAACTGTGTCCGGGGTCAAGACCGGCCTCGACAGGGTTAAATTAGCTAGTCTGATCTATCTTAATCTTGGGGAATCAGCCTCCGGGATTCTTGGATATTCCTATGCTTAATAATGTGGAGCCAATGGTCAATTACGATGGAAGAATGTTCAATGTCATATCAATGTATCCCATGTCTTAGAAACCCAGTCGTACTTTTATTCACAGAACGCTAGCATAGCCCATCCCATTTTTCAACACCGGAAAAACATGGCCCAGTATAAAAGCTCTGCCCGGTCAATCGAGCGGCAGAAGAAATTAAGTCGAACTTATTAAAATGGTCATAGATTTAGTTGGCGTCGCCATTGACTGCCAATTTCTCTTTCCGGGTACGGACCGCCTGAGCGAGGTTCTCGAGCACGGCCTCTGTGTCCTCCCAGTTGATGCAAGCATCGGTGATACTGACACCGTACTTGAGGCCGGCCTTGCCCTCAGGGGGGACCTTCTGGTTTCCTATACGGTCACAGTCAGCGACATGGTTCTCAAATAGTCAAGGAAACAGGGATCATACCTTCGTTGATGTTACTCTCAATCATGACACCCATGATAGCAGTCTCACCCGCAGCGATCTGCTCAGCGAGCACAGCGGCCACCTTGGGCTGGTTCTTGTGATTCTTCTGCGAGTTACCGTGGCTGCAGTCCACCATGAGACGAGGCTGCATGCCCTGCGCAGTAAGCTTGGACTTGGCCTCCGCAATGCTCTCAGCATCGAAGTTAGGGCCCTTCTTTCCACCACGGAGGATGACGAAGCAGTCGGGGTTGCCGACGGTGCCGACAATAGAGACGACACCAGGCTTGGTGACGGAGAGGAAGTGATGGGGGTGCTTGACCGAGCCAATGGCATCGACTGCAACGTCCAGAGAACCATCGGTGCCGTTCTTGAATCCAACGGGGAAGGAAAGACCAGAGGCCAACTCGCGGTGGACCTGCGACTCGGTCGTACGCGCGCCAACCGCACCAACGGAAAGACAGTCAGCCAGGAACTGTGGAGAGATGGTATCCAGCATCTCACTGGCGATGGGCATGCCCTTGTTGGTCAGGTCAACGAATAGTTGGCGAGAGGTGCGGAGACCCTTGTTGATCTTGAAGCTGTTGTCGATATCGGGGTCGTTAATGAGCCCCTTCCAGCCAACGGTGGTACGAGGCTTCTCCAGGTAGGCGCGCATAACAATCAAAAGCTCATCCTGATATTTCTCCTTCAATTTCATCAGACGGTCGCAGTATTCAAGAGCCATGTCGGGGTCGTGAATCGAGCATGGTCCCACAACAACCAGCAGACGGCGCCGGTCGGTGTCGGTGCCATGCACGACTGCACTCGCCTCCTGACGGCCTTGCAAGACCGTCAGTTTGGAGCTCTCTGTCATGGCAATCTCATGTTGGAGGAGGTTAGGAGGGGTCAGGGGGTTGTATCCTCGAACTGTGCGAAATGGCCCCGTTAGTATGGGGCGATGCGACTCTATGAGGGGCAATTAGGACATTGACATACTTCTCGAGTCTTCCAAATGTTGCGCATCCCCTACATTAGGGTTTTCAATGAAGAACTGTGGATTCGGTCAGTTGTTGTTCACACAATTGGCGTTGGTTGTCGTGACGAGTTGACTCACAGACATGGTGGGCGGGGGGAGGAGATTAGAGGGGTTAACTGATAAAGTCGAGAGATGGAGGGGCACGGAGAGAAGAAGCAATGGATTGAATTGAAGAATGTAATAATCCGGGGCAATTGAAAGGGCGAGAAACAAACTCCGGACGGGGTATCTTTTTGTTCTTTTCAGAAAAGAAGAGTATGACAGGAGGGACAAACAATCTTAAAAGAATCTGTCAAAAGTGAACATGCCATTTTTTTTTTTTTAAACTCCTATGTCGGCGGCCCGGAACGAGTCATACTTGCCCCCTTCGGTCACGATCCCGCACGTGAAATCCGATCCGGAGCCCCTTCTGTGTGCCTGAGGTTTGTCACGCCTTTTTAGCTAGATCGTCATTCGCTGTTCCAACTTTCAGCTCAGCTCAGCCCCAGGTTCAGCTCTAATCTATTGTTGATTCTAGACAGATCTACAGCTATACCTACATACATCTGTTTGCCAAACGGCAACAGGAAGGACTGCATGAAAAATGTGAACTATTGACTATATGGAAACCTCAACACACCCCAGATACACAGGTTATTCTATATGTACCGAATATTATCAATAATCGGCAACTGGCAGTAAACAAATGAAAGAAAGTTATTGATTTTACCACTAAATTCTCTCGGCGCTTTTGAAAGCATTACACGGTACGACATTCGTGGAACTAATATGTCTTCCATTTGTGGTTAGAATCTCCATTGAGAGGGGGGGAACAAGAGACTAACTAATAGCATCTGAGGATTGACATCCTTCTCTTTCCAACATAATGATAAATTAATCCATCTGACAGTCGATGAATGACAAGACTTTCTGGATTCCAGATTCGGCAGCTTGCAGATCGCGAGACCACGCTGAAACTCATGTTTTCTTACGCTTCTTCCACTTCCTTTCTTCAGAGGTTGAGTCCCGATTTGTTCTCTTCGGCACACCCCTCTCCTTCGCTTCAAAATAACCCTTTAACTCTTCACAGATCTTTGTATGGTTGTGTCTGATTAGATGCATTTGCTGTCCACAAAGGTTGATCCGTTCTTCTTGTGCCTCGTAAAGACAATCGAGTATGTTGTAACATTGCTGGCGATATGTTTCCAGAGCCTTAAAGAGGGTCTGTCTCTCATTCTCTAATCTGCGCATAAAATGCTTTGGTTGATCAGCGGACGCACTAGAGCTATAGTCCATCCCGTAAAATCGGGCTTACCTCACTAGAAGCGAGTAACATATCGCGAGTTTCCCTTTGGAGTGCCTGTACGGCTGTGTCCCCATCGTTCAGTTTGGCGTTTTCGTCAACATCGAGCGAGCCAATAGAGGCCAACTCGCCTTGTGGAGGAGATCGGTATGAGCCCTGGCCCCGATTATTGATATGATCGTGCTCCTTTGAGAGTAGTGGAGCTGTCCTGTAAGGATCTCTGATAATCTGCGTCCGACCCTCATGGCTTCGCAATAAACTGGATCGCAGGGAGCTTTCTCTCGCATGTTTTGTGAAAGAGGTAGATGTCCCTCTACTGAAAGGACCTGCCCATTCAGAACTCGCATTTTTTGTAGGAGAGCCCAACGGATTCCTTGTCTGACCACTAGGGCTCTTTCTACACGGAGTAGGAGCCGGCATTCTATCAGTATCAGAGACTTCTTCGGCACAGCTCTCCTCAAGTCCCCCATTATAGCCAGATTCATGATCAATACCTCCAACAGAGGCTTTATTTCCTTCTAGGGCTAACTGTCTAGATTGGCGTGCTCCACCAGAAGTCGTAAGGTCATTTTGGACTCGTGATAAAAGTCGCGGGCTTCCATTTTTATCAACAATACTCTTTTTTGGGGAAATCCGTGAATGGTCAGGAATGCCACCTTGTCCTTGTCTGTTATCAGTGTAAGGAGATCTGGCAGAATCTGAGCTTTTGTCTCCCAAAATGGCTGTCCCCAATATAGCTGGGCTCACTGAATGGGCACTAGGCTCTTCGCCGCTTCCATTGCATGGACAACTCTTGGCCTCCTCGGTTGTGTTGTCTGGACTGTCAAAGCCCCTCGGGGATCTAATGATTGGGGTTTCGACACGGCTTATCTGAGCTTGACATGGGCTTTGTGCCAAGTTGATAGAAGATATGGACTCCTTTCTTCGTGCTTTTTCTTCCCTTCGCTCTTCATTCGATAAGTCAGTGTCCTCTTGTTCGGTATCAGCTGACATTGTTTCGAAACTATGTTTGGCGTCTTGATAGCTATTCTGATCTACTTCTTGTGGATCTTTATGGCATGTCCCGGCGACGGTGATAGCAAGTAATCTGCCTGTGTCTGAACTTCGTGAAATTTCATAGTTGCCATCGTGATCTGGCTCATTATCCCACGGTACATCTAGTTCGGCAAGGTTGGCTTTAGAGAGCGCTTTCCTTGGTTGGGTTGATGGTGGCGCAGACTCTGTGCTGTTATGACTCCCCCTGGACTCAAGAGAATCGTGGCTATGTATTTGATCTTGTCCACGATCTGATGACTCTCTATCTAGTTGTAAAGCTGCAGCGAGCTTTTTCCCGACATTCTCGCCTCTCCCTATGTTCTTTACTCCTGATGACCTAGAGTGTTTAGAAACGCTGGTATCTCTGCGTTCATGGTCTTCATTGCCATCTTTGCTAGCGAGGGAAAACTTAGCCGCTGTTGTATACCGACCTTCCCCTTGGGTGCCAGGAAGAGAAGAGTTGCTTTTCGCAGAGGCTTCAGTAGTACTACTATCGCTTGCCATGCACTTTCCAGAGGCTAGACGTTCACTGTCCAATGTATCTCCGTAGATTTCCTTTTGGGTATCAATTTCCAGATGCCTAATTGGTTCATCACTACGCTGAGACATGCTGATGGTATTCTCGATGGTTTCTTCATGCGGCACCCCGTCCGATCTGCTGCCTGTGTTCTCGATGGTACCGTGGCTACTGTTGGCGAGCATCTTCTTTCTTGGTTTGGCAGGTGACTTTTCCTTAAGGTTTCTACTGCCTCGCCCGATAATCTGTCTCTTGTCAAATGCTGGAATGTCTCCAGACACCGGAGAAGATACTGAAGTGACTTCGCTTCCCTTGCAATCACCAGTTGGCCGTATATATTTATCCCAATCGCCCCCTGCCTTGGTGTTACCTGTATAGACCTTCTTGTAAGATCTCTGGGGATGGAATATCAAGGATTCCTGCGTATTGGATAATTGGAGATTGGTTTTTGATTTGCGCCTTGGGTACCGACTTTGACTTGTTATTGCAGCTGGCTTGCTGACGCGATTCTGTCGCCGTTCATTATGAATCCTCTCGTGCAATATAGTAAAAGCGCCTGAATCTTGATCTGGGACACTATTCCTCATCATAAGATTGCCGTGCAATATGTCAAATCGCTGCTCTTCTTTTGGGCAGGGCTCGTCCGTATGTAGGTGTTCCTTGCCTTCGGTGAGGTTTGACAGCAGTGCATTACCACTGTCAAATAGCTTGTGTTCCTCAATCCTCCTCTGATGACCATCAGGACTGATAACTTTTAGTCCCCTGGCTGGTATGGAACGATCTGTGTCGGAATCTTGAGACATGGCTCTATGGGGCATAGTTGATGGAATTGCACAGTTAGAAGTATCTGCCTCTCTTCGAGCTTTTGCCTCAGAAACGCGTTTAGACTTTCTTATTATCTCACCTGCCGTGTCCAAAGGTACCACAAGTGTTGATGACCTTCTAACCCTCGATTTTATTGCTAATTTGTTCCTTTCGATCCCATCACCAGTCCCATCAATTGCCTTCTGTAGCCTAGTGATGTCATCGTTTGACTGTAAAATAAGAGTCTGCCCTTTCATAACTTTGGCTCTGCCGTTAATTGATATTAAGTTTGCTGGGTTGAGACGCAAACATAATGACTCTTTTCCTCCCCATTGCCTCACGGATGACCGCATATGAGGTACAATAGACTGCATTGGGACTTCAATATAACTGAAGTTTCCATGGATGTTGACTGCAGGGTATATAAATAGCAGTGAAGAAGTGGTATAGAAAGCGAGTATAGTGCCTTTCGCGAGCGTAATTGTGTCAATATGAATAGACTGCAAGACGTAGCAGGTATGCGCAGATCCCTTCTTCCAGTTCGCATCCTCTAGCTGCACCCCTTGGTCCATAGATGTCTCTTGTCTAGCTTCATGGATGTATGAATGATACAATTTGAGTATTTCATCGTTATCGATGCATGGGCCATAAAAAAACGATCTTCTGTATGTTGCATTGTCGGGAGTCTGGAATTCTGTATTTATACCGGAGAGGTGAAGAATCCGAATAATAAAACTTGCAAAGAACCTTAAGATAACGTCAGGCTCATTGGAGGCGGTAGAGACGAGCCTAGAAATACTAAATGAGCCACTATGAAAGCTAGTCATTGTGCGTTGGCCACATACCCGGCGAGCTGTTGTTCCTGAGAATCCAATAATAGGGCGCCTCCACCTCCTGATTCAAGCATCATCTCTATGAGTATCTTCCCGGCCTAGTTTGCGGTCAGTATAACTCATCTGTGCACAGAACAGCCAAGCTGACCGGTCTCCTTAACCCAGGCCCCCGGCCCACATCCATGAATATGCGATACAGAATATGGAGTAATCGTCGTCGGGCTAAGCGCGAGTGGTCTGTGGATGGTAGAGTTATCGATTGACTTTCCATCAAGCCATATCTGGCACTAGATTGAGGCCCATCCTATTTGACATTAAAATCGCGACAGCTTCCATTCAGGTATTTGTATCCAAACCAGCAATATGTAAAGTCCTCGCTTCTGACCAGCTTCGATGCCTGAGTTGAGTAATATATAAGCCAGGCATCGCAGAGTTACCGTATCCAGCAAGTGAGGGTTTATGCTAGTATTCTTGTCCAGAGCTGAAAGAATTTCTTCAACGCTGTCGTTCTTCGCCGGATTTTCATCATATAAAAAGGTGTCAACTAGGTCACTTGAGAAACTATATATTGTTAGAGAAACAGCGGCTTCAGCTGAAGCACTCGATACTGACAGTATCCCCGCATCTTCTTGTGTTTTCGAGGCCGCACTTTTCAGTTGAGCGATTAGGGATAACTCTGCCATAGAATGAGAGGTTTGCCTGTCGTAGCTTGGGTCCAAAGGCGTTGGGGACATTTCTTGCTAATAGACTGAAGAGTATGAATGGAAAGACCTTAACTCAAGGTATATGTCATGAAAGACGTGGATCTGGAATGAGTGTACCATCACATGATGTTGTCTATCGAAAGGAAGATACAATTTAAACCCGCAGCAGTGCAATGAACAACTAGTTTCGCCGGGAAAGTCACTCCCAATGACTCGAGCCACAGGACCTTCCTAACAAGTTTTACTACAGGAAATGACAAGAAATCATGAATAGGAGTATATTGGATTATAAATCAAGGAGGATAAGCTTTCGCTTTTTGCTCTCCGCTATCGCTATCTTAATATTCTTGATGAACTAGAGGCTATTGAATCATCCTATCCTGTCTATCAGTCCATTGGCGTTTTGAAGGCTGTGTTTGAAACTCAAGTTCTTCATTGCTATTCTGTATGCATTATGTGCCCTATTGCTGGAGGTCAGCCTAGATATTCCAGGATAAAATATACTTATTGACATTAAAGGTAGTAGTAGTGAGCATAGTGAGTAGGAAGAGAACATAGCCCTGGATGTTTCATCCCAAAGGGGTCAAGTGCAAGGGGCTCTCTGCCAAGACCCGCCGGCAGCCAATGTCAGGTGCACCTCATGCATAAAGGACCCCAGATTTTGACATTGTAGTGCAGATGGCACCATCGCAGTTTATTGCTAATTTCATACTATTTAACATATTGACTGTCCAGTTTGACAACCGTTGAATATAAACTGCTCCCGACTCCGCATCCATTTTCGAAAAAGCCTTCAACAAGGCAAAAGCAGGATTACCAACAAGACCCATCCGATAGTGTAATCAAGCACGGTCCCTGACAGATCCGTTCCGCGCCGGCACTCATTCGCTCCGTGTCCCGACACTGACATGTTTCTGGACACCAAGCAGGCAATGAAAGGTCTACGTGGAAGGAGAACCATGATAGTCAGACGGCACATTGATTGGTCTGCTCATTCTCCCAGACCAAGTTGACTAATCTATAAATTCTAGCGGACGTACCATGCGTCTTGCTATCTCAACCACGAGAATCCCCCATTCATTGATTAACCGCTGATTATTGTATAATGGGGATACCATATCTTGAAAATCAAATGCAGGAAGATGGCCCTAGGGCCATTTCCCCACCATCAGCAGTGCGTGGTACATTCCAGCGGCTGTGGGAGCTCATTCCCGGGATCCGCAGCAAGACTTCAACACCTAGTTCGACAAGTTGCTTCCTTCCCGAGACGACGTCAGAGAGGCGACAAGTGTCGGTTGCAAAACAGTCCCTCGAGAGAGATGAACACCTTGCCGAACATCTCCCTAAGATCCCCAGCCAGTACGATGACCAAAACGAACCATGTGCTCCACAGAAAACCGTCCTATACCTCGCCTACGGCTCAAACTTGGCCTCGAAGACCTTCCGGGGGATGCGAGGTATCAAACCCATCTCTCAGATCAATGTCATCGTGCCCGAGCTACGATTGACTTTCGATCTCCCTGGATTACCATACCTAGAGCCTTGTTTCGCAGCGAGCCAATTCTGCGACACCTCAGGCAAACGAACGAATACAGACAATGGCACGCACAATGGGTTGGATGAGGATATAATATCAGAAAGCACAACGCTCATCCCACAGAAAGAGCCCGATTATTTGCCCGACAGTCCTCTGATTGGTGTCGTGTACGAGGTCTCCCTTACCGATTACGCTCGCATAATAGCGACAGAAGGAGGCGGGAACGGATATAAGGATATCGTTGTAGACTGTTATCCATTCCCCAAGTCTTACGATCCTGCCGACCCCATCCCTGCCTGTCCAGAAACTAAGCCGTTCAAAGCACATACCCTACTCGCCCCTGAAACGAACATAGATGAGTTGTCTCGGCGCGCCCATACACAACGAACGAGCTCGTTTTACCCACGATCTGGCCCCATTGTACGAAAATCAGGCTATCCTCAGCCGTCTGCTCGCTACCTCAACTTGATCATGACAGGGGCTGTTGAGCATAATCTCCCTACCTCGTATCGGGCGTATCTTTCTCGGGTACAGACGTATCGTATCACGACTGTTCGTCAAAAAATAGGCAAGGTGATATTCGTAGTAGCCTGGGGCCTGCCTATGCTTTTGATACTCAGTCTCTCAAGGGTGCTCGCCGGTGCGGATGGTCGCAGTCCGCAGTGGCTGATGAAGCTGTCGGACATCATGTTAACCACGATGTGGGGTTCGTACGATAATATATTTTTCCCACTTTTCGGAGATGGTGAAAGAACTATAGAAAGAGAAGGGTGATTGAATTTTCAGCTCATGTATAGCCAAGACAAGTCGGTGGTAAAAAAAGAAAAAAACCAATACATTAAATACATTTTCAGAAACTCTTTTGCTAAGTACCTGCCCATGGAACCGTTCAACTGTCTTTGAAGTGCAGTAATGACAAATGCCGAGGCAATATTGTCCCGCTTCGGACAAAATGGTCTACCGCATGATGAAACAAAGTCCATGTATGGAAGTAGACAAAGGAAATAGTGAAATTGGGTCTTCAAGCAAGATTTTCAAAGGAGAAAAATATCTAGGGTACAGATACAGGTGTCCTGAAATAACATCTAACAAAACATGTAGAGACCAGACCATACACAAAAGCGAGTGATAAGGGACGCTGGCGTAACCAACTTAATAAGGTTGGATTCGATTATTCAAGGCTCTCTGGCCACCGCTAAGCCCCTCACACTTTGCAGTTTATGCAGTCCATTACATCATTCAGCGGCGGGAGACAGGGGGGCTGTACACAATCTTCCTTGTCTTGATCGGAGACCACTTGTAACGCTTGACCCAGACGCTAACAGCGAAGAGACCGGTAAGGAGGGCGACAGCCTTGACACCCATCTTCTTACGGTCGTCCATCTCAGGCTCGGCAGCCCAGTTAAGGAACTCGACAACGTCCTTGGCCATCTGAGAAGTGGTGGCAGGAGTGCCATCCTCGTACTCGACAACACCATCGAAGAGGACACGAGCCATGGCAATAGCTATAACGAGATTAGCCTAATCAAAACAAGAATATCCTAGATATTCGGAAGAGCATACCGGTTCCAGGGAAGTAGGGGTTGAAGTTCATGCCCTCCTGGACAGTGGCACCAGCCGGGGGCTCATCGGGGTAACCAGTCAACAGACTGAAGATGTAGTCGCAGCCACCGTGGCGACCCTTGACGATCAAGCTAAGATCAGGGGGCAGAGCACCACCGTTGGCAGCACGGGCAGCCTCCTCGTTCTTGTAAGGAGCAGGGATGTAGTCCGATAGCTTTCCGGGACGCTTTTCGATTTCGCCCTGGTCGTTGGGCTCGGTGTCGTACTCGTTCTCCTCAGCCATGGCCTTCATCTCATCGACGGTGTGCATAACACCGACGAATGAACGCCAAGGGACACGGGTCAAGGAGTGACAGCTGGCGCAGACTTCACGGTAGACCTGGAAACCACGACGAAGGCTAAGAGGGACCATGTAAGCATGAACTTCATGACATGCTGTTGAGGCAAGGAGAACTGGGCCAGTTCTAGGAGTACTCACGCAGCGTGGTCGAAGGTCTTGTTCCACTTGGCATGTTCCCAAGGGTAGCTAGTAGGGTGCAACCTTTAAATCAGATGTGTCAGCCTTATCACAGTCTCGGCTCCTAAGATGACGATTCGGTCGGAGCAACGGAGGACAAATGGGTAGTCAAGCCCGACCGACATCGTAACCAATCCACTCACCCTTCCTCAGCAGGGGTCGATGCAAAAGCTTCCTGGCCATAGAGATAGGCGGCGGATCCGACGGCAATGGCGGTTGCGACAGACGCAGTGACTGTGAGGTTGAAGGGGGAGCTGGCGGATTCGGTACCGGCGGCGGAGGAAGAAGCACGCTGGATGGTTTATCAGTGCTGAGTTCTTGCAAAAGCCTCCAGGATGAATTCCAAAGCAATTGTCCTCATATATAGGGCCCAATGGACGTCAGATATCGGAGAAGTGCGTACCGTGGATGCTCTGTTCAAAGACTGCCGTGCGGTACCCCGGAAGGGCACGCTGCGCAAGACAGTACGTGCCAGCATACTGATGATATGGAGAACCCTCTGATCAATGGATAATCAGGAAGGCACAATAGCCAAGAAGAAGGAGAGGGGAGGGGGAGGGGGTCGTGGTGCGCACTGGAGAATGTGCTTTTGGAGGTGAAGTTGAGGTTGTCGGACGGTCAAGTTTCTCTTGGGTTTGGAATTGCCTAAACCCTCACGCTGATTGGCTGCCGCCACGGCTCTAACTGCCTTCGGTGAAAACCGCGACTTTTCGGAACAACAAAATTCGACCGATAAATCAGCGGCCACATGATGACAAGCCAACAAAAACAAACCATTTATCTTTCTTTACAACAGTACTCGGGAATCTACCTCACTTTCATGGTTGTATTCTTAATTAAAACTCCTCCCCCCAGATTGATCCGCTTTTGAAATCAATTGCTCATCCGAGTGAACTTTCGCCCTCCACTTTCCCTCTGTGTAGTCTCTCGGTCCTTTCAATTATTGTGCTTCTGCCTTGGCCTGAGTTTCCGACGTAATCCCCGTACGCAGGGCATGAACAGCCTGCCGAATATTACATCGGGCACTCTTACTATACAGCACCAGAGACAAAACAGGTAGTCGTCTGATAGTCCGTCCACTAAGATTCTAATAGACTTGTTAGAAGAGCTCTGCGACAACATACAACCAATAATCATTATGCAAAACACAAAAAGTTACTCACCATACTCTCCAAAGCTGCGTCACCAAGCTGCTTGGGAACAGCGCTTGAAAACATCTGATAATTGAGAAGCATTTCATCAAATGTGGGTAGCATTAGAGTCTCCGTAGCCTGCTCCACATACTGTAGTGCAGTCTGGGGATTCTCGGGGTTCACTTGAACAACATCAAACGAAGACCCTTCGATGATCCCACACCGGCTCAATTCTTCTAGACATTCTTTGTAAATTCCGTATATAGCTCTGTTGGATAGATATGGTATGAATTGCTTAATATCGACCCTATCGAGAAAGGCTTGGTCCTGCGCAATCGAACTTCAACCATGCATTATTGAATCATCCGATGGAGTGCTTACCAGAGCTGTGACCAAATTGCTCGTACATATAACGATAACATTGGCATGAGTCTTCAATTTGTCCAAGCCTGTGAGGAGTGCGTTTACCGCACGCACAGCATCAAATGGCTCATTACCACCCAGTGCTCGTTCTCTCCCAGCTGCCAGAGTCTCTATCTCATCGACGATCACACAGACAAATGTATCTTCTTCTTCTTCAAGCAATGACTCAAGGTACTCAAAGGTCTTGCTTACTAATTTTCCGCTTTCTCCGAAGAACTTGCTACCGAGCGAGTGAGCATTTATTTCAACCAACTTGCTTTGGGGATAATGTTTCCCGATGCGTATTGCAAGTTTCTGAGAGAGACCACGGCTAAAGGATATCAGTTAAGAATAAACCAGGAGAGCTAATATTAACGCACCAAAGGCTTGTTTTTCCTGTTCCAGGGGGGCCCCATAGAAGGACCAATCTGTTCCAGTTGATCGTCCATTTGTTAAGTTTTCGGGAAGAGAACGATACTAGAACAAGTGATTAGCCGGGTTTACTTTGTCGCAGGCAATACTCAAGGTTCTCACCCATCCTGGTTATTGCACGAAGCAATGTAGACTTGAGGGGCTGATCAAACTGCAACCTATTACATACTATGAGTTGGCATTATCCAGATATCAAGTCAGTCATAGGAATTGTCGTACGACTCCCACAGTCCGTCCAGCTCTCTGCTCGGTAGGTTTAGTACTCTCGCTCTTGGATCGTCGTCTTTGTTCTCCATACAGTCCTCTGGAGGCTGGGTGTGTTGGGAGCTTTCTTGCTCGAATGGTGTGCGAAGCTGATATGCCTGGACATCAAGATTGACTTGCTGGAGTCTATATGCTCCAGACTCTAAATCTCCCCCAGAGCAGTCGGTGACAACCACGGAATCTATGGCTTGAGCATGTGGCTCGCTCAGGCCTTCTAGTTCGTTATCAGCGATCGGGGTAGAACGTTTCACCTGGATGTGGCACTCATACCAAAGGAGGATATCTCCTGTCCGAGGGTGAGAACGACGAAATTATCAACTAGCCATTTTGTGACCTCTTCCCTAATCTGTTGGTTTAAGCTTAATACCCCCCTAAGTTAATTAGATATTCATATATTTAGGGGCTGTGTACCAGGTCAGTGCGAATGATAATGCTGTCTCCGTTGTTTTTGACACGCGCTTCGACGTGAAGAATAGGCCGTTGGAAGACTTCCATCAGGAGCGTGGCACAGATAGCAAATACTAGATTTCCTGTGAACTGCCAGGGATCTGGGGAAGAGTGTAAGAAGGTAAAATGAGTCAGGAAAATGTAAAAGAATTATTATCTTCGATCAACTGTAGTCATGGGTTTTGTAACTATATAGACCTTGCCCGTGACATAGAAGAGTCTACAACGTCCACCGCCTATTCTTTTCCTTCAACTACAAGACAGTAACCTTTCGTTTTAATTCACTTTCTGGGGCCTCAACGGCATTTTCATTGGCGTGCTTACAATTTTTGCGAGATTGTTTAGGGGCATAAAATATGTATCCACTATCTTCGAGTCTCTGATAGATACTCCTGCGTCTCACTACTCTGATTAAGATCGGAATCGAGTCTATTTCAGATTGCTGGGTAAAGAATACTAATGGGATGAAGTGAGGTTACCCGACATTTGGTCAGTCAATATCGGCCAGAGGGTGATACTTTGTTCATTGACCTCCACAGTCTATAGACTTATGGCTTGGTCGCGCGTCAACACTTCATGAGTCAACAAGATATAAAATACTTATGTTTTTCCCGCAATCACTGCATCGAGTTTCACCGATAAGATGATATATAGTATCCCATCGATTACATGTGAGACCTAATGACACCATGGCAAGTATTCAACAAACATGTTTCCCTCTCAGCAATCATGCACATAGCTTTGAAATAACAATTTGAAAACACATTGATCGTTGTACAAGAAAGATAATACATACTACAACTAATTGATCATAGACGTATTTGTCGTCTAAACTCTGATCACGTGGCATGGGTCCCTTATGGCTCGTTGGCCGGAAAAGGAAAGCATCCGGCCGATCTCCTTGTAAACTCTGGGGTTTGCGCCAGAGCTATTGCATGGTCGTGCGAGATACCGACTGTTTGTACATTGGGCCTCATAGCTTACTTTCACGATGAACTATTCTACTTATGAACACATACCTTAGTCGTTGCTTTCGGAACGACATTCTCCATTCTGCCCCAATTCGTGTGCCTTGCCCCGCGGAGCGAACTAGTCGGGAGTTGATTTGGCCGTCCGAGCTTTCGGCAGTACCAAATTGGTCACGAACTTAAAGTGCATCCTTCTCTTTCGATGCATAATTTTAAAAGCCAAAATGCCACCTAAAGTGAGCAATGGGACAGGAACTGGTGGGAAGCCGCGCAGGGACGTCCTGGCTTCGGTCAGAATGGCCTCTATGGACCAAGTCTCCAGGGCTGCTCTTCCAGCTGGTATGCTCGACCTTGGAAGAAAGAAGCAATGCACCATATAGCTAACGAACAGTAGAAATAATGTCCTCGATCCTTGATTACCTTTCCCCTGTCGACCTGATTCGAGTAGCACGATCGTCGAAACTTCTGCGCGAGATCGCTTACGATGACACAAGATGGGTACAGTGGCTGAAACGTATGGGCTGCTGGAACGAACTGGAAGCCAGGAAACATGTTGAAGAAGAATTTGGAACCATTGCCAACGTTGAAAGCATCAAGCAGAAAGAAATGGCAGAACAATTTCAGCAAACATCGCACGCTGGCACAGGCATGGAAAATAGACCTGAGATCAGTCTAGACACTCTGTCGGACGGCTTTGACCAAATAAAATTGTCCACACCTGCTAATACTGGTACTGCAAAAGAGTTCGAAGATGATCCAGTATTGGGTGCATTACAGCAGGTGAGATCAGTGCGCGGGGAAGCTCGCAACGAATACGGCAAGGTCCACGCTGCTCTTGCGCCGTTCTACAATGATATTGCCACTTCAGGAGCCTCGCCAGATAATCTTCTATTCCAGAAATATATCAACCCACAACACCAAGCACAAATCCTCTTTCAGTTGCAAGCTTTCGCCAAATGTGACTTCACAGACGGTTGGCGTGAAAGGTTATCCCATCTTCAGGAGGCTATATCAATGTTTGAAACGGCTGCTGTCAAGGAGTTCAGACACGGGTACGAAACCGAAGACATCGACAATAGGATGCGGCAATATGCTCACGTACTGTACACTTTGAACGGCGGAGCTGCAGCTGTCGAGCTCTTCATTCACCATAATCATCTCGTCACACGAAGGTCGGATTATGGTGCACCAGGAGACTGTATTGATGCATCCTCTCGGCGAGTGAAACTTGAACAGACGCAAGCATTCTTTACTCGACTGAGTGTTTCTTACAATGAAGAAGTTTCGATCATCAATCGCGCCTTCCCTCCATCGTTGAAGGTGGCCTTGCCATTCATTGCGAAGGTTGGACAAGATGTGTTATGCCCATTTTTGACCGCAATATTCGATGAATTACACCGTATTGATATAGAATCGTACTTGACTGCCGTCTCGAGCACCTTCGCTCAATGCATGAACTTTTCGGAAACTCTTTTACCAATCCAAAATTCAGCGGTTGATTTTGACGAATTTTTGGAGCATGTCATTGCCAAAGTATATGAGCCACACATAGATTTATATCTTGCAGAGGAATTGGACTATTTTCGGAAGCGCTCGGAAGCTGCAGTGGACGAATGGGATAAACAACTCTCAGAGCATGCTGCCTCGACAGAATCATTTCTAATGTCAAATATAAATAGACAGGCTGATAAGAGGGACTTTTTAACTTCCTTCAAGAAAGTTATTATGGCCCCTGTCAACCTCCTTCCGAGCTTTTCAGGGACCAAGGCAAACGAGCCAAAGCCCGATGAGTCTTCTCCTAGCGAATCCTCAGCATTGAAGAGTCAAAGCCGATTTTCAACCATTTCTATACCTACTACGCCTGTGACCGAGGCCCCGACCACCGAGCTTGCAGCCAAGGCCGCCATTATGAAATCAAAGATGGAAGGTATCCGATCCCTTTTCAGCATCGAAGTCGCCTTGAGCCTAGTTCATGCTGCGAAGTCAAGCTTGGAGCGAGCTGCTCAGTTCGTTCGGATAGGAGGGGAGACAGGTGCCGCTACAAAGCAGCAATGTGAGGCGATATTTGTCGCCCTGGTGCGCATCGTGGGGCATCGGCATCTTATCGTTGGCTTCGACAAAGCCGTCGACCATCTGTCTAACTACCGACCTCGCGAACAAGGGGAGCGTGATCAGTCAGGTGTTGAACCCTTGGTGACGTTCTTAGAGCTGGTAAATGTCGGTGACCTTATCCTCCAGATGATCGATGTCTTTTATGAACAGGAACTTATTGGCTCGAAATTGACCGATCGTAACGATTTCGTTGATCCTGCCGTGAAAGAGAAAAAGAAGTTTGAGCAGAACCTTGATGAACGAGTTGCTGCAGGGCTCAACAAAGGAATTGACGTCCTCATGGAGGAAGTCGATTACATTCTGGCAACACGGCAGCTAGCGACAGACTTCAACCCCAGCGTTTCTACAAATCCTCACCGAAAGACTATGGATGTAAGCGTTTCTGAAGCCGCCGTTGCTGTGGTGGATGTAGTTTCATCGCATACGCAGATGCTGGTCGGAAGTACGGACAAGAGCACACTTGATGTTTTCAACCAAGAGGTGGGGTTGCGTCTTTTTACAGCCTTGTGCAAGCATTTGAAACGCCAGAGGATCAGTGTTGAGGGGTCTCTGAAACTCATCAGGTAAAGGCATATTCTCCTTATCGAGTCTATCGGCATGTTTTCGCTGACATATCTTAGCGATATGAATCACTACTTCAAATTTATCCAAAATTTCAGAAACAATGAACTTCTTGACTACTTCAAAGCTTTTCGTGAACTCTCCCAAATTTACCTCATTGACCCTTCGGACGCCAAAGAGTTAGCGACTCTCATTGCCGACTCGGACCGGTTTCAGGGAATCTGGCGAGTAGAAGAGGTATACGAGTTCGCCGAACGACGAGCAGATTGGTATCAAGTGAAACGAGACGTTGAACGAGCCATGTATGGGATTGGGTGCAATGTTATGTGACGAACGGGATTTCAAATTATACCCACGACCTGTAAATATAGAGGAGAAATATCCCCATTTTCGCGATGCATATATACTTTGATGAGCAGATGGATATGTTGTTATAGGACTCCGGAACAGCCGGAATCTATGAATGGGCTGGTATATATATATATATAATATTCCATGAATGATGTAGCCTTGTCTCCGACCTAGACTCTAGAATTGAAGCTAGTTGTTGATATTGGGGAAATTGACGCCCGAAGAACGCCTGACGTCAGAGAGCGGCTGCTGGAGAGATTTATTTGGTGACCGAACACCTCTCAACCACTCATCTCTCCAATCCCCATCTCACCTGCAGAATTCTCCTCTATAAAAAGCTGAGGCCTGCAGGAATACCTGTCAGTCACGTCGTTGAGCCATACGTGAGGTTATTTTTGGCATTGGCGAATTTCAACCCCATACTATGAATGAGCCCGGATCCCCACCTAACTAGTCAAACATAGGTTCTGATCTACTTGTTTACTCAATAATTTGATCAATCAGACGGTCCGTTCTCATCGATCTACCCACTGTCTCTAGATCTGAGCTGTCATGATATTTGACCAACAAACTCAACTAATATCATCCCACAACTTCACACATCCAAAACGCCATCATAAGATCAACTCCATAAAAGTGCAAAGAACTCGGAAAACCACGGAATGCCCACTATCTTCACTCACAAGCAGCTAAGATGGTTAACGCCATGTCTCCAGCTTCTCTTCCTCGTCATGCTGTTCACCAACCCAGCAAAAGCCCAACAAACAGTCGAGACAACAGTCCTAGTGACAGTAACACCCACACCCTCATCACCGAAACCACCCTCTTACACATCACAAGAGGTATTCAAAGACGCAATGCTCGCCAGCAGCAACGCCTACCGAAAAGTACATAACGCAAGCAATCTCGTCTGGAACGAGACCTTGACTCGATACGCCAAAAATTGGGCCGAGGGCTGCAAATGGCAACATTCTGTACGTTTCACTTCCCTTGTATCTCTATCTACCTCGTTCCTGTTCCGGGTACTTGATTCCCGGGGGGGGAACCGATTTAAAGGTTAGTTGTACTTATGCATGTTTTATATATAGCACGGTCCGTACGGCGAAAACCTCGCCTTCGGGTACCCTAACGCCTCGGCCGCAGTTTCAGCTTGGGGTGATGAAGGTCGTTTGTACGATTTCAAGAAACCGACCGGGTTCTCTGAGGAAACAGGGCACTTTACACAGCTGGTCTGGAGGGCTACCACGGATGTTGGATGCGCGGCTATTGACTGCGCGTACGGGAATGATACCGATAACCAGAAGCGCGGGGATACAGGTTCGTATACAAGGGCACAGGGATGGTATGTGGTTTGCGAGTATTCGCCGCCGGGGAATGTAATGGGAAATAGTAGGACTGCTGGTGGTGAGATGGGATTCTTCAAAGTGAATGTGCAGTCGGCGAGTACGTATTCGGGACCATATCCGACACAGTCTGGGAATCCTCCTGCTAGTACGACCAGCGCAAGTAGTGCGGATCGAGTGACTGTGACTTTCGGGTTGATTTGGAGTTGGATTGGGGTAATGCTTTTGGTGATGTGTTAAAAAGATGAGTGTTTATGTGTAGACATAAAGGTAGAAGAATCATTCCTTTTCGGGTACCAACTGGATGGAAATGTATACAAAAACATCTTACTTCGTTAGCCTTGCATATGCTGTCATCTCTCATGCTACCAACATTGCGCACATGACAGTCTCCAGTCAGGAGATACGCAATACACATCTATTCACTTTTTTTTGAAATTCCAAACAACCTTGGCCGGAACAGAGCCAAACGGATCACAGAAGAAGCTCACAGGGAAAGGATGCAGGTGGGGCTTCGAAGAAGAAGATGAGGATATCGACAGACAAGATGTAGAAATGAGGAAAAGAAAATAGAAAGTGACATTAGATACGAAAGACATGACCCAATCAACCAATAACTTCCTCGTTCTCCTCGACAATCTCTTCCACAATCTCTTCGACAACGGTCTCGCCCTGGTCCTCGGAAACTGGGGGCGCATCCTTGGCGTTCTTGGGATCGTCTGCATTGTCGGGGATACCGTAGGCATCCTTCTCCTCGGCCATGAGCTCCTTCTCCCGGCGGATCCAGGCAACCCATTCGTTGAGAACACGCTTGCGCTTTTCGACAACTGCCGTGTTCGCAATGTCGACAGCGTACTTGTCTTCCTCATCGAACTCCTTGGAGTACTCACGGAGGTTCTTGCGTACTTGTTTCTGCTCCTCCTTGCTCAGAAGAGTGGCTGGGCGAGGACGCCAGACGAACTGCTTGAATTTATCGGTAGGGTTTTCGGCGAGCGTCTGACCGGCGAACGTGTGAAGGTTCCAGCCGTTTTCCATCTAGTAGAAATAAGTTAGTAGCAGTCCTTTGAACAAATCTATAGAACAAGATGCGATGGCCTTACCGAATGAGTCCACACACTAGCACTGCTAACAACGTAACGACCTGTGGGGTCCCAGTCGATATCTGTGACACCGTAGTGTTCCACGGTCTTCATCAATTGCAGGTTGGCAGCCAGGTCCTTCTCGCCCTCAGCCTTCTCACCCTCGAAGTCCATATCCCAGAAGTCCATGTCGAAGTTCGTTTGGGAGTGAACGGTACCGACGACGACGAACCGACCCTTGGGAGACCAGTAAATCGCATTGCTCGTCTTCTTCTCAATGGTGCGCACAAGCTTGAAGTTACCAGCCTGTGGGCCCTTCTTCTCAGGAGCGAAGAAAGAGACAGCAGTCTTGGGGCCAACGGCAGCGCCACTGGCGGCCTCACCCGTAGTGATGAGGACAAAACGTCCGCCATTGGGCTCCCATGCAAAGTTGATCACTGTATCTTTAAGACTGTCCACCACTTCAACAGGAACACCCTTCTCGCGCACCCGGAAAATCTCAAGGTTGGTAGCCATGGACTTCTTGGACTTGGAGTGGCGATCCACCTTGACACAAACGTAGGTACCTTGAGACTGCCAATGCAGCTTCACATCAGAGACGTTGAACAGGTTACGGGTTCGTACAATCTCCTTGGACGGGACGCTCATCAAGGCCACTCTTGCGGGGTTGCTGCCAATTTCAGGAGTCCAGAAGGAGAGAAGTTGTTCGTATTGCTTGACACCTTCACGGCTAACGGTTGCTGGCGACCATTCGAAGTCCATGACTCCATCAATCTTAACGGAAGTCTTACCTAGCAAGTTCATCCGAGGCAACTCGTAGATGGAGATGGACTGGCCCTGGAGCATTCTTGCGACGTACTTCTCATCAGCAGACCACTTGAAAGCGGGCCACTGGACCTTCTTCTTGGGGGCAGCATCGCCTTCAGCAGGACCAGCGGCGAGGTCGTGGGAAACGAAGGAACGCAGAGGCTTTCCAGAAACAATGTCCCAGACGATAATGTTCTTTCCATCCTCCTCGAATGACAAGATAGGGTGACCCTCCTCAACCTGAATGGGGCGGGCAGACCACGTCGTCAAATAGTTCTCACCTGGCGAGAACTCAACTAGCTGAACGAACGGATGGGGGAACTGCTTCTGTTTCGAAAATGCAGGACCGCCCCAGAGTTGCACACCCTGGGGGTGGACGGATGCAAGGTATGTACCCTTGGGGGACCACTGAACGAAGAGCTGTGTCCAATGAGCACGGTCGACGACGTTCTCGGGCGGGTTGTTCTTGTTGTTCCAGAAAACGCCAACCTTGTCGCCACGGTAGAGGGCGAACTGGTCACGGGCATTGGGGTCGGCGAGCCACGAGCGGAGGTGCTCCTTCTCCTTAAACGGTTCGACGGTAGGGGGCTTATATTCCTCATCGATGCGTCCTTCACGGCCGTAACGATCGATATCCATCAACTTGTTCACGGCGAGGGTGTGCTTCTTGTCGAGTGGTGTTCCGTGTAGCTGCTTGACTGCGGCAATGGCTTGATCGGCGGTTTCATATTCAACAAAGGCAAAACTGCACAGAACACAAATTAAACCTCTCCTTCATTTCCAGTATTTCCCCGGTACATACCCTTCGGACATGTTCTTATCGTTGAGTGGCATGAAAACGGCATCTTCGGAGGTGTGGCCGACCGCGTTGAGTTTCCTCAACAAGAACTTGATGAGCTTCGCTCTGCTCTCTTCCGGCACAACTGGGAGTCCATCGATGACGACAAATGTATCCAAACCCTCCTCGAGCTTCACTTCATATTGCTCCTTGAGATCTGAAGATGGGGGAAAGCGGTATTAGCGAAGAGGGGCCAGAGACAAACAATAAAAAACCAAATCGCACTCACCGGAGAAGTCAATCTCCTCCTCTTCCTCTTCGTGAAGATCCTGTTCACTCAGGGTATCGAAACTGGGCGCCATGACTGCTGAGGGGGCGTTCTGAGGCGATGGGGGTGGAGAGGAATCGAGATTGAGAGAGCCGCTCTGATTTTCTGCTGGTCGTCCCCGTTTTGCCTGGTTTTAGGGCAAAAAGAACAAATCCCAACCACAAGCCGCTTCTGTGTGCGAAGGCGCTGACTCAGCGTGTATACGCACGTGACGTCCCGACCCCAGTCGCCCGCATAGCCTAACCTTAGTTTACCGTAACCGACTTGTACTTCCATACAAGTTGGAGATCCATAACAAATCCGCGATCCTCACTCATAATCAATTCGTCCCAGATTCCTTTCCCATTACGGGTGTAAAGTGCTGGACGTTGTGGGCCGGCTTTCATCATTACTTCGTTTTGTATTTATCTGATCTATATTGGGTTCCTCCTCCGTTGGACCTTTTTGGAGAATTTCCCTCGCATATATATGCCCCGCCGGTCCTAAGCGCCAGCGCTACGCCCAGATCTGGACGATCGATCTTCGACAAGTACAATTCACGATCACCGTGACTCTTCTCTACTCAAACCAGCGTCACCGACCCCGTAACTTTGCACATTCTGCGATTGACACAATTTCCACTGCCTTCTCTCCTACCGAGAAGGTAACACAAGCTACTGTGTCAGGATGTCGCGTAAGTTTCGCTGGCTCTAATGTTTCCGGGTCGTGCACAAGCCGCCAAAGTCGCTCTGAACTGACATCATTCGCGATGCGCCAGTCTCTCCAGAAACCCGCGAACAATATGTTCCGATCATTGACTCAATTTTGGCCAAGAGTGACCTCAATACCATCTCCGAGAAGCGAATCCGTAAAGGGCTTCAGGAAGAGGTTGGCTATGATCTCACTCCGCAGAAGGTGTGTTCCCCGTCCTGTCACGTCGCAAAACTAGTCACTTCCACCCCACTTAAATTAATTGCGATTGTGATCTATGCTAACATGATCCTTTTCATTAGGCTATGATCAAGCAACTTATTATGGAGCGGTTCGACATCTTTGCCGAAAATGGCGGTATAGGTGCTTCCCCCGAGGCAGCTGCCCCTGCGACCAATGGCCACAGTTCGACAACTCCGGTTGAGGCCTCGTCTCCTACGCAATCCTCGAAGTCCCACAAACGTCAGACAGATAGCGTGGAACGTGAATCGGACAGGACCCCCCCAGTGAAGAAGCAAAAGCCCGATCATGACGTGGACGCTGATGCCCTTTTCGCTGCAAAGCTCCAAGCGGAAGAGAATATGCGTGCCCGTCCTACTCGTGGTGCTAGCACGCGCAAAGCTCAACCAGTGAAGAAGAAGACAACCAAGGCTAAAACGTCGAAGAAAGTCAAGGCGGAGGACGACTCAGACGTCGACTCCGGGTCCGAGACGAAGAAAGTCAACCGGTCGGGTGGATTTCATGTATGTACTACAACATCCTCTTGGATAGGCCTGCTACTAACAGACATACAGAAGCCGCTTACTCTTTCACCAGCATTGTCAGCTCTGTTAGGTGGTGAGGAGTCGGTATGTACTCTCCTTGGTTAAGCTTGCTGGACGTCATGGCCCGTATAGTAGGACTGTAAGCAGCTAATTTCTCTCAGCTCTCGCGACCCCAAACAGTCAAGAAAGTCTGGGCATACATTCACGAGCACGATCTGCAAGATCCCAGCGACAGACGTCAAATCCGCTGCGACGAACCGATGCGCGCGGTCTTCAAGCAAGACCGCATACATATGTTCACGATGACAAAAATCCTCAGCCAAAATTTGTATAGTCCTGATGAATAGCTCCTGTATCAAAGGAGAACCCTGCGACATACATAACCTTCAGTGGTTTTGCGCCATGTCCGTCGCTACATTTTACGAATATTTGCTTTTCTTGTTCTTTTTTGGTTTTTTTTTTTTTTGCAGCACCGCATATGATAACCAGGAGCCGTCTTTTTGATTGACAAAATCTTATGTTGTACTCAATTTACCCTCATTGGCAAAAGGATTGCCTCTCTTTTGTTAATTCATTTGCTTTCGTCCAGCGGGAGTTGGCACAGCCCTGCAGATTGGCGCGATGGATGTTGTCGGCGAAAGAATCTTTGCTATTTAAGATGACTCCTGTAGGGACGTCTTCTGCCATTGCATATTTCATGACATAGCATGAACAATACAGACTATTCTAGTACTTAGATGGTGGACCCGCGTACGCAGAGATTCGCGAATAAAAATAGTCCCCATACGTATATACTCCGGACTTGGAGATATTCAACCACACAAAACCACTTTTTTCTGCGACCAGCATAAGTAAATATGTGGAGGACAATTGAGCCGAAAAGGGGCGAGTTAGGAATTGAATCAAGAAATGACTTGAGGCGAAGAGATCAATTCGTGTGAGTCGAAATGACGGCGAGAGTAGTCATCGCGGAAAGGTTAATTTTATAAAGTAGTTATTTTAAAGCTGCTCACTAAGCATGCCGACAGCCAACATTTTCGCCCGCCGCTCTTCAGTTTGCTCCCCCTCACTGCCACCGACCACGCCAGGATTGTCAACCCCGCAGAATAAGTGCTTGTCGCGCAGTGCTAGAAGGAGCGCCGAGCTCTTCTAATCCTTGGGAGCTGTTATCCGGGCTTTTGTCCCTTTTCTGTGAATCAACTTTCGTCGTACCAACTGCCGCCTTTGTATCCACTCTCGATGTCTGACACTCAACCACCTCAAGGCCCCGGGTCACAAGGACCAAAGCGTGGTGGTCGTCGCGGACGAGGAAGAGGAGCAGGCCAACCTTCGGGGAAGGTTGAGAACTCGCAACAGTCGACCGATAGTGCCGGGAGAGGCTCAAAGCCCAGGGGTAGTGGACCCCGCAGAGGAGGGGGTCGAGATAAGCAGAACCGCAGCGCCCCTAGCAAAGAGCCCGCACCGAAGACCAGTGGACAGCCATCTCAAGTGCCGGCTACGGGGACAGAAGACAAGGGCAAGCAGGCGGCGCCGACAGATGACGCCGATGAAGGGGAGGTCTGCTTCATTTGTGCGTCAAATGTCGAACATACTTCCGTTTCGCCGTGTAATCACCGCACTTGCCATATCTGCGCGCTGAGACTTCGGGCGTTGTATAAGAACAAAGCTTGTGCGCATTGTCGGGTACGCCTGAGAGTTTGACCTAAACACCATTGAGTACCTTGGGGTTATACTAATGTCTGTCGTTCGGAATAGACTGAATCGAGCCACGTGATCTTTACGAACGACCATGTGAAGCGTTTCGAAGACTTTACGGACTCGGATTTCTCTCAGAAAGACGATAACCTCGGAATCAAGTATGAAAACAACGAGATCTTTGAGGACACGGTACTCTTGCTACGATACAATTGTCCGGACACAGATTGCGATGTGGCTTGCTTAGGATGGCCCGACCTGCATCGCCATGTTAAAAGCAAGCATGGCAAGGTAATGTGGTATGTGACAAGCTCCGGAACCATTATAGACTAGCATGTTACTCATCTCTGATCTTTCGTACAGTGATCTTTGTACGCGAAACAAGAAAGTGTTCACCCATGAGCACGAATTGTTCACTGTGGCAGAGTTGCGGAAACACGAAAAGTACGGAGATCACGTTCCCGGAGCTATTGAGCAGAGCGGTTTCAAAGGCCATCCCGAGTGTGGTTTCTGCCGTCAACGATTCTATGGTGACGATGAACTATATGCTCACTGCCGCGACCGTCATGAAAGGTGCCACATTTGTGATAGACGGTCTGTCAATCGTCAACAACAGTATTATATTGATTATAATGCGCTCGAGGATCACTTCCAGAAGGACCATTTCCTTTGCCTTGATAAGGAGTGCTTGGAAAAGAAGTTTGTCGTTTTCGAATCTGAAATGGACATGAAGGCCCATCAATTGGAGTGCCATCCAAACGGTCTCTCCAAGGACGCGAGACGCGATGCACGAACTGTGGATCTGTCAGCTTTTGACTATAGGACACCCTATCAACCTCAAAGACAACGGCGTGGCGCTGGACGTGGGCGCGATCCAAATGCAGAGCCTCTTCCAGTTTCCTCTGCACAATCATTAAGACGAGATGAAATCGCCTACCAGCGACAGGTGGCCATTCAGAGTGCGCAGTCTGTATCAACCCGCAGCTTTGGAGGACAATTGACTCGCAATGATACTCAAACCGTGCACGCTCCCGCACGCGCTTCAGCCGCTCGAACACCCCCAGCTGCGTCTACTCCTGTGCCAGAACTACAAGATCTCAGCCTCAGTCAAGATTCTGGGTCTGCTACACCTCAGGAGCAGGCACGCCGTCTGCGTCATGCGGCCGTTATTGAACGTGCCTCTAACCTCCTTGGCAATGACCGAAACAAACTAAATGAATTCCGCTCCAGAGTGTCTACCTATCAAAAGTCTTCCCTATCCGCCACTGAACTCATCGACTCCTTTTTTTCCCTTTTCGACACATCCACCACTGAGCTAGGCAAGCTCGTCAAGGAACTCGCAGAGATTTACGAGGAGGATTCCAAACGTACCGCACTATTGAAAGCGTGGAATGACTGGCGCGCAATCAATGAAGATTATCCAGCCCTGCCAGGTCCTGGTGGCATCCTGCCAGGCATGTCTCCCAGTACCGTGAACGGCAGCGGTGCTGGAGGCAAACGCGTCCTTCGACTGAAATCCTCAACCGCTCAGTCCTCCCGCTCTGCTGTCGGCAGGAGTGGCGCCCTTCCCTCAGGCTCATATTCAAGCAACCCCTTCCCACCCCTCTCCTCTACCGTCTCAAAAAAGCCATCCTCCACCAACTCCAATACCCCCTGGGCCACAGCGGCCCCTACATCTTACTCCGGTCCATCCTCCCGCCCTGTCACTACATCTAGAAACCCCTCCCGTCCCGCGAACACAAGCAGCGCCGATGCCTTCCCCGCTCTCCCTGCCGCCCCTAAACCAAACGTTCTCATGGCTGGTCTCACCCGCGGTACAGTCCGGGTCCGTTGGGATGGTCGGGACGCCCCGTCCACAAATGCCTGGGCCTCGGGCGGATCGGGAGCCAGTACACCTGGCGAACCGGATTCCGATTTCGGGGAGCCGTCTGCAGGCGGTGGTAAGAAGGGTAAAGGGAAGAAGGGAAAACAAACTCTTTTTCATTTTGGTTAGGAGGCATGACTACTATCTGTCCGTGTAGTCGATATTTATGGCTTTGTGCTATTTAGCTTCTGTTATTCAAGCGAGTCATAATAGATCAGTTAGACGCAATATTAAATAAAAGTGTTCAAGAAGTGATATTGATCTGGATGTAAAATCGGGCTGCCCAAGCTAATTTTCCCCGGACTTGTGTCTATGTAGAGTATATTCGATCTTGGGCAATCAATCAAGACGGTACATTATAACAATATAATAATCATTGACTGCCTGACATTCACAACTGAACCCATACCCGTTCTAACAAACCAACGAGTAGCCCTCAGACTTCCAGCAAACTACCATTCTCCGAAGCTTCATCCGAAGAGATCTCTATAATAAACCTTTCCTCAACCGATGACGTGCGAGGTGGTACCGAACTCCCCTGAAGATCTTGCCGGTGTTCGACAGAAACAGATCGGATTTCCTTGTCCTGGCCGAGGAGGACCCCTCCTGCTCTTCCTCATCCCCAGGATCACCACTAGTCGACACATCCTCGTCAATAGCAGTCATTCGCAGTGCAAATTCATCGTAAGGTCGCTTCAGCCATTTGCAGAGCACCTCACCTTCCATTTTACCGTCTCAGGCCTGCAAGAGCTGCTCTTTGAGTGAGGGAATCAGGTTTCGTTTCCGTGAGACGGCTAGTGCTTTTAGATTTGCTGTGGCACCGTTCAGCGAGCTGATTCAGTTTTTCTGAGACGGTTTGAGCGGTTCTAGCACTCCGGGTGGTAGATCGACGAGCTTGGCGAGGGCAAGGCCTTAGAGGCGATTTTGCTCGGGGCCTTCGGCTATTTTGTATTGCATGGTCATCTTCGAGGTATCGGGGGAGACCTCTGCCGCGAGATGGAGGCTGACGACACCGCTGCGTTCGGCCAGGATCACGGCTAGATCGGGGAAATGAGTGACAAACCAGAGGGGGGAGTGGCTTTTGATGAGAGCTTCTGCGATGGCGATAGCGATGGCTAGGCCGTCTGTTGTGCTGGTGCCGCGGCCTAGTTCGTCGACGATGACACCATGCTTCTCGATTCGATGTTGCGAAGGATAAAGGCCATCTCGCGCATCTCGGCTGCAAGTGTTGAAACGTTTGCTTCTAGGTCGTCAGAAGTTGACACGCGTGCGAAGAGCTGGTGCACAATGGGAAATGAGGCGTATTCTGCTGGTATGAAGGAGCCGATTTGTGCCATGATGGTCATTAGTGCTAGAGAGCGGATGTAGGTGGACTTACCGCTCATGTTACAGCCTGTGATGATCTGGAAATGCGACTGCTGTGTTGCGTAGGCATCTTTAGGAATAAATTTCTTAGTATGTATCTTCAGATGGGGTGTCGTCCTGATTTTATGGCTAGGGCATCTATTACATCTGTTAGCTCCGCCCGGACATAGTCGTGGCATGTGGCCAGCTGCGCAAACGAGGACAGCATATCGAGCATAGCAATAGCCTCACTAATTTTGAAGAGGTGGGCAATCTCGGCACGGATATCTTGGATCAGTTCCTGAACGGTCTGATCACTCATGCTGATAACCTCGTTATGTGCATGAATAATTTTCTGGTTCAATTTGACCAGGTCAAGGGTTTGGCATTCCAAGCGGTTTTTCTTGCGGTATACGTTGATGAATACTTCAGGAATGGTGTCTATTTCTGTGGCTGATATGCTAATATAGTATTGACGTGCCGTGTCGAATTTCAGATCAAGAGCAATTCCGTGAGACTCTACGATATATTAAAAACACTTTTAGCAGAATGGGAACCGATCCTATCCACTTACCTGATAGCTTCGCAATCAGGTCTGCAGCATCCATGTTGGAGTCCTTGTATGTCTACCTTGCAACATCGAGTAGGCTGTTAACGCCAGCCTATGAACTCAGATTTAGGAAATAGAGCATAGCAAATCAAGTGCTATATACGTACCCTAGCACAGAATATACGTTGGTTCCTAAGATCAAGTGGCTTTGTTTGGTATGTCACGTATTCATTGAGGGTGGACTCTATTAGATCTTCAATTGTTCGATAGCCTGCAGTAGCGCATAGCTATAGTCTGGTTAGACTTGTAATTTAATAGGTCATTAGTGTTGCCGCTTCTTTGATAGTTAGCAACAGGCTGCTCTGGGCTGTTCCGAGTGCCTTGTACACCGATCTAATCGAAGATATATAGGTCTTCAACATGATGACATTGTTCACGGATTGTTCGACATATTGAAAGGTTCGTTTAATGGGAACGATTATGAGCTAGGCTGTCATATATAGGAAGCATCGAAAGGTTCAACTACTTACAGAGGTCAGGACACTTTATCTGCATCGATGAGGCCTTTGAGTGCTGTTGGGGATGCGGAAGGCCACGAGTTAGTATAGATCTCATCGCAGAAACATATTTCTCTGCTTACTGATGCAAACATTTCCCCTTTTGTAGATAAATCCTCTACGGCATCATATCGAGCTAATAATTTTGAAACCTCTGTAGAGGGTTGCAAAATGTTGGCTCTCAGGAGCCTACCACCCATTGGAGTGAGCGTTTCGTTTAGGAGACCAAAGAGACTGTCCTTAGACATGGCATTCTGAAGATTCTGGATCAACTCTAAGGAGACAATACTGGACAAGTCAATCAACATGGACCCCTGAGAGGGCTCGAAACGGATGCGAAGGGAGTACGAAGTGAAGGTCTTATTAAGCTCTAACTCAACATATTTCAGGACCTGCAAAAATTCAGCGAGGCTTGCACATGTGTTTTCTTCAACGTACTGCAGCAAAGCAACAGGTGGCAAAGTTCCTCCCAGGGTAATCTTGATAGACTCAACGTCCTCCGGGAAAGCTAGTCGGTCCATATACTCGTGGCCGGTCGGTCCTCTCAGACCAGTTTCTGCGTTCTAAGAAGGTGGATGTAGTTTCTGAAATATTTTCTTGAACTATGTAGAATAACTTGCAATCTTTAGCTGTGTTCATAAACAGGATCTCTGTGGGCTCAAACACCCCCGATCTTGATGGCTATTTTGACATAGGTCTGGCTGTCGCATATCCGACATAGAACCGCTTCCGCTGTTAAGAGGTTTATAAATGCAAGCCCAACGGTAGATGAGATGCCACGCGATTCGCTGACAGCGCATATAATATCCTGGGATGCAACGCTGGTTGCTGTCGTAACAGGTCTCGTCCGAGAGGGTCCACTGCTTTGCCTCGAGAGAGGGACGAATGAATTAGGGACCCCCACAGAAAAAGCTCTAGACATTAAGATAGGAATTTCACATCATGAGAAGATTTCTACTGAAGAAGGTCTTGTTAAGTCAATTTCCCGAGGTCGTTGAGCAAAGCAGGAGTAAGAAATAACACAAACCAAGTTGTATACAAAAGTGATAAAGAGCGGATAGCCACATCCGGTTTAGCGCCAATCCACTACTCCGCGATAAGTGAGATTTTTATGATCGCCGATGAAATTTTTGTTCAAAATAAGACCGACATCATTACAAACGAAACCCTTCATTCGAGTGGCAAAATGGCGACTCTTCTCCCCCCTCCGACTAAGCGCCAGAAGACAGAGGCAGCTGAAAAGGCGCGTCTGCAACAGGAGATCCAAAGCATCCCGGATAATCTGGGCAGTGTCCGAGTGCAATTCTTCGACCAAGCAACAGGATCTGCGACAGGACCTGCAGTGTCCGTCCCGGTGGCCGATGCCAACGTGAAAAATCTTGAGACTCTTTTGAATACATTACAAGGCAATGTAGGTATGCAAAGAGTGTAAATGTCCAATATACGCTTTGGGCTAATTTTACTTCTGCTGGTTATAGGACGATGATGAACGAGTACCGTATCGGTTCGCCTACCAATCCCAGGACAAAGACAACCAGACAATCGACATCCTAGCAGATCTCTATCACTCCTTACTCCATCCTGGGATCAAAACAACCGAAGATACCATCTCTCTATACTTTACCCCCCAGGCAGTATTCCGAGTGAAGGCTGTTTCGCGATGCGCTGCCTCGATAGCTGGACACGGCGAAGCCATTCTTGCGACTGCATTCTCACCTGTATCTTCTGCTACAATGGTCACCGGGAGCGGCGACTCAACAGCCCGAGTCTGGGACTGCGACACTGGAACCCCATTGCACACGCTGAAAGGACACACTAGTTGGGTTCTGGCAGTCGCCTATTCCCCCAACGGTGCGATTATAGCGACAGGTAGCATGGACAACAGCGTACGGTTATGGGATGCAAGGAAAGGACAGGCATTGGGAGGTCCGCTCAAGGGACACGCGAAGTGGATCACTAGTCTGGCTTGGGAACCGTACCACGTGCAACAATCTGGTCGACCGCGGTTGGCTTCGGCATCCAAGGATTCCACGGTCCGCATATGGGACGTTGTATCAAAGCGGATCGACACTGTCTTGACAGGGCACAAAGGCTCGGTTACCTGCGTCCGATGGGGCGGAATGGGAAAGATCTACACGGCTTCTCATGACAAGACTATCAAAGTGTGGGACGCCCAGAAAGGTACCATCATTCAGACGCTGCAGGCCCATGCGCACCGCGTGAACCACCTAGCCCTATCGACAGACTTCGTCCTGAGGACCGCCTACCATGATCACACCAAGAAGGTGCCTGAGACCGAGGCAGACAAAGTCGCCGCAGCCCGGAAACGCTTCGAGGAAGCGGCCACGGTCAACAACAAGATCACCGAGAGGCTTGTGTCTGCAAGTGATGACTTCACTATGTACCTGTGGGAACCAGAGAGCTCCAATAAACCGGTCGCCAGACTACTGGGTCACCAAAAGGAAGTCAATCACGTAACCTTCTCACCCGATATGGCATACATTGCATCCGCTGGATTCGACAACCATGTGAAATTATGGAACGGCCGAGATGGAAAGTAAGTAGATTAATAACTACTGTTTTCGTATACATGTCTAACTAGGAACAGGTTTATCACTACTTTCCGTGGCCACGTCGGTGCCGTCTATCAGTGCTGTTTCTCGGCTGACTCCCGTCTTCTGGTATCTTCGTCCAAAGACACCACACTGAAGGTGTGGAACGTCCGTACCGGCAAGCTAGCCATGGACCTCCCGGGACATAAAGACGAGGTGTTCGCTGTAGACTGGAGCCCGGATGGGGAGAAGGTGGGCAGTGGCGGCAAGGATAAGGCCGTACGGATCTGGAGAAATTAATATAGATACGGCAATAAAATTTAGAATTGCGATACCCTAAGTTACTACTCATTGTTTTCGATTATATACAAAAGGAGTGAATTAGTTCGGTTATATCGCGTCAAGATGAATAGTTTACACCATACCACAATCACCGCATTTGCGCGTCAACCACCTCACTCACACCTCTAATTAATCACAGAACAGGACAACATAATCAAATCCAGATTTAAATGTACTGCCAAGCAGCAGGGCTCTGGTCAGCTTTGGGAGCCAGAGCATTGAAACCAAGGCACTCATCCACATTGCCCTTGGGCACAGTGGCATTCTTGATGGCGGCGAACACCTGCCACCGGTTGTCCTCGGTAGGGCAAGCCATGAAACCGGAAGCACCCCAACCCTTAAAGGTGTAGTAGCCCCAGTTCTCACCGGGCGTGTACTCAAAGGGGCCACGGGCGGAGCCATCGGGGATGTATGCGGAGTGGGCCTGGGTGAAGGACAAAGCACCGTTGGGATCAACATAGACCTGCTGACCGCCGGGGACGTTGACATTCTATAGACGTTCGTTAGTAACAGGATAGGTGTGGAGATACGGGAAGCAGGAAGAACACACCAAGCCATAGCCACCAGGCGCGAAGACAGTCTGGTTACCGGGAGGGCAGTTCTCAGGGAGAGGGCAGTAGGAGGTCGTCTCTCCGCCCAGCCAGAACTTCTGGCCAGCGGCGTTCATGGGGAGGAGGTGGATGGGAGATGCAGAATGGGTTGCCATGACGCCGAAAGGAGGGTTCTCCGGGGCAGTTGGGGCCGCCGCCGCCAACAGAGGGAGGAGAAACGAAGGGGCAAGAGCGAACTTCATGTTGATGATGATGTTAACGATTGATTGTTGAAGTAAACTTGGAAGACGGTTGCGATGTTTTCAGGCCTGTCTGGTTGTGAGAGCCATGTTTTAGAAGGGTCGACCTCGTATTTATATCCGGTGGACGAGAGATATCCATGGATACAAGGCATCAGACAACATTCTGCAGCTCCTGGGAGCCATGAGGACGAGGTTACATTGCAGTCGGGGTCGACCGCTGCAGTTAAATCACTATCTGGATCCTAACCTATCAGGACATAATGAGAAGACTGATCTGGTGCACTGTTCAACCGCTAAAGTGAGACCGCATCTCGGCGATGTGATAGTTTGTCACGGACAGGATTTATGACGTTGTGGCGTGGGGTGAAGAAACGGGGAATTTGTTTAGTGACTATTTAGATAATGATTATGTACCCTCACTGTCTCACTTTTCTGAGACATGGAGCAAGCTATGCAGCTCGTATACTGAGATACTTTAAGAAGGCGAGAAAGGATATAATAATAGAAACAGCCACACCTGGTATTGCCGAGGGAACAATTATATTCGGGCATTGCCGATGACCCACTAGGACCCTCAACTGCCCTTCCAGGCTGAAAGATCCACGATTTCCCTCCCTCATTCGAGGAGCCAAGTTGAACTGCCCACGGGAGAGAAAAGGTCAATGGCATCATCATCATTCGCACCGCCACATGAAACGGATACGAGACCCGTTGAGATTAGGAATGTATTTCCAGTGGCAACTGGCAACTGGCAACGGTTTCTACGGAATTTCAGTGGAATTAAATTCAAAAATGCTTTCGATTGAGATTCTAAGCAATTGGAAACCTACGGTTGTTGTCATTTAGATTTGGGCATATTCCAACCGGTCGGGTCTTTCATTTCGTGGCTTCAAGGGTAAAGCGTACACTAAGCGCCTTGTCTTAGATCACTCAGTCCAAAAGTTAGAGTGAGATCAAGTACTCGGCATGGCCACAATAGACAAGCAAACATTAAAAAAAGAAGAAAAGAGGAAGGGGGAAAAGTCAGAAAGAAAAAGCGAGGTGGTACATGTCTCGCACAGCCATGGACATCACTGGCGAAATGGTAACACGTACCTTGAGAACAGAACAAGGATATTATAGGAACGAAGCAAAAAGCAAAAGGGGGTGAATAAACAATTGAAGCAAAAAGGCAAGAACCAGACAAAACACCGCGGCACCAATCCGATAGCAATACATCCCACCCATTTGAAAGAACCCGTCTTGCCCGAAACACCGCAGACCGAAACCGCCCTCCGTGTCTTAACCCGTAAAATGCGTTAAAAGATTAGAACCATAACATTAAGGGAATTGAAGCCAGAATATACTCCCTCTTAGTCGTAATCATCCCCATCATCGTCATCAATGTTACGCCCGCGCGAGCCCTTCACACCATCTTTTCGGATGGGGATCTTGATGCCTTGGAGAGCAAAGCATTTGCTGAGCGTTGTGCTTTCGATCACTCCAGGGAACTTCTTAGCGGAGAAAACCTGGAATGGCTCAGAAAAGACGGAAGCCAGTACGGGGGCAGACCCGTGATTGATCACGGACACTGCTCCGTTGGGGGAGTCGCTGGACTGAGAGCCCACGTTGACAAAGCTCATTTTGAGGCTGAAAAAGACGGAGACGGTCAGTAAAGATATGTTGCGATCAACTGCACCGCGTAGTGATCTCACCGAAAGACCCCTTCAGTCCGCACACTCAAGTCTTGTAGAATAAACCACACCCCAATTTTATTATCCGGATCGGTCAGTCGGAAGGCACTAGCGCTGAGACTCCCGATGAGATTGCGCGTGAACATGCCGCCAGGCCCCGTGCTAACCGGTTGTGCCGGAGAGATATTAGTCTGCGGCATATGGCCGCCTGGCGTGTAGTACGGTTGATAGTAGGCACTCTGTGGACTAGCGCCATACGGATTCTGGTACTGTAGCTGAGGATTCCCGGTGTAATAACTATTCATCTGTGGATAGCCAACCGGCTGGCCGTAGGCATTCTGGGGATATTGCGCATAGGTGGGGGACATCGTTTGCGGCGGTGGCGGGTAGGAAGAGGACATGGCCGTGGATATTGACGGAGAGGTTGCTGAATGCTTGACCAAGTTCACTTCGTTCGTTCCGTCCGCATTCCATAGATCTACCATAAGGACATAGAAAGATGTGTCAATTTCACTGAAGTTAAAGTCAGCACCACAACTAGTCCACCCGCTTCTAGTATTCACATACTTGATATCGATTTCCTTTTCAGTTTGAGCATCTTTCACGATAAGGCGAATGCAGGGAGGAGGTGTAATAGGTCTCCGATCCTAAGCAGATGTGTTAAAAAAGACTCGAGGCCGATATTGGTCGATAAAGGGGACATAACGGAGCTAACCTTGTCGCCAAAACCGCACATTCGAGCTCGAATTGGTTGCTGCACAACTTGTAGAGACCAAATGCGACCATCATGGACCGTCGCAAGGGGCGCTAGGTGACTTGATGACGGAATGCCGCCGGCAGATACCATTGGTCCCGCAGATCCTGGAGTCGGATACGACGAGGACGGTGGAGGAATTCGGTCCATGGATAGAGGCGGTGGTGGTGGTGGGTGAGCTCTTTCTTCGATCGCATACATAGTGTACGAGCAAAATCGACGAGAACGATAATCGGAGCTCCGTTCTCTTCGGAGGCGTAGGGATTGTATCAACGATGTCTTGGTGTAAGGACTTAGAGTTTATGAAGCATGTGAACCGCGTTCAAGCTCACAGTTAGACCATTGACTTTCTGAACGATGGTGTGGAAAGCTGCGACCGGAGCGAGCACTGGTCAAAGCTTGCCGGCCACAACCTGCTCGGGAACAACCCCAGTTACTGGAGCTATCAAGAAGATATCTCACAACCTGGTGAGTCCCAACAAATTGCTGGTGGGAATTAACGCGTGTAGTGGTGGGAATTGTGACGGAACAATCGTTGCGGGGTGCAATTTCTGAGAGGGCGCCAGAGAATAAGTGGCGAAAGAGGGGCGGTACCCGAGAGGTAAGCTGCGCGACTGACCTAATCTATCGGAACGAGATAAGTTAGACAATGCCAACGACCACCACGCGTCTTCTTAGATAAGTCACGTACAAATCAGTCAATTTTCAATTCGCACAGTGTGCGGTTACTTTACTGGGACTCTGATATAATATCTGATGATCGCCTCTGGTTGAGCCGTAGAAGGAGCTGTCAAACTGCGGGAGATTCGCTAGGCCTTCCACGGATCGGCCTCAGGACCAAAGGTTCGCTCGCAGCGTCCCCGTTAACACTCAGGGTCGTACAAAAGAAGCCACCTGGTAGTATTGGATCGACTTGATGGGTTCCGAAGCTGCAGGTCAACCCAAGGGTTGATACTGAGGTTGGCGTGCTGGTGGTGGGGGTAGTTCGGAGGGAAGAGCAAGTGGGAGATGAGGGAAGAAAAGGTGAAAGACCAGGAATGACGAAGAGAAGAGCGACTTAGTCACGAGAAGTCGACATTGACTGGATGAGCTCATATTCTTTTGAGGGGGAGAAAATTTCACTTCTCTATTTTTATTTTCATCTTTTAATTTTTTTATTAACTTTGACCACTGGCGATCTTCTCTTTCCACTACAACAAGATTTATTATCTTATCCCTCTATCGATATCGCTCTGTTCATGGAATTGATCCCTTCTTTTCTCAATAAAAAGAAATCTACGTACAGTAGATTGGGATCCGAAAAAAAAAATTCCCTCTTATCATCTGCCTTTGTCCTTTGTTTCTTGATTTTCTTTTCTTTTTTTAGGCTATTCCGTATTCGCAGGGTTCTTTTTAATCTTTTTTCGAGGAAAACTGACAAGATGCAGACTCACGGATCAGGAGATGATCAGCCCGCCGCAGGAACCTCGACCCAGACCGTCGGGTTCAGACTTCCTCCTTTCTGGGTGTAGTCCGGATTATGATAAATTAACCGTCAAAGACCGAGCATATCCCGAGAATACGTTCACGACCTATCTCTTCTACATATGTATGTACGTATCTTTTTTGTTAAATTGATGATCGGATTTACTGGACTGTTTTTTGGGGATCGGCGTTATCAACTTATCTTTTTTAATCCCCTCTTCTCCACCCTTCGGTTAGCTATTTCAAATTGTCTACTCCGTAAAGTCCGTGGGTTCGGCGATGTAACGATCAATGACGGAGGGGTTTAGATCAAAATCGCCCAGGCGCCAGCAGCCCAACAGCGGCAAAACCCTTAGCTCGGTGGAGGCAAGCTGATTGCCCCGACCAATCTGCAGTTAGCTTTTTTACGGTCCAATCTTGTTACGGCTGTCATCCCTAGTGCTGGGTCTCTGAGAGGAGTAATAAAGTAGTCCTCCGGTTTAGGTTAGACTGGGGCATGCCTGACTCGAGGATAATCCGTTTTCAGATTCTCTACTCCCTACCGCAATTGGTATAGTGTGACTATGTCACCTCTTTTTCTTTCAAGTTTTTCTTTCTCCCCCTTTTTTTCCCCCATGGAATTTTACTTGGCCGGGTCAGTTCGTCTTACAGGTTACCACAGCTTGGGCGGTGAACCCGAAGCGCAGGGTCGATCACTTCTTGGGTCAGCCCCTAACCATGACCCGTCCTCCTTGGCACTGCCCGGAAAGTTTGCCAACAAGTCGGGTACGACCACCGGGTGTGCGCCGCTCGCCCTGATCCCGAGCGGGGACTGTTTTTGCTGGCAACCCCTCCATATTCACCTGCATGATGACTGGGCCTTTTGCCGGCACGCCTAATAGGATAGGAGGTTGGAACAACTGGGTTTCGTTGCACAGTGCATTGTTTGATGTTTCAGCAGTTAACTACTTGAAAAAGATCAATACAATCACAAGCAAAAGAAAAGAACAAAAAAAGGCCTACCAGGGAAAGAAACAGAAAGACAACTCGTAGAAGCAGAATGCTATTATTGCAGGGCATATCCCAACTGAATAACTAATCGAAGCCAAAAACGCCAATCCCCATTTCAAACGTGACCCAGTGACTTACGCATGTACTCATGACCTATATATAGAGTGATAACACCAAGGGTTCATAATACTGTAGTATTATTATCGGGGCATTTACATCACAGCCTTCATGTTGAATAAAATTGTTGTTTCTTTTCGATTTCTCCTATAACTATTCTATATACTGTACAGCCTTGAAATTTGCCTGGCCCATTATCAATCAGCTGTATACATACATACAATTGGGTTCAACAACCTGCAAATCTTACCGCCTCACTCAGTAATACCTACAAAAAGTAAATTACGGTGGCTTAGAATACGCTCGCTTGAATTCTGAAAAAAATACTTGTCAAAGTTTCGTCTCGCTGTTACTCGCGCCTAACATTTCCTCTAATAGCAATGAGCTGTCAACATCGCAGCCGATGAGTTCATGTACCTGTCACTAGAACTTTATGCAAAGCCTATTGACTCATAAAATATTACTAGCTCATTCGGGTGGTCAAAGATTAGGGGACCCAACTTAGCTCGGTACGTCGGCCTGTGGAAGAACCATACACTCGGGAATTACTACTAACGGTACTCCATAGTTCAGTGTGTTTAATCCCACTACATACTCTAACAGGCTCTCGGAGTCATCAATTAGTAGTCAGTGGCATAAAATGGCACTAGCCCTCTTCATGACATGGATGTGACTCGTCACTCCCACGTGTTGCATCGTTCGTGGACAAATCATGCCGGAACTTGCTATTATGACATTCGTGGAAACGCCACGAACATAAACAAATGGATCTCACGATATGGGATTTAAAGCCTTCGTCGCCGTCACTATTGACGTGTTTTGCAATGTCGGCGGCCATCGGCCAGGCCTACTTAATAATGCGGCTCTATTAACTATGGCTTACCATAGAACAGGGGTACATGAGAGCGACTCTCGCTCGCTTTCTCAGATGATGAGCAAATGCGGTATTGAAAACATCACGGCCTAGCCAAATTTGGACAGGGCTGCTCGTCAGCAGGTCAAATTAGTTTTCGATAGCAATATAATTCTTTGATTTGTTCTTCTTTGCCGAATGTAGAGGTCTAGAACTGGCTTTGGCGCTATTCTGGCAGCAACAGATGACGGCTTCGTACTCTCTTCGATTTAGGCCTAATCGGGAGAGGCACATCTATTCGCTTCTATGCTAGACTATGATTACCACTTAGAAAGTTTTGGTACAGGGTTTACTTGGCAGGTACATGTAAGTATATAATGTTGAATCGAGAACATATGTCTCCACAAACAATACCGGGGGTATTTCAACGTCTCTGAGGCGAGGAGGATCATGCGCCTAGAGCCACGGAATTGCATTTGGGGAATTCCCTGATTATATGCATCACATGATGATCTCGTAAGTCTTCCTTTATGTCTATATCTTCATCCCCATTTATCACAAGTTAGGCCACGCTCTTTCTGAGATCCATAATCTTTGTAAATCTACGCCAAGAAGAGACTAGGTTTTAGAACTACTGTAGGAAGATTGATCAGATAGTCTATAGTGAGGTGGACCATGACCAATTTGATTCTACCCTAATGAACGCTCTGGATGACTAAACCGCGAAAGAATTGAGAGAGATAGGAGACAAGGAACACGGTCTGCTAGAACATCATGATTTTTTGCTTGATTGAGCCACACACCATCATAACAGATTGGTTCCATACTTCTAATACTTTGATAGTTCCACGGCCCAATAAAATTTCGTAGCCTTCCGTAATATTCTTTTTACCCGTCAACTGATCCAATTATTAAGTAGCACTCAGGGTACGTAAAGGCATCCATCATGCGCCTTGTAAGGATAGGTGTCTATTAGAGTGGCCACCTTTCGAGGTGAGTTAGGAAAACGAAAAGCAATCCGATCCTGTATTCGCTTCACTGCTTAGCCCAATTGCCTTTTCGACGTCGGCCTACCGCCCTCCTAAAGAGATGCCGGGTGCTCATCGCTCAAGTGTAGAGGTGACGGCTATCCTCTTTTCCAAGGAACTGACATTGAGAAGCGCGATATGACGTCCAAGTTCGGCGTTTTTTTTGACTGGCTACCATGATGACAATTGGCAGACATTGCGACAGTTAACACAGTCAACACCACCGTTGGTGTTATTTTATACACACCAGTGTCCATCGATGGAGGCCGCATACTGTTGTGTAAGTTTGGGTCCGAGGCATGAACCCGTGAGACTTGTGCCTAGAAAATATACCACAAGCGTGTTCTCGGTAGTCTCATAATGGTGGAATATAGCAACCCGTAGCGTCGAGGACCCAGCCAATTGACTGTTTGGATTCAGAACCGAGCTGTTGGCTAATTTGACTGATCAGCCGGGCTGCCCATTCACCCATCCACCAGTGGCCTCTTAGGGAATGGAGGATCACAGCGAAATGAGCGAGTATGATTAAAGCAAACGGCTCTCGTTCCCTAAGCAAGTCGACGAATCGAGGTGGAAACTGCAAGATCCATTGGAATGCAATGATCATGAACTCTCCACCTCGTGCAAGCTTATCCAACGAGTCCCCCAAGTGTTTGATGGCGGCACTATAGATGTCGTGTTCATGCTTTGGGTTCTGCCTGGTCAAGGTCGCATTCATTCTGCATAGCGCCATAATCGCGACCCGTGAAGTGTCAGGCATTCGCGGTGGTGAATCATCATATTCAACTAATTGTTTCATTTCCCCATCTCCGACCCGTTCTATGAGGGCTGTTATGGTACCGGCCCACGTTTTTGTGAGCCGGAATACCTCACAAAGCTCATCCAAGGGCGTTTGGTCTTTAAGTGGCTCCATCGTCAAAGGAAGGGCGAATGCAAATACAATTAATATATTGAATAGCGCAAACACTGCGTTAGTATTAGACTCATTAAGATTATCCTGCACCTTAGTAAGGCCGACACGGGCCTGACTCCGGTGAGACAGAGCAGTCATCAAGTAGCGTTCCTTCATACCACCACTGCTAGTGAAGGCTAGATGAAGCGCTGACAGTGCGAGAATACCATGCATTAAGAATGGATGATGCATCGCCTCTCGGGGGATAACGGCGTGCCAGATACACTCAGCGGCATCGCTGTGTGCGATGGAGCGATGTGTTGTTGTACACCACTGTACCATAAGCTCCAACTCCTCGAAGTTGAGCTCTTTTGGTGAAGGGCAGGAATTGATGGCTTCCATCCTACCTGCGGGCTGGAAAGCAAGGCAATGGCTGGCAACTGATGGTGATATTTCGGAGTGAGGTAAAGTGGATATATGAGCTTTGACTCTCGAGCACATGTATCGTGATATTATGTCGAAATGAGGGCGCTCTTTGCTATTCTATACTTTTCCGTATTAGCAGTCATCGTTGGACGTGAGAATCTTGTAACAAGTGCGAAGGTCACACGCGCCACCAGACAAAACAAACAAGCCTTAGGCACCATGACCAAATGAAGAAGTCACGAGGAACCGCATCCATTCTAAAGGAAATATATAAGATATGAATGAACTTTTAGACATACTCCAATTCGTCGACACATGCACTCACAACGGCCAGATCGAGATGGCATTTGTTGATTCCGCAACGCAGGCATTGCTCCAAAACAGCCTCGGCGGTTATGAAGGGTGGAAGGGGCCGTTTCTCATATGCTTGTTACCGACAGTTCCATTGGGCTGGTTTTCTCTGGACCTCCTTGAGGAGCAGAGTACATCTTTATGAGATTACGGGAATCCCCCACTGAGCTTGGACGTTGCACCAGGTATTTAATTAATTTGGCTTTTCCTCCAGCAGAGCCAGACTAGTGTATAGATCAGGTTGATTAGTGGGTCTATGTCCCGTTGCTTTACGGAAGCCAGGGCGTGATAATTGTACAGCATTGCTTACAGCCCAATCATTTCTTCTATTATTTGCTGACTTTGGGCGAGGAGTCCTGTGCACGTTGCCACCCTAGTCCATAAGACAAGTTCCATTATCTACGACTGCCCTAATTGGGAAAGAGGTGCAAATGGAAGATGCACAGGGCTCCTGAGATTTTCCTTGGCCATTCGCCATTTTGCAAACGAAGACAGAAGCCTAGAAGCCCGATCAGTAATACCATCGATCATCAAAGAACGGCAGTCGCTTACGGAGTAAGTGCACGAAAGGTCTTCCATTCCGAATTACTGAGGGGCGCTCCACCGAGACGTTTTGGCGGCGCTCGATTTACTCGTTCCAGTAACAAGTCCAAGTGACGGAGAGTAAGAAATGTTAATTTTTGGATATCACCGTCATACCATCTTGGGACAATGGCCGCAACTTCGGGGTTCCACTTCACCTGCGCTAGTCTCGTCCGGGCAAAGAACGGCGAACCCTTCTTTTTCCCTTTTTGGTATACAGTACTCTTGGTCTTGTCATCATTGGACCGATCGGATTATACATAGTTCCACTGTCAATTGACAACTGTCATGGCTCCACGCGGGGAGCAACCAAGATTTGGTCGTAACAAGAGCAATTTAAGAATTGGCCATTGATTGTCTGGAAGCGGGAGTTTTCCAGAATTTTCGCAAATAGCGTTGGAAATATCCATGAGCCACCCACTGGTGACTACCAAGACCCGCCCCAGTTGCTATCCCAAGCTCCCAGAGGAAGAGGCCATCCAGCGCCGTACGAAGTACGTGGAAGCAAACGCACCATAGCTGGTGAGAGGCGTCCATCTAGGAAACCACTTAGTAACGATGCGCTCGCTCAGAAAATCATCTCGCACGGATTCCGAAGTACGTCGCACAGTCGTGTCTGTACCACAGTCATTTAGAAATAATGAAGCAATGTAGGGTTTAACGCACGACTCGACAGAAACTCAAAATTCGGCTCGACCTGCAAGATCTAACGGGGCAGCCAGCCAGCCAGCCGAGGCATCGTCCTAGAAAAATCACAACTATTCCCGAGCAGGCAATTGAAGATCTTGTCTGTGCTCGTATACTAACTAGGTGGCTAGCCACGTTGTGGCCACTAAATTATGTCATTGGGTAATTTAGACTCTAATAATTATTAACTCATACGTTGACTTAGACCTCTCATGAATCGAATTAGAGACACCGTGCGGGCTACTATCTCTAAGCCATCGATGGAGTCCGTTTCGCCTTCATTAAGCCGAAGCCCTAGGTCGGGTTCCTACTGGTATTCTTCTCCAGAATACAACATTACACGTCGATTGCATGATTCAATGACCCCACGTACCAGAAGCACACATATATATCACAGACGCGGATATAGGATTGTCTGTGTTACATATACAGACAATCCTAGTATAGCTACATAACGAATCCTAGTACAAGAAGGGCACTGCATTACTGCTACTCACTTCTGAAAGCACAGTCAGTATCTCCTCATAGCTATAGCAGAGCAGGTCCCTCTGTGTACTCACTAGTTGTTACACTAAATAACATGTCAGTATGTAAGTACCATAGATGGTTACATGCATAACAGACCTTGCTGTCGCACAAAATCTTCCTCCAACTGACCAAGTTAGTCATTGACATATATTACTATAGTTTGAGTTCTTTGTTGTTTGATTCGGATGACTCTAAGTCACATGGTGGCATCCATATAGTAGACAAAGCACTAGCCCGACCATCCCTTCCTTCAGTACAATAGGTAACGCAGTGAATATATCAGCCAGGTATGTGTGTATTTCCACAATGAACATGTTTCGCTGATTGTCGCAACTGACCAACCTAACTAATTGATCATGACTCGATCAATAGTACTACTACCCTACCAAGCGCCTCGTTAGTGCATTTGTCAACCAAAAGTTACACTGGCATAGCACGTACTACGACATCCCTACCGTCCGGGTATTTTTGATGGACTAGTCGTATGTTTTGGTTTGATAGCATTAGGCAGTTTATGTCACAAGGCCACATACAATGACTATTACAGCACCTCTCCTGGAGAGTGAAAACATGAGTATCAGAAAGTTTATCGGGAAGCCGCTTTGTGAGTGCTGCAATTGCCACACTCGTTGGAGGATCGGGTGCTATGAAATATCTACATGAACTAGATATTAACTACGTACTCAAGCCAGTTGACGAAAAGAGGGCGAGAGAACATCAAAAAAGTTGTTTTGCGGTGCTTCAGTTCCAGCAAATGCTTAGTAGGTGGCGAATGTGTTTCGTCTGGCGCTCGTTAGTACTTCTGCATTCCAAGCAGCGCTGGATCAGTCTCAGCGTGCTGGTTGGTTGATGCAGTTTGGGTAGTCTTGAATCTGCGTAAAGCTTGCAATAGGGTGCCGATTATAAATACTTGCAATAATATTATAAAGAGGTCTGAAAATATTGACTGTATAGTGTACATGTCATTCTATTAGTTCTACGAATTAGAGCTGTATAAACTACTAGTAAGATCTCTTCTTAGTGTTAGTCACTAATAAATGGTCAGATCGGATGAGCAGGAGAAAAAGCAATTCTAATACCTTGATAAGACTGAGAGATTTGATTGGAGCCGTCATTCGGACCATTCAAGCATCACCAGTACGGGGAGTAGGAGTTAGTATAAATGGGGACATGCAGCGCGAGCCGAATTAGCGTGATGATAAGACTCCCCATTCCAGTCATTGGAAAATCAGAAGAGAAAATATAAATAATCCTAGCGAGTCCGACTATTTCATTTCTCTCTCTCTTCCTTCGATTCTGGCATTTCAAAAGTCCAAAATAACATGGGTATTCATTAAAATTATTAAAACGCAGGCAGAAGACGAGAAAAATAACAAGGGGGGTATAGGAGACAGATCCTAGAGACGGAGATGACGATAAAAAGAAGTCCCTCCAAGCTTCGAGTCATAGTCAAGCACCGCCAGCAGTGCTTCGCTCTTGACACGCTACAATATGCGCATTGACGACAGCCAGAGCAATGCCTTGCCGACGAAAATTAAAAAGGATGGAGGCTAGTGAACAAGCAGCAAAACAACAAAATACCACCCCAACGAATCAAGGTATGCCTCCCAAAAGCATAATTACTCAGCTCGACTATGACTCGCTGCGCTTTTCGGCCGCACGCTCAGCATCCCTCAATCGGTCTCTAGATGCAGTCCGAACTCGGCGCAACTGTTCCTCTTGCTCACGAACTCTCTTCTCTTCTTCGGGCGATGGGATATACGCATTTGCAGCGCCACCTGTACACATCGGGGTCACAATCAGCATTTGGTCAAGGCAACAGAGACTGCGTCTGCAGGAGCGAAAACGTACCTCGTCCAGTGTGGTGAGGAGCTTCCTCGACGCGCAGTGGCGGTGCCTCTACGTCCTGACTCTCGCGTGCAATCTCCGGACGCTGAGGATCGTTTACGACCATGTTTCCTGAGCCGCCGCGACCGGTGGTATAGACGTCTTGCTTGATCGTGGGTGTGACGAGATCCTTCGGTGTGGTATGGCTTTCAGCAGAGGAGAAGATGTTTCCTGCGCCTCGTCAGAGGAAAACCTCAGAAGTAAGATCTTTATTGATATACATACCTGCACCTCCGCGGCCGTGAGATACGTTCCGACCCATGGTTGCGAGTATCCTATCGGGGCAGTGTGAATGAAGTGTGTATAGAGGGCGTTGGCGGGGAAAGTTTGCGATCGGCTGGTGGGATTGCGCGATAGGTTTGCACGCAATAGAAGCGTCTCAACCCAGATATTTCAATGGAACCGGGGAACTTGAATTGGTGAGGTAAACAGTGTTGGCGCGCAGTGGCAAAGAGAAAAGTTCAGAAATTATTCCTGGCCAAGAGTAGCCCCTCCACGACCCAAAACGAACTTATGATGACAGAGGATTTTGTTCTCTTGGCGCGACAAAGCACACTTTCTTATCTAATCATGTACCTTCCTCTTCGGTCCAGATGTTCACCTGATCTTGAACTTAACGCAATGCTAGGAAGATGAGACCCTTTCTGAGAGGGGACTCATTCTTGCCCCACGGTTCTGGCCTTGTGGCGGATCCACTGGGCATAGGGTCAATCTAATGGTATTTACATTGGCCCCATGTCTCACCCATTCGTTGACATCTTGTGTCATGCATTTCGTACCCGGAAATGGCTCTAATGTACTTATATCAGTGATAATAACGAAATACTGCTGAATGACTATCGAATAGCCTATGCATTCTATAGCGACAATATGGCTATCTCTTTCCGTTGGCCCGCAATAGCCGTGCCCTACTAAGAAGACTCTATAGTAGCTGCCTCACAACTCACTCACAACTCATCTGATCTCTTATATTGACGTTCCTGGCAGCAAATACATTGCCGCTCCTATCTATTCAAGCAATTATATACTCAATACACAGAGGAAGAACATATAACGCTCTTCCTCATCAAATTACATTGCCCTGCTAGAATTAATCTTACTGCCCGTCACTTTCTTTCTGATGCTATACAGTGGGTATGGAACGACGTGATACTCAAGGGCTGTGGGACCCCAACACGGACGGGGATATCTACAATCCTGCCGTTAATCCCCGGTGCCGAGCTACGAGGGCCTCCAGAAGGCGTAATGGAGAGCCCAATACCGCAACCGAGGAATTACCTTCTGAGCCTAGGTGTTAGGTCAGGTGTGTCAAACCTAACTATTCGGAGTAGCCGTTGCGACACAGGTTGATCTGCTGTAATCGTCAATTTCACTACCCTTCGATACCAGTGGTTAGTTTTGCACTCACTGGCCGACCTAGTCCCATCAGACACAGGGAAAGTATATGATGCAGGCCTCCGTTCGACGAGGGTACTAGAGCAAAGGCTATGAGCTTAGCCTTTAAGCTAATCCAAACCAAATCTACCTCTAACAAGTGACTACATTCGAAAAGAGCTTTCTCGCGGATTTGATCCTACAATAGAGACAAGCTAGACAAGCGAAGCTAGCGCCCGGTGCAATAAATAGTCCAAGAACAGCGCATTATAAATTGCCATCCTCTAAGCAACGACACCCATTAGTCTTAAATCGGAAAACAGATTTTCTAGAGCGTAGAACTATGTAATTCGTAAATATGTACATTCATAAAACCTCATCGACATGGGGCGGGGCCATCTCATAAGCATATTCACATAGAACTCAAAGAGCATTGCATCTCGAAAAAATCGTCGGTATATCATCTCCATCATCATCTTAATTGTAGCCGAAATGAGAGCCCGAACACCTTCACTGAGGCCAATAACTGTCGATCATACTTCCACCGTACGGGACCGACTCATAGGCCTTCTCGAACTCCATACTCCAAACACCATGCGCGCCCCGGACAGAGTACTCCCCTTTCCTCCATTTCTTCTCGTCCTCCTTGTAGGAGGCCGCGCCGACATGCTGCATCTGCGGCGGGGAAATCGCCAACCGATCAAGCTGGTCTTCATTAGCCAGCCGCTCCAACGTCGTATCCACAGGCTTAGGCGTCGTCGCATCCTCCATCTTCTTCATATACTCCATAATCCGGGGCACTTTTTCGCGAGGGAAAACCAGAGCCTGCGAACAACACCCATGCGCATTCATGCGATGAATCCCCGGCTTCATAGGCCTCTGAACCGTCACCCGCCCCGACGCAAAATACAGCCCAATCACCATCGGCATGCAGACAAAACACACCAGCCCCAGGAACGAATTACTCAGGATCTCCTGCGCGAGCTTGACGGTCCTCCGCGCGACCAGCCCCACCCCCGCCACCGTCCCCGTCGCCAGCAGGCTCCAGAGAAAGTACTCGCGCCAGCTCTCAGAGTTCCAGCCGAGGAACTTCTCCGTCCAGAAGAGGCGGAGGTAGAGCCAGTCGGGGCTGACGATGCCGCGGCGGGACCATTCTTCGATTTGACGGATGGCGGTCGTGGTGGTTTCGTACCAGGAGCGCTGGGCGACGACGTCGTCTTCTAGCATGAGGAAGTAGGGGGCGTCGGTGCCGGTGTAGCAGGTATTTAGGGAGAGGCGGTAGTCGATTAAGGATTTTTCAGGAGTGTATTTGTTGGAGCGTTCGAGGACTCGGAGGTAGGGGGTTGAGGCGTTGAGGGTGTCGTATGTGAGGATGCGGTCGATGGCGTTGGTTGTCCATGGGTAGTTGTAGTCTGGGTGGTTGGAGGGGGTGGTTAGGGCGAAGAGGACGTGGATGGAGATTTTGGAGCGTTGTTTTTTGGAGAGTCCATCTATGAGGGAGGCGACTGTTGTGTCAATGTTTTGTTTGAGGGGTCGTTTGACGGTTACGATGCCGATGCAGAGGTCGACATGTTCGGGTGTGGGCTGATCGCGGTGCGCTGAGAGCTCGGGGGGTGCGGCCGTTTGGTTGAAGCGAGAGAGGTAGCCCAGAGACTCTTTGATTCGGGTCAGACTGTATTCGGGACGATAGCCTTCTCTTGGTTGGAAGAAGTAGGAGCCTGGGTCTCGCGCGGAGTTGGCGCGACAGAAGAAAAAGAGGAAGAAGTAGAAGATAGAAAAGGTGACTAGTGAAAGCCTCTGCTTTCTGTTGAAGGGACGCATTAGGACATGGTCATAATAGTGTAGTACAGTGTAGTGCAGTATAATAGTATCGTGTCGTATATAGGATCAAAGGTCAGGAAGGGGAGGGGAGAGCTGAAGATTTAGATAACTGTGAACGGGGAATCAAGCTAACAGGAAGGCGCATGCGAGATAGATTCCTGTATCATTGTAAATTTTTCGATTAATGCAGAATACGAGCCATAGCCTCGGGTGAAGCTCCACTTGTATTCCTCCTTTTCAGGGTAAGACCAGACTTGGTACCATGACAAGCAACAACGCGGTGGGGATGGTTCAAGGCTTTACTCCTATCAAGCTCCGGTTACTATCTTGGGTTTGTGGACACAAGCTCAGCCTTTGCCGTGTTTCATGATCTCTCCACCTTGATTGGTTCTATGGGGACCATTTTCCCTTTCAGTGTTGACTCAAGTGAGACACCGTTTCCATACGGAGTACTTGCTGGGAACTCAATCCTGCTGGTAGACATATCAATGCAACTTCATAACAAGTTGGAAAAATACACCAATCGTCGAATTGGGGCTCCCATATGTCTGATCCTTGGCGTCGGAAGAACCCGCAACCACCTAGCATTTCCTTGGTACTTCAACAAATCAACTCATGACAGTGGTTCCCAGTGGGAGGAAAAGAAAAAAGGACTTTGTTTATTGAACCTTCTTTCTTCTGAAACATACAAAGAAACAGGCACTGCCGTCGATCCATCAAAATATACCCCATGGTGTTCTCGTGGGACGTCAACACCAAAATTATTAGAAAGGGTATACTTTGTTGACCCAATTAGAATCATACATTCATACTTGTCATTCCGCATATGCATACGATTGGCAACCGGTCGATCTTGTTCAAAATGGGAGAAACATGGCACAGACATACGTTAGGTCATATGTTCTTGGCTGCAGGGGTTCTTCGCATATAAATGTAACATCAACATTGTATTAGAATAGGTTTAGACCTAATTGGGGCTACTGAGTCATGGGCGATCGTCGCGGGGAAAGGGAAAAAGAGGCGAAGCAGCGGAGTCGGGATATGAAAGGTCTTAAAAAAACCTAAATAGGGAATCAAGAGGATTGATGAGGGGGAAAAAAGATGTTGACGAGAGTGGGATTTGAACCCACGCCCCTTTCGAGACTGGAACCTTACTCCAGCGCCTTGGACCGCTCGGCCATCTCGCCTTTGATGGTGAAACTGTGCAACTTAATGCTCTATGATCCACCACTTGCTGTTGGAAAGCATAAGTTGTGTTCAGCACTAATCGTATAACATTTAGGGACAAAGTGAGCACACGCATAATTTAATTTACGACCTGTCTCAAGATTTTTGAATTCTAGGGATAATGGCAATAATAAAAATAGAGTCGCTTGTAATCCTTAGTTATCTGCCTGGAGCCATGTATATACTACGGTTCGGATCAGTAAAATATATATATTTAGAGTAATCGAGGGGGCAAGCCGAGGACCGTTTTCTCCGCATTTTTGCGGGGGATCAGACCTCCATCTCTCAGGAACTGTCCTGTTACCGAATCTGCCGAGGATCACTACTAATCAAGCTTATACATACACACCGACCATTACGATCTGAACTGGACAAAAGGACAGGGTTTCCCGCCAGTTTGATATAAACGATGCCACGGCCCTCAAGACAACGAATGGCAGCATACATTCCAAACAATCCATTCATCATCAACGCAAGCGAGCCACAATGTCCTCAGAGGCATCATCCATTGTAATCCCTCCATCCTATGAGAAGCTCCCAACAACGCACATCAAGCTCTCGCATTACCCGGCTGGAGCTGAAACCGCAACCCCAGTCGTCGTTGTGATCTTGAACCGCCCGGAAAAGCGCAATGCTTTCACAGGGCCCATGGCGGAGGACCTGGAGAGGGCCTTTGCGATGTTCGATGTAGATGAACGTGTGAAGGTGGTTGTCTTGACTGGTGCTGGCAATACATTTTGTGTTGGCGCGGATCTGGAGATAGGATTCCCCAAGGGACAAGATGAACGGCCGGTAGATCACAGAGATAGGTTAGTAATCACACCTCTCCAGTGCATTGCCTGTCTGATTGAACATTGAATACTGAGTTCGATACAGTGGTGGCCGCGTAGCCCTTGCAATCCACAGGTGCCGCAAACCAACCATTGCCGCGATGCAGGGCTCTGCTGTTGGCGTCGGAATGACCCTGACTCTACCTGCTGTAATTAGGTACTCCTAATTCCATGAATAAGCATCGAATGCACAGAACTAATGAAACCCGGCAACAGAATTGCCCATGCAGATAGCAAATACGGCTTTGTCTTCGCCCGTCGGGGTATCACGATGGAATCCTGCTCCTCGTACTTCCTCCCGCGACTGGTCGGCTACTCAAAGGCGCTGTATCTCGTGTCTACCGGAAGTGTTCTTCCCTCCACCTCTCCGCATTTTGGTGGCCTATTTGCCGAGACCATCCCTGAGCAATCGCAGGTAGTCCCGCGTGCGTTGGAATTGGCCGCCGAGATGGCGGAGAATGTCAGCCCGATGGCGTCTGCACTTAATCGAGCACTGATCTGGCGTGGGCCCCAGTCTGCCGAGGAGGCACATTTGTTGGATTCGAGGGTGCTCTATCATATGTTTGCTTCAAAGTATGTATTTCTACACCCCCTGGCCTTTTACTTGACGCCAAGCTGATCGAAACTTCTCCAGGGACAATAAAGAAGGTGTTACGGCCTTCTTCGAGAAGCGAAAGCCGAACTTCAAGGATACGCTGGAGGAAAATGGCCCGATGTTCTACCCTTGGTGGTCTGAGACGAATGTCAGCGGGAAAGCCAAGGTTGTGAAAGAAGGTTCCAAGTTGTAAGTTTGATACAAAGTAGGATCTGGTCACTCGAGGTGCGTTTGGGGCATCGCTCAGACCGAACCGAGATGGTCAGCTCGAAAGGTGATCCGTGGAACCAGGTATCAAATTGGCAGTGCTAGTGTCCATGATCAAGCATGATGAATACGTATACATTGAATTCGGAAAAGTATTGTAATCGCTCAGATACACGTCGACGTTGTCAGAATATTCATACAGGAAAGATGTAGACCCACAGAAGAAAATAAGGAATGGAGTGTAAAATGCCATAGAAGAAAACTGGAAGACCCCTTGACTACGGGCCCCATGTTATTCGCCGTTACAATGCAAGAAAACATGGTATCTAAAGGATAAAGTTGCGCCTCTTGCGGTTATACACACGCTGATCCTTCAGCCACTGTCGGTATCCCTGAACGCTGCCGATCTTCTCGCCGTAGTAATCGGGGACTGGGTTTGCAATCGAGTTTGAAGAGGGGTCGACGCGGAAGCGCTTGATTCTGTCGTAGAATTCCTTCTCTTTCTATGATAGAACTTAGATTAGTAGCAATTCTACACGGACATAGACAACCCAATGGCAATGGCACAGCAGAGAAAACTCACGATCATGAATGCTTGCCTGTATTGCCGGTTGACCAGACCCCAAACTGCATTTCCGACAAATGGGCCAATCAACCAGCCCACCGCACCGCAAGCCGCAGTAGCCATGCCCAGAACGACGAACGGGTCCAAGCCCATCACCTGCGCACCCATATGTTCAAGGTCTTGTGCGGAAAGAATCTGAACACCAATGACGGTGCTAGCCGCTGAGGATGCAATGGACGAAGCGAGGGAATAGCGGCGACGAGAGGCGCGGAGTTGGAAGAAGGAATTCCAGTTTAGCTTGGTGGCTTCCTTGCGTGATGCCTCTGAGACCGTGGAATTTGTCCGCATCGTGGCAACACCGTTGGTGACTGGGCGAGCCATTTGAGACTGGGAATGAGGGCATGGCGCACTTAAGGTAGGACGGAGAGCCTTGACATGTGCAGATGTGCTGGCCGGTCGTGCCTGGCACCTGAGCGAGAGTGTCTGATACAATGCGGTTGAATTGGACGGGAATGCAACCGAGCCGAGGGCCTTCGAAGAGAAGCGACCGCTAATCATGGCGGTACGCACCGGAGTACTGATTGGGGTTGCGTGCATTCTGAGAGGAGGCCGTGTTCAAAATGCAAAGTTGAGCGTCGCCAATGTGATGCGGAGTTGGATGAAGTTCAGCCAATGTACGGATGAAACTCAGTCCGGATTATGTAAGCGAGAGCCGAAAAGAGTATGAGGTCATCTCTAAGTTCAATCTCTCTTGCATCCAATATAACAACTACACACTACAGATCCAACTTGCTGAAAGCATGGACATTCGTGTAAGTGATACGTACAATGCGGCATTAAGATATAATATAGTTACGGTTGGAACGTTCTAGCTTCAATAGACTCTACAGTAGTAAATAAACCATGACGCAGGTATATTTAAAAACATGCTCTAAACCCACAGTACAGAGACACGAGTCGAATCGAATTGACGGTCATTAATGTTACCGAAAGCCGTCAATTCTAAGAGCATCTCATATTGCCGGCCTCATTTATGAACTCTTGCCCACTCAATGCAGGAACCCCCAAGCCCACTCCCATCGCTCGTACTCGATGCCTTCTCGGAAATGGCTTCTTCGAGCTACGGCCACTCCGATCGTTTCTGAATCCGTTTCCCACCTATTTCAGATTTTGTAGCTCTCAGTGAAGTCATAGTGATGGGGAAATAAGAGTTCAGAGCGGTTTTTCCTAGTACTAGACATATAGAGCGCTTGGTAGAGATAAGGATATCATGCACGATACGGTTATTGACGCCCTGAGAATATGAACTTACATTTCCTCCTTAAATGGTGTTGGATTGTACGCTCTGGTGAACTGGAGGGAAGGCGAGTAAACGGCATGCGCCATAATTCCTCCATTCTGATACCACCGGGTCTCAATTGTAGGTCATCTGGTACGCCCGCGGATGTTTTCGAAGAGTCTCGAAGATCGACATCTCCCCGGTAGATAATGATAATGACTATTCCTAACACTCCAGGACAAACGAAGACTGTGCTGCTGAAGAAGGATTATAGATAGTCAGTAGTGACTCGTAATTAGCTTAATATTACTGGCGATATTCTGCCCTTCAGGTGGATTTGGTTACAAGATGCATTGAATGCATATTCACAGCCCCTTTCACAGCACCAGACTGGAATGATGTTGATCCCAAGAAGACAATCTGTGAATGTGTGCTGAAGTCTCTGGGAAAGTCCTCGCAAATTTCTGGTGAGAACATATCAAAATTCCTGCACGCACCTTGATCTGCTAGAAGCGATATCCTTTCTCTTCCTCTAGCACACGTTCTCGTGGGCCCCTGGTCAACCTTGCAAGAGGTGTGTATTGTTCCAAGTGATATATAATCTACTGGAGCCCTACAGTTATTCTTGATACAGTTAAAAAATCACGCTGTCAGCAACACTATAGCTTCGTCCGTAGCTGCATAACCTTCCTTGCTTGGTCTCTTAGCAGTCTTCGAAGTATCTTTCCAGACGAGCTTTTTGGAATCACTTTTATAAACTCCACGCCTCCCCGAAGTTGCTTATGATGCGCAAGATTGGACTTGACGTAGGCTTTTAGTTCGTTCTCTGAGATGTTTCTATTGTTCTCTACTACGACGTATGCTCGAGGAAGTTCGTTCCCGGGTGCTGATGGGTCTGGGATTCCAATGACAGCAGTATCAGCCACGCACTCATGGCCAAGGAGGCACTCCTCTACCTCCACCGGAGAGACCTGGAGTCCCTTATACTTGATAAGTTCCTGCCAATGTATAAGCATGCAACAATAACTTGCATACATAGCCATTTGACTACTTACCTTCTTTCTATCCACCATGTAGATCTTCCCATGCTTCCAGACCCCAATATCGCCTGTACGAAACCACCCACTGTGCGTAAAAGCTGCGGCAGTGGCTTCGGGGTACTCAAAATAGCCCTGGGTAACCATGGGTCCTTTGACTAGAATCTCTCCTTCCATGCCTTGCTCAACATCCCTATGCTGATCGTCCAAAATACGGAGCCTCGTATTCGGAAGCAAAGGACTAATACCCCCCGTACTATCCGCCTGACCCCAAGGCATTGTCGTCACACTCCCCGTGGTCTCAGTCAATCCCCACCGCTGACTGATAGAACAACCCAACTTCTCCTCAGCCCGTCGCTGGACCTCCGAGCTTAACGGCGCCGCTCCCGATTCTGCCCGGACAAGACTCTCAAAATGATCTGTCACCCGCGAACTCTCTGCAATAGCCAGATACACTGGTGGTGCAGTAGCCAAAAACGTAACCCTATACCTTTTACAATACTCCGTAAACTCATCAACATCGAACCTCGACATCCAGTAAACCGTACCCCCAGCAACAGCAGGCGTGACAAAATACCCCTGGCATCCAGCAATATGTGCAGTAGGAAGATGGCCAATAGTCCGGTAGGGAACATCTAGATGCGGCATCCCTTTCTTCGACTCCCGCAGCACCAGTTGTGGGAGAATCGCCTCAGAAACAAGGTTCATGTGCGATAGCATGACCCCTTTCGGAGGCCCGGTCGTGCCACTTGAATACAGAAGGCAGATGAGTCTTGTTTCTAGCTCGGCTCCATCCGTCACTCGCTCCCAGTCTAGTTCTGTAGTGCCCTGCAGGTAATTTTTCTCCGGGTTAACGGTATCACGGAGTACATGGTGGGGAGAGCTCTCGAGGACCAGCACTCTTTCACTAAGGATCCCGCATGTTTGGGCTGCTTTTAGGGCCTTTTCTTGGTTGTCTCTGCTTGTTATGATTAGTTGGGCTTTGGACAGTTGGATCTGTCTTGATAGTTCGGGGTGCGTTAGGGCTGTTGATGCGGCGGTGTATACCCCTCCTGCGGCGATTACTGCGTAGAATAGCGTTGGGAGAAGGATTTGGTTTGACGAGATGCAGAGGACTGTGTCTTTTCCGGCACCGTGGTTTCCGATTCTGAAGTGGGCGCGGAAGACGTGTGCGAAGCGCTTGGTGATGGTTCGGGCTTGGGCTTTGTTGATACTGTTTGTTGGGTTTGCGGCTTCGGCGTGGAGAATGGTTGTCTCTGTTGTTAAGGAAAGGGGGGAATCTTGGTTGTGTTAGTGGTGTATCTTGGAGTTGTTGGTGCCGGCGGGTTATATACCAAATATCAGGGTTAGGAGGTCGATGTTCGGGATGTCGTAGTCTTTTTCTGGGAGGTACTGCATGTTTGATCACGCCTCTATGTGGAACTTTTACAGAAGAATAACACTCATAGTTTTAGCCATGGATGCTGAGCTCTTATAATGTAAAGGTAACAGTTCAGAATCTCGGTTATAAAAAATGCGGGGAAGTCCGACGTGTGGAATTTCTGCACCGAGGAGTTACTCTAGGTATCTTATCCGTTTTCCGGCTACCAATGAAAATGATATGCATTGTATTCTATCTGCTTATAAGTGCAAATGTTCTATATTGGCCGAAAGGATATATAGAGATCCGTGGTTGATGCCATTCGCTAAAGATGCTGGCCATAAGTTCTATTACTGAGGAAAAGCTAAAACTTCGTGCGGATTAGAGGCTGCCGTTCTGCGAGATAGTACCGGGGCGAGACTGCGGTTTAGAGTGGGTTCCATAGCCATTTACGCGGCCATAAAGCCATTTCAGGGTACCGGTACTCAGAGCCATCACAATCGCACTGAGGGCAAACAGTCCGACGCGGCCTTGAAAAGGCAGTTGCTCGAAGATTGGGTAGGGGTACCTAGGAAGATCAACACTTTGCTGACAGCATACATTGAAAGTCGCACGTACCATCCATTATATGAGAAGCAGCGTTCGATCCAGAACCAGTAGCCAAAGGCAATGGTGCTAGACAAGCCAAGTGCGGGTAGGATCGTGATCGTCCATGGAGGGGAGAGAAGGAAAAGGTCGATTAGAAGAACAATGGACGGAACCGCATGGAAACTGATGTCTTCATAAGCGCTAAGTATTAGCGGTAGTTGTACTGGTGGGAATTTGATGAGTAGACCTACCGGCATTCAGAGGAATCACAGCCCAATCGGGTACTACCAAACGCTCATCGATCTACTACAAGTCAACCAGCGAATCGCAACCCGGTGATTTAGCGGGACATAGTGTCGCGTACTGACCATGCGAAGACCCCAGTAGAGAATACTGATCAAGACCTCCAAAGGTGCACTGCATATCGATAGGAGATTCTTTAGTAGAAACAGCCGCGCCGATAACGTCACATCCGCCAACAAACCAATAGCGAATGTCAGCGTCGACAGGGATAACCCGATGACCGTCAGGTACTGGAAATGCCAACCATATGCCTCGTTGCTACAGAAAGTTAACTGACTGGAAAGATTAAACCCCATGACATTGGCAAGGACCTACGCGTGATTGGGATTTTCATGCATACTAAAGCAAGGCTTAGCTTCAATGACCACAATGACGTAGAGGCAACTTCATGGCGACCAATAGAGGTCGATAACCAAACAGTATCCTAAATATACATCTCTAAAGAAACTTTGAGACCTACTATTTGAATGACCATACAAAACTGGAAAGTCCCAGCAACTAAGACATCGGCAGGTTAGCCACCGAATAGTCGTGTCACGATGACCACGCTACGTACATGGACTAAGGCCGAGAAACCTCGAGATGGACTGAGTATCCGTTGAAGTGGATGGGGAGTAGAAGGCATGGTTGAAATCCCTTTCTGCGGAGAAGAACGTAAAAAGGAATAAATCAGTAAAATCTAACTCTAGCAGAACCAAATATAGATAGGATTCTAGATTGACCGCGAATGGATCTTTGGATGATGAAGTGGTGGCCGAGACTCCCGCCACTAACCTAAGAAGGTCCCCGGAGGAAAAGAAAGGCCGAGGCCCCGCCCGGAGACGGCAGCTTATCACATTACGTACTATCACCTGCTCCACCGCCCACCCTTCCGCCCACCTGCGATTGATGGAGAGGGCCGATAGGCCGCCACTTATCTATTGAAGCATTCCCCCGGTGGTTATCTGGATCTTTGGATATCCGATGCTCCACTGACCGTATCTCCGCTTTTCTCGTGTTTCCTCTCTCGTCTTCAGTCGGGTTGCCAATCGAACTTAAAACTAGCCTCTGTCTGTTCGCAACCATCTGGCTAACTGCTACTCTTTACTAACAACGGCCGCCGCACTAACAATCAGTATTATATACGGGGGTTTCTTTCTGCCGCTCTACAGCTGATTCCTCCCGATTCTTTCTAGAAAAAAATAGAACACATATCCAATCCACCGCTTTTGCTACCACATAACTAGTCCTCGGGCTCCCTCCCACACCTCGATGATCACGAATACTAGGTGTGGGTGTCTCATTGATTATCGCTTCTTGTCCTCTTGGGTGAAACCCAAACGTCCGACACGGCGGAAAAGGTCCATCTCTTCAGGAATACTACCAACCCCGTGAGCTTTCACTCGGTCTGCATGGCGATCTTACTGTCCAGAGTGTGCCGGCACTATCTCAAGTTCCGGACTATCTGTTTGTCTGGTCGTTATACCTTTTATTCTTCGTCTTTTTATTTGGCCAATCGCTATTGAAATCCAATGCCTCGCCCCAGAAGGCCCGGCGCTCCGGAGCCAAAACGAAGGTCCCGTAAAGGATGCTGGTGCGTACTAGTACTGACCGTTCAATGACTGCAACGGTGTGTGTATGATTAGCTACTAAAATCCTAGGTTAGGCCATGTAAAGCACGCAAAGTGAAATGGTTTGTGTTCATTCTCCCCATTTGGTTTATGGGCCATCTCTCACCCTCACCGTTTAGCTAGTTCACTAATCTTTTGAGTGCAGCGGAGAAGAGAAGCCGTCCTGTTTGAATTGTCGACGTCAAAATGAACCATGTGACTACAGTATTAGGCTAAACTGGGGAGGTAGAACGAGAAGAAGATCTTCCGTAGACTCCCCAAGTTCCCAGTCTAGCGGTCAGTCCGGACAATTCATACTGGCTTTCTCGCCGCCAAATATATCACAACCAGACCCTTCCGTGTTAGCCTCGCCCTACAAGTCTCCTGGTTCCTTGGAAGGAAATGTTGCAGGGGACCATATCACTGAGAGTCTGTTTTGGGAGGCTGGATGTACAGGGGAAATGGCAATAGGAACGTCTTATCCTAGAGGGTTATATGATATCCATGAATCTTCAGCTGTCCCTGATCAGACTTCTAGTCCCTCCACACGTACAACTGGCAAGAGTTCAGTAGATATGAGGCCATCGTCTCCGGGGAATCATGTAGCCACTTCATGGTCAGGCTTGTCTCCTCGCACGACTTCGGTGGTGTCCAGAGAGGCGATCCCCAGTTACCCATCGTCTATCTCACATTCCCTGGACGATTTTACCTACCCGTCGCCGGCGGATACGGGCTCAAGTATTGGGTCTCTCGCCCCTTTCACCTTTTCTCCTGCTACTATCTCGCAGCCAAGCTCCTTCCTTCGCCACTCTGCAGAAATCCCGGACCAGCCATTGAGCCACTCATCGCCCGAACAAGGCGACGGGGTTCCTCACTCGCAGTATGCATCCCCTGCCGATGCCGGTAATGCATATGTCCCTTACGAGTCAGGGAGCCCTTCAGACATTCACGAGGCTATATCCCCTCATACAAAAAACCCACAGCTCTTCGCATTGCATGGTGTAGGCCAAGGTGCCGAAACAATGCCAACAGGCTTGGTTAGTAGTACGGAGGACTTCTTCAGCAAGATCATGAATAGTCCCTTGTTATCCGAAAGTCGTCTGCAGGTCTCACACCACGAGCCAGTGACCACTAGCCATCTTCGATTCATGGGTATGGACCATGAACTCGATGGTGGACTCTCTAGCGCAGAAAGGAAGTGGCATGCCTATCTCACTAGTGTAACAGATAATTATGGCTTAGATTGCGGTCGTCCAGATCTGGATTTGAACAGGAACGACGACCATTCGGCTATTGATATAAACTATGCCCTGGACTTGATCAACTCGCAAATCGAATCGTCCCTCACCTCTAAAGACCATTCTGAGGATCCTTCAACCCCGAGTCCAAAGCAGAATAGCTTGGATGGTACAAGATACGCTTACTATGCATCGCCTGTACCTATCAATATTCCGCGTTATCTATCGCCTTTGCCACCGACCTTGGTGCAAACGCCTATCAATTTGATGTATTTTCATCATTTTATCAATCATACGGCTAGAATGCTGGTTCCGCATGACTGTGGGGATAACCCGTTTATTTCCGTCTTACCATCAAGTAAGTCTCTAAGTCTTGCTTTTCCTGTTCATTCTACTTCGCGCGAGTCTGCTGACGGATCAGTGGCGATCGGGGATTCAAACCTCCTAAATCTTATGTTGGCCTATTCAGCTAGCCACCGTGCGAGATACCTGGAGCATCCGGAGCCTGCTACTCGTATCGCGCATTGGGTGAGTAATGTATTTCCTGCATTGCGTGTAGCACTGGAAGATCCGCATGAGAAGGTCACGGACAATCATCTTGCCGCGGCCATCATGCTCCTCTCCCTGAAGATTATTTCACCTAGCACCTTCGAAGTACCCATTCCCTGGCAAAGCCATCTTAAACTTGCTAGGAAACTTTTCCTTGCACGCAAAGAGCAAATGGCGTACCCCGGAAATCGTATTGGCGCATTCCTCGCCCGTTGGCTAGGGTATATCGATATAATGGGAACTCTATCCTGTCGACACACGGAACCACCATTGTCTGAATACCATGATCTCATTAATACGTGTTGTTCACTCGAGGGACTGGACGAATTCTGCGTCGACTGTTTTACCGGATTTACCCCCCAAACCGGGCTATTCTTGACAAGGCTGGGGAAATTGGTTCATCAATGTGACAACGAACGATTTGACGAAATGGGCACCTGGATCTCCGGCTGGAGACCTTCAGCCAATATTGTTCTCGAAGCTCAAGATTTGATCACCGACCTTGAATTTCTCCGTGCCCGCGCACATGCTGGCTCAAAGCATTTCCAGGAATCGGGATCCACCGATATTATAGCCAGCGATAAAGCATTTTACTACGCAGGGTTATTACACCTTCATCGCCGCGTTCTAGGCACGCCTCCGTTTTCCCCGCCGGCCAAGGAGGCTTTTGACGGGCTTCGGGATGCCCTAGTAGAAATAAGGTCTGGGGCGTCCGCTGAGGTTAGCATTCTTTTCCCATTGTTTACCGCAGGCTGCGAAGCCCATGAGCCTGGGCAAAGAATGGAATTCCAGGAGCGATTTGAGGTTCTGGAGAAAACGGGCATGAAACAGGTGGGTTGCTTTGTGCTTGAGATAAAACTGGTACTGACCTTCGCTCATGTAGATCCAGCATGCTCGCAAGCTAATGCAGCGTTGTTGTGATGAGAACATGCCATGGATTGCCTTAGCTCGAGGGGAGTTCCTCGGATAAGGAGGTCTGGATAACACCTCGTGGCCTGGAGACTTGCCATAACGAGCAAGACAAGTACTTACAAAATCTAGATGGGAATGTGTGACTTACAATGAGTATACAAGATGGAAAAATTCACAAATGAATAACACTATCAAACATATCCAAACTGTCCAAAATGAGCTTTGCTAACCACAGACAAAGTGTCACTTTGACCTCACTTCTTCCACTTGTAATGGAACAGGTCCCAGAGAAAACTCTGCTTTCTCATTAAGCGCTCTACTAGCAAACATTAATCATTCAACTTGACCAGATTGGTTGCTTAAATGAAGCAGCTTTTTTTTCACTCTCTTTTTCAAGGATCCAAATTCGTGTCTAGTGATCAAGCCTACAAAGTAACCCTGATTAGTTACAGATCTCGTGTTTCTCGAGCAACAGATATATCTTTTTGGTTTTATCTCAGTACAAGAACAGAACAAATAAACAAAAGATCATGACTGTACTCAGTTAGCTCAACTCCCTCACCGCCCGTGAACTGCAAATGCTTCCCAAAATGGAAGGCTGCCATTCTCCTGTTTTCTCAAGTGCCTTTTAGCACCGCCTTTGCTCTAGTCTGTGTTCTGCTTCCAATCCTCATGACCCTCCTCCCATTTTACCTGCTTCTCCACCGGATCAAGGCCCTCGTTACAATGGCAAAGTCCGTAACCTCGGCGTCTCGAGGCAAAGAGGACAAGACGATGCCTGACGAGTCAGAAGTTGCTGTGCCTCCTGTCCCAGAGTCGTGCCGAAGCTCAGACTTGATGGATGGAGGATTGGAGGACATCCAGGTTCCGGCTCTTATGCCACAGATCACCGAGAAGATCCCGGGCCCAGTCACCGCTAGTACCATTGTCAAACTGGCCGAGAAGCTTGATCTGGGAGCACCGGCTCTGTTGGATGGCGGATCGGACAACCTTGGAATCCCTACGTTGACTCCCAAGCGTGTAAGTCATCTCTCTCCGTAACAGGGTTTTGAACCTCTAACGTTTAAGAAGAGTGCAACTAGTTTCCCGCGTGCAACCTGGGGCGCAAACAACTCTACGATCGGCACCGAGGGACAAACGAAGGTCGTTCCCTGGAACGGTAAGATCCGCTGGGCTATTGAAGGTCCTAGTATCTTCGATGACGAGGAAGACGAGCTTGGAGCATTCTACTTCCGTCCTAACCTACTAGCTCGGCACCCGTCTTCGGACATCTGGATGTTCCAGTATGGTCTACGATATATCCCCAGCAAGGACGATGGAAACGTGTATCGCACGGTCCGGATCGAAAATATCCCACCAACAGTTACGTTGAAGGATATCTTGCCTGCCGTTAGCGCTGAGATCTTCTTAGCTCGTCTCGCTAATACTATCCCCATCACAGGATCCCAGACTGCGCTTATCACGTTTGTTTGGCAGTGCGATGCTGTACGCTTCTCTCAGACCTCAAAGGCTGGCATAAACTTTGGTCATGAAGTGGCAAAGGTTGTTCCCGTCAACACACCAACGTACCCCATTTCAGCCGAGTTGAAGCGACTGATCTTCAAAGAGGGCTATACGCGCTGTCTGTGCGTTGCAAATCTGCGCGAGACCCTGAAGAGTGAGATCCGCCGCGTCATGGAAAAGTCTAGCTACTCCCATGATATTGAGAAGATTGAAGACGGCCTTGTGCTGGGAGAGACATACATTCGGTTCCATTCGATCAAAGTGTCCGCTGCGGCGTACGAGCTTCTCAAAAACCACCGGTGCTTTACACAGTGTGACTTCAAATTCCTGAAGAAGGACCGAGACACGGGTGGTACCGGCTCCGAGGAGCGCAACTTTAGAACCAAAGTGCAGGAAAGTCACACCCGCATCGGGATTTGGGATTAGTGTCGTGGTCTTGAATATTCATTTTGAATCTTCTCCGTGAATGCATCCATTCTACTACTATTCGACCGTTTCTACCATGCAATGTACTTATTACCATATTATATCTTATATCCTCAGCGATAGTATTGAAATAATGCATGGTCATATTGTCTCCGTAGGTATTGATTGATATTAACTGTAAGCTCTATAGCAGTTTCAGGGAGCTGATCAGATCTGTGACAGCCGTAAAAACGTACAAGGGGTGAAGGTTATTTCAAGGAGAACCATCGCTACTATCGTCATATGATAATGCAGTATATTCACGAGCGGGACGGGATATCCGATACTATGACAAAAGATACGCTTAATCCGTTGGTGCTAGACAGGCTGTCTCTTAGAGGAGCGGCTTGTGTGGATATCCCACAGGTTCAACGCCTAGGAGGAACTGTATCTCGTAGTATCCTCTTCTTGCGGTCCTACTCAGTGAGAGAACCATTCAGGATCCAAGACTTAGTTGTTTAAGAGACTTTGTTAGAAATATATAAAACCTTTTTGTACCTCTGAAGAACTGGTGACGGATACTCAACTCGAAGTTGTGTGTGTACTGGTCTATTTCCTACCTTGATAGAAAAGAAAGATACCGTATCCTGTCGCTTGGGTTGGCTAAGTCGAGCTCAGCTCCATACACTACTAATGCATGGTACTGGGAGTGACCGATTTCCTACAGTGATTTACTGGGCCTACGTCAGCAATCAGCTTTCAGAAAAAAAAGAAACTACTTGAACTCTGGTCGATCATCCTCAGCTCCAGTCAGCTTGAGCTTTGCAAATCGGTACTTTTGGCAATCTCAGCTGGCTGATGATATGGACTAGCTTTTAAAAGACAAAACCCAGACCCGCAAACCACATCAAAAAGGCAATGGAAATGTGCTACATGCAACATCAGGTACGAGCCCGGTCAGTAAATCTACTTAGAACGTGGTATTGGGTGAAAATTATGTGTAAGTTCCAAGCCCCCAGCCTAAGTTAACCATCATCGCAGATTTTCTGTGCCTTTACCATGGCTCCTATGCAAGGCAAAGAGATTTTCGCATACCATGACCTGGAGTCACCCTCTCATTTATCTGGCCAAAGCCCTCAAATCACACAGGTAAAGACCTTGATCAAAGGCTACCTAGAAGGTATTCAGTTAGAACCAAAGACGTCATATATCCTTGAAGAGACGGTCTGGAACTATTTCAGAAGCTTGCATATGGGCGAGCAGGTTGAAAGTTCGTGCAGAAAAAGCTCAAGCTTACTGTGACTTTTGTCCATCAGGCCTCCACGCCGTTTCCATTCGAGATCAAAGCCCTGTGCTCTATCCAGGGAGTGTACATGTTTCTTGTTGATGATGCCACTGAGGGACTGACGGAGGACTTACAACACTTTGGACAGAAGTATGACTCTTGATCCTTCTTCCGCTATTACGGACAGTATTGCTGTTTCAATGATTAATTTGACTCCCGGTTGTTGCCCATGTTCCTGCGCACTAAGGTTGGCGACGCTGAAGTCCTCCTCCACTTGCTTTGGCCGAATACTCTGCTTTCTGAGAAGTAACTTATGCAGTACTTCCCGATGAAACAGGAGACGGTCCTGTTCATCGACCTCACTAATGATATACTCTCTTATTACAAAGAACGTTTCATCAATGAGAAAGGGGACTTCATGACAAACTTTGGAGAGGCACATCAAGTCGAACGCTTGGATGTTTTGAGACATTTGACTTTCTATACTCCACAAGTGCGTTGCTCCCTTTGGTCCCTTCATGTCGTTGGAAAAAAGTCTAACAGATTTTCGTTTTAGGTTCTTCCCTCTGTGGATAAGATGTTGGAGGGTAAGGAGGACCTGAAGAAGCCACTGGAGCAGTTCATCACCGGCTGGGTCATGCTAGCTACAGCCCATAGATGCTAACACCTGGTGGAGCTGTTTGCAGATGAGCAGTTTGCCTCCCTACGATGGCGATACATGATAAGACTTACCCCTATGATATCTACCTTAGTTGAGAGTCATCTTTTGTAGATGATATCCGAAATATCAGATTAGATAGTATATAAAACTCAGCTACTCAAGCCTGAATGTACATTGTCAAACTTCCTCACCTATCTCGATGTTGGATCTTGCCGAGGATTAGCTCAAAGACCTCTTTTCTTAGCCTATTGCTGTTGTCAGTCTTTTCAATCTCCTGTTGTAGCTCTCGAACGTTTGCCTCATCATATTTCCAAAATACCATCCTCATATCCAGATCCTGAAATACCTTCTTAACCTTGTCCTTAGCGACATCATCCCAGCGGCCGTAAGATAGGTCAAGAACTCGCCGCTGCTTAACATCACAGCGACAAAGAGCCTCCACAACAAATCACGTACACTTATTATCGCGTATATCGGTACCAACTCTCCCTGTAAGCGCCGAATCACCATAAACGTCCAAATAATCATCCTGCGCCTGGAAATACTCTCCCACGATCCCCAAGCTGCGTGGTCGTATCACAGAGCTGTCCCAGCTCCGTCCGGATTCCAACTTCATTAAATAGCTCAATGAATTTTAGATCTCGGGATGTTGATCGAAATGCTTCTAGAGAGGGACGAAAATTGAGGATTTCAGTAACGAGGCATCGTTGACCCGCGGCTAAGCCTACTCCGTCCTGACGATACCAGCATGGTTTACCCCTGCGGTACTCAGACTTATCCATGATGTCATCCCATATTAGGTATGCGGCTTGGAACATCTCCGTTAGCCATCCGAGAGTACTCAGGCCTTGGAATTCGGTGGTGGTGAGCGGACGTTGTAGTAAGCAGTGGCCGGTGTCGAGTACGGTGAGGCCGCGGTTGAGCTTTCCGCCTTGGATATTCTCAGTTAGACACTATTACGCGACTGCCAGGAGGGCCATCTTGGATCCTTAAGAGTATTTGATGCACACTCTTCCAAATTGGTCTTTCTGTGGAGGTGGAATCCCCCTCTGTGAAAAATCTGCCATTATTTCAGCGATGAGGGGTCCGAGGGCTTCTTTGAATCTCTCGCGGTCGGCCATTGATGTGTTATGTTATCGTAGGCTCAGGATTTTGACTAGATGTGGATGTCCCGATCAGACTTTCTGCATTTCCACTTGAGACGTAGAGCAAGATGGCCGCATTTTTCTATCACTGCTGAATAGTGTTTGGATCCTCACTGCGCGAAATGAACAAACCTGAATAAGCTCAGAGCTTTCTTTTCCCTTCTCAGTATTTAAGATGCAAAAAGAAAGTGGCAAAGCGCCATTCAAATGCTGCATGCCAGAAACCGAACCGGGTTGTCTCCACGCGGTCCTTGACAGAGCATCACCTGGAACTTTATATCCTTGTTTTCGGCCAGCCATCTGCTTGAGCATGCGCTGTACTTAAGAGGTGAATTGATAAACACAATCTCAAGCGAAGGTTTACACATAAAAATCTTTCTAGCAGCGCAAGAGCAAAATATCGAGACCATAGATGTTACTCATCAACATAAACAATATTTCTTCACACCGTCGATCTGATCTGATAAGAAAGGACCCACCTACCGGTAACCCTAAAAGACTGAAAGTCAATTTACTTCCACCCCGCATTCCATTAACACGAACCTCCAATCCTCCACTGCAGCTCACTTATACCCTCTCTCTCACCACCACCACTATCACTTTCACTAAAAGACAATGCCAACCCCCCAATGACCCAACCACAGTCAACTGTAAACCCCAAAATGCGCCCCCAATTATCCCCTAACCTCCTCCCAACCCTCTTCACCTCCCTCACCCGCCAACCAAAATGGACCCTTCACCGCACCCTCAAAAGCGACAACCCCCTCGACATCAACGGCTCCCTGACCGGCACAGCAACCTTCACACCCCTTCCAATCCCAACCAATCCCCAATCAAGCTCAAGCTCAACCTCATGCTCAAAAGACATCCTCTACCACGAAGAAGGCGAGATGCCCACACCGCCAGGCCTGCGCACGCACCCAAGCGTCGGCGTCGGGCTGCGCTTCACGAAGAAATATATCTGGCGGTTTGACGAGGGGCGGATTAGCATCTGGTTTGCGAAGGTGGGGAGTGATGTGCCGGATTATTTGTTTCATGAGTTTGAGTTTGTGGATCAGGGTCAGGGTCAGGATCAAGGTCCGGGGGAAGGCGAGACGTTTGTGGATGCGCCGGCGCCGCCGGGGGCTGGGGGGGATACGGTGGTTTACAGGGCGAGGGGGAATCATCTTTGTATTAATGATATGTATCGCACGGCATATGCTTTTCGGGTGAGGGAGGGGGAGGTGGTTAGTTGGGCGAGTCGACATGTTGTTAAGGGGCCGAGGAAGGATCAGGATATTGTTAATATCTATTGGGTGGGGGTGTGAGTTGGTTGGCTGGTTGGATATAGACTTTTGAAGCGGGTTTGTGTAGATGTGAAGTCCAGGATTGGATTTAGATGGGGATTGTTATTTACAGGGATGAGTCTTTGGTGGATGGTAGAGAGAGTGGATTTTGATCAGCTGCTACATGTGGACAGGGTAACAATATGATACAATAAGGCTTGGTTCTTCTGTAACGGTCGTTTGGGTTTCATGTTTTTCTTGAGATCGCTAGGATATGTCAAATTCTCACGCCCCGTTCCTCTTATCCGTGATAGTCTTCAATATGATATCGCAGTTAGGCTGCCTCGCCCAAAGGTCAACGCTTTGTTCAATCCCAGCAGCTGTGACGTTGACCATCTTTGTTCCTGGGATATACAATGGCCAATCTGTGTCATTCCTATCTTTTCCTGTGGAGAATTCAAGGATCTCCGCTTGGAATTCTCTTGCAAGAGAGACGTTCGTAACCGGTAGCTTGGTATCCTCCCTGTAGAAGTAGTCTGTAGCTGTCAATATCCGAACGATACGATAGATTCAGATGGTAGGAGAAACATACAGAGTAAATCCTGTCCATGCCTAGCCGGCGGCACTGAAAACACATACCGCTGGGTCTTGTTCCCGTACACTTTCGCCACAGCTCTCGCGTTACAAGCAAATACGACATCGGTTGTCCAAGCATCCGCGGCCCTTTGCAGCTGGGAGTCTGGGTATGGATACATATCACGAATGCGTTGAATGGTACCATTATTAGCTCCTGGAACCAGCAGTCGGATCAGTCTAGCGAAGTCTTCAGGCGTACTGACATCCGGAGTAATTCCCGTCCCCTCTGCCGCCATATTTCCGGAAACCACTGCCTTGACCCCTTTGTTGAAATGGCCTTGTTGTAGTAGGATGGGGACTGCGTCGGATAAATGCTTCCCGTCCGGGAGTGGACCAATACCTATACCAGGACCCAAGGAGCCTCCTCCCGAGCCACCGGGGAGGTCTAGGACTTTCTTATTTGTAGCAGCTAGTGCAGCCGGCGATGCTTCCCTGAGGCAAGCCAGTGTTGCACAGTTCGCAGCTTTAAGAACCTGATCGTAGACCTCCTGGCGACGCCCCGTAACATTCCTTCTCGGCATTAGGCCCGGAGATGACAGGAATACCTTTACTAGTCAGCACAACTTCCCTATATTTCAAAATAGAAAAAGATCCCACCTTCTGAAACGGAAGAGTCCCGTTTCCCCCATTCGCCACCATCATCATGGAAATCATAGCCGCACCCGCACTCTGCCCCATAGCCGTGATGCTGTCTGGATCACCCCCAAAACGCGAGATATACTTCTTCGTCCACTCCAACGCAGCAACGCTATCGTGAAGCCCTACATTAGCATCCATATCCTCATCTGAAGAGGAAACCCACCCATACACACCCATTCTGTCATCAAATTCAGCAACATTCCTCTCGCTTAGTATGGGACGGAAAACCAACCGATAGTTACTAGCAACGAAGATAAACTTATCCTCTTTCTCCTCAATCAAATCCATCAAGCCAAACGCATCCCCAAACATATCCTTACTTCCAAACGCCCACGCACTTCCATGCAACCAATGCAAAACGGGCACGTTATCCCCCTCCCGCACACCCTCTGGCACCCACACATTCAGGAACAGACAATCCTCCTGTCCCCAGGCGGTACCGTTTATGTCCGGAAATGGGGCTTGCGCGTTCACAGAGCTGACGCAGTCGCTGGTGGAGAGTCGGTCTCTACCATCTTGAATGCCGCCTTCGGGGAGTGGGGGCGTGACTGGTTTGCGGAAGCGGAGGTTCCCCGTTGGTGGCTGTGCGAAGCGGATATTGTTGTATAGGCCAACTTTTGTGCCAGACTCGGTGGTGTTGATGAAAGTTGGGGCATGGGTGGCGTAGCCAAGGCTGATCTGGGGGAAGGATAGGGCAGTGGCGGTCTGGAGCAGGGAGATTGTTGTGCCGAGGAGGAATAGGAGGAGATTTCCAGAGTACATGGCTTGCTTTGCTTGTCTGATTCAGTTGTTATTTTTAAAGCTGTGGCCATTCCTAAGGGCTTGAAGTGTTTGCGATCACTACTTTTATAGACTTCGTCACTTCCGGATCTGGTTGGACTCGTACTCGCTTGATATCCTCGTACTATTTGTTTTACTGCTTTCGGATGATTGACATCATGCTGATTATTAGGTTTAAGGACAAACGGGGAATCTCGTATTAGCCTACAGGGTTTACATTAACGCTTCCAGTACTAGCTAGTGTGTGGGTAGAACTGGATGTTGTAGGGTGGGAATGAGGGCCATCCTATCAAAGTTTCACACAAACCTAAGTAAAGACGATCCCACCGTCGACTACCATCGTCTGACCCGTCACAAAGTCCGAGTCCTGACTTGCCAGGAACCCTCCAACTAATCCAGCCACGTCCTCTGGCTCACTCGTTCGTCCTAGGACTGCCTTGTTGGAGTACACTCTCCGTGTTTCCCCCTGCGACCGGCCCTCGATCCCGCCCAACTCCTCGTCAATCTTATCCCACATTGCCGTGCCCACCACACCTGGCGCATATGCATTGACCGTAATCTTGTGTGGTGCCATCTCAATCGACATGGCTTGCGTCAATCCCCGAACCGCCCACTTACTAGCCGAATAGACACCTAACGCTCCGAATGCCCTAAACCCAACGATAGACGAGGCCCCCACAATCTTGTACACCCCAACCCCGGCAGCGGTCTGCGGATCACCCTGGACAATCATCTGACGGGCTGCATGTGTGTAACAGTTGAACACACCTTTGAAGTTAACGGAGAAAACCTGGTCAATGTCGGCCTCAGTGACGTCAAGAAGTCGTTTGACTTGCGCGATGCCCGCGTTCGCGACCATCAGCGTCAACGGACCGAGCCTTTCTACCGTCTCTTGAACCATCGCTTCTACGGCGGAGGATGAAGTCACATCAGCGGCTATGCCAATCGCCCGGGGACGAGAAGATACTGAGGATCCATCTTGAGAGATCGTGGTGTTGATTTCATCTACGACGCTGGTGATCGCATCTTTTGCGTCGATGATATCATTTATGCAAACTGAATAACCGTTTGCGGCCAGCCGGAGGGCAATTGCCTTTCCACTTAGAACTGCTTAGCACTGATACGATATAGACACCAAGAGGGCATATATAACTTACATCCCCCGGGCTGAACCGGTAACGATAGCGACTCGAGGCATTTTGATAATTTTCGATGTGAAAAAATGAGGTGGAGGCACAGAGAATCACATTGGAAAGGATTGAAGAAATCCCATCTTTTATATGGCTTTCCCCGCTTCTTGGGAAAATGAGGGGAAGATACATGTCTTGGTGAGGCTTGGTTCCACTTGTGCTTCTTCACTTTACTGCTTTCAACATCTTCCGATGCTATTGCTAGGGTCCCATTGCTTCGTATGTTTTCTTTTTAATTGGACGCAAGCCGCCGAGGACCATAATAACCCAATGTAACCCTAAAACTACTCTAAATAAGCAGCCCTGTATGCTATGCTTCCTTCGACGCCTAGCTTAGCCCACTGTCGGAGACAATCGTGTTCGCCAGAGATGCTTACGCTCTCACATCTATTGGCTGTATTTCAGCCTTTAAAGCGAGACCGCTAAGATGCATTTCAACATTTCCATTGGTCTAAAAAGGGTTGCTTGCTTCTTTTAGTATACCCCAATCTGGAAACACCCTCGCAGCTTATCATCCAGCCTTGTCGCTACAAAATGGGACTTCCTGACATAAAAAGAAGGCTTCATCGAATCTTCTTGTCTTCGTTTCTAGAGCGGTCAAACAAATATTATCTTCTCAAGCCTTGAACCCCATCCAAAGTAAGCTTCAAATATGATAAACTTGGCGCGAAGCAAAACCATGTGTGGTTACTCACTATTCTACCTGATGAGAACCGGAAAAGCTCTGTACAATGTTCACTTCAAACTGTATCGGCCGAAGGGCAACCCAAATTTGAGGCCCTCTCGTATGTTTAGGGCTACATGGATATAGACTTTATTACCGCCTATCAGGTACACCAAACCGTTGCTGAAATTCGCTCGAACAACGTTGGATGCACCTGGCTTATGAAAAACTTCAAGTGAGCATTTCTGAATGTGTAGTTGACCTGGACATTGCGGACAGACACTGCAGTAGTTGTGTTTGTGACCAGGGTCAAGTATCGGAATGCACGACGAGTATGCTTCTTCTCGGCCGTGTATGTGCCAGGTCCTCGGCCAACAGGGAAACATAGTGGAGAGTCAGTCCCGAATCAGCAGTGGCTTCACAAGCCTGACTACTAGTCCATAAGCTTGGCTCCGTGAATGTCACGCCAATGAAGGCATCGCATGTGGATGAAGAGCCAATGCCCAGAGACACAATGCCAGCTATGTTGCGGCCGAAGTCGAAAGTCACTGAGGCGGGCCCATCGAACGTGGTGTTTCCGCTGCTAGGGCTGATCAGGGCGGAGGAGCTAGTAACAGAGCCATTGACTTGGAGGACTTCAGGGGGGGGGGGGGTGAGGTGTCGTGATGTCGGAGCGAGGATGTATTCGTTGTAGGGCACGCCATAGCAAGTCACAGCCAGGAGAGCCGGGCTGAGCCAGGCGGACCTTGGGGGTCGCATTGTTGCTGGAAGGGATTGAATGCTCGATAAGTCCAAAGCTTGGCCATTGTGTCGAGCGGTACTATATACAACCTTAAGTACACAAACATAACCGGATTTCGTCACCGGAAGTGATATTCTCTACCTTGTGCTCCCGGGAATGCCGAAACATACTCGGGGGGTGAGGACAAGAAAAGAGAAGATAATAGGCTATTACGGTCTTTTCAAATAGAAGTAACATCATGGGAGACCACAGGAACTGCAAAAAGTGTACCGGGGGATCATCAGGCCGAGTTTCTAGTCCTGGTCAATCAATGCCCCAGAAAATGGCGTTTTTGTGGGGGAGCCTGTATATTTGTCTATCCCCCGAGGTTTTCCCCGATGGATTTTTGAGGCATGTCGGTACTTGAATCATCCTAACCCCGGCGTCACCAGATATATACATATTACTAATAACATCGCATCGCGTATGGGATGTTGAACTCTGCACCGACATCTGGCCCTGGTCACATGATCCTTCTATCATGCCTCTCAACGACCCACGACGATGATGTTGACACGCGCTTAGGTTGTACCATCTCGTATCGTAGAACCAGTATCACGCCTTGCAGCGCGGCCTGTATACAACTAAAGCACCCATGCAACCACACATAAGAACCACAAAATTGTCACAGTGAGCCAAAAATCTCATAATATACCACAAATCTCCCTATTCCCATCACAGCCGAATACACGATCAGAGGCTCTGGGTAATCACGAAAAGGTGCGTTCCCGACGGCTAGAACCTATATTGGCTCATCATGAGCGCGAGGATCACGTATGGTAGCGCAGCCACCCCCATGATTATGCAGAGAATACAACAAATACGGCGAGCAAGGCCACGATTCCACCAACGCTCAATAGCACCCGGGCGGATAGTATTCCTCCTAACTCTTTCGAGCCCTTGGTAGTCGTCATAAGCGGCTTCCTCATCGTAGCGTTGATCTAGGTCGGGAGACGGCTGGGTTTCTGAATAAGGAGGGGGAGGGGGGAGTTCCTAGAACACGTGAGACAGCTTTTATGAGGTGGCACGGGGCGGGGGGGTTACTTTCAGTTGAATCATGGTGATTGATTCTTCAAGGGGGGTGATGGGGACGTAATTTAATTTAGGGCCTATAAGCAACTGATAAAGATGGATCTGTGTAGTAGTTATAAGACTTGATTACTGGGGTATAGGATGCGGCAGATTGCAGTACAGCCTTGTCAGATGTCTGTGGCAGTAATCTTTTGGGAGAACAAAAATGTGACATAAATACTTGACAGGGGTACAAACAAACCCGGTTAATATACTAATGCAAGTGAACTTTTTATATGGTAGAGCAACGCTTCACTTGTAACTGTTAAATGCATCATATAATATAGATGTCCGTCAACGAGACTCCAAAACACTATAGATGTGGGTGGACTGCGTCATCTTGAGTGACCCCCTTCTGTTGAGTCAGACGGCAATGAACTGCCATAACTAACTATACGACACTTTACGAAAAAAGAGACAACATTGATTTGCTCCCGACGGGGGCTGCTGACAATTCATGGGGTTCGTGTCCTCGGGTTCTATGCAGAAAGATCCGGCCATGGTGGTGGGTGGTATGAGGGCGGTAGCGGTGGCGGTCAGATCCATCTGCCGCACGATGCAACCCTAATTTGATATCCGCGTCAGCGGGCGGACATTCAGGGCATTTAATCCTGCAAAATGTTAAGTAAAAGTAAGAAATAAAAAATTGCCCCCACGCGGGATTGAACCGCGGACCTCTTCATGTCACTACCTTTGGATGCCAAAGGCCTACGAGTGAAGCGCTCTACCACTGAGCTACAAGGGCTTGTTTTTGACATTTTCGGGTTATTAAAAAATATACAAAAATTATTTCCCAACTTGTTTGATATATACCCGGGGTGACAAAAAATCGACTTTAAACCAAGTTTTCTTTATAGATTCTGATATCTTGTGGTCATCCACATTTTCTATTTCAAGTTTCTGACTTATGGGTCACGTGAATGCTTATCTCTAAGCTTTGGATTGTCTATACTTCTCGAAATATGGCCAGGAATTAATACATTGGAAATATATATTATAGGCGAAGAGTCAAAAAGACTACCACTGTAGTCAGGTTGAAAAGGCCCCTCAAATCCTTCAAAGACACTCACCTGGCTAGGAAGTCCGAAGATTTAACCCAGATATCCCAAAAGAAAATATAATTTACCTCTGTCTTGCACCGAAACCACACAGCCCAAGCCGCTACTATTTCAGTGTGTTCAGTGCAGAACCTACAAGTCTAACTACCATAGCTCCAAAATAGGATGGCTACTATCAGATTTATCGCACTCCATGGGAGCTGTATAGGGATTACGGGAGCTATAGGACAGCAGTGTAGCCGGTGCTTCACTGCCTCTAGTCTCTAGACCAAGAGGTTACCCGTATGCCCTTCGCCAAGAGGGAGTGCTTCCAAAAGGTATAACCGGCTCGGGTAGAAACTCTGTACCAGACCAAGGATATGGACCTTGGGACTAATTTATTGCATGGAATATATTGTCGAGTACCATTAAACTTCTCAATAAGTTGCCCTTATAGCTCAGTGGTAGAGCGCTGCACTTGTAATGCAGAGGTCCATCGTTCGAACCGGTGTGGGGGCATTTCTTTTTGCATTTTTATGCGAGCTTTTTGGGGGCTTAAAAGCTCAGGATTTAGTGTTCTGTCTGTGCGGATGTTAGTTGATGGAATATCAATTTAGGGTTGCTCTCTGTCGCATCCTCGGCATACCGCCCGTCTAACTGCACTCTAATTACCTTATTTATGTAAACTAACATTTCTCAAGCCCCTTTCGGTTAGTTGTATGTATTTCATCTAGATGATGATTAAAATGAGACCATGAATTGTTACGTATATAGGTGAATATCTGCTTCGGCTATCCACCGTTACTGCTGGGTTGACTTATATCTCCAACGCATTGGCTGTATGACGCGAGACTATCAAGTATGTATGTACGTCGCAGTTAAATGCGAATCCTGACGTCTCTAACTATTATACCTGCATAGCATTCAGCTCACTAGCGGTCCTGCTTTCTCCACTGTATCGCTTGCCTATAAACAGCCGGGGCGCTTATGCTGTCTACAAAAAATTAAACCAATATAATGACCGTGAGGACCCTCAATCAAATCCTTCGCGGCCACTTTCGAGGTGGAGCGCGAGTTCTCCGGGTAGTTGGCCTAGCTTGGCGATACGTTGCTCGAAGACGCTCTGGAAGACTGTCGAGCTAATCGTAAGGCCGGTCATATTGCCGAACATACGGCACGACACCATGATGCCGATAGCGAGGCCTGCGTCGTCAACAAGCTGACTAACATTCATTTGTTCCCCGGGGAACATGCAGATGGCGAAGAGTACACTGACACCAACACCGGCGAGCACTTGAGGGCCGTACTTCATGCCATCAGAGACTCTGGGTTTCCACAGCGCAAAGAGGCCAACACCGACTACCACACACAGCGCTGCGGCGATGGTTAGTAGTTTGTATTCCGGAAGAACCTCTACACTGACAGCTCTGAGTATGCTGAATACGATAATGAAAACACAAATCGACAGTACATCGATGGCGGATTGTGCTTCGTAGAAGCCGAACAATATCAAGACCAGAAATCCTAGTATATGGTCGGACTTGTTAAGATCCCGTTAGTCTGCACACCGGCTGATGCTTAACTGTAGTCGGTTAACTAATTACCTGTGTTATCTCACCCTTAAGAAGTAAGTTGCGGGTTGCGGGTAAAGGGGTAGTAAGTATAACCATATCAAAGTAATTTCAATCTGTGGTATGAACCGTAGCCATCATAACTAGTTGCTCAATTAAGAAACGGAAAAGGGATTCATTCAGCAAGGCGCAGCTCTTATCTTCAAGTCTGTCGACAATTAAATCAGGTAGAGCGTCTGCGGGGTTCCGTATTCCGCCCGCAAAGCCACGTAGACTGGGGGGACTCCTCCATATAAGAAACTCCTTATGTTAAGTACGAAAAGCCGAAGCTTGTAGGTCACCAAGATAACTGAACAAACTCGGATACTAGCACACCAACATCACAGTGCGAATACCCTCTTCTCTAGCCTTTCTCTGGCGCTCCTTCTCCAGTAATGCAGACAGCGTCAAAAGTACCATCGTCTTCCACATATCGCCTAAATCAATTCTAACCCGCAGTATTCCCACCTTTCTGCTTCCCGGTGCAGCTCCAAAATACACAGCATAAACGTCAGCCGTGCCTACACCACATAACTCCAGGCCTAGCGAGCCCGACACTCGCGACTCTTCGGTCCTTTTCCATAGAAATTCCCGCCTTCTTTGTTGCACCTTCCCATGAATGTGACGAATAGCCAATAGAGACCAACTATAGCAGCCATATTGCGGTGAGAACATCATATGCGATTTCTGGTCCCCGAGTGTGAGGAGCATTTTAGTGGTGTAGAATTTGCTGAACCTGCAGCTACCGAGAACCTGATCACTCTTGTCGGTACCGGCATGCATTGTGATATCCGTGTTATCGCTAATTGATCCTTTGACGTGTATGAAGTAGAGAGGATTTTGCTCATCTTTCTTAGGAACAATTATCATGTTGACCCGCATAGGCCCTGTCTGGGTGAAAATGAACTCTTGCTGCTGGTATGCTTGGTCTGATGCAGCCATTGGGAGGAAATACGCGTTGATGATCCCGTAATGGGAAGATGGATGACGAAAATATAGGAAGAATAACTCGAGGGATGAACCCAAGTCTTATTATGGGCATACAACATTTTTTAGTTCTCCTAGTAAACAAGGGCAATATTAATTGAGAGCCTTGCACTGCCACCACGGGGCATGGTAAGTTAATCATAACTCGTATTCCAGCTTCAGCTCGCTGCGCATAGTTTTATGACCATTTATAATGACCGGCTCTTTCTGTGCCAAGGTCTTCAGTAATTCCACCTCAACGATAAATTTGAAGCTATTCAAGCTCCTATATACCGCTACCATAGGCACCACTAAGCAACGATAAAAATTGGCGTAAATGCTTGAAAATTACAGCGATATCCAACGATATAGAGTCGTATTAAGCCTGTTTAGTTATCTGCATCTCCTCAAAATCCTTTGTAAGCGCTAGTCCACCTCATTATTATTATTATTAACCAAATTTAACGTCCGTATCGAGCCGTTGGCTATGACAGACACATGTGCCTAGGCAGTGGCCTAAGCCACTGCCTCTAAATGGTCCCTAGGGGCTCTATCAGCCCCCCTCTATCGTTTCTGTGTTCATTCTAATGCTTTTCCTCGCCCGAGCCGCCTATCTGTGCCCGAGCCTTTGGGCCATGCCCTCCTCGATATTCATTACTTGCTGGGCGTCATCTAGGCGTGCCTAGACTGCCCTTTCTACTATCCTTCCCCTCTACTTTCTGCTTCTTCTACCAGCTCTAGGCCCCAAAGGTTATCTCTAGAGGCTCTATCTATCTCCCTAGTTGCTTCCCCTGGGAAACATCCGATATTGTTGTAGCCAGGAAGGTCATTAGGGCCTTTGTGGCCCTCTGATCCTCAAAGAGATGGCATTCTGGGTTTCTCCCCACCCAGGTGGTGATACTCCTGCCTTGACTAGGGCCCAGTATAAGGCCCGTCTCTGGTGACGCCATTGTCTGCATTCCACCAGTAGATGGCCTGTTGTCTCCTGTGGAGCCTGGCTGCTTTGGCATCTAGGTGAGTCTCGGATCCCTATCTGGCTCAGGTAGGTTGGTATTGCTGCGTGCCCAGCCTTGAGCTGATAGCATCAACGAGCGAGCTGCTTTGGTGCTGTTCCTGCTACCGAGTCTAGTTTCCATCTTTTTTGGGGCTGGTAGCGCTGTTGGGCCCTGTAGGATCGTTTCTCCAGGGCTCGTACAAGCCATTATTATCTCTGGGCCTGGTTTGCCTCAGTGCATGTTCTGCGTAGATACACTAGACTGAGGCTCCTGTCTATATCTCTGGGGGCCTTTTCTACAGCTATCCTTAGCAGCTTGGTCAGCCTTCTTATCCCCTAGGACCCCTTGATGGCCTGGGACCCATTGAATAGTGGTTTGGCATCCTTGATTCTTAAGCCTTTGAGCTATATCTTGGGCCTGAACTGCCCAACTTGCCCTGGGCCAGTTCCATTGTCTCGTAGCCGGGCTATAGCTGCCTGAGAATCTAATAGAACCCTAATAGAGCCTTTATATCCTATCTGCTCAGTTATTTCAAGTGCTTTATAAGCACCTGCTAGCTCTGTATCAGAGACCTCTTTCCCCTGCCCTAGCGGCACCTGCTTAGTCTTCCACGTGTCTGAGGGCTTTAGCCATGCAATGCCTGCACCGGTCCGTCCATTGTCTAGGCGTTATCCATCTGACCACATTCCAATATATGTAAATCGACAGGCACGCGCAATCACAGGGATGCTAAAAATTACCCCAATTGGGCCACTTATCAAAGAAGCAGCTCTATACCTAGCGAAAGCCCTGCTAGATAGACGCCAGAGGCAGTATACCCTAAGTCTACTGGGGTTGCCTAAGGGCCATCCAGATCAGGCTATTCTACTGGTTAGCTTCCGTTGGGGGATTGCTGCGCACAGCCCGGGGAACAGCCTATTGATGACCGGGGATAGCTAGGGCACGAGGCCCATCGAACCTAAGCCAGTATCTAGCAGCAAGGATGGCTAGTACCTTAAGGATAGATCCCTTAGCAGGATTTGAAGAAGTACTGGAGATTTTTTCCAAGGCATTTCCAGGCACTATACTAGTGCCTGCAGAAAAAGAAGCCCTCAAGCAGGCAATGGTCCGTCTCAATCCACTTCGCGGTCATAACCAATATCACCAGTAGGTCCATCTGACCTTCATCTTGTATGTATGAGTTCTTGTATAGGTCCTCATATACATACATAAGTAAAATCCATACTTCTGAAGCCTTTATTTCTAAACGCATGCACAGGTTAAATTACTCTGGGCTCAGCTTAGCAGGCGAATGGGTTGGACGGATGTGAGGGAAGAATTGTTATGCTTCTTGGGGATTTTAAATAGAGGTTGAAATGGGTGGGATAGTTATGTTTGTGAGTGTCATTGATTGACTAGAGTTAGACTTGCATTGTCTCTGGTTGTGGAGAATTGGACCTAGCTTCTATAGATTTAATCAATATGGGGTTCTCCACCACGGATGCTTGTCGATGTTTTGCAGGATACTCATTAAATAATCGGCCTGAAAAGGCCCCATGATATCCTTCTTATATTCACTGGTTCTGCGAGACTAATATTTATACTATGTAGCCCCTTATCGACTCATACCCTGCAAAATGGTCCAGCTTGAGGCACATTTTTGCTGTCCTCTCGAAAGCTTTCTTCTCGAAACAGTACCGCAGTTGAAAGAAATGATACTACATTGAAGGGTTTCACATAATTGAGTCATCCGCTCTGATATACTTAGTATAACCCAAGTCCAGTTCCAGGGCGGCCTTGACCATAATGGTGCGTAAGTCGCAGGTTAGCGAACATATACTTGCTCACAGCCTATACACAGTTTTGTGTCTCCGAGCGACTCATCACCGGAAACTATCTTGTAATTCATCAGATCACGTTTTCGCTTAAACCGCAAGAGGAATGAGCGGCCTATGCCATACTTTCACTCCTCGACCAGACTCACGCCCCAATATTGCGGAAAACATTGGTTCCAAGTCACATTGAGGCCGGAAAACGTCGCAAGTACTGACCATTATCTGCTTTTTCGATTGGCATCGGGCATATTTCGAGCCATAGTTCACTCCCATGGTCTTAGTATTGCGGGTTCAGATACACGCATACTCTGTGAAGGCACGAGATCACGCCTGAGTAGCTTGAGGGAGGTAGTCTGTCTAGTATCCCATCTGAGAATTTCAGTATACCAAGTGTAATTTCACTCCCGATACGCCAGTCCATATGCTTACCGGTGCTACAGACTGTTTTGCCTTTGTGTATAACCTATGCACCGAAAGTTGGGACCCAGCCCGAATTTCCTTCTGAAAAACGACGCACTTGTCCTACCTCAGTCTTACATCGAGCACAGTGGCTTGGGATTGATGACTGGAAAAGAAAAGAAAAGAAAAGGGTGGCCCGGTATATATCAGCTGATACTCATTCATGCAGACCCCCTTGCGGATATGATGCCTGTTTGGCCACTCCCAGGAAAATCGAGGCAGGCGATTCGTCACTACGATATAGCACATCAGACTAAGAAAGCAGCCCTAGTTGCATTGGAATGTAGGGGGGGAACTCCCACTGTCGCCTTAAATTACCCAATTCCCACCCTTATATACAGAGAGTAGTGGGGATTTTAATGATTTGTTTGGGTCGTACTCATCTTGCAATTTCAAGAGTGTGGTTATAGCATCGCTTTCGAGTTCCATGGGTATTGTATAATCTGACGTCAGCAGATACGAGGCCCTTCGAAAGTTCAAATGATCCAACGGTGACAACGCAAGGGATATCCAGACGAATTGAGCAATACTAACTATTTATTCGTGGTGAAAGATGTGATCGTATTGATTGTTCAGCTGTTGATACTTGACTGGCGCTAAGCTCTTTTCGGCCCAACTTTACCCAAGCATGAATCATCAGCTTATTCCCTCTACTTTTACTACTTCTTCTTTCCCCCATCTTTTCACCTCAACAATCTCAATTCTTTCTACTCTTCATCTCTCGTTTGAACAATGGCTTCCTCTACCTTTCCGCCTCCCCCCGTCAGTTCCATTGACTGGAACAATGTCGGTTTTAAAGTCCGCGATGGTAGATACTTACAACCCCTCCATCTATTTATATACCCCACTAACGCCAACACCTCCCACAGTAAACGGCCACGTAGAATGCCACTTCTCTCACAGCCAAGGCGGCAAATGGAGCGCCCCCAAATTCGTCGCCTCGCCCTACCTCGGCATCCACGGCATGGCCCCCGGCCTCAACTACGGCCAACAAGCCTACGAAGGCCTCAAGGCCTTCCGCCGCCCGGACGGGTCCATCACCATCTTCCGCCCAGACCGCAACGCCGTGCGCATGCGTCGCTCCGCCGAATTCATCTCCGTTCCGCCCGTCCCCGAGGAACTCTTCGTCGAGAGCGTGAAGCTCGCCGTCGCAGCCAATGCCGAGTTCGTTCCGCCGCATGAAACCGGCGCCGCCATGTACATCCGGCCACTGGTCTTCGGCTCCTCGGCGCAGCTAGGTCTCTCGCCTCCTGACGAGTATACCTTTGTGGTCTTTGTCATGCCAACGGGCGTGTATCACGGCGTGAACGCCGTTGATGCCCTGATCCTGGAGGACTTTGATCGCGCTGCGCCGGAGGGCACGGGGTCAGCCAAGGTGGGCGGAAACTATGCGCCGGTGTTGCGGCACAGCGGACGCGCGCATAGCGAGGGATTCGGCATCACGCTGCATCTGGATAGTCGGACGAGGTCGGAGATCGATGAGTTCTCGACGTCGGCGTTCATCGGCGTGCGGAAGGATGCCTCGGGTGCTGTGACCCTCGTGCAGCCGGATAGTAAGAACGTCATTGACTCGGTGACGGCGGCATCTGTTTGTGACATTGGAGAGCGCGTGTTCGGGTTCAAGGTTGAGAAGCGCCGGATTGCCTACGAGGAGCTCAAGGAGTTCAAGGAAATTATTGCTTGCGGGACGGCGGCTGCGCTGGTGCCGATCCGGAGTATTACAATGCGGTCGCGGGGCGATCGGCTTGCATATGAGGCGGGCGAGGACGGGCAGAGCGGTGGGGATGTGTGCGTCAAGCTGCTGCAGACGCTGAAGGGAATCCAATCCGGCAAGATCGAGGACAAGTTTGGATGGACCTTCTCCGTGGAGAGGCCGCCGGCTGGCTGGGCTACTGCCGGTGGTGAGACCGATCCAAGTGGTGTCAATGTGCCATGAACCATGATTTGCGTGACGGTGGGAAGTGATCTGATGGCATGAGCTAATTTCTGTAACAATTTCCTACATAGTATATTTCCTCCGGTAGCATTGGTTCGATATATCACAAAAAGTTCCCACATTGCTTTTTGCCTTTCTCTTTTTCGGGGAGCCTTGGGAGACACGCTATTAATAGCCCACCATATCTGCGTAGTAATCCACACTTTTCAGAATACACTCCTACCTAAAGACACAGCAAAACCAATAGCAAGCAAGAGCAAAATACACCAAACCCAATTACCGGAAAAAAAGAATCCAAAATGCCCAACACTAACCAGCCAAAACTCGGTACATCAACCACGGAAACAAAACTACCCCCCAAAGGCCCGAACCGCGCCTTACTCTCGGGCGGTCAACCAAAATAACAGAACCCCCATCAAATTATTCTTCCCCTTCAATTTCACTTCATCACAGCGGAGGAACCGCCATGCGAAGTGAAAGGCGCGAATAACACAAGGGAGACTAATTGACCAGAGAACACCATCACCACATAACAGAAAACACAAAACAATAAGAAGGACAGCCCCAATCTTGCTTCCTCTGATTTCTGATTTTTCTTTCCTTCAACTTCCTCCTTTGTCTCAGTCCAGCATTGCATAGCGTCAGCCAGCCTTCTTCATTTCAAATCTAATCCAATCCAATCTCAAAACCATACCCCCATCTCCAAAAAACCAATAATGCAAAATGGTCTTCCTCCGCCTAATAATAAAAGTCTACCCCCGCGAACAACTCTCCCGAAAACCAACGCCCGAAGCACATGACGACCAAACTGCAAAACCCGCCTCCTTCCTCCTCGCGCTCCCCAACCCCGAAGAAGTCTCGCTAGGCCAACTCGCCAACCTAATCCGCTCAAAATGGATCAAGCTGCGCCCCAATGCCGAGCCCCTCGATATCAAGAAGCTGCTCGATGATAATCGCGACTCAGTGGATTTGGACGTGGATATGACGGTGGCAGATGTGTGGGTGAATAAGGCGCGGGCGAGGAAGAATGAGGATGACCAGGATGGGGTTGTTAGGGTTGTTCAACGGCCGGCGCCGTATGCGCCTGTGAGATTTCCTTCTGTGGATCAGGATTGGGGGGTTGGGGGAAGGGAGGGGAAGGGGTTTAAGGGGACTTTTGAGACAATTGAAGAGGAGTCTTCTGAGGAGAGTGAGGAGGAGAGTGAGGAGGAGGGGGTGAATGGTGGGAGGATGGTGGAGGTGAAGGCGGAGGATGAGGAGGATAGAAGCGAGGAGAGCGGGGAGGAAGAAGGAGAAAGCGAGGACGAAGAAGGAGAAAGCGAGGACGAAGATGAAAGTGAAAACGAAAACGAACAGGTCAATGGGAATGTGGAGGCCGAGATGGAGACCGTGGATGAAGGTGAGAGCGAAGAACAGATCCCGGACAACGACGTCACCATGGAGGATAGCCTGCCCGAAATGCGAGTGCTCAAGAGAAAGCTGAGCCCCGAGGAGCTCGAGCCGAAGAAGCAGGCCCGTCTGGAACCACCGAATCATGCGCCTCAGGAGGATGCCGATAACGCGGACAAAGCCAATGGGACGCCGCTCAGCAGCCCGCTAGGAGCGCGCAAACGTGACGCTGATAGAGCGCCGTCGTTCTCTGGGCTTAATCGACGCTTGAGCTTTACAGAGAGACCGGCCTCCTCGCACGGTCTTGGTCTGGGTATTACGAAGAGTCCTCCTCGCAAGGAAACATTCTTGATAGCTGATATCTTTAAAGATTCTACACAGTCCGCGTCGGTCCCGGATGACACAAGACTGTCCCCCACATCTGTTCCCCCAAGCAGCGCACCTATCCGTCGCAGTTCAATTAACCAGCACCCCTCGACGCCCGCCAAGCTGCAAACCCCCGCAGACAAAGTCAAACAACTCCAATCTGCTCTCCGTAAGGACTCGCCTGCCGAGCGAACCCCCGAACGCCGGTCCGTGTCCTTCTCCGGAGAAGACCATGTCTTTCCTACCGTCCCTGCTCCGAAATCAGTTCCCCAGACCGCCAATAAGGAAGAAAAGAAAGCCGCCAAATCCGGTGTTCTCCCTGAGCCCGCCTCCCAAGAAACAGAGGATCAGTCGAAAGAAAAGGCAGAGGCGGGTCTATTCGCAGAAGTAAACATGGAAACGAATGAGTACGAGGAAGAACTTCTTCGAGCAGAAGATTTGGATCCAAAAGGCGACTACGTACGCAAATTGAAGCTAGCGTCAAAGAGATGGCAGGTTATGATAAACAACAAAAATAAAACACGGACAAGAGAGATAGAAAGGTATCATAACGCAATCAGGGATCTCAAAACTTTAAACCGAGAGCTTCTCGAGCTCAACGAGTCCAACGCACCGCCCACCCAACGCCCCAGGTCCCAGACACCAAACGGCACACCAGCCACAAGAAAATTGTCCCGCCCCGAAACGACATGCTCCCAAGGCCGGAAATCCGGGGAACACTGGAACGTTGAAATCCTGACGCCCAAACCGAATTCAAAGAAGCTCATGTCGAAAGACGTCCCAGCGTCACAGAAAAGCCGCAAATCTGAGGAAGAAGATGGTCAACAAGAAGAAGTTGAAGGACACTGGGAGGTCGAAATCCATACTCCAAGACCAAACGGCACGCCTCTCAGACAGTCAGAATCCAAGAAACTCTCCTCACCAAAGAGACCACCGACTCCATCCGAGGAGTCCGGGTCAGAGGAAGAGTCCAGCTCTGAAAAAGAGACAGAAAGCGCCGTACCCAACTCCGTAACCAAACCATCTCCTCCAGATAAGGTCTCCAAACGCGAAGCCAAGCCGGTCTCCCAGTCAGGCTTGGACTCCGAAGAAGAACAATCCGGTTCCGACGAAGAGGGCTCGGACTCCGAAGAGGCCGAAGAAGAGGCAGCAGAAGCGGCAGCAGCAGTGGCCGAAGCGGTGCAGAACGACAAGACCCCAACAACAACCAAACCCAACCCAGAGTCGCAACCATCCTCTAAACCCGATCCCCAATCCGATGAAGAAACTAGCTCCGGCTCCGACTCCGAATCAGAAGCGTCCGATGCCAGCTCCGGCTCCGAATCCGAAAAAGAAAACCAGCTCCCCAAACCAACCCCACAAACCAAAGCCGACCTCCTCCGCCGCACAAGTCTAAATCTCCCCTCATCCCAGAATAAGTCCTCAATTGACCACCCAACCTCTTCTCAATCAACACCAACAGGCCCCCGAGCACCCCGCCAAACGCTCAAGGGTCTCCTCCGGAAACAGCGTGAAGAGCAATCCGAGAAGGCGCGTGCGAAGGCTGAGGCCGAGAAGGTACAGAGACAGCGACAGCAGCCGCATAAAGATATCTTCTCTGGCCCGTCTGATAGTGAGTCCGAGGAGGAGAGTGATAGTAGTAGCGATAGTGGAGCGGATGCGGGCGATATCTTGTCTAGTGGGACGGTGGGGAAATTACGACCCGCTTTTGGCCGGAAGTGAATTCTTTTTTGCATTATATCTTTTTGTTCTGTTGTTATTTCTTTTTTTGCGACTGTACAGTGAGTGGGGTTTGCTTTTGTTTCTTGGATGCGATGCTGGGTAGTTGTTGCATAATGGTTAGGTGTACTTAATTGAATTCGGTCTTGTGTTACTTACTACTTGCTAGTTGGGTATAAGATTGATGGAATAAGAATATTATGTTTGTACATTAGAGCTAGACCTGCTCAAAATGTATATCTATAGAGGATTGAAAGATGCGTAACCTTGTCTAACCAAAAATGTGTTGCACAGTAGATCAATGATGTTTCTGAGAGTAGATAGTAAAACATAAAGGTGTAGATAATGTAAATGTGTCATATAAATAGAACTAAATTTTTTCATATTACTCGGGCACGGTGAAGTACCGCTTGAAGCGGTCAATCCGTGTCAAACGTAGATCCACAATTACCGAATGGCAGCTCATGAGCAAGCTCGGGAACTTGACGGTCCAGAAGCTCAGATATCCTTCGGGCAGGCCACCGATACTTGCCTTAAGATGCTCGGGCATGTCATTGTAGTGATGGCACTTGTTGCGTAGCGCCCGCAGAAGATCCAGCATCTTCGAACCTGTATACTTGCGCTGCTTGCCCAGGTTGTCCTTGAACACAGCGGGTAGTTGACGTAAGAAGTCCATTTCATGTCCCATGACCCGTGGAGCGACTGCCTCCAAACATATGAGGGCTTCAGATGGTGGATCACGCGGTTCGAACTCAAAATGGTCGGATACATCACATAGGAAGGCGAGGCGATCGGATGCACTCCAGAAGAATGGATGCGTAAGGACAGAACTAGCATCGGGTCTAAATGATTATTAGCATCTTGACGTAAAGTGTGATAGCATGATCTTACCGTTTACGAGGATCAAGCGACAACATTGACTGTATAAGATCACGGGCTTCGAATGCGTAATCACCCAGACGCTCAAGTTCATCGAGGTTGTAGTTGCCCTTCACAATGTTTGCCTCTCGCATGAACTTGCCGTTCTTGTCGAACGGATGACTCCCCCTAGTCAAGACATAGTAAAACACACAGCCCAGGGAGAAGATATCGATAGCACGAGTGGCTCTTCGGTTGGTTTGAGGATCCACAACAGCGGGCTCCGAGGACTCAGTGTGCTGTGACTCGGAACTTTGGATCACCGAGCTCTTGTCATCGTCCACAAGAAGCTCGGGGGCTCGCCAGCCAGATGTTCCAGCAGCATGAGCCGTGGTGGCACGGAAAGAGCTTTGGTTGTCTTCTAATTTCTTGCACAGGCCAAAATCAGAGATGAGAAGACGCAAGGAGCGTGCGCCAGTACGTCCCCGGGGCGTGGCCACTAGGATATTTTGTGGTTTCAAGTCTCGGTGAACGATCTTTAGGGAGTGTAGATATCTAACACCACAGACGATCTGACGTAAAATATCCGGCATGTTCACATCCAATCCACCCTGGACCAGTTGTGGGTAATCTGAGGGGCGCTCCACCACATCTTGCAAGGAGGCTGGACATAACTCCAGAGCGATATACAGAAATCCGGTCGCCTGTTCTCGGCAGAAGTAACGAATCACGTTCGCATGGTCGTCACTTTCCTGTAACAAGCCAACCTCGTGAGACGCTATGTCATAAAATTCCACTAGCATGCGTTTCACAGCAACGTCTCGTCCATCGAACGACCCTTGATAGACGACAGTTCCATGACTTCCATGGCCCAAGACGACATCAGTGAACACTCTCAGCCGACCGATTTGGAGGACGCCGTCCATCTCCATGATCTCGTTAGATACCGTGCGGACCATCTGCACATCAGGCTCCAACCGAGATTTGGATTGGATGTTGTTCACTTCATTCACAACGCGGTCGGCTGATTCCTTAGAATCACCTTCGGATCCGAGTTTCCTACCTCGCTTGTGCGCCTTGCCTCCACGACGGCCCCGACGAGCTTTCTTTTTAGGCTTCTCCGCGCCATCGAAAGCCGCCTCATCGACGTCCTCATCGTCATCCGGACCGCGCGAAGGCTCTCGAATTCGTACATGCGGTGTGCTATTGGGGGCAAGGGCATTGCGGTCTTTCTTTGGTTTGGGGGTTACGTCGCCGCCCTGTTGTTGGTCTTCAGGGACACTGACGTCGATGGTCACATTGGTCATCGGTCGGGAGAGACCATCACCTCTTTTGAGATCGGCATCGACAACAGGAGTTGATGGAGCGGACAGAGGCGGCCCGCCATAGGACGAAATGATGTTCTTCAAGTCCAACTTCTGCTTCGCCAGTTCCTGAATATTGTGTGAGTTTAAATAGATGAAAGCACCTAAGAACAGCAATATCAAAGTCACAAAGATGTCAGCAGCGTTATCCCACCCCTTCCGAATGATCGTGCTGTGCCGTAACGCTGGAGGGAGAGCTAATTCTGAAGGACTGCGATTCAACTCTTGCGGAGTATCATTGGAGAGCTCCACTCTCGAGGATCCGGATAAGCTCGGGACGTGACGAACAAAACGAGGGCCATTGAGCGAGTGCACACCAGCTAGTGCATCTCGCTGTTGGCCGGGTGTCAAGCTCATCAGAGGTTGGCCATGACGGAAGTAGTCCTTCTCGTAGCATTGTGCCATCTTGGCCCGTCCCGTAACCAAGGGGTAGGTCTCCTCGGACATGGCATACCAACCACCTGCCTGAGTACTATCAATGTATACGCGGGTATCTCGATCATCCAAGGACCCGTAATCGGGATCAGGCGGCTGTAAAGGCTGCGAGAGAAGTACTAAGGGTGTAGGTGCGTCGGGTGAATCGAGGTTGATGGGGCGAACGACATCAAAAACTCGAGCCACTGGCGTGGAAAAACGCTGTGTATAACGCGGACGTTCCATCCGAGAATGATCAAACCCTAGCACCACCCCATCGTGCATGCTATATATGTGGCTCGCATCCATAGTTTGGAAGTATTGTTCTTGAAGGTCCAGGTCACGGTTGTTGGCCGCCCATTCGGAGTATTTCAGCGTACAGATCGGATCCCCTGTTTCGGTATTCTGAATAGCTATGGCGTATTCGATCCGTCCGAGCACCAAGGTGCCAGACGGAGACTCGCATTCCTCTGGGTCCATGTCAAGACCATCCACTTTTCGGCACTCCGGTCCTGAGGGAACCGGGCCTCTGGAGCTGAAAACGCGGAGAATCGTGCCGGTACGAGCGTCAACAGTATATAAAGTCGTCTCCTTTCGTGCTGTATACGTAACAGCAGGGTCACTCCCCGAGTAAGGCGTCTTATCCACCAGGTCTTTGACAGTCAACCCCAACCTCTGCAGTCCTGCATCCGGACCAGGACTGTATATATAAAGGCTGCCGCCTTGACTTGGCTCGACGATCCATAGAAAATCATCTTCCGGTTGGGTCCGATCGAAACTGGATCGATTCGCTCGATGATAGATGCTTTCGACCATAGGACTACTCGGCACTTCAAGGGCCCAACGGGCCGCGCCAGTCTTCCGGTCTCGGGCGTGAATGGATCCGTCAACGGTCGCCAGCAGGACAAAGTCCTCAACCTCCCAATCCTGCAAGGATCGCGCGTTAAGCGGCGTAGAGAGGCCAGCAGACGGGCTGCTGACCTGGGCAGGAGGGGCTCGAACGGCGCGGCCGGGGCCCGCCAGAGCCATAGTTGCTAGGGCGCTCGCATCGGTGGACTTCACGTCCAATGGAGTGTGTATATCATTTCCAACAACATGACCGGTCGATCCTAAGGGGACCGACAAGGTCGAAGGAATGTCATGACGTTCCTGCTGCTGCTGCGGAGCAACAAGAACGGGGAACAGAAGCAGAGCGACGCTGGCGGGGAGAGTCGATCGGGCGCCAGGCAGCCGCCACCGCATCCTGAAGGACTACAACGTGGGAACGATAGAGGTTGCAAGTGTATCGACGTCAACGGGGATGGTAACCGGTAGTTCATCAGTGTGCAGCGGGATGAAAAGGAGAGGTCGGTCAAAGGAAGGAGAGAAAGGGAGGGTGGAGGGCGATTCGACTCGGCGGCTGGGAGACCAAAGCAAAGACAGGAAAAGTACACAACCTAATGAGGCTTAGCGCAAACACCAATTAGTTGCCTGTCTTAGTGGTAGCAGTGGGGAAGGGGATTATCTTACGGGTAAGCACGTCGGAAATTTTTAAGAGAAATGACAAGAGGGGATCAAGATGAATTGATAGGTTTGAGGGAATAAATAAGAAAGGAAGGAAGAAAGAAAGAGAAAGGGGGGGGGAGAGGGATGAAGACGAGGTAAAGTAGCAGTGGTGTGTATCAGATATTATTAGCATTTCGGCTTTCACTGAATCAAATTAATTGATGGAAGACAACAGAACATGTTGACTGGCGGTGGCCTCAGGCGCTCCATAGCGGCGCAGGGGCGTTTCCTCATTGGGGCTAGCGGATGGCCTTTGTTACGCGCCACAACATCCATCACACCATCTAGAACCATACAGAATACCGCGGAGTCCCGCAGGCAACCGTATATTACAAGGACTGGTACGACAAGACATATACTCGGTGACACTTATTGTCTGCCGTTGTATCAATAGATGGCGAATAAAACTCTCTCTACCTCATCAATATCCTTTTATCCGTGTCTCTTGGTTTCCCGTGTCCTTTTCCCTGTGTGGGTAAGGATAACCACGCGATGGGTCCCAGTGGCCATGGCGGATCTCCCGTCCCGTCATTTTCCACACGCACACACACACACACACACACATACACACCACACCCCAACCCTTAATGGGCGATCAAACTGCGGAACATTGATAACCAGCGGACCTTGCTCCATTCGGAGCGCACTGTGAGATCATGAACTGGCCGTACATGTATTCAAATATCTTATTGAATTGGTCATTGACATTCAAGAGTGAGAATGTACAGTATTATCAGCATCCACAACTCTCATGGTTTCACCCACCGAACGCCCCAAACACCAGAAGTGCCCTCACGGTAGCACAAAAGAAAGACAACACTAATGCGTGACACCCTCATAAATGGAACGAGACATTAAGAAAAACAAATTCCCCCCCTTAAAAACACCTGTCTTGCTTAGGGTTGGACAGGGTACCCCCGCCTTCTGTACAGCGCACCCATTATTGTCCAAAGTCCCGTATTGTCCTCTCTATCCACCATAAACCAGCCAGCTTACCGAGGCTATCCAGCCACACGCAAAGAAGAAAGTCATAATTGAAGCCCCAGCCCGATCACCGGTCGTGATCGGCTTTGGCTGGTCTGGCTGCTGCTCTTTGTGATCCGAACCCGCACTGGGATTACTCTTGCTGGTACCACCGGTCTCCGCCGTCAAGGGTGCCTGATGCGCTTTCTTGTGGGTGATCATGGAAGAGGAAAAGACACTCAGTGCACTCATGTCCGACTCCAGGGATTTCGAGCCATCCCATTTGTCTTGTTGGTACCAACGACGTCCACAATCAGTCCTAGAGTCGCCGCCGGAGCACTGCTTCGCTGCAGCCTGTGCTGACGCCAGGATCTTGGGGATGATCTGTTCTCGCGTATACGGAGCAACAGTGGTAATGAACGTCAGCCAAGACGACAAAAAGCCTTTGAAGCAATCTTGGTTGCGATCACACATCATATTGGGCTCGCAGGATATTTCCGACATGATATCTCCACCGTACTTTTCGGGGAAGAATTTGGCTACTGTAGTGCCGAGCAAGCCATCGATGGCTTTCTTCCACTTCTCGCCACCATCGGTCTACACTTGGTCAGTACTGCAGCCGCCCTTCCTCCATCGAATGACCAAGGTGAGGGTGGGGAAAGGAAACACACCAAATTGTACATATAACCAGCTCCACTCAGGTAGGTCCCATAATTGTATGTCCATTGAAGATCCCCATGGTCCTGGCAATTAGCCTCAGTGGTAGTTGTGTCGGCAATGTTCCAGTCAGCCGTCTTCAGTAGCGGCGTGGTGGCACTCCAATCCCAAATCTTCTCCGCCCAGTCGATATAAGTTTGATTCTTGGTATAACGACCTAGACGCGCCGCCAGCTGAAACAGACCACCGTTCGAGATAGCGTTCTTCGTTGTATAGCCAGCCTGATAAGGCCAAATCTGCCAGCGAAGACCTCCATCGCAACTCGAGGTGTCCCAGCGTGGGACTTGGGTATTGAAAACTCCTTGCGCAAGCGACAACCACGATGGCTCGCCACTTTTCTCAGGAAAGTTCAGTTCTGCGGCGGTTATGGCAGCCAGTCCCCAGAAGACCTGGTCATCGTTTCCAAGGTAGTTGCTGTAGTTGGCGGGGAAGTAATCATCACGGCCTTTCTGCCAGAGCATTCCCTGGGCGGTAACCTCGTTGTAGGAAGCATCGCCAGTCCAGAACCAGTATTGGATAAGAGTCATGAACATTGCGCCACCTTCCCACCACGTATCAGGGAGCTTTCCAGGCACTTGACCTGACTCGTTCCCATGGTAGTTGCTCATCATATTGTAGGCTGCCGTCGCGGCCGCGTTCTTGATTGATCCTAGGAAGTAACAGCACAATCAGCACGAGATGAGACATTGTAGACAGCGCAGTAGAGTGAGGTAAGCTATCAACTTACTCTCATCAGTAATATCAAGCTCAATAGCGACCCCCTGGCCCGCAAAGAGCGCGGTCAGGAATATCGCGGATAGACAGTCCGGTAGAATCATCGTATGTAAGAGCGAGGGACACTGTAGCTAGTGAAAGATCGGTGAAAGCACCATCCATGGGATGGGAAAGGTGAAAGAGGGGCGAGACTTTCCAGAAAGAAGGGCGGCAGGATGGGTTTACCAGAATGCGGACGAGCTCTGGAATGTACGGAAATGGTTCAACAACAGGATGTCATCTCCATACAGCATCGAAAGCGAATCCGCAGGAAAATCAAATTGGAAGATGGGCAGTGTCATTTGGTATGGACACAAATGGGCAGGGATCATGATGACGAGGCAAAGGGGCTCCTTCAACAGTTTCGTCAGTAAGGGATATTATATTCTTAACTACATGTATACTGCAGTCTGTATGTATCCTGCACATACCCTTGACCCTTTGGTACTTAAGCAACGGTGCCAAGGATCACCTTGCAGAAACGCTATAATTAGTGAGCGTTGAACCACCCACCACTAAATGATTAGATTGTTCTGTGAATGGAATAAACAATGAATTGTGCAAGATAGTATAGGTGCAACTTGGGGCAGTGGAAATTAACACATCCCTTGGGCAACTCTCAAATGTCCCATGTTTGTTGTCTACTACTTTACATGATGCTGTCTCCACACCTCGGCTAGGCTGAATGAGGATGGAGGTACAAATGCTAAACCAATTACTGATATGTAATAAAATAATATCTAAACGCATACCCCAATATCCACTCCTTCTCTTGAGAAATCTTAAAGAAGACTAACTATTGCTGACGTTGTAGTTGAGCAAGACATGTTACATGATTCCAAACAAGGGATGGATTCACTACAAGAAACCGGGAAAAGGAGAGATATAGATATACTTGCTATGAATGAAAACACATCTTTCAAGGGACTGCAAAGGCTGTTGAACCTAGCGGCCTGTGCCTTAAGGTATTCTCTAGAGAATCAAAAAAAAAAAAAAAAATGAAAATAAAAGATTAAAAAAAATATAAAATATAAAAGGAGTGAGGAAGAAAGACAGAAAGAAAAGCACTCTGTATACTCCCTGGCAACTAGTATCTACGAATTTTCACGGTGAAAAGACCAAACTTCGTCAATGCTTTTGTCTCATACAATCAATGAGTCTATGTCACGGTTATTACACTCTGAAGAGAGCACGTTATCAACATTTGTCCAGCACAGCTCACACTGGTAAGCTGCTCTTGGTTTCGCTTGAATCTAAACAACCTTGTTTCCAGTCCATCGCGCCATCAGGATTAAATTATCTCATCACCTTACATACGCTCACGTCTACGGGGAGCAGACCGGATAATGTTGTCAACGCGCAGAAGAAGCTGCAGGAAGAGTTATAGTTAGCTACATGACCACCAATGAATAAGGACTTGAAAGGGATTCTCTTACCTCCGATGCCTCAGATGCGGAGGAAACCACTGCCTTCTTCAACTTGTAACTCTCCACAACTCCCAGCTCCCGCATGTCAGCGATGCCACCGCCGGGAGTGAGCAAGTCGAGTCCAGAGCTGGTCATGCCGTTGTTGATAGCCTGTCGTAGGCGAGTCACAAGGTCACTGGAGTCCAGGCCGGCATTGTCGGCCAGGATGGTGGGAAGTTGCTTCAGAGCGTATGCGAACGAGTCAACGGCCAGCTGCTTCTTGCCCGTGGTGTTCTGGGCGGCTTGCTCGACCGCCTTGGACATGACCATCTCGGCGCAACCACCACCGAGGGTGACCCGTGGGTCCTTCACAGTCTGAGAGAGAACAGCCAAAGCGTCGTGAAGAGAGCGCTCGGCCTCGTCAAGCAGCTGCTCCGTAGCACCGCGGAGCACGATGGTGCATGCCTGACCGGCAGCCACGCCAGAGAACTTAATCAAAGTATCTTCACCAATGATAACCTCCTCAATCACATCGCAGTGGCCCAGCTTAACTTGCTCGGGGTGGTCGAAGGTCGAGGCGATCTCACCGCCGGTAACCAAGGCCAGGCGCTCAATACCATCGAAGTCTGCGTGCTCGATAGACATAATGCCGGCCTCAGTGAACAGCTGCTCGGGCCAATTGTAGATCAGCTGACGGTTGACGAAACAGTTGATACCATGTCCCTTGATCCGGTCGACCTTAGCCTTCATCTTCTCACGCTCGGCCTTCTCCAGTTCTGCCAGTTTGCCGGTCGAATCGACCTTGACCCGAGCACCGAAGATCTTGACCTTATCTGTGTCCATGGCTGTGTTGGCGACCAAGATATTAACGTTCTCCAAACGCTTGGGCTGGTTAACACCGATCTTCTTGTCAAGGATGAAACCCTCATCCAGGTAGGAATCACTGAGTTTCCCACCGGCCTTCTTGATGATCTGGATGTGACTGAGGTCGGTCGAACCCTTGAGTCTGAGGACTGCATCGCAGGCGAGGGTAGCGAAGTGATCACGGTCCTGGGCTAGGACCTTCGAGCTGAGGGTCGTACGGGCGATAGAGTGGAGGTCTTTCCGGAAGGACTCCATGTCGGCACTACGGTCGACGGCAGCCTTCTCGAGGGCATCAAGAGCAGCCCGGCTGGCTATCCGGTAACCGTCGATGATAGTCTGAGGATGAATTTTGCGGTTCACCAACTTCTCAGCCTCACGCAGCAGTTCCGCTGCCAGTACAGTCACGGATGTTGTACCATCACCGACTTCATCATCCTGGACTTTTGAAATGTTGACAAGCACCTTAGCCGCGGCGTTGTCGAGAGCGATCGACTTCAGAATCGTAGCACCGTCATTCGTTACGAGGATCTCGCCGGTCGACCTGATATCTATTAGTGACATGCCCACTATAACAGCCCCGCATCTCCGATTCCAGTCCCACGTACGCTGACTGGAGGATCTTGTCCATTCCCTTAGGCCCCAAAGTACTCTTCACCAGGTCACCGACCGCGATGGCGCCAACGAAGGCGGAGAGACGGGCGTTCTCTCCCTTCTCTTCGACGACATCGTCCGCAAAGATCTGCGTAGGGTTGGCGAAGGACGCCTAGAAGCGGTCAGCATTAAAAGAAAATATGGAATCAAAGAACGATAGCATTATCAACTGACCATGATGTATGATGTTTAATGTGAAAGATGGCTACCGTCGAGTGTGAAACTGGTAGCTCTGTCAGGGGGGGGGAGGGGGGATTTTGGCGGACAGTTCAATACTGATGCTGCGGGACGTCCAGAAAAGTTGGCGATGTGGCCCGAGCTCTAAAGCAGCTGCCCAGACCGCCTGCAACTGCTTCTCTCCTCCAACTAGGTAGCCAATTCTCTTATTCTTCCTCACAACTCTCCCAATTCAATTCCAGATTTCTCAGAATGGCAGCAGAAGATGAGAAATCGCAGCCTTTATCCAGCAAAAGACCGCATTCCGCGGTGGACGGCAACGAGGACGATGGTGCGCTCATCCTCAAACTGAGAAGCAAGAGAGCATAAGATACTAATCTTGATTGAATATAGGCAACGAGTCATCTTCCGATGATGATTTCGGTCCAGCTCTCCCTTCGGCAGATGCTCCCAAGAAGAAACGGCGCAAGCTTCCCTTCGAGAAGGTCTACGTGAACGCACTGCCCGCATCGCCTCGTTACTCGAAGTCGCTCATGCACAAGGAGCAATTATCCTTTACGACAATGACGCCGCACACCGACTTCCTAATCACATCGTCTGTTGATGGTTTTGTGAAATTTTGGAAAAAGATGGCAGTTGGAGTCGAGTTTGTAAAAGAGTTTCGTGCCCATAATGGCGAAGTGAGGGGCGTCAGTGCCAGCGCGGACGGGAGGAGTTTTGCGACGATTGGAGCGGACAAGACAGTGAAGCTGTTTGACGTGATTACATTTGGTACACCAGTGCAAAGTCGCAATCCGATGGTGGCTACAGTAAACTAACTACAAAACGCAGACTTGCTCTCCATGCTCACGCTCGAGTTCACTCCCCGCTGTATTTGCTGGGTCCATCGCCGAGGCGCTTCGTTACCACTGCTGGCAGTGACCGACGAAGGTAGCAGCACGATCCAGATCTTCGATGGCCGAGGCGAGAACCCCAACCCTTTACACACCGTGAAATCGATCCACCGGAACCCCGTGGCCGCAATCGCATTCAACGACGCCTACGATTGTGTCATCTCCGCCGACGAGTCAGGAATGATCGAGTACTGGAGGGCGGGGGATTCTTCATTCGAAAAGCCCGACAACGTATTCGAACTGAAATCATCCACCAATCTCTTCGAATTCAAGAAGTCCAAATCCACCCCAACATCCCTCACAATTTCCCCATCCGGAGAACAATTCGCCGCCTTCTCCTTCCCAGATCGCCAAGTGCGGGTCTTCGATTTCGCCACAGGAAAGCTATACCGCAAATACGACGAATCCCTAGCAACAATCACTGAAATGCAACAAGCCGGCACAGCAATCCACCAGCTGGAGGAGCTCGAATTCGGCCGCCGCCTCGCCATCGAACGAGAACTCGAAAACCCCATCACTCAACCCAAGATCAACGTCACGTTCGACGAATCTGGCCACTTCATCCTCTACGGCTCCCTTTACGGCATCAAATGCATCAACACCTACACCAACCGGGTCGTACGTGTGTACGGCAAAGACGAACCCTTCCGCGCCCTCAACCTAGCAATGTATCAAGGCCAACCGCAAAAGAAAGGCGTCGTAACAGTCTCCATGGCCGCGAGTTCCAACCCCCTCCTCCAAGATGCCGAAGAGCGCGACCCCATCCTCATCAGCACCGGCTTCGCCAAAGTCCGCTTCTACCTCTTCACCAATGAAACCGAGATCTCCAAATCCACCCGTGACGTCCAGAACGAGAAACCCACGCAATCAGCCACCGGTCGCGAAACCGCCGTCCAGAAATCGAACGAGCTCGGCACCTCCGCCATCCTACACACTACCATGGGCGATATCCACCTTCGCTTGTTCCCGTCTGCTGCGCCCAAAGCGGTCGAGAACTTCGTCACCCATGCCCGCAATGGGTACTACAATAATACCATCTTCCATCGTGTTATTCGTAAATTTATGATCCAGGGCGGGGACCCGTTGGGTGACGGCACAGGCGGTGAGTCTATCTGGGGTGGGGAGTTTGAGGACGAATTCTCCAGTTTGAAGCACGACAAGCCGTATACTTTGTCTATGGCGAATGCTGGACCGAATACCAACGGTAGTCAGTTCTTTATTACCACAGAGAAGACACCGTGGTTGGATAACAAGCATACTGTTTTTGGTCGCGCCGTGCAAGGATTGGATGTCATTCATAAGATCGAGAATACGAAAACATATAAGGAGAAGCCGGAGCAGGATATCAAGGTAGTGAGTATCACCGTGTCTTGATTTTGAAGATTTTCGCATTGCAGCGTGATATCGTCTTGTTTTCAGGTTCAAGAAACTATATGCTTTTCCGATCACTGTTATGACATGAGCTTTTTGTAAAGAAAAAATTTGTCTTGTGGATCTAGCGATATTACATTAAATACCCCCGTACTGCGGGCAATTTTACCTAATTTACAGTCAGCCGGTAACATGTCACAACCAAGCAAGCAATTCATTGATCTCATGCTGGGTGAGACGGGAGGCATCATAATGACGGGGAAGACATGTCCAGGCAAAGATAATGATAAAAGAGATGACCCAGCCTCCAAGGAGGAAAATTCTTATGTTCTGCCAAAGCCACCGAACAGATCTCAGAAGACATATTCACACACCATATGGTATCATGTACTGAGAAGTTGTACGTGAGATGGTCCCGGATAGTGGAAAGGAAACAAGCAAAAGGAAAAGCCAGCCGAACACGAAAACGCCGAATACATATGCAAGATTGGAAGGATGAACCCTCGAAACCCCATATCAGTATAGTCAGATTGATGGCATGACATTATGCCGCGGGAGTCTGCCTTGCAACTGCCCGAGACGGGAGATTCCACTGATGCTGTGTTCGAAAGCACACCCCTGCTTAATAAGAGTAGATATGGTAAGCCAAAGCAAACTCTACCGTCACCTTGGCACCTCGCGGACTTCAATATCGCCTTCGTCCGCTGGCTGCGGGGTTTTCGGGAGACGTGACGGCGTGCGGGTTCGCGGGACTCCAACATCAGTGCGAGAGCTACTGGCAACTGAATCTGTGTTAGCATACTCGGAATGGTTCACCGGACTTGGGCTTGGAGCCGGCATGAATTGGCCCGGCTGTTTCGGACCGGGGCTGGCATTCTGTCCGCGGTTAAATAGGAGCCCGCTGTTGCTGCCACTTCCCGCGTGGTAGAGATTGGGATATTTCGCATCGTGGCGGCGCTTAAGCCACACCCCCCCAACCGCGATGGCACCGAACCCGACGATGAGCACAATTACCATGATAACCCATTGATAATGTGTTGACCACCTAAGACAGGTCAGCAAAGTGGTCGTGGAGAGCGCGGAAAGTATATTCCGACGATTACATACCAGGATTTGGGAGCCGGGTAGTTATTCTGAGATTTCGGAGCAGATGTAGATGTAGATGTAGATGTAGAAGCCGCGGACGTGGTTTGTGTCGCAGTATCCTTGCTTCCTCCGGACGAGCAAAAGTCGCTATACCATGTCTTCAGTGTCGAGCGGTCCGCTGGGTTGGTACAGGTGTCGGCGCAAGTCCCGTCCGCGGAGACATGGAGTTGGCTGATCAACGATGACTGGCAAAAGCAAGAGACATAGGTCGAACGGCCGTTGCCCGGGGCGTTTGGGGGTATACAAGCACTCTGGGCTTGTTGGAGGACGGGGCAACTTAAGGCGCACGAAGGGAAGCTATCGGATGCCGCGGAAGGTATGAGATTGGTGTCGTCGGCACGAACGGAAAGCGATAGAGCGAGGGTGATTAGGAAGAGGTGAAAGAGTCGTGGTGTCGCGCGAACATTGGCAATCCAGGCCAACGTTCGACGTGTCATGGCGACGAGCTGAAGAAGTATGTAGTGGAGACCGTCGGCGTAGACGTAGACCTCACAGGAACAGGCGGCCCACCATTATCTATCTAGGAAAGAAGCGAAAGTCGAAGGAAGCGAAGGTGGGGGGTTTTCGGAAGGATTCAGAGAGACGAAGGGAAGAGAATGAGGGACACAAGAAAATTATATTGTGAAGAATTTACCTCCTAGAAGAGTAAGTGATCATGCGGGAGGAGGGGAATCTGATAAACGAGGGTACAAGATTAAGAAAAGTGGAGGAGAAGGAAGGAATGGAAGAGGAGAGGGAAAAGGGAAAAGGGAAAGTCTGAAAGTCACCAGTAATGAAAAAGAAAAAAGGTCCAGACAATTTCCTTCCAATGGCTCCACTGCAACTATGCCGCTTGCGGCCTGAGGGACAGAAAAAAAGACTTTGTTTTGGTTTTTTTTCTCTACCCTTTTCTTTCTAAAATTGTACCCCGGAGTTGTATTACCTACTTACCACTACATTAGTTCTTATTACCCTACTGTTGCCTGTATGTAAGTCTATCGACTGCGAATACTGCAGTTTTCTCCCCTCACACCCAGTCGGAAGGAAACTCGAGAAGGAAAAGGAAAATCAAGATCCATTCCCCTTACTTCCTAGAAACCATTCCACTGACATCAAACTGACAGCTCATTCAGTCTTTCTGCATCTCCGATCGCAGGAATGTTCTTTCAACCTGTCCACTACCGCCAAGTCCTTGGGTTACAACCACTGGTTAACCGCTTGCGACTTGCCGGATGCGTAGCCGTTGCCATGTCACAATGAGACGCGTCTGACCCTGAGGCGAGACGACGACACTAGTTATTTTCCAATAATCCCGTGCTCCACCAGCCCTAACCGAAGGTGGCAGATGGAAATGGGAAAAGCACCGACCATCCAATGCAACGGCAAATGAACGCGACGAGGAGAAGCGGGGGCAAAGAAAGCGGAAATTATACTAGTCAGACACTCTCTTAGCGCTATTCACTTCTGAACAAGTTGCATCACTCGGTTCGCACTGGTCATGGATTATTTTTGGCTCGTGCCTGTCGAGTAACCTTAACACTCTTGGATCCACGGATCGCCCTGACATGGTTCCTGATCGTCGAACTTCTTGATCCATCAAGGGATATGGGAATGTGTCATTGCACTTTCTATTTAATTTCGCTCTTTCCCCGCCCCCCTCTTCTTCTTGCCATGCGCCGGATTGGATCTCTTGTGGTGGAAATCCCACCAATAGTCGTCGGTGTATGAAGTACCACAGCGGCGGGTATTTCCTGCAACCTTGGCAATACTGGCATGTATTATTATGCCTCAGGGTTACTTCTGCTTATCTCTTTGGGAACAGTTCCCTCTACGACTCCTACCCCCTGTAGCTTACTACATAATCGAACCACGCTTTTGTAATGTACATCTCTTCTCGAACTCCGAAAATCACTCTTTATCTCTCTCTCTCTCTCGGGGGTATTTTTGTTTCTTTTCACTTCCTTGTCCACCCCCTCCACCAGAGAGTCATTTCAACAGGGTTTGACAAGGCAATGAACTCAATCCTTAGCTAGCCTGAAAGAAAGTGGAAAGCTCTCAAGCCCATGGATGAAGTTACCTACTCCAGGAGCATATAACTACTGCATCGAATAGTCAAACCTTCTGTAAGGATCTACTATTCAACGAGCGGAATCATTCGGTTCGTTAAGCCCTAGGTAGATAGATAATGCAATGGTCGCAAGAACGTGATATACGTTCTAGTACCTATTGACCTGCACCGGCCTAATCACGTAAAATCAATACGATAGGCTATTCTCTACAGTACCTGAACCCAAGAACAATGGAATTCGCCGCCTAGCATTGTGAAACTTCAATGTATAAAATGTCTGAATCGGGAGGCGCAGCCATAGTCCTAACATCACCCTATGATCTCATTGCGAATTTGCAACACCAGACATCAAACCTAGACTAAATTACGCGGTCAGTCAACCTGTACTCCGTGGTTCGTAAACTCATGAATAATGATACAAAATAATCATTATCATCTCAACCTTCAAAAAATCACCGACAAACCTTCCGATTCTCCGGTCCTGTTGCCTCCTCACTAGAAAAGCTAGAACGCCCCTGCCCATCCACATCCACAAACGTAACCCCCCATTGCACGGGCATCTGCTCCGCCGCCGACATCCCCTCCCCATCAACAAACTCACCCCCATCAATCCTCAAGGCAGGATGGCAAGCCGCCGCAATCGCCAAACTACAGCTCCCCGCAACCAGTATCCCAGACTCCAACCGCTTGAAACCAAACCCAACAAGCCAAGCTACCATCACCACTCCAACGGCAATGGAACCCACGATAGCCGGGAGCGAGTACCCGCACGTGATAACGTCGCGCTTCGGATCGCGCTGTAGCGTGTCAGTGTAGGATTCGATTCCCACGAGGAATATGCTCTGGGAAATGAGCCAGTGGAGAATGGCAGAGAAGGCCATGGAAGGAAGAGCGAAGCGGTAGGGGAGGGAGACGAAGTAGCTGCTGCGTTGGGCGGATTCCGGATGGCCGGAGACGCGTAGGCCCTTGCGGCGGTTGGCGTATCGGCTCCATTCCGATGCAAGGGCCGTGGCGGTGAAGATGGGGTTGAAGGTAAAGTAGATCAGGGAGAAGATTAGTTGGCGAAGAGGGTGTTCGCGATTAGGGTTGTGATCCCATCTGAGCCTTATTAGGGTTTGGGAGTTGATGGCGCTGAAGCCCATGGTCCAGACGCGGCTTTTGTCGGAGATGGTGGTTAGGCTGTAGATGAGTAGGGAGATACAGGCTGCGATGGCGATTGTGTAGCTGGGTTTTATTTGTTAGTTGTGTTATTCTAGAAGCTGAAGGGAACATGATAGAGGGGCGAGAGGAGCTCACGCGACGATGCCGAGGTTGAAGCACTGGCGGGAAACTGCTGCGCGCCGTCGTTTTGGTGTGTCGTTGAAAGACGATGGTTTGTATCCAAGTCGATAGTGGAGTTTCTCTACCGCTTCTTTGGTTAAGAGACATTGGCCCCGTGTAGACTCATCGGGCCTTTGGATGAAGGAGGCAACTGCGTCTCCTGTCGTCAAGATGGACTTTTCTGTCGCGCTGATAGCGCTGTATCCGATGGTGATTGCCTTACACAGGATGGATAAAACCACAGCGATAGCCAGCGGGAGGCTGCATTCCAACTTGCAGCGTTGCAGTGGCTGCTCCACGGGGCAGTACTCAACGTGATAGCCATATACAGCTCAGGAACCATTGGCAGCTTGAGGGGGTTGAACAAATCCACTTGTGCGGTTCGCTTTGACGATACCGTAAAAGATATTATCCATTGGCATAAAGGAGGCCTGGGATTGGACGAGTTGGCATGGAAAGGCCGAATTAGTGTCATTTGTTACAAGGACTAAGCTCCCATAATTAGCCTGGTAGTTCCGTTGCATATGCGTCTATGTATTGGAAGCGTATTTAGGAGCTGGAGGGCTCCATTCATCGCTTCGGCATGCAACCGGGGTAACACCTCATTTGTAGTTCTAGTCAATTTTCCGTTACCGTCATAGATAATATATTGTAAATTCACTTTGTAGAAGCCAGCCTGACCTGCAAAAACCTGATAGGAATTTACCGAAGTAATGGAGGATATTGTCGAGTTGTACCTGGGATCTACTATAAATTAGTACTGTCAGACTCGATAAGCAGCGAAACTGGAGAAGCATCACATCAGATGGAGTGGAAGAGATGAGAGAACTAGGCACAACCACAAAAAAGGCTCGTTTTTCAACACCTCCCGCTTGTTCCGGATGCTAGGAATGTCTATGTCGAGCCATTTGTCCTTTTGATGAGCACGGTCAATGGCGTTCCTGGTCGGCGCACATAGACATTGCCGTAATGAGCACTCAGTAAATCGAGCTGTATGTGAATAATGGAGGAGAGTTTGGCCCACCATGCAGTAGTTGCTTGAGACTAAAAGAGAGGTACTGAGGATATTGATAGCTAGACATAGGCCCGTACCCATATGCAGCACTTTCTCGCAACTTCCCTCGTGCAGAGTCCCACGACCCCTTCTAACCTATGGAGTACAACAGCCCATATAACGAAACCGAGGTTAAATGCTAGAACGATTACACTGAAAATTGAAGCTAGTGTAAGAGTGAATCTCTATCTAGTATACGACTTAGTTAGATGCGTTTAGATTGATTTGCGAACCTTCACGGGGAATTGAGACTCGCTTCTTCCTCACTCGGAACGAGTGTTCCTGGCTGTCGAACGTACCGATAATTCTGCGAGATTCGGTTTCTAGCTCCATGCTGTCACGTAGATTCCAGGCACAGCTACATGGTCGCTGAAGTATAAATAAAACGATCCAGGAACACAGGCCGGGTGAATTATAGGTCTGTGGTCCACATCGGTGTCTGACGGCGTTTAAAATTAATTGATTGGCGACAATCAGGTCTACTAATTGAATCCCATGGCCAATGGCATATATCTCATAGGGCACACTCCATTGAAAGGCTACTAGAGCAGCCAATAAAAGCGGATCGAGAGCCTGATCGTCCGTATAACCAGGATCCAAATCCTCTTTAACCAGATAGTTAAATGAGTCCTGGCTCTCGGTCAGACAGTTTACAACATGCTATGGCAATACCTGTTTAGTCTGGTAAGCAAAAATAGTCGAATATATTTCTAGAGCCAGGAGTAAGGGCAATTGCGTACATGCCATAAATATTCTAACGTCCTAGTGTAGTGGGGATAGACTCTACAAGCCCTATTGGCCAGCCTTGGCGCCGCAAGATGTTCATATTTGACGTTGAGAGTACAGGTGACAGTTGTCAGCATATGCCACATATGTCCTAATCTAAGAATGGCATGTTTAGGGAATGAATAAACCAGTGGTGAACTATCTAATTTACAGGGCGTTGCGAATTACAAGGCTATAAAAAACAAACTCCTGTGGAAGGTACATTAGTATACCCTGGCATCATCTAAGCGCTGAGGCGTCGCGATTCATTATAGTTAGGCAATAGATGCGGGTGAAACGTAGCAGCATGATTTACAGTGTATGAAAAGATGACAGCGAAAAATCCCATTGTCTTGGTAGGGGTGGAATAAGTATATTGTACATTTATACAGTATGGTTCCTGTTGGCCACTGCTACCGCCGACATATCACTACTACGCAGCGTAGGCTCAAAAAAGAAGCATAAGTGGCTTGTCTATGTAGCTTGACCTTTGACACTAATAGTGAGTCTCCCTCAACATACGCCTTGAGTAGGCTAAGACTTCGACCGTTCCCAAACAAGAAGGCCTCAGATGCCTTGTACAAGTGTTGCATGTCCCCCCAGACCCCACCCAGTGGCTATTTTTGTACTGGAGAGATACATATACATAAATCAAATGGTCATTTAGATTCAATTAATCTAGCTAGCCAAATCAAGCTTTATTGACATTATACGTCTGATCTGTTGGCCGTGCAAAACGTACAGTTTTCAACGAACCAGTTGGCAGAGGGTTCAATAATTCCGCCTGGTGCTGCCCCTCCCAAGATAGTGCCCAATAGATATCTACGGGCGGTCTTAACAAACCCCCTACCAACACTCCATCGATGTATCATGATCTATACGCTTTATTATCAATCAACATACCCGGCAACTGGAAGAGAAGAAGAAGAAGAAGAAGAAGAAGAATGAATGTCTATCCTTTTATAATATTCCCAATACTAGTTATCTCTGCCTACCAGCATATAATCAATTTCCAACTGACCTGAATCTATCCGCTCTCATCAAAATTCAACAGGCGCAAGAATCAACATCGATCATTAACCCTAATTCAAAAGATACAGCCATGGCCATGGGATGACATTGAAACCAGTAAACTTCATCATGAAGACTCTGCATCGTCTCTCAGCCCAGTCTTAAGAATCCAGCGGGACCCTGCAGATCCCCATTTACTACATCCAGTAATTTAGCCAAGACCCGAATTCGTTTAACTCGTTCCAGGCAGGCCATTTCGCTAGGTTCGCCCGCACCGAGAGCTTAATTAACATCACTGTCTGATGGACAAGGTGTACACTAAGGGTCTAACACTGATACTAATTTGTTCTCATGTGGATCCATGATTGACAGTTAGCTCCAAGGCAGCGATCTAACGGGCCTATTAGAAGATCGGTTGAAGAATACGGGGTTCGGCGAGGCTTAGAACGAGGGAAAATGCGAGGTGCGAATACGAGGTCCACCTATCAAGGATGATCTGGTTTGGTGTAATTTGATTGGTAGGCTGGTTGCTGGGACTTGGATGTATTTTGGAAGTATGTCTTGTGGGCTATAGGATTTGGGAGATATAAAGGGTTTCATAAGTTGCGAGGGTCGCGAGCTCTTCAGATAATATCAGCTATATAAAGGATATATCAACGTGGTTATATAACTGTTATTCGTCGATATTGAGTCCTCAGGCCTAAAATCAAAAAAATGGGCAAATCAATCTACTTCTACGACCCTTCACTCGCCGCTTCGATCCTTTTTACCGTCCTATATGTCCTCCCATTCGCCTACCACCTATACATGTCCACCATCGCTCCCTACACGGGAAAATACCACCGAATAGGATACTTCATCCCTATGGTGGTCGGCGCTGCAACAGAAGTAGGCGCATACGCCGTCAGGGCCGCGAGCGTCAAAAAGCAAGACGATGTTGGATTATACGCCACCTCCTCGTCTTTAATCGTGATAGCTCCAGTGCTCGTTTGCGCGAGTCTCTATATTTTGATTGGAAGATTGATCCAATCGGGCGGCCGGACTCCCAACCCTGATAGCGAGACGAAAGAACCGTTGCTGCTGTTCGGGAAGTTCTCTCCGTCTTGGATTCCGCGCATCTTTGTCACATCGGATGTCATCAGTTTCCTGACGCAGGCGGCTGGAAGCGGGATCGCTTCATCGAATAATTGGCAAGGTTCCCAGAAAGACGCTGGCGTTGGGATCCTCATTGCAGGACTGGTATTGCAGCTCGTGACTTTTGCCTTTTTCCTTGTTGTTGTGATCTGGTTTGATTTGCGGTCTCCGGCTTCGTCGCGTGGGGGGGATGTTGAATCTGGGGTAAGACTCGTTTTGAATGGGATTTATGTAGCTGGATTCTTCATCACGGTAGGCATCAAGTCCTTTGTTATTGGACACTTGTGGTTATTGGAGACGCTAACGGGAAACTGGATTTCAGGTCCGATTGATCTATCGAGTGATCGAATTCTCCATGGGTATGGATACTTATACCTGGACCCATGAATGGCCGCTGTATGTCCTTGAGGCGGTACCGATGTTCATTGCAATGATGGTTCTAGGGTGGTACCATCCTGCTAGATGGCTCCCGCAAGGACTTGGTGAGAGGCTAAAGTAGCTTCTGGGTTTTGTGGAATATAGAGGGCGGTAATGCTAGACTCGGCAGATTTAAAGGTGTTGTTTCTTAATTTCGATCTTTGCGAGCCCGTCTTTGTTTCTGAATTACTTTTACCCTCTGCCCTGCTCGCTTGATGCTGTCCTATATAGTTCTCAATAACATGAACATTTCGATCAATCAAGCCTCCCTACTCTGTGATACCTATAACTCATAGAGCTAGACCGGCTCAAGGATTGCCTGACCGGAGTTTGGGCCTTCAAGCGTAGCTTGATCTAAAGTTATAAAGTTCGCCTGCCACTCTACCAACCCACGTACCGAGGGGGGTAAGCACTGGTAAATATGAGCTCCCCACTGAAGAATCGGCAGTTCATCCCGGGGAAAGACTACTGCCCTTGGTCCCTTAAATATTTGAAACACTGGCCGAAACAGTACCGTTATCACGATGTAGTGGAGAAACAGGGCACGTGAGACATAGTTTGTCGGCTCGAGGAATTCCATAAACTCGCGATTTCCCATTCCTTCCCAGTGGTTATAGAATCCAGTGAAAGCAATGAAGGCTTCACGCGCCGAACTTTTGAATGCGTTGTACGTATTCAACAGGGCACCGTAGGCGTTGCAATGACTGTCGCTCACAAGCAGTGGCTCGATCCTTTTCAGTGTCTCGATAGATGTGTCCAGAAAATCTGTATCAGCACAGTGAGTGAGAGGGATGCGCAACACAATGTCCCTATAAATGACATCTGGTTTGAGTAGTTTGAACATTTCACTACCGTCGTATTTGTTCAAGATCCGCCGGGTTATTATACTACAGCCTCTGACCATAACGGCGAAGTCGACCAGACCATCTTCCATATAATTTGCCTGAAACGTAAGCGCATAGGCCGTTGCTAGCATCAACTCAAGCTCGGTTCTACTGCACTGATCACCTTTGATCAACGCATCGCCTAACATTCTAAGGGCCTGGCCTCGGTGCGTGACGGCGAGAGTCGTATATCTACTGCCGTCTGGTGTAACCAAGGAAAGGTGGGTGGCTCCGAGACAAAGTATTGCATGCATCAAATGTGGGCACTGTATTCAAAGGATTAGTTTAGATACACTTCGCTGACATAGGAAGCTAACCTCATGCGCACTCGCTGGGAGACACGTCTTCCATAGATCTTCGCTTCCAAACGGGAGATGCGGATATGCGACTATCAAAAAGTGTTGAAGGAACCGCAAGTCATCCGCAGCGAAGGCGTGGTGCGATACATTCTGCTGCGAACTTAATGTCACTGCTGACTCTAATGCTGGTGGCGTTGTAGAACTGCGTGCCGAAGAGCCATGTCTGTTTCCTACTATTCGACTGCGATGACTGCCATGTGAGCTGGAATGGCCACGACGATGCAGCATTTGTTCTTCTGAAGGATATATGCACAGAGTGTTTCGGCTGATGCAATTGGCGCACGGGTTTGGCCGCGTTTCCTGACACTATTGTGGCAGTCAGTCTGCAGTACTCAGAAATTCTATTTCAGTTGGCTATAATCATTACTTTAACTCTTCGAGCCTTGCAGCTGAAGCAGCCATAACGCGACTTTGTATGAGGTCGTTTTGTCCGGTGTGGCTCTCTCCGGATGCTGGGAATGAATCGTGGTATGAAAAGTGGGCTGTACGATGTCATGGTCCTATGAGAATGTGTCAGTCGTAAAGACGACTTTAACCTGCCACTAATTGACTGCCCAGGCAATTCTGTTTCCACGCTGTCGTTGTCTTGTGCATTTTAACGAAGACTTTGGTGTAATTGAAGATAGATGACGATGAGTAGGCAGCCGGGTTAATGAATTTTGTCGATACGAAGCTGCAGCCAATCAGAGACTTTGCTATATATAACTTTGGCCCAATATCATCAATCTTATGACCGTTTAAGGATTTAAGAAAGAATGCTTATTAATTAACTATCCTGGTGATTGGCTTCAAACAAACAGGGTCCATAGAACTGCATCCTACTTGCCCGATCCTTTGGACTCGGGGCGATCGTGCGAGACTAAGTATTATGTTATGCCTGGTGGATGTTCGATATCTTCAACACCTCTCTAAATTAACTCTCGTCGGCAGTCGGTCAGCTACTCAACTAGCGAGCAAATAGATTGAGAAAGTTTAAATGATAGTTATGGTCGTGGTAACTTTTGTAGAAGTATAGCAAAAACTCACATTCTATATGCGGCATAATTTCGATCATGTGATACTATTGAGCCCTGTGTCCGTCCTCCTTTCTGCCTCAGGCGTGAAATATCAAACTTTATTAACGGATATCAACACAAACATCCACACCATTCAGAATACGGATGAGAACACTTCCAACTCCCAACATGAAGCTTTAAAGAAGATATGTTTCTTATCTCGGCCCTTGTAGCTCAGTGGTAGAGCGCTTCACTCGTAGCCTGAGTCATCAATTGACCCGAAATCATTGGTACTCTCCGATAAAGCGATATGAAGAGGTCCGCGGTTCAATCCCGCGTGGGGGCAAGTTTTTTGTGGTACTTCTCAGCATCAACGCCCGTGGAGTTCTCGGCCTAGGAGGTGTGTGTATATAAGCCATACCGGAGCTTGTCCAGGGATGTTTCAGGCACCGTCGCGCTGCTTGGTGCGCCTAATCAAATAGCCTTATTTTCCGCGTTGTACCATATTATTCAGAGCCTGAATGAACCTTTTTAGATAGGTGTATGAGATTCCTTTTTTCTATATGAGAATGGCAAGCAAGCATCAGTCTCTGTTCCAGCATGCTAGTACTATTTTGCGAATACCAACCTATTTCACCCTTGTGGCTGAAAGATACTCGTGCCAGGGATCAGCGTTTCATTTCTTTAGTATAGGAAGTGCTATAATATCCCGCATCATACCAACTCAAGGCACTTCTAACAGGATTGCCAAATCCTACTCGGTTGGGTGAGAGTGAGGTGTAGGGCTAATAGGGCTTTTGTCAAACAGGTGACCTGATCGAGCGTATATGTACATACTTCCACAGAAAGTCCACCACCTAGACTGCCCCGTACCTTGATTCCATCTCGCTCTTATGGTTAGTTCTGAGTCTGCAGCTCATTTAGTAAATGATATAAATTGTCCCTTATGCATGACTAAGGAGATTCCAGCAAAGAGGTGAGGTGTATGCAGGGGCTTAGGGCATTCACATCTTGTTACATAATGACTACGGGGAAGATGGGAAGGGGCAAGTCGGAGACCCTGTGTACGGATCGAATAGGATTGACTCTTTGGTATTGCTCGCTCCTCAGGACTCAATAGCCCAAGTGCCTCGGACACTGCGATGTGGCGACAAGGCAGGAATCTCTTCAGACCCTGTATGGCAGCAACGATTGGAGCAAGATCTGGTCCATGCACCTTCTCACCAAATCTACGCTCTAGTCTTGATTGCAGCCCAGCTTTCCCCAAATTAGAAAGTCCTTTCAAGTCTCGGAACATAAGATCTAAGCATGGTGCATGATCGGGGGTCTGGCCTACTATCCTCAAACACAATCGGTGGATCAGCTTTCATTTAACATACATTCCCACTTTGGTTGCCATTCCATCAGTAGATCCTCCATAAGGCTGATCATCTGCGCAACTAAAGGCCATTGTCGCCCATGTACCGGACTGGATATGTTGTACATAAAGAATGAATAAATCTGCCAAATTGGTTAGAATAGACAGAAGGCAACGAGGGATATGCCGCACACTATACAACCAACCCGCACGCCAGAGATCTGCTGTGTAATTGAAACGATCCTCGAATATTAGCCCAGGAACCCGCAAGAGCCCAGGCTGTGCTAATCTTGGCAGCTCATCTCATTAAGGAAAACTTTCACCAAAGTCAATAATCCAGAGACATGGCCTACCTGCGTATAGAGCAGATCAACGGTGATTATACTCAGATAAACCATCCATGGAAAGCGATGCAAGAAACCCGAGAGTTGATCAGGTACTCAACCTCTTTCCATCCTATTTTTTAGGTTTCGTTTTAATCGTAGTTGGTTCTCTCCGGTTTTCCCATAGCCGAGAGATATGCGTCCAAGTCAGTTTGGTTGAGAAACATGATGCCGATCGTTGTTGGGTTTCGGCATAGTGGGATGTGATCTGGGGTACAGAAATGCGACTGTAGTTGAGAAAGAGTATATATATAAGTAGCAATCCTTCCCCGGGATTTCCAGAATAACATTGATATGGTAGAATAAGCTACTCGCGTTCACATCCTGCATGCATGTCTGTCACAGGGGGTTATAGTGGAGTAGTGGCTAGGGTTTCAACCTCGACAGCCATCGAAATTGGAATGCTCGCGCTCTCTCCAGTTGACGAAGGGATATTAATTCTTTGCACTTAAAAAAGGCAAAGACAAATAAACTTCGTTGAAGAGCGACCCAAGTCAGAACCGGAGACTAAAATCGAATGCAATGTCTTGGCCGAAGGACCAATCAATTGAAGTTCGCCGAGGCAGAAGTGGATTAGACGGAGTTTCCCAAGTGAAGCTGCGGAGACTCTCCGTTCATTTTCTCCCCCGCGATTTGATCGTTTTCTTTTTTCTCCGCAAACTTCGTCCAACTTTCGGCCCCTGTTCCTGCTTTAGTAATTACTATCTTTTATATATATATATATATATATATGTGTGTGTGTGTGTGTATTTATTTATTTATCTTTAATTTGATTATTTGATTATTCGATTATTTGATTATTCATTATTCGATTATTTTAAAGTCTAAAGCGACACCGATGGCCGCGAATCACGAATTCTGACCTTTCTTTTCTCTCTGTTGACCTCTGTCTGGTACCAACTTTCGCATTCGCCCCCGTCTTGGCTTTTTAATCTTTCTGAATGCTCACTCCTCATCTAGAATTATCTCCTCTCCTCTCTCCATCAACCGCAGAACGCCAATGTCTACTTGAAATGGATGCAGCCCAGTCGGGGGATGCGCCGCAAGGCAATACCCAAGACACAACCGATGAACCTCCCAATAGCTCCGCAAAACGGAAATGGAGACGCAACCGCATAGCCTGTGACGCCTGTCACTCGCGGCGGGTGCGATGCGACCGGGCATTCCCCTGTTCTCGCTGCCTCCGGAGTGATATCCATTGCGAATTCACCCGTGAACGCCGGAAACGCGGCCGGATTGCGCGATCCAAACAGTCAGACACCAATGGTGCAACTGAGAAGCTACCAGCCACCCTTACCAATGGCCGTATCCCCGGACCGGAGACTGCTGCAACGCCAGCACCGAATGGCTCCCCATCGTCCAGCTTCCCGCACCGGTCGCCCGCCACGAACGAGATGACCGTATCCGCGCCGAGTGTGGATGAGCGTCGTTCGCAACCCGAGGTACCATTGCCCCCACGAAAGCCAGCGCCAGCGGGTAATGTGACGGAAGAATGGTTGTCGGCAGCACATGTGTCGCCAGGCTCATATGATTTCTTAGGCGGGGGAGGGATGGGGGAGGGCCCCTTTCCGCGAATGTTCGATGTATGGAGTGGTGTGGACATGTCCAATAACAGCGGGCCGACTCCGCAAGGAGCGAAAACGATGGGGGTAGGCCAGACATCGGGGGTGCCTCCGGCCTCGCTGAAATATCCCGTATTGCAGCCACTGATGCCGTTCCTGGACGCGAACCTGCCCCGGAGGCTGGTTTTCGATCTGCTCGAGCTGTACTTCACAAGTGCCTTTTCCACCTATATGCATCCGGTGTGTCATCATATCCACTCTTATATCTTGCGCAAAGCCTCGTTCCTCAGTCGCGATGCGCCTCGCCCCAGCAGCCCGGCACTGTTGGCCAGTATGTTGTGGGTGGCCGCACTAGATGACCGAGCTTTCGCTTTATCCATTTCACCGCAACAGCGGAAAAACATCTGCCAATTCCTCTGTGCACTCACAATCCGCCTACTCCGACCCTTGATTCATGTGCCCTTCAAAGACCAGGGCACATCTGTAAATGAGCCCGTGGGCCAGGAATGCCCTCCGACCACAGTGCACCACCCATTTGAAGGGGGCGGAGACGATCGGGGTCTAGTGGGACCGGCAGGATCCTTAGATGATGTGATTACTTATATCCATGTCGCATCGATCATTTCATCGAGCGAGCAAAAAGCAGCTAGCATGCGATGGTGGCATGCGGCATTTACCCTGGCTCGGGAACTCAAGCTGAACCAGGAGATCGAAGTGCTACCCAGCGGCGACACTCAAACCGACGGCTCCAGCCCATCTTTTGATTATGCCTTACCGGGATGGAATGGTGTGGACACCAGGCCCTATTTTGACTACTCGAATCCTTCGCGACCGAGCTTGAACTGTGTCTGCGATCGTCACGATGCTCAAAATACCATCACGGAAGAGCATCGCGAGGAGCGTCGCCGGGCATGGTGGCTATTGTACATCATGGATCGTCATCTGGCTCTGTGCTACAACCGACCATTGGCGTTGCTGGATGCGGAAAGCGAAGACCTGCTTTTACCATTGGATGAAGGGTCGTGGCAGTCTGGGAACATCCACAGCAATAGCCCTCGACCTGATGGGCCACAGTGCTTACTTTCCGGCGACAAAAGCAAACGCCGCGTATTTCCAAATTTTATCTGCCATGACCATTCTATCTTCGGGTTTTTTCTGCCACTTATGACCATTACCGGAGAGCTGATCGACCTGAATCAGGCGCGGAACCATCCCATTCTCGGAGTTCGACTGAACGGGAAAGATGCATGGGATGTACACGTCAATGAGGTTTTGCGGCAGCTTGAGATCTACAAAGCCAGTCTAACGACTTTCGCCACCACCGCATCGGATCCTGAGGCCCCACTCTCCTACGCATATCCCCCTAAGCCGGACAATACGGTTGATCCCGCCCTCGCCCAAGCGTATTCCTGGCATACCCACACGGTGATCTCTTATGCGTCGTATCTGGTGCACGTTCTGCATATTTTGTTGGTGGGCAAGTGGGACCCTGTCTCTTTGATTGAAGACAAAGACTTCTGGACGTCCTCCCCTGCATTTGCCTCTACCATCTCCCACGCGTTAGATGCAGCCGACTCGGTTAATCAGATCCTCCGATTTGACCCTGATATTAGCTTTATGCCGTATTTCTTTGGCATACAGCTATTACAAGGCAGTTTTCTTTTGCTGTTAATTGTCGAACGTCTACAAAAGGAAGCGGGCGAAGGTATTCTGAACGCGTGTGAAGTGATGATCCGAGCCACTGAATCTTGCGTTGTGACGCTCAACACCGAATATCAACGAAACTTCCGGCAAGTGATGCGTAGTGCCGTTGCTCAGGCGCGCGGGCGCCCTGTCAATCACAGTGAAATCCGACACCGGCGGAAAGCAGTTTTAGCCCTCTACCGATGGACTCGAAAGGGGACTGGACTAGCCCTGTAAGCTAGGGCTCGCATGCATACCGATTTTAATAGGGTTTTCGGTCCTGCAGCGACCCGGCCTATCATTGTGTGAGATCTTAGACCCGAGAGCTCAATCCTGCACTATCCAGGGTGTGAGTGGACCTCCGCTCTGGGATGAACATGCGGCCAGGGCCTGCGTGTCGTCATTCCCCGTATTCTCTAAGGGGTATGGAAGCTAGACACGTCTCTAGCAGGAATTGCGCCCCTCGAGGATGTATATACTTCGCTTCGAAGATGTTGTGGGTACTTTGACAATCTGTACATGTATCTTAGTATGACTCGGTAGATAATGACATTCTGGCTATATTTCTTTCTGGCCATCTTCTATATCTTCGAATCGATATTCCGAAATGGGAATTATATTGTGGATTCCATTGAGTAACTCCCCTGGACGGCTAGAAGAAGGCGGGTATAATGCTTGATGCCAACGGTTAACAGGCCTTCCAAAACACACACTCGCTTAAAAGGGTAAATAGCATTCAGGAATCCCCACCTCTAGATCTTCAGAAGATCAAATCGAGAAACGATCCGTCAAAAGTAACGATGCTCGCTATGAGTGGTGCAAACGCATTAGGCACGGGCATGTGCCAACTAGTTAGAAGTCATAGCTACCTAGGGCAACACCGCACCACATGATGTGACAATGGAAACCATCACGAGCTGTGAGTTTATTCTCCTTTGTCTGACCGAAAGCTCCCTGTCTATAGCTGGAAACCCGTTATTAACGCTAGTAAAGCGGTCTCCATCATTTCGTATATGCACAGGTACTCAAATTCCCCATACAACCAGCACAACACCATAGAATCATAGATCTAGATTAGAAACAAAATCGCACGATAGAAAGGGTAGTAAAATAGTAAAACTCCGTACCCCAGACGCCCAACCCCAAGTTACCCATCATGCAATGCATCCCAACCGCCATTACCCCAGACTGACAACCCTCCGTCCTGTACCCTGTACCCCGTGGCACGGGCCGACACCTCAAACATTGGCGTCGGTTAAAAGCCCCTGTAATCTAGCCGACAGGAACCAACAAATCCTTCCCGGGGCACATAAAATCCGGGGAAACTCAAAAACCCAAATCGCGTCGGTTAAATTGAACTAAGAAAAAGGCATTACCACATGGCCAGCTGATTGTCACAGTTTTCTGTTCGGCGGAAATTAAAACGGCCCCGATGTATGGAGATAGACTTTGAAGCTCCGAGGACGAATCGTTGCATTTTGTATTTTGCCGATGGGACGGCGTATACCATTGCTAGGGGCTATTTATCGATGGAGCTTTACTTGTGACCTCTTATGACTGTGGATGTGGTTCTGGGGATTTGTTTTATAAAAGTCGGGGGCCCGGGGGTGGTGATTTCTTTTTTACTCTCTTTCTATTTTCTTTTCTATTTGTGTTTGATTCACTGTGCTTTAATGGTGCTGGGTATAGCTACGTTGTTGTTGTGTCTATATTCTATACCGCTGCCCAATGCTATTTATTGCTTCACTTCTGGTGGGGATCAATTGACGACTTACGACACACATACCTATATGTTTACGATGAGTCGACCCAAGTATTAAATTACTACGCGGCCGTTCTATCTCCTCTCTCCTCCGGGTTGAAAGCTATACCATACCTACACCTACGCGATCTATATCACAATCTCAACGAGCAGAACCGAAATATTTTAAAGACGAAATGACCTCGACAACACACTCCATCCCTCTCACCATCTTCCCCGAAATGCACCCCTACGAAGATGACACCCCCTTCACGGACTTCAGCGACCTCAATGATGTACTCGCGCATGCAGGCATGCTGCACGAGGTACAGGTGCCCTGGAGTGGGATAGAACCGGGGATGGGAAAGGGTTCGGGTGTTTTCTCACCACCGATGACAAATGAGTTTAGATTTAATTACCCGGTGGATTTGGCTCTAGATCTAGGATTTGGAGATGAGGGGATTAGGTATGTTTATTTTATTTTCCTTGCCTTGTTCCTTTTACCCCTTCATTTTCCTTGTTTTAAGTAGTCTGTGTTCGTATCAATGTCTCTATTTGATCCAGGGTGTCTCTGCAAAACAAAACAAAGAAACTAACAAGTTACAACCAAAAAAACAAAAGCATCCCCCAAATCCCCTCTCCTCAAAACACAACCACAACAACATTGACCGACCTCCTCCGCTCAACCTCCCACCTAGCCACCCAACGCGCCCTCTACATGACAACCACACAACCGCAACCTCTCTCCCCCGAACCCCCCCACAACCCAATCTACGCACCAAGCCCTCCCGACTGCAGCACCCCAACCACAATCACCAGCCAAACGCTCTCCTCCCCCGACGACTGGGCCACCACGCCCCGAACCCCCCTCGGATTAAACAAACGCAAGCTCGAAGTGGACCTGGCCCCGACGCACGCACAATCGCACGCCTCCCCATCCCCGCTCGGCGTTCCACCCGAACTAGAACTAGTAGCCTCCTCTGGCGGCGTAAAACGCCGACGATCCACCGAGCCTGACTCTGACTCTGAGACGAGCCTGAGTCTGACGCCGCTGGAGATGCCGGATGGGAGTACGCGGTTTACGTCGAATTGGTTGCCTGTTGATCCTGAGGGGGGGTTTACAATCGGGATGGGGGAGATGTTTGATCCGTTGGCGGGGGTCGGGAGGGAGGCGTTTGTTTGCGTGGGTGATTGAAAAGGATGTGATGGCGTGGGCGTGGCATGATGATCGGAGATTGATAATGCCAAGTGCCATGCGGTATTTAATTTATTTAGGGTTGGGGGTCGGGTTCATTTTTGCCCGTTTTTGAATGCCTCGGATGTTAGCCGAGACGAGCTAGGGCAAGGCAGGCTCCCAGTGATGAATTCTTGTTGGATTCTAAGCTCTTCTCCTTTTCCCACTTTCCAGTTCGGTACTGGATGGGATGGACAGGCCTATGTCGTCGTGTCTGAAGGGGGGTTTACTATTTGTCGTGCCTTGGAGGCTAAGGTACTACTAGATAGTTGCCGACCGACCGGGGAGAAATTGACCGGCGGTGATCCGAGCTGTGTGTTGCTCGGCGCTATCTCCGGCGCACTGCGTCCAGGTATGGAGCCAGATGTAACGCTTTGGGTGTGTTTGTACTCTGTACACTGATTGAGTTTTATCTCGTGTCTTGGATTTCCGTTGTATATAAATATGGAATGCTATGGGAATGGCAGTTTGACTGCTCGCCGAGACACCTTGCAAAGAAAACACAATCAACCCATTAAGTGCCAATTCGCTGGTTGTTCAAAGATTTCATCATTCATCATAACATAGAGAATAACCAAAGAAAGTAAACGGGCGAAACGTACGCGAGCCAGCTTCATGTAAACTTGCTCTTCACGGCCGACGACGTGCACTTGTTCGAGAACACGGTAAACTCCAACTTGCGCCCGATATACTGGAACAGCTCCGCTACGTATTCCTTCTCGATCATCCCGGGCGAAAATGCGTCAAAGGCAGTACGGAGGACGAACATGATGCGAGACATAAGGTAGCCCGGGATATTATTGATGTAATATTTCATACTGCGACAGATATCGCATGCAAACTGGTAGCGTTGGTGCGGTCCGAGCACGCTGATGAAACCGGTGTCCGTGGCCGAGACCACCAGTGACAATGCCCAGTAGAAGCACATTGAGGTGGCCAGGAGAATATCGGGATAGTGCAGGACTTTGCCGACCGTGACACACATGGTGCTCGGGTTACGGCATCGAAAGATGGGGAAGCCGTCCGCAGACTCATTGTCAGACACTTCCCACGCGGTCCCTTGAGGATATGTGTCGGCGTAAAACGCCTTCCACATATTTAGACGCGTTTGCAGCTCGGTCGCTTGCTGCCAGATGGAGCTCTGCATCCCAGTGAGCTCGAACGTGCAGTCGGCCTCTTTCTTTAACATGGCGGAAAATTCATCGATCCGGGAGAGGTAGCCCGGAATATCCACTGCGATGTCAAGTAGATGGTGTAGAATATCCTTGGCGGGAGCGTCGCCCGCCCAGGGAACAGTCAGCCATTCTTTAGAGGCCATGAATGTCGGCTTGCGATGTACCAGTGCGGCCGTGACCTGAGGTGTTCGAGATTAGCTTCTTAGCAATTGTAGCAGGATCTGCGGCCATACCCAATACAACCGGAGATCGACGAAGAGAGATCGCTCTATCCCGTAGCGATGCCGATAAGCTGATCTCGATCGCAGTAGCTCTAAGCCGCCGAGCTGGTGTCGGAAAATAGAGTCTTTCGAGGTTTGCTTGAAAGCCTGGAAAGATGTGAGTATAGCGAGCCCCAGACAAGGTCTGTGACCTCACCTCCGTGATAGTTGACAATAATACAGCCACGAGGACCTCGGTCGACTTGTTCCTCTCTGCGTCGAATAGAGCAATTTGAAGTTGCCGAAGCATGCGGACATATTTTGCATGTCCTGCTAGTTCGATAGACCGGTTACGTTCGCGCCGACCGACAAATGTAAGCGCCGCAGCCTCAAAGGCATTACACAGCATGGGCGAAATCATCCGCATCTCCGAAGCTTCGCGCAATGCAATGGTGCCGCCATATTTCCGGTGATCATCAGGACTGAAATTACGAATCAGTCGGTCGACAAACAATTCCATCACTGTCGATGCAAGAGCCGGGTCATCGAGAATTGCTTTCTGGCGGGCCAGTGACATAGGTGAAGCTTTAGATAGAGCATGGTCAATGATTGAGGCATAGTAAATAGAGACCAATCACAGCGAGCGGTTTTACGGTCATAGCTCGGAAGTACAAGAGAACATACATTGTCTCGGAGACCGAGTATTATCCCCCAGGGTTGGCCCTAAAGAATCGGAAGAATCTGGGGAAACCTGCTGAGGTAGCACCGGCTGATTTGCCTGGTCACTCTCTCTTTCGTCGTCGTCGTCATCATCATCAATGTTGGGTCTAATCTGATATAAAGAACTACTGCCGCTTTCTTCAGCCTTTACGGGAGGAAGGTTGGCCAATCGACGAGCCTCTGCGAGCTGCTGTTTGAGGCTTTCACACGTTTGCATAAGATTATCGATCAGTGACGATTGCTCAATGTAATGTCGGTCCTTTTTGCTGGTGCCATATTCGCACTCCGAGGGCGTTCCTCGCAGACAACAAGCACCGCATGGCTTCACCCGATCGCACTAACAAGATGGATTAGAGATCGTTAGTCAAAGCGCCATAAAACATGTGTCAGCCCAATCCGGGTTCGTTCGATTGCAATACAACGGTTTCCCAGAAACTCTCGGAAGGTGGAAATTACCTTGACTTTGCGTTTGTGGCAGTTTAAGCATGAATAAGTGGGTCGGATCTTCTTTCGCCCTCCCGGCTTAGCTGTCAGAGTCGGGTTCGGTTGATCATTGTTCGGCCGGTCGCCATGCTCACTGCTCATGGTATTGGGATTGCTACAATTCGGGAAAGCTTTATTCGGTGGAAAGAAGCTCTGTTCTTCAAACGACCGAGTTGCGGACCAGGTATTATGGCGTGGAAAGTCGCGGAAGGCCATTGGGGCAAGTCACTAAGCGGATGGGGGCCTAAAGTTTGGCTTTAGGTCGTACGCTAGTAGGGATCCTTCATGCACGGTCACTGGTGGATATGGCCAGATTATTGGAGAATCAATAGAATCAATCGGCCAAATGACGACTAGACCTGACAGGCAAGACAGGTCAAGTCAGTCATCCCGCGCTCTGTTGCTCGAAGTGGTTCTGGACCCATGGTTCCAGAAAAGGCTATCTTATATATGCATTCCGTTTTTGAGAGATGCGAGGAATTTCGCATATCCTAAAACCATTATCTCTGGAGGATGTAGGTGCTTCCACAAGCAATGGGTCATTGCAGGGCTGTTGAGCCTGTGGCGCGGTGGATCGTTGGTGTTCTCCAACTGTACGTATGTACACAGTACTTCCGGCGCTTGTGACATATCACCGTAGCAATAAAAAAGAAAAAGGTCTGCCTATGCCTCTCTTCGCATACGACCATTGGCGCAGAATAGTCCAAAGTGCGTTTAGACCTTGAACGCTATTGGATGCCAGTGTATAACGCTACTGCCCGTGTCGTTCCATCTTCAGAAAGTTTCTCCAATAGTCCTCTGCATTATCAGGGGGAGGAAGGGTCCGGTGTCCTCGAGGGCCAGACATTTGAGCGACTTGCAGGAGATCGGCATTTTAGTTCGTTATCCTCTTGGAGATCATCGCCAAAGGCGGTAGTAATGCTTGGCTCTTCGTTCTTTTCAGTCAGGCCATATAACAGGGCGAAGTATATGCGACTCATTCCAAAGGGAGTAACATACCAGCACACAAAGAATCCATCTTAAGCATGGTCGGCATTTGTAAGCAGTGGGGTTTGATCAAGATCATCCCGAAGGCTTGTCCCGATCTCAAGAAGCACGCCGCCGCTCCCCTTCGGTAACATCGTAGTGAACGGAACGGTACGCCTCCTTGCAGGCAACCGAGGCATCCGGAAATGGCGAGATACGCGTATGGAATGATAGAGGCCACTCCCGGCGCTCAACAAAGTTTTGGCTTGAGTATCGAGTTACCTTAAACGGTTTTCATGCAGGGGCACTTGAAAAATGGTGTTAATGCCTACGATGAAGGGCTGCATAGGTGGTTATCCTGGTATTCGATATCACACAAGGGACTCACATCGCAGATCCTGAAGGAATGGGAGGGTCTTGCCGAATGGTTTGCTATTGCACAAATTAAAAAGTGTCCTGCACGTCCATCAAGGTTGCAAGTCACGAGGGCATCACCTGCCCAGTAAAAGACATGCTCATTGTCGAAGAATATTACGTATCAATCCCTCGTATGTCCTACTGAGAATAACAATAAAAATAACAGAAATTGAATGAAAATAAGAAAAGAAAACCCCGTTTGATGAGCAAATCATCTATCACATATATATGAATAGGTGAAAGCCAAGCTGGAGGGAAATGGTACAGATACATGTCGACACAATCATGAAAGTAAATTTTGACCCAGAGAGATTTAGTGAATGTATAATAACTCTAAGCTATCGATCTATAATACAAGGGATAACAACTACACGGAAATGATTTCCAGGATAGATCTTCGACGATCGATGAGAGTAGCGTCGCCTTAGCCGACCGCCCTTACTGCGCGAGATCGTAGCATGCATAAATTCAGAGACCTGATGCGACCGAGATCTGCCACTAGATCCTTTTGTATCATTTGGTAGCCCAATAGGGACGTCAAGCTGACGCAGGGACTTGATCCCTCGGGCATGCAGGGCAACAATTGCCCAGTGAATCTCAATTTCCTCTAGTAATGCTGGCGTCTGGCGTGATGGCGCCTAGCGTGAGCCGATGAGGATGGAGTCACACTGGAAGATGGAGCTGCGCTGGAGGTAGCGGCAGGAACACTAGCACTGCTGGAAGCACCGCCACCACCCAACTTGCCCACACCTGCGTTGGCCTTGACATACGAGGGCACTTTATCCGTGGTCATAACCTTTGAGTCTCCCTCACCCTTGGGCCAGCTGGACAATACGGCCTGGTCATTTCCAGACAGCTCACCAGAACTGGTCAGCTCGTTGGCGGCGCAAGGACGGCCCAGTGCAGAGGTGCAGGACGAGGCGTCCTGAGCGCTAACGGCAAAGGTGGAACCGGGCTTATTCTCCGGGTTCATGGGAGTCTTCACGTTGGAGAAAACGTTGCCCTCAATAAGTGCATTGACCCCTTCACCGACATCGAAGGCGTGACCGCTGTTGTTCTCCCAGAGGTTGTTGTATGCGTGCCAGTGACTGGCGAACTCGAGCTTAGGGGAGCGGCCAGAAGTGTGGTGCAGGTAGTTGTTGGCAAAAGTGATTTGGTCGCCCTTACCGTAACCGAGGCTGCAGACAATCAGCATCCATTGTCGATGTCTATTCTTGGAATACAGTTACTTACACAGTCCAGTAGTGGTGTCCATCGCATGAGGAAGACCACTTAGTCTGACCATCAAATTCAGAGTTGGAGATAGTCACGCCTCCACCTGTTGATTGCGTAAGCGTTTGTTCAAGGTAACTGAGCCGTACTGGAAAGAATACGTACTAGACTCGTAGCCAGCAGCGATCATCTGGCGACCAACCAAGGACACCTTTATGTGATCAATCCAGATCTTGTCCGTGCCGTCCAGCGTAATAGCATCGCCACCCCAGATGTACTGAGGGTTCAGCTCAGTGATGTGAATGTTCTGGATGATGATATTGCTGACGCCGTTGACCAGTCTCAGACCCTTACCACGGATCACACCGGCGTCTCCAACACCGAGGATGGTCTTGTCAGAGGCAACCTCCATGCCCTCAATGCCAGCATTGTCGTATGTACACTTGGTTGCTGGGTAGGAGCCGCACCAGGTGGAACCCTTGGTCTTAATGGCGTTCTGACCGGCGTCACCACATGTGTTGGACTCAGGGATACAGCATTCGCAGTCGGTGCAAGTATCCTCGGTGCCGATATAGTTGAATTCCTTGTCGATCAGAATCACGCGGGGAGTGGCGTCGGACAGCCACTGCTTAAGCTCGGCAGTATCTTTCGGTGCGGCAGGAGTCGCACTACCACCTCCAGTTGTTCCACTGGCGAAGCCAAATGGGGTGCCGACAACACTCTGAGCCTGGGCGGAGGCACCCAGGAAGGCAGTGACCGTCAGGAGAGGGCGGAGGAGGACCATGTTCGCGACGGAGCTTATGGCCAACGAGAAAATTAAACGCAAACAAAAAGAAGCAACTGTACCGGCGGTTTTCGACAAATGGAATGCGAATTAGCGAAATAGAAACGAGGATGCTGTCTAAGGAATTCGTTACGAACCCTTGGATAGGACTACGGTCTTATATGCCGCAAATTGAATTTATTAGAGTTACAACTTCCCCAAAATCGCCGAGAATAGTCCTCCACCCATATGCAGGAACACAGCGACATTCAACCACAAAGCGGAGCTTGTTAGAGATTGATGGAGCGGACCATATGGTGAAACTGGGAGCCGGCTGACTAGATAAAGTGTTTCCTTGTACTGCAATTTTCCGGCCGATCACATTCCCTTGCTGTGTTCCTGTCAGTAAGCTCTAGCTTTGCGTCTCCGGAAAATCGATTGAATGACGGTCACAGATGATAAGAAGGGATATAGAGCGTGCAGAGAGACGATCATATCATCCAACAATGGGCTTTTCTGAGTAGTAGGACGACAACCATATGATTCAGGGAATGTCTATAATTACCCCATTAGGATTCTGCTGGTGGAGAAAAAGGAAGATCGTCAGGGCGCTTGAAGAAAGGGTCAGAATAGCAGCTGGCCCGCCCGCGACTAGAACCCTTATTAGCTGCCGGCTCTTCTGCTTCAGTTTTTTTCCGTAGCCCTGAATGCCGCTCATACCAGCAATTAAGGTCCAGCTGGGAAGGGATAACAGTGTGACTATGCATCGCATACGTTAATTGTTTGAGATGAACTCAACGGTCTAGGTCTCGTGATACTCAATTGGTCACGGCTCCAGAAACGACTCAGACGAGTACGACATAGTAGTGGTATAGATTAATTGGCAGCGATCATCATTAGCTGTGATATTGTGCGTGGGAGGTCCAACTATCTACTACGACTGCTGAAGTATGGACACAAAGGAGATGAAGCTTTTCGATCAACAGGAGACGTGGGGAAATGGTCCCATGTAAGTTAGGACTCGTAATTCTTGCTGTGGCTAAACTTCGGTAGTATGACACCGGATATTGTGAGGAGGTATGATAGGTGGTCCACAGCACTGTATGCTTTTTAAGGGTGTCACCAAACCGGGGGAACCCAATCCCCAACGCCTCAATCACAGCATGGAGAGGAAATAGGGTGGATAGAGACGGGATCCTATGCCGATCTCTTAATATAGATGTTCTCGGAACCCATCCATTCAGCATATCGGGATTGGAAGTCAACCGATGAGGGAATGTTTTAGAACATTCCGAAGGATCCGGCCATTTTCCCCAAATCACGGTCAGTCTTAACTAACGATCGATGACTATGAAAGGTCCGACTCGCTCTGAGAAGAAAAACTGGTTCACCCCGGAGACACTGCCTAATTCCATTCTCGTGGTGTGGTTCAGTTTGTGAGCTGCGTCTACTAAAAAGGAGTCAGTAAAAGACATCGTTATGAATCAGGACTTAAAGGCGGTAGAGGTCGTTCTGATGGATTTATCTGTTCTCGTTGTTTCCATGACTAGTAAGGGCGAAACGGCAAATACAAACAGGTAGAAGAGAAGAACAATGAGATACTCAGGGTTGTCTCATTATACTTGACGTAAAAGGTTTATGGTAATCAGGGTCCTCCGCATAAAATGTAACCCTAGAAAGATCTCCACTCCACTATTTCCCCCACTAGGTAAAACCGACAAGATATACCGACTCTCACGTGGCGTTCAGAACTTGTCAACAGCTTATAATAGCGTTGAATGATACTTGGATTGTTATTGCCGCGATATCGTTCGCCTTCCTGTCCGTCTCCTCAATGATATATATTTCCCAGGTATAGTTTAGGAAACATGTGTGAAAGACCATATGAACTGGTTCACATGATAAAGGTGGGACGAATGCTTCCAACCCTTCGGCTTACGAAACAACAGTCATATAGTTAACTTAGCTACTAGTGGTCGGGTTGTCATGTATACTGGCCTCAGTCCAAAAGGTAATGGTGATCGCTGAGTAACCATAGCTACCAAGGACCTTGCAGGGCATATTACACATATGCTCCAAGGTACTCATGCGCGTTAGGATATTACAGTGAGCGAGGCTCACTGCATCTTAAATCGCAAATAGACATCCTTACTCACATAATGTCTTCTTTCAATGCTCACAATGTCGATTTAGGTACGGCAAGTCAAGAAGATGTCCTCTGCTACCTAGCACTGTCTGAAAATGACTATAACGGGCATCTGGGGGCCCGTATATCTTCTATCTTCGTTATCTTCATTACATCAACCTTCTTTACCCTGTTCCCGGTGATTGCCAAACGAGCCCCCCGATTAAAGATCCCTTATCACATTTACCTCTTTGCCCGATACTTTGGCACGGGCGTTATAGTGGCTACGGCTTTCGTCCACCTGTTGGACCCCGCCTACAGCAGTATCGGCCCGAACTCATGCATCGGAGTTTCCGGACACTGGGGAGACTATCCCTGGTGTGCAGCCATCGTCCTCACCTCCGTCGTAACGATCTTCCTCCTGGACCTGGGTGCAGAGATATACGTGGAGTACAGGTATGGAATCCAACGAGACGACGGTGCGACAGAGGCATTCATCACGCAGCCCAGTTCCTCAGACACAGACAGCACATCCCAAGTCGTAGAGGCCGGCACGCCGCCCACCCGAAAGAACGCCGACATCCACAAAGAGGTGGCTTGGGCACGGTCAGAGCGGGCCTTCAAACAAGAGATTGCGGCCTTTCTGATCCTGGAGTTCGGTATTATATTTCATTCCGTCATCATCGGCCTGAACCTTGGCGTTACAGGCGAAGAGTTTTCAACTCTTTACCCTGTGTTAGTTTTCCATCAAGCGTTTGAAGGCCTGGGTATCGGGGCGCGTATGTCGGCGCTTCATTTTGGTTCCCGTCGGTGGCTGCCATGGGCACTTTGTCTTTTGTATGGACTTACTACACCTATTTCTATCGCTATTGGGCTTGGGGTGCGGACATCGTATAATCCGGGGTCCAAGAGGGCGATGATCGTGCAAGGTGTGCTGGATGCGATCTCCGCTGGGATTTTGATTTATAGTGGGTTGGTGGAATTATTGGCGAGGGACTTTTTGTTCGATCCTGGCCGGACAAAGAGGAGATCGCATTTGTTCGTGATGGTGGGATGCATGTTGTTGGGGGCTGGGATCATGGCGCTGCTTGGAAAGTGGGCATAAAGAATGCGGAGAAGAAGATCATTGACAAGGGCAAATAATGAGGGATGGTCAGGTGGGCCAGTGAAAAAAGGAGGATTTCCCCAAACTACCAATTTCCCAAAATACTACTAGTAGTATGTATGGCTTGTACGTACTCCGTATTGGTAATATAACATAATGATTGCCTAATTTGGTACCTCTCGTGCATGAAAGTGCGTATATAATCACCCTCCACCACCGCCTTTCCCTCCATCTCTTCTCTCTGCATTTATTCAAGAACTATGGCTTTCGTTCGGCCCCTGGCCCCGGACCAGAGTCATTACTATCACATATACTGTCTTCTACTCCGCTGAGTTCACCCGAAACCCAACAATATATAGTTAGAGCGATGTAACCATGGGCAAACACACTGCCCAGACCTCCCAACAACTCCCAACACTGAACGAAACTATCGACTTTATCGAACAAACCTACAAGGAGTCGAAATTAATTATAGTCGGCTGCCTAGCATCCTGGGCACTCTGTCGACTCCATTTCCGCTTTGTCTGGCTACTCCTCATCCTCGCCATATGCCGCACGCAATATCAAGTATCGATCCGTCGAGTTGAGCGCGCCATCCGCGATGAACTCCACCGATACCACGCCCAGAAAATCCTCCAGCACGGTGAGAGCGTAGAATGGGTAAACAGCGTCCTAGGCCAAGTATGGCACCTCTACCAAAACCGGATCGCCGACCAAATCGTCAAATACATCAATGCTGGCCTAGCCCAACGCAGTGACGACAGCTCCGCTCAGAAAGTGATCATCCATTCCCTGGCTTTCGTCGAACAACCGATACGATTTACAAAGGTGATCACCTACTCCAAGGCGCATTCACGTAACTTCATCTTCGAAGGCCACTTCCAAGTCGATCTCAAACAACCCTATGACCACCGAATGCATATGCTGGAAAGACACGGAGAAGTGCTCATCGACATGGCCATCGTCCATGAGAAACCAGATCGCAAGAACCACGACCTCATAGTGCATGTGAAACAGTTCACAGGAACGGGGATGCTACGGCTAGAAATCGATCTGGAGAGCCTTGAGCCACATATTCTACAGCCACAGATCGAGTTGCAGGATCACCCCCAGATAGACTGTACGATCCGGACAGTGAGTCAGCATCATTTTCCATTTCATTTTGCGCATCACGTCGACTGGCGGAAGGTGGTGGAGAAGCAGATTCGCGAGGGGTTGGGATTGGCGTTCTACCGGCCGTTGCCTCTTCCGTTTCAGTTCGTCGGCGAGAAATTCTTGGTTAAGATGATGACGTGGTGGTGGCAGTTAAATCGGGCTTATCATGACTAGTTTGGTAATGATTAATGAATTATTGATACTTCACAATCCTCCGGGGGAACGGTGTACAGACTGCAAGAATAGAAGAAAGGGTATTATTGGTTGCTTTAGGTACCGAAATTGCCGTCCGATGGGTTCAAGTGGGCCAAAGCATCGCCCCGTAGGGCTGAGTTTGTAATCCACTGGATGGGTTGGGGTTGAAGAAATGGTGCTGCCTAGAAGGAACCCGCCGTATTTCAAATTACCATTTAATTTAATCCTCCCAGCAAGGGGTGGGGGAACATCACTACCACAACCGTCCATCCAGTATTTGACGGGGATTTTGCAGTGGAGTGACAGCAGAATGCCAATCCTTGGTTGCTCCCTAGGGGTAAAAAGCCAATTTTAGAACCAAGAAAGGGGCGTTTTGCAATTGGTCAGAAATAGAACAACGCCTCTTTATATAGTCTTCTGGACAAGGGGTTTTTGTATCGTACCGTATTGGGTGTCGACTATGGAGTATCAGTATCATGGTACGATTTAGACTACAGTATGTTACACACAGATATTCAGCGGTACCATACCCGATCACCTGACGAACGTTTTCCCTGAATACCTTCAGCGAACGGACCATGCCAATGCGCTGAGCGACAAATATATGGAACTCTTCAACCAGCGTCTTACTAAGCAGCCTTTAGGGAAGTGGAGGAAGGTTCTTCTCTCCGGTTCTTTCACAGGGAAATGGCCGAAGTTGCGTTGGTTGTCCTGATGGGGTCTGGGATTGTCGAGCTGAACCCGGAATTCTGGCCGGCCATGTGGGAATTCGCCCGTCTCGCACTGCAGCTCATGTGGGGTTGTCCTGATGGATGAATCCAAAGCCATGGAAGATCAGCAGTGAGTTCCACGGGATATGTCGGCGGTCCCTTGATGCAGGCAATTCAGAATTCGACTGGAATGGCCCCGATATTGATGCCGAGTGGGAACCCCTTTATGGGCCTAGAATGGCTCGCGAGTTAATTTCTTGGGCGAAGAAGAATCTATCGCTGGAGACTACGGCGGGCATAGTGGCGACATTTGTATTCGGCACAAATGCCAACTCGGTGTGTATGTCGCTGTGGGCGATGATGGAACTGATCGCAGATCCGGAACTATATCGGGCGGTGCGAGAAGAATGCCTGCCCGTAAGGTCAGTGGACCTGCTTACTGGAGAGTGAAGATTCGACCCCCAGAGCTTGCTCTCAAAGCCGCTGTTGCAATCAGTCTATATTGAAACTCTCCGCCTGCATATATCGATCAACATTACTCGTGAGGTCACCCAGTCTATTAACCTTGATAGCCATCTTTTGACCCCTGGGTCTCTCATTCAAATGCCGAACTAGATTGGACAGTATAATAAAGCTGCCTGGGGCACTCCTGAGCATCCTGCATTGTAGTTCTGGGCTGGTCACCATCTAAAGCATGATGGCGGTAAGACCGATTTCATGATGGATGGTAAAACGTCTTCCTTTTTCCCTTTCGGTACATATATACTGCGCGTATTGTATCATTGCTGTTTTGTTGACAAGTTTTCTACACCAGGTGGAGGGCCCTCAATCTGTCCCAGGCGGGTGTTTGCTAAGAAATTCTAATTACTATCGCCGCGCTGGTAACCAGATTTAAGATAGAGATAATTGACTGCGTGTATCTAGACAGATCCAAGTCTGACCGGCCGCCTCAGAATAATCAGTCGCATATCGGAACCGTTGGGATCCCACTAGAGCGGGACGTGAAGATCCGATAGATAAGGCTATGGTAGAGAGCAAAGTGAAATGTTATACATGAAATCATTTCCGGGGAGATAGCTTTAGTTAGCCACTACATAACAACTTTTGATTCTATTGTTGGCGCATAGATGCTTGTTACATTAGCTTAGCAATCTATGCCTAGCGGTACTCACGTATCAAATAGAACTAGTATTAGAGAAATAGAATCTATCATTGCTAAGGAGCTACCTTGCTCTACATACATGAAGTCCAACAAAATTTACACGATGCTCGAATCTTGAACTGTGCCTGATCAGTGTCGAGATGGCTCAGCTCGCCGTGGGTCTTAAGGTCCTGAAGCTGTCCCTGCAACTTCACCGTGATGAGCTTGATAGCCGTGACACTGAGAGGCAAATGCAGTGGAACTTTTTCATTCCGACTGGCCACCTTGTATAGGGCATTGGCAACGGCACTGGGCTCAAAGGCGACACCGGCCGGGAGCCCCTTTTTCACGAACATCTCAAGCTGCCGGGCCGGTCATATCAGCAGCTGAATATGCCGGATGGGGCTTGGTGTATTTCTTGCCGGAGGCTTCCAAATTCGTGTTGACGGCACTGGGTTCGACGATGCAAAAGTGAACTAGGAACATCGAATACATCAGTCATCGCTCAGGTCTATACAAGGTGAAAGGTGACTTACTGTTCCAGTCCGGATGCATCTCTCGAGCGACAGACTCACTCCATCCTTCGCGGCGAGACTCAGATTGACGCATCATCTCAATGGCTTTCAAGGCGACACGGACGGTACCAAAGAAGTTCAAATTCGTCGTGCATCTCATGCTCAGTAACGGATTCAGGATCACCCGAGAGCGAATAGCCTGCATTGTTCACCACGACATCAATGTAGTAACTGTCTGCAAAATGCGCGGCGGCCGCCTTGAAGGCTGCATCGACCGCTAGTGATTGCGTAACATCTAGGGCAAGCTCTAGGATGGCCGGGTTATTGTCGTCAAGGTATGAAAGGCTAGCTATATATCTCTAGCGGTTGCAATTAGACACTGACCTGGCACGGAGGCGACATTAGTCGCGACAGCACAGCCGATGCTAGTCGAGCACCTAGTAACTATATCAAAAACAGTGAAGTCAGATTTTCTAGCTCAAGTCTACCTGAGGATAATATGTTGTTCGCTTACCAAACCAGGTGGCGTCAGCTGGGAGCTGGTAGGGTTCGTGTTGACGGGGTTCATATTGTAGCTGCAATGATGTGATGTACTTTGCTATTCCATAGCTTTGTATCCGCGAACTGTCTCTTCGTGGTGTTGTTGAATGGGAATCACTTTTTATTTTACTTTTCCACGGCGCAGTATCGGCAGTTGTGCTGTCGGAAGTTTCGGGCCTGCCATTTGGGAATTTTTGATGAAATTCGGCCATTGCTTTGAGCTTGTTTCGTACAATCGTTCGGTGTTTTACAATGCAATAAATAATGAATTAATGAGGTAGCTCGATTTTGTAATTTAAGTCCATAATTCCTATTCTGCATGGCAGCTAACTATTAGATGTATCGCTCGTCCTTCATGAAGAAGCAGATTCAAACCCCAAACAGAGTACCTAAGTCTCCACAATTTCCGTTCAGTCCTCAACTCCTGCTCATACTGGAGTCCAAAGGCACGGTAAAAAGTCGCATGCAGTACGGGCTGGCAATGACAGTCATATACTCCCTTGGTGAATTCCCAGTACTCCGGTTTGTAGCCTGCGCACTCCCAGTCAATGATCCCACTCAGCCGTCCACCTTCGACAAGCAGATTACTGGTATGAAAATTGGCATGCGTAAAGTATGATGTGTGGTCTGTGCGGAAAGACTCCCCGTCCAAAGCTCTCTCTATCGTACAACCCAGGTGGCTGACGAGGTGAGCGTTGAAATCTGACTCCGTATTAAATGGACCTCCGCGTCCATCGGGTACGCGATGATCTACAATTGGGCAACCGAGTGTCTGCGAATCTGTATTCGGTCTTGTTGGGAATCATCCGCATTTGTGCTACACTGGCTGAAAGATCGTCGACAAAGCGGTTCCTTTCAGTGTAGGACATGAGATGTGCCACTACGAAAAAAGCTTTATATAGAAGTGAACTTATCCGAGTGAATGCTATAATATACATAGAAAGTCTATAGAAGAACGGGAAGGGATAGGAAAAAGAAAGGAATATAAGGCCCGGGCCGCTTCTAGATCTTTATTCTTCAGGGTTAATCTTTTGTTTTCCTCTTTTTGTAGATAGAATAGATCTTAACTAAAAATTTCCGTATTTTTTAAATTTTTTTTTCTTTCTTAAATAATCTTGACGTTAAGGCTATCGATGTCGCTACAGTGTCTTTTCTTTTCTGTACAGCTGTTCAGGATCTATAAGCGTAATTGGCGAACAGAAACAGATTCAGCATGACTCGCTTGTTCATGCATGTAGCTCGCCTTAAGGCGATCAAGTTCATGACGCCGCCCATGCGATCCTCCGTCGGTAGTCCCATGAATCGATACACAGACTTTCTCTTCAGGAACAAATGCTTGGACGTAGGTATATACACTCGGACGCCGGCTTGCCGCTCAATCTTGTTCTTCCCTTCTGGGTACCCAAAATACTAACCTTCTAAGTCTCGGAGAAGCTGCCTTGCCTGGGTTGATAGCACAATATTCCTATGTCTTTTCCCAAGAATGATGTCTCGCAGTAGCATCCATGCAGGAAGATCCTAGGCGTACGTCTGCAGATCATTGGATATATGCAGTTGGTTTAGGCTCAAGCCTAGGGATCCAGAATTGGTTTCTATTTTTGTTTTTTTTTTTCGCGATTTTGAAAGGTGTATTAATTTCAAAGAAATCGCGTAGCACCGCCTACGAAGATAAGTCCAACTGAATGGTGCTATTACACCATTATATACGATGCTCAAGTTTCTAGACCACGATCTTATTGTGTAGGTCCATGGGGAGCCTGAGCCCGGCGTTTTGCCGCTGGCTAAACCTGTTGGTGATCGTTTGGTAAGGCAAGCGGGGCAACTCATCCATGTACTTGACAACTTAGCCTGATAGAGACATTAGCAAGGAAATAAGTAAAGACGTTGTCAAGAGTATTCACCAAGCATATGGTATATAGAGGAAGAGATCAAGTCGTCAAGAGGGTTCCAGGGCTTTTATACTTCCCGGTAATTCTCGCCTGTGCGTAGATTATGGAAGCCAATGTAGTCGTATCCGGATAGTACTGACCAACGATATGCCTTCCTGTTGCTCTATCGGCCAACCTTATTGAGAAGCCTTGGGAAGCCACTACGTACCCGACATTTCCAAGAGCACCCCCCCTGATATGCTGGCCCCAGCTGCCGCGGTGTATTGTTTTAGAATGTCTGAAGTTGGAGTAGGCGCCCCGAGATGCTGGGAATAGGAGGCTTATAGCTAGAATTCGGTTACTGCGTAGCTACCATTCAAAGTATGTAAACCGGTTGAATTACAGCTCCTAGACAGACAGGACGCTCCCTGTTGAAATTGAATAGAGCCCTATATTTCGTACAGGTATATAGGTTGTGTATTGCCCAATAGAGGAATAAACCGAGGAGGGAATATACTGTTCTTCGAGAGCGAGATATTTTATATATGGTTGGGACTACTAATTTACTTTGATCAAATACCATAACTTGAGAGATCGTGGGAGATGCGAATCCTTTGTTTCCTACCCCTATGGGTGGTTGAAATTCTCACCGTGTGGGACAAAGCGCCTTGATAAAGGCGGGTATATTCCTCCATCTGGAGTTGAAACTCAGAATAAGTGCTTTGTATTTGTAGAAAGTTTCCATGCTTTGAGTATGGCGATGGTCAAAGGCAGTTGTTGGTGAGTATGTCACGTCGTGCGACTGAACTATCATCTACTGACGAACAACACAGTCCTAAATTCCAATACAGATTATCCGATTATCCGTTGGCTGGGTAATGGCAGGGGCGTTCGCAGCTAAGTAACAAGTATAATTAGTAGTTTATGATCTAGTTATACCATGAGTGGGTTGGGAACATAGAGAGGGCAGAATAGTTTATCTAGGGCATCAAGGACTATATTTTGATTATGCCGATGAATACTTTTCGGCTCATGCTTACCAGAAACAATCTTCTAGATAATGGAAAATCATGCAACACTTATAGAACTAGCCCACTATTATTTGCTGAATAAGGTACCCCATACTGCTCATGAGAACCAATGTAGCCGAGCTTTCACCATCGGAAAGCGAACGCACATTGCTTTCATAAACATGCGATATAGGGGCCCCTTCTGCTGGTTCAGTAAATATCAATCTTGGCATGCTCTACCTGCGCCAATTCCAAACTCAGAGTTTCAAGTTCGAGTTTGCACAGACATGGAAACCAATTGGAAGCAAATATATTCAGCGCACACTAAATCATTATCAATTCCGGAGTAGATAAAGTATCTCTATGATACAAGGTCAATGATTGACAGTGAGCTGTACGGACACACTGTGCATGGACATTGTCGGTTTCATGGAATTGCTTCCTGGCTATGTGGAGAGAGTTGTGACCTGAGGCTCACCTACGAAGAAGAATAAAAAGAGGCATTTCCTACAGTTGAGGATGGTTCTTATGTGTTTTAATGGTTTCTCGATTAGGTGGACAGATTCCCTAGGGCTGTTTTCAGCAGCAGTACTTTGCTCTGTCTGCCGGTTCTATCATGGATACGTTCTGTGAGAAATACTCTGCTAAAGTCTTTGTACTCTATCAAAATTCATCGATGATGTGACCAATATCTCTATAATGAACACATGAAGGTATCCAGTGGGATGGTTTGATTGAGAGCTGCGTGTGGATGAAAGAAAACGGGAAAAAGGAGTGAAGAGGGAAACAAAAAGATGGAGACTTGAAAAAGTCCAAGATGCGGTGGGTATAGAAGAATTCGATATTGCAACATCGGAAGGCTTGAAAGTTTGTAACTTTATTGAATGCCGTTCCAAATCCCATGGGTTCTCATATAACCAGCAGAAGTTCATATATTTCACTGGCCTTTCTGTGATAATAGAGGATTTAGATGGGTGGTGGTAACTTATTATCTTACTCCTATAGTACTAGGAGAGGTTCATCTATTTGTTATGGTCAGTCCAGCCGAACGGCCTCTCACAGAATAGTGTACACCTAACTATTTACTTACAATAGGACAAAGGGCAGGATTGTACTCACGCCTGATACTGCTTGAAGCCTAATCAGCGAAAAAAATATAATTACGATGAAAAACTCATCCCAGACATAGCATCCGTCTCAAAAGCGCTTTGTATCCCTTCTTAGGTTCCATGTAGTGATTTACATACCGAATATCTTTCTCGATACCTTTAAGAGCCACCCCAGCCCAATCAGCACTGCATTTAATTGACTCGCCAGGCGCTATCTCATTAAGACTTCCTTCCAAGGCATTGCGATTTTTCACTACCCCCACATAAGTTGCTTTGCCGCCTGTTGAATCAGTGACCCAATCCGAATGAGCCATATTAAAAGTAACCCTAATACCGCATTTAGTGGATCAATGTTTGACCCTAGCATAAGTTTCTCTCAAGACTCACCCTTCCCTAGCCGGTATGAACTTGTTTTCGATCCACGGTCCTCCGTAGCTTAAGGGTTCCATGATAAATCCCCACTCATCGCTGCCGGAAGCTGATTTCCGGAATATGTACAAATTGTAGCGTCCAAGGATGGAGCCATCATCGTTCGAGGTTGACTTGTCGACCGAGTTGGAGCAATTCGTTGTTTGTATGATACGAGATACGTAGCAGTACGGGAATAATTCCACAGCAACCAGCAGATACAGGAGTTTAAATACTTATATGGCTTACAATTTGCTAGGTTCTCGATCAGCTGAAATTAGCTACGTATGGCATTATTATATTCCAGCGGTTTTGTCTATCACCATATCTTACATAGATTATTGACAAGCCCTTTGTCTGATAGTCATGCAATTCAATGACTTGACCATTCGAGTAGGACAAGTGACCTCGCATGAATTCTTTTCTTTTATCGATCAGCAAACATTTGCACAGATATCCGGATTGATGCCCTTTTCATACTCGGTGTCAATTTAAGCGCATTGTTTCTTCGACGATGTGATATGATTGGTAATCAAGGGTTCACTCATAAAGAGCATAGAAACGAGGTTGACCATTTTCCAGGACGCTTCATCTCTCATTTGGAAGTTTCATCATTTCATTGATAAGGCTCCCAAAGCCAGCCATTCTCGAGTAGTATGAAAGAGCAATCAACTGATGCACAAGTATAAATATATCCTTTGCCTCAGGGCATCCTGAAGCAGAATATTTTCGATTAGTTATTTACACGTAGCCATTGTCCCATATTGGAACAACAGATCTAACTCCCCCAACTTCTCCCCTTACGTAGATATGTACAAACGATAACAACAAGGAGGCTTTGTTTGTGGTAGTGCTAGCCATGCATAATGGGACTATGAATGCACTGACAAAAGACCGACTAGCAATAGATTGCTTGTTCATGGTTTCTCTTTCCATATCATAGAGCAAAATTTACCATGCGATATGAAAATGTTCTACGATACTGATTTGGAATTCAAGCTGTAGCAAGTATGTACGCCGGGTGGGTAATGTCATGTTTCCTGTGGCCTGGTTATTATAAAGTATGCTCTCAACCCCTTGAGAATAAACGTATAATTTTTCGGGATACCAGCTTATTTGAGAACATTATTGAGTTCCACTGCTAGTAAACTACAGTGTTTGTACCCATCCGGGGAAAAGACACACATCAACTCCAGACTATCCCGATGTGGAATTACTAGAATAAAGATGTGAAACTGGTAGGAAGATGTATGAATCCCGCTGAGTCATATTGTTTGATTGTTTCAAGCTGACAGGAGATGGAGGTGAAAGAGATAAAAGCGCGTCATTTGTCTAATATGGTTTTGTCCTAGGTGCCCCAATTGAACACTGATACACCTTCCGAGATATACGCTGGGATTCCTCTTTGTGAAGGCGCTTGTATAGCTTTTGTGCGCTTTATCAAGATTTTATTGATGCTCAGATACATCCTTAAATGTAGGGTATGTGAGGATGTCTAGCGGTATTACACTATTGGAAATTACATTCGGAGAGAGAAAAAGAAAAAGAAATGATGGAGAGAAATCCAAGATGCAGTGAGTCCATGATGGGGTGGATTTGCCGGTGTAGGTGGTACTTGGAGCTAACCTGAGCGAGACACATTCTGAGCTTATTCAGGTGATAAGGATGAACTGTAAGGATTGCAGGTGTTGACCTGGATGCCTTATACCTCCCTACACTACCTATATGGAACAGGGGAGTTCGCAGCATGTGTGAACAAAGTTAACCTTCTCTCAGTAGCGCGAGTGATGATGTTGGCAAAATTAATCCGCCACCTGGCCTACACGAGACGTTAGAAATACTAAACGGAACGCCTGCAACAGATCACGAAAACATGGTCCCTCTTACAGACTCGTATCGATGGAATATTTCCCAACTCGGAGCCTCTGTTAAATCCGCCACTCTCACAAGAGCCCTATATTCCTGGCCGCTTTACCATTGGGCCCCTTGGTCAGGATCAGCCAGAGTCTCAGTAGCCAGGCCCAGATATTTTAGCTCCGTCTATGCAAGCGAACGCTTTTCCAAGTGATTCTGATGCACAATTTTGGGGATGGCGTCTTCGGTCTTTGTTATTCGCGCATGGACGGTTCCCACCGCGGTGCCTAGTGACGAGCTTTCAGGTGGATATGCTCCTGCTACAACATTTTTTGACCAGTATCAGTCATTATTCAGCAACTCGGACTGGGCACTGACCGGAGAAAAACGTGGATGACTTTGCCGAACTTAGCAGATATCTTGCAAGCCCTGTGAGCTAGGGAGACTCCGCGTGATCCTGGATGAGTTTACCTACCTGAACTTTCTGAGTAGCTGCACGAACAGGTGAGCTAGTAACGATAAATAGGCAGTAGTCTAGAGGTCAGATTATACAAGGATAATTTCCTGAATGGACCTCTCATGCAGATGAGGTGACTCCACCTAAGTAGTACATACATGACTAGTACATCTGCAGGGCGCTTAAAATAGCCACCCTCCTATCCCCGGGCGCTACGAAACATATAAACCCTAGCTTTACCCCTCTTATTCTCATCTTCTAGAAGAGCTTTCACACAGCCACTATCTAAGCCAGTATGTCATGCTATTCGCTACACTCGGGCAGGATTTCTTCCAATTTTGACGCGGATTTGCCCTGCGGCATTCAGAATTCCTCGCATCCACATGTGCAATGTTGTGTAAAGGGTGACTATTGCATGAGTAATGGCATCTGCCACTTCTATAAACGCAGTTCAGACCAGGGATACTATACCGCGGATTGCACTGATCCAACACTCCAGGACCCCGCATGCATGAGCCGATGTGGTAATTTCTCAACCACGATGTTTACAACATCAATAATGCTAAGTATATATAGGCGCTCAACCTGGATCAATCATAGCCTATGATGAAAGTACGGGGCTCTGGGCTTGTTGCACATATAGCAGTGATGGTAAGGCCAATTGCTCAAATCTTTCCGAAGAGAGATTCCCTGCTCCAGCTCCCAGCAAACTTGTTACGATTCAGTATCTGCCTCCTACTGCCACCCCGACCTATGCACCGTCTACAGATGCTACGTCTACGCCACTCGTGAATTCTACCGGCAGCCAGATAGGCGCAGGCGCTGCAGCTGGGATTGGAGTAGGGGTTGGGGTTGGTGCATTTTTACTTGCAGCAGCGGGCGCGTTGTTTTATTTCCGACGGCGGAGGTCATCGCAGCACAGTGTACCAGCTTCGCAATCTTGTACCGGGTTAATGTCGGGAGTGCAGCAGCCGCAAACAGATGTTAGATATGAGCTTGGGAAGTCGGAGCCTCGTCCGCAGGAGCTTGCATAATGGATTTCGATGGCTAGAATGTAGTTGTGTATTCTCCTGCACTTGGAATTTGGAGTAGGTCATGATTCATTTTGTGACGATATTATAAAGCATCTTTAAAGGACTAAGGGGTGCAAGTCTGACGACACATTACTACTTTCCACAGTTTAACTGATGACTCTAATACTTACGATCTCCAAGTGGAAAGAATAGGGCTTCCAGTCCGCTCAGCCGTACTTGGACCCTATCCCAGCTGGGTAGTAATTGACCATCAGAGCTCTCATACAGTCCTGTTTTCCATGTTGTCCAAGCCTACTGTCATAGCCGACCGATCGATACCTACCAAAGCAACCGAATAGTGTTGAGCAATTGAAGGATCAACACATTACATCCACTTGGGTCTGAAATAGAAAGAGGTCAGAATAATCTGCTTTCCACCCTCCAGATTCCAGCCTTCCTTTCCATTCGGGGCAATTCCTCTTCCTGTGGGGCTCATGTCAGTGTTAACGATAGAAGCGACCTGGATCTGTCCCTGCTTTGTACAAAGCCACTTATCATCCCTAGAAAATGCGATTGCAAGGCCTTCATCCCTAAAATATATTGATGGGGGGAGGGGGGAGGTCGTCATCCAGCTTGAGCTGTCCTATATTTTGCCAAGTATCGATACAACACAGCCGGACAGATTTATAACCTAGCTCTGCAAGTAAGTCCGTTTCCTCAGTCGATTCGGTTGGATCTGTCTCAGTCGTTCTTCGAAGTATCATGTAATATCATTTCTCCCTATCTCGTTGGTACGAGAGGTATCTTTAGAAGGCTTCCATCTTCATGGTCATCCAGTGACATTTGACTAAACTGGCAATAGATCTCATCCGTTGGCCTTTAATATACACGAACTCGCGCACCCTAGCGGTGACATCAGCTCAGTCACAGACACTGACATAAGTGGCCCAGTAAGAAGTGAAAAGCCAGTGATATATAGTTGCATGTCTGGCGGGATAGATCCTATGTATCTAGAGTATGCAAAGATAGCTATTGCAGACTCACCTTATAAATCCCATTGCCCATACCGTCGATGACTCGACATATGTAGAATATCACATCGTGAACAAGTTCCCAAGGTATGTAGACCAAAAAACACATGCATACAGCACGGACATCAATACCCTAATAATACCTAAGCACCGTCAGGATTATAACCGCACTAGGTGGGTCTTGTTTCCCCCAGATTTTGGTCTATGTGATTGGGAGAATCAGGAATCGTCATAAGTACGGGGGTGATAATCTATGGGTGGATTCATCTGAGGAATTATCTATAGGATAATCTGGTGAAGTCTAATTCAAGATATGGCTATATAGATATACTATACATATATAAGGTCTGGAGAAAGACAGCTCCCATCTGCAGAGATATAAGCAATTGTAGTATTCCAATTCCATTCTCTATTTCTATCCTGAAGGCGTTGTTTATACCCTCCCTACTCAAATTTATGACGAGAAAAGACTCTTTTGCCTTTAGATAGTACAATGATGTCGAGATAGCGTAGATCTGCTTACACCATGCTCCTTGGCAATTTTGGTATAATTAATCGTTTCGCTTGCTTCCAAATTTTCGATCTCTGCTAACGTTGCCTGAATTGAAGCCATTTTAGCAGAGCTATAGTAGCTTGAAAACTGTCAATAAAATCAGGCGTCAGGTGATACGGTATACTCAGAATGAAATACCCGTTCAAGGTTGAAACTCTACGCAACATCCAGACCGATGTATCTGAATCACGCTCAAATCTTTCTTTCGCAATGCATTATTACATATGTATGTTCTGTTTTCAGGTTTATAAGCACGGGCTTCTGCTAACTATTCTTGTTTAGTGACAAGATTTCTAAAGTAGAAAAGGTTGATTTGATTATACGGTGGAAGCTAGGTATATCTCTTAACAGCTTGAATACAATATAACTAACTCTCTCTACTTATAGACAATAAATCTCGTGAGGTTATTGATTGGCTGTGTCCCGTTAACTTTTGGTTAAAACAGGCAGACGTGCTGAAACAACAACAGCCCGAGACAAGAGAGTGGCTACACAAGATTCTAGATTTCTTAATTAGAAAACAAGTGACAGAGAAATCCTTTGGTATCAAGACTGTCGTAAGTGCTACTGACAGTGATAAACAATCCAAATACTAATGTGCTCAGCTAGCATTGGCAAGACTGTCTTATAGTAAGCGCAAAAACTTTTCCCTCCATATATAAAGTTGAATCTGAAAAAGAAGGCTAACAACTACTATAGTTCTATTGTCATTGACTTCCTCGAGTCTGATTTACCTGCTCCAGATGTTAGCCTGGCGTCTGTATATTGCAATTACAAGTCGAGCCAAGTACAAAGTCTGGAGTATTTTCATCGTATTATTGCTTGACACTTGGTTGAGCTAAAACAAGCGATTCCAGAAAGTGTTTCCGAATTATGCCAGAGACATCATGGGAAGGGAACAGCACTAACGGAGGAAGAATGCCTGAAGTCAGTTCAGTCATTAACTAGAGACTCAGCGGGAATATATGTTGTCATTGATACCTTGGATGAGTATGTTGATAAATATGATGGACTGTTCTGGACCAAGCTTATTGGCCAATTAAAGAGCTCTATTATCAATCTACATCTCCTGTATACCTCAGAGGCATATTGATGACCCAAGAGGGATACTTGGAAACGCTACTTATGTTGAAATACGCGCTAGTCAAGCAGATATTTGACCTCTATTGAAGAAAGGATTGACTCAAGTAATAACCTTCTCATATTCTGCAAACGAGACCCAAAGCTTCGGCAGAATATTATGGAAGTTATTGAATCAAAGTCGGACGGAATGTGAGCTAGCTGAGATTGCGATTGAGTGTACAAAGATTAATATCTGATACCAGAATAAAGGTTTCTGATAGCCCAGCTCTACATCGAGCTACTAGAAGCAAATGGTAACTTATAAGCTCTTAAAAAGTCTCTACAGAGCTTACCTGTGTAAATAGATGATTTGTATGACAAGGTAATGCGAAGACTCCGATTGTCACTAACTACTCAGCTTGCCTTGCGGGTTATTTCATAGGTTGTGTATTCTTTCAGTCCGTTACAGCTCATAGAACGTCAACATGCAGTCGCAATTGATAAACTAGAACCAGACAACTAAGATATCCCGGAAGAATGTTTAACTGACCGATCCAAGATGATCAATTCCTGCATTAGACTGATAAAGGATTGACAAGGGAAAGTCAAACAATTGACTTGGTCCATTACACTGCATAGGACTACTTTGATCGGAAGGGTTCGGACTACTTCCCACATGCACAAGTGGACATTGGGCTGCATGTGAGAGGTATCTAAGCCTCGGTACTTTTGCTTCTAGTAGCTGTTCAACTACTGAACTACTGGATTGTCGATTAATAGGAATCCATTTTTGGAATACACAAGTCAGAACTTTTGTGACCACATCCGAAACGGGATGGGCAGCAAAAGGCTTCATCAGCCTTCACTTCAACTCTTCCTGGACATGTTGAAGATATCATGTGCTGCTAAGTTTTGCCTGCTGACCCAATGGGAAGTTCTTGGTGGAAGAAAATGTGCTTACCAGGGATTGCTCAAGGATTTCAAGGGATTCACCATGCAGCTTATTCCGGGTTATCCTCGACTCTCTGGTCACTGATCAAGGCCTATGACTTGAATTCGAAAGACAATTGAGGACTAACTCCTCTGTCATATACAGCAGAGAATAGCCATGTGTCTGCGGTTAAGCTACTCCTGGACCAGGGTGCTCAACTGGACTCTGAGGATGAGGATAGTCGGACACCTCAATTATATGCAGCAGAGTGGCCATAGGTCTGTAGTCAGACTACTCCTGCACCAGGGTACTCCACTGGACTCCGAAGATAAGCGAAGCTCTAATCTTCCTTTAAATCGAGGTGCCGAAGCTAAAGAGGCTAAAAAGACCTTGCTATATAAAACCCCCATAAAAACCAAAGCCCCGTCTAAAATTACATTGTCCCATATATTCTACTAGTGATTTCTATTCCAATGGCCATTCCTAATTTCACTTCAAGCATCTGAAATTTCAGCCGATTTCAATTTCAGGCCCCACCGCTAGATGGGAATAATAGTGTAAACGGCTCAAGTAGGGCAAACGGTATTTCAGACGTGCAGTCTGGTTATCAGACACTCAATCGACCACATTACTTACAACAACACATCAACAAGCTACTCTCTCAAACTATCCGAATCTAGCATCCACCAATGGTAGAACTCGGGCCCTAGATAGAATTTATTAAGTCAATCTCCTGGATACCAGCCTTCAATATACAAGGTACTTACGCATTTAAATGACGCAAGGCCGTGTCCCCCCCTGTAGTTGCACTTGTCTGTAGTAATCGGCGGATAGGTCTCAACCTCGCAATCGCGCTCATTGTAGAATGTACAGCTCCAGCAGGAGTTTTTTCCAAGGACCTGGGTATGAAGGTCGCTCAGGTAGACCGAGGTGCCTCGGAAGTTATCACTAGTACAGGCGGTGTAGCTGGCCCCGCCGTTGATATACAGGGAGCATGAAGCGTCTGAAGGTGGGACATCGAACAGGTTAATGCACTGTTCGGAGTTTCCATCAAAGATCTTGTAGTTGGAGTTGTCATTGGCGTTGCAGTCATTCACATTGTCGTAGAATATGACTAAGATATGGTTAAGGACAATCTGGGAATTGAATTGGATGACGTACGTTCATAGGCCTTAGCCTGCATAGCAAGGCCAGTACCAAGCATCAGCGCTTGAAGAAGACGCATTATAAAAATGGTTGAGGAAGTTCGCTATACTTCACACTTAGATGCTTGTTTTGTCTTGGTTACTTAGAAGCCCTTGCAAGGACAACAAGGGGGTATTTATATTCAATCCACCAAGCTATGGCCTAGCCAGAATTCCATAGTTAATATGTTTAGAGCAAAACGGACCCCAAGATACAGACCCACAGTTATACTGATCTATAAAAATTACTTGTTTTTTTCCCCTTCTTAACTCAGCTGATAGCTATAGCCTTTCATTGGCGTGAAAAGCTTACTATTGATTGTGAAAGAACTTGAAAAGTGATATCGGCACTCAATAGTATATATAGAAATAGAGTAAATAGGCTGATCAACCCTTCTTTTGTCTTGAACCGATAAATATCTAAGTCCAAGACCTTTGCCTACATTAGCCTGGTATCTATTCCACAATTTCAACTGAATAAGGGAGTATCACTATACCATCTAGGGGTCTAGGATCCGGAGATATATATAATTGCCGTAGAACAAAACAGACGAGCATCATAATTAGTACTGTTGGCTAGCTATTCCCAAACAGGAATGTCGGTAAGTCATTTAATTACTATTCGGAGTATTCGCTCGCCAGCGTCCGGTGGAGAAAATGCACTCTCAATGTGGGGATTCCGAGGATGATCCTCTCCGCTTATTTGGGGGCCAAAGCTATCCGCCTTAGAGTACCTGCTCTACAAAACTGTTGGGTGCAGGGTTATGACCATTACGATCCGGGACCCAGAGTGGTGGCGGCGTTGCAACTGGGCGCGGTATGATCAGCAAGAGCGAAGACGTAGTGTTTCGGCGAAGCCGTCAGCTTGCAAGTTCCTATAAAAGAGACGGGAGAATCTATCATTACTATAATACTGAAAATCTGATGTTTTAACGGTGCAATTGATTAGTTGTTCTTTCTATTGCTGAGTGCTAGGTTTTATAGTGGGTATATAGAGGTATTTATGGTGCATGTCTACTTTTGTGGTTGGCGTACTCATCTGGCCTGGCACAAGTCGTACCATGGCATTTTGAGCAATCTGAGGAAGAGCGACCTCTTCTATTAATGCGACGGAGTGGTCGTTCTTGTTCCATTAGCACTTCCTGTATACAATAGTATCCCAACATTGAACCTACCAGGATCTTCACAGGACATGACACGGTGGCGGCCACGGACGCAAGGTTTATAAGCCCAATTTTCCCCGTTAAACGGAGCTAGACTCTTAAGGAAACTTTTCAGGATTGAGATATCCACCTCTTATAATCTTCCGTTGTGATCCACGAAATCTTACCGTGAACGGACTATTCTCGCCCGAGGAATTCTATCGATACGCGCGGTAGTTCTACGGGTTCAGCCAGTGGGGTCAAGATATTGGTGCACTAGAGTGGTTGTGCCGATATCTAACCAAAGATTGCTACGCTGCTGTGTACTATGGTATAGTTAACCAATTAATTTAATAACCAAGCAGTTTTATGACCGCCAAGGCTTGGGTTTTATGCAAAGTTGGATTTTTACCATAATGGGGCCCCAATGGGGCCCCATTATGGGTTATGGGTTGGGTCATGGGTTCTAGATAGATCTGAACCCAAACCAGGTTCCTGGCGCAGTCTAATGCTCTATGGGTAATCCGATCAGCTTTACTTTCTAGAGGCTGTCGAAGATATATTGCCGGAAGTAAACCGCCGCTATCCCTTGAGATTAAACAGAAACGGCTTCTCTGGGCATAAGAGCACCTTAACTGAACTCTTAGTCAATGGGAAACTATACATGTCTGATGAAACATGAGTAAATCCGGGTCGCCACATACGTACATGGGTTACTCACCGAAAGGATGAGGCCTTCCATGAAGACCGCGTTATTGAACGGCGCTCACATAAGATAGGATAGATGCTTTGGGGCTCATTTCATGGAACTACTAAAGACCCCTATAGTATTCTGGGAGAAGGAATGGGGTCCAATAAATGCTCAAAGCTTTATTCAATATATAGGTCCGCTTATAACAGAGTATATCCATTACAATCCTTATATTGAACTAGTACAGGATGTCCAGGCCATGGTGCTCAATCTACTATTCATGCACTTGAGAGGGGTAGACTCTATATGACTAGAAGGCCTCCTTTCTCTCCTGGTCTTAATCTAATTGTTCAATTCCATACTGCAGGCAAATTTCCCTGAATATATGACACTACCAGAGCTAAGGATAGCCCTTAGAGAGGCCCGGGATACTATTCTAGTTGATTTTCTGCGAGATCTACTGAAATCTATGCCTGAAAGGTGCCGTGCAGTTATTGAGGCAGGTGGTGGTCATACTAAATTTTGATACTATTGTGCATGTATATATTAGATAGGGCGTGAATATAGTCTGGAAATTCATCTTTACCTAATAAAGGCGTGATTTCCCGTGGAGCTTACTAACATTAACTTATACTTACGGGTAAAATGTATCCCGCGGCTACTCTATGCGTTTCGACTCTGTTTACTCGATTGTCGCTTGGAAAAGGAGGCAAAAACATCAACCCATATTCCGCATTCTGCGCCAGAAGCTGACCACAAAATATCTTCAATCTTCCGGGATGTGAAAAATGAAATCATGGAGTCCATAGGCATAGGGAGAACACTCACTCTGCTGCTGAGCCTGCCTTGTCAAAACAAAGGATAAAGAATACCTTGCAAGAGTCTACTGTCTGGCCCGTACTGCATACACATGAAAGCTGGGAGTGCAGCCGGTTACAAAAACGGCGCAAATGTTTATACTCTTATATTGTCTCTGAAGCTCTATATTTGCCCGGTCGAGCCTTAGTTACCAACACAGCACAGGTTTATTGATCTAAAGTACTGACTAATATGAACATCAAATTGCGAGAACTTGAATCAAGGGGAGGGACCCCTGGAATGATGTTAAACCCACTTTACCAATGACACAGCAACTAGAATACTTCGAAACGAGACGGTGGTATCCTGGCATTCCCTTAGTATTACCCCACATTTCCATGAGAACCAAAATTACCTTGATGTGTTGGCAGGTGTTTGTAATCAGTCCTCTATCGTCCTCATGGCCGAGAAATATGCAATAGCATCGAGGATTACCTACAGATTGTATCCAGCAAGAAGACAGCTGCAGCACGTGAGCTCTTCGAGGTTCATATTGTCGGCAATGCAGATGCATAGATAGGCTTCACGCATATGGAAGACTTGGCGAAATTTATCGTCAAGACAATTGACCATCCGGAGGTGAAGGGAAAGAAGTGTGTTCCCGGACGACCTCTGGATCTTGGTGAAGGGAATACAAGGGCCAGGAAGATTTTGGAGGCCACCTGGGCAGGTGCATAATGATTTGTTCCCTGATGTGGAGGTGGAGACGTTCGAGAGATACCTGAGGAATAATATTTTTACATCTTGACATTTTGTCTTCTGTTGGCATTACGATGGGGAGAATGTATGATCAGTCATGCTGGAGATGTACGTTGACGTTGTCTGCACGCTTGCCTACGCTATCCTATACCGGACACGGATATTACTCCATTCGGAGAGGAATCTGTACATCCAGAGCAACATACAGGGGTGAGCACTGTAGCTAGAGACGTCGTGCTCTCCGGTTGTTTCACCGGTTGACTTTCGTATGGTTCGATCTCTTCGGAAAATTGCCCGATGTGAGCTGCTTCGTTTTGCGGGGTTGGTACGGTTTCCCCCGCTTGAGGGTATATAAATACCCCGAATACCTCTGCAAAACGTGTACAATTCAATTGCTGCCAATCCCCAGACTTCCCTGCGCGAGGTTCTCTAAGCATCTTTGGCCCAATGCCGTGTTTCCTTGCTTTAGTCGCAGTGCTTTCTTTGCTTTCCAGGGCATTGGCCCTGGTAAGGCCTGATGGCGTGGTAAGATTTGTCGTTAGCTTAGAGCTGATGGTGACTAATAGGCATGCATAGGGCAAACTGCCTGCATTGGGTTGGAATAGCTGGAATGCATTTGCATGCAACATCGATGCTCCCAAAATCCTGACTGCGGCGGAAGAAACGATCAACTTGGGCTTGAAGGATGCAGGTTATGAATATATTAACAGTATGTCTATCACACCATACTATATGCATGCTAATAATGCTAGTTGATGACTGCTGGTCCGTCAAAGGTCGTCGAGATCCCAATACGAACCGTATGATTCCGGACCCGACAAAATTCCCAGACGGCATTGCTGGTGTCGCATCCAAAATCCACGACATGGGGTTAAAGATTGGCATTTATAGCAGTCAGTAACCATATACAACCATCGGCTGGTAGAAATAGCTAACCAGATAGGTGCCGGTACGGAAACATGTGCCGGCTATCCCGCAAGTCTGGGATATGAGAAAGTCGACGCTGAGAGCTTTGCCGAGTGGGGCATTGATTGTATATACCCATCTCTGCTACTGTTCGAATCTCCAAGTAGCTGACGCATTGAGCAGATCTAAAATATGACAACTGCGGCGTACCCACTAACTGGACCGACCTATATACCCACTGTGTGCCAGATAACACCAATGGACCGAAATTTCCCAATGGAACTTGCCCCGATAATCCTAACCCACCACCGGCCGATTACGACTGGAGCCGTTCTAAATCTGCCCAGAGATATGAGGCTATGCGCGATGCCTTGCTGAGTGTCAACAGACCTATCCTCTATTCGTTGTGTAACTGGGGCCAGGCAGACGTGAATGAATGGGGCAATGTAACGGGGAACTCATGGAGGACGACGGGCGATATCACTCGTATGTTGATGCCATTTGTCATCCAGCGAAACTCTGTCTGACTTTAACAGCCCACTGGAGCCGCATTGCCGAAATTGCCAACGAGAATTCTTTCTTCATGAACTATGCCGATTTCTGGGGATATCCAGATCCTGACATGCTAGAGGTCGGCAATGGAGACTTGACGTTGGCAGAGAATAGGGCTCATTTTGCTCTCTGGGCTGTGATGAAGTCTCCACTTATCATTGGAGCCCCTGTAAGTTCATATCCGATCCCGACCAGGGAATCTGGCTGACGAAAGTAGCTTGATTCTATCAAACAGGAACATGTCGCCATCCTGAAGAACAAATACTTACTCGCCTTCCACCAAGACCCGGTATTCGGTCGACCGGCCTACCCTTACAAGTGGGGATACAACCCTGACTGGACATTTGATCCAGTTCATCCGGCGGAATACTGGTCGGGGCCATCTTCGACCCTGGATGGAACGCTGGTCTTGATGTTGAACTCCGAGGACAGTGACCAAACCCGGACTGCAGTATGGAGTGAGATCCCTGAGCTGGGTGGCTCCGCTGGGAAGGATAGTGGACATCAGGTAACCGATGTTTGGACGGGCGAGGATCTAGGTTGTGTGAAGGGTGAATACAGCGTGGAATTGCAGCGTCATGATGCTGCTGCTTTGGTAGTCGGACAGCCGTGCTGATGAAGTGGCTCACACATGAAGTATCGAGCTTCGGTCTAACGAAAATACTGGTCCATGTTAGAGGTCCGTACGCACACACCTTCATTCTTTCATGATCTTGCTGGAATTCCGTCTTTAAGAAAATACTTAGGAGATACTATCTGTAACGGGGATGATTAAGCAGGAGTAATAGAGCACAACAAGGCATGTACTAAAGGCCTGTTTGTGTCGGACCGGACTCTCAAGCTTCAGTTGCACTCCTGTCTCGCCGCTTCTCTACCAAGCTGTCAATACACCTTTCCATTAGGTCACGCGTAAACTCGGGTGATTCGTCCAGTATGTGCTTTGGAAAATTGTAGCCAATATCGCATCTGTGGCACTGGCCGTGCAATACTCTGAAAGCGAAAGTGACAATATTCCTCCGAATTAACCTATGATGACCTGTCGTTGCCGCATATGCCTCCTTAACAGCACGAGGAAAGACCGTAGAAAAGGATGCTTTATATAAGACTTGAAAGAACTTTCGAGTGGCAAGGTTTCGAAATGTCGTGAGAAGGAGACGGTATGCCAAAAGAATGACTTTGAGATGGAGAGACAGTTCACAGCAATCCAGACGATCTTTGGGCAACGTTTTATCAGCGATGTTCACTTTGTGTCCTGTAGATGTAAACATACCAATCATATCCGAAGGTAGATCTACGCCTTCTATGCCTTTAGAGCTAGGAAAGCCATAATCCATGTAAAATGTGTAATCGGACTTGTAAAAATAGTCGAGCATCATTCGGACAACGAGAGGATCGTCTGGGAGTACGATCTCGTTCGACTTGGCTTCCTTTGAGCAGTTAGACGCGGAATGTTGAAGATCTATGAATGATGAATGCCAAAACGAACAAAGAAGGAACCATTCATTGCTTTGGCAAAGAATTCTGACTGAGGACAGATAACTGCTTTGTGGACTGGAAATCTGTAGCCACCACAGAGGATGGTGAAGTCACTATATTGGGAATCCAGCAAAAGTCTGGTTCATCCTTCATCAGCGAGCAATCATACAACATACATTACCCCCTCTTACTTTGAAACTGAAGTTAGTAGGGCATCTTTGCGATAGGAAGCATCCCAGTAAGGGGTCTTGTCTTTTGGCGTTGTCGTCGCTTTTGGGCTTAATGGCTCCGGATCTTCGTCAATCATATCCATAATGCACAAGGGTCGCAAGGGATACTCGAGGACAACGGCTGTGGCGTCAAAAATGATACTAGAAAGAAATCCCGGCAAGTGCTAAAAGGTTCGAGAGATAAAAGATAGTGATTTACTAGTCAGATAGAAAGTAATGTGAAGTTCAGGGTGCAGGGATGAAAGGATTGTGCAGATAGAAGAAACATTCACGTCTCAGCCAGTCAGTCAGTGATAGCAGATTTCCTCAGGCATCAAAAGACCTAACATTGGCCTGTCTAGAGTAGCTGTGCGGTGCTTCAAGACACACAATACTACGAGTAGTTGTAGATGAATATATTGGGTATTCTTGATAATTTAGTGGGCAGAAACAATAATATCTTATACTAGGGCAAGAACGCTCATCTCAAATTTGTAGAGAAATTAGTACAAAGAAAACGTGAGAAAATGCTATCACGCCGAATACCTGAATCAAGGGTATATTCTCATTATAACACCATCACATAGTCTCACTGTCAACACAGTAGCAATAAAGATCACTTCTAATTCTGTTACCGCCATAGATCACCTCTGCTCTCGCGTTTCCATCCGCCACTGCTCTTCGGGCGCCCATCATCCACTGGAACAGCCAGGAACCCGCCAAAGCCATTGCCAACCAATACACTCTTCCTCGAATCGCCACCCCAAGAACGACTCAATTGAGCGTCGTGGAAACTGACCGGTCGAGTGGTACTATCTCGTCGGCCTCTTGTTGACGGTGGCTCATAAGGAGTAAAGTTCCATTCCAGTTCGTCCAAGCCCTTACTATACACGTTCAGCGGCTGTGACAGGATGCCCCCGGCAAATTGAGGGCCACTCTCTCCTCCACCGAACAGACGGGGTGGAGGGGCAAGCAGCAGTGCCTCAGGGAATCCCCCATCACGAACGTAAAGGTCGCGAAGAGCGGGAAGGGAGTTCGACGTCAACGATGAAACTAAGTAAGAGTAGTACGAGCCTGCTACCGGCGGCATACCGTGAGAGCCTGGTGGGGAGGATATCTCATAGTGCAACAGTTCCAGTGACCTAGAAGCTAACGGTGGCACTTTCTCTGGAGGAAATGACCGCGACACTTCCTGAATCACAGATAGCGCACGGAGTTCTGGTGCAGCAGAGAGGATCTGATGTAGAGTGGATGGAAGAACTCGGGTGGCAGACAAGGTCAATGATTGCAACGACGTTCGGTTTTCAGGTAGGGAGAAAAAGGCGGCAAGCCCGCTTGCCGTGACATTCGGGGTATCTCGAAGGGTAAGCCGCTCAACTGCAGGGAACGGGGGGAGGGTTTCAGATTGTATGAATGCGGAATCATCGAGCCAGGGAAGATCCTCCAACGTCAGGTCACGAAGGTTAGGAAAGGCGCCCAGCCCGAATCGGAGGATATGAGACTCGACTTGGAGCCCTGACAATTCTAGTATTTCCAGATTTCCCCAGAGGTGTGAGCCGGGCAACTGCGAGAAGGTACCCTCTGACCCATGACGATAGCTCATCCGACGAAGATCCGGACAACGGGCCATGATCTCCTGTTTTAGCGCGAGACACGAGGGGTCATCACTAAATAAGCCAACTGGTAAATCGACATAGCGGAGATTGGGCAACACGGAAATCGTTCGCGCAATTTCCGCTTTGCTCGCCTCGCGGGTCATATAAGGCATACGCAAGGAGCGCACCATGTTCCCCAAGCCCTGCGATTGCCGAACGGTCCGCATGAAGAGTGTGAGGCGAGCTTGAGGGGCGTCTTCGGGATCGCCATTTTTGTCGAAGAAGGAGCGGCGCTTCCGCTTTGCTGACAGCTTCACCTCGAGTTCGCAGTAGTGAACGGCATCGATACGGACATTGGAGTAGCTAATGATGAAGAACCCAAGTCAGCGATTGAAAGAGAGAAAGAAAAGCAGAGAAGCAATGCGCACAGTAGAGCGTCCGCATCCAGGGACCACCGCTTGCACACCGCAGCGCAGTGCGCGAGATCGCGCATGTCACAAAGCATACAGCCATCCTCCGTCATGGATTCCTCCGATGTATCATAGCTGTTGTCCTCGGCGTGCGGGCAAACGAAAGAGAAAATGCGGATTAGAACACGTCGCGGAAGCCTCTTGGTATAATCTTGGCCCATGACCGGCACTGGAGGAACAACAACGTCGCGGTTGGTGCGGAGATGCTCATAACTGACCGCATTCCCCGCACGGCCGGAACTTTTCGAACGCTTGCGAAGGCGGCTCAGAAAACCCATGGTGGTTGCTTAGGCGAAGGGAAAAGACATCGGATGAAACACTAAAGGCTTGAATTAAAAAATCAGAGGGAAAGGGAGGTTAGCAGTTAGAGAAATATTAAGATGGCGAGAATGAGGCTAAGCGAAAGAGGAAGATGAGAGATTGGAAGGAGGAAAAGAGATCCAAGTGGGGACGGGGAGAACCTCCACCAAATATTAAATGAAAAGAGCGAAATCAAAGCACAGCGCCAACACTGAACTAAAATGCCAATACATACTTTATTTGTATGCATGCGCCCGACGAATTCCCCAATTTAGAAATCTGGCGGCTGTTTCCTCTGACCTCTCTTCTTTTCGATTTGTCCCTTCTATCCTCCTGGAGGAGGGGCGTGGAAGTAAATCCCTGCAGCGGAGGGTCAATCATGTCAGCCTTCCAAAGAAGATTGGGAAGAGTGATAGGTGCATGGTTACTGTGATGCTTATTTTTATCAACCACCCAAGAAGCGAAGTCACTACGTAGGGTGAAAACGCATTGCCAAGACAGGGGAAGAGAGACACAGAAGTCGGTGGTTGGTTGAATCAAGTGGAGATGGAACTTGGTGTAATTGAAGGGTTGAGTGGAAAGTGTTGTGATTCGATTCCGCCAATTGCTTCCTCCACGGCTAATCCGTTTCCAGAGATAAGTGCCTGTCAAAAGGTGAGTTTCATTCGTTTCTTATCAGGACAAAGAAAACCTCCTGTTTACTACCGAAACCACTATGGTTCGATTCCTGTCTCACTCCATACAACTCGTTCCATCATCAACCAGTTCCCGGTAATAAGGCAACATGGCAGCGAAGGGATCCAACATTCCCATCTTGAAAAGAAACATGAAACTTCGTTCTCATTTCTCATGGATTTAATTAGACTCGATCCTGAACCGACGTGTGCCCCATAATTCCAAAAGTCCGTTGCACCGCGGATTACTAACTGACCGAGGCTAATAATACTCTAGTGTTTGATCATCAAACCAAGGTGGTAGTATTACTGTATTACATCTGCTTCAACCCAATCAGATCCTCATTTGTTCTTGGAGTAATTTAAAATCCAATACCCTAAGACGCTCTATCGTCTATGTTGTGGCCCCAAGTTCATTTAATTTCGTGTTTAAATCCGGCATCACTTCAGACCCTTGGATTGTCCGCGCAATCGCCTATGAATAGTTCGCAGATCTTCCTATCATATGTTAATGAAATATTCATCACGCTCGTGTCCAATTCTATTTTTTTTTTACCTTTCTTTGACCAGCTTCGTTGGCATTCATATAGCGGATCTATACTAGAAGTGGACTGATGCGTTTCCAAAGTACATTAGTACATTAGTGCTCGTAATTTATATATATTGAGCGGAGAGTGGGCCATGTCCATCTCACACGCATACACATACTAGTATACTACTAGGAGTATGCCCTAGTTACTTTTACCAAATGAGAACCGTCAAGTGATTATCTTTGAACAATCATCAAAGTCTTCAAACTTTCTTGCCCTTTACACTAGGCACTAGTTCATTAAGGGTATTTCAGGACCAGGTATGCCCAGTCCGACACCTGCTCTCGCCTGAGTGACAAACCACGTGCAACCCCCCGACATAAGAAAAGATCCCAGTCCAAGTGCTGGGGCAACGCTGTCCCTTGAGGGCTTCACTTATATAACAAAATCCCAGATGAGGATTGCCATGGTCCATACCATACACTCTACTATGGTATGGTCTTGACATCGCGATGACATCATCCCTGGTTCCCGGCTTCTGGTGGCGTACCTACGTAGCAGTTCAATTCAGATCATGGTAGGATAGAATATCATAGACATTGATATATATATAAAGTGATAAAACCAAACCTTACCACCAATACTTTACTTGACCGCATGCTACTCAAACTACCTGCAGCTCGTGCCCCTTCAATCTGCCGGCCCTTAAGACCTCGAACCTTTCTTTCGAAGCAAATCCATACATCCAATCCCAATCACCGCAAATTCAACTACTACACAACCCCAAGAATGGCCGACGACGTCCCAGCCGGAGGCGACCCCCTCCCCAACCCCGTCTCCGGCACCACCAACGAAGCAAGCTGGAAACACCGCGCCCCCTACAAAATCCAAACAGACGAGGAATTCGGCCCCGTCAAATGGATCGGAAGGTGCCAATGCGGCCAGGTAGAGTACAAACTAAACCGGGAGAAACCATTGAAGTCTAAATACTGCCATTGTCGGGGGTGTCAGGTATTGCACGGTGCGTGATTAATTGGAAACTAGAGCATCGTTCTTGCTTTGCTCCGTGCCCGAGGGAAAAAAAAAAATTATATACTTGAGAAGTTACCGAGTACTAACTACCTAGCCCGATAAGGCGCCCCGTTCCAATGGGCCACTATATTCCACAAGGCCGACTTGACTTTCACCAAGGGCGCTGATGGCTTGGCGTTTTATTCTTCTACGGAAAAGTCGAGGGAGTATATGCTTCCGACTAAGGTGTCGTGCTCGTTCTGTCGCACGCCGATTATGGACGAGGGGAGGAATGTTTGTCTTTTGTTTCCTGCGGCTATTGATTATGGGGGGACGCATGAGGGGAGGGAGAGATGGATTCAGGCTTTTGAAGTAGGGTAGGTTTTTTATTTTTATTTATTTATTTTTATTTATTTTTTTTTTTTAAAAAAAGAAGCTTGGGATGTGTTCAAGAAACTAACTAGGCTTGTAGGTGTCATATTTTCTATAGTCGACGGGCAGTTGAGATTCCAGATGGGAAGCCGAAGTGGTCCGAGTTGGATGAGAGTAGTGAGCTTTTGGATGATTCGGGGAATCCGAAAAAGGGTAAATCATGAATGCTGAGTGTGTAGTTTCCCGAGCAAATGGGTAAAAATGAAATGAACATATTAGAGGATCTTGTATATTTCGATACTTCGTCGGCGGTAGTCAAAACAGCTACTTGTCTTTCTCTTGACCACGATCACCAATCGAGATCCACAACCACCTATCAGCGCTTCTCTGTACCTTTTTTTTTCAAGTCAGTAACGAGTACTTGACCCCTCCAAACCCACATAGGTCCCTAGATTCATGCCCCTGCATATGGAGACCCATCGGGGCCGGGGTTTAAGCGCCCGGACGCAAGTCGCCCAATTAGGGATGATGATATGCTACAACTTGCTGGGATAGAAAGTACCAACAGGAGAGCCCCGCTAAAAGGGCTGGCAATCAGACTGAAAAATGCATGTGGTCTTAAAATACCAGGGCCCGATGAGGCCCCGGATTCTGGGCTTCTGTATCTCAAATCCCTACCTTGTAATCTGTTTTTCATTATTCTAGATTAGGATAAAGAAAGGCTTCGTTATTATCTTGAATCATGCGTTTGCTTAATACGACACCGACTGAAACGGGCAACTTCATCATTGAGGAATTCTTCGGTGAGCCTCCGCCGTATGCGATCCTCTCGCATACATGGCATGAGATGGAGGTGACATTCCAGGATATAACAACCGGCGTGATCAATAAGAAAGGGTTCAAGAAGGTCAAAGATTGCTGTACCTTTGCTAGAGCCCACGGATACGGACATGCTTGGATAGACACCTGCTGTATCGATAAGACAAGTAGTGCGGAGCTGTCTGAATCCCTCAATTCGATGTATCGCTGGTATCAGGAAGCTGAAGTTTGCTATGCATACCTTGCAGATGTACCGTTGAAGCCTCTGGCAGAGAGTAGATGGTTCACGCGGGGATGGACCCTTCAAGAATTAATCGCTCCATCAAGTGTTATCTTTCTTGATCAAGAGTGGAATGAGCTGGGGACTAAGGAGAGCCTGAGAGATATCTTATCGGAGATCACTAGTATCCCTACTAGTATCTTGGCCGGGGATGATGATGTGGAGGTGGCTAGCGTTGCTCAACGGATGTCATGGGCTGCGAGGAGGGAGACGACAAGGGTCGAAGATCGAGCATATTGTCTGATGGGGATATTCGGAATTAATATGCCACCAATATATGGAGAAGGCAAGAATGCTTTTATTAGACTCCAGGAAGAAATCATGAAGGTGCTAGATGACCATAGTATCTTTGCCTGGAGATCGGAATCCGAAGAGGAGAATCACGGCGGGTTGTTAGCAACATCTCCTGATGCCTTTAGGGAATGTGCAAATATTGTCCCTTTCAATCCGTTCACAACAGTTGATGGACCATTGACCGTAAGCAGTAAGGGAATATATTTGGAGCTCCGATACATAGGGATAGGTCATCCAGGGCTAGGGCTTGCTATTCTGCATTGCACAGAGAGAAATATGGGGGAGGAAAATCGACTAATTGCAATTTACTTGCGAGATTCGTTCCTAACAATGCAACATTTTCAAAGGATACACTGCGAAAGATTCGAACGCCTTAATCTAGGAGATCTTAGACCATCACAATATCCTTTGAGGAGATTGTGTGTTCAACAACGCCGTCCGGCAAGCCGGATAATGATCAAAAGGCAGAAGACCAAAGATACCAGACTCATGATAGGTGATCTTCATCTACAGCTATTAGCAAACCCGCTTCAAGCCTGTTGCGATACAGAGATTAACTGGAAAAACGCAAATGGGATAAATGAAAATGGACAGGCACTTCTCACTCATGCATCAGAAAAGGGCCATGTCGACATGCTATGGCTGCTGCTAACTCGAAGTGACGTCCGTGCTGATGGAAGGGATCTCAGCGGCCACACACCATTATCGCGAGCCGCACAATTCGGGCAAGAAGCTATTGTGAAGATGCTACTGGCTAGGAATGATGTTGAGCCCGGACTGGGAGATAAGGACGGACGAAGTCCCCTTTCGTACGCAGCAGCAAATGGCCATTATGGGGTTGCAAAACTATTACTCCAGTCTGGCAAAGTCTACGCTGATTCGAAGGATACGTTTGGTCGTACTCCTCTGTCGTGGGCTGCGCAGAATGGTCATGAACTGCTGGTCAAGCTGCTGCTCGAAAAGGGAGCTGAAGTGGATTCCAAGGATAGACAGCGTGGCCGAACTCCACTTTCATGGGCTGCTGACAAAAACGATCATGACCGGGTAGTCGCACTACTGCTTGAGAATGGGGCTTTTATTGAGTCTAGAGATGATTACCATAAAACGCCATTATCTTGGGCTGCACGACAAGGCCGTTATGCAGTAGCCAAGTTGTTGCTTGAAAAAGGAGCTAATATAGAGACTCAGGACGAGGGATCTTGGACTCCACTATTGTGGGCTGCACGCAATGGGCGAAAATCAATAGTCAGTCTTTTGCTAGAGAATGGAGCTTCTATAGAGGCCAAGGATGACCAAAATCAAACACCTTTGGTACATGCCGCCGTGCGTGGGCATGAGGAAACGGTGAGGCTGCTTCTTGAAAAGGGAGCTGATACAGAGTCCTTGGACATCTATCATGAGACGCCACTTTTCCAAGCCGTAGGGAAGGGTCATGAGACAATAGTGAGGCTTTTGTTAGAGATGGGGGCTAACATCGAGTCGCGAAATAATCAACAGCGGACACCACTATTCCTGGCCATAATGGAAGATCATGAAGCAATAGTGAAGCTACTGCTTGAAAAGGGAGCTGATATGATGTGTCAGGACAATTCTCGTCTGACGCCACTGTCCTTGGCTATGAGGAAGGATCATGATGAGATGGCGAATCTACTACAGGATATGGCGCGCAAAGATATCGATAATGGACCAAGAACATGAGAGCTTTTACTCCTTTTCATGTCTTGATATAAGAAAAAGATTGAATATATGTATATGTATATGTATATATATTATTTGGAAATTTGATTTTTCTGGCTCAGAACCCTTCAGAGTCTGAAAATATCTATATGTGACGTGATCTTGAAAGCCGCACTAAGCTCCGAAACAGACACTACTTGATTACTGGCAGCTCCGGAAAGTTCCTCAGTAGCTACAACAGAATCCTGACAATGTCGAGGTTTTGAATGGGTCTTCGAGACTTGAAGTCTAATAGCCCTCTTCTCGGTTAATTATATTTTGAGGAAAGGTTTGCTAAGGCAACTACGAAAGGCTGAGGTAGTGACTAAATTATATTCACATCCTAGGGCACCAGAGAAGCTACGCTGGACGCAGAGTATATGAAGCTTCTTAGCTGGCCAGGAACAGAAATTAGCCACGGGCCATATTTACTGTGATCACCATGCCAGCAAGCTGGGCACGGGACTCATCACGCGGCCCGGGGACATGACTTCAGAAATGGGACGGATGGAGGGCTTCTTACTGCAAATTTTTGACGTTTCACCGCAGTCACAAACTAGATCGCCCTCCTCGATAGTGTTCCTCGCGTAATACATTCTTATTGCAACATTAACTTGTACGTACGCGAAATAGCTGCATCTCAATGCCAGTGACACACCCATACAACGGCAGCACACAGCACGACCAAACTATTCGACCGGTGGTTGCAGTTTCTCATCAGGATGTACATTACAAAACGAAACCAAGGGTTCAAGGATTAAGGTCACCTGCTTATTTATATACATCAAAGGTGGTATTTCGTCTGACGTCCGATTATACTACTAGGGCATCTCCGCACTGTACTACAGAGTGCGTAATCTCATTGGTCGGTCGAAATTTATTGAAGAAATATATTAGAATGCGGCCTACCTAACCATCGAACGTAAACCACTAGGGTAGAAACCAACTGTAGTTGTTCAGCTGGAAGGCAATCTTTAAGAAATATAACCGCACGGCAAGATGTAAGATGATATCCGGAGCAAAATCAAAGACATGCATGAGACTATTTGCATCCCGTCCGGAGTCATACCGGCTTGGGATAAGGGGACGGCCATCAGTTGACCAATCCCGACCCTGTTTTCCAGCCCACATGATAGCCTTGATGGCCTTGATTGCATGGTCTCAATCGAAACCAAGCGAGTAGTGATTTACTGACGACTATTGGAGAAAGTCCCCGGCTTGATTTTGCTCGATGTCACCCTCTTTTGGTCAGCTTCCCTTCTCTTGTGGGCACAGGGATGAGGGTGAAGAATGTGACAGCTGCACATCGAGCATTTAAGAGGCCATTGCTCCCCGGCTAACAATAAAAGATGAATCACCGAGTCTGGATATGCTATTGTAGGTACACGACTTATTTTTGATTTAAGAGTTCGTCTCACATTGCAGTGTAAACTTCGTGATGCGGCTCCAAAGCAGGTATATTCTCAGCATCGTCTGGGCCGCCAGCGAAACAGTAGCCGTCACTCAGATTACTGATAGCCAAATGGCAAGCTTTCTTAATGACGGGGCTCTGGAACTTGCAGATCGCTATGCTCCCATGTGGTTCTTTGGCCAAGCTCTTAACCACCCCCCCTGTTACCCAACATGGGCTTTTGGAGGTTCTCCCTCTTCAAGCGATGTGTATGACAGCAACCACAAGACCCCTGCTGCAGCACAATGTGAGTATCCAGATGTTGGATGCGGATGTCGCAAGCCTGGAGTGGCCATTCATAATGCGGGACCAGAGTTTCCAATCTACTACACTTTCAAACGATGCAAGGAGACCGAAGTGCGCGTGGTGTATAATTTGTTTTATGAGAAGGATGGCGCCAAGGTGATTGGAGTTATCGACACTGGTCATGGCTAGTTAGTGCCACATCTCACTCTACTATCTTGGATATCTACTTACGTCTAAAGTGACTGGGAGAGAGTGATTGTTATCCACTCTCGAGATGCTAGCAATATGTGGGCACCATCACGAGCTCTGCTCTCCTCCCATAGCGGTTACCACAATTTAGCTTGGGGGAATATTCAGAATACTCTCACGACCGAGGAGATTCGAGCTGGAGCTGCCAATGACCCAAATGGGGTCCGCAACAATGATCATCCTAAGGTGTATGTCTCTTGGTCGAAACACGCCCACTTCGATACCCGCAATACAGGCTGGAATGACCCGGTCAGTCAGTCGACGGATAATGCGTTCCGCAGCAACGATTGGTGGCATTACGTCGACAAGAAATACTATGTAAGTGTTTTTAAAGTACTATTCATTATCTTAACCTGCCTGTTCTAATGCTGACAAGTACAGATCTTATCAGATAACTCCACAAACGCCGGTAAGGCTTTGGGCAGTGTTGATTGGGGCAGTGCCACTAGCAATCCCCCTTATGTGCAGGCAGATGTTTGCTCAGCTTAAAATCCTTGAATATGTGGTCGCTTGCGGTTTTACGGACACGCATCCGGTCATATCTAAGTAGAAATATACTATTGTATTAAGAAACCCAATCATATCGGAAGCGATTGAGATTAATCAGACGCAAAATTAACTAAATGACGTCGACGGAAATTGTCCCCACCATCGGACGGATTTATTTACTCAGTGCGGCGACTCCTCAACCACGTCTCCAAGAAGCGATCAAAAGCAGACTCACTGCTCGGAGACAGAGCAGACACTATCTTTCAGGTACGTCTCCGCCCTCGCCGCATATTCACGATTGAACTGCTACGACACTCGGATTAGCGCTCCTCCCCCGACTTTGTATCCTTTACCACTCAACCAACCTTTCAAGCCCGCTCTTTCAACATTCCACTAATCTAGCACTGACCTGCTATCTTAACAGAGAAATTACAGGCAGACCATACTGTGAAATCCGAAACAAGATGTCCTGGTTTCAGAAAACGTTCAGCCTCACGCCGCAGTCCCGCGGCTCATACCTAATCACCGACGAAGTTACAGACCAACTTCCCGAGATCAAGAACTACAAAGTCGGCATTCTTCACCTGTTCATCAAACACACAAGCTGCGCCCTCTCTTTGAACGAGAACTGGGATGACGATGTGCAGGAGGATATGAGTGATGCGCTAGAACGAATTGTGCCTTATGATCGTGATGGAAGTCTTTATCGCCATTCTGCGGAGGGAGAAGATGATATGCCGGTATTTACAACCTTTGCCTTTGGAAATTGGCTATGCCCAAATGAAGAAAAATGTCGTTCGAGAGACTTGTGCTAATTGTTCGATAGGCACATGTTAAATCCGCTTTGATTGGAGCTTCTGTTAGCATCCCTATTTCTAATGGGAGGCTGGCCACAGGTACGTGGCAGGGGATTTGGTATTTGGAGTTCAGGGCTCGTAAGCATTCGAGAAATGTTGTCGCTACTATTCAGGGTGAGAAGAAGGAGTGACTCGATGTGGATGCTGGGGGTAACTTATGATTATATGATGACATGTACATGTTGTTGGAGGTCTCGAAAGGGTGCAGTCGTGTAGGTGTTACAGAGCTCGATAAATAATCGGACTTATGTAGTCGGCGGGGGTCATTCCTTCCCAACCTCCATCGCGGAATCATTGTGATGGCGAGAGATGTGGTTCAACAAATCGTACCTATCCTCTTCACGGACCCTTTCCGAACACCAGAAGAATTTTTGAGTACTTGTCACAATTCCATCCCCCATGCCTAAAGATGGTTCAGGAGCCACGGTCATCAGGCATTATCAATTGATATGAAAACATTTTATTCTAACTTATTCATCGGTACAATCTGTACAACACCCGACCAAAGGCAAAAGGGAGGGCAAAGAAACAAACAATCATCAACGCCAAAACGATGCTCTACCGCTGTTCCAGACCACCCTCGGTAACACGCTGAGTCTCGTTCACCTCCGCGGCATCGCCAGTGGGTTTAAGAGGGTAGCTAGTAGCGGGGAGGGACTCAAGGTAAGCACGGTGCTGCTCGTGAGCCTAGAACAATATTAGTCCTTCAAACAAGCCTCTAAAACAAAGAATGATAGATGTGGTCTTACAAAAGGAAGTCCACAGTAACCGCAGGTAGCAATCTCGGGCTTGTCTGTGTTAATATAGATTCTGGGGTGACCCAGAGGACCGCCACCGCCGTCACAGCTGACAACCTTCTTCTTCGTCCAGCGGACAGGCTGCTTGTGGATGAGTTCAATGGCGGCATAGGGTTGGGGCTGGATTTGATAGACGTTAGTAAATGATCCGTCATGAATCGATATTGTCATGTTTCCATATTTCCGCATGCTGATCCCAATCACCAACAAAAGAACATTCAATTGCAATCTCTAAGATACCGACATACCTGCATCTCCATGATAGTCTGCTCGAAACGAGGTCCGGTCATAGCCTTCTCCCTTGGCTGCTGGCTGGCAGCCCAGGTCCTGGCGCGGTTGGGGGCCTGAAGTTGGCGGTTGCGCTCGCCGGCCTCAACGCTCTCCTTCAATGGCGCATCCCAGGAACCCATGGCGTCAACAGGGGTAGCATTGGTGGCAGACACATTGGGCTTGGGTGGATGCGGGGCGTTCGGGTCGTTGGCTTGGATGAAGTTCTCGGAGAGGCGAGGCACGGTGGTGGTGTAGCTGGCCCGGGCAGCAACGCGGGGAGTCCAGGCGGCAGAGAAAGCCGCGATGCGGCTTCGAGCCAACGGCAGCATATTGAGCAATCGAGTCCCTAGGACTTTGTGCAGAGGTCAAATGTAGATGACGGGTGAAGCGGAGGTGAGAAGTCGGCTTCAAAGGGAGAGGTTTGCGGGAGCTCTCGCGCCGCTTGAGCAGCCAATCGGCGTCTCTCCTGCGGCTGCTGACTCCAGTTCTGCCGCTTGCCAATTTCTTCCGCTTTTGGCTCATGTTTTTTTGACTCGCTCTCTTTTATAACTATACTTACACATATAGATTGGACACTACTTCAGACGTCTTCCGGTCATTTTTTACTATCACATTCCTATCATGGCCGGCTCACCTGCATCTGGCTCCAAGCCAGAGAAGACAATGTCTTCACGTCTTCTTACAATGAAAGTATGTCGCATGCGCCCGGTTACTTTACAGAAAGCCATCGTCATATGAAACCTAAGGAAATGTAAACTAACTGGTTCAAAGTTCATGCAACGATCTGCCGCTACGGCTGCCGCTAAAGAATCCTCTCAACAGCCTTCCGCTGGAGATTCAAATACCTCCACCCCAAAACGCCCCAGAGTCGCTCCCGGTGAACACTCTCAAAGCCCCGCTGGTACACCTTCAAATGATCTTGAGGCCATTTCGGCTGCTCTTGCGGAGGAGGAAGAGAAACGCCGTGAGGCAATCTTACGCCAGGCAGCGGAATCAGGTGAAACAGAATGGGTGCTTAATTTTAGTCAAGAAAATGCTGTGAACCAATATGCACCGCCGCCCTTCATCGTGGCTGATGATTCTCTCGACGCGGATAATGATGAGGACTTAGCTTATGGAGGAAGACAGGCCTATGGAAACTTCAAGCGGAAGAAGAATACTGTGGTTCGTTCGCACCCTGGATCTGCGGGACTAATCAACTTGCTGACCTTCATAGAAACGTGATGCGGGCGGTAATGAGCCTGATGCCAGTGAAGACGAGGCTGAAGACGGGGATGACGTCGACTCGATGATCAACAAAGCCAAGGCGGCTTCGAAACAGCATTCGAAGGTCAAGCTCTCGCAACTAACAAGCATTTCTGGTGGGCGTCAAGGCACCGTTGGAGGAAATAAGTCACAGAAGAAACGCAAACACAAATAAATTATTTGGCCTCAGAACTCTTGTCCCCTTCAGAGCATAAGCGACATTGCCGATGGGCCTCATGGCTCTACCCAAATCCAAAAAGCGTGCGACATCTTTATCAGCATGCGTACCGCCGACTTCCTTGGAGCAAAGCACGAGGAGAAATCAAGCCGTATATCTCTTGTACTCCCTTCTTCAGCTCTCGCCTGATCCTTGCTCCCAAAAGTGCACGAATCGAACCGCATCTCCCAGAACCCGGTATTATCTACCCCGACATCTGAAGCACCACTTTGTATATGAGGACCCTACTTCTGCGTCAGGCGTAGCCTCAAGCAAAATCCGACATTGAAAGCCAGCGACTTAGATGGAGAGGTCTTCGAATCACGAACCGAAGACTTTCTTACAGTTTGCTTTTTGGTTGCCGTTGCTGAAGGGCTTGTGTTTGTCGGTGGCTCTGCTGTCCTCGGATGAGAGACTTGGCATCCAATCTATATAGGCCTTGTCTAAAGATAGAGACGAGTGCTTACCACAGAGTCCTTAGGCCTCGAACTAAGTAAATGGAATCTAATATGATGTATGAATAGAATTGAGCAGACGAGGTCACTCGGTTGCAGCAGTCAGCCACCGGGATCTTGCATTTCACTGTTACTGACCTGCATTAGTTAATAATAAAACGCTATTTATTGGAAACTATTCTTCCTGTTGTGAGGGAAGGATACCTTGCCTATTCAATCCTGTTTCTGTTTTGATAATTTTGATAACGGGAGAGTGCTACCATTTTTCCCTAGGTCATTCCTTTTCGATCAGCTTGAATAATGAATTGATTCTTACTGTTAGTACTAAGTTCCTTGAATTTAAGTAGGGTTTTGAGATAATTGGAGGGTAAATATAACTAGAAAGGCTTTTTCTGCATGCTCTTGCACGTAAAATCGTCCGTTCAACTTGCTTGTTTCTCTTTCTTTCCCCTACCTTATTTTGGATTCACTTATAACGCATCCTACGTGGATATTTAGGGTGCGGTGTCTTAATATAACCCTTTGAACTTTGACGTTGTCTAGATTTTCCACATAACTCTGCTCTCATATCGGGATAACACGGCATGTTATACTTTTCTTGTCTTGTCCATTTTCTTTTCTTCCTCACCTGGCAGGTCCAAACTCTCAAGCAAGAGAAGAAATGGAATGTAACCTGTGTAAAGTTTTTATAACCACCAGATTCCCAATCGAGCTAAACCGTACGTCAAGCACCAACTAATCTACTAGCTAGGCATCATTTACCAGGTGGACGGACATTATTCCTATTACTGTCAAGTTGGAACGGTGCCAGAGATCTCATACACACAGGACCAATGAATAGTCACCTAGTGGCGGATTTGATATTGCGGTCATACCCTCCTTCCAAATGCTGCTACTATCACTGTGAACGTTACATTATATCATCCTCAGCTCACAATGAGACAACTCAGGTGGTGGTAAATTGAATTCTACGTAGTACTGTGTTCCTTGATACAATATTTGGTGAGTATCAACTCTTTAAACCGAGCAAGGGTGCTGATTTTAGTAGAAGGAAAGTTTCCGGTATTAGCCCTAGCATGATATAAACCCTATCGCCATCGAACGTTACTAGTATGCTTCCCAAGCATTGCGGACCTGATAACCAAATCCAGCTCTCCCATGCTCCCCCCAAAATCCATCAGTCCCTGACTTCTGGTAGACTTGACATGACTTGACATCTTGCCTATGGCCCGGTGATGGATGTTTTCTCTGTATCTACCCAAGTGGATATCCTCGTCTATGCTCTGCTCATCCAGGGCTGTGGAAACTTACATTATTGATAGAGTCATCTCTTCAAAAGACGCTGGTGAGAGGCTATATCGAGATACCGTCTTCCTACACTATAAAGGATAACAACTTCAACTATTTCCGTTTAACGATTCAAACATCCAGCCATGTATGGGCTCAACACCCAACACCATGGCCAGGGTGCAATCTGCCGCACATCATCGAACTGGGAGCAAAGGACACCTATGTTCCTGGTGCATCTGGTTTTAGTGAGTTCAATGGCATACATGACTTCCATTCTAGGAATCCGGCCACCAAGCCTATCATTCGAGAGCGGGTCAAGCATCGGGAACTAAACAAGGCCTCCCTCCCGCAGAAGAGAGATATGGGTACAGTCTTCCGAAGACTGCGTCGCGTACACATTCATTGTGTGCCTTATTAAGATGGATAAAAACAAGTCCATCTACATGACCGCTTTAGTAGGGTACGGTCTACCTGGAAGATTCATTTTCCACCCTACGAGGACAAAATTATGTTCAAGCAGCAGCTTAGCTGCTGTGGCATGCGTTTCCAGGGGTAGCTGACTTTCGATACGTTCTCCTTTTGTCGCCGCTTCAACCAGCTCTATCGGGTTCTTTGATTAGCTGTCCAGCGGGAGCACGGATTTCTACCATAGTTAATCTTACACGTCGCACACCCTAGGTCAGGCGAGGGGCAAACTAATAATCTCGGTAGGATTGCTTTGGTGCGTAACCTACATTTTCTCTGGCATTGGAGATACGTCCCACTGCTACTAGAGAGTCAGACGGGCAGGCACACCATTACAACAGCACAAGCAGGAAAGAAAAGCGACCTCAGAAAGCCGCCCCACTCTTGACCTACAAGGCACTAGCAGTAAGCAGAGTTTGGGCTATTGAGTCTGTGACTACGGAACCCTACCTTTTTCCGGGCAATAGCAAGAATCAGGGTTAAAAGCGGAAGAAATATCTTTTTAGCACACCACAGAACGGTGTGTACGGGGGATGCCAAAATGCCGGACGCCCCCACGATGGGGGATATAGAAGTGAAAGACGTCCCCCATAACCGGGAAGATCTTCCCTCTCTGCTTAAAAGTTTATCAGAAGCAAATGCAATACTACCAATGACGAAGAGTATGAGGACACATTGGAGAACTAACTAGGTTAGATTTTGATGCAACGATGGTTACTCGAATGGAAATATGGAATAGGATATGCAACAGAACTCGCCGTTGGATGTTGTGGCAGCCAGAAATCTTCATATGATTGCGGGGCGAAAAGGACTAATCAAACCCTTTTACCTCAATGAGTGGCTTCGATGTATATTCGATACCCATATATGTAGGCATTCTGCACATATGATAGCTAGGTCAGACACAACTATCATAATATATGTATTGGTTTTACGTTCTCCAGTGAGGCATTCTACTGGTGGGTTTTGTGGGTCTCACAACCACCCTTGATTTTCAGAACAGTTGTATCAACGTCTTCTGGGTACTTCTCTAGGTATTGCTCTACCAGCGCGAGTGTATTGTATTTAGGGAGCTCGTAAGATCCCCCGTATTCCAACGAGCACTGTGGGTCATAGGAATTAGTTGCCGTGGATAAAAGGGGCCATCGTACAATACTTCCATTGATATAGCCTCAAGGGCTTGTGCCAGAGACAATGGTATCGCTCACCATATCAAGCCTATTAGACCAAAGCCAACAGGGTCTACTTCCTTTACAAGAATCTCGGCAATCTTTGTCCAGTGGTGAAACTTTAAAATCGGTGCAATTTGGGGTGTTGGGTTTTGATACCATGTCGAAGGTCAAGTCCTCTTTTGGACCCAAAGAAACCGCCCCCATTTACTTAGTGAGAACTCCTCATATTGCTTAGTCGATATTTCAAAAGTCCCGGATGTTTCTATTCCGAGGGCTTATAAAAGATTTATAATCAGAGAGTAAGAAATAAGCGCATTTAGGAGAGTGAGGGGAAGCACCTTATAAATCATAAATCTCACCTCGCCTGCTCGCCACACGATATCTAATAACTACCGTTCTCTTAAATGAAGGCTTCAGAGGCATCCAACAAAAATTGACCCTTTGCGTGCAGGGTGAGCTGAAACTCGACTCTGTGCTCCCCATTGAGAGCACCACTGATCATCATGGCGACCATCACCGAACACTACGTCGTCTATGCGGACAACAAAAGGATTCACTACCTAGCGGCGGGCCCAGTTTATGGACCACTGGTTCTCTTCATTCATGGCTGGCCTGGAACAGCAATCACCTGGAAGGCGCAAATTGATGCCTTCGCGTCCGTGGGCTTCCGTGCGATTGCGCCTGATATGCCAGGATACGGGAAATCGACCGCCCGCCGTGTGGTCGATGACTACAGCCAAGAGGCCCTTGTGGATGGTATGATGGCTTTGCTAGCCGATACGGGCCGCAATGCAGCGATCTGGGTTGGTCATGACTGGGGCGCGGGCGTAACATCCTCCGTCGCGACACAGCACCCCGAGGCCATTAAAGCACTGGTGAATCTCTGTGTGCCATTCCACACCATCGAGCGCGGCTGGTCGGGCTTCCTCCCCCTTGTAAATCGCGATTACTACCCAGCAGACAAATATGAATTCGGCCAGTGGGACTATATGAAGAACTACGAGGAAAACTTCGAAAAGACCATCGAATGGTTTGATAAGGATGTTGCGGGCTTCTGCAAAGCCGGTTTGCAACCAAGCAAGCCTCCAGCTAGCCGTGTTGATCCGGTCATGGCCTCCGTGCGCAAGAATGGCGGATGGTTGGGTGGGATTCCGAAGCCACCGAGTGTGGACGTGACAGGGCCTCCGGCGCTCCCTGAGGATGTCTTCGACTCTTTTGTTCGAGATATGCAGAATACCGGGTTCTGGCCGGGTTCTGCATATTACCTCCATCATGCGCGCAATGCGGAATACAATGGGAAGCGTGAGGGGAAGCTGAGCCAGCCAGTCTTGTTTATCCATGCCGCGCGGGATTTGGTGTGTGAGACCAAAACATCGCGCCTCATAGAGCCAATGAGAGATTCGTGTAGGAATTTGACGGAGTGCACGATTGAAGCTGGACACTTTGTGCACTATGAAAAGCCAGAGGAGGTACAAGCTGCCATTTTCAGATTCATTGTTGAAGAGCTCCCGACGGAGTGGCCTGGTTTCTGGACTGCCGGGTACACTAAGAAGATATCGGTTGTGTAAGCTATGATACACTAGGGTCTCCTATGAGATTGAAAGCGGGATGCTTAATGGAAGAGTTCAGTAGCCTTCCATTGTGTGCCTATATCTTTTACTGGTCACTTGGTGAGCTCGACAGATCCAAGGCTTAACATACATGGACGGATGAGAGATGAGCTATATGTGTTAGAGTCGAGGATGCTGAAAATATATCTTAATTTCAGACTCACTCTATGAATAAACTCGGTAGTTGCCTTTCCACCATTAAAGCATTAGACTGCATGGATTCTGCAGCCCTAAGAACGCTGAGTTCAGTAGTATATACCCATTCACTATAGTCTCTATTGTAGTTCCTATTGATTAGTCAAAATTAATACAGTGTCAGGGCCATAGATCTACACCTATTTACACTCATAAATGTGCTCGGTGTACCACTTATGTACCTACCTCAATGCTCATTCATCTTCTTCCAGCATTCCCTATATTCGAATCTGCCTCGTTGATCATCTCAATATCCGCAGTCCCTACAGGCTCATTATGCCCTTGGGAATCCAATACTCAGGACTAATCTGGTGATACCCAAACATCCGACGTGGCATGTGAGGAACAATATCATTGGAAGGTGAAACACGGAAATTGGCGCCTTGTGCCGAGACATACTCAGTAAACTCCTTGTTACCTACACGAGGCGCTCCATAGTTATACTATATCAATGCCATTAACACCACACTATGAACCCACAAGCTGATCTCGTATGTCAAATCGGATAGAGATAATGGAAATGCTTCACTAACCAATTCAACCTTAAGCCCCGAATTCCGTAAAACAGCAGCCGCAATAGTGCCCATCGCACCACCGAAACTATGGCCCGTCACAGCAACCTTGAATCCAAATTATGCCTTCATGGTCTTCTGCACACCGTCCTTTGTAGCAGCAGCTATGGCCTTCCATGATTTAAAAAAGCCGGTGTGCACTTTGCACCCGTCACAGGTATCATCGACGTCGTCCTTCGCGAATCGGACGTTGGCAACCCAGGTTTCTATCGATCTGGTTCCCCGGAAGGAGAGAACATTCTGCTTGTTTGTTTTATCGACGGCAAGGACCCCGGCCACGTTGCCAAAAGATTCGGAGCTGTTGTGGTCCATACCTCAGCTCAGGTTTGTTTACGGACTCTGCGCCGCTCAGGCAAGTAAGGCGACGTACTCTTCGAACTCTGTCAGGGTCTTAGTATTCGAGGAATTGGTGTTATCTGAGCAGTATGCTGCAGCCGCGTATTGTGCGTATAGGGTGGGCTGTTGTAGGAACTGCGGCAAGACCTCTATTTCCATTATTAGGCTGTGTATATCTCCCTCTGATCTCAGTATTCCACTCACCTCGAGGTATCATCTGAACCGGAGAAGAAGAGGCAGCAATGCCCAGCCCTACACAGGCCTTGATAGTGCATCGCGCAGGTATTACAAAATAAACAATATATCCAACACCAGCCTATAAAGGAAAAGAAAGAAGGCGACATGGGGGAGAAGACGCCCCCTCGAAAGCCACAAAGCCCCTTTCATCGGGAGGCACTCAGACCTGCTGGTTCTCTTATTCACTTATCTCAAGCCTATCCACAGAACCTGTCAAACAATCTAATATATCTATCTAGACAGGGCCCAGGCGGCACCCACCGAACCAAACTACCGTAACCCCCACACCAAGGGTTCAGACTCCCCAGCGGTATTCCGGAGGGATACTACTTACATCTCCCATACGCAAAGAGACCTCGCAGCACACTCAGTCAATAAAACTCAAACAATATAAAAAACAACCAAGTCAATACAGCAGTAGAGGTCAGCAGCTGAGAGTACAGGACACTAAAGGCGAACGAAATAAGAACCCATGCTCAAAGCCATGAGTTAGGATTCCTTGCGCAAAAAAGCGCCCAATTTAGAAACTAACTCACCCATGTCACCACGTCAAGTGTATAATCCCCACCGCTATTCATGGGTTCTCTGGTGGAGTCTACTATCTGTACCCTAACGACTGGTGAACAGGGCGTCCAGGGTCCTAGCGACGGTGTCTTTTAGCTTGTTTTGTCTTTAGATGGTCCTTTCTTCAATGCTCCGTTCCAGAGAATGTATTTAGCGCTTATTACTAGGATATCTTTATTCTCTAGTGGTCTTGTAGTTGGCGTTAGGATGATTTCTGAATCGTTGAAGAACGGTTATACTGCCGATATTTCCCCCTTCGGAAAGATTCCGTTTCACTCTATTTTAACGAGACCTGGCGTGGATTTGGGGGAATAGGGTCTAGGTATTTCTTTTCCCTCGAGGTTGGATTCGGGGGGGGGGGTTTTCTTTCTCACTTTTGTGGGTAGATTATGGGGTTTTGGGGTTTTGGGCTTTTATCATGTGGTGTGGTGACAGTAGTCTCCTTGAGAGATTTGATTTAGTCTATGTTGGTGTTATTGCAGAATAGGAGGTAATGGATTAGACTAGATAAACTAGAATAGACTATCTATTACCATGATTCCTGCAGGGGGTTGTGGGTTTCAATTTTGTGTAATTCGTTATCTAATGCTCAGTGCATCTGATTTTATTTTACTTGGTGTTAGAGGAAAGGATGGATCATTATCGGAAAAATACAACAGAGAAAATTCCGCTCCTAGAAACGCCGGCCAATAATAAAGCTCATCATGTCTTTGAAGAAACCACAATCAACGGGGCGCAACAAAATTGTTGTTTATCAACGCACGTATGCACGCACCCGCACGCTGGGCTGGACCTTACTGTCCTCCGTTCTCGGTGGGATCTCCGGTATAGTCGGCCATGCCTTCGTCCTGCGTTTCATTGTCACCTGCAAGGACCTTAGTCCGGGGGATCTGACCATCAGGCAGTGGTGTGCCCGGGGTCGCAGCAACGACGTTGTCGTTCTCGTCCACGAATTCGAAGTTATACCGAGACAGCAGGTGAGGGATAGCCGACAGTTGCGGGCCATAACGAGCAGTGTTGTCGTACAGTTCGAACAGCGGCACGGCAAGAAGCTTCATGTTCTTCGGGACAGAGAGGACCTCTAAAAGAAGAGAGAATTAGACCTGTCTAGAGGTAAACGCATAGGGATAAAACTTGAGACTCACTCTTCTTAGGCAGCTGAATGAAGTACAGCTTCTTGCACTCCTTTGGTCGGGTGACATGACCAGGCAAGAAGGGGTACATGAAAGTCTCGAAATTCGGCCGCCACCATTGCGCAAGTGTGTCGCCGATCTCCCAGTCCTCGTTGACGCCTTCTCCTGAGAACTGCGATCCAACAGGCGCAAGACGCTCGTTTAGTCTCTTCTTGAAACCCTCTACCTCATCATCTTCGAAATGAAGGTAGTCGCCGGGACTAAGTGGGTGATCAGTTTTTGCTTCCTTGTGGTATGTGATATCCGCAGGTCACGGTAGTCGATGTAGCAAGGCAACAACACGTACAGCTTGAAAAAGGCATTGGCGATCTGCAGCATCAGCACGTGAGGGTGGTTATGTTCGTGGCAAACAAGAACACCTTCGCAAGTCCGTCTCATGCCATGTTGCTCGTAGTGCTCCTCTAGACGCTTTAGACGGGCCAGGACTGAGGGGTCCTCCTCCGGTTGCGTTTCCTTGGTACCGAATGTGTAGTTGGAAAGGGGGTATAAACGAATTGTTTGGGGCTGCTGAGCGGAGAAGTCTTTAGGAACCATCGGTCTGTAAGCAGTATAAATATCAGTAACGGCCGATGACAAAAGAAGCCTCAGCTAGGCCTGAGGGATGAAGCAGAAGACATACGGACGAGAGCTTTGCATTGACGGCGCTGTAGTAGTTGACATTCTGCCAACTATTTGATTTCAGTATTGGAAAACGCAATATGCTTGCAGGCTTATTTTCCAACGACCCAGGAGCTGAACAAATTTAGATACTATTGCGCTTTGTCGCAAGTTGGATGCGGCGGAGGTCACTCCGGAGCACTGACGGTAGCTTTGTTATGTTATGGTCTCGCCCCGCGAAAATATTCCACCGCCCCGAAGGAGGAGAAGGCACCTATTTACACCTCATGTTCAACGCAAACATGCAAATACTTAATTACATCTACGTCTAGTTTGCATCCTTCTATACGATAACAAGGTATCTGTACTTTCCTTGCATGATACATATTATTTGGATGGTGGCCGGGATGTTCATCAAGTAGGGAAAAAGAAAATATCAAATCCAAGACGGATTGTTTGCTCTCTAAACGGATCTATCTACTTCATGCCTCCGATAACCCCAAACCGCCACCCACCCCAACACCCATGCCTTCAATGCTGAATCTATGCGGAGTGATCATGTTTGAGAGAAAGAAAAAGAAATAACAACCAGATCTTGAAATCCGCTCTTACAGCTTGGCATCGAAGTCCTCATATTCGCTTAAGTCCGTCACTGGGCTAGGGCCAGCGCTAACAGCAAGACGTGCCTTGAACTCAGGGACATTAGTGATGTAGGTTGGGTGCTTCTTTCCGCCGTACGTCTCAACACCGTTTGTTACGGATCCTTCTTGGTCTGACTCAAGACCAAGCTGCTTCAGATGCAAGGCAATGTTTTGTTCGGCCTGCTCGAGAACCGGCTTCATTTGCTCCTCGGACAGATTCACCTCAGAACCAAGGAATACCTTAAGAGCGGTCAAGATCTGGTCTTCATTGCCAGCTGAGACATCAAGCTTTTCAACTGCGATCTTCAAGTGATCATTATCGAAAGCGAGCCCGGCAGACTCCAACTGTTTGGTAAGAAGCGATAATAACTTCTGCTTGTTTGGCTCTGTTGTATCCGTACCTCCTTGAGCTTTCAGATGGACAGAAAGTTTACCCCGCGTGGGTGATTCAGGGTTTATAAACTCTTCGTAAAATTGGACAAGGTCGGATTTGCTCAGAGACCGGACGTTGGCAGCGTCGGATTCGTTCTGCAGGAAGTCGAAATACTCAGAACCAACATGAGTCCAGAAACGAGTGGTCTCAGAACCCAGATTTTTGAGCTTCTCTAGACGCTTATTGATGACACTCCGTTTGTGGCCTTCGAATTCTTCATCGGACATCTCCTCTAGGGACTTGCCAAAGCTGCTCAGAAATGCGTTGATTCTGGACTCCAAGTACTGAGAAGTGCGCTCGCTCTGGATAATGACTCGGTACCCGATCGTCGTGGCAGAATAACGTGCACCGCTCCAAACCACGTACCCAAGCTGCTCTTTGCTTCGAAGTTGGTCGAATGCAGGCTCGTCCGTCATTTGAGCAAATACCAACAGTTTCGCCCGGAGAGCGTCGTCCGTGATGTTCCCAACAAACAGGTAATATTCTATGCAGTGATTGACATTCGCCGGATCCTTGAGTGTCCGCTCGTAGATATAGTCGGACCCAGGAGGGATGATCACGTTACGCCTCACATGCCACTGAGACTGGGGCAGAGGGCGGCTCTTAAGAATGGTCTCCACAGAATCTGTCATTCGAAGAGCATCCTCTTTATACACGTTACCATGTGCTAACACCTCGATATGGTTCTGGCGGAGCAGTTGGGGGAAGAAGCAGGAGATATCCTCGGGCTCAATATGCTCCAGCTCGGCAGCATATTGCTCGTTGAGCCATGCTTTCTCGGCAGTCAGATACCGGGTGTAGTCGCCAACCTGATAGAATGGCTGCTGATACTCTGCGTTCTTATATCCTCGCGACAAACGTTCCTTGATGACATGGAACCGGTCCGGATTGACGACCAGATCCCGCATGCTAGTGAGCAACTTGTCTAGAAGCACTGCCATTTTGTCGTTGTATCCTCCCACCGACACATCAAGCCCAAAGATACTCGCAGAGAGGTGATAATCCAATCCTGCAAGTTCTGCATCGTAGGAGTATTCCACCAACGCATCTCTGACGAGCTCGCAATAGAACTTCGACTTCACAAGGTTTGCAGGAGTGGCCCACACCAGTGGATTCCGGAGAGTGACATGGAGAGTGGCCTTAGGCACCCAAAACCGGTCATCCTTCTTGAACCAGAGTCGGACATGATCGTCATGGCGAATGAGCTTCGGGGTCTTTGCTGGCTCCGACACTTCCTTTTTCTCCACAGAGAGTCGAGTGGGGACGAATTCGTTCTTATGAGGCATATGTAGATCAGAGAGTCTGGTTTCAGGGGTACTGCCCAAGGCTCTTTGAATCTCAGCCAAGAAGTCTTTAGGAACATCCTCAACCTTATATTCCGTGCCGTACCACTTCTCCTTGAGGTTCCAATCTCCCGGATAGTCTTGAGCAACGACAATCATTCTGAAATTATCAGCCCGCAAGTATGACAGTGCCTTCTTGATTAACTCCGGGTTGTAGCTTCTCAAGAGCGAGCCGCTGAGCAACCATTCTCGGGGTAGTGGCTTCTGCATAACGCTACTCAAGCGACTGGTAAATCTACTAGCAGGCGTCTTCTGTTTGAACCGAAACTCGACTTCGGCGAGGTTCTTCATTTCCTCAAAGATCCACTGCTCAGGCTCCCGTTCCTTAATCAAGGCGATATACTCAAACACCGCCTTCGCGACTTCACGATACTGCCGTAAACCTTCCTTTGTCAACCGAATCGAGACGGTAAAGAAGGCAGACCCGGGGCAAATGGGCATGACACCAGCAGATAGGCCGTTTGCCCAGCCCTTTGCCTTCACATAAGCCAGGATACTGCCGGGTCCCTCGTGGCCAATCAGGTGACTGATATATCGGCTTGGTTGGGACTCATACATAAACTCCTCATCTAGAAAGGGGAAGTAGATGTCGAGAGAACGAGTGTCCATCACAGGCTTGGCAAAGACCTGTTTACACATATCGCCGGCTAACCAAGGCTGAACGTCGTCCCAACGGTTTTGTGGCAGATCTTTATTCTTTACACCAGCAAAGAGATCCCCAACCCATTGTTCCATTTCATCCAATGATTCACGCCCCAAAACTACCAACTTCATCCGATTGGATGAGTAATGCTTCTCATAAAACTTGATGAATTCATCGCGAACATTCAGCCCGCGGTTTTGTGGATCCTCCTTTAACGTCTGCAGGTTTCCGGTAGAGAAATGGTGGTAGGGATGTGCAGGATTGGAGAGCGACTTGTTCAGCTGCATCAAGCGCCACAAGTCGCTCTGGAGGTTCTTCTTGTTCTCAGAATCCACCGCCCTCAACTCGCGGTCCAACGTCGACTCTAGGAAAAGCGGCGACACGAAAAACTGCGCGAAGCGATCAAGCGCGCCATATAGAGGAGACGATTCACTACTAAGCTGCGATTCAGAGCCATCCGTCTGCTCACTAGTGGCTTTCCCGCTCGTCGGGGTGGATTTGCCACTCGACGACCCGTCACTCGACTCCGAGGTAGCAGAAACTTCAAAGAAATAGTTTGTCTCTGTGGCAGCAGTGTAAGCGTTGGACGAGCCAGAATGGGATGCTAAATATTGGTTGTATGCGTTTTCCTTCGGATACTATGTTTATGACACAAGTTAGTAACTGGGCGGGCGAATACGCCTAGCATGATCTAACCTACCTTTTCTGTTCCCATGAAGAGCAAATGTTCAACAGCATGAGCCATTCCTGGCATATCATCTGCGTCTGAGAAATTCCCTACATTGACATTGACGGCCGCGCTGGCCTTATCTGTATCAGGGTCATGCACAAGAAGGGCCTCCAACTTATTTGGAAGGCGAATAACGCGATACGACCGATCATCCAGCTCCGGCTTCTCTAAATGCTCCGTGGTTCGTTCTATCGAGGCCATGGTTGTGGTTCGGGTAGAGAATGGGGCACGAAACGACACAGAATGAGAGTTGTCGTCGGTGCGCACGCGAGACCACCAACAAGAGCGCTGTAAGAAGTACCGTGGGGAAATCGGTGGAGGGGCGATCGACGCAAGGGCACCGGAATTTGCAATGGAGCGATAAGCTGGAGAAAAAAGTGAGGGTCTCCTGGCGTTGCACAAGCGGAGAGCTGCAGAGGACGAGGACCTTGGAGACATGCAGAGAACGGGATTATCGTCAGAAGCCGCTCGAGCTGCCGGCGAACCGAACTTATGAATGTGGCCACCGGGTCAATGCGGCCCACGTCGGTTAGGAAAAGATGTATTTTCACGTAAAGAAACCACACAAGGAAACTTGAATTATGTGCAGGGAATATCAAATACAAAGAAGAGATTGGGAGAAAAAATGGAAACAATCACGACACATTAAATGATAATCATTGGATGATGATTAATGGCAAGGCGGTGAGGAAATGAAGATTACTCTCAGATTTCCAGGCGGTGAGTACTATTCTTCCCCACAATCGTGCATTTATCTCCAGACTATATATACTAAGGGTTAGTCGGAGTATCTTTGGAGTGAACGCTTCTTCTTGAATACTAGGTATACTTGCACCGTGATCCATTGGGTATTGTCAAGGGGATTCTCAAAGAATAACATACAGACTCACTAAACACCTAACAATAACAGGCTCTCTCTTAGAAGGTTAGAACGTGCATGAATCTGCAGGTAGCCAGGCGGTGTATTTTCTACCGTTCATGCTCTTGTTTAGGCTGATATGACTTATTTACACCTGTTAGGCAAAACATTCGCTTTTCCACAATAGGAATTATAGCTAGGTAAGATTGCCCCTTACCTACCGGTTTCTATAGCTGAATAGAAGGAGTATCCTGTATCTCCATGCCGAGCAGTCACGTCAAACTTTTTTCTTTTAGAAAAAATAACGAATGATGACTCCTTTACGTAGGAAAGGGAAAGCTCAAACCCTTGAACCTGTCCTTTGAATGTACCCGAAAGGGCGTAGTACTGATTTATATTGAATATATTCCCCACATTCGGAAGCTTCGTCCGCTCGGAAACCTCATCCGATGAGGCATATGGACTACAGACTTCCACATCCAAAAGATACATTAACTTCTCTTCAGCCCAGTTGGAAACAATAATATACGTAATAGAAATGGACGTATTCAGCTCGCTGCAGGCGCACAGCCGTCAAATCCATTGCATTGATATGCACACCACCGGCGAGCCAACCCGAATCATCTACTCGGGATTCCCCAACCTCGAAGGCTCACTTCTTTCTAAGCGTGACCAAGCCAAGAATCTCTACGACGATATTCGCAAGCGTTTGATGCTCGAACCCCGTGGTCACGATGGGATGTATGGTGCCATCATTATCTCCGAGACGGAGTTAGTATTGGCTGGGGAAGCTGATATTGGGGTCCTGTTCACCCATAATGAGGGGTACTCCACTATGTGCGGACATGCCACCATTGCGCTGGGCCGATTCCTGGTTGACACCCACGATTTGAATGTCTTTCCGAAAAGGGAGACCTTGCAGTTTGATGCAGACAGCCAAAGTGTTAAAATTAACCTTCACACCCCGTGTGGGTTGATAAGGGTTACCGTGCCTACTACCCCAGAAGGGAAGAAGTCCGATCCTTCGCGGTTGGTGTCGTTTCTATCCGTGCCTTCATTCGCACCAGCTGTCCAGCTTAGAATCCCCATTTCACCGGAGATTCGCTGGCCCGAGCTCGGGACAAAGGACTCTATCGTGATAGATCTCAGTTACGGAGGCGCATATTACGCTCTCGTCGATATTGAAGAGCTCGGCTTCAAAGGCTTGAAGGACGTGGACCTAGATGCCACTACGCGGTGTGTGCAGAAGTTGTTGCCCTATCTCCGAACCAACCCGGAAATTATTTCCGCCATCCAACACCCAGAGGACCCACGTCTCTCGTTTCTCTACTCTGTGATGATTGTGGACCCGAAAGCGGGCGTCAAGCCTGAAGGTGTTGAGGGCATAGAGACCGGGCTTTGCTACTTTGCTGGGACCCAAATCGACCGCTCGCCCACAGGATCCTGTGTCGCAGCGCGTGTGGCCTTGGCGTACGAGAAGGGCTTAAGAAAACCTGGGCAGAAGTGGGCGTATAACTCTCTGGTGTCTAATAATTTTGGGACTGGGGCGTTTACCGCTGAGATCGTTGATGAGTCTTCCATCACTGATGCCCAGGGTAAGCGTATTCGCTCTGTGGTTGTGAAGGTTGGAGGACAGGCATTCTACACTGGAGCGATGACGTTCGCTGTGGAAGACGGAGATGCGGTATCAAGTAGTGGGTTTACGATGTCTAGTGTAGTCTCATGATTTGACTCAGTGTACTCATATCAGTCACCTTGGCTTCGGACGTTAAGATCGAGTCCCTGTGTATCTGTGCATCTGAGATAACATGATCTAGTAATAGGTGAGGGTATAGAAATAAAGAAAAATTTTGAAATCCCAGGTCTATCTCCATCTGTCATATTGATGGTCTTCACTTGGAAGCTAGATTACATGTTAAGATTATATGCCGACCCCTATAGTGTTAGGCAGACACACATGTGTCGTCTCCTCAGTGTCTTAATTTATATTAGAGCGAAAGTACGGCAAGCTTTGCTTCTCGCATTGCATATTAGCTATTCACTCGAGTATAAGAAGAATGACGATTTTAGTGTTAGAATAAAACTGAAATTTAAACCACGTATAGCCACTTTCATTATACAATATAATTGAATGCGATCTTTAATCTCTTAGTATACAACAAAAACCGGGGAGCTCTCCTTGATAGTGTTTGTTGGATGTGCTAACGGGTTCTCAGGCTCCACTTGTGGCTGGGGCAATTTAATTTTATGTCGTGCCACTTGTACTTGTCGCGACAGAACATCTGGTCTGACAGCCTCCTCCTTCTTCCCCCGTACAACCCAACCTACCCTACGCCATAACGCCATATCGCATGCATGGTTTTAAATACGTTCGGAATTACTCTGTATAGACAACCAATTCCAGGGGGCAGCAAATACCACGGAAGGCCGACCCGCCGCGTTATCCACTCATACTGCCTGCCCATTACACGCATTCCACCTCCGCTCTCCTGCCGATCAAATTCCTGGCAGCGCAATGATGACCGCTGCTCCATCGACCTGAAATAAACTCAATTCACCCTGTAAATACACGCAAGCCGTCCGAAACCCCAAACGAACCACCTCAAACCGCCATCCCTTCGTCAAACACCATGCTCTTTTGCGGTGGAGTCCAAGGTCCGCGCCGTCGCAGTCGCGAAAAGGCCATCTTTATGACAATTTTTATCATATACGCTCTATACTTCCTATTCTGGGCAAAGAAGTCGAGTCACCCCAAATTCACGTCCTCTGCTCAAAATTCGGCGTTCAATGAGGGCTTACAGCTAAATCCACATCCGTCGCAGGCGACCCCGTCGCCGATGCCGAAGTCGCAGACTCTCGAGAAGGACCTGGTTGTCGCTAGTATGAAGGAGGATGACGTTTCATGGCTATACGAGCACTTCCCCGGCTGGCACAAGAGTATCTATGTGGTGGACAACAAACAGGCGGAGTTGACGGTGAAACTGAACAAGGGCAGGGAGTCGATGGTTTACTTGACGTACGATAGGCATTCGCACGTATCACTTGGAGCTTACGAAGATTGACTGACTTTTGTCTCAGTTATATTATTGATAACTACGATAACCTCCCAGATGCAATGCTCTTCATCCACTCGCAAAGATTTCAGTGGCACAATGACGACCCCTACTATGACGGTGTTCCCATGCTCCGCAATTTCCAGCTCCCTTACCTCCGGAAACAAGGATACGTCAATCTACGCTGCGCCTGGGTTCTCGGATGCCCGGTAGAGATCCATCCGCTTACTGATACCCATCGTGACGATGTGCATGCGGGCGAATATTTCAAGACAGGGTTCATGGAACTCTTCCCCGGTGTCGAGGTGCCCGAGGAAGTCGGGGTTTCATGCTGTGCGCAGTTCGGTGTCACGCGGTCGAAGGTCCTTGAGCGGCCAAAGAGCGATTACGAACGGTTCAGGAAGTGGCTGAGTGAGACGCCCCTGCAGGATGACCTTAGTGGACGGATCATGGAGTATTCATGGCACATGATCTTTGGAAAGGGTCCCGTTTATTGCCCCACTGCCGAAGAGTGCTACTGCAAAGTATTCGGGCTGTGCAACCTATCATGTCCGGACAAGGGAGAGTGCGCTGGACGCTACGTACTCCCTCCGTATTCTTCTCTCCCAGAGGGATGGCCGTACAAGGGTTGGAAGGGCCAGGACCAGGATCCGAGCAAGGGATTGCCTGAAGCTTGATTATAGGCAAGTTGATGCAACCACGCCCAATACGACAGACGCACCTCCAGCCATGAAGCCATGACATGTGCAGGTCCTACTGTGCCAGAGTCAAAGACCGTGCCTGTGCCTGCCTCAGCATGCAATGGGTTGCGGTCATGGTCAATGCCGCTTAGTAGGTGTTTTACAAAGCCTCCATTGGCCTCAGCGGCGATAGTCGATCGTTGTTGGAGGCTTTATTGCCGGTCTGCAGCTCTTGAAGGCATACGGATGTTTGCTATTGGTCGGATATGCCGTACGACTCGAGGGCAAGTTGTACTTGCACACAAAGACGTAACCCGGAACGGTCAGACGGCATTTTCTGTCATGTAACATCCATGTTACCGGCCTTCTACAGCTACTAGGGCCTAGAGCTCTCCTTCAGACGAAATTGCGACGGATTGGACACTAATGGCTTCATCTATCGCCAAATTTTGGCTAGAAAGTTGAAAGCACCTACACTTGCTATCTCTCTTTATTTATGAGTTATGCCCAAAAGCATAGACATCTAGCATTTGCATGTATAATATTGGTTTAATCATCGCAAGCGACGTTGAGCTCTTGGAGTATTCTGGAATATCTTTTGGCTATTATAATAGGACATCTGAAAACCGATAATCATGTCGATTTACGAGGGCCTCTAGCAATTCCAATGTTTCCGTAGAATACTCACAGATACAATATACTAAGCTTACGAAGGTATGGATTTGCATGATTTTGTTCAGGTGTCAAAAGGGCGAGAAGAGCCGAGGTTAGTACTTTCTTTTTTTTTCTCCCCACGTCTCCAATTTAACACATCTGTACAACTCCTCCATCTTCCAACAGCACCCTCTTATACCTCTACTATACAACAAGTCGCTGTCTCCTCGCCAAAACTAAGGCATTGCCGATTCACTACCTTCTAACCACCGGTCATATAGATTTAACTCCCAGCAATACCAACTTCCGCATCTCCGCACTCCCGCAACTCAATTCCAACGCCCCTCACCAAACCCAAGCCATCACAAAAGACCACCAAAAAGCCTAGACCAAAATGCTCATAATCGGCCTAACAGGCTCGATCGCAACGGGCAAATCAACCGTCTCCACTTTCCTCTCCTCACCCCCCTACTCCATCCCCATCGTCGACACCGACCTCCTCGCCCGCCAAGTCGTCGAACCAGGAACACCTGGCTACAAAGCAATCGTCAACTACTTCGGCCCCAGCACTCCGGATCTCCTCCTCCCACCCTCCCCCGATGATCCCACCGGTTCTCGCCGACCCTTGAACCGACCGGCCCTTGGCCGCCGCGTCTTCGGCACAACCGAGGAGCGCAAACGCGACCGCATGATTCTGAACAAGATCGTCCACCCCGCCGTCCGATGGGAAGTCTACAAATCCCTCCTCTACTACTATATCCGCGGACACTGGGCCGTTGTCCTTGATGTTCCGCTCTTATTTGAAAGCGGCATGGATATCATCTGCGGGACGGTCATTGTGGTCGGGGTGCAGGATCCGGAGGTGCAGATGGCGAGGCTGCGCGCGCGAGACCCGCATCTGTCGGCGGAGGATGCGGAGAATCGGGTGCGGAGCCAGGGGGATGTGAAGGGGAAGGTGGAGAAGGCTGAGTTCCGGGGCACGGGGTCCGCGCGGGGCGTGATTGTTTGGAATGATGGGGATAAGAAGGATTTGGAGAGGGAGGTGCAGAAGGCTGTACAGACTATATCAGCGACGAGTCCGAGGTGGTGGGCTTGGGCGTTGCTATTGGCGCCGCCGTTGGGGCTTGGTGCTGCTGCGTGGAATATGGCGGTTAACTTTATGACGCAGAAGAGTTGGGAGAAGAAGGAGAAGGAGGATAAGGCTAAGTTGTAGATTGTTTTCTCTTCCTGTTCCTCCCTTTCTTTTCTTATTGATGTTTAGCGTTGGTTGGTTGACTTTATGAGAATTGATATCGTGCATGGTATAGTTAATATCAGATGGAGTACGGCCGTTTTAGGTCTTATTATTAGTACATTTTTATACCCTTGTATCTACTTTCTTAAGCGATTCTCTGAACTGAGTTACCGTGATGTATATCAGGGTTAAGAAAGGCATCAATACAATCTCGCCTACAAAATGTACGCGAGAGTGCTCACATAACTTGTCTGTGAGATCTCTTTAACATCCGTAAAGTCCTGATATACAACACTTGCACAAGCTACGCACGCCCCCAGACGTGAGTACATACTATGCCATGGAGAATAAACCCTGGACTACAAGCCACCCATGCTACCTACCATATAAATTAGATATACCCCCAATCCATGAACCCATTAGTCACCAATGCTACAAACACACTTCAAGGCTGAGAAACAGTTCGTATTTGATCTACCGGTACCAAGATATCCTTCATCCTCGAAACCACGGTTAAGAAAAATAGTGCAACATACGCAGTAAATTCACTTAGTAAATCCCTTAGATACAGACTCCATCGTTACTAAATAGATTCCCAATTAAGTAATACCCCCCCCCCCCCAAGAAAAAAACCTCAAATTCTCAGCATAACCAGATCGTTACCACAGTTCATTCAGTAATCACTACATCACCCATCAGCTTACCGAACAACAAGAAAAAAAGAAAAGACCACAAATACCTAACACCCCTTCGCGCAAAGCTCCAAAACCTCATCCGACCCACTCTGGCAAACCTTCACCTGGCTCCCCCCAGGCGAAACACCCTTCGGCCAACAGATCGACGAACAGCCCTTATCCGTCGGCTTGACCACGACCGCACTACCGGAGAAGGGGTCTCCGAAGACACTGGACAGGTCGTACCAGACGCCGGCGTTGTCGAGCGTGTAGGCGTAGTTGAGCTGGGGGCTGCCGTTGTAGAGGCCGTTGTCGACGGTGGTGATCTTCAGGGAGATGCCGCCGGAGGCGGCGTCGTGGTGGAAGGGTTCGCTGTAAGTCTTGCCTGGTTCGATGGTTTGCTTGGGGCCGACGGAGCCGCCGACGGACCAGAGGTAGACGGGGTGGTTGCAGGAGTTTTTGACGGCTGCGTTGCCGACGGCGGCTGCGAGGGGAGTGAGGGCTAGGAGGGAGAGGGATTTAAAGTGCATTTTGGTTGGGTTGGGGGGATTTGTTTGGTTTGGTTTGAGGTTGGATTGAATTGGATTGGATTGAGGATGGGATTGTGGTTTGGATGAGGTTTTGGGGGTGAGAGATTGGGCTTTTTATAGGTTTTTCCCTGGTCTCTTATGTTTTTTCTCTCTCTCTCTTGCTTGAGAGTGAGAGGGGGAAAGTGAGAGAGCTATGATTCTCAGGCCTTGTTTTCTGACCGCTCATCCCAAGGGTCTTTCCTACTTGCTCTGGGCATATTGGACAGTGTGGTCTGATGGAGATGGGCTAGGATTTCTTGCCTGATGTCAGTACGCGAGTCGGAAGTATGGAAACTGAGACATTGCATTAGGAGTAGATACCTTGGCCAAGTACCATGGTGGAGATCACTAACAGAGTCAACTGAGACAGTTACATCTGGGGCATCATCGCTAGCAGCATCCGCTGGGGACAAAGGGACAGAGGGAGCGAGGTACCCAATGGGGATGCGTTAGTCGCTTAGACTAAGTTCGGGATGGCTTTGCCTGGTTGGCGAGGTCTCAGGATCATTGCAGTAGTTTGCCTCGCGTGGAAGTGGTGATGATATCTCTTGTTCCTCGGATCTCGTATTTCAGCAGGCTATTGATAGTATACTAAAAGGTCACCTGTTTTGTTGTCATCTGACTGGGTGGCCCTATCCATTGAAATCCTCACGGAGGATTATGAGCGAGACCCTCAGTGGGGAATTCTTTCCGGAAAGTTAAAGCACAGATGGGGATCATTTATGCAACCCCCGCAAGTCCCTTGAGGAATGGGATGCGATGCAACGCCACCAATCACATTTATTGTGGAGCAGACGGAAAAAACGGATTCCAGTCAGGGAGGGTGTTGGATTCAAGCCCTACTCTGGAGCAGACGTCACTCGCATGTACCAGATTTTATATAGCATACTCTCGAGCAATTAGGGTTCCTATATTCATTACATCAACCAAAGAGCATTTTCCTACGTATTACTATTAAGATAGTATGAACTACAAGACAAACCTACAACGGCCTAATATATAATATACATTCAATATGTACAAGGGAGGATCCGAGTAGAAAAGGTGGAGTTCAGCCAGTAGCTAAGGGTAAGCTTTCCTAATGGCGCCACCATACGCTTGTCGCCTCTTCTCTCCTTTTCCCTCTTCTGCTGGAGCTTTTTACTTGACTTTCTCGTAGTTGTCGGCGGTATTTCGGCCAGATGCGGTAGAAGTTCTTCTCCAGCCATGGTTGGAGATGTTCTCTTCGTCGCTTACCCGTTCTTTCGGATATATGACTCTCCGTGGCACGAATGTCTTTCCGATGGTCGGGACACGGATCACGTTCAACCACCCACCGAGCAGAGAACATGTCAACAAGACTTTCAAAGTCTCTAGAAACTCCCTTACCACAGACGCGGATTGTCAGCTTATTCACGGGGGAGGGTCTCCGCTGTTTGGCTGAGGCGATGGCGTGAATTATGGAAAGAGCTAGGCGCTGGTTGATGCAAGAGTTAATCATTAATCTGCGGATATGGCCATTGCGTACTGGGTGCATCGGAAGGTCAGAGTAAGATCTTCTAGTAATGGGCTCTGTTGGCCGATTTTGAGCACTTCTTAGTCACGCACTGCCGGTCCTGACTTGAGAGGACTAGCTTGCGCAGGTTCTTGCCGTGGTGTTGAACGAGTGCCATGCCCTCAGCTCAAGTTGCGATAGCGGTGGAAGGCTACGAAGGACGCGTCCTACGGTCTGATAATAGTGCTCTTCCTGCTTGATCTATGGTCCTGAGTGAGATTCAGGAGCGAGAATTTGAGACTTGGAAACCGGAGATCCCTAGCCCATATTCTCTCTTCCCTAACAGAAAGCCATCTCCAGGCAGGGATGGGATGTTCACCAGCTTGAAACTAGATGGGCTTCTAAAACATTACGCGAGCGATAACCCCGACTCTGACTTCATGTACAACGTGCACTGGAGGCGATATTTCCGCAGGGCTTCAAAAACCAATGCAGGCAGCCTGTTCCAATAGCTGGAGTCCTCGTAACAAAACTCCCCCAAACTCGTTAATTGTGAAAGTAAACGCAGTAACGGGCTCCGTGTTTGAGCACCTCTGTGGCTATGTCCATTTCCATTGCGGACAACCAAACGATGGGCATGAGAGAAACCGTCCGTAGCGGTCAGCGTCTTGATGAGCTTTGACGCCTCCGATTGTGCTTCCCAATCTAGCAAGCGAGCTAGCCAGCCATCATTGTGTACGAGGACCTTTTACAGTTTTGAGTTGAATCGACTTGACCGCGGGAATGCAGAAGTCCGTCAGGAACCTGTTGGTGCTGGCCAGGTTTAGGAGGCTCCTGCGATCCCCCTGGGTAGTGAACTGGCGTACGATTAATTTAAAATCCTCCGGTGGGAGCTCGCCGAGCGCGTTCTATGGAACAGTGATGCCAATATAGGATTCCACTGAATTATCACGTATCAGGATGCCTCTAGTGTCTGAGCATTTTTGGTGGTCTAGTCGTACATTTTGGTTTGATAGGTGGTAAACCTCGTATTCCGGATTCTTAAGTTTTGCAGGCTTTGTGTACCCATGAAGGGAGGCTGCTGTCTCTTGATAAAGTTCGAAAGAATCCTAGGGCCACGACAAAACCAAAGGTCTCACATGTAAGGTTGGACCTTTTGTGAAGCGTGGCAATGGTAGAAACCTGCGGAAAAATTGTAGGGGGAAGTAATGAGTCAATAGCTGAGCAGGAAGCTGTGTATAAATCAGGCGCTATCAAGCGACTTGCCAACTAGTGGCGTTACATTGATATTTTCTTCTTCACTGCTCTTTAGCATGATTTAGGAAACAGCCTCGAATTCTTAGTAAATTATGGCAGTACCGGTTCATTGCAACACTATTAGCTCATCTTCTCACTTTTAATATTCGCTATAGTATGAAAACCTAGATCCAATTTCAATGCTTGATGTTGAACCCGAAGGAACCTTAACATATAGACTAATATTGTATTACACGGAAGAAAGTCTTGAAAATAGCCCTTCGTACCCGCATATATCTAGACGGGTCATCCGGACTTCAATCTATGCAGTTCGTTCCATCTCTACTCAAGTACCTCGCGTAACTATCATTGGTCTTTCAGGCAAAATAAGACAACCAGAGGTAAAAGAAAAGAAAAATATTACGGAACACTTGAGACTGTCAACCAAAATATTCCCCACAGAAATGCGGCTGTCATTCAGGTTGGCTTGGAGAAAGCTTCCGCAGGCTTCGTTGGCGACCGACTGGGTCGTTTTTCTTCTTCTGTCTCCTCACTGTCGTGCTGGTCGGCTCGATCCTCAATCCACTGGAACACCTCATCTTTGTGAAGCATCAGCATCTCACTGAGTCCTGACTTGCTTGACTGGATCAAGTGTCCGTAGCGCTTGGACGGTTTGCGTCGGTTTTCAGTGTTCCAAACGCCATGGGTGTGCGAAACAAACACAAGAGAATTCTGCGTCCATATTAATACCGCTTTGGAGAAATGAATCGGGCCGAGCAGGGTAGACGGGGGCGCATACATCTTTGTACCATCTGGACAACCAAACCTGAGTATGAGAGGCTATCGCTCGAACTGGATTCTCGGCAACAAACGATACAACGCCGTTCACTCGTTTATACAACGTATCTGTTCGCATATCAGCGATAAAGTCTACGTAAAGCGGGAAGCATTTACCTCTGTTGATCAAGAGATTGGCAACTCCGTAATAAGCATTGCCTATTCCAAGAAAGAAGATCTCTGTGGCTTCGTTGGGCCTAAACCGATTATTAGTTGCTAGGGTTCTATTCTATTAGCATCTCATTCTTACTCAATGTAGTTGTCCCAGAGGTATCCAGCCAGTTCTTCTGTGGCAGTGGGACGGTTCTCGTCCTCATGTTCATATTTCCTGGACTAGCCAGACATGTTAGTGGAGCATCCTCAGACAGGAAGTTGACCAATACTCACGGGCTCTACGGTCACATGTTTCGGGATATTAACATCTATCACGGCATATCCTTTGCCAACAGACCATCCGATGTAGTCCTTCATAGCATCAGCCTTCTTATATTAGCATATTTTGCACAGGCTAATGATGGGATTACATACAAGCCAGCAGTTATGAGCTTCCAACTTGTTCGTGACGGGGTGAGGTAATCCCATGATTTCCGGCCTATACAGAAGTCAGGCTAACTTAACATTCTCATCTCTCAGGGAGTGACTGACGGGTCATGGAATATCACCAGAAGTGGGTTGCGCTGATAATAATTCGGGGTTGCCAGAACTTGGTTTTCGAAGGACCTCGAAATGGCAGTCCGATAGATGTAAAGGGAGGTGAGTTTGTAATTTTCATAAAGTTGTTTGGACTGGTAAGCACGAATGACATCTATAGGCTTGGTTACTCCTGGAGCATTCAACTAGGCTCTTTTCTTCACTCATTTCATTTCACTTACCATGTAACCGGTCTGTCCAGAGTCCCTCTTCCTGCGGCGCTTTCGGGTACATACAGCCCCAATATTGTGATTGAACCATCATGACACGTCTCACGGCAGTAGTTCCGAGTTTAGAAGGGACAGTTGAATGAAGCCGATCAGGCGGGTCCCCCATGAGTGTCTTTGTAACCGCAAGTGCAGACTTCGAGATTGACCTAAAATTGTAGCCACCCTATGATGTTCAGTGTCAGAACCCGCAATTGTTCAAGGCGGAATATCAGGCTTTATCTTCACCTCTAGGCAAACAGCAACTTTTCCGTTCGCAAGAGTCATAAGCATGTGTGTCATATGAGCATAGCAAGAAGGCGTAACGAAACACCCTCCAAGCTCATCCCCTACGGCGGCATCGAAACCAGAGGCGACTAGCCGCACATTAGCATCGATATTTTCCCCTTATTATCTTCACTTTAGGCGACTAATAGGGGGTTGTACGTACTTATTACCAGATCAGGGTCGAATTCCTGCGCAATGGGCATCACGATTTGTTGAAAGGCATACATGTAGTCACCGTCGCCCATTCCCTGGCTCGGCCAAGGTATGTTGACGTTTCTGCCGTAGAAATTACGAGTCAGATCTGAGCAACACATTTGGAAACGCACACCATACCTCCCTACCCCAGCACCAGTACCGCAGTGGTCCCAGTCTCCTTCGTCACCTCCAGGGTAGAACTTCCCATCGTTATGCACATGAAGTGAGATATACAAGACATTAGGATCATCGTAGAATGCCTTCTGGATACCGTTTCCTATGTCACGTCAGTATCTTGTACTTGCACCATAGGTACTTTATGTGCATCGCGATTCTTTACCATGATGAACATCCCTTGACTGGTCAGTGCCTCTTCAACCAGTGCGTCAGGCGCGGAGGATTGAACTTACCAATCAAGGATAAGGATCTTTCTGCAGCTTTCTCCTAGCTGATTTTGACAGACTCGAGCTGCGACAGAAACATTGTTGAACAGGCAGAACCCCATAGTCTTGTCATGCTCGGCATGGTGTCCCGGTGGTCTAATGACAGCAATAGCGTTCTTCACTTTCCGAGTGGCAACAGCTAAGCATGTTTCAATTGCTCCTCCAACCGACAAGAGCGAAGATGCAAACGTCAACTTATTGAAGTATATCGAGTCTCGAGTATGTTCAAGAGCGATAAGCTCATCATCAGACATGTCTGACAGAAGCAGTTAGAGAGATCAACGATCCCAGAAGGGGGCTATCGTTTACCTTTAGTGCTTTCCACAAATGCGTAATGATCTGGTGTGTGAACAAGGGATATTTCTTCCTCTGTGGCATTGCGGACACTGATTCGCTTCAAAGGCCTTGAGACAAGCGGCCTGGATGACTCTGGGTCATCAACGAGTCCGGCTCGGCATAGCTCCTTGAAGATATAATATATTCTTCTTGGGTCCTCCGGATGGACGTCTGCCGTCGGGCGCACTTCACAGTGATAGCGCATCTGAACATCATAGCAAAGACCTGAGGGAAGCTGAGCAATAGGTAGACCCCTAATGGCGACCGCATCTTCCTCCTCAGACCAGTCGGAGTTCTCCTCAACAAGGCTGTCATTTTTCTGTAAGTCATCTGCAGTAGCTTCACCAGAGTCAATTGATTTCGGTAGACTTTTAGGTGGTGACATCGTGTGACTATCTGCCGCAACAGATGGTTCGGGCTTTTGCACGTTACCAGCTGACTGGATAGGTAATTTGATTGAGGGTCCTAAGAGGGGTGGCGCGAGCCATGGGTCCGGCCCTCCATTAAGATGTCCAGTGCCATCACTCACAAGGTGATGCGAGGGAGCCAGGTTGGGGTTATGGGAACCTGCCTCTCCCATGACGGTGTCTTCGTCCTCTTCCGCGGCCATTACGCAGAAGTCTAGACGAGTTGATCTATTTTTGTCTGGTAGACGGCGTCCGTTCACTCTAGCATTCCATAACCAAGCCTGTCGCCTTGGATAATTACGTCAGTCGCACAGGACCTCAAGCACCCTTTGGCAAAGAACAACACAGGCGCAGTCCAATAAGGGTCAAGTGAAAAAGAAATTGGAACGAAGTGGTAGTTCAGTGACCAGTCCAAGATAGAAATTTGACACAAGGGACTCCAACTATACCAGAATACGAAGGGAAGCAAGAAAGGCTGTTGGCGTTGAGAGGTACTAAATCAGAAGAGTGAGGGAACTACTAGATACTAGTAGTCCGAAAGCCTAGCTCGACCACGAAGACAAGCTTGAGCTAGACCAGATCAGGGTAATCTAAGACAAATCTTTCGACAAAGAAATGAGATCCTCACCAGCCCACAAAAATCACAGGAAGATGTTGATCTACTAGATCCACACCAACAGAGGCGTTCTGGCGCACGTCCTGGAGACTTGGATCATGTACTCTTTGAGGAAACCCCAAAAAGCGTGGTTTACTTAGCTTCCCTGCACGTGACTACTGCCGGTCATAGACACCAAACAGGCCACTTGGAGCCCTCCGTACAAAAGCCAACCGCCAGGCGCAGGATGTAGGTACTAATAACTCATGGTCAGCAAAGATGGGCCAATAAAAGAAAAATACAAGGATGAGCAAGAATCCGTGTGCAAAATGTTTTGTCTGATGGTCCGTCCTGGCATAGTACCATCAAACGTTTGCGCTTGTCCGACAGTTTCCCGGGCTTCGCCGAGACCTAATCAATCTCCCTTACAAGGCTTACTCAGGACGATCTAGTTCTCTGGCTATGTGCTCAAGGATGATTCTATACCAACCTCAAACAAGGTTGTTTTCTCGAAAATACACTACAGGGTATTGAAATCCAAGGTTTGAGACCATTGCACGGAGGCGAGATCATAACCAGTATCAACGTCAAATCATCTCATTAAATAAGTACGTCATCATATGCTTTTATGCTATATGTAGATCCCCGGTCAACAGGGCACTTTGTTATCCCACAGGCCAATTTCTCGGTGTGGGGACCTGACAATCCGGGAATATAGAACTAAGTCGGAAGTACCTAGAATGTCCCCTTCATAGAAGACTTCTAGTGTCCGGTCTCTGTCCTGATTCCTACTGGCCATCGACCTTGGAGATGTAGGCTAAACGAGAACCGTCAGCAAGCGTTCAGAACGCCGGAGTGCAGAGCCGTAAGAACTTACCAATAAGGTCAACAACACGGCGGGAGTAGCCCCACTCGTTGTCGTACCAGGAGACAAGCTTGATAAAGTGGTCGTTAAGGGCGATACCGGCCTTGGCATCGAAGATAGAGGAGTGGTCATCGCCGTTCAGGTCAGAGGAGACAACTTCGTCCTCAGTGTAGCCGAGAATGCCTAATCTTGGTTTAGCAAACGAAAGTCCTGGTGAACCTCAAAAGAATAGGACTGTGCTTACCCTTGAGCTGGCCCTCGGAAGCAGCCTTGATAGCCTTCTTGATGTCATCGTAAGAGACAGACTTCTCGGTACGGCAGGTAAGGTCGACAACGGAGACGTTGGCGGTGGGCACACGCATGGCCATACCGGTGAGCTTGCCATTGAGAGAAGGGATGACCTTGCCGACAGCCTTGGCAGCACCGGTGGAGCTGGGGATGATGTTCTGAGCGGCAGTACGGCCACCACGCCAGTCCTTGTTGGAGGGAGCATCAACAGTCTTCTGGGTGGCAGTGTAGGAGTGGACAGTGGTCATGAGACCCTCAACGATACCGAAGTTGTCGTTGATAACCTTGGCAAGGGGAGCAAGGCAGTTGGTGGTGCAAGAGGCGTTGGAAAGGACGTTGATGTCGGACTTGTAGGTCTCGTTGTTGACACCCATAACGAACATAGGGGCATCAGCAGAGGGAGCAGAGATGATGACCTTCTTGGCACCACCCTTCAAGTGGGCGGAGGCCTTCTCGGTGGTGGTGAAGACACCGGTGGACTCGACGATGTAAGCAGCGCCGGCCTCGGACCAGGGGATTTGAGCAGGGTCACGCTCGGCGAAGAAACGGATCTTCTTGCCGTTGACGATGAGGCCCTGGTCGTAGGTCTCGACAGTGCCCTTGAACTGACCGTGGGTGCTGTCATACTTGAGCATGTAGGCCTATATCATCCAATTCTAGTCAATTCCATGGTCTTTCCCGCATATCGTCATCAATCTATAGATGATAGAAGAGGGGTACATACAGCATAGTGGGTTTCAATGAAGGGGTCGTTGACGGCAACAACCTCAACGTCACCGTGGGCGATGCTGTTGAATCACACTTTTGTTAGAAGGTTTCTTCTATACAAGAAGCTAGGTGAGGGTTCCCCTCGGTGGTCTAGACTGGTACTGGACCATCGAGAGTCCATCCATAGTCCGGGAGAGGCGGGTTGGGTTTTAACTTACGCGTTACGGAAGACCTGGAACTCTTTGTCAGCCTCAATGAATCCTTGTCACGATGTAGAATAAAAGGACAACTTACGATACGGCCAATACGACCGAAGCCGTTGATTCCAACCTTAGGAGCCATTGTTTGGGATTGATCTGTTGGTTGGCGGGGTAGCTGTCAGTCCCACTGTGTGATGAGAGAAGAAGACGGTAGACACTGGAAGTTGTCTGGATATATAAGATTCGAGAGAAAGGGGGAGACGACTCACTTTAAGTAAGAAGACGAGGGGATATGGTGATTGCAGTGATGTGGTGAGAATAGAAAAGGGGAGAAAAGTCGAACGGCGGGGGAGGGGAAGTAAAAAAAGAGGCCCTGTTGACTGACGCAACGACCAGGTCACTAATCCAGTCACCGGCGGGCAGACGGGGCAAAAGCTACAAGCTCCTACTGTGAAACGGGTCCTTGTCAGCTGTTTTCCCGGCTTGCGCCGCTCCCCAGCTCTCAGCAGCCCTTTCCGGTTTCATACACCGGGCAAAGCAGGAGAGTCACGATATTTGGGCCTCTGCCTCTCCTCGGCAGCTACCGGCCTAGCCAATGAGCGTGCCACGAATCCAGCATGCCGGGTACTCAATCCTACCCTCTTGTTAATCTTTTGCCAGCTCTTCGGGATCGAGGGGTCATTACTACCTAGGCTATGAAAGAAATGATCCCGGCTATTACTCTATCTAATTATCCCCTTCTTCCGTAGTCTAAAATTGGCAACAATTGAAAGAGGGGGGTAGGGTATGAACCCCAGTACTAAGAGTATTGGTTCCCCATGGAGGGGCATGATGTAATGTAATCTGGCCATACATAAGAAATGTGAACGGGAAAACAAGGAGGGGCACTCACTCGCTTTGACCTTTCCGTTTCCGGGTCAATAGATCGGACCGGATCAACTATACCCCTCTGCCCCTCTTCCCTCTAGACTCTCACATAATGGCTTAGCGATCCTCTATCCTCCTGAAAAGATTCACCGGTAGGCAAATCAGGATCACGCGCTTGTCATATTTTTCATTAATCATCCCTTTGACTTTTTTCTGCTTGGGAAATCGAGTTTCTCGGCTTGTTGGGGAGCCTACTAGATTCGCCCCAATCGGTAGCTGTGCATGAATGAACTGTACTCGGTGTTCAAACCAATAGCCTTGTGGCTTTTTCGGTGATTTTGATAAGTATTGAAGTCTCAATAAGATGCTACATAAAACGTCATTGTATAAACTCAATATGATTGTCATGTCATGGTCAGGCGATATGGAAACATGGCTAGATTCCCTTAATTCAATGCATTAATTAAATCTTGTTTATACTACACACCTATACTCATATAAACCTTGTGGACTTCAAATCAAACCATTAATCAACCCAAACTTCCCACTCTAGATAGATAGATGTACAGTGGTACACCCATAAATCAAGCTAACTTGACGATCTAACACGTTGACAAGGTCATCCAATTCCCGACTCAATTCAATATGTGTCTTAAAATAAGGGGGTGAGACACGACATCGTACGCTATAGTATCCAACAATTATATGATAGAGTCTTGATCGGACCATGGTGGCATGTCCGCGTACCGCCACACATGAATCATTCGTGTTACAAATCAAACTTAACCGTTCACCGGGGTTTAATCTACTACTTGATTTGTTGACACAAGAACTGTAGTTGATATGTATGTCTTAGGGGTAGATCTATTGAGGCTGGGTCATGGATTTTAGCGTCTCCATCCCTAACCCAAAATACACGTTATCTTACCCACAGCCCGGCATCAGTATACCCTTCTTACGGATCATTGCGTATCTTTCGGTGACTTCATGGCGTGATAGTCATAGCATGATAGGATCAGAATCAGATCAGGTGAGATCAAAACACAGAAACCCTGCACTCGGATATTTCGGATCTTGTTGCGGGTCGTTCGTTATCAGAATACGCAGGATACCAGCACAGATATCGACAAGATAGAGGCCTGAATATTCCACTCGGTGCGCAAAATCATGGTTTTAGCAAGGTTCGAAAGAAAAGAATCCAATTTAGTCCTGCTCTCCCACTCAATTTACACCGCTTCTATAAAGTACACAAGGAGCAAGGCCATGTACTACAGGGTACTCTAGCATGCTATCCTCAATAACCAATCGTTTACTCTTCCTTGACACCACCCCTCCAGTTCTTCTCCGCGTTCTCGACAGAAGCCTTATCGCTCTTAACCTGGCCTTGGCTCATGAAGCTGTTGGCAGCCTTGAAGGGGCGTGCGAGGTCGCCAGTGGCGGGCTTTCCAAAGACGTGGATCTTGACCAAGTTCGACTCCAGGGCGCTCTTGAGAGGAATGATCGACTGGATCAGAAGAGGATTGGTGTACTTGAAGTACAGATGCATCACGCACATCATACCAACGCCCATCAGTTGTCCCTTGAACAGCTGGCGCAACTGCTGCTGGTCGTACTCATTGTTGGTAGTAGTCACCGGACGGGGCTCCTCGTTGCTACCCAGAGGAGCGGGCTCCACGTACTTCAACGTAGTCATGTCTAGTAACACCATTCAGTAAACTATTCGCGACATTCTCAGAATAAAGCCGAAACCTACCCTTCTTGCTCTTAATCTTGGACTGCGTATAGAGATAGATACCCAGGATGAGCACGTTGGAAAAGACATACATGCCACGGACAATCAGAAGAACATCAGGGTCATCAAAAGGGATCTTCTTGGCCAGCTGCATGGCCACCACGATGATGGCCAGGTTGGTTCTGAGTTACGGGCCGATGGTAAGCAAATGGTCCACCATAGAACGAACACAACCTTGCTGCAAATTCAAAGAGTAACGGCAGTGCATTGCGCAAAATGACTTACACTTGAGGAGACACCATGTTGGCTGCAGTATTGAGTGACCCTTAGGTGACGAAGCAAGAGCAACGCGCGAATGGCTTGAGCGGATGAGTGAAGGACGTGCAGGGACAAAATCTTCCTTAAACTGCGGAACTGGAGCCCCGGGGAAGTCGGACAGCTGTCCAGATAGGCACTTCGGCACGTGATGGATACTACTCCTAAACGAGATGCAGTGGCGCAGGTTCAAAGCCTTAGGCGATAGAACATCAATAAGGCACCAAAAATCACCTGGTTGATTAGATAATGCACTAAGCAACCATCATGCTTTGCACGCTCCTCTACCAACGACAACAAGTGATTCTATGGTTTGACAAACGTCGTCTATCCAGTCTCTCTGTACAAAGCCATAAGGACTGGATGGGAAGATTGAACGGACAAAACACATTAAAATATAATGTTTCTCCTCTGCAGAGTTACCCAGGTTGAGAGTTGAGGAACCTACTGAATGACTCCTCAACTATGACCCAAGCTCTCATCACTAACCTCTATAAAGCTCTTTTCTTTTGATGTGGTGCCCGATCAAGTGCCATCATCTGGATTTGTACTTTCAATTGGAAGCCACTTAGTTGCTTTGCTCGTGCCACTCACTGCCTAGCGTACTCACCTTCAATTATCCTCCGCGTTCTAAGGATGATGTTCTGATTTTCCTGAACAGGACTAGCGCCGTTCCGCGCTCAACGCCGTCTTTAGCGACCAGGATGGCTTTGACATTTCTGACTCCTTCATCCATCAACAACGCGCGTGCCGCTGGCGTATCGAATCGCTTCAACGACCACCATCGTACTCTATCACTTCAAACACTTGTTTGACGCGACATTTCTATCTCTGCGACCCTAAATCTCGACGCTTTTCAAAATGCCTGGTGGAAAGGGAAAGTCTATCGGCGGAAAGGCTGGCTCCAAGGACTCTGCGGGGAAGGCTCAGAAGTCCCACAGCGCAAAGGCTGGTCTGCAGGTCAGTAGATACGTCTTTTGTTGTTTTCTACTTGCAGTGCTTAGATGGCCGTTATTACCGGCAACGCGCGGCAACATGTTAAAAGCTATCCGATTTTACGACTTTTTTTTTCGCTTTTCTCTCTCTCTGTCTCTTTCTCTCTTCCCTTGTTGCTTCTCACCTTAGTTCTTTGCATCTTCTCCATCGAGTCCTTTGTGAACTACGTCAAGTTAATGCAGTTTGAGTACCTGTCGCTGGGACTTGGTTGCTCAGGTACTTGCAGACTACAACGTTGTTCCGCACTTTCCAGCTCCGCCAACTGCACACTAAAATTCAAACATTGTAGTCGATGAAAAATACTGACAACATGTGCGTCTAGTTCCCTTGTGGTCGTGTTAAGCGTTTCTTGAAGAACAACACGCAGAACAAGATGCGCGTTGGTGCTAAAGGTAAGGCACAATAGTCGCAAACCATGTAGCCATGATTTGTCATCTTTCGTGGGCACCACTGACAAGCAATCACCTAATAGCCGCCGTCTATGTTACCGCCGTCCTGGAGTACTTGACTGCTGAAGTTCTCGAGCTTGCCGGAAATGCCGCTAAGGACCTCAAAGTCAAGCGTATCACCCCCCGTCACTTGCAGCTTGCCATCCGTGGAGACGAAGAGTTGGACACTCTCATCCGTGCCACCATCGCTTTCGGCGGTGTCTTGCCACGCATCAACCGTGCGCTGTTGCTGAAGGTGGAGCAAAAGAAGAAGAACAAGACTGAGGCTTAATTTACGGCGGATACCCCACGAATATGGCGTTTGAAATGATGACGATTGAAAAGGACTCCGGGATATGTCTGTTACAGCGATCGACCTTTAACTGGTTCTAATTAAAAACCGACCAGTCGCAAAAGAAGAAAAAATTGAAAAAGGAAAAGGGAAAACTGGATGATAGACATCTTTCATGACAGGGATTTCCAGCAGACGCATCCCCCATCTCCTTTTCCCTACTCCACGACGCTGCTGTTCGCAATGCTTTTTTTTCTCTCTTGTACTCTGCTTTCCTCCACGTGCTCCGTTCATACCGTTTGTCTCGAAAATACCAGGGCGCTGTAATGGGAAAAAGGGTGATATCTTGGTAGTGGACTGATTTTCTGTTTTCATTTTCGATTTTACTATTTCTCTTATCTTTCCCCTTGTTCTTTTTCCCGGTGAACTTTATTCTAATTGATTGACGGTGTTGAGTGCTTCCGATTATCCACCTCAGTTACCATTACTACGATGTCTCTCTTAAACTTGATGGACTTGTCTTGTATGAGTATAGTTGGCTCCCTCTCTCACGAGAATCGAAATAAATACAAACCAAACCAAACACTCGTACGGAATTTCTCGTGGTATATCTAGGTGATCTGATCAGGGATTTCCCGATTTCTGATACTTAGATGAAGCAGCTTAAATCTTTCAATCATTCTACGCTGGAGTAGAAGGCGACTGAAGATGGGGTACACTATGTTACGGTTGGATTGAAGTCTAATTATGGACTATCGACAGGAGCAATCCACGCATGGAGACATTACTGGGAAAAGATATGCAAGTCATATAGAAGATACATTTATTGGCGATCTTGAAGAGACAAAAAGCGTACTAAAGCAATACGGAGAAAGAAGACTTTGGGAAAATAAAAGGCATATTTCAAACAAAGCCCTGGCAATATAAGAAGGGCGATTAAAAGGAAAGCGAGAGAAGAAAAAGTAGAGATGTGGTTGCATCCGCAGAGACTGAACTTCAAAAGTGGAACCGACAGAAGGAAGCCCATACGATAAAAAAGAAGCGTACTGGATCTGGCAGTTAGTAGTCACATTAAAGCCACAGAGGACTCGGTCCATTGAAGGGTCAGTTCCATAAACGCAAATATCCCACCCAAACTTGTTGTCACAATCCCTGTGTTCACCACAGCAATTGCAGGTCAGAACTGAATTTCATGAACAAACCAGCCAGAGAGAGCAAAAAGGAGACGTATCATAAGACTCCGGCAACAACCACATTCATTCACCTGGCAGAAGCTCAGAGGCCCGCGAGAAGAGCGTACAGGGCGAACAAGTCGGGATTGAAAACAAAAGCAAAAATTAAACAATGCATGGCGCCCATATACAAAGTAATCCAACGATGCAAATGCTGGTATGTCATCTTTCTTGCCAAGGTAAAAAGACAATAGTGTTCTTTTCTGTCGTCCTTTCATCATCTTCCTGTAAGTTAAAAACAGATTTTTGCTTTCCACCGACACAAACTGGGAAGAAAATAATAATATAAATAAACAAAGACATCTGGAAGGCGCCTGCGTCTCAAAAAAAAAATTTCAGGAGCTTTCTTTCTTTTTCCGTTTTTCATTTTGTTCCGAGAAATAAAGAGAAACGTATAGTCCGTTTAAATAGCATGCCTGCTGGGCTGCCCCAAAATAACGTCTAAAACTTGGCTAGATCAGAGAAATTTCTTTTGTGGTTCTCTTGGTTGAGTGTCATCTCGTCATCCCTCATCGAATCGTAAGCCAATAATCGCAGAACAGGATCAGGCCTCGTGATATAAGAGTCATATGCGTCTTGCGGCAAAGCAATCTAACAAGTTTCGTCGTTTTTCATCTCCCGTCAAAGTTGTTTACTCCACAATGATTTCCACGCCAGAGTTCGTCCGCAATTCGTCGCTTCCACGCGGTTGGTGTCCGTTTTGGCGTCGAAAACCTGGGCCCTTTTCGGGCATGGGGCCTCTCGGCTGCCTAATTGGCACGCGCTCCTGTGACTGTCCGTCAAATCCAACTCCGATGGATCGGTTGCTACCGATGGGTCCAGCACTGGAAGGTTGACTTTCCGGCTGTTCCCAAGAAAACATACCCCGCAATCTCCGTGGGCTCGAGCTTGGCCCACCAATTCCAGTTCCCAGCGAAAGGCTGCTGAGACTATTCACCAACAGACTATCGTCGCGCTGCATACCGAGAGAGGATCCTGAAGGGGCAGGCGTGAGCGTCGGTGTGTTCGAGGCGCCGCTAGTGGCACCGTCGTAGTGCTGGAGGCGTGCACCGTTGGACTGTAGGGCCGCCGGGAAACTCGCGGAAGAAGGGACGGGCGATGGAGTATAGGAACGCAGGTCTGCGAACGACTTGGCTGCCCGTAAATTCTGAGCGTTCCCGAAGTTTCCGGGAGAATCCAAAACGCCCAGAAATCCCGACGCTTGTCCCCGGAGGGTGCCGTAGGGACCAGGTCCCTCGTTGCGCGCTTCACTAAAATCAATCGTAGCCGCGCGGTTGAGTCCGCGACGAGCCGTTTCTGCAGGCTGAACTGCAGCGGGGATCGAAGACAAAGGAGGGCTCACATTGGTGCCAGGTGCCACCTTGAACACCTGGACCTGTCGCTGTTCCCCAGATCCGCGAGAAGCGTGGCCCAAGCCCATGTTGTGAGCAAGAGTATGAACGGTGCGGCGCTGCACCGGGGAAAGGTTCGAGGGGAAAACCAGCGAGTCGCGACTGGTATCTTCCTTGAACAAAAGGAGTTGAGAGTAGTACGATAGTGTCGTGCTATCATTCAGGTCGACCTCTGGCGAACGGAACACAACCATTAGCGACCCGTATTAATTATGGTCCAGTGATCAAAGAGACTTACCCAGCTTCTGGCCACGTTGAGAGACGGGCGACGGGGAGGTCGCGGGGAGGTGCGACGTGAGCGAGGACATGGAACTCTGAGTCTGAAGCTGAGAGGATGCCATAGGCCGGTGCTGTTCCTCCAACTGGCCCCGACGTTCTCGCTTCTCGCGCTCGATACGTTCGCGCTCTTGGAGCGGAAGCATCTTCTTGTACTCGACTCGCAATTTCCGTCCCTGAAGCTCAAAGTGGTTGAGAACCTCGATCACCGTCGCCGTTTCCTCCGCGGACGTAAAGTTTGCGAACGCCAGCCCCCGAAAGACACCATTGTCAAAGTGGTAGTTGAAGGCATACGGCAGGGGCAGGTTTAACTCGGTCATTAGCTGGACCAGCTGCTCCTTCTTAACGGCGAAGGGAATGTTCTTAATGACGATCGCCGTTGGAATCAACTCATCATCATTCTCCGAGGATGCAGATGCCTCCGGGCGCATTGTACTGCTTTGAAGGGGCCCGGGCCCAAGATTCGAAAAGGCACTAGGCATACCCGGCTGCTGGTCAAGCCAGGTCTAGTTTTCATGTTAGCGACGCCAATGCAGAGGACTATCTCGATATTAGCGAAACCGTACTCACCGTAGGTAAACCTGCCCTTCCGGTGCGGGAGGTGGTTTTCAAACTCGTCGACGCCGACCGGATGGCCCCCAGAGCCTGAGGATTGGCGAAGCCATTCGGATTCCAGGTCTGCGAGCCGGCAAGATCATAGGCATAAGAGTTGTTGTGGAGCGGGGGGTTCAAACGCTCCAGGCGACCAGTCTCATAGCGAGCCATGGGGTCATCATACAGGTTCACAGGCATAGGACCGTACGCGTCGAACTGTCGCGAAGGCTGACGATGCAAAGGCTGCTGATGGCGCTGGGAGCCAGGAGAACGTGCAGAGTTATCGTGATACATTTCTTGCGCTTGCTGGTAACTCATGGCGGCTGACACTAATGAATTCCCGGCGGGCAACCAAACTCTAGAATGTGGGCACAAAAATCCACCACACAACAATCCCGTTCAATATCCCAAGAGCTTGAACGGACTACTCAAACATAGGAGCGACCGGACAGAAGAAAGCCACGAACTAGTCCAAGACAAGCTGCTGAATGCGAAACGCGCTGTCGAAAGTGGACCAAATTCCTCGAATTTGGGGCGTGGGGGGAGAGAAAAACAATGATTTTCAAAGCACCGAAAGTCACGGCGGATCTGTGACTTCTCTGGTTGGCGAGAGAAAAGCAGTCAAAGAGAAAGAGCAGTTCAAAATGAGACAAACAACACACTAAACCGCTCACAGCTGCTGGAATTAATTGCCTCGTGATGCTTTGGTCGTCAATGCCAGGGCGTGTCCTCAGGCGTCAAATTTTCCGAAACTTTTTTTCGCCCTCCTTGTCAAGGGGAATACAAAAAAAAAGAAAGAGGGAAATCCGATAATGCGATGGGGGGGGAACAAAAAGATGGAAAATAAAATCGAAAAAAATATGGAAAGACAAGAGAAGAAGAAAAAAAAAAAAAAGAAAAAAGTAATGAGAAAAAAAGAATTGCCACTACCCGGGATCAAAAGCAAAAGCCCAAGAGAGTTGGAGTATGGGCGAGTTGACGGACCGGTGATGGTGTTGGTGAGGGGAGGAAAAAAGGGAAATGGGAAAAGAAACAGTGATTTGATCAAAGATTCGAGATTGGAGGTTAAGGCAGGGAGGTGGTGGCCCGGGAGATTATTGGGGGAGTGGAAAGCACGCACGCCAAACGGCACGCAGAAAAGCCGGAACACAGCGACCGCTTTAGTTCTGGTCTGTCCTTTCCGCGGATCCGCCAAGTCAACGAATTGGATAGATCGGTCAGCGTGGATTGTTTTGACGGTGAGATCTGTTGAGAATGCTGGTTCGATCCGTTAGAATGGATTCGCAATATTATAGATCGGAGGTAGACCGCAGAGAAAAGTCATTCCATCTTCTGCAGTCAAAACGAAGATGTCAAACCAACCAGGGGGGAAAGAAAAAATAACAACAATAAGAATAAATTAAAAGAAAAACGTGAGGGCAGCAAAAAAGAGGAACAAACCAAACCCGGTTAGGAAAAGAAAATTGTGGGAAAAAGGGAGAAACAAGACAGAGACACTAAAGGAATAGCGGATAGTATGAAGGGATTCCCGTAATCAGTCCTAAATGGGGGAAGACAACGAGGACAACAGACGACAGACAGACAGAAAGACTGTACTCAATACAATACTCTCTGGTTATCTTGTATGGGTTTTCTTTTTCGTCTTTTTTCCCCTCCTTCTCTTTGGTGGTTTGAATGTTTTGGTTTCCAGAAGAAAATTGATACAGCAGAACATCAACCCACGTACTGTACTCACTTTAAAGCTTCCAAGTGCTTCCCTTTTATAATCCCTTCCGGTGGGTTTTCCTTTCGGTAGCCTTCGCCTTAGTTTTTTCTTTTTATATCTTCGTTCAGACTCCTTTTCGCTTGCTCCTGTTCGTCGACCTAAATCTTAATCCTTTCCCAAAACTTTCCTTCTTCAGCTGTGGCGGAGGCGAAAATGCTCAAGGAAAAAAAAAGGTGGGAAGTGGAAACAAATTATAATACAATGGAGAAGCTGAGGCTTTGCCCAAAATGGGGGGCTGATCTCCTATTGGTAGATTTGCACCAACAAGTGTGTATTAGTAGTAGAAGTAGGGAAGTGTGAGCGAGGAGGTGGAGAGAGAGAGAGATAACATGCAAGAGTTGGAAAAGAGTCAGTGATTATGTGTTTCAAGATAATGATTGAAACACGAAGAGAACGAGAAGAAATCCAGTCTGTGGCCGTCAGAAGTTTTGACCGTCCGGGCTTCTGATGCCCATCATTTATGTATGCGGCAGTTTTAACTGTTCCAACCTCAGTTAGGTACACCTTAGTCAGTTTAGTTTTAGTTCCATAAAAGCCAGGTACTAAGGTATTTGGATTACTGGACCTGAATTGCAGTACTGTATGTATGAATGTATGTATGTACCTAAACTAAACTGTGTCAGGTATCTTGTCCTTGCGCTCCTTTTTCTCCCCTCCCCTCCTTTGAACTAGGTAATTAACCCCTCTTCGTTTTCTCCATTTTTCCCCCCTGGATGAAAAAAGAAGTAAGTTATAAGTGCCGCCTGGGGCATGAGGAATCCAGAAGGCAGTTCACTACTCTTTCTAGAACACGTCTCCAGAGTAGGTACTCCGTATGCCTTTCGTTAATAGTAGGCCTTCTAAGCTTGAATATTTTCTGGCTCGGCATATATGACTTAATATCCCTTAGATTAACACTCTGGTTTGTTCAGTATGTCTACACCAATCACAGAACCATCCGCTGCACCATGTTCCTTGGATTATTGGACTTCTTTCCGGCAGCTTTACCAATCTCACTCAAGTGGTGACCTTATTTGCATGTTTCAAACCTTCAATAGACTGATGGATTGTCTTACAAAAATTTAATTATTATTTTCTTTTCTTTCTTTGTTTGTTTCTTCTTGTACCTGGCAAAAAAGCAAAAAGCATTCCCCCTCCCCCTCTTTTTTTTTTCTTTAAAAAAAGAAAAGGAAAAAGAAAAAGAAAATATTCAGTTGTTTTTATTTTATTTCTTCTTCCCCTCGTCCGTCCTTCGGGCGGCACGGGGAACTAACCTTGAACTTACTTTAACTCCTTTAACGGGTCCTTAGTATGAAGTTCTCACACGTACATACCAACTTGGAGATCCAGTCCTTTTTCCCTCTTCTTTATCGGAACAATTCCGTGCCACCAACTGCCATCGGCTTTAGTTAGCTTGTCCTTAACGACTAACTAGTCCCTGTCTTCCCCCCATGTCCACTTGTCCGAAAGGTTCCTGATTGACGGTTCTGGCTTGGGAGCTCCAATGCATCCTTCGAGCTTTAGCTAGAAGGTGGATTAGGATCCGCTCCTGAGTGGGTAAGGATTCCATTACGGAGTACTCTAATACATCACCTCCGAACAGGGGGCAGCTTCGGCACAGTCGTCCACCGCCCACACGAGCTATCGCGCCGGTTCGTGGCCGTTTCTCGATGTCAACATCATGAGGCTTGCTCATTTCAAGCGCATTTCCTTGACCGCGGGCAGTGGAGGGCAACAGCATCACCGAAGCTCATAAAGCTGGACGGAGGCATATGCTTGCAAGATGTCTGACCCGTTAGGAAGTCGGTGCGTTGTCCGTCGGAAATGGAGATAACCCCCTAATGAACACCCACCCTATCAGCCCTAGACCTTTTCTTCCGACTCACTGGTCTTCAGGAAGACTACGCATTCTTGTCTCTTTATTATTAGTAGCGGAAAGACTGCAAACCGTTCCCCGTCGCTATTATTATCACATGCGATTGTTTATGAGGTTATCTACTTGACACGCAGGTTTTCTATGGCTTCCGTTCCCTAACCGTTTAGTTAGTACATATGAGTTCGATGGTTGGACAAATCGCCCCTTTTTCAACGAGAAATTGCGAGGAATGATCCATCATTTCCGACAAATAATGAAAGAACTATCACTACCCGATAGGACGAAAACGGTGAAGTGAGTTGGGATCCGCTGCAAATCCGCACTTGCTAGCTAACTATGGGGAAGGTCTAGTCTAATATTCGGCGGTTTGGGATTAACACCCAAGCTAGAACCCACTAGAGTGTCACCAGAACCAGTCAGATAGGGACCTCAGATTTCGCGCCTTTCTCCTGAGAGGAATTCTCGTTCCGAAATCGCATTCCTCCCTCTCATTTTAGTTTATTTTTCTTAATTTTTCCTTTTTTTTCCCCTTTCTTTCTTGTTCACCTGTCAAAACGTGTGGGTTTATCCGGGTGCTATGAGCCTTGCTTGGTTTCGGGATTTACTAGGTTAAGGTATAGTAAGTAGTAGCTGACCGATTCCTGCACCTTAAGCTTGGGCACCCGCTGTGCAGCGCTCAGCTGGTTCCATGGTGTGGCCCCGGGAGACTTTGGGTGGTTCCGTACTAGACTAATACTCAAGCGACGTCCATAGAACATTCTTAGTCTGTTTCCACGGCGAGTAAAAACAGGCATCTACCATTATGGAGTCTTAGAAAGAACTAGGAGCCTACCAAGACCCAAGTACGGGAGCTGATTGGGAGCTTTTCCTAAAAGGGGCAGCTGATATATTGGTCACATTTACGTGATCATATGGACTTCAAGAGCGATTTTATTTGATGGTTTGCCCGATTTTGGACCTACGGAGATGAGTGGTAACCTGCCGGGTGGGCATGCACGTATCTCATGCACCCACTTCAGTGTTGTCTATTATGACAAATCTGATAATATTAGGTCGATTCTCCGTACTGTATTGGAAACCCTCTCTTTCGTCTTCATATCCTATGCGGCTGTATTCTCCCGTTAGGTACAACGTGTTGATTCGATACCATTGGGGACCTATAGAATACTTTCTATTACTGTCACCCCGTTCTATTTGTTTCTTGTTTTTTTTCCTTCTGTTTCTTTCTTTCTTGTATACATTTGTTCGTTTATCTATGTATTGTTACACTCACAAGGCGATCCCTGTGAGCCAGACCCTGATGTTACCTGTGGCAAAAGGTGCTAGAAAAAGCAACGGCATCATCATTTAATTACCTCAAGTATAGAGAGACACATGCCCAGTGCGGTTCAGGCAATGATTAACCTGTAAGTCATACATTCCAAGACACTTGCCTTTTGCAGAAGCAACTATCAGTTTTGGGCAAATATTATCGGTCACAGCTGTCTGTGCAACATCGCCTATTGCGCTCCATGAAATCAGAAAGATCATTATGCGCGTTAAGTTTACTCTTTATTATGTTGGACGCAACAAAACAATGCATGTTTCTTGCCCCTCGTCGGTATGTCTTCAGCCTTTTTTCTCTCTCTTTTCTCATGTCCTTCTGTCTCTGTTTTTGCTCGGATTCCAGTATGCAGTCTGTGCTGTGCATACATATGTATGCAATCGGCAAGCCACATAGTCCACCAATCAACACACTTTATCTATCACTTTCCCGTCGTCATGGATTTCGGGAGCCTGGTCCATATTAGGAATATAAAAAGAAAATAGAGACGGAGGGGGGGTGGGCAGCAAAAAAGAATGGAGGGGAAAAAAAAAAAAAAAAAACCTCCCAAAGGAAGCTAGCGTTCATGCTGGACAATGGTACTATAGTCATACGATAGTGAGCATATACCTAGGCTATCTGTCTCTCAACTTGTATGTACTTCTGTTCGATCACCATCCAGTGGGTCTTAAATTCGCCGCGACTCACAAACCCTGGTCACGAATGCAAGGGTCTGCGTGGCTACATGGATATCAGATTCCTTCGCCCGTTGCAGGAGTTTGGTGGAAATTTGCGATGCATGGCGGTCGGCCTTTGGATTGTCTAGGATTTTGTTGGACGTAAGGGTGATTCTGGACTTGGCTTTTCGACTGTTTTCCGAATGCTCTTGTTGGTTTGGGCCTTTTTAAGGGTGTTTGTTTCTAACAATATGGGTATAACAGTCAGCTCTTTTTTAATTTCTTTTCCTTTTTCCTTTCTCTCTCTCTCTTTTTGCATGTTTCTTCCATAACGAAAGGACACGGGGTCTGAAAGAAAAGAAGATAAATATAAAAAATAAAATTGACGTTGCACCACATCTGACTCGAGCTCAAGCGGTTGTTTCACCAATTATTAGCCATTAATTGAGGAATGGAGTTGTAGACTAGATTTAGCCAAGTAGATATTTATGCAGTATTTGATTTATTGTGTTTCATTTATTTATTCATTTTATTTCACTTTCATCAGGTACGGAGTACAGTGCTTCCAGCAGGTACATTATATGGGCTTGATACTAAGTATCTCCTACGACTGTCTTGCTGGCATTTTATCCCCTACATTCCGTTCCACGATTGTTAAATTGTTTTCCGTGAGTTTTCCATTCTAGATCTTTCCTCGCTAGCCTGTCGACTCACTTTCATTCGGTTATTCAATATAATCAATTAAATACATTTGACTTCTGATTGACCACAGATCGCCCGTGAGTAAAAGCAGCTGAGAGTACGTACATACTGTACCCAACATCTTCTGCGCGCAGCAAGGCACACCTAATAAGTCTCCTATCGCTGCCGCTGCGTAATGGGAGTATGAAGCTTATCTCTCTGCTTCTCGTCTCTATGGAGATTGAAAATCTAAATCGCTTTTAGGTTCATGAGATACATTAATACTTGGTATTATGGTTCAACAGCAATGCTTGATATTGAGTTTGAGGTCTTTTGCATTTTGCTTAACAGACTTTTTTTAGTACTATCTTCCCTTCCTTCCGCCTTTTCCGGCTGGCATGAAGTAAGGGCGTCCGTCGGTGAAAAGGAATACACGCCGTTCAACTCGTGCAGGCTTTGGAATGGATGGATGACATGCGTTTGCTTTGATATTGAGACTTATTCTGTAGGTGTGTATATATATACATATATATGGGGTCTGTATGTGTACAGATTAGAACATATATTGCTGTGGTCGATATGTCTATGTTTGTTCTTTCCTTTTGCCTTTTTAGGTGTTAAGTACCGACTACGTATATATTCTGTTATATCCGGTTATGAACTGTACAACCCAATCCCACACCTATGCGTATATAGTACATGTTTTTGATACCTGCAACTTCACACCCCCCCCCCCCCCCCCCCCCCGGGAGGGACCGATCATACGGAAAAGCCATAGTAGAAGTAGAGAAACGTAATACTATCGAGCCTAAACAACGCGAAAAGCTAAGCGAGCATGAATCACGCATCTCATAAAGGAGTGTTTTGATGCTTAGCACGTTTTATAAGTTATAAGTAAGGGTAAGATAAGACAGGAAGGGCATAAAATCAAGCAACCATAGACTCATGTCCAGCCGGGTATATAAAGGAGCGGCATGAAGCGTAAACACATATATCGTTATCTCATATCCATCGGTCCACAATCAGTAATCAATCTCCCATTATTGTTCCTCCACCCCCTTTCTCCCTTGACTGCGTGCACGCTCGTAAAGTCGGAAAAGTCTCACAACCAAGCAAGGACGCCCAGTCCTACGACAGCCGCCAAGGAAGCAGCCTTAGGGGTCGAATATCCAGACGCAGCGTTATCGGTGGTCTGGGCATTGCTCGCGGAATTGGTGTTGCTTGCGAAGTTGCTGTTGGAGTTTCCGGAGGAGCCACCTTTCGCAGAATTAGAGGCACCGGACGAAGTTGCGGTTGGGGTTGTATTGGTGGCATTGGGGCTGCTGGCGGAAGTTGCGGAGCTCACGGCGGACGCTGCGGCGGTTGGGTTGTAGCTGGTGGTGGAGAGGGAGCAGGAAGTGAGGATATCGTAGGCATCTGGATGGCATCGGATGTCAGTTATCTGGATCTTTATGAGGGATGAGGGGGGCATCCTGTACCATTGTGATGGGGGTCGCGGTCATCGTGATCATCGCCGTCGTCATCATGGTCCCTGTTGTGGCGCTCGCTGCGATACTGCGCGATACAGGCCTCGCAGAGAGGGATCAAGGATGGCGCCTGTTTCCAGTCGCAGATGCACTGCATTTCGGCACGGTCACTGTCGTGCATGCCATCGCACTTCTGTGCGATTCCTACCACCGGGCCGCAGACTTCCCAGCAGCGATTGGGCACGTCGTCGCGGTCCAGCTCGGCGCCCATGGCGACGTTGCTCACGAGCATGAGGCCGGAAAGGGCAAGCAATTGAACGGTAAGCATTTTGTGTGGTTGGGTTCGTTCTGGTGACAATGGATTGAAGGAGATGTTCAGGGTTGTAAAGACTTCTGGATATGTATGCAATGTATGGTCGGATTGCAATTGACGAAATCGAAGTAGATGATGCTGGGAACAATCCGAAGCGGGTAGAGGTCTGTATTTATACCCTGTTCCTCGCGTTGTGAGGTTTCTATATTTAAGGATGACATTGTTCGAAACCGAACCTGCCCAGACGGAAAGTTCTCCGCACGAACCATATGTCGCAGTTTCATCGTTTAAGCGATTCTCGCGATCTGCTCTAAGCCTCGACTGGGCGACATATGCCAAGCACGGCTGGCGTGGGCAATTCCGCAGATCTCCCTATGAATATCATCAATCTATCGACGGGGAAAGAAGTTGCCTAGAAACAATGAGGAAGATCATGAGTTAGCCCATCTGCCAAGATGAGGTTTTGTCCATCACTACCAGACTTGTCTGCGGGGAATGTCATTCAACTTCTGCAATTTCACAGCCACAATGGGCCCTGGGATTTAGGTTGGGCTTTGTAGATATGGATCCAGCTGGATGTTAGGGACAACAGATCGCTGTAAGTGCTGGTTGACGAGTATTATTGTTGGGAGCGCTTTGTTCTTCAACTATGGAATGTTTTTGGTCGATGATGTCACCCTCGCTTTCTCCCTTGCCTCGTCATCCGCACTAGGAGTCTAGGATTATCCATGAAATGAAGATCAAATCGGCATCCAGATATCAGTGGTAAAATTGCTGATATTGGCCGAGCACCTAATTGATCCTGTCAGGATGATATCAGGCAGTAGTATTGCCGACTCATAAAGTTTGAATATTGCCAGGTTCCTGCACAGCCTCGCCGCTATATATAGTTGACCAGCGAGTGCAGATTATGTGAACAACGCAACGCCATGGCCAGTCAATGACAGGAGAACTATGCTGCCTGTACCTACGCTGCAGCTTGCCGAAATATATTAGTAGTAGTGCATGAATGCTATTCATAGCCCAGACAGCCGAAAGTGGTGTCTATTGAGGATCGGTGGTCCCTTGGAATGTAGGGTTAACTTGCATCATTTGACAGCGACCTTGGCACAACTTCTAATATAGCAATATATCCAGAAAAGGATCTTCATATTGTAGGGGACATTTTCCCTTCTGCGCGTTAACGTGGTAGTTAGGCCAGCTAAGATCCATTTGACCGAGAAAATCGAATTGATGGGCTTATGGCAGTAGTACTGCTCTTGGCGTAATGAGAGACCATATTAGACTAGAGCTCATAGTTGGACTCGACGGACTAGTGCGGTCATCATGTCTGAGTAGAAGTTGAAGAAGGTATTGAGTTGCGGTTGGTAGTTCATATGCCCAGGCTTTCCTACCAAAGAATCACACTCACTATAAGAAGAACATAGTCGCTAGCTACACTCTTGAGATAGGTACTGTAAAATAATTATATATTCCACCTAGATATACCAGTCTCGTGTAGTAGGAATGAACATGAAAGTTATGAGAGTCCCAGTTGACTTCTAAGATGTCAGAATCCTGAGCTCCTATTATTGGCCAATCTAGCCGAGCGCTCTACCAGTAATAAACACTTACACCACCTGACATCATTGAATCCGTATTTCCTTAAACAACGTTCTAAGAACTATTAACCCCTCAGCAGGTCTCTGGCGATATTGATTGTAACTGATGGCTCGCTCTGCCATATCCAAGATGACTTGGGATAAACATCTCCTACGGTCCGTGCAGAACGCACCTCCTGCGAGTCTGCCAGTCTTCATCTATGGCACTGCATGGAAGAAAGACCGAACGGCAGACTTAGTGTACCAGGCTCTCAGCGCTGGCTTCCGCGCCGTAGACACTGCAGCTCAGCCAAAGCATTACCGGGAAGACTTGGTAGGAGAGGGTATACGCAAGGCTATCCGGGACGGCATGGTTCGACGGGAGGATCTCTATGTAAGTCAGATGTCACCTCTACGGTATAGCTAGCACTTTACCTGGCTGACCATGGTAAGATTCAAACCAAATTTACATCGGTCCATGGGCAGGATCCCGATGATATGCCCTATGATCCCAACACCTCCGTGACGGAGCAAGTCCATGCCTCTATCCAGTTATCTCTAGAGCATCTTCGTGAATCAGATTCCCTGGACAGCGTCAACGACGCACATATCGATATGCTCATTCTTCATTCCCCACTTCCGACAATGTCCCAAACGTTGGAGGCGTGGTCCACGTTTGAGACCTATGTCCCCCATCGAATCCGCAACCTAGGCATATCCAATTGTACCTTGCCTTTGCTTCGGGAACTATCCTCACTGGTCAAAGTGAAACCGGCGGTTGTCCAGAATCGCTTCTATGTGGGCACGCAGTTCGACGTCCCGTTGCGCTCATATTGCCGTGACACACACATCATTTACCAGAGCTTCTGGACCCTGACAGCAAATCCAGAATTAGTTCAATCGGATGTAGTCCAATCGCTAGCAAGTCGTGCAGAGATCAGTCCTGCCGCAGCCCTGTATTGCCTCGTTTTAAGCCTAGGAAACACCACATTGTTGAACGGGACGAGAAACAGAAGCCGCATGGAAGCAGATTTGGCTGCTCTTGAGAAAATAGAGAGATTCTCTCAGGGGCATCCGGACACGTGGCAAATGGTACACGAGAACTTCCAACAATTGATTGGAGATCATGTTGCGCTCTAATGAAGTAGTGTTCTCTTCTGTAAGTGCAAAACTTACATTAGGGTTGCGCTCGTTGTCACACTGTCGATGCGCATCTAAGTTCAAACGGTGATCCATGGAATCTAGTGGAAATTCAATGAAGCATCTAGAGCGGACAAAGATTGCTGTGCATGAAGTTTTTGCACCAAAATAAGAACGATGCCACTGTAGGGAAATGAAAGCTGATTGGCGGTTTGCCTGAAGGTGGATCGGTGGGCATTCCGCGTTAACTAAAGCGCGTGTACTAGAGTAGTAGGCATTTAGGAAATCAGGGAAATTGAAACGGTCAGCTTCAGAGCGAGAAGAAATTATTCACATCCCATAGCCCCGGTAGAGAGGTATTCGCAAGTAGTTATAGCAAGCTCTTTTCACTCTCCTCAGCCCTAGTCGGCACGTGGTGAGCATCTGGCTGACTCATCGTCTGGACCAATTAGCAACCGCAACCAACCCATTGACCTCATCGTCACCGCCAAGCATCTCGACGCAGAAGATTTGCCAGACGCAGGCCATCTTCTGCCATCGCCATCCATCAAGCTCGAGTTGTCCTGGATCACCTAGACCCGGTAGCTCTTGTTTGAGTCTTTACTGCATTTTCAGTCTGCTCGCCTTTGTGGAACGAGCGGACTTTTCTTTTTCTTCTTTTTTCTGTATTCCCTTGCGCCAGTCTATCAGCCCTCCACCCACCGCCGCAGTATCCGTTCCTGGGAAAGTGTCGCTTACAAGCACCCGCCTCATCTATCAATTTCAACACGGCTAAACAATTGGGCCCCAATTCTCCCTTGTTCCTACTAGTCGGGCTTGTCGCCGGCCTGCTATTCGATTGGCCTTGACCCTTGTGATTGCGGTTTACCGCCCCGCGTGTCGCGTCCCTATATCGATATACTGCTCCGCCGTCGTAAAACTTCTCTCCGAGTGTTCACAGTTTAGCCCGAATAAGACCGCGCTAGGCTGAAGCCCTATATACGATTCTTTGCGCTGTTGCCGTTCTGTTCAGTTTCGAGCCGCGTCGCGCCGTCCAAGTTCCCCGCTAGAGCTCAGCCTTGGCCGGAAAGACCATTTGAAGGACGCTCCTGACTAGGTATCAGATTTCACTGCCTTTCTACGCATCTTCAACAAACGAGTTACGGATAGAAAAAAGCAGCCTTGCTCTCAATCAGCCAGACATTACCATATTGTCTGCCATGAGTCCCCAAGGCATGACGACCCGCAAAAGACCTGCTCCCGGTACTTCTCCTGTCGTCCATCCACAGCTTGGCCCGATCTCTAGCTACCCTCAAAACTCTGGCGCTCAACTCTCAAACGACCAGTTCTTGCAATGGGGCCAAAATCCTTCCTCGAATGTCGTCAACCCACCCTCCTTTCCAGATACGAACTCATACGGCGCTACAGCCTATACTTCGAGTCAAGATGCGCCAGCAACTACGGCCACTGCATCGACACAGCTCACACGTAGGCAAACACCAAACCAGTTGGTTAGCCGGAATCGCGGATACGAACAGACGCCAACCCCGTTCTCTGACCAAGGGAGTAATGCTGGAGAAAATGGGGTTTGGGGGGAGAGTTTGGATGAGCTCTATCAACGAGCACTGGTTGCGAAGAGGGAGGTACAGGCAAAGAGGAAACAAATCCCTCCATTTGTCCAGAAGCTAAGCAGGTATGGATTTTTGGCAACGTAGAAACAGCTCTGGCGATCGATGGCTAATAACAGTTTGTAGTTTTCTGGATGAATCGAAAAATACGGATTTGATTCGGTGGTCCGATGATGGAAACTCCTTTATCGTATTGGATGAGGATGAGTTTGCAAAGACTCTGATCCCGGAACTTTTTAAGCATAACAATTACGCTTCCTTTGTCCGCCAGCTGAACATGTACGGATTTCATAAAAAGGTAGGGCTTTCGGATAATTCGATGCGCGCGAGCGAAAGGAAGAATAAGAGCCCTAGCGAGTATGCAAACCCGTACTTTAAACGTGGCCATCCTGAGTTACTCTGGTTGATACAAAAGCCCAAGAATACACCAGGACAAGGAAGCAAGTCAGGGAAGATCAATGTGCGCGTGAAAACCGAAGACGTGGATGAACATGACAATGATGACTATGATGATGGTTCCGGAGCACGAGACGACCGATCCCGGAGTCGACAGCTATCTTTAGTTCAGGGGAGCGTTATGCCGAAGGATCAGCTTGCGGGGGTATACCGGGAATTGCAGGCCATTCGCCAACAACAACAAGTCATCTCCAACACAATTACCAAACTACGGAGAGAACACGAGCAACTCTATGCACAGGCCGCCAATTTCCAGGAACAGCACACACGCCATGAGAATTCCATCAATGCGATCCTCACTTTCCTTGCCACTGTATACAATCGCAGTCTTCAGGGACCGGAAGGGCCTCAAAACCTCGTCAACTCTTTTGCTGGGGCGATATCACAGGACCAAGCTAACGTAGTCGACATGGGAGACGACTATTCGCTGAGCACCTTAGGTGCTCCACATATCAATAGCCCCGGCGGACCGCGAACTATGAAGAAACAGCCGCTGCTTTTGAAAGCCGCACCGTCGGAGCGTCAAAGTCGCGCGGCAACCCTCTCACCAGCCACTACAGCGTTCGATGGCTCACAATCGCGGGGCCATGCTCGCCACCCGAGTGCTCCTCAGTCCGGTCATGTTGAGGAGGTCTTCGATAGCAGTCCTCGGCCGAAAGAGGCACAGCCGCCTCCAACTCAGCAGTTCCCTCAGCGGGACATCATGTCCGTTATTCAAAATTCTAATGCACGCAATGGGGTCCCCACGAGCTTTGCCGACTTCCCTAACGTTCTGTCGTCGCTGGAAACATCCAACGGCAACGTTCCGCTTACTCCAAACCAGCGCGCGGATATGCTCCGTCTCATGGCCAACGAAACCAGTCCGGGCGACTCCAACGTGCCCGTGTCCCAGAATAACGCTCTGATGACGCCCACGCCACCGCCAATGCCGCTCGGCTATTCCAATCGCCTTGCCAACACCCGCGCGGAGATTGACAACCTCGTCAAAATGCAGGCTGAACAGGACCGTTCGGTTCAGAACTTGACCAACCTCCTACAGCCGCTTAGCCCAACAGGCACAATCCCCGGCATGGTAACAGGTGATGGAAGTGTTCACCCTCCCCCATTGGACCTCGATCAGATCTTCAATAACGACTACTTTACCGATATTGCGGATCTCGAGAATAATAAGAATAATTTGGACTTCGGAAATACGGCGACTTCGGTGCCAGCTCCTGTAGCGAGTGAGCCTGTCACCACGGATGCAGAGGATAGTGTAATCAAAGATGGGAACGATCTGTTTGATTTTGACCATATTCCCGATAACGGCGACCTTTTCGACGGGCCAGAACAGCAGCAGAACCCTGGTTTCTATAACGGCTACGATGGCAGTGGCTTTAATAGCACGATAAATCCGAATTCCGGCGCAGCAGACACACAGTTTCCTCCTGGCCGAATCATCGAGACTCTCACCGATAGCGAAGCGACCAGTCCTAGTAACACCGTGGACGAGCCTACACAATATGGCGGCCCTCATGGGGGTAAAGATTTTCAGGGAGGTAAGGGAAACGGTAGTAGCGCGAAGAGACGCAAGAAGGCTTGATATTGTTAATATACTCTACTAACGGGGTTGTGCGTCGGCAAATAAGAAAGGGAAACGACACTCAAGAAGCAAAAAACGTGAAAAATGCAGCAAGCTGGTGGAGTTACGAATTCAAACCGCTATCAATTTCCTTTGTTCCGTTCTCGTCATCCACTCGGAGCGAATAAACGAGGCATCACCGGGTCAAAAAGGTACAAATCGAGTCCCGTTTAATTATTCACCCCTCCATCGTCTGGTCAAGCAATTCGGTCCTAATGCAACAAGATCAACTGATCATATATATCGGTTGGTCCCAATTACGACAACGCGAGCGACTGACCAACATTTCTTACGAATACACAAAGCTTACGACATGTTGCCTTTTCGATAAGAGTGGTATTTCTCGCAACCCCGCTGTCTTGGCATCAAAACCCTTTGGCCTTTAAAAGTGTCCCGGTCTTTCATTTTATAAAGGTGGGCAAAATTACGGTTAAGGGTGTTTTGGAGACGACGGGACAACCAAAAAAGAAAATGGAGAGAATATGGGCATGGGAAGGGGTCCAAGTGGAGTGCCACTTCGATGTTCTTATGTGGCAGTTGAAATACTCGTTGATCTGATGCGCGCCAGAAGAATCTCTCCCAAGATCTCGTCCTTAGCTTTATTACCTTTCTTTAATGACCTAAGTACATAGTTATGACCGAGCTTCGAGCTATGACCTGATTGTCTATGCTTATTGATGTGTGTACATGCGTTGATTTCCCACGAGATTCACGAATCCGTGCGTTGTTGCGTTAGCTTTGTACGTAGGATATATCGTCTGCAGAGCTGAACAATGCTCCAAGATATATAGATCTACATCATGGCATGAAGATTGTTCTATGGTTCCAAAATACAGACATAGTAATTCATATACAGTAGTTTATTTCCCTCTCCGAGCCTTCTCCCACTCCAGATTACCCGCACGCTCACGCTTCCTATCTCGTTCCCTGTCCCTCTCGAGACCTTTCCGTTTCCCACCAACGTATTCCTTCTCCCGTTCCCGTGGATCAATTACCATAAGCGAATCCGCGTCATCCGGATGCTCCTGTTTCCATTTCAAATCCTTACCAAGCATATCCTTGCCAAAGTGCAGTTCGTGCGATAACCAGCCTTCATCCTCGTCCGCTGCACCCGCATTCCCGCCGTCCGCGGTTTCATTGGTATCCCACGATTGACAGGACTGGCAGTTGGCGATGAAATGGAGATCGCAGAGCTGGGCTTCCTCATCCTCTGCTTCTTGTGGCTCGGAAGAAGCCTTGGGAGCCTGGGATGTGTGTTTATGCGTTGATGCGGGTGTGGACGCTGAATCGGCATTCTCAAGCTTGGCTTTGAACGCATTGAATATTTTCAGGGCATCGTTGTCTGCTGAGCTGCTGAAGCCTGTTATCCCGTTTGAGCCGTTGGTTGAAGCGGACATGCCCGGTGGTGGACGCTTGCGGCCCCGGATTGCCGTCTCGGGGATCATGGCCTCCAGGGCGGATTTCTTGTGGTCTGCATCTGCCGCGCCGGTATGAACTATGCGGCGCATGGAGGCTTTGATGTTTTCGATTTCGGCATTGGTGCGAGAGAGGAAGGATTGCTTTGCTGTCGGTGGGGAGCGCTCGCGCTCCGGCGACTCTGGGTCTGGCAGGGGGAGCTGGGCTTCTGGGACGGGGGATTTAGGCCTGGGTCTAGAATCGGGGGTGGGAGAGCGCGGTCGTTTCTTCTTAGGTTGTTGTTGTTGCTGTTGCTTAATTGACGATTTCGATTTCGGTTCTTGCACTGCTGCTGATTCGGGGATATTTACACCTGCATCCGTAACAAGACTCGAGTTAAACTTCGGCTTCGCCGACCGAATAGGCATATCCTCGTCTGGCGCATCATCCCCGAAACTCAGCAGCATCTTGCTCCCCTTCGTCGTCGTCTTCTTCTTCTTCTTCGGCGGCGCAGCCTTATCCTCTGTCCTAGCCCCGCTCGCCGCAGTAATCTGCCTCTTCTTTATCTTCCCCGCCAACGGGCCTAACTCGCCCACCTCGCACGAGGTAATCTTCACAGGATAAACCGGCCGCTCGGTACCTTCCACCCTCTCCGCCTCGGCAATCTTCACCATATTGTAGATACTGTCGCCCTCGATCCGCCCGAAAAGCGTACACTGCCCGTTCAGCTCCCGCTCCGTATTCCCCAGCGTAATGAAGAATTGACTCCCGTAGCTCCCATCCTCGCTCTTCGCCATCCCCACCAGCCCGCGCCGCGTAAACCGTAACCGGCTGTGCAGCTCATCGCGCAGCACGACTTTCTCGTTCGGATCCCGTGCGTCCGGGTCGTACTCGAACTCCGGGTCCTCGTAGATGGATGTGCCGCCGGAGCCGGTGCCACTTGGGTCGCCGCCCTGGATGATGAAATCCGGAACCACGCGGTGGAAGATCGTGCCGTTGTAGTAGCCGTCCTGGCAGTGTTGGAGGAAGTTGCGGCATGTTAGGGGGGTTTGGTTGGCGAAGAGGGAGATATGGAGGGGGCCGAAGGTCGTGTTCAGCGTTGCTGAGGCTGTTGGGTTTGGTTCGGTCGTGTAGTGGGAGGACATTTTGGAGGGTTATGTGGTTGTTATGCTTGCGGTGGGCTGTTTGAGCGGAGGGTTCACGCGTTGGACCCCTCGGTGGGGACTAATACTGGGCGTGGATGAGGAGATGTTGATTTATGTGGAGAGGTGATTGTATGCGATTCTCATGGTTTAGAGATACCCTTGGGGGAAAGGGTGGGTAGAGTGTGGAGGGAGTGGAATATGGTCTGGGAAGAGAGTGAGCGGAAGTCGAAGCTTTTCGGGGAAAGTTCCATTTTACTTCTTCGGTGGTCACGTCATGTCACGCCCGTGCTTTTTAAATACTTTGGCGCTTTTTATCTTTACATGTTCTTGACACAATTTAAGATGTCTAGTATAATTACTAAATTTGATTAGCTTTTATTCCCTTTTATTAAGTTCTACAGTTGGAGGTATTACGATTCTTTTAACCGAAAAGATGCTTGTTGACCGCGTATAGTACATAGTAGACGGAACATAATAATACCTCAATGGCTGGATTGAATAAAACTTCTTTCCATTTAGTCAACGTCAATAATGATGTATAAATTATTCGGGTTATTCTAGTTATATTTTGTCACATCATATCATAAGGTGGTGATTAGATATCCAGAGTGTCGTAGACATCTTCGTAACATTGGATCATATCAGGGCAACTTGACGAAGGTCAGTCTGTAGGCACTGAAGGGATAGAGTTAAGAACAGCTTACTAGACTGGATCCTGCCCGAATATAATATGCCACATGTATTCCATAACTCGTCCACTGACATTGCTCGGTAATTCGGTGTCCATAAGCCATTGGTGATACCGTATATAGCTACTCAATGGGCGCTGCAGTACCTGCGCTCTTGACACCGCAAATTGTGCGCAGCAGGGGGTTGCGATAATCTCTGGGACATTGGTATTATTGAAGAAAGTCTCCCAAACCTCAGGAAACACCTGCTCCGGCAAGTGGTCCTCACTTTTCTCGGCGCGAAATGGACGGATCTCGTCAGGGCAGCCCGGGTTATGGTTACAACGAAGGTTGGCGTAACCATTTCTTTGAACGAAATCTGTTTTGAGCATCCGTACGGCCCTCACATTGCTGTGATCAGAGAATTCCGTATGCCAAGCTCTTGGATAGCCATCCCGATGGCTGTGGAGGAAGACAATAGTAGAAGGGAGGTCATCGTAATTGTCAATAATATATTGCAGATATACATTGGCTTCATTTCCTTTGTTCTTGGTTACGTGGAGAGGCGCTTCTGGATCATCGACTGCATAAATCGCGTGCAACCAACTATGTTAACATGTTAGCTCCACTGCTTATACATTCGGGTATATGAGGCTTACTTGGTCAATTCATTTACGACCCAGTCTGTATCGTCATCTTTCGTTTTCCCTACAACAATAACGCGATCGACCGCTGTTATCTTGACAGTAGAATGGCGGTTGCCAATAGACGACTCAGCACCCTCGTGCTGTGAGGGAGTCAGGTCGGTGATGCTTGGTCGCCTTATTCTAGTGGCTGAGGTATTCAGAGAAGAGATGCTAGATGGGAAAGGCGCCGCGTAACCCAATGCGACCCCGTTATGCCAACGTGACAATTGGTAGATCTCCTGCGCCGGAGTGGTCAAGCGCTTCCCAAACCATACAATGAAGCAAAGAAGCAGAGCCGTGACAAGAAAACGCTGGCTTGGGCGCATCTTTCTGAGTACTCTGCCGTTGGGCTAGGTGATCTAGCCTTGAACTATATAAGATCTTAACACACCCTTTGAAAAGTCTCGTTTGCTTTTAGACGTTAATTCTATTATATTATAGACGGTGTAGAACCCTATCTCAGGGCTTCGGAGGAAGCGCCCAACGTACCTCCTGATCAGTCGGGTGGTTTATGTTCCTTTCAAATTTTATAGACAAAGACGGGGCGATAGGACGGGTCGGGCCAAAGAAAGTAAAACAAGGAGAAAACAAAGACTTGATCTCTTAGTATCCTCTGGAGAGAATCTTCGGGCACTAGATTAGTCAATTATGTGTCCCCCGTAAGGTCTGCGAAAAACATCACTTGATAATTGATCTAGCCTTTGCATTATAGAATATTTTGAGCATCAAAAACCTTGAACTCAATTTAGCTTTCGTTCATTGCGTCTCTATTCAAACGTGAATCACCGTGCGACTAGATTTCAAGCTCCCAATCGCTGGAGGGTGTCGGCAATGATTAAATGCGGGCATTATAGAATGAAAGGTGGTGGGAAGAGGCGAGACACATGGTCTCTATCAAGAGTCCTTGAATCATTGATGAGCGGTCTTCCAATGAGTCATAGAAAGCCCCAACGTATCATTTGCAGGAACTTTCGTCCATGGTGATGTAACAACGGGTGGAAGTACCGCTTCGGGCCGTCGCATTTCCGCTGCACCTCAACGATGCTTGTATCCCCAATATCATGGGCGATAATAAGAACTTAGTACTAGGACGCTAGGTCCTTTCAAAGGCCCAGTCTCTGCTTCACAATCCTCACGATCTCCCTCCATTCCATCATTCCACCAGACCCCACATCACCGCACGCGAGCGATTTCTCAATAGGACGGAGGACTTCGAACCAGCCCTGTTCATCCCCATCAACTTCTTTCACTCCCCAATCCTCCTCCAGCATGCGAATCTGCTGTGCTGTGACAGGATGTACCCACATCGCTGTGTTCATTGCAGGGGCGACAAGAATCCGCTTCTTCCTCCCATCGACCAACCCCGTCGTATCCCACGCACGCACAACGCTCGTGAGCAGATTATCAGACATGCCATGAACCACTTTCGCTAGGGAGTTCGCGCTCAGTGGCGTGATAACTAGTAAATGAGCCCATCTACGGAGGGTGATGTGAAGTATGTCCGCACCTCGAGTCCAAGGCTCAACCCATTCATCTTCGTCATGGAGAACCGAGTCCACATTAGGCAGCGATGTGAGAGACTCTACCGAAGGCTGCTCCTCAGACTGAGCGCGAAGAAATTCGGCAGCAGCCTTGGTGAGGATCACTCGTATTGAAATGTTGGGATGGTCTGCAAATGCAGCGATGATGAGCGGTAGCTTTATTGTGGCAACGGAACCCGTTGCAGCTAGGAGGAGATGTATTTTGCCATCATTGAGTGCTGCAGCAATCTCTGCTGCTGGTGACTTATGCGTTGCCATGATGCTGATTGTATTGTGTTGTTGAAGTTCTAGATGGTGATGGTTGATGGAACTATTCCGGTGAATTTATATTTATAATCCGCTAGATGTGCGCTAACTAGCGCCTTTGTTGGTTGATAGACCCAGTTTAAGCATACAGGGTCAATTACTAATTACTAGTAATTACAATAAAATAAAAAGCAGAGTTTATCGATAACTCAAATGTTGACATATTGCTAATAGAATTATATATGAAGGTGGAGATAACGAGGTAGCTAAACTTTCATGGTTGGAATATATGATGCTTCAATTCTCGAGACTTGACAAAAGCTTCGTGATATATTATTAACGTTGCTGTAGGGAATGAAGACATATTCGGGGATGTGGCATAGTAGCCTGCCTTAGACCTCTTTCTTCCACGGCCTGTACTTATAATCCATGGAACCAAGGGAAAACTGTTTTTCCTCTTTTTAATACTTATGTTGTCATAAATACTACGTGCTTTTCAACAATCAGCCGGGCTAGCTCAATCGGTAGAGCGTGAGACTCTTAGTCATCACGGTATCTCAAGGTTGCGGGTTCGACCCCCGCGTTCGGCTTTCTCTTTTTGGCTTTTTGATAATTCTGTTTTGGCAACCCTAGCTATGTTTACCACTGCCTCATTTTCCCAAATTACAAGTTAGCTTGATGCCCAGGCCCTTATCTACCAAGAGACATGGTCAACATATGTGCGTGTACTGAATTCCCTTCAACCACCCGCGTGTTTTGAATATATGGCCTCAGAATGAACGTTTTAACGAACAAGCGACACAATTATCCTTTTCAACGCTATTCAATGGTGTAGTCGAACATCCGACATGAACAAAATTCTTAGCAATACATCTGTTGTTACTTTGTACAACATGTGGCTATTCACGCATATCTTTGATAAAACATTTGACATTGACATGGGAATTGCTGATACAATCTGAACAGTATGTCGTTACATATGCCCGGCAGCTTCGTCTGGATCGTCATTCGCGTCGCTTGGCTTACCGTAGGCAGAATTAAGTTCTTCTCTTATGGTTTCCGCACTGAGGCCCTATTCTTTCAATCGATATTCATCCCAGAACAAAGATCCCCAGTTGCGTAATGGATTTATGACTTTTCTTTGAAGGGATGTGGATGCCTCTTCATCATCCATATCCAAGCACCGTGCCCAAGCCAAATTAGGGGAACTCCAGTCCATATCTGACTGGAAGACCTTGACACTCATTCCATCATCATTGAAGTCAAAAGGGGTAAAAGTGCTTAGGGGCTTATCAAGAGCGCAGGTTATAAAGTCAGGTTGAGTGGGGAATGTGCTACGGAGCATGACCTTTTGCTGAATCAAGCGTATGCAGGACCTATAGGATACAGCGGTAGAGAAAACCCTAGCCCTTTGGGCAAGCAATGCTCTCTGTGGTCGTCCCAAATATCTAGTCCGCGGAAGTTAATGACATCATATTTATAGCTCTGGTGATGGGGTTAATGGGTCTTTATTCTCCTCGGGAAAGAGCTCACTCCTATCATCAAGTGCGGTTGCTCCTGGTAGCTCCTCATACACTCGAAAGATATACATTTGGACACATCTGCTCTCTTCCATCTCCCATGGACTAAATATGCTGAGGAAGAGCTCCCATTGGTCATCAGAGTCAAGGTGATTCTGTGAGAAATCCACCTCTACCAAATGTGGCAATTTGTAATTGTTGAATAGAAGCCGATAAATTTCTAGTCGGTACAGGGCGCGCCGCAACCTAAAAGATTCCAGCGGTGATAAGAAGTCATGCTCTTCCTTTAGCTGCCTTGTACCCGGCCTAAACTTGAGAAAAGAGAGGACCATATCTTTCAGGATAGATCCCACAATCTTGTGAAGTCGAGCTGTTTCCAATAGATCGTCTTCCGTCAAAGCCTCAAAAACATGATAAGCGTTTTAACTCTTCATCAACTACTTCCTGACTACGCTTTGGGGCTCTGGATCTTTTCTCGCGCCCACCTGAGGCAATCAATGCAGCGACTGCGTCGACCATGACAGGTAGCTGGAGACATCTTTCCAGGGCCGTTGACAGGAGTTGTTTTCGCTGTGACAAATGCACTGCGTGGAAGGAGGGAGTGGCGTGAACTAGAGCCTTTAGAGAAGCAAGATCTGGGATAACATACAAGACGGCCGTTTTGATCTCTGAAGGAAGGGTGTCTAGCGTCGGTGATTCCGTTTTCTGAAAGAGGTTATCGAAGTATTCAAGTTGCAGGTGTTGAATGAAAAAGAGAGATATGATATTGGTGAATATAGTAGATGAGCAAACTTAAGCGTCAAGCCCCACTCGGTGAAACGCCTCCAGGAACCAACTCTAGGCGCCACTCTATCTACTGAGTCAAGATATCCACCTTCCGAAAATTTTCTTCCTTAGATTACGCTCGCAAGCCTTATACCTTACACAGGAACTACCAATTGCCACTTAGGCCAATGATCTAGCTCGTGGAAAGGCAGCGGAGTATTGCATATATCTAGCTGATTGGATATTGATCAAATGCCCACCAATAGCTGCTGCAAGATAGCGCCGAAACATACTACTCCTGTCTACCCCCGTACTCTAGCCAACGAATGTATAGTTTTATATCTTCCAGTTGTGCGCAGTAGTATTTATAAGACAAAATGCCAGGGCCGTTTATGCACTGTAACTTTGGGCCAGGTGGCAGGGGCAGCTTCAGCCATTTGCAAGCGCCTTTGCTGGCAAATTAGACTCTCATATATGTTATTTCAACAAGCCGACATCTCTTTGCTTGCTTCCCAAGGGTCCTTGATGTCTATCAGAGGTATTTTGAAATAAGCTATTGACACAAAGAGGGATCAGTGCTATGCTGCTACATAGTGAAATGTACTGAGTATGCTGCTGGCAGCAACTCGGTTTCGGTCCAGCTTCGCCCTACCTGTTTTGTCCTGCTCCGTTTGTTCAGTTCAATTCTGCTTCACATCGTTTCTTTTTGTTAACTGCCTTTTGTTGCTTTCTGTGACTGCAGGTGCCGCTGCTGTTCTTGTTTTTGACTCTGTATGTTTTTATGTTTGTGGTTTTGGGTTGCTGAGAACGTTTTTCTATTTGGTTTATCTGCGTTGGCTGTTTTATGTTTCCGTGCCTTTTGGTTTATCCTCAGCTCTGTATTTAAGTTCTTATATATTGTACTCGTAAGTTTAACCAACGCTTCTGACGAAAAGAATTAAAGACATTATTGAGACAGTGTGGAACACTAGCTTTTACTTCTGTAGAACCTTTAGCTTGCTTCCCTAACTTGAAGCAGCCGCTATAAATGACTTCTTTGAAATTAGTAGATTAGTATACCTTTCCCCGTACCCACTATGAGACAAGGAACCCAAATATTACTGGCATGGTTGCGCTACAATAACGTACGAAAGCTAGCCCTAAACGTCACTTACAACTGTCTTTGCTCTAGTATGGCTATTATGTCTAGCATAATTGGCCGAACACTGTCGCGCATCCAAGTGGAGGATTAACGCGACTTCCTGCCAACTGCTGGCAAGGCTGAACCCCGCCATGATACGCAAGTCCCGCCGAGCTCAATCCTTCAGGTTCTCCCCGCAACATGGACCTACTTGATAATAATAAAGCAAGTACTACCAACAGGGTGTGACCCCAAGCAGGTGGTCCACAGGATGGACCCATTCTCTGCACTGAGCATAGCGACAGCTGTGCTCCAGTTTGTTGAATTCAGCACGAAGCTGCTGAGCGGGGCCCGCCAGATATACTACTCCACGACAGGATCGACGGTAGATAATGCAGCTCTGGAACTTATAGTGAAGGAGATAGAAGCCTGGCCATCAAGGCTACGAACCTCTAGGGTTCCCAACGCAAGAGTCACAGAAGAGGACGCTCTGCACAGACTGGCGGTGGAATGCGAGATACTATCAAGAGAACTCTTTAAGCTCATCAGAAGAAATATTCCAAGCGACCCAAAGCCAAAATGCGCGGCCTTGTGTGCGGCTTTCAAGGACAAGCTTCACGACAAGGAAAAGCAACAATTATTGGAAAGAGTGAAGGAATGCCGGCAGCAGTTAACCGTACAGCTAGAGACTCTAGATAGGTCAAACTTCACTCTCCCTCATCGCAGTAATTGGTATTAATGACTTCGTGATACAGATCGGAGCTCAAAAAGTAACTTCAGAAACTGGCTGAAGAAAGCCTTGAGCGCTTTGTCTTACTACAGAAGAAGTTTGATAGCCTAAATGCTGATCTCATATATTCAGTCAGCACTGATATTCCTCGACTGATACAGGGACTGTTGGATACCCCTATCCATGCACTGGCAGATGCTCGCATTCTTCGGAGTATGGCCAACGCGTCAATGCATCAGAGAGAAGACCAAATAGATGAAGCTCATTTTAAAACTTTCCGCTGGATTGTGGATGAGAATGTTCACAGCCATGAGCCATATCGAACGCGTTTCAATAAATGGCTGCGAAAAGGAACAGGTATATTCCACATCGCTGGGAAGCTCGGATCTGGAAAATCGATCTTGATGAAGTTTCTCTCCACTCATCAGAACACCATGGAGAGGCTTAAGCAATGGGCTGGAACAAGACGCTTAGTACTCGCACGGTTCTTTTTCTGGGGGGCCTGGGGCAGAAGCGGAAAAGACCTTGGACGGTCTGTTGTGTGGTCTTTTGCATGACGCCCTGGAACAATGCCCTGAGTTCATACCAGCTATTTTCCCGGAACAATGGAAGGAGTCTATTAGGAGCGATTGGCGAGTCCGGCTGCTGTTCCAATTCTCTCAAGAGGATATCCGTGCGGCTTTCAATCAACTCCTGCACCATAAGGAACTATATGAGAACTACCTACTGTATTTCTTCATTGATGGCCTTGATGAATGTCTCGAAACCTGCCAGGAGGACTATTATGATGTGGGGGATTTGCTGCTAGGGTGGATTGACTTAGCCCCACTTGACTTGAAGCTCTGCGTTTCGTCCAGGAATTATGAAGTATTTCGCACTGCCTTTGACGACGGAATGAGGCTTCAGCTCCACGAACTGACTCGTTCCGACATTGCGAACCTTGTTATATATAGACTGGAAGGGTTTGAGATATGCAGCGACACCAAGACAGCAGTAACAGGCCAAGCAGGATTTAGTAAATGAGTTAGTTGACAGGTCGACGGAGTCTTCCTATGGGTCGCTTTGGTCCTGAAGTCATTGAGGGGGTCCCTGAGATATGATAATCAACTCTCAACCCTGTTGAGAAGGATACAGAGAATGCCACGAGAGATGGAGTCACTGATTGACCACTTGCTTACCTGGAATAATCCACTTGATCGCATCTCAGCATATCGAACGTTTGCTGTGGTTGGAAAGTTCTCCGAGCTTTGGAATGACACCAATGACTCTTCTCAGATACACCTTTTTGTTCGACTATGAAATAGACAGCAACTTTGCTATGCGTGCTGAGATGAGAGGTTATGATCTAAGTGAAGCTGATGTTGCGATACGCAAGGTACAAGCTCAAGCAAGGCTTAATGATCAATCAAGAGGTCTGCTTGAGATTAAATATCAACCTTGAAGAGGCCATTTGTCTACGAAGCTGGCTGACATTGGTTATGTCACCTTCATTCACCGTTCGGTATATGACTTCCTCCAGATGCATCACAAGACGCATATTCGGGAAGCATGCGAGGGATTCAATATTGTTGACGCCATGAGCCAGATGGTCCTCGCTGAGATCAAGTTTTTCGGCTTGTGCTCAGTTCACTCTACCAGGCTTCGCTGGCTTCTTCTGAAAGATTTGCCCCAGTTATTGAGACTTTGTCAAGAGGAAGCTAAAGATGCTTCGACCTTTCGTTTCTTCGATGAGCTCGATTACGCAGTCCTTTGCGCTCAAGGGCTTAACTCCCTTCAGGACCACCCAAGCCAGCTCCAGGTGTGTATCAGTAAGACAGGCCACTTTACCCCCTCTGCGTGCTATTTCTCGGTTTTCCATCGGGCTATCTATACACAGTATATCGGATATATGCGCTACAAGATAGCCGAGGATTCGCGGTTGGTTTATGACAAATTCCAGTTCACACATATTCTAGCTTGCATTATTGAATCAATATACGATACAGGTAATATCGATTCGTTAAAGGCTAGTAGCACCATACCTGGAAAGATTTGCCCAAGGCCCACACATGGAAATCACCTACATCAAGGGATGGTTCCGTACCAATATTCTGAACACGGCGCTCCTCGCAGCCCTGAGATGGCTCCCGATGTTGAGCCCCGCTGACAAGATACTATATGCCACACTTTTAGAAAGCCTCCTGGCTTCAAGCACTGATGACCCTTGGGCTATTGAAGCAACTATTTCATATCCGCAACACAACTATACAAATCTGCGTGTGGCTATCCACAGGTCCCAGGTATATAGGTGTCATATGACCACCGAGCACCAGGAGACAGTACATTATCTCACTGAGACAAATAATGGGCGCAGAGTCTCTCTTTATGACATTGTCGACTTCTAGAAGCTGGAGAACGCGACGAGCATTAAGAAACTTATACGTCCGAAGCTTGAGCATCAAGATGTGATTCGCTCAAAGCTCAATATCCCGAAGCTTCTCCGTGACCGCTTTGGAATCACTGTGCTTTCGGGGGTTTCACATCTGCCCCGGTACATCCGTCAATATACTACTAGATATCTTGCAGCGCAGTGGTTCAAGTCACAACAAGCCTCGTCTGGGGTGCAAGTCCCGGGAGGGACTTAGGGTAGTGGAGGCCATGGTTGGGAGAGTTTCAAGAGGACAACATCCAATCTGCTAATATTGAGTTTCATGCAATCGTATAGAATGATATATACACTGCGCGTTCAGTACTTGTTTGAGCTTATTGTACTCGAATCGATTACTTTCATGTCTTATATTAATCATATTAAAGAATGAGTTGCCGGCAACATCAAGCAGCATTAGAACATAACGACCATAATCCATCCCTAAAACCGCTCTCATACAATCTATTAATCACTCCCATTTTTAGACCTCCCTAGGAAAAGCTCATACCCCCAACCTTCTAAGCCTTATTTTCCGTAACAGCAGAAGCAACTCCAGCTCCAGCCTTTCGCTTGGTAATCCTAAACCCACCAACAAGCAGGAAAAGCGCCTCAAGCCCAAGAATAACAGCCAGGGTAACCATAGCCCCAATAACACCAGCCACAGGCCTCGAAACGCCTTCATCAGACTTGGAAGTAGCGCCCGCAGAGCCAGAGTCCGATCCGGCCCCATTAGCTGCATACGACGCGCACTTTCCGTCCGTGTTTCCACAGACCTTGCACCACTCCGGTGTGGACGTGACGGCGATCTTGTTCGTCTCGTCAACGAACTTCGACCACGGGATCGTGACACTCGACTGGCCGTACAGCGGGTACTCCTTTGGAGTGTCGGAGCCGGTGATGGTTCCGTTGTGGAAGATGAAGCGCACGCTGATCTCGGAGGCGTCGGGGAATCCGTCGGACTTGGAGTCGGTGATGAGCTCCCAGGCCATGGAGGAGGCGTAGTCTGGGACGCCGGTGAAGTTGTCGCTGATGGCGGGGAGCTGGGCGAGGCCGAAGTAGGAGAGGAAGGTACCGTAGGCGCCGAATTGGACGTTGAGTTTGGAGGAGCCCTTCGAGGTGATAGTTCTGTTGAGGGCTGTGAGCATTTCGCCGGCGAGTTGGGAGCCTGCGATGGCGCGGACGGTGTCTGTGGTGTTGTAGGCTAGGTTGTACTGTTCGATGTTGGCGAGGAGGGCGAGCTGGTGCAGCTGGTCGGAGGTGGGGGTGTTGGTTGTGTTGTGAATGCTGGCAACGTTGAGGTAGTCGAAGATCGTGTAGGCGGACTTGAAGCTGATCTTGTTCTCTGCGAACGTGCTGTTCAGTAGGGGTGAGAGCGAGTTGTAGAAGTCCTTGCTGGAGTCGTAGATTTTGTTGTACAGGGCAGAGCTGTAGTAGCTGTTGCTGCTGACTTTGGCGTTCTGGCAGCCTGTTGCGTCCTGCAGCCAGGTGTTGTCTTCACTGTTTGTGCCGGTGGAGACGAGGCTGAGCGGGATGAGCTGGTAGCCGTCTAATGGGGCGGTGATGGTGGTGCTGTTGGCGAGTGTTTCGTTGGCGACTTTGCCTACGGGTGGGTAGACGCCTTGCATGAAGGCTACGCCTGAGTTCTGGAGGACGGCGTCTGAGGGGGAAGACGCGGTGACTTGTTTCAGGTTCACGATCTTCTCGCTTATGCCCTCGATTTGCAGCGAGGAGCTTGCGTCGATGTACCGGCTGTGGTAGTAGCTGCCCGCTTGATAGACCTCGCTGTATCCGAGGTCGGTGAGTCGGGTGTTTCCTAGCACTTTGGGCGTGCGGTCACCATGGCGGGCGAAGATGTATGCACCCAGGACTCTTTCGGCGGAAGTGAGGTCCGTCAAGGCCATCAAGGCCAGCAAGAGGCTGGAGGGTTGAAAGGAAGGTCGCATGTTGAGTGTGACTACTATTACCACTACCTCGGGGTAAAATCTGCAGCAACTTGGAGTAGTGCTAGGGAGATGTGAAGGGGCGCGGTTCAGGATGGGGACCAGCCATTATTATTATACTCTCAACGTCCCATCGGCCTCGGAGAATATGTTATGTGATCATTATGATTTCTGGACCTTACGGCGGGGTTCAATTCATATCTTTCTTTTCCCCTCTTTTTAATCTACCTTGAAGGGGCAAGTTTCTGCGGCGGCCAATGCCGAACGAACCTGCATGCAACACATGATGGGAAGGAAAACAAAAAGTGAGTATAAATCTCTGGATGGACAAAGAAGGTAACATATTGGAGTGGGGTAATAGGAAATATATTAGCTAATTGATGTCGAATCCTCGAATAGTGATCAATGATCATTGGATTGGCATGCAGGAAGTGGAGTGGCTTGTCAATCCTAGGGTCTCGATGCCTCGTTATCGGAGTATGTCGGCCATCTCCGCGGCCAAGGTCTTGAGGGAACAACACTAGAAGCTCCGCGGGCATTTCTTTACTCATTGATCCGTGAGTCATACCAAGAGATGTTATCATAGATAAGATTACTGATCAGGATCAGACAAGCCTTTATCTCTTGATCTTCCCTTGTCTTGGCTTCTGTTTGTTTTACTACAATTCCCTACTCAGGAGGAAGTAGGGCTGGCAGTGACACGGGATTTGCTCCAGCCAATACTCAAACCTCCGGCAATCCCTCAAACAAGTTGTCTCTTGACTAGTGATGGATGCTCTACTGATAGGGCCAGGATGCGGCTAATTTAGTCCCTGACCGTGCGAGAACCTTATGGCAGTCCAATACGAGAAAACTCCACTCATCAGCAGCGATATCGCCTTCGCTGCCCTTTTCAAAATGCTTTAACCCAATTTCGTCCGTTGACTATACTACGGACGGATGCAAAATGCCAAATTTGAAGAACCCCCAACTCCAACATGATCACAATAATAGTTTTGATGAGCAACAGTGGTATGGAACATAGGAAACGTAAAGAACACGGTCGATCTAATTCCTGGACGTACCCTTGTCGCCCATGAGCTCGCATCCATTTCGTACAACTCCTACCAGACCACCAGTTTGCATAGCTTCGGAGCCTCCACCGGCAAGTCGGAACTCAATCTCAGCCAGACCTTCTAGCCAAGTTACTCGCGTCTGTGCAGGTACTTCTAGTTGTTGTAGCTGTTCGCCTAGGGCCGCAAGGATATCCGCCAGAGCCAGGCCCTTATTCGATTTCAAGGTATTCACGGTGTTGAGACATGAAGTAACGTCGCTAGTAGCAAGAATAGTAGTCATGATCTCTTGAATGTCGGAGGGGTGTGGTGCGGCTACGCAATCATAAATCGTCTCGTTTGTGATCAGTTCCGATTCAGGACGCGGTTGGTCCTTCGGTGCATTCTTCATTGGTAGCGGTATACCTACGCAATATCAGCATCTGGTTGAACGCTCGTCTTGGCTATACTTACTGCTTGCATAGCAGGCTTGTAGCACGTTTAAGGCGCGACGCATATCACCCTTACTCAATTTGACCAAGCTGTCCACGGCCTCTGGCTGAATGTTTATCTTCTCTTTCTCAATCACCAGGTCAACCAGTGACCTGATGTCCTGCTCCTTCAACGGGCTGAATCGGAACCGTGTGCAACGAGACAGGAGAGCAGGCGACAATTTGTGGGTATAATTGGCAATAATGCAGAATCTAGTGTTGGCGGTATATCTCTCCATAATCCGACGGAGTGCCATTTGCGCGGTCGCAGTCATAGCGTCTGCTTCGTCAAGAATGATCAATTTGTATGATGCAAGTGACGATCCACCGGAGGTCGGCTGAGGGGCCATGGAGAAGATTTGTTTTGTGCCTATAACCGGATGAGCTTATTGTCGACTAGTGGGGGTTACATTCGGGGAGGCAAACTGGCAAAGGTCTTAATTTGTTCTCTGACAACATCGATGCCTCTGTCGTCACTAGCATTGAGCTCGAGTACCATTTGCCGCATGTTCTTGCTTCCATATATCCGCCTTGCGAGCGCAAGGATTGTAGAGGTTTTGCCAGTACCTGGAGGCCCATACAGAAGTAGGTGTGGAAGTCTCTAGTGTATGTATTAGTGAGGCTGCAATATGTTGGTCTCTCGGCGCATACATTTGCATCGACAAACTTGTTAATTGTAGCTAAGATGTCCTGGTGACCCGAAACGTCTTCGAGAGTGTTTGGTCGGTACTTCTCAACCCTGATACGAGTCGGCAAGTCAGGCACTATAAAATGAAAAAAAAAAAAACTTGAAATGTACTACTCACCATGGAAGATTATCCTGAGCCTCGACAGGTAGGTCTGATGCAATCCTCTTAGCTTTTCCACTGGTATTATCGGAACTGAACTGGATTGCGCTTTTAGGCGGAGCATCCACGTCCATATCGTCCTCGTAATCCGACATTCTGCTGAGATCTGCTGACAGTAAACGATAATGGGTCTTTAGGGTAATTGATGCAATATTTATCAAGTAGATCGAGAGCTGTATGTAGATCGTAGAGCTCATGGGTGAAGCAAGACGCGTCAAAACACTCCCGCGCGTAAAGAGGTTCGGCGCCGGAAAATCTTCAGGAGCTCAGCCCTATCAGGGTGATGACATGCACCTCCCGCCGTCTGGCAGCACCGCCATCAACGACCTTCCGACGCTACTTCTTACTCCAACAATCCTCGATAGACAGGCGCTAAAGGGGATTGATTATATCATTAAAACTCTTCACAATGCCAGTAGGTGGTTTGCAGTCATTAATACAAGTATACCTCGACATCCCCTTATCTGACGCAGTTTAGGCATACCACTCCGTCTTCCTCCAGGATCAGGGTATCCAAGTAATAGGTACGCCGCTGCACCCCTCCTGACACTCTGGTCGCAAACTGCAACAGCACATCAAAGTTCTACAGCAAAAATACCAGCCATACTGACTTGATTTCCACCTGACCGACAGGCAATTTTCCCGTCCTTCCCCTCCGCACCCGCACTCGCGGCCCCGCATACACCCTTCCCCCGCTACCGCCCAATGTTTCCGACACTGAGATCGCCGTCGACAGCGAGTCCTACGACTGTGTAGACGAGATTCTGTCGCTGTTCCGCGCCAATGTCTTGTTCCGGAACTTCGAGATTAACGGCCCCGCTGACCGTATGCTCATATACGGCACCTTGTTTATCAGCGAGTGTCTCGGAAAGGTCAGGCCGAATATGACTGCTCTTGAGGCTGGAAAGGTACGCAAATGTTATATGCGCTCGAACGACGGCAATACTGACTGGAATATGCGCATGCTAGGCTCTCAACAACGTTGCGCTCGATCACTTCGCCATCCCGGGCGATGCTTCGTTCCCCCTTAATCAAGCTTTCGAGCCGCCTCGCGATCGTCAGGATGCTGAGACACTGAGAGCGTATGTCTAACTTACTTCATATGTTTGTGAGTGTGGGTAAGAGGCTAATGTACTGGGTTATAGATACCTCTCTCAGGTGCGACAGGAGATCGCCATCCGCCTACATGCTAGATTATACCCCGGTGGTGCTGGCCCTTCGAAGGTACTCATCTCTTACTTGGTTCCAACTTGACAATATTGATGACTAACTTGCACGATCGATAGTGGTGGCTTAGTTTCGCGAAGAGAAAGTTCATGGGAAAGAGCTTCTAGGTTGATACGTTTTCGTTTGTTTGGTCACTGTTCAGCGTACACAGCGTATGAAAGCAACCATTTAAGAATTTCCGATTTTATTTACCGAGAATTCTATTGTATCCGAACTGTGAAATATCTAGATATGAATTATTTTTTTTTCTCTCTTCCTCTCCCCTTCCCCTCTCACGGTCAGTGACGTGTAAAGTGGATGATGGGGCTTGAGTTAATGTGGTACTACAATCTCTAGTTTCTTAACATAAAAGTATGCAACAAATCGTACAGTATGACGTATATTTAAAAATCATGGCTGTCCAAATGCATTCTAGTTTACACGGTAATAATGCAAGGTTAATCCACGAGAGCCAGAAGGCCCTCGTGACCTAATGAATAAAATCATGACTTCATCTCAACATCTAGACCACTGCCGCTGTCGGCCGTGGGCGTAGGCGCCTCCTGCGCCACGACCTTTCTCTTTTTCCGGCCTGGGTTGCCTGCAGCCTGGATTGTCTGTTGGGTAGGAATAACTCGAATAGCATGGAATATATAACCCTCAGCGCCACCGCGCATAGACATGAGAGGATGCGTGCGTCCGGGGAGTACCTGCCAGGGACGTACTCGGGAGGTCTGAAGTGAAGGTGCCAGCAAGAGGGTGGGATCAAGGTGGAACTCATCCATTAATTCCGAGAGCTGAGAATCTTGCGGTTCGGTTTGTTCTCTTGACTGTTGTAACATCCGTTCTTTGAGTTGTTGCCTTCGGCTTATGAATGCTGATTTTCTCGGTGTCGAATAAAGGTCCATTAGTTCGGTGAGGGGTTCGATTGATGGGGAGTAGACTGCGACGTGGGCTGAGCCTGCTAATAACGGGACTGCGTGCTTCAGGACGCTTAGAGGATCCATGAGGGTTGCAACGATAAGACCGTCGAATTCTCCCGCCCGGGCCTCGTTGACGACGCTCTGAACGCGCGCCCACCTGTTTCGCTTCCTATGATAAGCGCCCCGCTTGTTGGATTTCATGGAGTATAGCTCAGAGTCCGGGATCACCTCTGGTTCTTGGGCGTAGATAGGGTCGGAGTTAGGGTCCAGGAGTTGCAACCATGAAACGGTCTTTAGATGTGTGTGGAGAGGATGTGTCTCGTCGGGGTTATCTTGGTTATAGCCGAAGTATTTCAGGAGGGATAAGTTGGCTTGCTTGTTTGGATGAACGAATGTAATGCTATTCCCTGATGCGGACATATGGGCTGGACGGGCTGGACGGCGCGAGGAGGAATCCGTCGGCTGTTGCTCATCATCCTGCGCCTGCTCTGGTTCACTCTTCTTGGGCTCGTCAGACGACGTTTGCTCCTCATAGTCGTCGCCATCATGTGGGTACAGAATTCCCATCCTCTCAGCCATCGCCGCAACCACCAACCCTCCTGTGTCATCGACAACGAGATAGCGACCGTTAGGCTTCGCCGCGAGAGTCTCATCAAGCGAAGCGCTACCACCGTGGTGCACATTTCCCCAGCAACCCAGGAGCCCAATCATCTCGTCGCGCATTTCCATAATCTTCGCTGCGCCTTGATCCTCCATCATGTGATTCGTAAGTATGCCCACGTCCAACGGAAGAACTGTAAATCGCTGCATGTACTTTCTGCGCTTCCGCAGCATATACTTGGCGAGGGAGAAAGTCGTCTTCTGGTCCAAGGCCGAATGAGACTCCAAGATCTTTGAGATAATCTCCCTGCCCGCCCCGCCAGATTCCTTTTTCAGTTCCTCGATCTCCTGCCACGTCAACTTTTGAGTCGACGCGTCGTCGATCGTTTCGCGGTTGGTGCGCATCGGCGTCCCATCCTCGTTTGTGTCGACCTCGTCGCCGTCTCCTTCCCCATCTGCAATTAATGTCTCGGCATGTAGTTCAGCCGCAGGGACCATGCGCAGACAGCTTCCATCTTTTTCGTCTGCGTTGTCAAGAATCTCGAAGGTCAGGTAGAAAGGTCGCCCGATGATCTGGTTCGCGGGGAAGCTTCCGAACTTTCCGAGGAAGACTGTTCTGGTTCATTCAGTTAGTACACTAGTAAATTCTATTGTACTGAGGTTCAGAGAAAAGTAGAAAGAAAGAAAAAAGATGGTACACACGAGTCGGGTTCAATCTTCTGGATTTTCGTGAACTCGGAGGGGAGCCGCAATGCGACGTATTGGTGGGGACGAACGTAGGAGTGCATCGTATTGGACGCGCTGTAAAAAATAAAAAAAATGACAAGGGTTGATATTAGTTCATGATCTCCAGTAGCACAAAAATTATGCCAGAATGAACCAAAAGAAATCTCCGCAAAGCTTAGAAAGCGTGTACGACCTGCGTAGTGTTTCAATGGTTCTTTTTACTTTTTTTTTGCGATAGCGCACGGACCATAAGCTATGATATTATCGACTTCTTTCTTTGTTCGGATCAGAGGTTCTTCCGCCCGATGGATAACGGCCTCACATGCATGAGAGTCAACTGTCCTGTTCATCGAAATCGAACACTATGTCCAAATAAAAGCAATGTTTCTAACTCATTAGATCATATAAACTATACTGCCAACTCCATGGAACTTGTATCAAAGCCCCACCGATGACCAAACTGATCCAATAAGATCTCTAGCTGCTTGTCTGTCTCCCAAAGCCACTTTTCATACTTCAGAGCCGCATTATCATGAATATGCTTCAACGCTGCCCGAGTAATATATACACAGCTCGGGGGTAGCAAATCAATCAAATGCGGTGACATGTTCACATGTGAGCCGGCAATGTCAATCACCATATTAGTGACGGTGTCCAAGGTATCATTAGATCTTCTTTTCCGCTCTTCCCATTTAACAGAACCTGGCTGTGTCAGTTGGCCTAATATATGCCAGTGTAGCATGAATAGAGCCCTAATATATTAGCCATATAAACCATATAGAAGCTATATGCCTGGCTCACCTGATAGCAATCCCAATGCCCCCACAAAACACGCCCCAAACACCCTGACATTGTGGAAGGAGATACTCCAAAAAGGCCCGCAATGAGGTATCAAGCTCATCTAATTGGCCTAGTTGTATATCTAAATAAGACGATTTGGTGGCCGTCAAGACTTGGTCCAAGAGCCACGCTGCTCGGACAGAGTACCCCAGGCCTCTCATCTCAATTGATACTGGAGCCGCAAGGAAGTGCGATAACTTGTCGCCATATTCATTATGCTCTGGCAGTATTTGTGGAGCATGGTTGAAGCTATCTGTCGCGAATGGCTGGCCTTGTGCTGATATGTCGCAAGAAAACAACCTTTACCAGGTTAGCAAGAGGGAGGGTGTGAGGACAGGGATTAATACCGTTCTAAAATGATGATGTATGACCATGTATTAGCCGCTTCTTCATCCTCTTTGAAGGTATGAAAGACTGTCGGCCGCTCATGGTGGAGACCCGCAGCGTACCCCATCCGTGCACAGCTAGTAATAGATAGGAATGCATCATCCGGCTTCCCGCGTGCATATTCATACAGCGCCAAAAGAACGCCGGCCTGGATTAAATGAACAGAAGGCGGGAAGGTCGCTTGTACTTGAGTAAAAAGCAATTTGATAGTCAGGTAGAGAGATTCACGGCTGATATGTTGCAGACTCCGGGGCAAAATCTCAGGGTGGTATGTCACCAAGCAGATACTGAGCAGGAGAGCGGAGAAGCTCGCTGGAGGGGGGCCTCCAACGTAAATGAGATAGTCGTGAAATCGTTTACGAGAAACAACAGGGAGATGGCGGTGGATTCCCTGAAAATAACGCACGCTAATATCATCAACAAATTGATTTGTCATTTGTATGATCCGACGGGCCTGCAGATACAAGGTCGTATCAATTGCTGTCGGGTCCATCAGCGGCCCCAAGGTTATAACATCCGACGGCCTCTCACTAGAGACCGAGTCCATAAGCAGGAACGAAGAACGTGTAATTGGATGGATGCATTCTAGATCGGCACTTTTCCCCAGCGGGACGGTGTAGCTTGGAGAAGGCTCTCTGGGAAGCTGTGAAACATATCGGCAGTCCAGTCCTTTTCTGATTTGGATTATTAACAGCACAGTGATATCAAGCGTCCCATACGACATACCTGATACAGTAACTGCAGGACGGAAGCATCTTATCACATCTCTTTTTACGCTTCTTACAATTCACACACACCAGCGGTGCATATTCTGGTAACACCATCTCGGCCTGTTGGAGTTACGCAATGGCACAGCAGAGCAGAGAAATATTCTCCCGTCGATCTTTTATGATACTATGCATGGTTGAAGAATCCATCGTTTTAATACAAGTGACCCGGGCAACAAAAATGGCCTAGCGGCGGCCAGCTGTCGGCTGTCGGCCGCCACCAAACTACTTGCAGCCAGTAATCGCAGCCCTATGCTAGCACCAGCCAATCAGCGGTTAGGTACTCTTGGATATTGTTCGATTTGACATATTTTGCGTTTTATTCCTCATGTAAGATCTAGGCCTAGCTAGAGTATAAATATTGGGATATCATCATGTATTAAGCCCAGATGTTTACTTTTTCAAGATACAACATTGGTCTGATATGTGTGCAGAGAACGACAAATCCGAACTGCCACCGGAAGGAGGCCTTCAAGGCTGGCTGGTCGTCGGGGGTTCGTTTCTTGCTTTATTTGGTACATTTGGCTTCTTGAATGCGTATGTTAAATTCAATTTTTCATGGCATCTAGCTAACATGAGCAGGATTGGTGTCTTCCAAACCTACTATGAGCAGAATACACTCTCTAGCTACACGCCATCTGATATATCATGGATCTTCGCGGTACAAATAGCTTTGATGTGGATACCAGGTCCTCTGTTCGGGCGATTGATTGACACCTATGGACCCGCCCCGGTGCTGTACCCATGCAGCGTGTTATGCATCTTCGCACTCTGTATGACCAGCTTGGCCACTGAATACTATCAAATCTTTTTTGCACAGGGTCTTGCTTACGGGATTGGGGCTGGCGGAGTGTTCACAGCAGCATTGCTCTGTGTGGGGCAATGGTTCATTCGTCAGCGAGGACTGGCAACTGGAATCGCTGCTGCTGGAAGTAGTTTGGGCGGTGTCATCTTTCCGATCTTCCTCGATCGAGTCATGACCCTTGTGGGATTCTACGGAGCTGTTCGGTATACGGCTTTATTTGTTGGAATTTGTCTAGCCATCTCATGTTGCTTGTTGCGGGCGCGTTTACCGCGCAAGGAGTGGAATAGCAAAGCCAAATGGTTCGATATAACACTGCTCAAGGAGAAGCAATTTGCGTTCTACACCGTAGGCGCATTTCTTGCTATGTAGGTACATTCCCAAAAGATTGAAAGTTCATACATTGACCATAAAAGGTGGGGATTATGGGCACCATTTGACTATATCTCGGGCATGGCCATTAATGCAGGCCTCTCTCCGTCCCTCGCCTTGTATTTGATATCGCTCATCAAGTATGTCCCAGATCTTTTAACCTCCACACATACTGACAATATAGTGCCACATCCGTTCCCGGTCGGTTACTTCCCCCTCACCTCGCAGATCGCATTGGCCATTTCAACGTTCTCACTATGGCCTCCTTTGGCACAGGGGCTTCAATCCTCGCCCTTTGGCTCCCATTCAACTACCATCCCTTGCACGCTGGCATCATCGTCTTTGCCCTAGTCTACGGGTTTGTCAGCGGGTCCCTCGTTTCTCTATTGATGCCGTGCGTAGCAAAGGTTGGAAGCCTCGAGACATTAGGCGTGCGCTTCGGTACCTTTCAGATGGTCATTGGCGTTAGGTGAGCCCCCTCCTAGCTATACATAAACTCTACAAAGACTGACAAAGTACCAGTTGCCTCACAGGACTGCCTATTATGGGCGCCATTTTGAATCGTCAAGGGAACACTGACTTCTCTGGTCTGCAGCTCTTTGGCGGAATTACATGTCTGCTGGGATCATGCGGCATCGGAATTGCAACTTACCTGCTAGGAAACCTCCGTCAGACCAGGAAGGTCTGATGCTATGGTGGTTTATCGGATATTGCCAACTCCATCAGCTACCTGTTTAGCCCTACCAATCCCAGCAATTCAAATAGCCAGGGTCCCTTAAAATCTACGTCTACTAATAATGCGTGAACCATTCCAGCTTTTAGATAGATAACTTGGAGAAGGAAAGTATATTTTAGAATGTTAGATTTAGATGCTGGTGGACGGCGAAGTGGTTCTGAGAAGGTATTTAGATACATTCTCCCACCAATGGGAAAGCATAGATTCTCCAATTGATCAATATGACATGACATAAGCCTATTTAATTTAACGAAGCAATCCCACGATGTGTATCTCAGAGGTTTTATCCTTCGCCACACGCAGCTAACACCCCCCTCGCAAGTGCACAGGTAAGGAAAGAGATTCGTTCCCGTGGCTATCTCAAGTAACAAGAGGTTATTCATCTCGCAATCTAAATAGAAGACTGAAATGACGAAGTATGGGGATATGCGCCCTCATACGGGACGGGACGATCCTCCTCCACCCAAATGCGCTCCTCAGCACTTTTATGCTGGGGAGGAATTAGGCCGTTAATCTTCCAGAGTCGTCTTTCTGTCTCGTCCACATGGTACTCGAAATCATACCCCCTTTCCAGTAAATGAGGCTTCATGATCTGGTCAAGACGAGAAGTTGTGCGAAGATAGGCCACGTCGACATTTGGAACATGAACGGCGATATGCGTGATGACCACACGGACAAACGGCTTGTCAGTGGCGGCCTTTGCTTTGCCGCCAACATAGGTATCGCGGATGTCCATTTTGAAGAAGTTGACTACAACGTAGAAGGAAGGGAGGCCAAAGTCTGTGTAGTTCTTGGTGATATCTTTGGCGAAGGCTTGCTTGGAGGCATCGTCTTCGAATGTGCCGGCCGGGTGGTAAATTTCCCAGAGTGGCATTTTGATAATTTGGGTCTTGAGAGTGAGGGGACAAGACTTGAATGGTCTTAGGTTTGGATTTGAGATTGTATGATATGCAAGGCCTTTATATAGACCCCGGGGTCAAGGTAACATGATATTCAGACGCTCTACGTAGTGCAACGTGGATTACTGATCAAGTCCGAAGGCTATGGAATTGCTCACGACCTACTGTACTATATACAGGCCAATTTGAATTCGCGGCACAGATGAGTCAACCTTATGATGTGATGATAATGCTCAAGAGTTTGGCCCGCGACAGCCCAATGGGTTTACACCGGATTACTCGTGAAAACCTAAAATGTTGATTCATCTTGCAGCAATAATTACCCAATTGCACCACTTCTTAGTTAAAAACTCTCGGAGATGATAGTCAACATTATTGATTGCTCAGCAGTTTAATCATCACAGCCGACGCCATGAGCGTCCTATAAATCTGAGCACCTCACACTGTTGCGAAACTCATCCACCCCAGCATCTGTTCGCCATCATTGTCAGCCAACGAGCTTCGCTAGACTTACAGCCATGACTTACAGCCATGTCTGGATCTCTTGTGTTTGTGACCGGGTCAACCGGCTTCATCGGTTCGCAGGTCGTCGCTGCTACTCTTAAGGCCGGCTATCGTGTACGCCTCAGTATCCGCAAAGCCGAACAAGAAGCTACTTTGCGAATATACTATACTGAATTCAACGATAAGATTGAAACCTGCATTGTTCCGATATCTCGCAGCAGGACTTGTTCAAAGAAGCTCTTCAAGGAGTTGACTACGTGTTCCACCTTGCCTCTCCTATGCCTGGGAAAGGATCCGATGTTCAGCGAGACTATATTGATCCTGCTGTCAAAGGAACAGAAGCCATTCTATATGCTGCTCTAGAGTTTCCACAGATAAAAAAGGTTGTGGTTGTATCATCTGTGTTGGCATTGGCTCCCTTCACTGCTTTACTCTCAAAGCAAGTTTCCGTGAAAGGTGAGTGAGTAATCTACCACAGCTATAACAGAAAGGTATGACTAACATCAGCACAGACAACACCGGCGAAATCTTCCCAGTTGACACTTCCATGGATTTCCCTGAAGGATTCACTGGCCTAGCGATGAAATACTCCGCTTCCAAGATCTTAGCTCACGAGGCAACTCGCACATTCTTGAAGAACAAGAAGCCTCACTACACCTTGATCACATTCCATCCTACCTTCGTCCTGGGAGACAGTCTGGTCCAGAAGACAGCACACGATATCGGCGGCATGAATGCTCTCTTCTGGAACTCTATCGAATCCGAAAAGCCCAAGATTGCTAATGTTTGGGTTCATGTTCGCGATGTCGCGCATGCGCATGCCAAAGCTCTAGAGACTAATATCGAAAACGGGACAGAGTTCCTTTTGTCCAGACCGGCTGTCTCCTGGGAACATGTTGTCAGTTTTATCAAGGCCAATTACCCAGCTCTTGACTGCAAGCTGGAGCCACCTTTTGAAAGGAGCTGGACTGTGGACACCACCGTTGCGGATCAGATCCTTGGCTTGAAGTGGAGATCAGAGGAAGATATGATTGAGGATGTTATCAACCAGCAGCTGGCTTTAGGGGCTAAGGCTTCTATTTAAAGGGGCCCTGTAGTATCTTGAGAAGATGTTGTTTTGCTGGAAGAGATAACACCGTTCTAAAGATTCAGGGTTCATGGCGCCTGACGACATGATGATACTTCCCAAAGTGCAGGTTTGAAAGCTTTCTTTGATGAGGTGAACAAAAGAGAGACCACTAGATGTATCAGACGGCATCATCTACCGTAGAACCGGCTATGAACGACATCATTTACAAAGACCACCACCAAGCGTTGCAAGTCGAAACGCAGTCTCGACATTGTGCCGTTGAAAAGCAGGCCCAGCGCCAATACAACGACACGTTTTCGCAACTACTATTGTGTAGGTTAGTATCTTTGAAATGCGTGGATATAATACTTCTACTATCCTACCTTCAATAAACTTGATAAGATTAAACCTTGACGAGTCTGGCATACTGTAATGCAAATCCGGAACAGGATATACGGGAATATCTCCCTGGATTGGAACTCCTTTCATGTTGAGAAAGCCCAATACACCGTGAGCGTCGAGCCAATCCCCTGGGTTAGACATGCAGGGGAGCTTGGATTGGTCTTCTCGACGGATGGGGCTGTTCACATTTCGTAGGGTGCTGAGCGCGTGGGTTCGAAGCTCGATAGTGTTTACATCTTGAAGGGCGTTCTGAAATAGGCATATCAGAAGGGTCTTGTCGTCGGATGTCAGCTGATACCCAAAGACTTCATTGAGCTTAGTGACGTGGTTGGGCATTCTGGTCAGAAGTAGATATGCGTTCTGGGTACATTTGCGGACTAGATGTTGGGCGAAGGTGAGTATTGGCATAGAGGAGATGTTTATTAGGTTCGTTATCAATGTAGGAGGTGCAGTTATATCATCCTGAATCGATGATTGCCCCTGGGCTGCCGGGGAAGCGGGGTTGGTAGAAACGGGTGTCGAAGCTGGTTTTTCCATTTCTGTCGATGGACTTTCCTCACCAGCCAGATCCATCTCTGGCGGGGATTTCCCATCACTTCGGACCTTTGCCAGGGAGACGAACACTTGATTAACATGATGTAGGTTTGACATTACATCAGGGTCATGTTTGAGATCTGTCTCCAAGAGCATACCACTGAAGGTGATAAACTTTTGGCTGAGCTTGTCGATCCCTTCTTCCAGTTCCTTAGTTCGGGCTTGGAGAGCCAAAATGGTCTGCTCTTTGCGGTCACGGTAAGCTCGTTGTGCCAGTCGAAGCTGGTGTCGACGCTTCTGCTTTGAATCAGAATGTGTTTAGATGATTAAGCATGAGTGAATTATGTTGAACAAACCTCAGACTTTTGAGAAATCGCCTTCTGCTGCCGACGGGCTCTTCGTTTAGTTTCGGGTTCCTAGGGAGGTGGTTTAACGATCCGTGGACAAAAAAGATATGTTTCATGTTGATAACCTACCATGGAGTCAACCCCAACCTCACTGTTTAAGACAGGTTATAGAGGGTAACTCGAGTCGTGAGTGAGGGCGAAATTGAGGAACAAGCGCAGTATCAGCAAATGACCTACGTTGCCCTCAAATATATGGCTATGTGTGGAACAAGTTGTTACCACTCAAAGCCCCTCAAATACGATAGACACAGTACCAGAGACGGTGAAGGTGCACGGTCAATAGAATAACAAGCTAAGATGTTATACTATTAACTCCTACAAAGACAGTAAGTACAAATAGAGGGGAAGAAACGAAGAACAAAGTCGAGACTGTTCTTAATCACGAATGGTTCTATAATTTAATGCTCCTTGTCCTGAGATGAAGGTCGTGGTAGAATATTGATGATTGATTACTGATCAAGGCTGAGCCAATAACTAATCAAGATCCGGGATTATTCAACATCGCGGCGGGGGGCGATTTACTTGACATTTCCTAAACAAAATTCAATCCTCACACCCCAAAACAGTCCTGGACTTTTAGGCCAGAAGAAAGAAAGATTTCTCTATTAACAGGGGAACGAGCGTCCCTTTCTTTTAATCATTCAGGGTCCCTCGGACATGACTCGAAACACAGGATGAAAGAAACTAAACAACCAAAAATGCACAATGCTTGTTATATGTACGGTGCAATAAGACCAATGCATTTGATTGGGGAAATAATTCAGGATCATTTTGAGGAAACAAGTGTAACGATCTATCAAGTATTGAAGGCATCATATCTTGGAGCTTTATATGGTGTCCATTCTTATTAGAATCATCGTTATTATTTTTGATGCTATCTAGAGCTAGCTTATCACTTGAACTCCTGGACGCTTGCTGGCCGGATCACCCTACTGGCCGGTCCAATCAGGACCGCCAGCCGGAATCCCCAGCCAACATCATGTATATTAGTGGCGGTGGGTGGTCGGAACCGCCACTAATATAGGATAGACATGTCTGTGGCTGAGTTGTTTTTAACGGGTGTGGGGTTTGACGGTATAATACGGATACGATACCAGGGATTTCCTTGGATTGCCAGTCAGATGGCTATGCTATTTGTTAATGGACGGTCACTACGGCTCCCCGACCAAATTCGCCTTCCTTCATATCCACTCCACGCCCCATAATTAAGTTGAACTAGTTTATCTGGGAATCCGGGTGCCTGTTATCAACATCATCTATTTCATGTACACCACAATTACCCCCCAGATTCTTTCAGGGACATCTGCAGAGGTTATATAAAACAAAGCCATGGCATGTGTTGTCTGACAAGCATCTTTTAAAGCAACGGATTTATTGGCCCTCTGCCTTACCTTACGTATGCCATCCGAATAGCTTTGAGCCACGTCTCAGCTCTCCGATCGACCATTCGTGCATGAGGGAAGCCTTATTCACCAACTCGTACCCTTTGTCATACACCTCTCATTGGTCGTTTCTAGCGTGCTCACTAGTATTCCCCCATTCATCCTTAACGGTGTTGCCTCAAGGTTCAATATACGTCTGCCTTCATGGTCTTGCGCAAGCGAGCTCCGCCACATCTGTACAGCCTGAACAAGGGTAATGCACATTCTGAACCTCGCGCCCCGATCTCTCAGATCTCCCCTACCTCGAAATCGGTATCGTCCTCATCCCCGAAGCGCTTGACCCGCCCGAGACGAGCTCAAAGCTCTCCACAACCCCATCGGCCTCCCTCTCAAGAATCCGTGTATTCTCCGGATCTCAATACCTCGCCAGCATTCGATTTGATGCCCTTGGAACAAGCCCAGAGATCTCCGGTTCGATCTTCGCCAAGTGAAATCATGAACCCTTGGACGGATGAACTCGCGGAGCGACCTGACCAGGGTTATAATGGTTCAGGGCTGCCGGTCGCTAGCAGTGCTCCACCAAGCGAAGCGGTCGAGAATAAGAAGGGAGATCGTGTGCCGTCCATTCTTGTTGCTGGTACCCAACGGAGGATGGCTGCAAACGAATGGCAGCAGGGGGATGTCAACGAGGCTCCTGACTGGGAACACGTGGGAAACTCCCCTGTTCAGCTGCAGTCCAACAACCCGTTTTTGAAGCCAAGACAACCCGAACAGAACCCATGGGATGATAGAAACCCTCGTCCATTTTCCGAAGCAACATCTGTATCCCATGATAGTGCAAATGCTCGTCTAGGACAAGGTTCGATGAGCCTCCTCATTTGTCCATTTCCCCCATTCACAGGAGCGCAACGCTAACCCAAGACAGATGAGGGATATATTCCGATGACTGCGCGCTTGTCTCTTTTTGACCAGTCCGCAGAGTCCCCATGGGCCGAAGAACGCTCTAATCCTGCAGTACATCCGCCAACTCTGCATGAAAACCAACAACCTACAGAAGATCCATCATACCCCCTTCAATCAACGTACGGAGGTGCGAATGCTCCGTCTCCTTTCCCACAGCCTCAGGCTACTCCTCCTTATGACACTCAAACCACGTATTCTCAACAGCATCAGCGAGAAGATCAAGCCAATGGCCTACCAAGATATGAGACAGGTACTTCCGCACCTGCGATCCTGGGGTCCTCTCATGCGCTCATTGATATCGACGAGTCGGCGAATACACATATACAAGCTAGCGAGCATCGAGCAACATCATCTGTGTATTCCGACCAGAACGGACGCCAGCAGCGTTCAATACCGTCGCGGGACAGTCAGTCAGGCGCTGCACCACCTCTCCCAGAACGCTCGAGCGTTTCGCAGCCCAGTCAACTGTCATCTGCTCCTCCAATCTCCGAGACCGAAGCGAAGAGGCAGCAGGAGCAAAGATCTGAAACATATTCGATCAGGCACGTCAATTGGATTGACGCCACAGGAAAGCTGCGCGATTGCCCGGTTCTCGCGCAAAACCAAAACGGGCCATGTCCATTATTAGCGCTAGTCAACGCTCTCGTGCTGCGGTCAAGTCCGGAGTCTCAGCCTCCTATCGTCAGAGCCCTACAGACGAGAGAACAGATATCTCTAGGTCTCTTGATTGAGGCACTGTTTGACGAGTTGACGACTTGCTCTGGGCCGGATGACGAGCTTCCAGATATCGAAGCCCTAAGTCGATTTTTAACTATGTTACACACGGGCATGAATGTCAATCCAAAGCTCACGCTGGTATGGGCACCTAGTACATTAGATTGATTCCCGATACTGACAACAAGGCAGGAGTCTAGTGATTCGGTAGGCACATTTCTAGAGACTAGTGATATTAAGTTCTATGCCACTTTTGGCGTACCGCTAGTGCATGGCTGGATCGCGGAACCGTCTACGGAGATTGACGGGGCGTTGACTCGGGTTGCAAGCTTCTACGAAGACATTCAACTTCTTCCTTTCCGTAAACAAGAGCTTGAGGATCGTGTATACCAAGACGGGTCGCTCACCCCAGAGGAAGAGCAAGTCATGCAAGATATCCACACCATTCAGCAATTCACAGACATCGACAATGCAACTCAGCTCAGCACATTCGGGCTTCAACACTTGAAGGGACGGCTGCCGCCGGGTTCGTTATCGATTCTCTTTCGTAATGACCATTTTTCTACCCTCTACAAGCACCCGCAGACCCTTCAGCTTTTCACGTTAGTGACTGATGCTGGGTACTCCCATCGTGCGGAAATTGTATGGGAGTCTCTCATTGATGTCAATGGGTCGAAATCTGGCTTCTTTGCGGGCGATTTTCGCCCTGTCGGTCATACCTCGACTGGAGCGTCCGACCCATCTGGTCCACGAACATCCAGTAATACTGGTAACTCTGGAATCTCCTCGTCAGCCTCGCACGACCAGCAAGATAGAAAATTGTCGCCACAAGAGCAGGCTGATGCAGACTATGCCTACGCTTTATCCCTCCAACTCCAGGAGGAAGAGCAGCAAGCCAATGACCGAACTACTGGTAGCCGTAACCAGCGAGTTTCCGCCCCAGTCCAGCCTCAAGGGTATTCGGGGGTACCACCCCCTACGCGTCATCGCTCTACAGGGCATCGTCCTTCACGACAACCTGGGCGAACCTCTCCACCTCGTGACACTAATGATGTCCCGCCGCCTTCCTATGAACAGGCAGCTAACAGCCCGGCTTATCATTCCCCCCCGGGAGGCTCTAATCATAGGAATTCACCTTATATGGCTCCATATCAGAGAGCACAGTTCGGACGACGACCGCCAGGTGTGCCTATTACAACTGGACCTTCGGATCGCGCTAAGGACCGGAATAAGGACTGTATTGTCATGTGAACTAACTGGAACGAACGTCCACGGCTATGCGTCCTAGTTGGAAGATATGTTTGACGATGAAACGATACTTTTTGTATGATCCTATGTACTGTACTTTATATAGACTCGAATCGGAACGGGCGGCTTTGTCTATGTTGAGGAAATTTCTGCGATACCAGTTTCATAGTGTCAAAGCAGCCGAACGCTTATCTCTTGATGAAGCATATTTGATCTGGTTGGCTCATGGTCTATCTGTCCCAATGTATGTAGATCTCTACTAGAATCGTCAGGGAGTTTCGCACGTACATTTAGGCTATTTCGTCGCGAGAGGTATGCCAGAATAATTCTCTCATGTTAGTGAGACGAACCATCTGATCCGGCATGTGACCAGCGACCTTTTTCCACGAACCATCAGACTGTCGTTTCACATCTAGCTAGCTCACTCATCCGTCTTGCCCATTCTCGCATTTCTGGTACTACAGAAATCCCCTGCACCCGCGTTGTGGCGTCTCGGCACCCACACACTCATCTCCAATATCTTGAGACAACTTTGTTTATTAAAAGGCCGCTAAAGGCCCACCGACAAGAGCTCCCAGGAACTTCCCATTGGAGCAAGATACCCACCATATGATCCCTTGACTTGGAACTTTTTCTTAGTGTTTCATATACTTACCTAGAACCTGGTTTATCTTCATGTTCGGCGAATAGTCAGTCATCGGTAATTTCTACCGGTGCTTATTCGATATGCATTCCGGTAACGCGTGTGGATGTAATACGTGGACTGTTTGAGCCGTCGGTAGAATGGACGGCGAACACACCGATGGATTTATCCATATTACGGAGTAGATTTCATTACTTGATCGGGATGGCGTGCACCTCAACTAGCCAACTTTGGAGGAGATTTGCGTCATGGTATACTTATGCGTTTGTCACATTCGGCGAAATTGCCTGACCGTGAGGTTGTCTCCAAACATCCATCTATAACAAGCGGCTTCTCGGTTCCATCCTTCGAATCGGCGAACCGGTCAAAGGATTACGATTAATCAATTCCAAGTGCCCCTAATGCATTGTGACTGGAGTTATATCCACCAACACCTGTTGGTCAGGTTCTGCCTTGCTTCGGGCTTCCAAGCCTGAATTTTGTCACATAAAAGATTAGTCTTGTCTCCATTCCCTGCTCTCACAGATCTTCAGAGTGATCTCCAGAACTCTGAATCACTACAGGAGTGTCGTTAGAATGCAACCATTATGCCTTCTAGCCCTTACGGCTTTCCTTAGAGGCACCTGGGCCTTAGGTGCCAGTTGTACAGGGTCTTTTGACGCCATCTCAGCTTCGGATTATGTAGCCAAGGCTAACCCAGGGTGGAACTTGGGCAACTCTCTCGATGCTACCCCCAATGAAACTTCCTGGAACAACGGGCCTGTTGAGGAAGCCACATTCGACTATATCAAATCTGCTGGATTCAAAAGTGTTCGTCTTCCAGGTAAGAGATGTAGCTAATAGCCTTTCAACTATTCAAAGTGCTAACAATCTCACTAGTTACATGGACACACCACTTCACTAGAGGCTCGCCTGACTGGACTGTCGATCCGAAATGGTTGCAGAGAGTTTCTGATGTTATAGACATGATCACCTCTCGTGGCTTGTACACCATTGTCAATGTTCATCACGGTAAGCTTTTTGGATACCTTCATACACATACATGTGCCGGTGACTAACAGAGCAGATTCATGGGAATGGGCCGATGTCACTAAATCCGATGCCAACATAACCCAAATTGAGGAGAAATTTTCTAAACTATGGTATCAGATCGGTACTAAGTTGGCATGCAAGTCAAGCTTGGTCGCTTTCGAAACCATCAATGAACCACCATGCAATACTGCTGAAGACGGTGCCAAGCTTAATAGACTTAACGACATATTCCTCAGGGCGATCAATCGTGCGGGTGGCTTCAATGCTAATCGGGTCGTCAACCTAGTAGGCGGAGGCATGGATAGCGTGAAAACCTCGCAATGGTTCAAGGCCCCTGCCAATGTCACAAACCCCTGGGCTCTTCAGTTCCATTTCTACAGTCCCTGTAAGTAGACCCTACTCTTCTGGAGATTTTGGCTCTAACGCATCCACTCAGATGATTTCATCTTCAGCGCTTGGTAAGCAAATTTGGTTCTCTATTGATCTTACATTAACCCTTACCTCTTCTAGGGGCAAGACCATCTGGGGCTCAGACTCAGATAAGGCCGAGCTTGATAGCACCTTCGAACTTCTTCGAGGCAACTTCACCGATATTCCCATAATACTTGGAGAATTCGATGCCTCCCCAACCAACACTGAACCTGCAGCACGCTGGAAGTATCACGACTACCTTGTTCGCACCGCCAAGAAGTACAATATTAGTCCTATCATTTGGGACAATGGACTCGACCATCTGGACCGCGCATCAGGCATCTGGCGCGACCCAACATCTATCGAGATCCTCACTAACGGGGGCAAGACCAACAGTCTCCCAGACAGCACAGAGGACACCGCTGCAACAAGCCAATGGTCATCGGCTTATATCTTCCATAAAGTCGGAACAAAGGTCACCGATCAAACTCTACCCTTCCTATTCAACGACAACACCCTCATCTCCATTGAGGACTCCAAGGGAACCACCCTAAAGGCCAGCACAGACTACACGGTCTCCGGTTCCAACGTCACATTCCTAGCCTCGCTCCTCTCTAACTATTGCACGGAAACATCCGAGCCAGGGCTTCTCCCCAACTTCACCCTCAAGTTCTCATCAGGCGCCTCCCCCGTCGTTCAGATCGTCCAATGGGACACCCCTAGCCTCTCCTTCACCTCCGCTGCCGCCTTGTCCGTTTCTGGATCTGACCTTTCCATCCCCATCACATGGAGAGGGATCCCCAAGCTTGCCTCTGTGAAGGCCCTCCTTAAAAATGGCACATACTTGGTTGACGATTTCAGTAAATGGTTTGGTCCTTTTGGCGAGGCAAGAACGGTAAGTCTTACTTCATCTTGCCCACTTGCTATATATCTAGTGGAGTATTAACGTTTTTGCTCTTGGATCTACAGACATACAGCAGCCAATGGAATTGGGATGATAAGAACGTGATTCTGACTGAGGCTGCCATTGAGGCTGTTGTTGCCGCGGGTCAGGATACCGTTTTCACCTTTGAGTTCTATCCGCGTGTTGACTCGACGAGCAATGCGGTCAATTTCACTCTGACTGTCTAAGGGATGAGTGTTGTTGTTTGAGTAAATCTCACCGCCATTAGTTTCTCATTTTCTCTTCCTCGCCTTTAGCTTATCCCATTTGTTGTGTGGTATTGGTTTTCTATTCGTTTGATATTCGTTTAAATATATTTTTTACTGTTGTTTAGATACATCTTATCCAAGTAAAAATAGAGTAAAAATGTCTAGTCCAATGCACTAGCGGTAAACTCCATATAAGTCATGGTCAAGCGATTTCTGATAGAATAACCGAATAAGACACAGACAGAGTACCAAAAAATGATTAGACAAGATACTCAGCATATCAATTTCATAAGCCAACCCTCTATATTCCCCCCC